TAATCACGTTTATTTAGCGTCCTCTAATACCTTAGATACTATATTACGAAAGTTCTACTACTTAAAGTATCTTATCTTTCTCTTCTTAATATTACTTAGTCGAATAGCTTTAGCCCTATTTTATTAGGATTAGTTAAGGTCGTAGCGTCTCTAGACTTATTTGGCGGCTTTAATAGCCTCCGATACGCCCCGTAGTAGGCCTAGCACTAAGTATTTACAGGGTCGTTTCACTAGAACAGCTACCTCGATAGCTAGTTAGATTATACCGATAATACGGCGAGCATAGAAGTCTATAGTATCGTAGCCTATAATAGTAATATCGGATAGTAGTAGGTTCTCCCGTAGGATATCACGGAAAACATTATAGTTTATATCTTCTTATAGTATCCTCTCACGGGGGAGCGCCTCCTCTACTTCTATATTAAGGGTAATTTTAATAGGGAAGTAGTCCGACGATTCCTTTAGGCTTAATCTTAGTTTATATATAAGTACTCTTTTAGTAAGGTTAGGGGTTACTAGCACTAGATCTAATATACTCCGGGTATTAGATATAAGGTCGATAAAGGTAATAATACTACTATATAGAAGTAATCGTAGGCTAAATATATCTATAATATAGATAATTTCTTCGGATCTTAGATATAGGTCTACTAGTAGCCCTCCCTATATAGGATATTTACTATTAAAGTCGCTAACTACGAGATAGTTATAGTTAGTGGTATATTTAGGTTCAGTAGCTAGAGTATCCGTTAGGCTCTAGATAACCCTAGTCGATACTATACTAGGCTCTTAGTAGATATTGTAGATATTAATTATAGTAATAATATCTACTCTTAACGGGTCGGATTACACTTTAATATATTAAATAAAGAAGAGGGTAGCGTAGTCTACTAAGTACTATTTAAAAAACTAGTCTTTTAGAGAGATTCTTTTATTAATATAGAAGTAGACTCGAGGTCGTTTATTATTAACCTCTTTAGGTGTTAGGTAGATAGTATAGAATAGATTCTTAACTAGATTATAGACATATTCTAGTAATTTTTCGAAGAATAGTAGCTCTTGGATTATAATCTAATTATATCTAGAGACTTATCTATTAAGTAGAAATAGCGATAGTACTTTATCTATTAATCTCTTTATATTAAACGAGATATCTAGTAGGTACTTCTTTATCGTCTTTTCTTTATCTTTACTCTTATTCTTATCTTTATTCGCTTAAACTAGTTAAGTCTACTAATAAGCTAGTTAGTTCTACTAATAAGCTACTCGATTATAGGCCGCTATCTCCGGATTCTATTAGCCCGAACTTAGTATCCCTAGAGCTAGTAGTATCGCTACTATTACTAGAGGGTTCGAGTTTAGGTCTTCTACTATTAAAGGCGTTACTATCGCTAATTAGTTCCGACTTAGGGTCGCCGCTATTAGAGGTACTACTACTAGTTATATTATCTAGGAGTTCGTTAATAGACTAGGAGGGCCTAACGCTAGTACTGCTCGGCGAAAGATCTATATTAGTAAAGAGATCTATTCTAGGGTCTAGGCTAGGGATAATATTAGTAGAGTTAGTAACGGGTATTACCTCCCTAATTAGTTCTTATACTTTCTTTTTAAGAATCTAGACCCCTTCTTAGATAGTATCTTTCTATAATTAGTTAGACTCGTCGTTAAGTATATTCTCTAGTAATAGTTTAATAGCGGGAGATCTTAGTATAAATATAGTACTCTCTTATATACTCGGTAGTATCTCGTATAGAAAGTTATTACTTTTAAGTTCTTATAATAAAGAGATTAATAGAGATACGGCCTTAAGGGTATAGATATCTCTTACGTCCTTTTCGGTTAGTTTATTCAATAGTACTATATTTACTTTAGTAGATATTTCTATTTTAGTCCGCCGCTTTTTTGGCTATAGCTCGTTAGTATCGGCTTCTATCGATTTTATCGTCCGCTTAATTAGTCTTTTCTCTAGAGCTCTCTATTACGTCTAGCTAGGGCTCTCGTTACTTAATATATTAGTTAGAGGGCTAGCTTTCTTTATCTTCGTAGCCCGTCGACTAGGCGTTTCTTACTATCTTAATACGGCGAGAGAGGCCGTTATCTCTTATATCTAGTTCGCTAATAGTATTAGTTCTTATATAATAGCCTAAGTAATATTCTAGTATTCTTTATTCTTTAATATCTTATCGACGTTAGATAGATTCTTTAGTATTACTTAATAGGTACTATCTTCCGATCCTTGAGAATTTCGAGGTATTTAGGGTCGCCTATATCTAGATAGTTTTTCTTTCCTAGTTCTAGTGCCTTTGGTAGGTTAGGGGCGTTATTCTATAAGTAGTATATCCGAGGAGTCTACTATGGAAGCCCGAGGCGGTACTAGCTATATCTATATCTATATCCTATTAGTAGTTTTAATGCCTAAATTGGCTTATTAGTACTATATTGGGGTTCTAGCCTTATTAGGCGGTTCCGGCTAATATCTTTTAATATTCGGATTACTATTAAGGTCTCTAATATATTCTATTCGGGCTTTCTTAGCCTATACCTTAGGGTATATAGGATCCTAGGCGCGGTAAGGGCCCTTATAGTTCGCGTAAATCTTAATGGTAGATAACTTTGGGTAGCTCTTGTAGTGGTATCTTATATCGGAGCACTTCCTATATCGTTAGGGTAACGAGTATAATAATACTAAGTGTCTAATGCGCTAGTAGTTAAAGCACTATCTATTGCGTCTATTACGATCTCTGATTATATAGGTATAGAGTTTCTCGTCTATAACTAGACGGTATCGAATATATTCGTTTACCTACCTAGCCTTCCTAAATTCGATAATAACGGACGTAATATCTTTACCCGCTCGATATCGTAATAGCTATTTAATATAGATAAAGTCGTTTATCGTCTTAATTATAGTAAGTCTAATATTATTCTCGAAGAGGATTTTCTAGTATACTACTTTCTTTTCTTCGGAACTATAAATATTCTCTAGTAATTTCTTCCTTACTAAGTTAACGATAATTCCGTATATATTAATATAGATAGATAACTCGTTCTCTAAGGCCTTAAGCTAGTCGTTTAAGTAGATAGTTAAAGCGTTAGTATTATTCGCTATATATATAAGTATCTTAAGGTCGCCGCTTTTTAGCTAGCGAGTAGTAGAAATCTAGATTATATTTATAGTCTCTTTCTTAAAGGCCTTAATACCTTAGTTTACTCGTCGTAATATTTACTCGAGAGAGAGGCGTCTAAAGTTAAGACTTACTTCCTACTCTAGTTTAATAACTAGACGTCGAGAATCTTTAATAGAGAAGATATCGATAAGGGTAATAGATTCGTTAATTATAGAGATAGAGGTAGTAGAGATAGTTATAGTTATCGATCTCGCCTTAGCGAGCGAGAGAATATTAGTATTTAGCTATCGTTACTATTCTTATTATTCTCGTATTTCTTACTAGATAACTTTAATACGTTCTAGTATTTCTTCGACGCTATAGGCGGCAGTAATTTTTATTTTTAGTTCTTCGAATAAGTCTAGTAATCGAATATAGTTCTCTAGAGATATTTTACGGCTAAAGGTAACGCTTATATTTAACTAGGCCCTTAAATCCTAGTAAAATTAGTATAGGTAATCGTAGAGTGTATCTAGATGCGGTACGTCGTTAATCGCGGGAAATTTTCCCTTATTCGCTATTCTCTTACGGCGTAACTAATATAGATACTTAAAATTAGGCTTAGATTGAAGAGAATAATTAGTAGAATAATCCTAAATTAGAGCGAAAGTGACACATTGAAGTTCTGATGAGTGATTCCAAAAAGTGCGTTCTCTACTTGGGGAGTGGTTTTCAACTGCATCGACCAGGGGCTGCTTACCGGGACAGAAGAGCACCATGCCAATTTTTGACGGTCGGTCTGATGTTCGCGATCAGCCAGCAGGCCAGTCGCCATCACCCAAAGCTCTCTTGCTACTAGCTGCAGTGGGAGGCTGCACAACTTGAAGGCCCCGTGAAGGTGGTTGTAACCCCAACCGTCCTAGTCGAACCCACATAGGTATATCTTGCTCTGCATGGCGAAAGTCGTTAATCGCTGCGCCCGATTCAGTGGAGGAACTGTTCGTCCCTGTCGTCAGCAGTAGTAGTAGACCTCGTCCCAGTTCCAGGGGTCTAGCTCACACGCTATGAGTCTCTTGCTGTTTTTACGCCCTGCTCTGTTCAGGACAAATTTGGGTTGCCAAATAGCCCTAATAATGCATCTTGCACATGAGGCTTAAACGCACCTGCCTTTTCTTCTTGTCCGCACTCTCTCACACCCTGCATACTGGGCACTACCTCAAGCAGGTATTTACAATCATATCCTATAGGAGGGACCCATCCTGCCAGGTCTTGCTGGCCCGCCGAGCCATCATTCGTCACCATGCCCAGGACAAACTGGCATCAACACCCTGACGGCGACCGAGACCAGACTGCTCGTATCTGGAAAAATTTGTAGGTGCCTGGGAGATTCCCCACGAAACATCGTCGACAGCCTCAAAGGCTCATACTCTCCTCGCGAGGCCGCCTCGGGCCTCGCCTCTGCTGGCCTTGCCTTCTCAGGCTTGGGCTGTCTTGAACTTAGACTGGTAATGCCCTCTGCTCGGCGCTTGCACGGTCAATAATCGTTGCAGTCGCCAAACTACATCATTGCTGTACACGCCACACTGAGCCCCTCATGAGGAAGCATTCATGAAGCATACATATTATCATCAAAACCTATGATGCAATTATAGTGCTGAATGGCTCAAGGCTGCATTCTCTGGCAGATTTTCTGGCAGACAAACAAACAACTCTCCTAAACTCGTTTTCCTCGCCAACTCAGCCTCGGCTCTCTAAACCTCGTGCTATGCCACTCAGCGCAATAATTTCATTCATCATTATTGTGCCATTCGTTTCATCCGTGACCGTGCCCTGTTTCTCCTTCCATGGGTATTGGGCTTGGGACAATGGTCATTGAAGAAACAGCATGGTCACTCAAACAGCCCCGATCCCCATCGTATACGCGGACATGAGATTCTCTTCGTCCTCCATAGGCTCGATCATCTTCGGCAACCATTCAACGCGCCAGTCACCCTCCCAGTCAACGGTGTAGCACATTTTGAAATATTCCCAGTAATCCGGGTACCAACCAGACTGGCCCCAGTCGATCAAGGCTAGAACATGGATGGGAAGATCCGAAGCCGAAGCCCAACCAGGTGATGAGTCGGAGCCCGAACCCGACTTTGCTGTAGAAACCATGATATTTGACGGATGGACGTCCGCATGTGTGAACTTGATGGTGGTATCTTCGGGCAAGAGTTGGAGGTAAGGGTTTTTGAATCTCTCCTCCGGGGTCAAATACCGCTGGGGCAGCCATTCTAACCAGTCATAGAAGTCCTTGAGATTGTCAAATGGTCCGGCTTTCGGGAGGTAGTAAAACACCCTGTCCAGCAACGGCCCTCGCGTAATGGAACCTGGAGAAGTGAGTGAGGTTAGCTGAGCCTGCAGATATTGTTCATGTTCGGCAGTAGTGCAGGCGTCGCTTCGCTGATGAACTTACCAATGAACGAATTCCCCTTCTCCCCTTGCTTGAGATCCCGAAGTGCGAATAACATCTGACCAAGCTGGCTACACACAATCTCTTTCTCAGAGTGCGTCATATCGGGCCAGCGCTGCTCTAGAGTCACCCCGCCCACAAGTTCCATATATATGAACACTGTGCCATTGACGACTCTCCATCCGTACAGCTCCGGGACTGGGACTTCAGAGCCCAGCTGTTTTCGAACGGCCCACATGGTCAGCGCCTCATCAATGGTGACGTTTGGTCCATGTTTGATGACGAGCTGCATCTCTGGGACGACAACGATGCCTTTTCGATGTGCATCAACGACTGGAGGGTTGGGAAGTTCACGACCATCTTGCTTGAAGAATGCCGAGTCACGGAAGTCCACTTCAGTCTGGAAAGGATCGGGAAGCCAATCCGGCCTTATCATCTTGGACGTAGACAAGGGTTTTCTGTCGGTCGCTTGCGGCTGCGCTCGTGGCCCAGACATGACGAGGTAATATCATTGGTTGCTCTTGAAATGAAGTGTCATATATTGCGCAGTCCTCAGGCAGAGGTTTATTGTTGGAGTGAGCGAGGTTTCATGTCGGAGACGATGTGAATGTGATAGTAGCTGCCCACCGTTGACGACTGTCGCTCATACCTGCCCAGTATCTACAGTACTTGATGAGTAGTAGTGAGGGTGAAGGTAAACTTGAAGGCCGGGCGGATGGGGATGGTGCTATTAGTACTATTACGTACTAGTGCGGCGGCGCTATGGTGGTCGATCTGCCGTAGTAATTAGTCCCAACCCGGTAATTTACATTCCTCCGTGCCGAGCATCAATCTCTAACAACTCGTAAGCATCCTCTTGCTGTTCTCAGGATCGTGCGATTAAGGATTTTCTCTGTTTCTCTGTTTCTCTGTCGTGCTACCCGGGCTAACCAGAAGGGTAGAAGAAGACGATAGGGCTCCGACTAACTTGAAGGTAAGTACTAGTACCAGCCGCTATTGCTTTAGAGAAAGGTGCTGTCAAGGCCCAACAATGCCTACCTAGGTACCTGCCCCAGATGCCTTTGAGGCGAATACTAGTACCAGGTATATCCTTCCAACACGACTGGTACTGTGTGGTGACCGTACATTAATAGCAACTTGCAGCAATCACTTGCTGTTCAGAGACCAGTGACCATGCCGGTCCCCAGAGGGTCGCATGAAGTCTCATGTCCAAAGAATAGAGGGGAACAGTCACTGTTATGAAACGGTAACTGCACAACAGCCGCCCTTGGTCACTCCAGATTGGTAGCCGTCACCGACAAGCTACCATTGATGTTGTCAAACCTACAGGGTGCAACTGCACTTGATAGGTGCCACGTCGTGACGGGGTTGCCGTGCGTACCCGGAAAGACTGCGCCCATGGCCAGCAACCTTGACTCTTCTCTCTATAAATCCACGACTTGTCTCCGAGTCGTGCTTTATTAGGCACTGAGACTGACCTGTGCCTTCTGCATCGTAACATCCAAAATATTGAGGGCAGGAGCTGTGGGCCAGGCACTCATCTGCGACTTCCAGCCACCCGCGACACTGGTGAAGATTGTCAGGGAGATTCTCTCCTTCTAGAGGAGCACATGAGCATACAGGCACACGGGTCTACACGGGTCTACACGAGCACAACACAACTACCCTCATCTTAGTGTTGACGGCAAAGAATGGACTCGTCAAAGGATGTCTACCTCATCAGATACACCCCAAGGGCCGGATTTCGCGCCCATTTTGCCCTGTATCTCGTCGAAGGAGACTTCCCCGGAACTGGAATCCTGATACATGTCGTTGGGTTACCGATGTCTGGTTTCGAGCTGCAGATCAGACAGGACTATGATCTGCGTGGCACAACACGACGGTACACATTCTTTAAACTTGGACAGGTATCTGCAACATCAGCCGCCACTATGCAGCAGCTCGCCTCCCGTGTGCCGCCACCAGGCAAAAGCGAGAACTTCCTGGCTCCTGTGGACGGGGTATTTATCACCATACAGCCTGAAGGCGCGCTCACTGCAGTCGCTTACATTTTATTAGGATAAAAACAAACGTTGTCAAGAATGGACGGTCGAATATGTCAACCTCTTGGTTCAGCATGGGCTTCTCAACCAGAACGCCCTGCAAATTGTCCATGCTCAACGCGATCCTCCAGATGTCGGTATTACGCTGAAGCCTGTGCACAGAGGCCAACCTGCCGGCGGCGGCACCTGACGGCACCTCAAAGTCTTATCTTCACGCCGGCGATGGGCAAGCTTTCAACAACCGGGTTGATAAATGTTTGCCCCCTGCTCCCAGCCGAATGACTTCCCGAGAGGAGAGTCTGCGGCGATTTTTCTGCACGTTAAGTTTATGGAGTATGGAACAGAGGAAGCCACAGCGTCTATAATAGTTTAGTCGCGGCAACGGAAGCCAACCCTTGCCTACTCGGCCCTACATCTTTGGCAGAAATTTTACCAGGCTACAATGATAGGAGTAAGAATGACAGTGGCAGAAGACGCCTTTTTGCTGTGTTACTTCCAAATATTCTGCTGAACCCTCCTCCGTTGTTCACTTCGTCTCAGATTGCAGCTTGGTTTGCAGCTCCTTCCATGTCGTGCTCACTGCCGGACATCCAACTCCGCTTCCAGCGCCCCCTTTGAAATTTTGCAGCGTTACGATACATGTTTGAAGGCGGGCCAGTTGATCCGCGGCCGAATTACCTGTTGCAAAAATCAGTATACGAGGAGACAAGAGTAGCAATCTGGGGACGCGAAACTGACCGGATGGGAATGCTGCCCCTCCTGCCACAGTTTGTTCCACCGCTTTGACGAATGTGTCCAGAGTGGGTGGACAGTCGCATCTGTTGAAGAGTTAGAACTCTGCGTACATGTGCATGTGTCCAGGGCGGTGGGCCTGGGAGCATGATGGCTTACGGTATCCCCTTCCCGCCATCACCCACGCAATTTGCGGTTCCATCATTCGCTTTTATTCCAGCAGTGATGCCGAAAGGCGGGATGAGTGCCGCGTCCACGGAGGACGAACCAGTACTAGTCCCAGATGAGGAGGCTGTGCCAGAAGTCCCGGTACCAGTGTTTGCTGCAGTCGCAGTAGCTGCCGGGGCTACCGCAGAGGTTGCTGTGATGAACGTGGTAGGAACGTTGCCACCGCTGCCGCGACTGAAGGAGCCGCCTCCTCGGCCTCCACCCCGCCCGCCATCATGGTTCCTTTGAGCAAGGACGGAGGAGGCCGGGAGTATTGCGACGAGCACGCACGCCGTAATGAGGGAGCCACGCATTTTTTTGACGTTCAATGAATATTTGGCGATTCTCGTTGCTGGATGGGTGTTTGAAGAAGTCGCAAGCAAGATGTCGACCGAACAGTTGGTTGGGTCGATTTGGAACGGAAATGGGTAATTACTAGGCCGCACTGCGAACTTTGAGATCGAAGGAGAACAAATCACGATATAATATAACCTGCAGAAGTCGAAAGGAATGAAAACACGACCTGCGTGCACGGTAAGGTAGAATTGAACGGAAGCGAAGTGGTCGTGGTCCAATTTGGTGCCATGGCAGAACAGTAGGTATGCATGTTATATGTATTCGCGAGTCGGCAAATAGCCTTCTCATCCAGTCTGAAAGAAAGTCAGGTTTTTTGTGCCTCAGTCTCATGGGTGTTAGCGATTTCTCATCCGCATTCGATGTATTGGAGGCTGAAGATCGATCATCCGTGAACTCGGTACCGCGCGATAGGCGCTACGTCTCACGTTTCATGTTTCCGATGTTATCGGTGCGCGAATCTTGATTCGATAGAATCATTTTTGCGCTCGATCCTGCATCTCGCCTGCTCGTTTCTCGAGTCAGGATCTTGCAAGCGGTCCCGTCTTTCGACAGTCCAGACTTTTGCATAAATACTGAGAATCGAGACGGGTTCAGATAATAGGTTGGGGAGCAAGTCGAAGGAAACACTTGGAATAGCCATTCCAGGATCTCCAGAGCGCCTACTACGGCGTGGGTCACTAGTTTAAAGGGGTCCCAATTCACTGTATCTTCGAAGTGAGGGAGGCAACAACATGGTAGAAGCAGAATCTCAGTTGACAAGACTCGAGCTTCATGTTCAGGTTGGGGCACGAAGTTGGTTTCATAACGGCAGGCGAAAAGGACTTCGATTGGCCCTTTTGAGCCAAGCTGCCATGAAACGGCGAGATATGCTCACCAAATAGTACTAGTGAGTGATGCTCTCGTGGTGCGTCTGTTGCGCGTCTCACAAACCAACAACCACAGACATGTTGATACGCTCGCACAACTCCGACGGGCTCTTGCTTTGACTCTAGAAGTCCAGATGAACCTATGTGATACTATTTCTGATACTGATCGACCCAGCAAGTGAGACTATCGCTCCCCTAACCCTCCTCTCGCCTGCGACGAACTAGCTGGCTCCGCGGAGTACCCTGCAATGGGAGGCATGAATCCAAGAAAGACGCGTCAAAGAAGCCATGAAGCCACGAAAAGCAACGAACTTAGCGGCTATTGCACAGCACTGGGTGGCGTCGGGCGCCTGCCTGCCTGTTTACAGTAAAAGTGATCGGGAGCACGCCCCGGCCTCAAAAACTGCCACGATTTAACAGTCACATCATATTTCCTTGCCACTCCACCGCGTTTCTGTTTTGTGGCGGGTCTACAGTTCTGTCACCTCCTGCCTGTGGCTCAATGTCCTTTCCTCTCCGTCACGAAACACTCTAGATTCTTCTGTTTTACAAACCAGACGTTTTCGATCTCCAGCGGCCTGTCTGGATCAACCAGTGTGAAATCAAATTTCCTGACCAACTCGGGTATCAGGATCGATATCTCCAGTAAGCTGATATTCTTGCCGATACATGTTCGCGACCCGGCCCCGAACTGGGAAGGGATGATCCTGTTAGCTTCTATGTCGCTTATAATACCAGCACTCTGGAGATCACGGGGCCACTCACAGTCATGATGTATCGGTTCATCTCCGATGTTCGTTCCGGGGATTCTAGCCAACGCTCAGGTACGAACTCCTCTGCATCAGGGCCAAAGATACGCTGGTTCGCATGCGCTACCCAACTGTTGACGCCCACTTCGGTCTGTTTCATTTTTGAATGTCAGTCAGGTTCAGACACAGTCCAGCATAGCCACTATCCATCTGAGAATCGGTATGGCTCTGGTATGACGCATGTGTTGTCTTTACATATCAACGTACCTTGGCTGGGAAGTATCGTCCCGCGATCATTGCACCACCCTCTGGAACGACTCGAACCATAGGCAAGCCGGTGGCGGGGTGCACACGCAAGGCCTCTTTAATGCAAGCTTGAAGATAAGGCAGCTTCTGAGCTTCTTGAAAGGACAGCATATCCTTAGAGCCTCGCTCTTCGATTGCTTCGTCAATCTCTCGTCTCAGCTGCAGCCATTGACGTTAGCCAAGCTCAAGATCCCAACGCCAGTCGCACAAGTCAGCAGCTACCTTTTCCAATTTTTCTGGAGATCTCATGAGGTGATACAAAATTGCTGCGAGGCTGACGGATGTCGTATCCGATCCAGCGGCTATGTTGGTGCCGCACGTGGTAAAGACGGCGGACATGGGGAACTTGTCAGGCTGCAAGGCATGCATGCGTAACATTTTGGTAAGGAAATCGTCCGTGGGTTTGGACTCGTCCTTTTCTAGGTCGCTTTTAGTCTTCTGTTTCTGCCCTTCGCGGATTTGTTCATGCAGGAAAGCTCCCATGTAATGCATGCCTCCACTACTGCTACTAGGGAGGTAAGACAGAATCCGGGTAAAGGTATTGTGCCATTCGTGGAAGACTCCGACTTTTGACAGGTACAGCAGGTATGAATGAAGTGCAGCAATCATGCCTCCGTTGTCTTTGCCTGTATCGAGGAAGCCAAATCGCTTATTGAGCTGCAGTAGGGCAAACCGTTTATCAGCAATGGTCTGAGAAATGGCACCACTGCTGGTCACTCAGGGGGACGATGTCGCTCACCGTGATGAGGGCAATCACGTCGAATGCATAGTACTGCAACCAGACCTGCAGATTGATCGGAGCGTGCGATTCGGCGAGCTCAGTGAACCTCTGCACGAGTATCTGAGCACATTTGACAGCCTGCGGCTCCATGGCCAGCAAGCTGGTCACTGAGAACATTGAAGCAACAGCCCGACGCCTGGCGGCGTGCGTTTCCGGGTTGAGGTCTGTGAAAAGATCGGGCTCTTCATTCTTCGGATTCGCGGATGCGACATACCATTTTCCCTGGAGGGCGTTAATCATCGCTCGGTCGATTGGCCCCCTTCTAGGGCCCACATTGAGCTGAAAAGGTTCTGCTTACCTTGACAAAATGTGTGCCGTGACCGTATATGGTTCTGATGGCATCAACGTCGTCGATGGAATAGTAGTTGGGCGCAATTCGAACAATCGGTCCTGGAGGTACCAACATTGCTCAGTCTCAATCGCTCACACCAAAGCAGATGGCTTGGGAGAGATACCGTATTTGTTGTGCAACTGGACGTTCATCTTTTCGAAGCGCCCTCCAGCAATTTCTTTGAGATACCAAAGCCTCGTGAACCGTGCCCAGAATGGCCCGGGCACGTCTCGCAAGGGGTCTTTGAGATATGTTATGGCCTGCCAGATGATCCATCCGCCCACAAGGACAGCAGCCAGGATCCCTGGGGAGATATTCTTGGCCTGAGCCTGGAGAGCTTGCCACTGTGCCATTGCTTTGTATGGATGCAACGAGTACACGAAACGGGAGATATAATCAGCAACACAACCAGGCCGAGATGACTTCAATCGTTACAGCGCCCCTGCAAGCGGCACTGGGCACGCTTCATATATCGGATGCCGAACCAACAGTATCCAGACTTATTCGCTTATTATGACTGCCTCGGCAATGCCTCCTGTTGGCGGACAGAAACTTGGGCGCGGCGCATATCCAGAGGTGCAACCCCTCAGTCCGCTCGCCTACCTTATGGAAGGAATCGCCAACACTGGCAGGTTCCGGATCGAGGGACGGAAAAGGGTCTCCCCAAGTTTTGCTAGCATTCGGTCACACACCTATGGGCGAATCGCCTTCTCCATCTTGGTCAACGCCCTCAATACTAGGACTGACACTGGGAGGTTCCGGATGAGGGGCGGTTAAAGGTTGCCCCAAGTTTCGTTTGAGGTCGGGGTACCCCAGATTTCGGCCGACCGCCCCACACGCTCAGCCATAGGCCCTCCACACGACCTTAGATTGGAACAACCTAAATGCCAGAGGCTGATGTACGCCGTGCTTCACAAGTCGCCATGAACATTGGAGAAAGAGCAGAGAATCAGCGTTGAGTTGCAACCAGGAAGAATACCCTCCTGTTATTTATAGGGAGCTTCGCGCAACCGACCAGGCCCTTGCACAATGACTACCCGTGGTTTGTCGATTGCTTTTGAGATCGTATCTCACTTCCATCGCCACAGTGTCTAAACTTCGTCCTGTGCGTTATTAAAGCAGCTGTAGCCGTGTCTGAAGGACTGACGTCTCAGTCATGGGCGTGCTTCAGGCGCTTGCCGGCTCTGATGGCTGGGCGGATGTGTTCTTCAATACCGCCAATGTGATCAAACTGTCGATTATCTGCATTGTGGCAATACCTTTTTCCTGGATCCTGGTGGACTATGCTCGCGTCCTTCGCCTTCGTCGGAAGATGCCACCCGGACCATTCCCTCTGCCCCTGTTCGGAAACTTCTTCACCATCCCCAAGGTCAAGCCCTGGATCGACTTTGAAAAGTGGGCACAGTACTACAATGACCCAATGATCACGCTCTGGCAGGGCCACAATCCGACCATCATGTGTAACGACAGCTGGACCATCTCGGAGCTGCTGGACAAAAGGGCCAACATCTATTCCTCGAGGCCGCATATGATTGCCATGGGTGACATGTTGGGTGCGACCGATAGTAACCAAGTTTGTCTCGTCTATGGCGACAAGTGGAGACTTCATCGACGATTGATGGTTAGTAGACGCAGCCTTGTCCATGCTGAAACTGTACCACTAACGAAGACTCTTCACTCTTTGGTAATAGCATACCGCTGTCGGATCTCAAGCAATCCGGGCCCACCGCCCCGTACAAGCCAATGAGTCCAAGATTTTGATGCGAGATCTGCTCGACGACCCCGACGATTTTGTCCTAGCCATTGAACGATATTCATGTTCCGTGGTATCTGTTATCGGATGGGGCCGGCGGATAGACAAAATCAACGATTACGTGGCGCAGATGGCGCTCAAAGCGATGGAAGGCGTCGACCTGATTATCCCTGGACTGTTCCTAGTCGAGTCAATCCCAGCTCTTGCGAGATTGCCCAAGTTGCTGAACTGGATATACCCATTTCCTTCAGCGACGTTCAATTTTGCCAAGCACATGCAAAGGTATTTTGTCGCTCTGTCGAAAGAGGGAGCTCAGGCTCCTGAAGAGAACTTCGCCAGACGTCTGTTCCGTGAACAGGAGGAGAGCAGGCTTACAGATGAGGAGATCTCGACACTAACCTCGAACCTGATCGGTGGCGGTGTCGACACCACGAGCGGGACTATGATCTCCTTCATCCTGGCCATGTGTGTCTTTCCCGAAGCTCAGCGCAAAGCTCAAGAAGAACTCGACCGCGTTGTAGGCCGGGAAAGGGTACCCGAGTGGACCGACGAGCCGAATCTGCCGTACGTGAAAGCGGCCGTCAGCGAAGTCCTGCGCTGGAGAAGTGTCACGGTGTTGGGCGGCATCCCGCACGCACCGATCCAAGACGATGAATACCGTGGTTACTTCATTCCAAAGGGTACAGCGATCACAGGCAATGTATGGGCCATCCATCGTCATCCTCGAGGATTTCCGGACCCAGACAACTTCCGGCCTGAGAGGTATCTGGGTGGAACGCTCGAGAGGCCATACCCTAACAAGGCTGGCCACAATGCTTTTGGCTGGGGTCGTCGTGTATGCAGTGGACAACCACTGGCCGAACAAGGTTTATTTCTGTCACTTGCTACACTTCTGTGGGCATTTGATATCAAACCTGGCTTGGATGAAAATGTAAGTGGATTGATGACATCCGATGCATGTCACGATGTTTCTCTGCCTCCTTTCGAGACCTTGTTTTCAAGGGCAGATCACTCCTGATCTTCTCTAGCAGCTTGTACCTTTCGCTAACAGTTGGCTTATCACAAGGGAAACGAAGTCAAACTCGACATCTACGCGTACACCAAAAGCGAAAATACCCGCCCGGAGCCTTTCAAAGCCAGGTTCATCCCAAGGACCAAGGGCATCGAGGACATAATCCGTCGGGAGGCTGCTCGTGCGCAGAAGGAACTTAGTGTATACGATGGTGAAACCAAGCTGACGCTGGAAAATGTGCCATAGTCGTTTGGAAACACTGCTTCTTCTTGGTCGTGGCATGTCAGTGGACAGGCTTCCTGAACTTAAGAATCAGGACCAACCTGATTGATTGCGTTCTGTAACCGCTCATGAGGCTTTTGGAGCGGCAAGATCAGTCTCAGCCACAGACTATTACGATACCATGAAGGGGAATCTTCACTATAACTTAGCCCTGGGTTTGACAGCTACCAGAAGCCCCGACTCAGGATGTATCTCTATCGAACCGTGCGTAACTGCATTTGGGACCCATTCACGAAGGACATCTTGGGCACCCTCGCCCTTTTTAAGCTCAGGATATGGATCTTGATCTCTCACATCGAGCCCCGGCGACTCTGACAATTCGACCAACGGCTTGAGGGGTTGTTCCGTCTCATCCATGTCCAAAACCGGCGTGACGCACGCGTCCACACTGTCAAACACCTCCCGCCACTCCCTCATAGTCCTGCCACGAAACAAGCTCGCAAACAACTTTTTCGTGTCAGGCCAATGCTGCCTTTCCCACTGCGGCGGCATTTTGGAAGCTTCCAGTCCCAACCCGTCCAAGAGCGCCTTGTAGAACTGTGGCTCTTGCGCGCCGACAGCGACAAACCTGTCGTCTTTCGTGGCATAGACTTCATAAAACGGCGCCGCGCCATCCAACAGATTCTCGCCTCTTGGACGGTCCCAATTCTCATGACCTAATTGCTGCCGAGCGAATGTGGCGAGATACGCCGTTCCATCGACCATGTTCGCCGTGACGACTTGGCCGCTGCCACTGCCACTGCCACTGCCGCCGGCCGTTGTTGTTTTCTGGCGAATCCGGTGCATCAGCGCCATCAAAATCCCCACGACACAAACCAATCCGCCGCCCGCAAAATCTCCCAAGATATTTGCCGGCGGAGACGGTACTTCGCCTTTCCGTCCAAACAGGCCCAACACGCCCGACGCGGCAAGATAATTGATGTCGTGGCCCGCGCGGGCGCCGTAGATGCCGTCTGGCCTGAAACCATGCAGGTGCGCGTATATCAGGTCCGGATTGATTTTGCGAAGATCGCTGGGTCCAAGACCGAGTCGGGACATCACGCCCGGGCGGTACGGGTCGATCAGCACGTCTGCGACTTTGACGAGTTCGAGAAATGCATGGCGAGATTGGGCGTTTTTCAAGTCGACGATAACGGACCGTTTGTGGCGGCATAGCGTATCGCGAGGCGGGCCGAAGGGTGACACTGGTCGGTCGACTCGGACAACGTCGGCGCCGTAGTCGGCTAGAATTAGGCTGCAGTAAAAAGTCAGGATGTCAGAAGACAAACGGTGACGGTAAGGCTGAGGGATGTAATGTTTCTGGGTTCCGGGATACACTCCCAGCCAGTGCACCGGCTGATGGTGTATAGGAATGTAACATGTCTTTGGGTGCAGTGAAGTATAGTTATACTTTAAACTTACCCTGCAAACGGACTTGGTGCCAGACCTTCCAGCTCGAGGACTGCAATGGATATACCGTACCATGGTCAGATCGAGGACATCACCACATATAGAAGTCTTGATCTTCCTTCATGGTGTGCGAGGAAAAGAAACAGCTGAATGGCTCTGCCAGCCTTGGCCGAGAAGTGAAAGTGAGGACAATCCCAAAGTTACTGACCTTTGATTCCTGTCAACGGAGCCGGCTGAGGCATTCTGGCTTGCGTTTATTGCTCGTTCGCAATGGCAACTCTGTCGGTCGAGAATTGGGTCGTGATGGGCTAGAGAATACTGAGACTTAAAGCATGATGCCGTAGTCTCTGGCGGAATACTAATCCTAGTAGCAAGGCTCCTCAAACCGGAAAATATGATCTTGAGTCCCGAATAGCAAGATACCGCGATATGCTTGCTACTCCAGCTTCACCAACGATTCAGAAATCATGCAGTCTATGGCTTCAATGGAATCTTCTGTTCTGTTGCTCTCCCGGTAGGTGTTTGTTGTATCTGCTGCTGCCCCACAGGAAGTGAGATGAATGAAATGCAGTGCCAGTGGGTCAGACCCCAGACCCGCCTCCACCATCTTCCCCGACTTTCAAGGCCCCAGCACAGTCAGTGGCAGGGGGACACTGCTTGGTGTTCATCGAGAACCACAGGGCCAAGTGCTATCATATGGCGACTACATTTCACATCCGAGACGAGTTCAGACACGGCTTAAATATGTTGGGTTACCACCGGACAGTTTGATGAGACGTGAAAGCTCATAATAAATTCAAAAAGGGGTTTCTCAGCCTTGCGACGGCCGACCCGCTCTCCGCGAAGCGCACACACCGCAATATCAAGGAGCCACAAGTACTATACCTACCCACCACATGCACACACCGCACACCCGTCCGAAGATTTAGTACAGTAGAAAAGGAGAAACAACTTGGTCGTGCAAACATGATCTTCTCTTCACAGTACCACATCGACATCCCCAACGAAGACATCCTAACATTTCTTTTCTCCCGGACACGCTTCAAAGAGAATGACCCCATCTGGATCGATGCCATGAACCCGGATTTGTTCGTGACTTTATCCAAAGCGAGAGAGCTCACATATCGAATTGGCCAGGGTCTTCGGGACCTAGGCATCGGCGTCGGCAAGGGGGCCGGTACCAGATCCAACAATGACGGGAAACATGGTCGCGACGCGGACGACAGTATTGTCCTTTCGTTTGTCGAAAACCAAGTTATGGTGGCGCCGACCTTGCTGGGCGTTTTATGTGCAGGAGGTATCCACGCCACTTGTCCCATGACAGCCACGGTGTTCGAGCTCGCGCGCCAGATCAGACTCAGCAAGCCCAGAGTTTTGATCTGCTCGGAACAGACGAGAAGAGTCGCAGAGGAATCAATTGTCCAGTCGGGCATTGGAGGAGTCAAATTGTTGCTGATGGTTTCCAAGACGCTTGATGTGGTTGACGCCAATACTAAAAAGTCAATGGTTAGCAAGGATAGGATTCTCCGCTGGCGCAGGATCAGTGATCCGGTTGAACTCGAAAACACTACTGCGTGCTTGGTATATTCGAGTGGAACAACGGGGGTACCGAAAGGTCAGTCTCGGCTTAATTGGGACTCAGCTTTTCCTTCTTTATCAAAGTGGTTTTTGGTCATGGGAGCCCGGGTACAAAAGCTACAAGAAAAGAGGGTTGTATACCAGCCTGAAGTATTTACTAATGGTGGTTGCTGTAGGCGTCCGAATCACCCATTCCAACATCGTCTCCAATCTCTGCCAAATGGCATTCCACTTCGACCATTTCGCCAAAAAGGCCATCGCCGAGGGCACGTACCTGAAGATGCCCGGGATCATGCAGAACGCCGTCGTTCTGGGCATCACGGTGCAAACCATGATGGCCCTACAGACAGGAATGCAGGTCTTCATGATCCCCAAGTTCGACTTTGATTTTCTGATGGCCTGCGTGCGGAAATACTCGCTGTCGACTTTCTTTTTGGTGCCGGCTGTGTGGAACCGCATTGCGACCGAGTGCACAAAGGACGATCTTGCTGGGTTTCGATTCTGCATGAGTGGTGCCTCGCCGTTACCGCTCGCCTTGCAGTTGAAGGTCGAAGACATGTTGCCTCCCGGAGTCATGCTTAGAGTCAATTGGGGAATGACTGAGACCACGACGGGTGCGTCTCAACCGGCTCCCGAAGAAGTCGATAGGGACGGCGCCTCGGGAAGGCTGTTGCCGAATATGCAGGCTGTCATATTGGGAGCCAAGGGGGAGAAGTTGGGTGTTGGTCAGCGGGGGGAATTGTGTGTCAAAGGTAGGTGAAGTAACTGACTGAGTGACTAAATGTCGAACATTTCGACTACCACAGCAGAAAAAAAAAAGAAGAATCTTGTGGTACTAAGCATGGTGTTGACATGTATCTCACCCGAGCGCAGCACTCCTTCCGCCCAAGTGGATTTCATTGCCTCCTGCGTGTGCCAATGCCATCTGAGGGTCAATATTAATAGCTGACCTTTATGCCTTCCGGCCAGGTCCCAATGTCATCCGCGAATACTTCAACAACCCGGAAGCCACCAAGGCAGCCTTCACCCCTGACGGCTGGTTCCGCACCGGCGACATTGCCTACTTTTCAAAAGACGGCAAATTGTTCATTGTTGGACGATCCAAGGTGAGATGAACTCCCGGTCCAGTTGATTCTTGTGAGGGCTGTTGCTCTAGCAGTCATCTCAAAGCAAGCAGCAAGCTGACAGCCAGTTTGTGACCCTCCTAGGAACTATTGAAATATAAAAGCCATCAGATCTCCCCTTCTGAACTCGAGGCTATCCTCAGCCAGTGTCCCGGCATCGTTGATGTCGGGGTCATTGGAGTACCTGACGGCAACGGCAACGACCTTCCACGCGCATACATTGTCCAAAAACCAAAGAACTCTCAATCTGGCGGCAGTGATATATCATCATCATCTACCCTCCTGTCGGAAAAGGATGTTCACGATTTCCTCAATGCCCGTGTGAGCGTGTACAAGCGGTTACGGGGTGGGGTCCGCTTCGTCGACGAGATTCCACGGAACGTCAATGCAACTATCATGCGCAATGTGCTGAAAGAGTGGGTGGAGAAGGAACAGGAACAGGAACAGTCGTCTGCGTCTGTGCCGGCGAGAGCGAGGTTATAACAGCTACGACGGCCGAAGTACTGATTGAGGTGTGGTGGTCACGAGAAAAACTGGAGATAGACATTCAAGAAGACTGAAGTCATCCTCCGGCTCGAACAAGCTGTCTAGTATGGCGAAGAGCTAAGGAGAGCCTTGCCTCTTCATCTGTAGGCTCGGGTCGGCTTACCACCACAGAATAAAGATATCACGTATCATGATTTCCTCCCAACAAACGCCACATAAGGCTGAGCTCTGCCACTGTATTGTATGCCCCCATCGCTTTGGAGAAGCACATAGGCGTAGTGACTACCTACATGTGTCGAGTGTCCTGTCTTATCTTGTGCAGACGGGATGTAATGGAAGGAAATGCGGATCGTGGCTCCAACCCACCACAATAATGTGGGGTCGAAGAAGAATACCCCTTTCGGACTTACAGTAGTATTTCCGCCATATCACTGGCCGTGGGAGAAAGCGATTCTAATTCATTCGTTGTCAAGCCTAAGGTAGTCGATATACCCCAATAATAATAACAACAACAAGAAGACTCGTCTCATGGGTCCGCCTGTAACTGTTGGGCCTTGTATCTTGACACCACAAATCCAGTCAGTGATCTGGGTACCTAGGCAAACACAAAAGACATTGAGTCCTGTAACTGCCATCGACATTCAAACATAACAACAACTGCCACCCTCCCCACTCCAGCGTAGTTTATTACCCGACAAACCTCATATCCGTCGAGTGTGTCGTGTCGTCTAGATCTTATCAAGTAGAGTATGGACCCAGCCAAGTTCGGCATCTCGACGATCCCATTGAACCACGCGCCCTATGGCCCGATCAAGCCGGAGAATCTGAAAGGTGCAAATCAGGGCAAAGTCGCCGTGGTGACTGGTGCTGCGAGAGGTGAGCAGTAACAAAAGAGCAAAAAATCCCAATCCGACTCCAATCCATCGTTCTGGCGTGACCATAACGACTTTCCTCCTAGCATCATCGGGAAGTGGTCCAAACTAAATCTGACAATCCATCCTCCAGGAATCGGTCGAGCAATTGCCGAAAATCTAGCAAACTCGGGCGCAAATGTCGCCATCATCGATCTGCTCAAGGATGAACTGGGCGAGACGAAATCTCTGTGTGAGAAACATGAGGTCAAGGCGAAGACGTACGCGTGCGATGTCACGGATGTGGATCGTCTGCGAGCCGTGTTGAAGGAGGTCGAGAAGGATTTGGGGCCTGTTGAGTAAGTCTGCTTGCCACCAGTCTGTTGCACTTAGTCAGTCAATGGATCGTCCTCATTGTTTTCTGGTGCTGTCTTTTTCCTTGGCCTCCTTTGACATTGTTGTATTGATATACTCTGCCACTGCGTTACGGCATTCCTGTCTCCCCATGTGGGGGTGCTTTTACCAGTTTGTAGGGAGACCAAGGGCCCAAAGCTGACCCAGTTTCACTTTCAATTTTAGCATCCTCGTCAACAATGCAGGAGTATCACCAGGAAAACCGCAGTGGATGGAAACCTTTGAAGAGTTCTGGAGGACCATCGAAATCAATTTCAAGAGTGTAAGTGAAGAGCACCTTTCATTTTTCCCCATAGGACTTATTCGCTCTGCTTCAGTCAAACGTGGTTCCGATTATACTGCCCTTCTTGATTCTGACACTCATGACTTTGTGTAGGCAATGGTCACCACGTGGGCAATCCTTCCAGGCATGCGTGAACGCAAGACCGGGATAATCATCAATATTGCCTCTCGGGCGGCAACGGTCGATTTCCCTTTCGGTTTAGGGTACAACTCGAGCAAAGCAGCCGTGGCACGGGCGACGTCGACGTTGCAGGAAGAAATCGATTTGGACGGGTTGGGAGAGACGGTGCAGACGTTTGCGCTGCATCCTGGTGGGGTGTATACTGCTATGGGGAGTGGTGAGTGTTCTCAATTCCGTCCCGATCACTACAGCAAGAACCAGCCACTTGACTTGAATATTGTTGTTTCCTTTCGTTTCCGCTGCCTGTGGACAGTGAACCGCCACATTGATCTCACTTGAGAGCTAACCAAGAGGCACTGTGAATAAACAGCCGAACCACGTCCCGAACTGCTCGAAAGATATCCCCAATTGACCCAACACGGCACAGACTTCAAATCCCTCTTCAAGGACCCTCCCGAATTGTGCGGCGCCACATGCGCATATTTGGCCACAGGCAAGGCCAAGGAGATCAGGGGAATGTACTTCGACTGTCGGCAGGATGTTGAACGTGTGTGCTCGGTTGGAAGGGAGAAGTTGCTCCAAGACTTTTTGTATAGATTGAAGATCGACTTTATCGACGGGTACAAGAACGAGCCTTGAGATGGACTCTGGATACCGTACAAAAAAACAAAAACCTTGCAGTCTCAGTAGATGCCGGGTATGATCCTCCACTTCACTCTTTGACAATACCGTTCCCAATCTTTGCCATATTTCTTTCGACACTTCTCCTCGTCGCGCATCTCTCGGTGAACAAGCAAAACCCCAAAGTAGACAATGTAAAAGTAAGTGAAGATCATTCCCCAGCCTCGCGCATCCCCTTGCACAACTTCCTGAGTAACAGCACCGGTGACTGGATTCTGGTACTTGTTGATGACATAGCCTGCCACACCGGTAGGCAAACAGTAGCTCCAGGACATGATCCAGTCGCCCAGATAGTTGATGTGTCGGGCACGGCCCCACCAGCCAGAAACAAGTAGTTTGGAGCCGGATTCCGTGGTGATGGTTTCGAGATGCGACACGCGAGGGTCGTTAGGGTTGGTCCGGAAGCGATTCTTTTCGTTGTTTGTGGACCGGAAGATGTAGTAGCCTAGTCCTTGCGCTGCTAGAACACCGGCGATTCCAGTAATTCCCAGAGTCAGAGGATAGACGGCAAGATACCGAGCTTGAGTGCTGTAGATGAAAGGTACCCAGACGAGATCGCCAAATGAGAGCATGAAGCCAAACCCATCATTGATGATATCAATTGTGGTTAGAATCGCGGGTTCCATATAGAGAGCATCCATGACATAGAAGGACTGGAAAAGTGTAATGAGTATGATGGAATCGCTCACAAAGCCATGGACTTTGTATTGGTGAACAATGAAGGCCAGGTCAAGAATGACCCAACCTAGTAGACCCGGTCTCATCTCGTTGAAGACTTTGATATCAATCACCTGGCCTCCTGCAATCGGAATCCAACTAGGAACTGTGATGCGAGGGTTCAACTCTCGACCCATAAAATAATCGTACAACATGTTGCCCGTCTGGGCTCCGAGAGACAATTCTCGATTCTCTGGATTCGGCTGCCCGGGATGAGGGACATTGAAGGAGGCCAGGTAGGTATAGATAGCTTGGAATGTCGCGATAATCAGGTTGGCCGTCAGCACTTGAGGCAGATTGTCCCAGATGAAGTCCCACACGACAAAGTCCGTGCCTTGGATGGCAGTACCAATCGCAAGTCCGGCGAGAATCAACACGGCCGACTTGAATGAATTGAACTTGTAGTGGTGTCTTCCCCCTGTGCTAAGGGTTATGCCATCCGCCTCTTGGCCAGGGAGCAACAGCTGTAATGCAAGCAATAGCGCATAATATGCAAGCACCCAAGCCGTGACCTCCAGGTCAAACAAACCTATCAGGCCATTTTCCGGCCAAGGTGTTTGCTGCTTCAATTTCTCGAGGGTCAAGGTCTTTGGGTGTAGCAGGGCCGGGGCAGGACATCCAGACACGTCGTTGCAAAGGAAAATGCTCGCGTAGACGAGCACAGGTAGGCCGAAGGTGAGGACTGCAGCACCGAGACTGTTCCAATGGTTACTTCAGGGAATGTGCGAGCCATGGTGTCCTTCTTTTGACTTACGGGCCTCCAAACTCATATCCGCGCTTCTCCATTGGAGCAGGGGAGGACTTCGTTTTTCTGGATCCCATGGCGATTTGGTTCAGTACCGGTGGAATGGCACTGCAAGAGGAAATGAGTCTCGATTCTTGCCCGCCGGGAGACCAAATATAGGACGGACTGGTAAGGGGCACTGAGAAAACGACGCGACCAAACGCAGTGTTTACCCGGATAAAAAATAAACCAGTTAATCGCCGGGACGTTCTCCTGCCGGATGAGATCATGCCGCTGCTGTGAGTCTTGGAGATCAATCAGGCATACCTAACAAGCCACAAGCCACAAGCCTCAGGCACCTCAGGGCTCCTTACGGCGGGCGCGATGCCAGGTGCCAGTGCCGGCTCCCGACTGCCAGCCACCAGCCACCGACTGCGACCAGCCTCGTTCCATCCTTCGGAGGACACTGGCACACCGGTAGAAGGTGCAGGTGCAGGTACTGTACCCTCAACACCACGGATTTGACAGCTGAGGATACTGTACAGTAGTACACTGTACCCTGGCTGTGCCGCCTCGCTGCCACTTGAAACCTGCGACAGCCGTGTGACACCTTCATCCACCCGCTTCGACTACCAGGGGTGCTCATCATTCACTATCATTTACTGTATCTTCTGCCCCTGCAGGCTGCAGCCATTCCCGGCCGGTTCAACCATAATAATACTTGACCTGGTCGATCATTTTTCGAGCCGACTGCCTGCGACGCCCACCACAGTTGCTACCATTTTGCCGTGTTGACAGAAACACACACCTCAGGCCTCCAGCAAATTTGTCCTTGATCGCATTGTCCGTTCCTTCCGATCATTCTTACTCTGACCGAGAGTCGCAGTCGTCCGATTTCCCTCGTTGTCCTCTCGCCGTGTCCTGAAGACTCGTCGGACCCCATTCGGAGGACCATCGTCTTACCTCCATCTCGTCCACGTCGAAACCATGCACTTCCAGGACGCAGTCTTTCTGCTCCTCCTCTCAACCCTCCCTTCCAGTATAGCAGCCACAAGCGATACGAAGCCCCCTCCGAAGCCATGTACGATACACTCCCCGTCCACGGGGTCCTTCTTCGACCTGCGACCTCTACAGCTAAGAGTCGACGGGACCAAGTATCAGGTTGCGAGCAATGAATCGTACCACGTGAAAGGATACGACTACCCTGCCAACTTTACCATGAACTTCTGTGGACCAGTCGTCGAGAACCTGGATGATGTCGAAGGGATTCCCACCACAAAGATCGCCAACGTTTCGGCGTTCTACAAAGATCACCGTGGGGACATCTATAGCATTGGTCAACAGAACGACCAACCCCTGTTCCGGGGAAAGAAGCTCCTTATGAACTACACCATGGGCTCACCCTGTCCAGATCTCGACGAGGACGGCCGTCCGAGAGACTTGGATTCGACGGCGAACACCGGCAGAAGGAGGCGCAAATCTACACTCTTGTCCTTTATCTGCGACACATCACCTTTACTTTCGACACGGCCCGCCATCTCCTTCCTCGGAAGCCCTGATCATTGCACGTACGTGTTTGAAGTCCGCTCCCGCTATGCGTGCGGTGGGACCACCTCATCTGGCGAAAAGGGCACTCTCGGCCCCGGCGCCGTGTTCGCTGTTATACTGGGTATCGCCATGTTGGTGTATTTGATCGGAGGTGTCGTGTATCAACGCAATGTCATGCATCAAAGAGGATGGAAACAACTACCCAACTACGCAGTGTGGGCAGGGTTGTTCAGTTTTATCTCGGTAAGTTCCTTGAGGATTTCTTCCTTTTCTTGCTCGCCTTCCGTGCCATGTTCCCTTACACACTGCGAACTACAGAGGCCTCTTTCCGTGCCGCGCCGAAAGCGAAATGCATCCAGTGCTCGCAGTTACGATTGGAAGGCCGACCTGCCGTGACCAAGGCTGACATAATATTGCCTCTGATTCTCTAGGACATGTTTATCATTCTATTCTCCTCGTGCACACAACGACTACCCGGCGGGATCACGCAATTGTTTGCAGGTCGGCGAGGTTATCACCGCGTGGGTACCGATGACGCCCGTGGCCATGGACGAGGGCGCGCCCCGGATGACGAGAACCGTCTGATCGATCAACTCGATGAGGAATGGGAAGATTGATCGAAGGCATCGTGCTCGGCGCCACCCCCAGAGTCCGTCTCACGAGTTCTGTGAGAGGGGCAATCTTGGAAGGGACAAATTTGGCAGCTTTGAGTTGGCATTTAACATATGTAGACTTTTTCTCATGAGCACGTCTGTGGAACTACCGACCGACGTACCACTTATGCGTATCCGACAAGGACAGACCAACATTACCCACTGCCGCTCTGATGGTCTGCATATTGTACTCCTCCTCCGTCCCCGCCATCACCGCCAGTCATGTCGCCAAAGTCCATTCCATCCAACGCCGTATTGCCGAAATCTTCCATACCGCCGTAACTGGGTGGCTCAATGTTGAATGGCAACATCCAGGCCGAGGAACTCGTGTCCATCATTCCACCCGCACCTCCCGTGAGGGGATCGTGCATTCCGAAACCATGGACATCCAGTTGATCCCAAGGATTGGAGCCGCCGAATGTGCCCATCGAGGGTGAACTGGGGTTGACGTTGTCCATGGCGGAGGTTCCGGTATTGGTGTGTGTCGAGGGATCGATGTTTGCATATGCTCCAAATACCATTTGTCGGTCGATGGCTGGGAGGGTAGACACGAAATGAAGGCCTAGATGTGGCGATGCCGTCGTCCCATAGCTGTATGGGTCATTTGAATGAGGTTGACCACCGGGGAATTGTGGCGTGTGATACAGCGAGGGCGACGTGATGTCGAAGTCGGCAGGGTTGAACGTGCGTGCTAGGTCGAGGTCTGTGGCAGGACCAGGCAACTGCTGCTTAGGTTGCTGTTGTGGTTGTTGCGGTGGTTGTGGCTGTGATTGCGATGGGCGGCGTACAGACTTGGACGCAGCTCCAGCTGCTGTAGACGAAGCAGAAACAGAAGCAGTATTTCCCGCCGTTGTTGCCGTTCCACTGTTGCCCTTTTTGTTTTCTGCCACGCTTTTACCGCGCCGTCTGGCGACCTTCTTGCCCCGGGCTCCGCCTGGCCCATCGTCCGCCTTGCTGGGAGGACTGAGGCTGGCAAAGAACTCCTCAACCGACTGTAGATCGCTGCGTTGGGACATGACGGCCTCCGCGGCGGCACCGCCGGCTTCACGGCGATACTCCAGGTGTGATTTTTCCCACTCGCTCTCGCTGACCCCGTGCGGGTATTTGTCGAACCAGTCGCCGTACTGGAACATGGCCTTGCCCGACCCGGCCGACGATGCGGCCGTTTGCGCGCCTTTATCGTTACCACCACTGCCATCGGCGCCCGGTGTTTCAGACCGAGAGGGTGGATTGGTAGTCAGACCCAGGCCGAGTCCCGCTGCCGCGTCAAGGTCCAACGTCGAGTTGGCATTGCCGCCGGAGGGATCGCTGCCCGCGGACGGCTGTTTACGAAGCCATGACGAAGACTGCCCTGGGTTGACACCTGGTCTACCCATCTGGGACTGGCGCAAAACGAAGTCCGCAAAGGCGCGATAGTTGTCCTTGATCGATTCGGCCATGTAGTGGAACATGCCCCAATATCGCTTCATGCGAGTCAAGTATTTGTAGTTATGGCGCAGATTCTCCTTGGACGAGGCCTCGAGGCCGGGATTCTTGCTGAAAATGCCCCAGACGTGCACGGTAGCCGCGGCATATGCGCAATAGCCGGCAAACGGCACGGTAAAGGTATGCCCTGCGGAATCGGCTATAATAGTGGATATCAGATTGGCCGACTCAATGACCGTGGTGGCGGACGTGCTGAGAAACGACTTGGGCATGCCCGTGGCCATGAGATGATGGTGGTGCGGCCGATGGGACGGCAGGGTCGGGATGGCAAAGCGATGCAGAAACAGAGACGTTTGCGCAAGCACGATGTGCAGAAACAGAAACTGGTTTGCAAGCCGCTCAGAGGCGTGCATGGCCAGATTCTCGGCGTTGTAGGTCAGGTCGGGCGGTAGAGACGATTTCAGCTGCTGGATCTGTCGCTGTAGCGCGGCGAACTGCGACAACGGGTCCCAGATCGGATGAGGGTCTTTCTCTCTGCCTCCCAGGTTCAAATACTTGACAATCCTTTTCCACAAAACCACGCCGCGGACAATGTATGCTGCTACTCCCATGTTGGCTTTCGCCTCGGCCGCGTCCTCGGCTGCGGCAGCTGAGGCATCAATGTCCACAAGTTGCGAGCTATTCCTGCTGCCATTGTTGCGTTTCTTGGACATCGGTACGTTGCCGTCCAAGTCTTCGGTCAGACCAGGGACTTCCATCTGGAAATGGGATTCTTTGATGGGTAGTTGGATCTGGAAGTAGTCTTCGTTCAGGAATGAAGGCCGTTCACTCCCGGAAGAATTAAACGTATCCATTAGGTAGCAGGCCCACATTGTTCTTCGACGGATTTCGCGATCTGTAAAGGACAGTTCAAGCGGTTTGGGCCCTTTTTTGTTATTGTTGTTATTGGAATTGTTGGCGACGTCGCTGTTGGAGGAATTGGCGATTTGGATCCTCCCAAGCGGATCATGATCGAGCTCACGGTGCAGTTGCAGCGCATAGCCCATTCGCATGGCCTGCCCTCCGAACGACCACGACAGACCTCCCTCACACGTGCCGAAATAGTGGAGGCCCAACATCAACATGGCCGTGAGGATGGTTATGTTGGGTTCGTAATGGCGCTTTTCAACGATGCGTCGGGCAGGAGTCGCCCATTGTTCACCTCGCAGAAAGGCCGGTTCGGTGCTGACTTGCGGGTGGGTTGAGAAGCGAGCGGAGATGGCGCACACTGCTAAGATCAGCACAGGCGGGATCGTGCCCGCCTTTAGTTTGCGCATGAAACTGGGTTTGTGCAGTAAAAGATACGATTGACCGTAGACGCAGTCGAAGAACACCTCGGCCAGATGTTCCTGTATATGTTGTGGTGGTAGGGATTCAGAGCCTTCAATGAATAGTTTGTTTTCGCCCTCGCGCTGCTTGCGCAAATCTACCGCTGGATCGAACAGAGTCGATTTGTTGTCCCTGCCAGTCCTCCAATCGTTCAGTTCCTGGGCAAAGGCTTCGTCTGCTGATCGTTTCTTCGGCTGCTCTTTGTCCTTCTGCTTCTTGGGTGGCTGGCCAGGCAGAGGGGGTCGCACAGATGCTCGGCCAGTCGTGGATAAGTCCGGAAGCTCGTCCTTGGGAATGACGCGGATGACTCGGTCTTCCATCCGTTTCAGACGTTTGTCGAGCATGGCCATGTAATCAGTGCGAGGAGCGGCTTTTCGCGTGGTCACTTTATAGACGCACGGTATCCTGGCCCGGAGACAGTGCTTGCAGGCGGGCTTTTCGCCCGAACATCTGATTTTCTTACGTCGACAGGCGATACATGCCAATGGCAACCTTTTCCTTTCTTTGCCAGCCTTGGTCTTCAACTCACTCCATGCTGGCGCCGGCTTCTCTTCTTCCGCTGAAGATTTCTTGCCCGCATCCTGCTCGGTTGCCTTTTTAGGCGAAGATTCGGCATTACTCACTGCTTGATTCGCCGACCCAGTTGTCGTCCATTGTCTCAGGGCTGCAGCGCCGAAGAGATCGTGGTCAAATGCCGAGTCGATGCTTGCCAGACTGGCACGATGCTGCGGGCTGGGTACTCTACCAGATGGGAACCGGGAAGCCTCAGGGCCTGAGCCTCGGTTTGGAAGGCTTTGGCCATGACTCAGCCGAATGTCCGGGGGGTATTCGATCCCGCTATTGCTGCTGCCATTGGGACTGCCCGTGAAGGGAAAATTGAAGTCGATAGAGCTGGGCGATGAAGGGTCAAAGACGGATGGATTAGACGGTGGCGCCTGTGGTTGAGCGGTCATGATAGAGTCGATGCGAGGATTTCGAGCATCAGGAATAGTATATCCAGAGTTCGAAAACGAGCCGTGGCGATGACCGGCCTGTGTGTATCCGGCCTGATACGATGAGCTTGTCATGGTGCCGCCGCGATCAATGGCAAAGTCGCGGAATGGGATAGCATCACCTCATCCTCGCACCAGCAGACAGCAATTGAAACGAGGTTATCCCTAGGAACCGCGCCGACCACTACTAGAATCGGGTTCCAAAGTTTCCGCAGCCGAGAACAAGAGAACACAGAGAAGCACAACAGGCCAGTGGTTACAGACGGGCCAAAAGGCTAAGTAGAAGCTCGTCTGTTTCTTTGCGAGAATGGCAAGGCCCTCGAAGACGCGAGCAGAGATTGCGGAGATCAAGATGTTGGATGCCGTGTGTGGCGGGCGGCGGTCTCTGATGAGCGATGTGGGAGGAGACGAGCAGAAGCGACCCGCATTCGATTGGCCTGGAGTTGCAGGACACGTGAACAAGGATGTGCGAAGTCGTGATGGAATAATGCTGCACGGTCGAGCTACTAGCACAATAATGTGGTAGTAGTGGACTCGGTCGTGCCTGGCAAGGCAGGCTAAATTCTGCTCGTGTTGCGCGCAGAGTTTGCGCTGAGCTTGAAGTGGAACGGCCGACAATAACGTGCAATAACAGACCGCGGTTCTCAATCGAAGAAACCGTGCAACAGACGCAGACTTAGAAGCAGAGATTGAGAAGAAGAAAGAGCTCCGAGGAGGAGATGAAATTGATGACAACGATGGCAATGATGATGCTGTTCGTAATGGTGGCTGGCGGCTGCAGGATTGATTGATCGCTGGATGGAGGGATCATGGGAACTCGAGGCGGAGGAGTTGAAGCTGAATACGGGGGCAAATGGCGGGAAAATGGGCTGCTCTTCGAGCTGGACAGCCCGTGGGGGATAGTGGGTTGGAGCCTACGGGGTCCGGAGATTTCTGCTTTAGGGACTGTCCAGGCATGCAGATGTCGCGCCGACGATGCCTATCATCAAGCGCCAATTTATCAGCCACGGGCTGCCAGGGTGCCTAACTTGAAGTAAGTGAATCACTGAGATTGTCTAGAATGCCCATGGAATCCACTACTACGTCTCCTAGACCCTGTGTAGCATCAACTTTAATCGAGTCGGTTCTTGTAGGCGGTACCACTGTACACCGACATTCGCATGTAAAATAGCTCCCGTCTCTAGATACCTGAGGGAGCTAAGAGGACGGCCACCGGAATGCTTCGCGTGTCGCTTGGACATCTACCTAGCTAGACAATCTATCGGTGACCGACCACCTTTTGCACCCAGAGAAGGGCGTTCAACGGTCAAGTGCTGCCTGGGGGTAACCCCGGCTGGCGTGGGCACCTTTTCAATTCTCCCCGCAGCTTATTAATGTTCTTGTCATACATGGGGCGGCCGTCACCTCCTAAAATGTTTTAGTGCTGTTGCTCCTGTCTGACAACTTGTTAGGGCCTGTTCGACAAGCGCAACTTGAAGTGCCAACTAGCATTAATTATTACCACCAACCTCGAGCTTTCCGCATTCAGGCTCCAACTGTCAGCCGAACCCCCTGCCACCCAAGCCACCACAAGACTCTCATCCATATCAACCAAACTCCCGCTCGTGGCCCCTCAGGACCTAAACGCTCGTTTCACACGTTCACCACCTGATCCGTCGCAACTGTAAGCAGGCCCGGCGCAGCTACATCTCGCTTTGTTCAGTTCAACTTTGAAATGAGTTTAGGTAGGTGTAGCGCTCAAAAGAACCCGGTCTCGGCGCTCTTCTGTGTGATCAGGTGACCTGCATTAATGGTCTCACTGGCCGGCACTGGCACTGCAGTGCAACTGCATCACTTTATTATTGACCCAAATGATTTCTCCCCTTCACATCTGGACGGGTGCAGCAACCATCACCAACATACAAGTTCTCTAATTCTACAGAGGAACATGATTGCCGTGCTTGACGGCCCTCGAACAATTTCTGCAGTTTGAGCCGACGCTTCCCGTCATGGAAACAAACAACTCTCCAGATAATTTCGTTCCGCCCTCACCTCATTCCTTTCCCACGTTATGACTCCAATAGCTGAGCGGGCCGCTCGCCTTGCTCTTTCGACGTTCGATGCCCTGCCTCAAAAGTGTAAGCCCCGCACTCTTCCCGATGGCAGAAGAGAATGGACGCCAATGGCTGCCGTTGTGCTGGCTCGGGCGGGTGACGATCCCGAGTTGGATTGCGTGGCTTTGGCGACAGGGACGAAGTGTCTCTCTTCGTCCGCTCTTCCAGATTGTCGAGGCTTGGTCCTCCATGATTGCCATGCTGAAGTCCTGGCCTTGCGTGGGTTCAACTACTGGCTTCTATCTGAAGTTGAGAAACTCCTTGAGAGTCCAGAATATGAATCTCCATTTCTGGAATCAGCAGACCACTGTAGCGCAGATGACCAGTTCGTGCTCCTCTCAACGCCACGCGCCCCATTCCGTCTCAAACCCACTGTCATGGTGTACTTTTTCACCACTGAAGCTCCTTGCGGCGACGCGTCCATGGAAATCTTGATGAATTCCATGCCGCCTGGCGAAGCAGCACCTTGGCCCGTTGAGGAGGATGCTACCACAATTCTCCAAGGCCGAGGTCACTTCTCGCTGCTAGGCCATGTGCGAAGGAAACCCGCTCGTGCTGATGCCGAACCAAGCTTGTCCAAATCTTGCACCGATAAGCTCGCTTTGAAACAATTCACAAGCTTAATCTCCTTCCCCGCGGATCATCTTGTCCAGAGGACGGAAAATGCCTTTATTCGTTCTGTTATTGTGTACTCCGATCAATTCAACTATGACGGGTATGCAAGGGCGTTTTCCCGGTCGGGTAGGCTATGCAAACTTGAGCATCTAGGCCAGTTCTTCACCGTTGAAGCACTCAATCCAGATTTTCCACGTTTTCCCTTCAGTAAGAGTAACACGAAACAGGAGCTCAGAAGTGGATCCAAGTCCAAAGCAAGCAATATATCAGCTCTATTCATCCGATGTTCTCAAAGGGGGCACAAGGACGTGCTGGAGATATTGGTCAATGGCGTTAAACAAGGCTACAAGCAATGGGACGAAAGACAAGGCAAAGCAAGTGTGGTGTCCCGCAAAAGGCTCTGGCAGTACGCCCTCGAAATTGCCAACACCGTCCACAGCCCTAAGAATCCATCTGGCAGAGACGATCGTCGAGCGATGAATGATGAAGAATGGCACCTGTCCCTAGAACGATCATTGGGCCAGGCGACCTATGGTGCTGCGAAATCTACGACTTCTCGATCCACATATATAGAACGCAAGCAGCTTGTCACGGACTTTCTGGGCAATTGGTCCAAGAATCAAGGAGATGATGGATGGTCCTTGTAGTAGCAGCCAGCAGGCGGTCGCTTTGTTCCATATGGCCATTGACGCCGGTCGTCTTGCTCGACTATGCCGCCATCATTTGAAGCAAAGTAAGGTGGCCTTATCGTGAACGCTTGTTCTATGCCATACACAACACAAGCAACATAACAAGCGTCCCTTTCATTGCAACAAGGGTTAATTTGTTGGTGGACGCGCCAGTCCCGACGGCAGTGCCCATGTACTGAACGGATCAATGTATTGACTGTTGTTGCGGTTTTGGCCCATGGCAAAGATCTTCAATGCCATGGATCTAGACCTGGAAGAGGTACCAAGTCGAGCCATCATATCGCTCAATTGTGTGATCATATATTTATCTATCCAACTTTTGCTGCTCCACCATTCCCGTGTACCTTGCCGTCTATTCTAGCCTCCGAGTTGGTGTACACTATTCCTCTGCAGGGTTGGTGTAGTAGATCGTTGTCCTTTGAAAGAATCACCTGGTATATCCAGTGGCCTCGTCCGCACGAGCCATGCAGGATTCCAGGGTCGACCAGAAGCGATCGAGATCGAGAGACCTGGGAATGGTGATACCGATTCCATTTCTCGCCTTGGTCGCCACGGTCCGGCCGACTTGTTCGCCTTCCAAGACGACATCGACATTCCATCTCTCGCCGCCGCGGTCGTCGAAGGCTATTCTCTTAGCCGGATCTGGAAGCGCGCCTAGCAGAACCGTAACTGCAATGGGGTCATGCAGGGGCGGACCCTCGGTCAAGCCAAATACATCGGCATACGTCTGGGCGAAGAACATGAGCAATTCAGTAAACATGGTGCGGAGCCTTGTGGGGGGCTGGAGTTGAGGTTTGGAAGGGTCGCTGGAAGAGCTGGGGTCACGCGGTTGTCTATGGCCATGCAGCAACAAATCGCGGACCTGTTGCGTTGCATAGGCCTGGTGGGTGAGGTCGAGGGGTATCAGAGTGGTTTTGGCCTGCAGCACAGGATTCTGCAGGACGGCGCGCGCCGCCTCCGGGTCGGCCCAGATGTTGAATTCAGCCCAGGGAGTCCGGTTTCCGATGCGGTCGTGAGTGGCGCCCGTGATTGTGTTGAGCTGCGGCGGGCCGCCCATGGTGACGTGGGTGAAGTCTCCTCCGATGGATCCGCCCATGATGGACAGGCCAGCGACGTGGTTTACCAAATCCGGATCCAGGGCGAACAGAAGCGCGACGTTGGTCAATGGTCCCGTGGCGACCAGCCAGGCAGTGTTCGCGGGTTGAGCCCGTAATGAGGCGCGCATCTCCAAAATCGCATTGCAGTGAGCCAGGGCAGAGCGCGACGGCTCGGGCAGCAGTCCACTACCGGCGAGCCCACTGGCGCCGTGGATGTCGCTGGCCGTGTGGATCACCCGGCAGAACGGGTGCGCAGTGCCTGGAAACACTGGCACTCGCGGCTTGCCGATGGCTTCGAGTACGCTGAGTGCGTTATGCGTGGTTTGCGACAGTGACGCGTTGCCATGGACGGTGCTCAGCCCCAACAGATGCAGGGATGGGTGGTACGTCGCCAGGAGAATGGCATATGCATCCTGAGCATGGTAGATGTTTCTCTCGATCAGGTTTGCTTCAAGGAAGAATGGGGGATGAAGAACGGCGAGGAGGAAAACTCACATCATGACCTGTCATGGCCACGAGTAAGAAAGAGCTGACCGGACCATAGCGGATGTCAAATGAAGAGGGCACATATATCGTTTAGATATATGTAGCAGAGAGACGGCGAGGGAAAGTGTGGGTTGTCGCCTACCTGGGTCGCAGTCTAACCATAGGGGGATTTTGTGATGTGTGATATGATGCTCACCCATCTTGTAATATCGACTCGGTGAATATGGACATGGATGAATGAAAGGAGGGCATATTACGAGGAACGTGTAAGCAGAGACGGAGACGGATGCCAGTGTTGGCTGTCAGGCTGAGGCCCGGCCCGATTGCTCCAAAGAGGGAAAGTCGCGCGACAGCATAAATTGACCGCGGACTCGACCGTGACCCGCGATAAAAAAAAGTCCATCTCCGAGTCTGTCGCAGTGGCAGCGATGAGCGTGTGCCAAAAGCGACTGGCGCACTAGATGAATGTGTGATACTGTTCGCCCTGCTCAATCTTTATCTTGCTCGTCACTATACCCGTCGCCCGGGTTGCTGTTGTCGCACGCAGCCTCGAGGAGTCGACCTACAGGCCAATCATAGAATGACACACGTCTCTTTCGACCTCAATTGACACCGGCAACACGAGTTCCACCCCAAGTACAAAGATCGACTGCCAGTGTGCGTTTGTAACGGCTTGCGGCCTGTCCCTGCATTGCCACCGTGGCCGTGCCACTAGACAGTCGACACAGGCCCCGAAGTTGGCGCCCAACGCTGCCGGTCTGCCAGTGCGTTGCAGCCCATTGCCGACTCCTACAAAGATCCAGCGCAATGCGCCATCCCACGCCATGGTTTTGAGATGACCGCTTCCTCTCCGTCGCGAACTCCCTTTCCGAGCGTTGCGACCAAGGCTTCCACCACTGCCCAGTCGTCACAGGTGAATGTGGCAGCTGAGAATAAGCAGTCGTCCTCCAGTCCTCGTCCGGCCTCTCAGGTAGACGTCGCAGCCGCTACCAAGGCTACCTCTTCCGGCTCTCGTTCATCCTCCCGATCAAATATACGAGCAGACCACAAGGTCACCTCCACTCCTCAATCATCCTCTCGCAGCGCTCTAAGTGCCAGGCCTCGGCAAGATGCGGCAGCTACAGATCCAACTTCTGAAAGAGCAACGATCGCCCTGATCAGGAGAACATTGGTGGCCGAAGGGGCCCTGGGAACCGACTCAAAGGGATCGTCGACGGCCGGAATCGAAGGAATTCTACCTCCGCTTACCAGTTCAAACGAGGTCGATGTGCAGCTATATGCCATCATCGCCATTGTGATCAAGGAATATGTCAACTCGTGGTATTCCAAGATCACTCCGGACCGTACCTTCGTGGATGAAGTTATCCAGATTCTGGCACATTGCACAAGGGCAGTCGAACAACGAATACGCCAGATTGATATGACAGAATTGTTGTTACACGAGTTGCCTGTCTTGGTAGAAAGACATGTTAATGGTAAGTCTCAAGTCTAGACCTGAAAGTCATCTTCGTGTTGACACAATCGGCTATCGTAGTGTACCGCACCGCCGCAACCGCGCAGGCGGAGGTCCCCTACGGAGAAAGCCCTCTGCGGATCTATCACGCCCTAGACCCGCATCCAGCTCTTGACCCTACAGTGCCACCGGAAGAACAACAAAGCTACGAAGCTGCCTATCGACAACTCCTTGTTCAAGGAGCACTTGCCGTCCTTCTCCCAACGGAAGATTTGGCCAACGCTTGTCTCAGAACTCTGGTAGCAGACATCATCGCCGACCTCATCCTTGGCCAGGTACTGGCGCAGAAAATCTGCCAGCCATGGTTCTTACATGGAGTCGTCTCAAAGGTTGCGGAGATTGTGAAATCCCGCCCGACAGCTGCATCTTCCTCCACCGCCGGTCAGCCCATTCCTCCTCAAGACACCCGGCAGAGCCGGCTCGAACAATTTGGCCTATTATCGTCGGATACACCAGGTCAGGACAATAATTCGCCAGCAGGTCACCAATCAGCGCTTAGTGCATGGGTTTGGGGTCTGCTTCAGTACATCTTCGTCGCGTATCAGTTTCTGCGATTCCTTCTCATCGGCCTCGCCCACGCTCAGCATCTTCCCCGAAGAGTCCGCCAACACGAGCGCCATCAAGTCAGCCTCCCCGCCCCAACCCCAGCTTCTGAGAAGTCCTCCCGTGCATCCACGCGGCCCCTAGTCGACGCTGACCGGCGGAGCCCTTGTGCAGTCATCAGTTATAGGGTGTTTGCTTGCATAGCAACAGTCCTCGATCTGGCGATTCGCATGCCGTGGTTGGAGAGCTCGTTCAGCTTCTTTCAGCACGTTCTCAAAGAAGGTCCTGGTCGTCTTGGCGGCCCAAACTCTACGCTCGACAAGTAAGTCGGTTTTCTCTTGCGTTCCTCTGTTTTTTCTACCGTTTGCAAGCATTTTATTTGAGCTTTCCATGTTGGCGTTGTTCTCTCGCATACCAGGCAGCCTTATGACCAGGTCAAGGATGCTTGTCTTTATGAATTCAAATCGCATCAACTCGAGGTCATATGATCTAGCCTGGACAGGAAGCTGGCCAATAGCTCGACATATCAGCCATGTCTCAGGCATGTGCGAGATGCAGATACCCATTTTTGTCATCTGTGTGGGATCCAGGAGGGTGTGGACCCCAAAACCAGCCATATTACCAGATTGATCCCAAATGACCGCCGTTACGTGTCATGACATTACAGCTTGTGTATCGTCACAATGCCTGCAATGGACTCTTACTGGACGGACATTCCCCCATAACTGGTCCAATCCAAACTGGTTTTTGCCAGTCTGACTGCTTACCTGATGGACATCTCGAGCAATCTCCTCTTTGTGGAGTTGGCCGGGATAGCTGCCCTCGCTATCTGTATCTCGATTCGATACCAGATCTCATACATTGGAACCTCGACGAGCCTCATGATCTGTTGTGACATAAATCGTCGAAAAAGCCTGCCAAAAACGAGAACCGGCAACCACGCAGCCAATTACCGGTCGGGATTACCGTATACCTCGTCCATTTTCCAAAGCTGACGCTCGCTTCCAAACAGCGGCATGGTACACTCTTGACATGGTTCAGCCCCACCTTTTGTTTCCCTCGCTCTCCATTACGTTCCCTGTTGGAATCCTTCAGCAACAGACGAGACTAGACGCTCGCCGATGATTTGTTACACGGGCTTTCTTCATTATCATGCCGGGCTCTGAAGCAACCCTGGATCAGACTGAGACATTTGTCGCTCGGCACGGCCACGGCTTTGCCCGAAAGCAACCCATTTTTCCTCCCATGGCCAAAGAGGTACCTTGATTGAAAGTCTTTTTTCGAAAAAATGCCAATCCTGCCAATCTATTGGTTTGTCTCTGGAATTCCTCAGCTGCGCCGTCGGTCTCATGATCGCACTTTCTGCCAGCTTTACCCGTCATTAAAACGACTATTTTCGGCGCATGCAGATGACAAAGGACGCATTTCCATTGTTGAGATAATGTCATTCAGACATTATATTTTACGTCACAACGTTGTGGCAGGCTAGAAAGGTTACACCACACTCCCTAAGGATCCTTGCACGCACCGTTATCTGTCAACCTTTTCCTGTCCTACCTGTCATCATCGTTACTCGGGGGGGTCAATGCATGCTGTTGTGCTACTTCGGACTGGAGACATGACAGGAGACTAGCGCGGACTCCAACCCTTCTAGGTTTGGACCGAACTTGCCATGTTGGGGTTGGGCAGCCATGTCGCGACCTCCAACAGAGTGAAACCCCCTCGCGAACCAGAGCTTGTTGACCCGTGGCGCTTCGAAATCTACCTTTACTCGCCATCCATAGTCTTGTCGGTGGATATGCCACACTATACTCCCTGAGTCCTGCAGGAGTTTGGTTCTGAACGTTAAGCTTGGACCTTGATCCTGGCTGCTGGAGTTCTCGACTTGCCGTGTGTCTGTATGCGTGGTGGCAGGTTTTGGCCTCTGATCCGAGCTCTCGCCATCAACCAACTTTCCTGGACCAGGACTCCATCACTGGACTGGGTGCAGTGTCTACACGGAGAAGCTCAGGCAGGTTGCATCCGTGTCGAACTTCACCTTGAAGCATGCGGAAGCCACTCATGTGAACACCGTCCTCGGGAAAGGGCCCACATGGCATTTTAGGGATATTTTGCCCTCGGCACGGCCCTTGCTCTACTAAAAGACGAGTGCCGTTGATCGGCATCAAGGGGCCGGTCACGTGAACGAACTGGGACATCAAAGGACGCCGCTGGGTAGCAAGAGGCAGTGATGGACTGGGATGAAGCACATTGGGCCTCATTAGGTCGATATTGGGCATACGGGTGTTTTGGTGGGGTGTCCATGCCCACCACAATCGTAATGCTCAGGCGTCTTGGTCCTGTCCGAACGAGCTAGAACGAGTCCAACGGCCGCAACAACTGTGCGTCGTCCAGGCTGAAGAAGCACAATGCCCTCCTGCCAGCCGAAAAGATATTTTGCTTTCATCGTCACCGTCCTGCGACATCCTTTCAATCTATGACTTGCTGTACCACAGAGTGACAAAGAGAAGGGGGACCATTGCTAACACTTTTGCCCTGCTCAAATAGATTCCTTTACCACACCATATCGACGCGTTTCTTCTCGCCGGCCCTCCTTCCACCTCTGCTGCTGCAGGTCCGTGCAGTCCTGTTTCCCAACAACAGCATTGGCCCACCAGCTCCGCCCCCGCCCAGTCCGGAAGAAGCACGCAGCATTCGTTCGAAAGCCGCCTCAGATCTCCTGTCTCTCATACCTCAATCTGTCGCCAGGAAGTTTTTGACTCCGGCGGGGACCCAAGACGGTTGCGCACCCAATGACGCTGCCAGTGGCACTGTTGATGAGGAAATGCGGCGCGAAATTGAAGACCGGCTTTTAGGGTGGATGGACGATGCGGCCATGAACAAATTCCTGGTCTATGCCATCTTGGAACATGTTGTCGTCAGACTGATTCCCGAGATGGTGGGCAAAACCCCGAGCGAGCTTCTAGCCGATCGAGGGGTGTCGTTGACTGAGGAAGAGAGTCCAGAGCAGGATCAGGGTCATGGGCATGATCTTGACACGAAACTTGATCTTGGTTCTAGTAGCCTTGATACAAAGTCCGAGACACAGCAGCCAACAACAAATGGCCATGAGGGGGAATGATGATAAAATATACAGGGGCTGGCGCTGGCGCTGGCTCTGTTGCCGTAGAACTGTCCGTGAAAAAGATGAATAGAAGATAGAGACTAGACAATCTGATTCGAGTCTTGGGCTCCACTTCGACTATACTCTCCTTTACCTTTTCCCCTCCATTTTCTGAGGATGGGAAGTTCGTCGTTTGGGGGTTTAGTGGTGTAGCTCACTTGAAGGGCAAGCACTGCACTTCACTCCTCGGTGTTGAAGAGGGCTAAACAGAGCCACTTATCGCAAGGAAGAGTCCGTCAGAATTCAATTTATACAACTCGTGATCCTGTAAGGAGCGGGGCCCATCATGACCTTGTCTCCCGGGATGCCACATCCGTCCTACTCCTACGTACATCCCCTCCGCAATGACAGTTCCAAATGCCTCTGAATCTCTGGCTTAAACCTTCCCCTGTTTGAAGGGAAACAATGGAAAAGGAAATCCATTTGGTCCAGTCCAATCATGTCACCTGCCGTGTTTGTTCGACAGTCCAATGCAAAGGCTGAGAGCCGAGAGAGAGTGAGCCCTGAGAGAGACTGAGATCCAAAGCCCAAAAAACCCAAGGAAGTAAGAAAAATGAAAACCCACAGGTCGAATTTCCCCTGGATGCCCTGTTTCGCTTGCGCGCTCCTTCTTCTCTGCCCACCCACACATCCCATACCCTCTTACCCAGAAAAAGAAAAGATGTCGCCACGAGGCTGGGGGTATGTCTAAGGATCCAGGTGTCATCCACAGGCCTGCAGATGGGTACTGTGGCCGAAACTGAGAAAAAAAGCCTAGTAGAGCCAAGAGAGAGGCTCCATGAGTCTGAAAAGACTGGTGTCATTGTCGTCCGTGAGAAGGCCTTCAATCACCATTGCAACTCCTTGACCAATGCTGGTCCCTGGGTGTATCCGCTGCTGTGTCGATCCTGAAGTGGTGTCGGCTGTCGTCGTCGTTGGCTTCCATGCCTGGTTCGTTCCCCCTGTTCACCAATGCTCCACGCTAAAACATTTGGGAAAGCAATCGTATGTCTGGTTCCACAAAATACAAATGTCTGAAAGAATGGTCTGGTCTCCTCGCGTTCGAGGCTCGAGACTTCCGAAGAGACCCCATCTGCACAGTTTGTCAAGTCGAAATGCCGAGAATAGTCCTCTTTTTCGAGATGCGAGGACTATCCATGATGTCGATTGGGTGCATACCCCCGGGCAATGAGCCGCCATTTGGACGTAGAAGTTTCAATTTTTCCATAAGTTTCCCGATCGCAAGGTAGTCATCCGGCTCTGCAACATTAGGGTTCTGCTCCAACAAGGTCTTGATGGCATGAAGAGCCCGAATGTTCTCATCATCCACAGGCGACGCAGGATGACTGACTGGAGACGTGTCCGCGGATCGAGGTAAAGGGGGAGGTTGCATGGAAGATGACAGCACTTGCCCAGGGTAATGAATATCAGGGACGCTTTTATGCCGTTTCATCATTTGTCGCGGGTCAATGGCGTCCTGTTGGCTCTCTACTGTGCTGTTTGTCAAAGACCTCACAGGGAGAGATGGCCCCATCTGGCTGGACGAAGAAGGCCGCGAACCGGAACCAACAGTAGGCGTATGTGAGAAAGTTTGGCGCCTCTGGTGGTTGAGGGCTTCGGTTGGTTCGTGTGCACTGGCAACAAACGTCATGTCATCTGGTCCACCGTCCGACACTTCACGGGAGCTTGGGAGTAGTAGAGTTGCAACTTCGCCGGCCTGGCTGATCTCGTTCACAAGGCCATCACCTTGTTTAGACGGCTGCTCGAACGGGGTATTTTCCTCAAAGTCGAATAGGCTTTGTGCATTTTCCATTTTGATGCCGCTGTGATTTGCTTTTTCATCGATGGCTGTCATGGAAGGGGACACAAGGCCACTGGACGATGTTGGAGATTCATTAATGGGTGTTTCTGTGAGCGACGTTGTCTGGGAGTCCATCACAGCCTCGTCTCCGTCAGCCTGGGAAGCGCCAAGGCGGTGCTTGCGCTTGAATTTCTCCAGCCAAGCTACACTGGACACGACTGCTTGGTCGTTCCTGCTGAACGAGAACACTTGGGCTTTCTTGCGAAGATCATCGTCGGTGATTGACAACCCTTTGTTCTGCTGGTTCTTCACCCAGTTTGAGAGCGTCTTCTCGAAGTCCGGCAGCTTGGCTCTGGATTTCTTGGTCGGGCTGGAGCTCTCGTCTTTTACTTGAGGGTTCATGTACTTGTCACGTTGACGCAAGATCTTCGACACTGTGCTGATCTGGCGGTTAGCACTGACCCCCACAGCCGCATCGGGCTTCTAAGCATACCTTCTTTCAACGTTGAACTTGGCTACACAAGGTTAGACAGAATTGAAGAGAGGATAATAGGTACATACCGCCTATCTGAGTCTGCTTCATCGTCGGATTCTGTTCCGCCTCAATACACATCTGACGGCGTTCGTCGTCGGTCAATTTACGACGGGACGTCGTGGTTTTGGCGCTGGTGGGCGTCACATCCGAACCAGTGCTGGCCGATAATGGGGTTTGCAGGGTTCCGGAAGGTATAATGGGTGTGTGGTATGTGTGCTGAGGTTGGCTCGCAAGCATACTGGGCCATAATGCATTGTGCGGCATGATTAATGGTGGCGGCATCTGGGCGTGAGAGGCAGCAAATGGCGACGGCCTCGACACAATATATGATGGCTCCATGGGCATAGGAGTCGTTGTATGGTAATCAAAACCAGGGAACTCGTGCATCGGCGACAGCGTCGGTTGAGGACTGCTGGAGTAAGCGGTCGACATGCCCACCCAGCCACTATGGCTGTAGCCAGAGTGGTTCGCGTCCTGGTGCTCCTTCTTCATCTTGATCAAGACCTGCATGAGGATTCAGGCCTTGGGGTTGAGCTGCGGCAATTTCTTTGTCGACCTCAATATGCAATGCATACCAGTGACCTGAAGAAAAGCAATGCTATGGCAATGCAAGTACCCGCATGCCCGAAAGTCTGGTCTCCACAACCCTCCCAGACCCAGAATATCTGTACAAGCAGAAAAGTTTCCACACAATCGGCTCTCAGGAAGCAAAGGACGTGAGACGCACTGCCTGTATACAAAGTCGGAGGGAGCAACGCCCATATGAGAGAAGGGACGGGTGTCGCCAGCGGCTGTGTAGAGGTTGCAGTCTCAATGCGGGATACAGAAGGGGACAAGCAGAAGACGTTTGGGCGAGCCGAGCTGTCAAGTTGGGCGAATTGACGATCGAGAGGCGAACCGGGGTCTTTTTTCTGCGACCAGGGGGCCCGGACAAGACTCGAGCAGTAGTCGACAAGGGCCTGCTTGAGGGGTTTCGAGAGGTGAAGCTGGGCTGCAGTTCGCTTGATAGATGGTTTGGTGTATAGTATGCTTGTCGCCGGAGGACGAACGGCGGTATTGCTTTTACCTCTCTCTAGTGTCTAGCTCTCATGTGTCGGCACCCACGCGAGGGCGACAAGGCCGTGGATGATGCTTTTGAAGACGCTGAGTAATGCCTTTGGAGCGACGGTGCCCGTTCGAAGTATCAACGGGTTTGCGAAGAGGGTGGTTGCTAAAACAAGGGCGGCACTCGGGCCTATAACGCGAAAGCTTAGTGAACGGCTAGCTGCCGGCCGCTGGGAGGAACGGGCCTAAGGCTCACTGATTAGCACACTTGGACGGACGCCGTTAGGTACGAACGAACCTGCCTCGGACGCCCAGGGTGGTGCACCGTCTAGTCCTCCTTTGTCGCCTGAACCCGCCCTGTTGCCTTCTATCCTGGACAAGCCACAGTCGACCAGCCCTGGAACCCCAAGTTCCGTCGGCAGAAATTGGCGGTTTGGTCGAGACCGTCAGGGACAAGGTGACCAGGGAGTGTAGCTGTAAGAGCTCCTGAGATTGGCAATGAGGCGTCAAAGTCGAGGATCGGCCATGGGAATTGTGCTCTTTTCAGTATCGGTGAATGCAGAGAGAATCAGTCGAGGAGGGTGGACGACGAAGTGAGGCGTAAGCCCTTTTACTAATAACGACCTGAATCTTCGTCGTCCACACCGTGTGGGATGTAGTGTCTTCCTGTATCTATTCGATTAGCACGATAGTTTGCGCTTCGGAACGCCCCACGCGAAGTCAAGGTTCGCATTGCAACTGAGCGGCGTCAGATCACGCCGAAACCAGCAGAGGCGAATTGAACTGCTGGCGGCTTCAAAGCGAACGGCAAAGGCTACAATGCTCGATCTAGCCTCGTCCCATCCAAGGGGCGGACCACTAAGCCAGCCGAACAATGACGCGGGCGATCGCAGACCGCACAGGTCATTCGGCATACTGTAGGTAGTGCTCCTGCGCACATCAGTATGACTCGACTCGTTGGACGAGAAGCTTTCGCAAGGTTGGGCGTCGGCGGTCACGGCGTGGGAGCTGGACGGTATTGGTAGTATCTTTGAGTCCATTGCAAACTACCTACCTAATAGGTACCGAGGTAAGGTACCTAAGGACAGGTGGTTTTGGTACTGTACCGTACAAACAGGCAGGATGACAATACGCAGAAGTACCGCTCACCCACCGGGTTGTATCATTATTCAATAGTCGTGGGGGCTGTGAGGGCGAGCGAGCCAATGTCCTGTGCAACCACAACACGGGCCAAAAGAAGCAGTCAAAGACTGGCTGACCCGTTGGAAGTGACGGTCGCGTTCACGGACGCGAAATGAGGTCAAGGATCATGAGGAGAAGTGATGTGCTCGAGGAAAGGTGCCAATGTGTTTGTGACCTTGGGCACCTCATGTTATTGCCAGGTTTCCCGCTCCCCTTGCCATCTTTTGGCGCAGGCATGCAACGCTTGAAGTTTAGGTAGCAAGCCACGACTGACCGGGGTTCTCCCACTAGTAGGCTATTGGCAGTCTGGGTTCCAAGCATGGTGGCACTGGCTTCAGGGACAGTTGTCGCTGTTCGCAAAGGACCTGACAGCTGCAGTTTGATTCGGGGCATGTTTCATGCGAGTGCAATGCCAGTGCGAGTGATGAGCAGGAAAGGCGGCAGGCGGCAGGAGAGGTAGGAAGGACTGACTCGAGGGGTCGAGGGGGGCATCTCGCAACGCCGAACTCGAAGGTGGTACTGCAGGAGAAGAAACGAACAGAGCTTGCCCACTGGGACTAGAACCGCTCGCGTATGAGCTATTGACTCGACCATGGCCGATGCCTGCCGCAGGTGCAATCGACAAATGTATAATAATAATGGGGAGGATTATAATGCTGGCATTCGGTTGGTGGCGGTAGAAACTATGGGAGAATCGAGATCCGGTGGTGCACCTCCTCAACCGACAGCACATTCTCCTCTCATCATGCCAGTGCGTGTACAGTACGATTCAACGCCTGTCTAACTTCTCCGCCATGCTAGAACAATGGTATTGGCAAACCTTGCAACTGTTTTACCTACTGTACGTTGGCTCGAGGGGACTACCATTGCAAGGCCCCGGTGTCTACCTAACGCTTGCTCCCGCTACTTCATTGTGCACTGCAACCCTCCTTGAACGTCGCCTCGGCCTCTGACCACATACTACTAGTAGTAGAGCTCCCTCGCGACCATTGTATCCTCCTCACTCCGATCCCTGCCTTGCCTTGAACATTATGCCCTGCTGCTCTGCCAGCTCAAGGAAAAGAGAGCCACGCGGATGAGTGGACTCTTTGGGCGGAGTTAGACCTTCCATCAACCGAACTAGAGGTGGACGAGCTTCCAGAGCCAGCGTTGACCCCTGGATCGGCATGCGTCCGGGCGGTTGTGTGGCGCTGCTTCACCACATTCTATGGGCCGGGAGTGTTGGTGTTGCACACAACTTGAAGAGAGCGAAACATGGTCAGGGCACTGAGGCACGTTTAGCAAGGGACAATCTTCTGAAAATGACATATGACAGGCACCAGCATGCACCAAGTTCTCTTCCAGCATACAATAATGCTACCTACCTACGCACGCATTCCCCTCCCTAGGCCTCTTACTGCACGCGGCATAGACAGCGCTGCCAGGGCTCTATGCAGACATATATTTCCCATGCGGTGCAACAATCGTCCACGAGTTTGACAGCTTGACAGCTGCATCAATGCATTGAAGATCCTGCATGGTGGCGCTCTCTAGTTCCGACTTCATGCGCCTGCTCCATTCTTTCATCTCAATTTCTGCATCATGCACTTGAAAACGGACAGTTTGTATTCTGTGGCCGGCGTCCGCTTATCACAAGCGCCCTCGGCCCTCCTTGAGGTCTAACAATTGCCCACCTGCTTCCTGATTGTGTCAACTCCTCAGGCCGGTTGACAGTCCTGCATTCTCGGCCACTTGTCGTATCCATAATATTTTGCCGATCGTGAGACTGCGTATCGTTCTCCTGCCAGGGCAACCTGAGCGACCCGGAGCCCCGTCACTTTTTCTCCGTGCTCCCCTCCTATATAGGCACCGCAGCTTTCATCATGCTGTCAATGGCGCGCTGAGGATTAGTCCACTGGATTAGGACAGGTACCATTGCATAGGTGGCCTTGTGCATATGTGGCTTGATGCATAAATCAAAGCATATACCATGTCTCAGTGAGTCGCGCTGGAGGCATTACCGTTCATTGCAAAAACATGTATCCATATCCTTGATTACCCAAGGTCCTTGCGATTTGGGGCCTGGACCCGTGCCTCAAGGTTCAGGATGTCGACGGCTGCCCAGCCTCCGTAAATCTCGATCGCCCGTCTTCGTCGCCGTCCATCGAAGCAGCAAGCTCTCCGAAACCGCACCGTACAGGACCTGAAGTCACGTGCTTCAGCGGGCGATAAGTCTTAAGCATCCAGGCTCTGCCCGCTGCAAATCCTGGAAATGGTCTGTGATGACAGAACCAATTACGGCCACCCAGAGCATGGTCTTTTGAAAAGTCCATGATAGTTGAATCCTACGGAATCTCATATCCTTGCATTCATTGAGAGCGATAGCTTGGTTGGCGAAAACCGTGGGCGCGGGGATGTGCGGAAGGTGGGCATCTAGCCTGTATCAAGTACAGTCTAACCGGGCCACAATGCCCGGCTCGAACCTTTGCACATCCTTGATGAGATGTTTGCATGCATCCTGGCGACAACAAATGGAGCGGACGCGGGTTGGGCACTGCTCGGATCGTACATGAATGGACAGATTATTTTTTGATGATGGTCACTGAGAGGGGTTGAGTTAGCGAAAGGAACTGCAAGCGGCGGCGGGAAGACCTACCAATATCCTCATCGGCCAACTCATGGGTCAGACCCACACGTTGAGGCTGATGTTTGACGGAGCGACCGTAGACGATGGCATGTTTGAATTGTTCGACAATAGTCTTGTGGATGGCATTGCACTAATAACGTGGTCAGTGGGAGTTTGTAGTTAGGAAACAGGTTTTCACTTACAAAGTCTTCCACGGTTGAAGCGTTCTTCCTCAAAACCACCGGGGTAGAATAATCGGGTTGCTTGCCCTTGGGCTTGGTGTAAATCCGCCTTAATTGCAATTTCTCCCACATCAGCTCCAGCAGCTCGTCGATGTTCCAGCCATGTTCGGAGCTTATGGGACAGGCATTCGGAATCCGGTAGAGCAAGTCCAATTCTTCGATCGAGATGGAGTCAATCTTGTTCAGAGCGTAGATGACGGGAATGTAACTCCTGCTCTTTGCCTCAAGAACGTCAATGAGGTCGTCAATGGTGGCATCGCATCGAATTGCAATGTCGGCCGAAGAGATGCGATACTCGGCCATTACAGCCTTGATCTCGTCGTGGTCAATGTGGGTAAGTGGAACCGTGCTGGTGATGTTCAGACCCCCCTTGTCTTTCTTCTTGAAGACGATGTTGGGGGGCTCCTTGTTGATACGGATACCGAAACCTTCAAGCTCAGCTTCGATGATGCGTTTGTCCGTGAGAGGCTTGTTCACATCAAGAACAATGAAGATCAAATGGCAAGTCTTCGCCACGGCAATGACCTGCCGTCCACGACCTTTACCGTCCTTGGCTCCCTGAATAATACCCGGCAGGTCCAGCATTTGAATAGCGGCGCCGTTGTACATGACCTGTCCAGGGACCGTGGTCAGGGTGGTAAATTCGTAAGCAGCGGCTTCTGAATGTTGCCCCGTCAAGCGACTCATCAGGGTCGATTTGCCCACAGATGGGAAGCCGATGAAGCCAACCGAAGCCACTCCAGTTCTGGCGACATCGAACCCACTGCCGCCGCCGCCGCCAGATGATGAAGGCGTCAACAGCTCCCTCTTCAATTTTGCCAATTTGGCTTTGAGCTGGCCCAAATGGAAGGATGTGGCCTTGTTTTTCTGAGTCCGAGCCATTTCGGCCTCGATCTCCTTGATCTTGTCCACCGTGGTCGCCATGGTGTCCGAAGGGGGAAATTACCGGCACAGGAAGACGTTGTTTGAGGACGAGGACAGGGCCTGAAGCGGTTGGTCAGGTGTGAATCTGGTGAGGGTTGGGCAGCGATATCTGGGATCAATCTCCGTATTGATGGACCAGAAGTAGAAGGAAAGCAGGACCTGCGTTGGGTCAATCAACCAGACGTCGTGTAACCGTCCGTTGTGCTCTCCGACGACAGGGTTTGCCAGAGGGTTGCAAGGATGAGGCCACAGCAAAAGTTGTGAGCTTGTCTACGAAATGCGAACTGGTGCTGAAGGGAAAAAGCCGTGGTTGATGAATGCGCCGCAGAAGTATGAATTTGATTGTACGGAGCAAATCTGCGATAGATGAAGTGTGCCACTGCGGTGGGTGGAACGGAATGACGCCGAAGCGCAGGCACTGCACTGGCATTTGGCAGCCCTCGAACACGATGATGGCGATTGCCACTCCCACTACCACCGCCTATTCACGCACCCACTGCAGGTCTCGCTGTCGCTGCGTTCGAGCAACTTCACCACAGCTCGGGCGCCATTTCAATTGCATTCCCAAACTTGAACTTCAATTGTGGAGGATTTTTGGCGTGCCACAAAGAACAGTACCTACCACTGCACGCACTTGTACCGCACTCACCGTCACCGCAGTCCGTGCCCCTCCATTTCTGGCACCTAATAATAATTCCGCAGTCTCCTAAGCCGACCACAATCCACCCGCTTATAGGCTTCCTAAGCGTACCAGCCACAGCCTGAGAGCCTCTGCATTTTCTGAACCCCGGAATCCGCCTGACGATTGCGGATGGCGTCGGCGGCGACTGGCATTGTGCCCACAGCCTTATCAGCAAGCCGCCTCTTTTCTGGCACCAGCGTTGAAGTGCCCCGCTGAGCACATTTTGATAGCATGGCAGTAGTTGTCGTCTCGATGATTTCAACAAGGTCTTTGTCTATCATATTTCGAGGAAAGCTCCGAGTCTTTCATGTTACTTAGGTACTCTTGGGCCGCATACGACTGTGCTGTTATTACCGTGCTTCAGAGCAGACCTGGCCCTGTGCGCCCTGAACCCCGAAGTCGCCGATCCTCTTCCTCTGCAGCATACGTTACTTGTCTGGCGGTCAGGAATAACATCTGATACGAGGTCACCGGATTCGTAAAGGGGGACACGCGTCCTACCAAGGACGAATCGTGAGTCAAAATAACAGTCTTGTTACGTCGGCAGTATTGCTATCATTGGAGCTTCATCTCTTCCGCTGGCACTCCGGCTGTCATCCCTCGCTATCAAGACTGTCAAGCGACGTACACCTCTCGCTACTTGATAGCCCATCAATACTAAGCTGCTATTACGGGAATAGCGGTCGACCGGCTTCAGGTGTTTGCTACCACAAACAAACCATCCCAAAAGGCCAAATAGTTCCCAACCTCTTATTATTCTCTTGTGGTTCATCTTCTTATATTTCATTATCCATCGCGGCATCGTCCCCAGCTGCGCCTACCTTACTACTTGTATCATCTACTCCACATTGTCGACATGTTATCTTATCAGTCAACGCCAGCGGAAAGTGCACCACATCTGCTCCGACCTGATGCTTATCCACCTCAGCATCAGGAGAAGATCAACACAATCGACCGTACGGACGAGTTCCATCGCTTAGTACGAGCGCTGTCCGATGTGTTGGGTCCGTCCTCGGGCATCGACTCGGCCGATGTTGATGAGAATGATCTTATCCGTCTGATGGAAGGATATGTTTCACAAGAAAGCCAGTGGCATCAGTACGCCTTTGCCGATCCGAGTAGGAACTATACGCGGAATCTCGTGGACGAAGGGAACGGGAAGTCGAATCTGTTGGTGGTGGTTTGGAACCCGGGCCGGTGCAGCCCCATCCACGACCATGCCAACGCCCACTGTGTGATGAAGATACTCAAGGGAAACCTCAAAGAAACCCTGTATTCCTTGCCACAGTGCCAGCCAGATGATAGCGACACTGGCGGCTCAGACTCCTCTGGCAGGTCGACCCCGCCGCAGATTGTCAAGGAGACAAGCTATTCCGAAAACCAAGTCACATACATTTCAGACAAGATCGGTCTTCACAAAATTTCGAATCCATCTCAGACTGAAGTTGCCGTGTCATTGCATCTATACACGCCGCCTCACGCCGCCAACTTTGGATTCAACCTCTTTGACGAAAAGACAGGGAAGCCGACACATATCAAGCAAGCGGGCTTCTTTTCTGACCGGGGCCGTCTGGTGGAAAAGTGCAAGTTTGGCGCATTCTAATGCGTTCTCGGGTTCAGCTTCACGTGGCAATGGTACCTACAATGTTTCGTCTGGCGGTGTTTCTGTTGTTCCCTACTGTGCTTTAGGTGAGGTGGCGAAATTGGTGGCCGGTCCCTGGTTTGGAGCGCATGGTCGAGGCAAGGTTGGTTGGTGAAGGAGTTACTCGGCGGAGAGGACATGGAAGCGTCTGTCATTACTTGTGTTGAGGTCGAATCTGGAAATCAAGGTCAGTGGCCTACTGCCGCTGCTATTTCTCGGCCACTCTCAGCTGGCCTACTACTATGTACTTGTAAGAACGGCGCTTTGGAAAGGCAGGTGCGCTCATTTCAACTCTTGTACAATTATTTTGTCTCGGAGTTCAGGATTCGCGCAACGAACATTTATTTATAAGGCCTCTGTTGTGTCTCTGTCCTGAAAACCTAAGTCCACCTTCTCCTTTTCAGTATCAATGGTAAACTTGAATTAATTTGAATAGCATGAATGGAGCGATCACACGAGACAACACCTGGTAGACAGCCGGACAGGTCCATTTGTTCGATTTTTCTAAATTATCGATTCCGAGTCCGTCGTCCTTCGTCTTTTGTCCGTCCAATGAGACCCAAATGCGCCCTCCCGGCTCCAAAGATTGCTGCTAGTAGGTACTACGCCGCGGTAGATACCTTAGATAGCATCTGTCTGGACGGGACAGGGTAGATTATTGAGTATAACTGCCAGTGTGACTGACTATATCATTGATCCGCTTCGCATTGCCGGACTCGGAGTCGTTGTCTGGTCGAGGAGGAGATGTCCGTCGGTCGTGTTTCGTTGACGGGTTGACTGACGGTTGTCCGAGGTTGATAACGCTCCTCTCCAGGAGATGGGGGACGGGCGATGTCAGATGCTAAAACGTAGCATATTGTCATGAACCCTTCATATACACTACTAGTACGGTACATAGAGTCCTCCGGCTTTATCTTTCAAGGAAAGCGAGTCAATGACTACTAGTAGCATCTGGCTTGTGATTACTCTTTATTGAACAACCTGAACCCCAATCGGCAACGTCCATCCATCTCAGACTCGATAAGAACCTCGTTCTCGACTCTTGATTCAAAGTCGACCTGTAAACATTGTGTCAGTCATAGGTCTTTTTCTGAAACTCGTCCAAAGAGGAACTTCTCTCCTGCCTATAACGGGTCTGAGACGTAACACGGTCAGCATATCAGATCATCTCGGGAAACCACAGTGTTCTCGGTCTTTTCGAGCACAGCATTTCATCCTATCAAGAAAACAGGACCAGGACCACTGCACCCAGGCCAGTCACATCAAGATGCCGCAACTGTCAAAGGAGCTGATCGAATCGATCACCAAGTCCGTCTCGGACAACTTCGACGCGCAAATCGCATACACACAGTCCCTGATCCGGTTTGGCGGACAACGCGGCGAGGAAGGCCCCGTGCAGGACTTTGTGTTCCAACAGTTCGCCGACCGAGGCTACTCGCCCGTCAAGTTCGACATGGACGAAACCCTGCTAGCGAGTCACGTTGGCGGGGGCAAGTTCAGTCCAACCCACTCCAAGGCGCCCATTGTCGTGGGTGTGCATAAGTCGCAACAACAGTGCAGTCACGGCAAGAGTCTGATCTTGAACGCCCACATCGATATCGTGCCCACTGGGCCCGTGGACTTGTGGACCCACCACCCGTATAGCGCACATATCGAGGGTGACAGGCTTTATGGCCGAGGCGGTGCGGATATGCGGGCGGGCAGCGCGGCCAATCTGTACGCCCTAGATGCTTTGCGTCGGCTCGGTCTGCAGCCTGCTTCGGAGGTTATTCTAGAGTCTGTGGTCGAGGAGGAATCCACTGGCAATGGGACCTTGATGACCCACTTGAAGGGCTATAAGGCCGATGCTGTGCTGATTCCGGAACCGGAAGAAGAAATGCTCGTGAGGGCTAATGTCGGGGTCTTGTGGTTCTCGGTCGAGGTGCGCGGGACTCCGGTGCATGTGAGGGAGATGGGGGCAGGAATGAATGCACTCGACGCATGCTGGAGGGTGGTCGGGGCGTTGAGGGAATTGGAACAAGAATGGAATCAGAGGAAGGTCGGGTTGGAGCATTTTGAGAACGAGGAGCATCCCCTGAGTAAGTCCTTCGACCGTTGTTTTGTTGCCAAGCTTGCCACTGGCACACGTGTTTCTGCGGGTTTTAGGCGACGGCTCTAACTGATCTTGCTTGATAGATTTGAACGTCGCCATGATCAACGGAGGAGACTGGCAGTCTTCCGTTCCGGCATGGTGTCGGGTTGATTGCCGGATTTCCATTTTCCCAGGGGTCAGTGCAAAGTCTGCGGCGGAGGAGATTGAGAAGAAAGTGGCCGAGTTCGCACAGACAGATTCATTCTTGAGCAAGACTCCTCCCAAAGTCATCTGGAATGGTTTCTTCGCCGAGGGATATGTGCTTCAGCCAGGAAGCGAGGCCGAGAACACGCTTCGGAGGGCTCATCAGCATGCAACAGGCGAAGACCTGAAGACCTTCATGACGGCGGGCTATTTGGACACACGGGTTCATGCCCTGTACGACAAGATCCCGGCGTTGTGCTATGGCCCAATCAGTTCACACATTCACGGCTTTGATGAATGGGTCAGTATCAAGAGCTTGAAGAGGATCACAACTGCCATTGCACTGTTCATTGCAGAATGGTGTGGTGTGGAAGAGATAAACACAAAGTGATGCTAAAAGCTTGTTCTGATCTAGGCAGATGTAGATGGTTGAGGATACTCCACTGGCAGATCAATATCAATGACAATCGGCTTGTGAAACTGTTTGCCGCCTGGATGTGGATAATTCGAAGCCATAAAAGCAGCATTCACGATGCAAGTTTCCGCTCTCCCTTCGCGCCCAGATATTGCTTCTTGATCCGACCGACCGCTCAGGCCAAGAGCCCCCAGCCCATGGGTTGCAGGCCGTTGAGCGTTGGTATCTTCAGCTATAAAGGACATAGGTCGCTCTGCCTTTTCGAAGTCGGGAAACGGTGGTCGTGGAGGCGAGGGAACTGGAGGTAGGAGTTGTTCGTCTGTTTCGACTGTTGCCCTGTTGTCTGCAGCACCGTCGACTTCGATACCTCGAAGCTTGACAAGTTGTTTGGTGACAAGTAGATTGCCTGGGCTTCCATCGTTCTGCAATGTCCCTGACCTGGCTCTAGCTGACAAGTCGACAGTGAACTGCTTCTTGCTTTCTGGGCGGGGGTCATGCACGTTTCGCACGCTTCTTTCTTTGAATTTGACATTGGGACAGGACAGATCCCATGTGACGACCTCCACTCCATATCCTTCATGGATATGTCCACAAACGAACAGTCGAGGACGGACCCTCCACAGCATCTCACGGAGGGTCTCACATCCTGCGGCGCCGTGCGAATGGGATTCATCTCGATGGAACTTCGCTGGTGTGTGGGTGACCACGATATCCGCGTCCAACGGTATCTGCTTCCACAGCTGAAAAGCATTCTCCGGTTCGTAGCCAAAAGCCCAGAGCCGTCGCGTGGGCGAATATGGCGAACCGAAGATCTTGAGGGTCGAATATGAGCCGTCTGCGAAGTTGACTCTGACAATTCGTGCCTCATGGTTCAAGTAGACAATGGAAGGGTCCGAGTGAAATAAGGCAATGCAACGCTCAGGGTCTTGCTTCGTTCGGTTGTGGTAGTAAGCTCCGTACTGCTGATAGAATGGAATATCACAGGTGATGTCGTGATTTCCACAAACAACAACCTTGATTTGGAACTGGTCCATTCTTCGAAGCCAGTCGACGGTCTTCTGGAGCTCAGAGAATGCACCTTGGTTAGTCAGGTCGCCAGCATGGATCAATATGTCGCCAGGCGGCAGCTTGGGGGTCTGATTGTGCGTGTCTGAGATACAAACGATCCGAACCCTTCTGGTAGCCATAGTGATGGAGGTAAAATGCTTGCTATGGAGGGATCATGTAAGTGAGCGTAAGTGTATATAGGTTAGGAGATTCTGTGGTTATGGTCGCTGGTAGTAGGAGGACACCTTTGAGGCCCCATGACTTCCGTTTTGTTCTGTCTCCTACTATGTTCTTTCCACAACCACGATCTTGACTCAGTCATCTATGCTGTGACTCAGAGACACGGGACGTATCACAGCATGTCCACGACGTATGGCAGAGTGGCCAGCAGGCAGCACAGCGGTAGGAATCTCGCGGTGGTAATGGAGCATCAGCGGGTAGCTCATTGCTGGTAAGGCTTGATGTCTGGGCCTTGCATGAAGCCGGGGGTTCGAGATCGAAGTGGGCCCCGGCGCCCACCACGGGGTGTCCTGGATGCTAGATGAGATGACACAGTGCGAAGCTTCCTCCCACAACCGCTGGAGGTTAAAGGTGTGGGAAGAAGCAGAGAGCCTGGGGAAGAGTGCAGAGCGGCCCGAGACTCGACTCATCACAATCGATTGAAGGTACCTAGGTAAGTTTCAGGGGCCGAAGCCATCATCGGGGGTGGCCCTGCCCTAAAGTCACCCTCTTTACCCCAGTCCTTAAGCACATTTTAGTGCCCAAGCTCACCTCCGGGCACCCGAGGCGCCTTCCTAAGCCTTTCCACAGTGGCCGTAGCCTGTAACAAAGTGCCCGCCGTTAGAGGGAGTCTTGTCTAGGACCCCTGTTGGCTGGGTCGAATCAACGGGAGTGATGGCTTCCGCCTCATCCTCTGGACGGCATGGCCATGGTGATAGAGCACAGCGCCTAGCGATCAGAGCTCTTGTACGACGAGTAAGCAGTGACAAGTCACATCACCATGATTCCCTGTGTCGAGTCTGTCGTTCCTTGTAGGGTCGCAATTGTTCCTAGTCGCTGGGGCGGGACTAAGTAGAGACAAGAATGGCAGATCACGGGCCAGACGCGATTAGTGTTGCGAGACACAATGCACACAGGCTTAAAGCAAAAAGATTCCCCATACATAACACCAACTCGATCCTCTTCGAAAGCTTGTGCCGGCTGTACCTATCTATGCAGATAGCAATAATGAAGAAGTACCACACCAGTGTCGGAGATTGACTCTGGGCCCTGGCTACCAGGTAGCTATTCCTCACCATCAACAAGCGAACGGTGCTAGCAAGGGTGCCCCGTGAAATCGGGCTGCGCTCAGATGATAATCGGCGGCCGCCCCAAACACATTGGCATGGACTGCTGCTAAAGCATGGACTGCTCGTTGCACGACACGTCGACCTCTGCGCCCTCAGACCGCGTCCTCACCAGCAACTCTACCGTCACCGCCCTTCCTAATGATTCTTCACACTCCCACGTCCCATCCATCGAGCACAACTATGATTGTGTCAGTGACGCCGAGTCCTCACGACATCTCGACCCGCATTGTTATTCATCAGTCCGCATACGGAGGACCGTCGACGTCAACGATGACAACCTGACAGCTCGTCCGCAACTCCGCAAGAAGCCAAAATTAACATCCAGGAGATCTGAGGCTGAACCGCAGAGTCTTCCTGGTACATTCGACCCTGGAATGAGCACGTTGGTAGGCGTACCGAACATTTCTAGCGGCCCTCCTCTCCACCACCTCTCTCACGAAAGCCCCGATAATATCACCAACAACCTGCGATCCTCTTCCTCCACCGCCATCGCGCAGCAACCTCGCCCTTCACTACAGCGAACCAACTCTCAACCCCAGCAAAGATCTCCCGCACACAAAAGACCGCCAGCGTCGCACAGTAGCTACGGGGTCGAGACGACCTGCGGACCCCCTCCTTCATACAGTACTCAACGCACTCTGTCACAGGATAGGGTTTGGACTGTCGGGCGCAATCCAGAATTGAGGATCACGAACGCCGCCCCACGACAGCTGTCGCCTACTAAGGCAAGCGAGTCTGCAACAGATCCTGAACTCTTCTTGTCATACCAAGAGGTGGCACCGTCAAGGCAGGACAATACAACTCCTTCGAGTACGGCGTCCTCGAGAGGCGAGACGAACTTAAAAGGAGAATCTAGCCCAGAGACGACAGAAACTGCAGAGACACGGAGCCTACTGACGCCCGATTCCTCTACAATGAGCAAAGCTCTAGAACCAGCAACTGAGGCTGGAGAAGGCAACGAGCACGACACCGCAGATCTACAGGGGCTCCAACCGCCCTCCGCCGATGAAGGCAGTAAAGCATCGAGTAGTGAGGACCGAAAAAGTGAGGACTTGTTCCTGAATATTGCTAAGGCAGACGCGTCTCGGGCGGACCAGTTGCAGTCCCGGGCAGACAGACGACGGTCGAGAATATCCCTTCCATTCTTCAACACCAGTCGGCCGTCCACCGGATACAAGGCATCGCCGGATCCAGAAAGGTTTGATACTGCCAGTGTTTCGGGCCGGACGGAAGCCTTGAGTTATTATAGCAAACGAGCGTCCCTTGGACAACATGTGCCAGGGGCGTTGTCACGGACATACACGCAAAGACACCCGGAGCGAAGCGATGCATTCGAGGCGCAGCAGCAGACACACAGCAGCCATGGTGGCCAGGTTTCCAGCCGACCTGTATCCAGGCGTTATTCGAATGCCAATACCAATATCAACCCAGACTCTGGACGTCACCTTGAACGGCCGGGTACTGCTCGCAACAGTCGCTTGGTTTCAGACTCGACGTTCACCGATCGCACCAAGCTGGTAGATCACAATGCTACCGAGTCAACTATATCCACCACAGCCCCGTCAACGGTATGGGACGAGTTGGATGATCTGAAGTCCAGGATCCGAAAGCTGGAGCTGACGGGCAAACTGCCTCCATCCTCGGCCGCAGCGATGAACAACACCGATCGGCCCAAGACGGCCACGACGGCTGCAACCACGATGTCTTCAAGTCCGAAACAGAAAACAGCAGTCACGTTGCAGTCTGCTATCGAAGGAATTCCATCGACGGTGCACCCGAACCTTCATGAAGCTCTTGGCAATGCTAAAGCGGTAGTTAGCAATGACGTCTATCAGAAACTACAGGCGACCGCGCAGGATGCTCTCCAGCTGTCTATGATGATGAACCTTGAAGGATATTCAGGCGCCGGTAGCACGGTCGGCGTGTCATCCGTCTCTGAACGCCAAATCCGGCGTAGGACTGAGAGCATGTGCAGAAGCCTGACTGAGCTGGCCATCGCAATTCTCGCAGACAGCAAGTCGGCGCAGCAACCTGCCACAAGACCTGTCAGCAGAGATTTACATGCGGGCTCTACACTTGCAAGTCTCCGAGGGCGACGGTACAGTAACGAACCTGCCGAACGACCTCCCGTCACTTCAAGGGTGCAGTCTCGACTCGACGGTCGACGAACCAGCATCGGGGTCGGGAGCCCCTTGAACCCGCAGACAGGCACGCCAGAGTCGATATTCCATACACCGCCTACAGGGTTACCGCAGCTTTCCGCCAGTTCGTCCAGAGCGCGTCGGACGTCCTCTCTGATTCGCAGCAGAAGAACACCGGGCTATCTCGAAGGCAACACTGACGACGAAGAGAGCAGTCCTTCGGTGCGACCTGTGAGTCGGGCCATGACCGAAGTGGGCGCATACCGACATGCGGCGAGGGATCGAGCTGCATATTCCAGAGAGTACACGGCGCAACACCCTATGCCTTTATCGGTCGAAGCGAATCATGCGACGACAGCGCGGAGCTCCATGCCCTCCAATTTGGTCTCCCGACGCAAGTATGCATCCCCCGCGAGCAGCGTTCCAACGCAGGAACCAAACAACCCTCTTACGCCCAAGGAGCCGTGGGGTCGGATATCAGTTGTTTCAGGCGCCGCAATGTCGAGCCCGATCGATCCAGCGACCCCAGACGGCCATGGCCAGGTAGGCGTTCGAAGTGCATCAAACTCACGAAGGAGTCTTGGATTCGCGAGCAGGATCTCCAGCGTCAGCAGTCGACTTCGGGCTGCCAAGGCTGAGAGGAACCAGAGCACTAACGGTGTCGAGGCTGTGAACGGAGTCGCGGGAGTCGGTGCACGAGGGATTGCGCCATTGGAACGGCAATCGAGCAATTATTCCAGTAATACGACGACATCCATCTTGGAAAGACACAATTCAGGTCCGAGTGTTGCCAGTTAGTGGAATTGGAACTGGAGCTGGAGCACTACTGGCGGGTGAGGCAACAACTTTGATCGAGGCGTGAACGGGTCACGACATCCTACCCCAGATTTGTATCATACTACTACTGTACCATTCGGAGATTTCGTTTCCTGTACTACCACCATCCATCGTCATACTTGCGCCTTATCGCGAGAAAAGAGGCACAGAGCACGAGACAGGTCAGACGAGCGAGCGAGCGAGCATTGCGACAGAGGACCATAGGGCTGATAGAACCAGTGTGCCAGCGTGTCGAACATGAGTCAAGCTGCCAGAGCAGTGGGCCACAGACTACTCTTCTTTGTATAACAATCTTAGTAATCATTAGAGGGCAAGCATCCCTGCATGATCTGCAAGCTGTGTGGCACCATACAATGTGGGGATCCAAGTTTCTGACAGAAACCTTTGCGGGTGTTTCTCCTTTTGTCTTAGGAAACAGCAACCTTTGGAATTGTTGCTCCAGTAATAAGGTGTGCTCACCTGTCCTCGATTGTTCATGTCGGAGTTTCTGTAGATACTACTACTGTAGGTTGTCCTCCTTTTCGATTCTCAGTCAAGTCGTATTTATCCTCGTTGGGAAGACTCGATCTAAGCCACCGATGTGATGTCCTGTCGTATGAATTGCGTGACGCGTTGTGCACTGGCAGTTGTGGTGTCTGGCGGTGGCATGGCACGGATACCTACTTGAACAAGATCCTCGTTCACAGCCTGAGTCGACCCAAACTTAAACCGAGACGGCACTCCATGGCGGGAATGCCTTGCCCAAAACGAAACATGGGGGAATTTTGGCCATTAGAGTTCTTTGCTACCAGTAATTGTTCAATCCATTTCTCATGCTTCTACCCACACGTGAAGCCCAGACCTGGAGTCCGGGTCAGTTCAGCATGACTTTTTTTTTTCTTTTTTGATCTTGAAGCACTCGGAATGCAAACGTCGACCACGTGTACCAGTACTACTCGGTCCCTGGAACGAAGAACAAACAAACGAAATTTTCTTCTTGTTCTCGTGGTCCTATGCAGCGGTGAGTTGTACTGTTGCCAGCTGGCCAATCCAAGGCCGTATTGTGAACACTCGTTTGAGAGGGTTGGACCACAGTATAAAAATGTTAGGCAACTGTGGATATCGAATCAGGCACTCACGGTCTCGCCCGGCAAAGATCGATCCACTACTACTACTGATGCACTGCATGACTCAGAGTACAACTGTACAGGACGTGAGGTAAAATGGAGAAGGAACGGTTTCGAAGGAGGATCATATGGGTACTGGTAGATATGGACCGAAGCACTTTGTTAGACAAGAGCACGTTTTCCCTCTACACCGACTCAGAGTCGTGGATTCCTGCAAGTAATCTACGCGTAACGTGGGACTGTACAGTACCAGTACCTAGGGTAGGTATATGGCGAGCGTGCTTGGCCCTCGCACGTTCTATGGACGAACCTGCGCAATTCGTGTCCGTCTCGATGCCTTGCCCACGGGTATTGACGCCGGCAGAAAGTGGCTCCGATCGATCATCAACCAACTCGAACTTGGACCAACGGCAGTCGGTGGTCGGGGCACCACCAGACTTGAAGTGGTCCCAAATTCTTCAAAATACGGTGTAGTTGTACAGGACCCCCATAATGCAAGAGGGGGCGGCAGAGGCGGAAGAATAGACAGCAAGGAGAATGTATTATTATGGGTTGTTTCCGTCCGTGTTGGTGTCTGTCAACATGTCAAAACATTTCTCGGGGCTTTCAATCGGATGGAGTGGAGGACAACAAACAGAACGGGATAGAACAGAACAGGGCTGTGCAGTGCAGTGCAGTGCTGCCTGTGTGTCGTGCTCCAGTGTGGAATTGATGTGGACAAAGTGTTGACAAAGAAAGGACAGACAGACACACGCCATCACCAAGGGATGGTGAGGCAATATTGAGCAATCCCGGGACAAGATAGTAAAATAAGACTGGGTCTGGAATGCAACACACTAAGTGAGCACCTTAAGGCATAATTTTGACATGGAATTGTCCCAGTCACAGAGTACACCACTACAGAGCATTTGCAGCAGGCATAGTACAATGTTACACAACCTCAGTAATAGTAGTAGTATGGTGTCATCTTATGATTGGTCCACGCCATTCTTCTTTGTTAATGAGGACAAGCCGGCGCCCCTGGAAAAATGGCCAGAAGGGAAAGGAGGACTCGGCCTCTGGGGCCTAAAGATGGATTAATCGCTACCAGTCAGGCCATGATTGGTGTCCACTGCCTGTGCCATGCCAGTCGGTCAGTGTGAAGTCAAACGGCTGCAGTGAGGAATGCTGCTAATTAGTACCTAAGAGAAAAGGATGAAGCGAGAGCAAAACCCGGTCGGGCCCCTGGAGACAGACGTGGCCGATGTCGCAATCACCAATGAAGATGGCATGTGAGTCGCGGCGAAACTCTGCTGCACCACGAGGCCCACGAGTATAAGGAATGCGAGATTGCCAGATTCTGCACGTCTTGATACTAGTTTTCAAACACAGTCTGAGGTCGTGGATACGAGCAAGACGACAGAGACAATTCGTCTTTGCAGTTGCTGGTGTACCGTCCATTGCGTGTTGTCGATACCACACAGTATACCATCACTACGATCAACGTCCCACCTCTGAGTCAGCCTATACAGGATCCACATCCACATATACCAGGCATCAACCACCCTTGAAGGACTATAAGACCAACAGTACATCCACGTTGAAGGCGATACGAAACACGGGAACATCAGACATCATACGCGGATACTTACGTGCAGCAACGCAACACACACGCCTTACATATAATATTCAGTGAACCTCGAGCGGATCTTGCCGCCGGACTCTAACTTCGAGTCATACGATAACGCCGCGTGTCGTGTCTCAGACAAAGCAGTTTCAATCCCTACGTTACAGCAGCCAAGGAACGACAGTCACAAAACAGTCAGACTTGTTGTCTGTGTATACTTCATCCTGACCGGGGAAAGCGGCAGTCATACGATCCCCCATCAACCCATTATATTTCATTATTCCGCCTGTTCCTGGCTCCATCCGACCCGGATCCCGGATTCGCTGCCGGAACTTGAACGAGAATCCTCTCAGACCCCAGACATACATACAACTTCCTGGTCTAGCGGCCACAGACCCCGAAACAATTGGAGCCCGCTGTGTCTCAAGACGTCTGGGCCATTGCACCATTCCACCAAGTCCCGGTTCCTGCAGTGCTGGCCTGACCGCCCGTTACAGCCGGTACCTTCGGCTCGACCATCGACATCACTCCTCCCGTTGGGGGTCCTTGTTTCGTACATCTGCATCATAGTTGAACATCATTGACATCTGGAATCCTTTGCTGTGTCTCTTTGTCACACAAGCACATTGATTCCTACCTGCTCAACGTCGACATCTCAAAGCAGCCACGTTTGATTTCTGAACACACTCGACATCCCATTTCTCTTCTACCATGGCCTGGTCTAACCATCATTACTACCAACATCATCACCGCCACCCATTCGAGTCGATCCCCCACACTGTTAGTACCGCTGGGCGACCCCAGTCCACGGCATCGATGGATTCCGACGCCTCCAGTTCCGGCCGATCATCCGACCACCGGAAGTCGTCCACCACCTCGACAGCCTCACAATCCTCCATCTCTCCCATCTCCCCTGGCCTGGGTCCCAAAGTCCAGTTAGTCCCATACGCCCGGTCAGCCAGCTTCGACGTCTCCTTGTCCGACGCGGAGCGCGAGTTGCTGGACAAGGCCAACTTCGACGCCCTCGACATGTCGTCCAAGGACTTTGATTTCGAAGACATCTTCACCTTCGACAAGCCGCAGAAGAAGCTGGCCAAGGTGGTCGAGGTGTCCCGGCCGACCAGGGATCACCGAGATTGGTCCAACTTTTCCTTCTCCCACTACTCGGCTGCCGTCAGTGCGCGGAACAAGGTCAATAGGTCCAAAACAGGAATTGGCGAGTTGTATTTGAGGAATCAATTCGATGCCCGCCGGTCCTGAGAATGATGGATGATACACATCTCTTTCGGGGCGCGGTTGCCTCCTTCTTTTCTTTTGAAAATCATGCTGGTCTGCAGAGCTGCTCCGTTCAAGGGTGGCCTCGCCCAGCAGACACCATTTCTGCTGCTTCCTTATTCAACATGGAGCATATTTGTTTAATAGCAATGGGTGTGAAAGGGTCCGGATAGGGCGTTGCATGGGACATGACTCCCGACACATCATCGACATCATCAAAAGTGATTATTGGCGTTACATTACGGAAAGGGCTCAGCTGAAGAGGCACTGCCCATGAGGCATGGGAAATTCAACGAGACATGGGTATATATCTCCAGAACCAGCATCATCGGATGAAAACACTGGCAACAGGCAGGGGAATGCAAGACACTGCTCTCTCCGCAATGAGTGGTAGTGGTATCAGCGGTCCTCAAGGCCGTAATAACGAATTATTTGATACACACCTAATTACTGTACCTCCTACCTGACCCAACCTTTTGACTGACCTGCTCACCTGGTTCCGCGTAATATTTGACTGCCGTAGAGTCATCGATTCCGCTTTGGTAAGGTCCCTGACGCTAGGCACCCAGCTTGGTCTATCGGCAGGCATCTGGCTAGCTGCAAGATGGTTGTGGTAGAGAATTTTTTCTTACTCGAAGGTCACAGACTGAAATGAGAAGAGCAATTCCATCGATAGCACTCTATGCGTCTAAGTCGCGCCATTGTGAGAAATGCTTGGGAAAGCATGTTGAATCACCAGTGCTGAAAACCTGAAAAGGTACAGTAGCATCGACGGTTTTGCCTGAAGGAGGGTTAGCATGTTAGCGAAATTAGGTAAGCACGTCGGGGTGTGAAATGTTGTATTATTGCACTACGACCATTGTACAGCTTCAACGTCAGAATATGGAAACATACATTGGCCCATTGGAGGAAGTGTTCCTCCTCTGTCGCAAAAGATCATATAATAATGCTTCTTTGTTACAAACACGACCTGATTGCTCTGCTTCACGAGCGCCTCAGCTCTGTCACGTCTCCAAAACTAAAGTCATCCTCACACGTCTTCAGCAAGACTGGACTCCGGTGTTCGGATCCTTTCTTGTGGCATATATCATGCATGCTCCAGGGTTGACTTCCAGGGAATCCCCTCCAGTGACCCAAATGAAGACACGCTAGCAGCGGCGGCTCGCGCGGCCCAGTGCACAGCTCGCTTGATGTCGAACTCCTGATGAGCAGACTTCTGGCGGATATAATCAACTGCATAAGCTCCAATGAAGACTGCGCCGCACCCAGTGGTGTCCAAAACATCATCGGCATGGACAGCTTCATATGAAAATGTGACGGGGTCACGCCGCGCGCTCTTTTCACCTGCCACACCCCCAAAGCCTCCCATAGTGACGACCACATATCTTGTGCCTCGTTCCAGCAAGGCAGTGCACAACTTTTCGCCTTCTGAGATCATGGCATCTCTATCCTCGCGCTGGTGCTGCTGCAACGTGGACTGACGGCTCAGCAATGCCTCCGCCTCGATCTTGTTGACTATGAGGTGCTCCAACTTTGGATATAAGTCGCTCGGCAACGCAGAAGCAGGCGCCGCATTGAGCAACACGGGGACCTTGGCTTCGGCGGCTTTTCTGATGCTTTGTTCGACTGTGGCCGGGGGGATCTCCATCTGCAGAATCACCAAATCAGGTGTATGGACTTGAAAATCAACACCAACCTGATCGGGGTGGAGCTCATCATTGGCCCCAGCAAACACCAGCACGTTATTTTCTCCCTTCGGTCCCACAGCGATGCTGGCTACTCCAGTCTCACCACCTTCTTGCCTCAGAACATGTGTAGTATCGACATTGTTGGCATGCAGGGCCTCGACCACTTGAGCTCCGAATCGGTCGCTTCCGACCGCTCCGACCATGTTCACTTTGATGCTGATGCTGGTCGTATCAATACTCCTTCTGCGGTGATGCACATGGTCGTTTCGCTTGGGATGCCGTTGAGTGCTACCGCCGACAATTTGCACGGGGCTAGGTCTAGACAGCCTTGCGCATGCTATTGCCTGGATAGCACCTTTTCCACCAACTGAAGTCTTCCATTTGTTGATCTTCAGGGTCTCGGAGGGTTGAGGAAAATGATTAAGTACCCAGATGAAATCCATGTTGAGCGATCCGATGACAGTTATTTGGCGTTGCGTGGTGAATGGTGCGAGCTTCGACATTCCTTTCGAGTCTCTTCGGCCGAGTTCGGCGTTTGAGTGTCCCGGCATATCTACATTGACCTGGCTCATGGCGTTGAATTGGGGGGCAACCAACAGCGACGACAAGGACTTATTGCGCGCAATGAACTGGTGAATGTTGTACCCACAACGGATTATCGACGCCTGCGGGACAATTTATTATCTAAACCATCATTCTCAGCCTGAGGGTGAACAGGCAAAGCTGGGTGGTTGCGTGGGGTAGTTTTCAGCCTCACGGCTCAAGCAGCTCTGGACGCACCTGCGTCAATGGAATAACTGCCGACAGGCGAAGCAGTACACCACTGGAGTCGCTGAAACTGAGCCACGACGCCTGAACTGGATGAATGGTTTAGATTGGATGGGACCCAGCCCTCGCGCGGGATTTTGCTCATCACGCGAGCTGATGTGGCCAGTACCTGTGGCGGGTTTTCCCACCGGTTTGGACAATACTTGTCGAAGGCGTCTCTAGCTTGACCTTGACCAGCATGACATTGACTACTTCCAATCAGTATCACAATGGAACCGCCTATCGCTGCTCAAGAGCGCATTTTCGCTTCTCCCCCGCTTCAAGGAGCATGGCACGTATGCTGTGTAACTCGAGAATCAGCCAACTTGGCGGGGTTGTCTCTGCTCCGAAGGCAACAAGATGTCAATATGTCTTGTGCCTGGAATGTTGTTATAACTTACATCTGTTGGTTGGTTACATGAGCCTCGATAGGCAGGAGCTTTTCCCCCTCAGCCTGGCTTGCATTGAATATACCTAGTCTCCCATCCGTCCGCACTGGCACGGCGATGTGCGTTCTGCCAAACCTGCAATCACTTCCATCGGAACCTGCTGGCTGAGAAGTGGTCATATACTCAATTTCTGTTATCCTCGATATAGGCTATCCTCAATTTCGCAGTCTTCCAGAATGAGTTCTGCTTCAGATGATGGCTCGTCGTCGGAGGAATTTGGCCCTTTGGAGAGCTTGCATCGAAATATTGCGAGGGACTCATCTTCGCCTCCAGCCAGCGAGCTTTGGCCCCGGTCAAACCAGCCAACCTCCGGGACCGAGAATAACCCTAACAGAGAAGAATCAAGAAATACTGGGGGTATATTCGGGGAGTGGACTGGCCTTTCTAGCGCCGAAGACATTCAGTTCGCAGGTTCTCGTCGACGGGTTAGTATACATCAACGCCGTTGCTCGGTCGAATTTTGACGCTCTGCAACAGGAACAAGCCACCAGAATTTCGCGAGTTGCTCCTCAGGATGACCAAGTGCAGCTCTCTCGTCAAGGCGGGGCGGAACCAGAGCCCCCCAGAAACTCCACTCCTGGACAACTGAAAGAGTTGGTTCAGGCTTTGAACAACAACAATGAAATCCAAACTCACCTGCAAAAAATACGACATGGACCATACTCCAAAGTTTCCGTGCTCCCAATAATGTTCGAAGCGGTAGAACCGTTTCATGAACTTGACAAAGAGCTGGAGAGTGTGCGGACTTGTTTCCGAGACCATTTCGGCTATGCGGTGTACCCGATATTCAAAATCCCACGCGGTAAAGATTCGCACGACCTTGTGAACAAAAAGATTTCCGATTTGGTAAAAGAACATGGCAAAAAGGGCGAATTAGTCATTGTTGTCTATGCTGGTCATGGTATGCGTCCATCGTGGAATCATTTTGGACCAGCTGTCTGGGCAGACAGATCGTCCGCTAACCAAACAGTCAACTGGTCGGAGATACAGCCACTTCTTGAAAATGCCGAGTGCGATACTTTGATCATACTGAATTGCTGCTACGCGGGTAACGCAGTGTTGGGACCCAAGAGAGGTACCACCGAGATATTGGCCGCTTCAGATCGTGACACACAAACCGGTACTCTCGAGAAGTCGTTTCTCAGAGTGGTTGTGGAGGAATTGGTGCGCCTGTCAGTTTCAGCGTTCAACGTCGAGACTCTCCATCACCACGTTGACAAGCATAACACCCTGCGTAAGGGACAGCGCATCCGCACTCCTTTCTATCGAAGACTGCCCGACCCAAAAGTTCCCAGCATTTGGCTCCAGCGTTTGGTTGTACCCGATCGAACGGCACAGCATCCAAGGAGTGAAACTCACATGCAGTCCAATGGATCTTTCTACGTGAAAGTGTCACTGGATGCGACCGAGAATGATTTGGAACTCGAAGCCTCATGGAGCGCGTTCCTCGCGAACGCAAGTTGGCCCGGTGTGAAGGACTTGACTTTCTACACCGAGGACATGTTACTTTCTGAGCTGAAGAATTGAACCAATACTACTGCAACAAGCACAGCTGTCCAATTCTAGGTCAGTGCATCTATTGTGCTGTTTCGACACAATCTACTTGACTGTGCAGGGATACAATACTGTACCTTCTAAAAGGCTTGCTACCTAACGGCAACATGTATCATCATTTATTGCATCAAGACAATTTTGCAAGGAGCAAGACTGTCTGCTGGTGGTGACAGCTGTTGCTCAGGACTGGAGGCTAGAATTGCATTCGGGTCGGTTGTGGTGCCTGCCAACATTGGATACGCACCTACTGTAGGTACCTAAAATAGGTCCCTATCTACTAGGCAGTACATGGACCTACTAGGGAACCTCGTGAAGGATCAATCACTGTACCAGCAGGCCTGTGCAGCTTCTTGCGCTGCATCCATTTACGTTGGGTATACTGCGCAGTCAGACCGTCAGAACCGATGGCAATAATGACCAGGAACAGAGGCTTGAAATACAAAGAATGGATGCGCGCGGTGATTAAAGGTACCGATTGTTCAAAAGCTGCGTCCCACAGAACTGCAATAATTCAGCTGGGGCCTCAGGCTGGAAGCAGGCGGCATCCTCTTTATTCTATTCATAGCATCATCAAATAGGCTGGTTTCAGGTTGGACGCTGGCATCCTGCGGCACCAATCGCAGGCTGGTTCCGCAGCCGCCAAGGCAGCTTAAGGCCTATCAAGGGGCGCGGTTCAAGCCCGAGACAGCCTAAACAGCCTCCTGGGGCCCTGGACTGCGCGACCAATGCCGGACCATGATTACAAGCCCCTACCAGTGCTCACTTCACTCCAACTTTCTTCATCCACGCTGCCAGTGGCACATTCTCGCTTCCAATCCTCCACCCCTGCATTTCTGCCCTCGCGCCTGAGATCCGTTCGAGACGCCGACCTGAATTCTGCCTCGCTCTCGTCGGCCTGTCCGTATTTGACGGTGCCCAGGGCCTGAGCATTCGACACAACAATATTGTCTTGTCTGCCTGTGCATCTGACAAAGCGCTACAACAGCCCTGGAGTACGATGGCACGCGGCTGAGCCATACCGCGCCCACCGTCTGCTATTCTCCTGAGGCCCAGATCATCACGATCCACCAATTTCTCCTTCTCCGATCCGTCTGCTGGCCTTTCTCATTGCGCCATTCTGCACTGCTGGACCCATCCTTATTTGCCAGCGATCCATCTCGCGTTCCCAGTGGATCCGCGCCGCCTCCTGTGGCAGTCCATACTCAGCTTGCCGCCAGCTTCCTCAATCCCATCTTTCTGCGGCCCTCGCCCTCCGCCTTTGCGACCGTTTGCTTTTAGGCTGCGAAATCGATCGTCTCGCTCTGTGCCGGAGTCTCCAAGGTTGGAGCAGGAGGGAAGTCGGTTGTTAAGATCTTAAATCCGCATTCAATTTCGATTCCGGTGTGGATCAATTGATTGAGTAGACAGAAAGAGAGGGCGGACCTGATCTGCTGCGCCGCACTTGGATACGCGCCGAATCTGAAACTGCGAGAACGACCCCAGGCAGGCATCATTTCGTCTTTGTCGCATTTACAGCAACAGTACACTTCTGGTTTGTTTTGAGTGTGGTACGTCAGGTCACTTCCTCTATCGTCGTCCTGCCACAGGCAACCGTGAAATGTGTGGCAGTGAGATGGTTGTTCGCGTGTTCTTCATTAGCAGGCAATATGTCGCCGGACTCTACAGGCGGTGCTGACAGCCATCATCGCAAAAGATCCTTTGATTTAGTGAACAACTATCAATACATCCCGAGTCTACAGCGGCCTCTCCACCATGGTCAGGCGTGGGCAACCTACTCAGTAGATAGCCACGAGTCCGAATTCGCCGCTCCCTCCAACAAGCGGCGACCTGTCCTGGCCAAAGCCTCGACTATGCCGGTCGAGGTTGCCTCGATATTGTCGACGCCATTCCCCTCGGTCATGTCAGTGGTGGGACAAGCAAAAACCACCTTCGTCGAGGATATGGCAGATCCATCATTGCCTCGGACCACACGGGGCCAGTCTCAGTACACTGTCACAACCGCAAAGCCCCCTTCAGAGACGACCGACTGCTCTTCACGTTCTCTCCACCACCGTGACAGCGTCACCTCCATCACGACCGCATCAACCGGATCCTCGCCAGCGACTACACACTCCACATTCGATTCTCCCTTAATCCCGGATCCTTCTCCATCGTCCTCCCCCGAATCCGCATCATCCAATCTTCCTATTTTGCCGTTCAGAAACATAATGGTGAAAAGTCCACAAGAGCAGGTTGTGGAGTTCCATCGTCCTCAAGCCGGTCCGGTGACGGAAACACTCAATGACTTGCCAGCCAAACCAGGGATGATGCTGGAGGAACCAACCAAGAATGTTAAAAACTTATCTCTGAACATGGATGCCGTGGTCCTACCCCGGCCGGCGACCTCTCACGGTTTCGATCCGTCGCACGCCTTTTCCGCTCCACCATCCCCTCTGAAAGACACACCTCGGTCAGGCAGGAGAAAGCCGACCAATTTGACCATTCGGACCCCGGGCTTTCAACAACAGACGTTCTCCAAGACGCTGGATGTGCCCCTTACCTCTGAGTCGCGGCCAGGCTTGCATCACTTCCAATCTTCTCCAGCTCTGGCGTCGTTAGCGTCCCCAAGCAAACCTCCGCCCCAGGGCCTATTTTTGCACTTGCCACCGTCCCATAGCGTGACTTCAGACCCGAAATCTGGATCCAGCAGTTCTGGGCATTCCGCTGGTGGGGCTCTTCCAGACTTGAAGGAGGAGGACGAGTTCCATTTGCAACGGTCTCAAGAAACTCAAGAAAAGGGCTATCCGAAAGGACCAGTCCTCATCTATGACGACGGCGTCTACCTCTATCTTGAGCCCACAGCGGAAGAAGCTAGCAATTTTGATACGGTTATCAACGTGGCGAAGGAGATTGGTTGTCCGTTGGAGATCAAACCTGAGGCACCACGGCACAGTATCTCAGAACCACAGACTGCAATCTCCGAGATATCGTTCAAATCTGCCTGGGAGTGGCCACGCCCAAGCGATGTTGAGACACCCGTTGAGACACCAGTCACTCCTAGGCAGAGAGGCCTGCTCCAGAAAAAGCAACCTGAGTACCTCCATGTCCCATGGGATCACAACTCGGAGATTCTGGAAGACCTCTACACCCTCTGTCGATTGATTGATGAGAGAGTACGAGCTGGGAAGAGGGTATTGATCCATTGTCAGCTGGGGGTCAGTCGGTCGGCCTCACTGGTGATCGCGTATGGCCTCTTCAAAGGATACCAACCGGATTTTCATTCCATGTACATGACCGTGAAGCAACGGAGTCAATGGGTTGGGCCGAACATGAGCTTAATCTATCAGTTGACTGATTTCCGGTCGAAAGTGGCCAAGGGAGCATACGGGGACCATACCTATAATCCTTCGCCGAGCTGGTGGAAACTGCAAGCACAGGAATCTCCTGTCATGGACACCCCAATCGCCAGACAGACTCTCTGGGAAAGGATTCCACCAAGCATTGATTGCCTGAAGATGCCGGCCGCTGCGAGCAAGCCTACCATACCATCTGCAGCAAGAGTTCGGCCACCCTTGAGGGTAAACAAGACTCTTCCGCCTGTGCCTCTATTCCCCAAGCAAGAACGAAACAACCTGGCCACTCCAGTCACCGCAACCAGTAGTGTGGACGACGCTGGAGCGCAAACCGACCAAGAAAGAACAACTCTTGCAGCCACGCCGCTCAGACGAGACAACAGCCCTTTGCGAAGTGTTCCCCCCAGGCCGTTGCCCTTCCGTGAACGTTTCGAAGGGATTGTGGAATCCGTCGTGGCGGCGCCCAAACCTTCTAAGTCACCACGGTTGGGACTATTTGCCAGCTCGCCCAAAATGGACATTGCTTCCCATGATGTTCCTGAAACGCCGACACTCCTCTCTCCTAGAGCGGCCGAGTTTATGGCATCTCCCTTTGGTATCACAGCGGCTGGAGACTTGGCTGTACCAACATTAGCAACCGGTTCCGCCAAAGCACCTTTACCTCCGCAACAAGGGTCATTTCTCACCTCAGATTCCACAAGAGAGCACATTCCTAGTGCGTTCGATCCGAGAAGTCCGCATCAGCAAGGCGAAGTTCCTGAGATATTCAGAAACATCGATGGAGTGCTGTAACCACATTTGCGACAGTTAAGCATTTTTTGGGTTAATGTCTAAATAGACGGGATTTGTCATAACACAGCATGGAGTTAAGGGGATGATGGATTGGAACTGGCCATGACCAGCATGAAAAGCCTTGAATGTCGGGACCTGCCCGGTTTTCGGCGCGGCTCTGTACAATTATTCATGAAGAAATGCACTGGATTGGGTGGTGATAGACATGCTCAGACGAAGATGCATGCAAATATGGATTGGATGAAAGATGTCTTTGTTGGCTGGACACTGGCATGTGAGCCATACCGACTATGCAGAACAATGTAGCTTGTCCTTGGTGGGCAGATCAATTAGCCAGACTTCAACAAGACAATGAGAATAATGGATCAGACGACGATCGTGACTTGCTTGTAGTACTAGTAGCATTTTCTAGCCGTGGGTTTTGGTGGACGTCGGCTTCAACAGAGATACTGTAATAAGACACAAATGACGAGGCTACAAGGCTGCGAGGCGGCGAGGCTGCGCTAAGAAATTCGTCAACCTGCGGCGTTCGATCTGATCTGATCTGACGTACTTCGACTGCGACTCCAACCTGAGCGCGACCGTCTTCCGTGATAAATTGTCTTACTCAAAACATAGACAGCGATAGTTCTATCCGCACACAAACTCACTCGCCTCTGCATGGGTTTACTGGCGTTGAGTTGATCTTACAATGAGGCAACGTTAGTTGTATGAAAAGCCACCTCGGTATGCACCTGAGGTCTCACACTTCGCGTGGGCTAGATCGACGCCGCTGAGATGGCCATGGAACGGACTCGGATTGCGAAGGTCGGTGTCTGCAAACACGTACATTCCGTTTTTTCTCTGTCCTTTACTGACTGAGCGATCATAGGTCGATAATGTCACCCTGTCGCGCCGGGGTGAACAAGTCCATGGCACTCTTCATCTAACACCTCACCATATCATCTTTGTTCACACCCCTCCACCCACAGCTGACAGCAAGCCTGGCCGACCCCGCGAACTGTGGATCACATACCCGATCATCCAGACCTGCACACTGCGGCCCAGTCCTACTGCATCTCGACAACCTAGTTCCATCCGCTTGAAATGTCGCGACTTCACCTTCGTCTGCTTCTACTTCCATGACGACCGCAAGGCCAGGGATGTCTACGATAGTATCCGGGCCTGGACGTGTAAATTGAGTGGAATCGAGAAGTTGTACGCTTTCACATACCAACCTCAAGGGCCGGAGAAAGATGTCACACCTAATGGTTGGTCGCTGTACGATCCCATGCGCGAATTTAGGAGGATGGGAATCGGCGACGATACGAAAAAGTTGAACTGGCGTATATCCAAGATCAATCAGGACTATGGGGTGAGTTGTCTATCTATTACGACATGAGACTGTTTGACCTTGGGTGCTGACTTGGACAGCTATCGGAAACTTACCCTGCCCTTCTGGCAGTTCCCGCATCCATCTCAGACAACACATTGAATTACGCCAGTCGCTTTCGGTCCCGTGAGAGGCTTCCGGCCCTCACATACCTACACCCCGTCAACAACTGCTCTATCACACGCTGCTCGCAACCCCGTGTGGGTGTTCGCGGAAATCGGAGCATTCAAGACGAAAAGCTTCTAGCGGCCATTTTTGACACCACTCGTGCCGAACGTCCTCTGTCCGCTTACACCACACCACCAGAACGAGAAGACTCCGGGTCTGCCACCTCGCTCGATGGAGACCTGCAACCGACAGACACAGAGGCCCTCGAAGATGCGGTGATCTCTGAGCTCCGAGGTGATGCCGAGGGGTCTAATGTGGCCGACTCCAATAGGCCTACGGTCTATGGAGCTCAACAGCGCAACATGATTGTGGATGCCCGTCCCACCTTCAATGCGTTGGCAATGCAAGCAGTAGGCATGGGTTCGGAGGACATGAGTAACTACAAGTTCGCTACAAAGGTGTACCTGGGCATCGACAACATTCACGTCATGCGAGACAGTTTACAAAAGGTGTTTGAGGCATTCAAAGATTCGGACCTGACGCCTCTGGGACCAAACCGCGACTTGCTGCGGAAGAGTGACTGGTTGAAACATGTCGCTAACATTCTGGACGGTGCTGGAATAATTGCCCGCCAGGTCGGACTCCAGCATAGCCACGTACTAATCCATTGCAGTGACGGGTGGGACCGCACGAGCCAGCTCTCCGCTCTCAGTCAACTCTGTCTTGATCCGTATTACCGAACCCTTGAAGGATTTATGGTGTTGGTTGAAAAGGACTGGTTGAGCTTCGGGCATATGTTCAAACATCGGTCAGGGTTTCTCAGCTCCGAAAAGTGGTTCCAAGTTGAAAACGAACGTATCGGCCGAGGAAATGATGATGGCGAAGGGAGAGAACAAACCGGTGGCGGCGCCATTTCAGGGGCACAGAGGACGTTCGAAAACGCCTTGTCGAGCGCAAGAGGCCTCTTTTCCAACAGCAGACACAACGACTCGAGGGAGTCGATCAATGTCGATTCAGACCCAGAACCTGCCGCGAACAATGATCCGGAGCTGCAGGCCGCCAGAAAGATCGTGTCGAGCACCACAAGAAGGGAAAGGGAGAGAATGGCGACCAAAGTCAAAGAGACATCTCCGGTTTTCCATCAGTTCCTCGACGCCACATATCAGCTCTTGTATCAACATCCCACGCGCTTCGAATTCAATGAACGATTCCTGCGCCGTCTCCTCTACCATCTCTATTCGTGTCAGTATGGGACATTCTTGTTGGACAGCGAGAAAGAACGCAAGCAGGCAAAACTGCATGAGAGGACTAGAAGCGTGTGGGACTATTTCCTGGCACGTAGGAAGGAATTTCTGAATCCGAACTACGACCCGATCGTGGATGACAACACTCGAGGCCGCGAAAGACTGATTTTCCCGCGAAGTGAGGAGGTCAGATGGTGGCACGAATTTTTCGGCCGGACGGACGATGAAATGAATGGGAAGCCTACAACCACAACTGCGGCTGCTGCTGCTACCGCCAGTAAGAGTCAAGCTAACGGGACTGGGACCGGCGGGACTGAAACTCAGGAAATGTGGACCTCTGTCGGGAGATCCTCTTCTGGCCCAGGGTCGTCTTCGGCGTCCATGCCCACGTCTAGAGCTAGGACTCCAGTACTTCTGGGCGTCGAGACCAGCGAAGCCAGCGTCGGCTTGACCCCTAATAAGCTGCAGCAGGAACTGAACGGCAGACCAAGGACTCCACTCCGAAACTCGACCAAGACTGGGGAGGTTGACACCGGTAATAGCACGCCCGGTGCAGGGTCCCGCAGTTTTGAGTCGAGGTCTCCTTCCCTGATACCCAAGAACGAAAATACCGACGAGCAGAAGAAGCCAGTGCTCACCACCAATCTGGCTCCGGGGCATGCAAACGAGGAAGAAAAAGAAACGCAATCGAAATCGAAATCGGCGTCCGTTTCCGTGACCATGGATCCTGCCAATGCAGCTGCGGAGATACAAACTGCTGTGGATGACGACCAGCAGCGCTCTGACAGTCACGTCAATGGCGACAACAATATATCAGTTGCAGGCGGAAAGGTACCTACTACACCCCCGCCGCCGCAACAGCAGCAGAAAAACAATACCACCACCTCACGAGAATCAGAACCAGTATCGGCCTCGGCGTCGGCATCGGTGGAAGACACATCAGCGGCACGGATACCTATTCTTACGCCTACGCTTACACAACAAGCCTTGAACGAGAAGTCTGAACCACTCGAACCCGCCAATCAGTCTGCCAGTGTCTCTTCTGCACAAAAAACTCACGACAAGGCCTCAGAAGAGGCCACCGCCGTTTCTGAGCCGGTCGCGGGGATGGAATCACTGTCCCTCACAGCAGCAGACGACCTTGACCCTCTTGGCATCGGCGAGGTTAAGGACCATATCGCCACTTCCAGACGAGCGCAGCAGAGTGCCGTGGAGAGGGAACGCGAGAGAGAACGGGAGAGAGAGCGCCGACGAGAGCAGTTGGACTCTTTGCTCAAGTAGACTTGAAGCAAGCACGAGAAGCACGAGATACTAGTACTACTCAGGACCTGATAATAGTAGTGGTACTAGCTCTGTACTGTACTGGTAGTAGACCACAAAGAATTGAAATGAAACGCAATGAAAATGGAACTGTCTGTGCGCACAAACAAAACATAGTCATTGTACTTGGGTACTGTGGCATGGCGTGACTGTGAGAAAACCCGACTCTTTTGCCAGTAGTGGTTCTCCATCAAGGCGAGAGGAAGCCTGAGGAACTAAGCAGCGCTAGACTACCAGTGCGGACCTGATGCTCATTATTGCGTTCTTCGAGAGAGAGTAGTTTGTACTAGTATGTGGTTTCAATGAATGATATGATGATGATCATATTGAGTTAGATACATACCTATGTACCTGAGGTACCATACATATGGACACACCCAGATACCTCCTACTAAGCAAGACAGGACAAAGGCCAGACGTTTGTTTATGTATACATATGCTCTCGTCCGATTCTGCTGCTTGTTGCGGCACGCATTGCAGTGCCCTATGAATGAGCTAGTGGCGATGGAAAGTATTCTACTAGCAGGAGTGCATGGACTAAAAGTAGTACTAGTACGGTAGTACATGTCGTAATGCTGCAACGGCAGCGTAGTCAGTATCGAACGGTGGAAGAACATTTTCGTTCTTCCAACCCATTTGCAGAGGACCAAAAGAGGCCGCGCTGTTCTCCTTTTTGTGCTCCGGTCGATCCAATCGACTGACTGGCTGATTGATTCTTGGGGAGACCTTGAACATGGACAGTAGTATCATCGATGGCAGTGCCAAATCAGACGAAACCAAGTGGATGAATCGAAGCCAGCAGAAACCATTAAAGTTGTTTTCACGCACAGCCGTGGGATGTGTGCTTGCCTTGATCAGCCACCAGCTTGATCCCTCGGAGTCTAGTCCGACGTGATGGGGACTGGCCCAACATAGCGAGTCGGTCATGCGGGAACCTCCTTTTTCCCATTCCCTTGACGCTGGGGAGAATGGGCCGCAGGTGTCTGGGCGTATCAACACACAAGCATACATAAATCCGTCTCACTGACCATGAGTGTGGTGCAAAGGTGTCACCCCATTGCCGCTCGTTGGATCTTGAACCACTCAAGTTCAAGTAATCAGAGTCATGCTGTGCTGCGACGTTCTCCGATCGCACCATATGAGGAACGCCAAATGCGAACGAGCTTCTCTCCACCTGGCAGCGCTGTGCAGCGCAGCTGCGGGTTCATGGAGGGTGCATCATTTAGTGTGGATGGAAGGCGGGCAGAAGAAGCAATTGGTGATGATCTGTGTGGTAGGCTTACTGTCCAGCAGAAAGAAATACCACTTGTAGCGAGCGGCAAAGAACGTGTCATCCCTTGCATGTATTGGTCAAGGATGCGCCCAGTGACCTGCCACGGTGATGTTCCAGAAGGTGGATCTGGCTCGCTCTGGGTGTACAATCCGGGTTGGGTCGTACGGACTCTATGTACCCCTTGCACAATGGCTGGATCTCGACACTCGGCGGTCGGGTGGCACCAGCATGGGACTGAGTGCTAGGTCCCATGTGGAATGAAGGGCTGGTTTTTTGGTTTCGGGCTGCAAAATAATGGAGAGTCTGGCAAACCTCCTGCAGAGGACTTCTGTGTATAATGTGAGCCGTGATGTCGGCCTGTGGTTGCACTTGACCAAAGACTCGACAAAACTTGAATTTCTTCCCCACATCATGATCTCCCGATGAGATAGCTCGGCTGCTGGCGACAAGACTAAGTAGTCCTCGGGTCTGGGGGCGGTCCGCTTCGGGGGCTGACAGGTGGTGGAGTTTAGGTGAGTGGGACATCGCCATGCAACTGCTGGCAGGAAACATCGTGGTGTGAGAATCGTATCGCCGCGTCCGTGGGATTGGTCGAGCGTATTCCTAAGCGCTGGAGAAAGGAGAAGTCAGTCGCATTGACGAGCAAATCTGCAATGTCAGCAACCACCACTGCAGTGGTCATCACAATAACATCATTCTCTGGTGCCTCCCAAAGTCGATGCTGTCTCCACCTCATCCAAGCAGTTCGTGGAATATTCACATGGCCCAAACGACAGAATGACCTTGTCTGACGACTGACGGGTTCTCTTTGGGCCTGATGTGGACGGGTATGACCTATTGAGCCACAGTGTCTCGTGTCGTGTTGGGTGTTCGACAACGCAGCTCTAGGCTTGCATGACCTCGAGGGTACTATCTTGGAAGAGATGGACCACTAAAAGTTGCTGTGTATGTGAAATGTGACACATTGCTGCAGGATGACAGCTCAAGAACAAGCAAATGGGAAGAAACGATTGAACGTTCGACGCCTGGGAAGATGCCTGGCACACTGTTTGATTATTGGAGATCGGCAGAATATCGTGTGGTTGGATAGAGATGGCTGGATTCAGCATTGTCATGGTTTTCCACCTAGAGCGAACATCAGACAAAGACATCTCAATCCCGCTAGGCCAGCACCTACTGATTTTTGCTACCTATCTTTGTCACAGCATGCCTGAGGCAGTAGTGGGACTCAGGTCGCCAACGGAAGTAGACTCGGACGCGAGAGGAACCATGTCAGGCCTGGCTCGGGCTGACAGGGCTTTCGCGAGGAAGGGCTGCTACTAGTAGTGTGGTTGGGTGGACAGTCGGTGCCAACGATCTAAGGTGCTCTAACTGGGTAGAGCTTGTTGCTTACAACCGCGAGTCATTCGGGGAAGAGAAGAGTAACGTGTAGCAGAGGCTCTGGTACAACAAGTTGCAAGTACAGGTATCAAACCACGCCACACGGCATGATGGTATCGGAAACGAGAGGATGAAGCGCAGGTGAAGGGCCAAGGGCTTAGGAGACTCCTTAGGCCTGTAATTTCCAGGGAAGGTAGTAGTAGTACTGTAGGCTCGGAAGGGCCGGTGCCTGCGCCAGTGCCAGTGCCCGTGGTGGTGCGGTACTGCGGGAGCGGAATCAGGGGCCGCCGTATGATTTACAGTACCTCCACAGGCGACGGGCTCGGACTTTTGGTGCCCACAGGATATGGATTTTCAGGTGCAAACCGTGTGGTTATGGGCGCCTTGCAATTGTACTTCCAAGGTTCCAACATCTCAGGCCTTTTTCTCAGGCTGCTGTCGGCTGGGCAGAACCACAGAACCACTGATATACCATCTCCAGCTCCAATGTTTGAGTTGCTTCTGTTCATGACGACACACCACCAGTAACGCTCTGGAGCTGCAGACCGCGTTGCCTTAGGTCGTCTACAATGTTACCAGGTGATACTAACTTCGTACACTGGGTGGTGGCTTGCCGCCGAATGTGCCGTGTAAGACTGAGCACTGTCAGAGTCCAACGGCCTTAATGCCAGTTCCAGGATAGGGCTTCTTTTGAGTTCTTTTCTGTGTTTGTCGCCCACTCGTTCCCAGGGTCAGGAGGCAAACGAGTCCAACCGCAAGGATCGTATGGACTAGGTTGCTGGATATGCACAGGCAGATACAGTACCTGCGAATCGGACTTGCCTCAGGTACGGTAGGGAGCAAACAGACTGGAATGCCAATAGTCATGCTAGCAATCTACAGAGCTGCGCATGGAATCGTGATGAATGCTGCCTCCGATATAGTTGTTGTAGTCTCCCCAACGCGTCCCCATCCATCTCAAGCACTTCCTTGCTCTTGTCTGTTACAGGCTCTGGCTCTGTTTTGAGACAACATCTCACCAACTACCCTACTCTACAACTGTACACCACCTTTCAATCCATCAACAGTACTGCCATCAGCCTAGAGATCAGTGGCACTTCTCATACAAGCCGGGGATCAGCCAATTGCCATCACCATCCCGACAGCCGTAGCACAGGCGAGAAAAATTGCCGCAGTCCAGGCCGCCGTCCAGGGGTTACATAATCACTGGGATCGGAAACTCTTATCGACGATCGGGGGGCTCAGAGCACCCGCGTCGCCGCCGGCTAAGCCCACTCTGCACCCAACTTGAAGGCTACCAGGCCTAAGGAGCCACCCTGCCACTGGCCGAGTGCCCAGTTCCTAGTTACTCCTGCTACTGCTGGTAGGGGTAGTCGTCGTCGTGTCAGTGACTGACGGTTACCCGAAGTCTTTCCCAAGACTTCTCCCTTCACATCTGGCACCACTCTGCCGCCTCCTTCTGTCACTTCCTCCCTTTCTTTACTTAACACGTCAGCGGCTTCACGCTGTCTGCGCCAAACTCAGAGATACACAGCGTCCCGATCATTATTCGGTCTTGTTACCATAATTTGCGCCGTCGTTGCTTCGAGATCGTTGTTACCAACCACCCCAAATCAGCCAAACTCCGACCGCCGACGGGCCACCATCATGCACGCCACGACCACTCGTTGACCGCCTTGTACAAAACATTACATCGATCCACCGCTCTCTCTCCCAACTCCTTTCTCCCCTTGTAACAACAGAATATGGCCTCCCCTCTCCCTCCCGACCCTTACGCAGCGTTGGGGGTTACCAAAGATGCAGACATCTCTGCTATTCGCACCGCTCACCGCAAACTCGCCCTCAAGTTTCACCCGGACCGGATCAAGGATGAAGCACAGCGGGAGAGAGGCAAGGATGAATTTCAAAAGATCCAACAGGCGTATGAACTTCTCAGCGATCCAGTCAAAAGATCACGGTATGATGACAGGGTTCGGTTGGCCGAACTCCGTAGAGAAGCCATGATGAGAGAACCGGTATCGAGAGAAGTGCCACCTACTCCCCAAAGCACTAGCAGAGCATATCCCATGAGACCGGCACCTCGGCCCTCTCCGCATACGACTCCTGCTCGAGAATACCGCGAAGAGGGGAGTTATTTCGAGGAAATTCGCCAGCCCCGAAATGCTCCTGCATACGACTATCGGGATCCTTATGATGAAGCTCCTCCGCGAACCACCTCAAGAAAGTATTCTGACTACGAAAGAAGAGCGCCTCCGCCTACAAAACCTGCCGAGAAGTCCAAGAAACCCTCAAATGTCTGGCCTGGTGTGATGGCGGCAGCTGCAGCTGCAAAGTTGAAGACCCAGGCAGAAAAGACGAGAAGCAGCAAGTCAGAGGAGAAGATCCGGGATCGGGAGAAGCGACGAGAACGGAGCGAAAAAGTACAAACCAGAAGAACAGCATATGTTGAGGACTCGGACTCTGAACCCAGCTATCCGGAGATTAGGCCTTCCCTCAAGACGGCATCCCGCTCAAAAACCACTTCTCATGTTGAACCCGCATCTGAAGGGACCCGTGCGAGGGCCACGCGAGCCGGGAAAGTTCACGACCCCGACGATGACTCCTTTGACCCCAAATGGGAGAGACACCATGAAGAGAGCAAGGCATATATGGCGAAGGCAAAAGCAACCACCCGCCCGACTTTGGACCGAAACGGTTCAGACGCGTATCAATACTGGGTTGGAGATTCACGAAATGGCGGTCGCAGAAGTGGTAGCGATAGTGAGAAGCGGCCAAACTCTGCCAAGGGACGCCGACCATCGGTGGAAGATTACTTTACGACGCCGTCCTTCTCGAAGTCCACTTCATCTCCTAGCCATCTACGTGCCCATGTTGAGGAGCGTGCTCCGCCGAGATCTTCAGCCGGGACGGGCCGTGACCGGGACTACGACCGAGTTTATGACCGCGAACGCGACCGCGACCGTGACCGGGAGCGTGACCGGGAGCGTGAACGTGACCGGGAGCGTGAACGTGACCGGGAGCGTGAACGTGACCGGGAGCGTGAACGTGAACGTGACCGCGATCGAGATAGGGACCGAGGTGATCGTGATCATCGGAGAAGAATGCCGCCAAGTCTAGCTCGCTCTCAGACCGCACCAGTGCCCAAGCTTTCGACTAAAAAGGACAACGCTCCTAGTAAGGGTTCTAACCTCAAGCACGCCGAAACACAGATGCACGATTCGGGCTATGGAAGCAGCCCCAGTCCTCGCACTCCAGAAATGAGGGAGGAAAGCCCGCCCAGACCCCGACAGAGATCCACGAAGTACCAGGTCCTGGATCCAGTTGATGGCGATGATTACTCACGGACACCGCGCGTGAACAAAATCCATGACGATTATGATGATCGTTATTCCAGGAGATACCATCACAGCCCAGAGTCCATCATTCGAGAACCCCCTCCGCGAGACTTCGATCGTCGCAAAGAACGACCTGAACGACCCAGGGTCGAGACAAGACCTTCCAAGTCTTCACGCGGTGCCACCCTGATGGAAGATTTTGTTCAGACCTCTCCTCCTATTCGGCGAACAGAGTCAGGTCGATACGAAGATCGGGCCTCCCCACGGTCGCCGCGGGACACTCCGCCTGTCTCGCGTCACAACAGTGGCCGTGAGAAGCTATTTGCGGAGATATCTCCTGAAGAGACCAGGTATACTCGACCTTATCCGGCTGACAAAGTGCACATTACACCCCGGCGGGAGCCTCAATACACAACATACATGCGCGATGCCTCCGATTACCGTGACGGCGAACAATCGTCACGTTTCCGGGACCTCCCCAGAACGAGACGACCGTCTGTTAGCGTGGGAGGATACTAACGACCATTCTTTTTCTTTCGACTCGCTTTTTTGGCGTCTTCGGTGCTGGCTGTTTGATCACCATCTCTGATCCTGTCTTGTTTAGAGCATTATGACATTCTTTACAACAAACATGACGTCTGCACATACATATTCAGGACATTCCTGTCACCTGCATTCTGCATTTTTAACTGGTTCAGATACGGACTTCCCATGGGTCAGGAAATGGGATAGCATCGATGGTGTTGTGGTCGGAAGTAGGAAGGATGGAGAGACATCAGTAAATATGGATCCAAGGTCGATTCAAAGAAGCATAATTCAGGTTGACAGGACGATTCTGGTTCGTACATATGCGCATACGGCTGGTTTACTCGGCCTGGAAGGCCAAGGGTGATTGCACAGCCTATATTTGTCCTCGCAAGGACTTGACGACTAACGAAATGCGATGAACATAAACATGAAATGCATATATGCGTATTTAAAGTTTTGGTCTCTGTATCCACGATTCTTCAGGTTTTTGCTTCTGTGCAGCGGTAAGAATGAGCCAACCATCTGGGCTTATGTAAAGTACTGGCAGCTTAAGCTGGAAATGGGTTTGTTGACATGGGATCCTTGTCAAGCGAATGAAATAGGCTTGCGAGAGTTGACCTCTAGACAACGGCAACTCTGCCCTCATGCCTCACTGCTGCATCATATCATGCCCTTCTTACTCTGATGTTCTGTGCTTTGGCTGGCTTGCATTGTTTTCAATATCTTAGTATTGTAGCAATTGATTGACCTGATCCGACACCTGTTTCTCCTCATCTTTTCCGCCCTCTGCGTTCGAAGCGATCCTCCCTTAGACGGGCAGCACCGTCCTCCTGCAAGCCCTTGGTTACGAGGGAAGTCCAGTGCATGGACTGAGGTTCTAGCCTGTTGACTCTTATTCGATCTGTTGAAACCTTCCCTACTGCCGTCCATTTCCAGAGCAAAGAGTTTGCATGGCCATACCTCTGGTCCAATGCACACGACCGCATTCGCCCTGATTTGAGGGGAAGCCCAGTTTGCGACCAGCATCGTCGATAAAACTGGACATGGCAGGGGTGGCCTCTGCTGGGGTGACGACGACGGTCTCTCATGGGCCAAAATCACCATACGACGTGGTGAGTTTTGACTTTCTATACTACTGGGTTGTGCCAGTAGGTGGTTGCGAATGGGTTCAATGTCACACAAGTTCACGTGTACCACCTGGCTCTGACAATTTGACGCCTCTAGAATACCTTTTCCAACCAAAGTCGTCCCCCGGGTCTAAGGCAGCTGTCTCCCTCCTCGGCACGCACGCCGCTATCTAGCCTGCCTCCCAATCGAAAGGACAACGGTGTCCATGGTCGACCGGCCCATAACAGAGTGGGGGAATTGGGTCAAAACCAAGGCAACTTAACCCGTAGTGGGAGTGAGGCGGACAGTCTGCTCGATTTGTACGGAAACAACGCCAGTAGTGGCAATGTCAGTCGACAGCCTAGCGAGAGCGACGTTCCGGAAAACATGTATCGACCGGAAGACGACGACCCTGAAGGCTGGATCCACAGGGATAAGTTGGCCAAGATTGAGAGTGAGGAGCTACAAGCTGCCGGAATCAATTTGGCTAAAGCGAAGCGGAATGTGAACAGTGGTGGAACACAAGACATTCACCTTGGTCGACAAACCGAACCTCGCAGTGCGTCACAATCCGGACGCCATACTACAGAAGAAGAACGACCACGGCTGGATGAAGGCGAGGAAGATGAAGATGACAGGACAAACTGGGATTTGCGCACACCGGAAGAGATTGCGGCCGACCATGAATCACCACGGATAACACACACACCGATGTTGAAGAAATCTGGATCAAAGATACCAGTTCTAACATCAAGTCCTCTACCGATACCACAAGACAAAATCGACCGAGATACGCCCCTGGCGAGAAAGCGTACTATTAGTAATAGTATGAGCCCTGAGGAGGGAATACCCCTTTTAAGGCCACGAAAACGGAGGGGAAGTACAGGCAGCCACCCTGGGCAGACGGACACCGGGTCGCATCATGCAACGCCCGTATCAATCAACGGCTCAAGGCGCGCTTCCAAGACTGCCTCTGCGTCTCCCACCAAGACCAAACCGAAAACCGGTCAACCGTCGCCTCCAGGCACCTCGGCAGGAAGGAAGGTTTCTACTACAAGTAGGAAACCGTCCAGCAATGTCAAGACCGGGCAAGGCGGTTCGCCTTCGGTAGGCCAGCGACCTGGAACCAGATCTGGAGAGCTCGATCGTCCGCGGACAGCGGTCAACAGACCAGAAGGTGATCCTCCGTGGCTGGCAACGATGTACAAGCCGGACCCTAGGTTACCTCCTGAGGAACAAATCATCCCAACACACGCTCGGCGACAGCAGCAAGCCCAGTGGGAACAACAAGGAGCCATCCCAACGACCTACGATCGGAACTTTTCACCGCTGGCCATCCATACCGGCAATGGACTCATTAAGGCTCCGTCACCTGTTTCGTCTCCGTCTCCTTCTCCTGAGAGGCAAGAAGTCACTTCTGGAGAAGGCCCCTGGCCATTGAAGCCAGTGCCGAGTTATGGCAACTCTGTCGGTGCAAGGCCTGGCACCAGTGGGAGTAACCGGAGTAACCATGGCGGGTATACCACAATGCCAAAGGTGACGAGTCCAGCGATTGTACAGAGCCCTAGGATGGGCAACGTTTCCACCATGCCGGCTCAACCAAGCAGAAGTCAAGTTCAACGTCAAGAACACAACGATGCAGAGGAGAAGGTCAAGGATAAGTCCTGTGGATGCTGCATTGTCATGTGAGACTAGGGGGCGTGGGGACTTGTTTCTGACTCACGACGATATTGTGCTTTTGCTATTTACTTGCGTTTACGTTTGGGTATGGGGTTTTATACCGTCTTTTGCTTTGATGCAATTCTAGCGGGAGTGAGGTTTATTGCGCCGAAAATCGCACCAACAGGGCCTTTTGATTTTCTCCTTCTTTTCCAAAACATCCTGGATGCACCGTTGCCCACTCATTGCAGGGGCACTGAAGGAGGTGGATCGTGGTAATAGTTCAAATCAAGTCATGGCAGGCGAGGCGGTCACCGTTCAAGTTCAGCCTTGTCTTCATTTCGGACCATGAGATATTCTATACAGTCGACCAGAAGTTGAAATTACACATTGTGCAGCAACAAGTCTGCTTTGCACAAAACCAACTTAGTATTGTCTTGGTGGATGGATTCACTGATTCACCGCAGTATCATCGGCTGCCTGGCTGCCATGGAAAGGGTGTGAGAGTGCACAATAGCACAGGTAGTGTTGCTCGCTGCCTGTAGCGATGATAAAGAGCCACTGCACCGCCACAAAAGTGAAATGCGCCACAGCATCTGAGCACGTCATCAAAGCCTGATGAGCCACAAGCTTCTTTACCGGCCCGTACATCGGTCCTCGTCCCCGGCAGTGGCACTGGCACCCGCTGAGTCGGGATCTACCACTCTGCGCTCATCACCACTACTGAACAATTTGTCACCAGCATTCACTGCGCACTTCCCCCTCTACTTGTTCGTCCACTACTACAATTGCGCAATCAAAAAGACATACCCTGAACGGATTAGCAATCCTGCATACTGCACATTGCCACGTCTCTTCACGCATATACATATATCACGCCTTCAGTTCACCACTCTTCCCCGCCAGCCTCCTGCGTCTCTTTGAGAACAGTCAATAACCGCCACCATAGCTTTCTCAATCCTCGCCTCCCTACGCAACACGACGCGTACATTCTTCTCGTCGACACCCACGTTCTCCTCCGCCACCATGTCGGCCGCAAAGCAAAAGGCGCAGCAGATCATCGAGCAGAACCCGGCCGTGGTGTTCAGCAAGTCGTACTGCCCGTACTGCCGCGCCACCAAGAGCCTGCTGAATGAGAAACATGCAAAGTATTACTTGTTGGAGTTGGACGAAGTTGGTAAGTAGGAGAAGAATAAGACCTGGTTTGATTGTGTGTTGACCTCGATCGCTAACGCTCTTTTCGGTCAATAGAGGACGGTGCAGCCATCCAAGACGCACTGGAAGAAATCACCGGCCAGCGCAGCGTGCCCAACATCTTCATTGGCCAAAAGCACATTGGCGGGAACTCGGACCTGCAGTCCCGAAAGGGCGAGTTGGATTCGTTGTTGAAGAGTGCTGGTGCGGTTTAAGTCGGTGATTGATTGAATCTGGAACATGGATGGATGGAATCGTACCAAGGGAGGCATCGGTCTGGACAATCGATCTGAATGGGCTGGATTCTCCGGGCTGGTTGGTGTCCACGCTGATGCCGTTCGTTGCTGCGGCTTGGAAGCTCACGGCCCTATCGAGCATTGTTCTCTTTACTACTGCTGGAGATGGACCGATGAGTTTCGGAGAAGGCATTATTACCATCCGTTAGCCGATCAGCTCTTTTCTTTACACCGGTGATAGAGATAAAGAATTGGTGGAATGATTATTGCTCGGACACGCTCCCTGCGATTGCTCGCAACATTCGGATTGTACGAAGGCTCGTTTTCAAAATCTGTTTGGAGGTTCTTTCTTTGCTGTTTCATTGTCATCGCTTTGTGTTGTTGCATCCCTTTCGTTGAGTCCGCCGCCTGCTGTTCGTGATGATGCTCTATCAAGCCAATGCAAGACCGAAAATGCGAACCAGAAAGGCCACTACTTTCCCCGCTATAGCCTTGCTTGTTGTGCTACTGTGTTGTCTTATATTTTATTCTCTGGATATTCTTCAGTGTACTAGGCAGTACTACATGGGACCTCCAATTTACCCCTTCCCTGACTGTCCACAGCCTTATTCACGCCCGGGCCTCCCGCTCCCGAGCAGGAATGAAGGCAGGCAGACAGGCAGACAGACATCAGTCTACTCAGGTCACTTCGATGCCACGAAACCTTGCAATTGTTATTATCTAGGGCAACAGAACATACCTCTGGTCGCTCTTATTATACGTAGTCGGTAGTCCATACCAAGCTAGAAAGTGAAATATAAAAGGACGAATTGGAAATAAATACGTAACACTGCAGGCAACAATGCCATACTAGTACTGAGAAAACACCACTACATAGGTACATAGTACACTCATAGTGAAAACATGCGGTGACACAAAGGCAGAACAGACACAGGCATGCCTTATTTCCATGACTCAACTTGTTCCTTGATTCAATTTCCCTCACGAGTCCAGAACCCTCGGTCCTCGAGCTTCAAATACTGGAGCGGCGAACGCAGCAGATTCTCCTCGCGGATCACCCTGGCGATTTCCTGGTGGTGAGGCAGGTCGCGGCGACTGATGAGTTTGGTCGGGTCGTCGAGTCTGTTGTAGATAGAGAATATGAATATAAATGTAGATATACCGAGAAAACAAAAACGAGAGCATAGGAATCAGGCAAACAGAAATTATTCATGGCTGCTGGGCGGGGCCACATCAGGCTCGGGGTCACAGGGATGAACAATGAACAGTTCTAGGGTACCGATATGTAGGCTGATTAACCCCTGGCGTCTGAGGATGTCAAGCCAAAGGGATGAATAGATCAGATGATAAGTAGCAAGCAGCTTGTTCTTTCTTTGCATTTGTGATCAGAGCCTTGCCTTGCTCGCGGGATGGATTGAAAGTATCGAAAGTACGTGTACCTACTCAACGAACAGACAGCAAAGGTCGACGGGTAACGGGACAAGGAAATGACCAGAGGGAAGAAATGTCAAAGAAGCAAGGACCAGGACAACATAGTACTGCAATGGTGACTGTAATGTAGGTGCCGGGCTGGGCAACACATAGGTATTCACGTACCGAAAAACGACATAAAATTCCGTTACACCACCATGCCCACGCTCGCGATCATGTTCGTCCGGATCACTTTCGACTTCACGGACGGCGTACCAGCGATAATACCTGATCCAGGGCTCGTGGGTTTTGACGGCTTGTGAAACTTGTTCGATCAATTCGGCAACGCGGTCTTCTTGTCCTTTGACGGGGGATACCAGGACCATAATGTTTGGTGGGACCACTGCTGGTGCTGTTGCGGACATGTTTGCAGAGGAAGAGGGAGATGTTAAAGGTCTCTGTGTAGAGATGTTTCCCCGGTCTGGTCACCCCGTTCAAGTTTGCAAAGCAAGAGTGGAATTGGCGTCGAAAAGGTGTGTTGGGTGTAGTCCTGGAGAGGTATATGGGTAGTGCTCTGGTGCTAGTATAATGCTGCAGTACCACACTCTTTAAGTGTCCCTGAGAAGGGCTGGACTCATGTGGACATATGTAGTTCAAGTTTGATCAGTCTGTGAAGCGAACAGTTGATTTAGGTAGTCGGACTGAGTGGCTATCTTGTGGCTTCACTTTTTGAGCGGCTGAGCCTGGGCGTGTCCAGCACTTTTGGTACAATATTGTACGATGCTGTTAGTGGAAGAGGGAGGGGAAAAGGGAGATGAGCAGTGATGGGTACAGATATCAGAACATCTGCAGATGTGATCAAGACAAAGTGCGCGAGGTATATACTGTTGCTAAGGTAGGTAGGCCAGCTTCCGCAGAGCTGAACTGAACCGCTGTTCAGACCCCTCCAGACCCGACGTGGGCGGCTGTACCTACCTAGGCAGAGGTGTCTGGGTGTGTAGACTGAACCCTGTCACCATCATTCTCGTAAAGGAGCACCACTGTATGGCATCCCAGCTGGGCTTGATCTCAGCTTCAGCTTCAGCTGCATCCACCAACCGTTCGATGACGAAAGGCAAGACGCCCCCTTGCTTCACGTAAGGAATTTGACCCAATTCAAGTCCTTGGATGAAGGTTAGGTAGTTCACGAGCCATGCAAGGAGTGGGTGAGTGGGTGAGTGGATGAGTGATACGAACTGGAAGAACTTGAACGAAGCGGTGCTGGGTGAGAATGGTAGAGGAGGGGATGTCAATCCCGTCCCAGAAAATAGCGGGAAGTTACAAGTACGAGGAGCATCGCATATACAGCAACAGACCGCATACCGCCGGCCATTACAGTACTACTCATTGGACAAGCGGCTCGTATTCCTCTGGTAGAAGTTTTTATGTCATAGTTTGGTCTAGGACTGAGGGCGATTCGGCAGGATCTCCCAAAAGCATGTCTGAGGACGGGTCTGCTCTTGTGGAATGGAGCGCGGTTCAGATGAAGAACAAGAAGAAAAGAGGAAACTTGACTGCAATGGTCGACACCGGGTAGACTTAGACCAGATCCGCTTACTCGGGAGCCTGAATGAGATGTGTTGATGACTTCTTGAGGAAGAAATTGAATGAGATGAATGCTTGTTACCCTAGTATCTCTCCTCTGTCTAACTCCATCGTATGGAGGTATGAATATTTTTACAAGCCTAGCGAACGTCCACAGGTGCAAGATATCTCGTCTTGGATTGAGACTCCCTGCAGTAGCATCACGATGCTAGTACCTCAAGAACACATCCAGACACTTGAGGAACTGCATATCTCACTGCTAACTTCAAACCACCTGCGTGGCCACTGTCCCAACAGGACGTTCGACAAATTCCATCACGCCATTGATGACGCTCTGCCTGGCGGGCTCACTGCTGACCGTCTTGCCTGCAAGGTAATTCAACCACAACAACCTACCCACTCTCTCATCGGCAACCTCGCCCATCTTCAGCTGATCGCCCTTTTTGTCTTCCGTCCACACGGTCATCTTGCCGGCGGCGTCGCGAGACAAAAGCAGAGTTTCGCCCTTGGGAAGCTTGCGCCTGGCTCCGCCGCCAAAGGCCTGTTTGAAGTCATTCAGCGCCGACCCGAACGACTCGTCCTGGAACGACGGGTCGTTGCGGTCGCTGGCAAAGTGAGCGCTCCGAGCCGTAATGCCTCGAACAAATCCATCACGCAAATGCATGAAATCCGTGTTGCGCGTAGGCACGATGCGGAACGCCATCCTCAAATGGCCGTCTTTGAGGATGTTGTTCCAGATTTCTTCGCCGCGGTCCGGATCGAGGAGAAGGTCGCGGAGAGTCGCTTTCTCGTTCGGAACCAGAGTCGTCGCAACGGGGTCGGCGACCGAGTGCACGAGGCGGTCTTGCAGGCCTGCAATGTCGCTGACAGCAATGTACAGGCCCACCACGTAGACTTGAATGCTGAGGAGTGAGACTGTCCGCACACCAAGGCCAACGAGTTGGTATTCCTCGTCTTTCTGGGTCCCTTCGTTTGCCGCTGCAGGAGTCGCGCCGGGGGCGTCCGTGGTCAGGTGAATGATCTTGGGGAAGTAAGGGATCGTAGAAGTGCCGGTGGGAACTTGTTCGACTTCATTGTCCGTGGTGGTGGCACCGCCGGTGACGGTGCCTGCTATCGAAGGCGGAGCATCCAGTTGTGCCACTTTTGTTCTATCCGAGTTCGAGTCTTTCTCTTTATTCTTTCCCGGAGCCGGGTAGAGCGAAATTGTGCCGAAGATAGCCAGGGTGCAGAGGGCAATGCCATAAGCAGACCATCGGATACGCTTCAGTGTTTGTGCTCGCGCGGCTTTGGTCGGCTCGACCACTGCCTCTGTCTTTTGATAGCGACGTTTAAGGAACTCGGCTGACCCGTAAGTCGGGATCGGGGATGTGTGGGAAGCATTGGATCGTGTCGTTTGCGAGATATACCGAGCAATGGAAGTGGGTTTGTATTGTAGGTGTGATGCGCTGCATCTGCACACACGACGAGCGAGCAATGTCCTGAGTGGTGAAGTGTTCATCTTGACAGCCACTGGGATGCTGGCGCAAGAATGTGTTATTTAGAGCGACAACTTGAAGATGTGTGAAGGCTGCGATCACAGGTTCATTATGCTTACAGCTGATGTTCAACTTGTACAACGGACAGTAGTGAAGTACCTACCAACCTCTACTGTGCTATAGTTGTACCTAGGTACCTATGACGGACGCCAAGGTTTACTCCATTAATGGGCTCGCGACCGCCCACGCCATCACAACTTCAACGATGTAGATAGCCTGATATAAATGACAAACGACCCAACCTCATAAGTTGGTGTCATAAACAGGTCCACGGTCGCTTGGGCGTACGCCCCAAAATGACTTCGATCGCAAGCATTTATGCTTGGAAATCCTGGACCTGTAATTGATATCCGTACTGTCGTTGTCTCGGGCACGCTTCGTGACAGTTGGTTAAGTCCACATATAACAAAGACCCGACACCGCCTGTTACCAAATCACGGAAAACGTTTTTCGATTACTGCTAGTAACTACTTATACAAGTCATGTCCCAGCCATCATGTCATGCACCATGCCCCAAATCGAGGCTCAGCTCGTATCTCGTAACTCGCAGATCCTTGGAAATCCTTACTCCAGCTGTATTATCGAAGCACTTGTTGTGGCCGCCCTCGAAGCCGCCGGAAAATTGAAGCAGAACCTTGATGAGCCCCATCTCTGATGTCTCCATTCCACGATGACTGAAGGGCTTCGAATGAAGTGGACTTCTGAAGACGCAGCAAACACCACAGAGCCCGCCACCATGTGTGCAACTCAGATACCCTCGGCCTTGTGGACGCCATTAATGCTCGAATAATCGGCATCCGCACCCGGGTTTGCCTTTTCCTCCGGTTCGAGCTCGAGGCCAGCATTCGCAAGGACTTTGTCGACTTGGCTAGCAACACCGGGGATGCCCTCCTTCAGAGCCTTTGCATAGATTTTGGCGAACTCCGCAAAAGCGTGCTGTTTGCCGTTGATCACCGCATTGCCCCGCTGGACATTTTCCACAAAGTCTCGAGTAAAGATATCAGGGTTGCGGCCATCATCCACGTAGTCAACAATCTCGGGTGCAATCTGGACATTGTGGATGTAGCTGTTGGGCGACGCCGTGGTCGAAGTCAAATTCTGCAGACGTGACAGGGACTCGGCCAGCTCGGTCATCTTGTCCACCAACAAGTCCTGAGTTTCGGGAACATAGCCATGAGTCTGGATTTGGATGTCGGTCAGCTCTTGGATAATGTCCTTGATGGTGTTGTGTACGCTGCTGGTGTCTTTGACGGGGGCCATTGCTTGCGAGCTGGCTGCCACCTCCTGAGAGTGCGGCGCGACCAGTGTAGAATGAGTCTGGCGGGAATCCAACGTGGTGGGGGATGTTGCGCGATCTGATGTTGTTGCTGTGCTTTCACCCTCGACTAGACCAGCTCCAAGGTGGTTGTCTGTCTGATATAGCTCACGCGATGGTCCAATTGCAGCAGCAGTACCGGTAACAAGTTCGTAGTCGTCCGTTGCCTGAGAACTCGTGGGTGTGTTGGCCGACGAAGGGCTGCCGGACTTTTCTACAACAGATCGAAGAGCGCTGGGTGCAAGCTTGAGGGTGACGAACGGACCACGAGACGCAGCCGATCGTCGAAGACCTTCGGACGGAACACGTAGACTCACAAAAGTCGATGCCGGACGGTTGTGCTTTTCGGGAGGATTGATGCCTTCTTCAAGTTGAGTCTCTGGAGTGGTGGTTCCGACATTCAAGTTTGTGCTAGAAGTAGTAGCCTCCACCGACTCGGACGTCTGAACGGCTTTCCGCACCCCAGATCTGGTGCGCTTGGCCACTGTGGTCTGGGTCTGGTTGGTGTTTGGTGGCGTAGAGCTGGATGTGTTATTGGTCTTCGCGGTGTCTGACACCCGTGTTGCCCCACGCCCACCCCGGCCCGTCTTCGATGTCGGTTTCGCCATGTCGAACGTCTTTTAGGACTAGTCCACTGACGATGTATGAGTTGAGTGTAGGGAAGGGTTATCGAGCTTGCGATCTCTGTTACGAAGAAGGGTTCGTAAGGTGTTGAGGGAACTGAGGTGAGTGCAAGATCCAAGTGCAGGGAATAGTAGCACTCGAAGGCAGTCGCTAAAAACGACAGACTGCGAAAGCCTTCACGCAAGGGAACTACTAAAACGAAAATCATTCACTCCTCTCTCACTTAACTCTCACTTCTTTCTCACTTCAGTCTCACTCAATTCTGCGTCTCCAGAACGCGGAGGCCAGCGACCGCCTTGGTCAATTCATGTGCTATTAGAACCAAATCATAATACACTACGCTAGACCTCCTTGGTCCGTACAGTTGTCGTGGACTTTGGCCTGTCTATCGACGTCTCAACCATCTCCAGGCCCGCCAGGCTGGGATATTTCTTGCTAAAGTTCGCTTCCCAATCATCTTCTATAGCCGCCCCCAGGTTCCCCTGGCTTGTCACCACTGGTCCATGTTGGGCGAACCCGGTCCGCAAGGTGTTCGGCTTCGGTGGTGCTGCAGGTCGCTGAGGTCGAGGATCTGATCGTGTGAGATCAGCGGCAGATGCAGGGGCGGACGTCACTCTGGGAGCTTCGTGCCTGTCGGCGGATGCGTGTGGCGGAGGAGGCTTCGCAGACTGAGTCGCCTGCCTTTCTTCCATCCTCACCTGCGACGCAGGGGACTCGGTGAAATGGCCGTATCCTGTTGCAGTCTTGTGAGCAGGGCGAGCATTCTCACTCAGTAGAGACTGGACTCTGGCTTGAATTGAAGCAGCCCTGCCGGGCCCTCCACTGGCGGTCGTAGCGCCTCCCTTTGCCGCTAAGCGTTGCCTGTATTCCGCTGCTGCATTGGCAACTCTTCGTTCCTCTGCCTCTAGTTTCCGCTTCTCGAGCTCACGGCGCATTTCGGGGGAGAGATCTTCAGTTTCGTCCCACGGTTGCCGGTCGTCACTCAGGTCCGTGGCTTCTGACCCGGCAATTGGCGTCAAAACATTGATAGGATCGCGTGATGGTGAATCCGCCCTTCCTACTTGATTGGAGTCGTTACTTTCAAACTTTTTGAATGCATCGCCAAATTTACCAGCCAGCAGCTTCGTTGTTCCTGCTAAGCCCATAGAGGGCACGCTGGCGCGTTTGAGATGCCTGGAGCTGCTGCTTGACAGACGTTTGTGATGCTGTTTTCTTTCCTTTTCCTCCTCTTCTCGGGCCCGCAAAAAGTCCACATCCGAGGTAATGTTCGTCGCGGACTCGGATGGTGTCAATGGCTCCAAATCAGGTTCTGCGCTGGTGAAGGTGGCTTCATAGTCAAGGTGCTTGATGTCTCTATCTTTGGCAGTAGCAGGCTTGCTTCCGAAATTGACGCTCGCTGGCCGACTCCGAAGATTTAGCGATCTTGATCTGCTCATTCCAGAGCCTAAGTCACGAATCATTGGCCGCCCTCCCTCTAGCGAAGGGCGTGACGATGTAGGCGACCGCGGCTCCACACCGCCAGCAAGCTGAGACTTACTGGCGTCGTCTCTTAGCAGTCTTCCTAATCGCGAAGTGTTACTGCTCGGTTCTGAGGAACGTAGCTGGTCAGCAGGTTGGCTGGTACCCAACGGTCTTGTTGTTTGGCCATTAGACGAAAAGCGATTGATTGAACGCTCCGAATCGATTTGTGCAGTGAGTGACGGTGATGAACTGGTCATGGTGCCGGTAGATACCACCGTCGGCCTTGAGACTGCAGCAGGTTTTGCGCTGCTGGTTGGCACATTAGTCTCCTGACTTTCCACAGACTTCTTATGCTGCAACCCAGTTGTCGATTTTGTAGTAGCAGGAGGGTCGCTAGCGGGAGATCTTGCTTTAGGAGGGCTCGGGGCTCTGGCAAATGCCTCATCTGCCAGGGCTTTTGTGACACGCTCGGCTAGAGCTGGATCGGCGGCATCTGATTTGCGCTCAACCTGAGGCTCGAAAGCGAACTTCCTGCCTTTGTCGGTCAACAACGAGAATTGGTCTAGAGTCGGAAACCTCGCAGACAGCTCGTCTCCAGCAACTGCTTTGTTTCCATCCAAGACTGCAAAAGGATCAGCGTTATCCACCATACGGAGCGGTGACGGGCTCGGTTTGGCTGAGCCATGATGAGAAATCGGTTTGGTCGGTCGGCCTCTTCGCATCGGTTCAACTTGTGGAACGGTAAGAGGAGCTGCTTGTTTGGGAGGGGATAATGTGGCGCCAGCCCTGGATTGGGAACTTGAAGCAGGTGATGGGAGAACCCTGTCTTTACGACCTTCTGACTGGGAACGGCGGGTATAAATGTCCGGGAGGGTCAACTCTCGGCCCTCTAACTGGCATGCCTTTTGTAAGACTTGGTAAATATTCGGCCGTTCGGCAGGGCGTTCACGGAGCATGGATGCGATCAACAGCTTCAGTTGATCTGAAAACCGCGGGTAAGCTGGAAACTTGAATCTGGCATTCAGGATGGCCATCTGTCCGACCTCCTCAAATGGAGTGGTGTAATAGCAGAGCTTATATAGGAAGACACCCAAGGCCCAGATGTCGGCCTTCTCGTCGATCGGCTGTTTCCTATACACGTCGATCATCTCAGGGCTTCGGTATTGAAGTGTCGTATGGCGGTTGATGTCGTCTTCAATCAGGCGTCCTTCAGCGGCCGTCGTAGCAGCTGGCCTTGCGGGCGCTGCGGACCCAAAATCGCATAACTTGTATATCCTGGATGACCCAGACGTGGATATGAGCACATTCTCGACCTTCAGGTCTCGGTGCATCAAGGGAGGATCCAAGTAATGCATGCACGCCACGCCCTCGGCAACGTCCGTGAATATCTTCAAGATCTCGGGTTCCGTCAGTCTGTTCTGTAGGCGCGTATTCATAAAATCAATCAGCCCTCCTCCTTCGCAGTATTCCATCAGTAGGAACACTTCATAACCACCGCCTTTCAGTTGTGAAGCATGAGAATCAATGTATTTGACGATATGTTTATGGCCCCGCAGCCTCTTCATGGTCTCGACTTCTGTTCTCATATTGGCCAGATGTTCCTTGTCGGGGACAGCCACCCGCTTGAGGACCGCTTTGTGGCTTCCATCCACAGGACGCGGCAGCTGAACCACGTATACATGGGCAAATCCACCCTCGGAAAGGAATCGCTCGATGACCACTCGGTGATTTCCAACTTGGACTTTTGTGCCCGGGAGAAATGTACCTGCCGGAGGCAATTGTGCAGGCAGCGAAGGAGGAGCACTGTTTGCGAAAGGCCCTTTGGCCCCAAGTTGAGAGGCGTATACAGCCATATTGGCTGGAGAGGAGGTGGTCGAACTTGGGGTGGGTTACGGGTTTATCTGTCAATCATAGCTAAAGATTCACGAAACAAACGGCGAGGCACGACGGCAGGCGTGTAGCGATGGAGGTCGAGGAGGAGGTCGAGGTGTAGTCCACTCCGAATCGTAGGCAGCCCTGAAAGCTGAGCGTTGGTCAACTGTTGTTGGCCTGGAGGCGGAAGCAGCAGAGTTCCACCGCAGAAGGACACTGCCTCAAGTTCCCCAAGGACGGCGGGCGTTGCATAGCACTATGTTGTACTAGTTGTACTCTGGGATGGGTGCCGGGTGCCTACCACTAGTAGCAGAGACCCTCTCGGTTTCCTACTACTAAGCCACCTTTTCAGCCCCCTACAATCGGCGCGTCGGCCGCATGACGCAGTCTGTGAGTTTGCCCGCTGATCATTTTTTCGCGGCGCAATATTATTTTGCAGAAACCTGACCGTCTTTTCCCGCGACTCTTAAAGGCATATCATATTTGTCACTATTCAGCATGTCGAAGAAAAGGAAGCGCGATCAAGACGAGCCCCGGGATCTTCCCGAGCCGTTTGAGACGGACGCTCCGACGCAGGCGGGTGCTGCAGGTCAAGATTCACAAACCAAGAAGGAAGAGCGGAAAGGCGCAGCGCGGCAGGCAAGATCTGAACGTAGATCCAAGAAAGTCAAGAAGTCAAAAGAACAGAGTTCTCAACCAACCTCTGGGACGACTGCTTTGTCCACAGACGAAAAACCGAGCGCTCCCTCAGACAAGGAAGTGCAGCCTACAGACCAGGACCAAGCCGTGGTTGACGAGAATTCGAGCGACAAGATACACAAAAAAGCGAAAAAATTGAAGAAGGTGGACGGAGATCATAAGGAAGCATCCGAGTCAGCTGCAAGGTTCATCGTCTTCGTCGGCAACCTTCCCTTCAGCGCCACGGCAGCCCAAGTTAAAGATCACTTTTCTAAGCTCGCCCCAAGCAGCGTCCGCCTCTCCACAGACAAGGCGACTGGGAAAGGAAAAGGCTTTGCATTCGTCGAGTTTGACAGCTATGATAAAATGAAGACTTGTTTGAAGCTCTACCATCATTCGATATTCGACCCCAACTCCAAGGCAGAGGATGGCGAACCCAGGAGGGAAGCCTCGAGCGGCAAGAAGAAGGGTCGAAGAATCAACGTCGAATTGACCGCCGGCGGCGGCGGAGCGAAGAGTCAGGATCGCTTGATGAAGATCAAAACGAAAAACGAAAAACTCAATGAAGAGCGCAAACGGCAGCTCATCAAGGACAAGTCTGAGCAGAAGAAGGCCGCGGCCAAGGCAAAGGCTGCTCCCGGGACTGGCGCGAACGCCACCGAGGCCAGCGGTGCTGCGCAGGATGATCGCGGTGCCATACATCCTAGTCGTTTGGCTCGTGTACAGCATTGAATGTGCCAATGTTTGCCAGGGAGACGTAATGCCCGCTCTGTTTTGCGGCCGGGGAACACGTTGAAGATTCAACGCCTCCGGTCAATGTGCGTTCTTCCAATTAGATTGCTCATTTATTATTCGTATGATGGAGAGATTCTCTTCTACAATCTCAACCACACCTATGTCGGAGTTGAAGTTGAGCGAACGATGGAGGACGAAGCAGCGAAGCTGTGAAAGTGTCTATGTCCACCTTTTTGCAATGCGTCCCTGAAACCCCTTGCCATCCCAAAAGAACACCCAAAATGTCGCCTCCCAAAAAACACTGCTAAAGAATGCTGCACCTCGATTTCTTCTTCGTAGTGGTTGGTCGAGGGTTAAGTACGGCTCTAGAATGCAGGTCAGCACCGTGGTGAAATTTGCTATAAATGTTGGTTTATTACCTGATCGCTTCGTCAAACACGCTTTTGAGATTTCGTTGTGTCAATGCGGAGCACTCCAGATATTTGACCGCTTTAATTTCTTTGGCCACAGCAAGTGCCTGCTCGTATGATACAGGTTCCATTTTTTTCGCCCTCAGACTATCGGCCGTGGCTTTATCGTCCCTCAAATCCAGTTTGGTTCCGACGAGGATGATGGGCACACCGGGGGCGTGATGCTCGATTTCAGGGTACCACTAAATGCCAGGCTGTCAGCTCGTCAATCCCGTAAACAAGGCAGATAGGGTAGTGGTGCTCACTTTCGCCTTGACATTGTCGAAACTGGGAGGAGATACAATGGAAAAGCATATCAAAAAGACGTCCGTCTGCGGGTATGAAAGGGGCCGCAATCTATCGTAGTCTTCCTGACCAGCAGTATCCCACAATCCCAGAGAGACGGGTTTCCCATCCACCATGACACTAGCTGAGTAGTTGTCAAAGACAGTAGGGATATATTCGCCCGGGAAGGCATTCGTGGTATAGGATATGAGCAAACAAGTCTTTCCCACAGCACCATCCCCCGTCACCACACATTTTATTGACTGCGTCGCTTGCGCCATGTCTGTGAGGATGGATCTGGGGCAAACGCAGGCTGCTCTTTCTCGGGGGCGAGTCTTCTGTCGTCAAGAATTCCCGAGCGATGATTTTGTCGTCTCAGCGTCAAGCTGGCCAAGGCGTTGATCTGTTGACGCGAACCGTGTCCAGCAACTGGGCGCGTCTCTGTAAAAGTCAACAAGCCCACAGGGCCCGATGGTTGCACGACAGAGGTAGGCAGGCCTGCAGTCTGGGAGAGGATCAAGCAGGGCGATAGGAGTAGGCACAAGTGGAATGACAGGTGTATGGAGCAGGGCAGTCGCAGAGCTGTACAAAGCATGCGCAGGTGAGAAGGGGCGTACGCTACTGCAGTGTGAGTGGTACCAGGTAGCAGGTCACGGTGCCAGTGGTTGTATCGGGGCAAGGAGGCAAGTTGGCTAGAGGGTTCAGGGTCCGGGGCGGCAAGAGGAGCAAAGACCACCGCGCAGCCTGCCCGGCGGGAGTGTCCGTAGGGAGGCCTAGGCTGAAAGTTGGGGATGGTGCACCGCTGACGGCGCCCAGAGCGGGTGCCCAGTCAATGAAGCGGTGCGGTACTGGAGTCCGAGTCAGCCGCTGCAGCGCAATTGTCTGGTGGCCTTTCTGGCTGATGCACTTCCTGAGACGTTTGATCGATCTGCTGGACTAGAGTATGTGATAAAGGAGCCAATATTTGGCGAGCAATGCTGTTGCACGTACTGGCCCCGTACGCGCGCTTGCTCCGGACCCAGAGACGGCTCTGCATTCGAAAGCAGTGTTTTGCAAGAGCTTGGATTCGCTTGAACGTCGCATCCTACTACGCAGGCAGGTAGGGAATACTTCCATACTAACCCGGGATTGCCGCGCTGCTGCAGCGGCACCATCAACCTCCAGCAGACCTACTTTGGTACTTGCGGCTGTCCTGAGACACTTTGAACCCCAGGTGGCACGACTACTGGGCGATTTGGGTCACGACACAATGCAGCTTAGTGTACCGCGATTAGAACTCGAACGTACGCGAGAGGGATGAAACGATCAGACTACGTCGAAAGGTTAGACTATCACTTGTCGAAACAAGTACACCTACTCCAAGTCACAAGCATTGGGAACAGGGCACCATCACCTCCCCCTCCTTTGCAGTTGCCCTGCGTCCGGAGGAAGCACTCCAACTCGACCGCACTGCGGCGTGGAGGAGTTATACTGCGCTCAAAGCAACATCGTCAGAAGGGACAGCCGTGGGATAAGAACCAGATCCTGGGCATTCCTGGTCGATGATCTACCCTTACCTTTGTGCTCGCATGGAATTTTTCTGGAGAATGGTAGCTTGAGAGGCTGTGCCGCCAGCGATGTCGAAGTGGGTGTTTCTACGACAGGGCTGACTGACAGCCGAACGAGTCTCGAGCCATCGGAGGAGCGTTCCAATTCACCGACAAGAGCAGCGTGGCTCCAAAAGGACACATTTGACCAGGTCATCATCACACATATTGTGCCTATCTCCATGATGGAGGAACAACGGAAGCCGGAGGCAACAGGAAGATGTCCACGAGCAAGATCGCATCACTCAGGCCACAGCTGAGACTCGAGAAGGAGGTATACTGCTATTGCGCTCGTTGCTTCGCAAGGCCTGAAGAGCCACGATTCGTTGACATTGATTTCTCGTCGATCAAACTGGGTCGATCAAACCTACCCCCTATCTCCTGAGCATTGCTCTTAAGGATACGAGCTTGCACAGCCTTCATGATATCGTATGGGTATTGTTCCAGTGGAGTGAGCCGCTCCCATACTGATCATTGGAATACTGGAACATTGACGAATATCTCGCCCAGCTACTGTTGCTCATGCCGACTTTCGCTGATCCTCCTGATAGGCAGGTCTTGCTTATACAATGCGAGTCCCATGTATGATTCGGGGCGGCAGTCATCCTGAGTGCAGCTTGAAACCCCACCGACTACTCAATGAGATCGATCGTGTTTCTCGCCCCTAAAAAAGGCAGACAGATCATGCATCTGCTGTACTGCAGGCTTTTGATGTCCTTGATGATCCTGATCCTCTCACAGCCGGGTTCAAGGGAACCTAACCCGTCTTCAATATTTAAGAGCATCACGAGCCCCTTTTAAACATCCCTTGGTAAGTGGTTGTGGTTCATGGGATCATTACTTTTGATCATATATGTCATGCACCGATACGGACGGCAATTGATGCAGTCTTCAATACCAACACGATGAAAAGTATTGTGGTCATTGCTAGGCCGTGCAAGCTCCGGATCTCGTGCATGGCAGGCATGGGTGCTGTTTTTCGTGCAAACGAAACTTCACTAGGTCAACTAGGTTCGCACCGCCATAGTATGTCTGCTACATGGAGAGTTGAGACCACGAACGGCCTAAACGTGGCGTAGGGATTTTTGGTGGCTCGTACACAGTCCGCAAGTTCCACGCACAACTTGCTGGAGGAAGGCAGATTAATATGGTTTGTCTCGACAATGAGCCCAATGGGTCTCGGCAGGAGACAACCCATGGTTCCACACTTTGTAACGCTCTATTGGAAGACCGTCCTTGAGGACGCGAGTTGTCGATGCCGGCGCTTACATCTGCCTGATGAACTGTTCTCGAACGAGTTGCGGACGCATTAATGTGACCAAGAGAGTACGAAGACTTGGGACCACGGTCGGTATGTGACGACAACGCAGCAGCCTGGAGGCGGGAAGTCATCTTCTGCTGTGCCACCAGTAGTTATACCCCAGTAGCATCCAAAAGCCTCGAATGCATACGCCGTTCCCGCGGTGGACGCCATCCCTTGCTTAAAGCTGCCGATGGTCAGTATCTACTCCCAATTTCATGCTGGATAGAGGCCTCGAGGACAACCGCGACTGTCGGGCATGAAAGTGGAAGGCGACCAATCAATCTGTACAACTTCCACAAGGTTCTTTTTTGCAGATGTACTTCACTTGGACACGCATATCCAACCGTTGATCAACCAGAAAGATGATATACTACAGCACTATTCGCCTGCCATTATTGCCGGCGAAGGGCGCTCGTCGTACTGGGGTCGGCGTTAGCTGAGAAGGCCACGCGAGAAGACTTGTGTCCCTTTGACGCCACCGCAGGACGACGCGCACGAGGAACTTCCTTCCCCGTTCATGTCTAACAAGTCATTGGCCGAAACGAGGTTCGAAATCCGACCGCATCGACCAAAACAGAACAATTTAGCGGAAATATCCATGCGAATGCGTTAGGCAGCGACGGTGTCGAGCTTAGAAGTGCTTGATTCCCCAGCGTACGGGGCCTGGAGCCACACGGAAGTCGACGTACACCGACCATTCGTCGATAGACGAGAAAGGAGCCCGGGGTCCCAGCCTTTGATAGCTTCAGTAGTGGATGACGCCCAAGGCTAAATGGTAAGCAGCCTCGGCCTCCAGGAAGGCATCAAAAGACGATAGCCTACTAGTCGACACGATCGGCGTACGGCCGTCCACCCAAACCCAGCCTCTGGGCTCCAACTGTGAAGCTGGCCAACGACACAGCTTTGAACTGATGGTTGTGGTTCCTCACGATGTGGACGGCTACTAGCAATACGACGATACTATCAACCGTCAAGAGTCAGCCGTGTCCACTTTCAGTCATAGCATCTCGGTTCCATTGTTTCCACCCGCTGCCACTGGGCCGCCCAAGCTCCCATATTATTCAAGTTCAACTCCCAGTAGTACAGTGCCTAATAAAGCATTGCCCACTGCGCTGCATGACGGCATGTGGGTGGGCGGCCGCCCTTTGAGTTCCCACCGACAAAAGATCGTGGGTTAATAATAATTATAATTTCGACTGCAGTGCTTGAAGAGCAGCCCAAGGGCCAACGCGGGATCGGTGCTCATCGGTGTCTGGCTATTTCTTGGGTTGGTGCTAATGAGTCGTACGTCGTTTCGTACCACCAACGGACTTCATCACTTCGCACCGTGACTGGCAGTACTGGAACCATCTTCCTATCTGTCTTTTCTTTCGCACAATAATACAATTGCTAGCATTTCCGCCTCTCGAGCGTTCGATCTCGCCGTTCCCAACTGGAACCTTAGTTCCGCCACCCGGATTTGCGGGGATTGTCTTCACCACTGGCACTGGCAGTTCAAGTCGTTGAGCGCGGCCTGACCGTTCACACACCGCTTCCTCATCCTCATAACCGTCAATCACTGACACTGCGGTGCCGTTGACCTGACCATTTATTTCAATGCGTCACCCAGTTCGGAGGAAGGCAACGTCAGCTTCGACTTATGAGCGGCTCGGTGCAATATCCCCCGCCACCTCAACTCTGCATCCCTCTTGCACGACAGGCCCCGTACCCCAATGGGTGACGACGAGATGATAACTCCGCAGTCGCCAGGTCGCCAGGCCGCAGAGAACTCAGGGAAGCTGGAATCTGCCGCAGCTTCTGCTGCCAATTCTGTGCAAAAGAATGACTCGAATGCCCCAGACTCGCGGCCCGAGTCCCCTTCGGCCGAGACGCCGCCGAGCGACTCTGGTACGAAGCCGCTTCCGCCCATGCAAAAGCGGCGCCGCGTAACCAGAGCGTGCGATGAATGTCGGCGCAAAAAGATCAAGTGTGATGGCAAGCAGCCTTGCACACATTGTACCGTGTACAGCTATGGTATGTTGCTTCTGTCATGTCTGTTTATTTGTGTTTAGTCGGCGTAAATGAGCTCGATTGACCCAGTCACGTAGAATGTACGTACGACCAACCCTCAAATCGCCGGAGAAATCCAGCTCCCCAATATATCGAGGCTTTAGAGCAGAGACTACAAAAAGCAGAGGCCATTCTACGTTCGGTCCTTCCAGGCCTCGACCTTGACAGCCCCAAATTCGATGCACAGTCCATAGAGCAACTGATCGAGACCTCGAAAGGGGCCGGCAATGGCGAAGGCCCGAGACCGACCGACACCTTAGCACGGCCGGAGGATGATGCTCAGCTTCAATCTATGGTCGACCGCACTGGAGCCTTGGATCTGGACGACCACGGCAACTGGGATTTCCACGGCCACTCCTCAGGCTATGTCTTCATGCGAAAGTTCCGCCCTCAATTCGGCGACCAATTCTTGTATGAATATCGGCATGGCGGCAAGAACCGAACGATCTCCCAGCTTCTCGAGTCTCCTAAATCTGTGCAGTCTTCTCCTGTGGAAATCAACCTTGCTGCTGGCGTCGATCTGCCCCCAAAAGAGGTTGCCATCGAATTGTGTCGAAATACCCTGGACGACTGTTGTGCGTTGATGCGACCTATACACCGCCCGACATTTTTTCGACGGCTTCACTCTGTTTATGACACGGATCCGGAGCAATACAACAACGGACACGTTCAGTTCCTGCCTCTGCTGTACGTGGTCATGGCGGTAGGCTGTCTGTTCTCCAAAACGGAGAACGAAAACACCATGCTTGACGTGAAGGGCTACAAGGAGGCCATGGAACAAGGGTATGTTTCGAGCAATCAGTCAAAGAGGCCGGCGTGCTAAGTCAACACCAGGTACCAGTACTTCAACACCGCGAAGCAGATGGTCGACATCACAGACTGCAGGGATCTTGTGACCATTCAAACCATCGTCTTTATGATCATGTTCCTCCAATCGACCGCCAAACTGCCGGTTTGTTACGCTTACATAGGCATTGCTCTAAGAGCTTGCTGTCGTCTCGGTCTTCATCGGAACCTTCCCAACAGGTTCAGTCCCGTAGAGTCGGAGGAACGAAAACGGATTTTTTGGTTGGTCAGGAAGATGGACTCGTATGTTGGTGCTGTCCTCGGCCTTCCTCAGATGTTGAGTGACGATGATATCGACCAAGAACTACCAACCGAGGTGGATGACCAGTACATCACGGAGGAAGGGATCCGGCCTATGCCGGCGGGCACGTTTCCACTCCTCAAAGCTACCAATGCTCATACCCGACTCACCAATATCCTGAGGAAGGTCGTTCGATACATCTATCCGATCAAGAATGCCGATGGATCGCAAACAGACCCTAGATACAGCATCAGTCATAGACGGATAAGAGAACTGGAACGTGATCTGCAGAATTGGATGGATCAGTTGCCTGTGGAGCTGAGGCCCTCGGAAAATGCCGGGCGGGAGCTGGCAAGGTACGTTGGTCCCGAGCTGAGTGGAAGGTTTTCTGACGAGTCCAGGGTTCAACAACTCCTTCGAATGTCATACGCGCATGTCCAAATGATGATCTATCGACCGTTTATTCACTATGTATCTCAGACATGCCAATCGAAGAGCATCGACAAGCGAAGCTTTGCATGTGCGGCAGCGTGCATCAGCGTTGCGCGAAACATCGTGCATATCACGAGTGAGATGAAAAGGAGAGGCCTTCTGGTAGGCTCGTATTGGTTCGCGATGTATACGACCTATTTTGCAATTCTATCCCTTGTCTTTTTTGTCATTGAGAATCCCGACAGCCCCACAGGGAAAGACATCCTCAAGGATGCCGTCGAAGGTAGGGACACTCTGGCGGGTCTCGCTAAGCGCAGTCTGGCCGCGGACAGATGCACTGTCAGCTTAAATGTGAGTGATATCCTACCATGCATAGCATACGGCTGATGTAGTACTAAACCGCTGTCTCTGCATCCAGGGCCTCTTTGACGTGTTACCCGAAAAGCTCAAGGAACGACGGAATTCATTGAATTCTAACTCAAGCACGGCTTCTCGCAAGCGTCCGCCCCCTGGATCCGAGCCAGGACCGCTACAGGCTAGACAGACAGTCCCCAATATTACAACGCCCGTGAACACCCGGGAGAGCTCAATCACCCCCAGCCGAGCCCGGACACTCCCCTCCGATTTCCTGGCCAAGTTGGCTAAACGAAACTCGATGCCGGATCCTCGAGCCCTGTCCAACCTTTCTGAAGCGGCAAGTTCGGGGCAGACGCCGCAGATGATGGGATACCCGAGTCCCGCCGTTGCTTCGCCTATGTCGGGCAATTTCGATTTTCAGACACCGCAGCTGGGCAACGCTCAAATCCCAGATTTGAAGAATGTCATGTTCCCTAGTGACAATCCTTTTGCTTATCCCAACCAGCCCATCAGCACGCTCGAGTCGGCCGATGGGTCATACTCGTTCCCTGATCACAGCTCGATGACCCCAGGTGACAATGCTATGTATTCAACACCGCCGACGAGCACGGCACAGGTAGCGATGGGGCCTGGTCCCCAACCAGCAGCACATCTGGGGTTTGACTTTGGATTCCAGCAGCAGCAGCAGCAGCACCAACAACAGCCGACGCCAAGTGCAAGCGGAGGCGATATCATGGCTCATGATTTCATGGGTGCTAGCGGGCACTTTAACGTTCCACTGACAGACATTATCATGCAGAATGCAATTGGAGGCTCCAACCTCCATTTGGGCGGGATGGGGGATTTCTCGACGCCGGCAATGGACATCCCGGACGTGGCAGCGGGCAGCCAACATCATGACGAATATTGGAACGACATGGACAAAGGGATGAGACACGCTAACGGAATGGCCACCCCAGGCATACATGGCAGCTTGGAAGGATTCCTCGACTCGGATGGCTGGGCACAATGGGGTGGAGAGCAGCATTATGGCGATCAGGCGCAGTAACAGCACATCAGAGAATGGTGGTCATGTTTAAGCCTCTCTTATGCTGTGTCCAAATCCGAAGAGGGACAAGCACTCTTGTACCTCCACGAGGCAGGGATGCTATAGCAGTGTCACTGAGAAGCATATTTACAACTCTTATATTACGATGGTTGCATGATCAGATTACCAGGGCGTCGAGGGTTGTGGTCTGGACGGCGCGCAAATGAAGACGCATAAAATTCAGCAGCATTTGAAGGAGCGGACGGTTGTACCAGGAAAACTAAGGTGTTGTTCGTCAACGAGGGCACCTGGATTGCCCGACCAGGCACTTGAGATAGCTCGGGGGCGAGTGAGCTCCCAAGCCATTCCGCCGTTCTGTCCAAGGGATTTCGCCACCTGCACTGGCATGTGCCGTGAGTGGTGGACTGGACTGCATTGCACCACTGTGGTGGAGGTTGCAGTGCATGGAATGATTTGAAATCCAGCATTTGTTCCTAGTACCAGTAGTCGCCTCGCTGATGCCGAGGGGAGGACACTGTGGTCGGTACCAGGCGTAGATAATACCTTGCTCGGTACCCTAGCCACATAACAGATACTACAGCGTACTATGCAATTAGTAATAGTTGAACGATGGGAGATTGATAATAGTTGTCGTCGGTGGTGCATATTGTATGGTACGTATCTAGTTGTGCTGAAAAAAATGTATGCATTTTCAGAAAAGATTCGAGAATGAAGCCATTCAAGCGCAGACCATGAAAGAAAGAGTAGCTCGGAGTAGCTATATGAAACCATCCGGTAACAGGCAGGACGGGACAACAGTTACTAGGTAGTCACGGTGAATATTTCGCTGCGCCCCCTTCTGCTTCAAGTTGTGGCCGGCAGTCTGCCAGTGTCACTGCCACGGCGTGAGTCTCTTGGCCCGCTCCCAAGAAATTTCCAAGAAGTCCCACGATGTCCCAAGACACCAAGAGTCCAAGAGACCCAAGACTCTCCCAAGAATTTCCGAGGAGTGCCCAGAACTGGCAGTGCCGAGCATTATTGCTCCCTGCCAGTGACGATGCTCTGCAAATTTAGTCACAGGAGTAACAGTACAACACCGCACGCTAGAAGGCATCATGACTGCTGTGGGCATCCGAACTCAACTGTATCTAGCCTGTTCAAGCTGTTATCTTCAACTTATTACTGTAGCTGCACTGTAAAATCCGAGTCAGCTGATAAATTTCGCTTCGCTTGGCCCAACTCAGGCGGAAGCCCCACCAGGGCGCAGCATTCGATACGAGGTGCCAATGCCAGCGTGCAAATTCTTTACTGCCACTGGCAGGAAAATGCAGTGCAGTGCGCGTCTGGGCCTGGCACGGTTGCACCTTCCCACTCCCTTACCTGAACTGGTCGCTGGTAGTGGCTTGGCAGACGAATCATTGCCAAGTCCGCTGACGACTAACATGCTTGGCGCTGGGCTGGCATCAAACAGAGTGCGACCAGAAGCGGCCACGCTGCCACAGTATTGGTTGCCCCTAATTGCCCACGCCGGCCACTCAAACTGAAAGGCCCTGCCATGCCGTGTCCACTCCTTCACTCTCTCCCCTTCTGGCACTGGCACTTGCCCGCCGTCCATCCAGCATCCGTCGTCTCCCAGTGTGAATGCACTTGCCCGGCACTGCTCTGCATCCGCCGTTCATCCACCTGTACCCGAGCTTTCACGATCTGTCTCTTTCTCCCATTATCAGGCCCAGTAGCAGAGTCGCCATCTAGTAGTAGCAGTTAGTGGCGCGACCATGCCCCGGAATACGGAGAGAGAACTCTGGCTTGGGCTCCTCTGTTCCGCGGCAGCTGTTCGCTCTGCCCTCCCACAGCGTCCCAGATAAACCCAACCAGGCCCATCTGCCTTCGACAAAATGTAGTCTGTCTATCCCCCTCGCCTGCCTCTCTGCCTCCTCGGTTTCTGTAGTTAAAGCACCCTCAAAACCAGAGTTGCGCTGCGGCTTCTGCCTCTTGCGAAGAGCTTGTCGATCATCGCATTATCTTCAGCCGTACCGCCAGAACCAGGCAACGTTATCAGCCGTGCATCCCCCGAAAAGGCCGGGCAGCCGTGGGAAACTTCTGCTGCACCATCTTTTTCTCACCCCTTCACAACTTTCGACTTCACCTATTTTTTCTCTTCACCAGCGCAACAACCTTCGTGCACGCCAAATTCTGAGTATTCGTCGGCGATTGCATCTCGAATCGTCGAAATCCCGCTCCGCAGATTGGTACTTGTTCCTGTTGCCAAGGTCGACTCTGCGATATCTTGGCTCTTCCGCGACTCGAACGAGTGCTTGGCGAAGTCACCGCGTCAATCGCTGCGATGTCTGAACTCGCCGAGACCAGCACTGCTGGCAACAATGACAATAACAACTCGAACAACAACGCCCCCAACTCTCCCAATCCTACCGTCGAAGCCGCCGCTGCCGCCGCTGCTGCTGCTGCGGCCGCAGCCGTCGCCGCCTCGACACCAAATCCTTCGACTTCTCAGGATGTGCTTCAACAGCAAGGTCAATTCCAGCAAAGCCAGCAGCAGCAACCGCTGGTCCAGAACCAGCCTGCGCCGAGTGTCAATTCAGCTGGAGAAAATTTGCAATGCCAATGGGTAGGATGTGGCGAGCGTTGCAGCACTCCAGAAGCCCTCTATGTAAGCTTCTCTTGTCGCCAATGCAAACCTTGCGCAGTGCTAACCGGTTTTCTTTTGTAGGAACACGTCTGCGAGCGGCACGTTGGCCGCAAGTCTACCAACAACCTCAACTTGACTTGCGCCTGGGGCACCTGTCGGACGACCACCGTCAAGCGAGACCATATCACCTCCCACATCCGTGTCCATGTTCCCTTGAAACCACACAAATGTGAGTTCTGTGGGAAGGCCTTCAAGCGCCCGCAGGACCTTAAGAAACATGTCAAGACACACGCGGATGACAGCGTCATCATGCGCTCTCCCAATCTTGAACCCAATGGCGGGCGTCAACACCAAAACGGTCTGCCTCAAGGTGGCGACTATGCCTCATACTATGGCCATGGTCTGACAGGACAAGTCGCTCAAAGCTACTACGCTCCTGCGATGCCTGGGCCTCAAGACTATACTGGTCAACATCACCATAACCAGTATTACCAGCCGCATCCACCTGTTTCCGTAAGTGCCATGGCCCAATCTGACCAGCACAGCTTGTATACTTACACGTACCCGCAGTCAGGGCATCCCGGTTACGGCCCGGTGACTTACTACAGCACCGCCAGTACCACCAGTCCTTATGATTATGAGGCTCGCAAACGCGGGTATGATGCTCTTGATCATTTCTTTGGCCAGGTCAAACGCAGAGAGTTGGACCCGATCAACTTCCACAACATCAGCCGCCGTCTTTTTGAGCTCCAAGGTCTTCAGCTTCCCCAGATCATTCCCTCCAGCGTCCCGGCGCCCGCTTATCAGCCGGTTTCTGTGGGTGGAGCCTACGAAGCGGCTGATCCTATCCAAGCCTACAGCTTGCCTCCCATGGGAAATGCAAAGACTCGCGAAGATTTGACCTCGATCGACCAGATCCTGGAGCAGATGCAAGCCACCATTTATGAGAACGATACTCACCTGGGTTCGGCGAATGTTGGCCAGAGTGGTTCAGGCTACGTTGCCTACCGCACAAGCAACAGCCCGCCCAGCACAAGCCAGCAGCCGTCCACGGCCGCGCAGACGAATCCGACTGCCTTGCTCCAAAATCAGACTCAATCCAATGTTGCCAGCAACACCGACGCTAGCACTCCAGGCCTCACTCCTCCATCGTCGGCACAGAGCTACACCTCTGGTCACAGCCCGTTACAAGGCCATACTGCCCCCTCCGGTAACGGCCTGTATCCCAATCTGCCATCCAGTGCCAGTGACATGGCTTATGCTGCGGCCAACGCCGCCACTCTCAGTGGAATTTATGATCAGGAAGAGCGTCGCCGTTATAGCGGTGGCATGCTTCAACGAGCCGCTCCTGCCAAGGTCAAGGATGAAATGGACATCACTAGCGACGGGTCTGTTACTCCACCTGCCTCGGCACTGAACCAGCAAAACAAGGACAAGAAGTCGGCGTCTCCTCAAGAAAACGTCATCGACCCTGCTCTTGCAGCAGAGGCCGCCAGCACTCCCAAGAGCGACCCCAGAGATGCCGATCAAGAACAAGTCTGGGTTCAGAACATGCGACTCATCGAATGGATGCGGGAGTTTATCAAGAAGAAACTCCAGAGCGGCGACTATGAGGAGGAAAACGGTCACGGAGGTTCTCCTCACCATGGCGGTCAGCTTGACCATGACATGAGCGGGACCAGTGACCAAAAACATGACAAGTCAGAAGAGGAGCAACTCTATCCTGTCCTGCGACATGTGGAAGAGAGCGCATAGTATGCGCTTCGCTACTGTCATGAGCTGGAGAACAGAGGCGTGGAGGTTAAGTCTTAGTAGACTGTCCTTGCTCCTACGAATACCTGGTGTCGATTTCGAATTTGGTTTGCTTCTCCGAACGCCGGTCAGAGGCGTCATATCAAATTAAAAAAAAATCTGTGGCGCTCCAACTGGAACAGCATGAAAAGGGGTTTCATCATTACCGCCTGACTTAATGGGAGAGGATCAAAGGTGTTTTAATCCACGGAGTGGGATGGGCCGGGCTGGCGCAGAGGTTATCTTTTTCGTTTCTTGGCTTTATCGTGTGTCGATTGTTCCTGTTTTCAACACGGGAACCCGTTCTCCCACGGGGTTGAAGGTTGTTTGTTTAAAAGGAGGCTCATTCTTGACATGGATGATATGATACGGTAGGCAGTGGCGTGATGTGTTTTAGCACTGCTGGAACAAGCTGTATCGTGAGCTTGAGAATAGAGACGGTCTGTAAGGGACGACAAATTTGACGTTCTTCGCTTCTTCGACTTCTTCCACGTGCATAATAGTAGGAGTACCTTAAATCAGCAAGTACTACTGTAGGTACAGGATAAAGGTACGTAGTAAGGGGTCGTACGCGTGTGTGTGCATGCATGCTTATAGTAAGTACAAAGGGTCAACAAATCTCAACGACGGCGCTTCGAAGCATTCCAGGAAAGGCAAGGCATGACGCGACAATACAGGACACTCCGTGCGCAATTGTCGTCGTTCTCCAAGTTGATGATGGCCATCTACTAGTGCTACCTAGGTAATTAATAAGGCTTAATAAATTCGATACTGGAAGTAGCAAGGAAGGCTCGTTCGTTAGAGCACAAAGTTACACATACACAGTGGCATTTTACTACACACACATCTCGGGACCAGTGTCGGTCCGCACTGGGTACCTCTCTAAGGTAGGTAGTAGCTCTGCGCACTCCATCATTCTCCAGCACCAGTAATTACCCGTACAGTAGTAGTCGTGATGAGTAGCAGAAGCAAAGCTCATCACGCAGAACCAGCCTCAACTTGAGCTCGAGCTTGAGTCTGGCCTCTCATTTCCCATCCTCTGACCATAGCTCTCTCCTTGATACGATTCTCCTGTGCTTCACATTTCGCAAGGGCTCTCCGAACGAGATCCTGCTCGAACCTCAATTCGGCAAGTTGACCTTTCGCCCAGTTGCGGTGTCGGGAGCAGCGGTTTTTGATACATACGCCTCCCTTCCGTGGCATGGCGTCTGCCTCTGAAGTCTCGTCGTTGCCATCATTCTTTTTGTCTGGGTTGTCATCAGCTGCTGCTCCGTTGACAACAACACCGTTCGGACGAGCAGTGGCATCATTTTCGTCATCATTGGTAGTGTCCGGCGGAGGACCGATGCGCGCGGCAGCTGGGCCAGCGTCAAGAATCTCCTTGCCGCCTTGCTGTGTGTACCACACTCGAAACTCCTCGTCTGTCCATGCCATTCGGGGATCGAAGCCGCAGACATCCTTCATCTTGGGATTGGCCTTGCGGACCTCCTCTGTGATTGTGGCGGATCTTGCCTTGACGAGTCCAAGAAGAGTCTCGCGCGCAGATAGCATAGTGTTCCGTTCTTGAAGTTTGCGTTTCTCCTCCTCGATGCTCGCTAGTTTGGCTGCTTCCAGGTCATCCAGCTCCAATGGTGGAGGCGATGGCGGTGGTGGTGGCTGTATTGCCGGCTTCGAATCCGAGGTTGTTGTCTCTCCCTCCGTCTCACGAGGTGGTGTGTTGGGTCTTCTTCCCAATGCTCTCCATTCTTCGACACTCTTGCACTGCTCGAGCAGAGCCTTGACTTCGCCGGCACGCAGTGCGCCGCCGCGATTGGGCAGGCTCTCGTCGTCGAGACTGCTGTCTGTCTCGTATTCGGTCTCGTCATTCTCGCTGTATGCAGGTGTTGCAAGGCGACTGTCGGTGCTCATCTGGTCGCCATTCACAAGGTCCGAAATCGACTTCAGTGGCTTGTTGTTGGGCTTTTCCTTTTCCAGAGACGTCAACTTCTTCTCGGTCTTCTTGCGGAGTTTCTTCTTCTTTTCCGGCTCGACAATGTACTGTCCGCACTTGGACGCCTGCGCTCGAGGATCTCCTCGCTGGACCAACTCCACGAAGAACATGCGTCCACATTCGTCCGAGCAGTATTTGCTGGGTGGATCACGTGTCACTCTGGCTGGCTTTCGACAGTCCTTCCGTCTGCACATGCGCTTCCATGTGGTTTGCAAACCTGGCTTGGTACATGTCGGACAGATGTACTTGTCAATGAGCTCGCCGTCTCGTTCTCGGATGTTGACGCAGTTGCCGTGAAACCATTCGTCGCAGCCACCGTCACATGCGATCATCCAGGTGTGATTGTCACCTTTTCTACAGATGCAAAACACTTCTCCATCGTCGTTGGAGCTGGTCGGGGTGTCGGCGACGGAACTGGATGCGGTCTCGGCTTCGAGGGATCCTGCACGCGAAGACGCCGGCGTAGGCGACTTGACGCTCGCGGCAGAGGTCTGATTCTTGAGTTTCGATGGGATGGGCTTTACGTGCGTCGGCAAGGCTGGGGTGGCGCTTGGGGAACGATAGAGTGAACGGCTTCCTGCCGAGGCGCTCTGTTCACTTTCGCCGAGCTTGGATCTCTTATGAGGCACCGTTGAGCTTTTGACCTTTGCAGTGCCCTTCTTCCTAGCCGCTGCCGAACTCGATCCGCCAGAATCCTCAGGTGCCGGTCGCTTTCTGCCTGCAACTGGTAGAGGAGTGGCAAATGGCTCGGTTGAAGACGCTCTCGAACCTGTCATGGATGACTCTCTCTTGAGACTCTGGGTCGCAGGCGCAGGAGCCGGCTCTTCGGGAATTGGCGCGGCAACTTGGGGAGTCTCGTGGTTTGGTTCCTCATCATGGTGGTCCTGACCATGGTGTTCCTCTTCTTGGTCTCTTGCCGTAGCCTCGTCGTCTTGTTCACGCTTAGCCGCCTTTTGAGCTTTCTCAGCCTTGGTCATTTTAGGCGGTGGAGGAGGTGGACCTCTGGCGAGAATGTCTTCCAAAGGCTCGACGGGCTCGCCGGTGACAGGATCAACAATGACTTCGAGACTGCGCAATGGCTCCCAGGTCTTCGTATTGTGGATTTTTGAGATGTGATCTCGCACAGAACGGCGCCGAGTGAATAGTTTGTTGCAAAGATAACACAGGAATCTGCGATCAGTATGCTGTCCTTCGTTCTTGGACGAATGTACGCTTGACTTCGGGGCGCCATCAGGATCGGGCTTTCGAGATCGGCCAGAGCCTTTGGGACGTTGTCTTGTAGACTCGGGAGACCCGCGTGTAGAGTCGCGTGTGGAGGATCTATCAACGTGAGGACCGTCATGTGTTGAGACATCTTCAAACGATGTGTCGCCGGCGACAACGGGCATTGGTACATCCAGAGGAGGGTATGCGCTCTCGAACTCCTCTTGCTTTACATGATGTTCGTTGTCCAAGACGCCAGTGCCATTCATCAGCTCATTGTGGTACATAGCCGCCTCTTCATCAATAGTCATTCCCAAGTCTTGCGACACATGAAGGAGTGGATCTTCCGTGAGCGGCGCATCATCTTGGTTATGGAAAAGTTCGGGCGCGAAGAAGTTGGACTGGGGATCAGTCGCGTCCATGCTGTGAGAGACGTATGTTAGTATGTAATCAATAAGACAATAAGAAGTTAAGCACGAGACAATACTTACACGTGAGGTGTTATGATTGAAGTGTTCACATTGAAGGGGCCCGCTTGAGGATTGTTGTTGTCGTGATTGAACAGGTCAGAAAATGAAAAGGGCATGTCTGTCGGCGGAGAAGTGAGATCGACGCTTGACAGGACTCGGAGCCCGCGACGGTGAAACAACGCCTACACCCCAATTCGTGGAGATTGAAGTCAAGCCCAGCCTCACTACTACCAGGAAAACTGTGTCTGATCTTACTGTATTCCATGCATACAGAATGTGTCTGGCATTCGACTGGACGAGGAGTCAATTAATGTTGGTGGCAAAGAGTGCGGACGCAGTGGTTGTGGTCGCGGGTGCGGTCGCGGTGATATTGAAGTGAATTAGAAGTCAAGGTATTCACTGTAGCACTCTTACTACGGCCGATTCGAATCTCCAGCATCTACAGCGGCCTCCAGCATCATAACGCGGTTTATGTGTAATCCTTTCTCTTTGGGCTTCCTGGCCACCATCCCTTTCCTTCCCCCAGGAGGTGTCTTACTGTCCCCGAGGCGCAGTGAGGTACGAGTAATTGTACGAATCCAACCTAGAACAACACTCAGCGGTGTAGCCAGAATACATCAATCCTGCAGGACCGAACAAAACATATAATACCGACAGGGGGATATCGATAGCATATGGATGTCATGACGAGGTTATGAATATCCCATAGTGACCAGGATGAGTTTCTTCAGTAGGATCGTATACTAGTATGGTAGGAGTCATTTGGGAGTGAGAGGCAGAGGCTGGTCGGACCAACTGCGACGTCATTTATTGACCGCAATGGCAGTGTCGTGGACGTCGTGACCAAGAGACTTATGCCGCGTTATCTAATGTGAGACGGATCCTATAGTCCTAGAACTTGTCGCTGTGAGGTTTTTCATGTAGAGCGTGCACATGAAATCGCATATTACCAGTCTTTGTCGACAAGGAAGCTCATCCAGCTGAGGCGGAGGTCAGTTTATTATTATTTAGTTGACTCGACCCTCTCGGACTCGGAGGAATCGAGCCGAGCGCAGCCTGACAAAGGCAGATGCACCACTCACTACTACTACTCCTACTGACGGATCCAACGCAATTCCCTCCTTGTCTTCCTCATGCCGCCGACAAACTCCCCTTCTGTAAGCAACCCTTCTCGTTGAACATACAATCCCTCAGTCGCGGGGAAGCCTGCCGAAGAGAAGACCTGTTTGCAGCCGTTGAAGGACGAGCCGATTGCCGACGCGACTGTGACAGACACTGCACATTTGCCGTCCGTTGACATTGTGACCCTGCCTCAACTTCTTGAGGTGTCTGTGAGCATATTGACTCATTTGCTACTTTACAGGTCACACCTCCTGAATCCGCCGCTCCTGGGGCGATCGCAGCCGCGTCAAGTGAAGATTCCTACCTACGTCAACTCGAAGAAGCCATTTCCACCCCTGTCCTTGACCTTGCCTCAACCCTGAGGCCTATTGCTGTGACTCGGTTTCCTCGGCATACAGCTCGAGATCCGTCCCGCCGGGGCAGCGACGACCTTCGGTTCTCTGCTCAATTGGCCGATGAAGGAGGTGGAGATACGCCTGCTTCTAGAGGGAACGGCTCACGAAGACCCGGGCACGAACCGACCCGCGACGGATCTATCGGTTGGAGGCCTTACTTGATTGAAGTAGAATTTCAAATTCAGACAGAACAGATCGCGAGGACGGCCACCATGCAAAGCCAGCGGTCACGGACACTGGCTGGCTTTGCGCCATCCGAAGAAAGGGAAGGACAACGACAACGGTATGCCACCACTGGCGAAGGGCCTCGCCAGCAGAGCCTGTATGATTGGGCTGTCACAATGCCGCCGAGTCATGGTTCGCACGATATAAATTCCGGTGACGATAGTGATCAGGACATGGAAGATATGAGCACTGCTGCGTCCAACATTGCCGATGTTGCCGGTACTTCTGCCAGAGGAGAGTTCCGGCGGCTTGAAAGAGCATTATCTAATTATCGCGCGGCAAGGAATGCCCTGAGAACTGGCAGGTCAGCAGACCTAGGGGCTGTCCCGACTGCCAGCGCCCTCCGCATTTATCGAAACGGAGAATCAGTTGACGTTGACATGGCCGGTAGAACAGCCGCGAGTACGGGATTGTTCTCAAGCGAGTACAGGCAGGAAAGACAGAGACGGTATGCTGAATACATGCGACTACAGCAGAATGACCGCACCGGCACAGGGTTCCAAATAGCGTCCCGGCTAACAACACGAGCGGAACGAAAGAGGAGCGAGGCGCTCACGCGGGTAAAGAATACGATCCGATACCTCTCACAACTGCGCCACACCGGGGTACAGGGCGGCTTGGAACTGGCCCGGCAGCTTGATTTGGACTCTTTATATGAGTCCGAAGAAGCGAATACCCCCAGTGACTTGCCCATGCACGTCAACAGCCTCCCTATACCGCAGTACAGTTCGTGGCTGGAAGCAGGAATGGTTTGGCACGGCCTGCAGTCAACCGATCGAGAACCGGTGCGCGCCCCTTCGTCACAAGCTCGGACTGCGCGGGATTTTCTCCGGCGAACGTTCGCAAGGAGGAGAGAGATGGACATGGGAAATGTCAATCCCGATCTCAATCGCCTCCCAGCGGAATCACTAGTAGACGCAGACCGCTTCTTGTCTGATCTGCTACAAGATGCCAATGGACGGTGGGGTTTGTCGCCACTATCAGCATCTCCTCTGGCGTCGCATCCTGCCCAACCACCGAGTCAAGACCCAGAGTCTGACCATTGGCCGGTCAAGGTGACCATCCACTCAGTTGACTACGACACCATGTCACTTACAGGGACAATGTCAGCGAGTCACATGCCGGAGAAACTCGGAGCTAATCAACAGCAAGGAGCTCCGCAACCATACGCCCCTAGCCACAGCATGTCGTCTTTTTTCACCGGAGAAATCATTGATTTCCGACAACAGCCACTGGAGACGGAGGCAGAGGGACGGGATTACCGCGTCGGCGGTTTGGATACAGATGCACTCTATTGGGCCCGTCTGGGTCCGTTCAGAAAGGAAATCGAGAAAGTCCGGAGTCTACGAGGCAAGCGGAGAAGCGAGTATCACCAGGACAGCCGTCTCTGGGACGCATTCCGCAAAGCCGCCGGCGCAGAAGGAGAAAACAAAGATCAACCAGGTCGATCTCCTAGCGGCGCTGCCACTGCCAGTTCATCATCGTCATCAACCGAACCCGAAGCCTCATCTGCATCGGCAACAGGAGCGGATTATCCTGCTGGAAGAAGAACAACCGCAACAGAGGGGCCCGAAGAAAGCAAAGAAGCCGAGGACGACGCGGTCATGGCCCGCTGCCTAGCGAGCGCAAAGTGGATTGAGGAGAATCTGGGACGCGAATGGATCTTGATGCGTTGGAAGGAGCGCTGTTTTCTCTCGGCCAGTGCCCCTGACTCTTCTTCGAATCCAACACTTGCGACCGATGCTGCAAGGTCATCTTCCCCGTTTGAGAACAACAACGACGCCACTTCATGGGGCTTGACGATTTCCGGATTCTACTATATCGCTCTCAATCGTCTCACCGGCGAGATCGATGGCCTATACTACGATCCAGGGTCGCAGCCTTATCAGGCGCTCAGAATGGTTCCGGAAGGAACGTCACTACGTGGATTGGTTCTCCCTGCCAATAACAATGCCACACCACAGTCACAGATACAACCACAGCCACAGATCAAGCCCGGTGTATGTGTCTGCGGATGCGGCGATACAACGTGCAAGGAAAGGGTCGTCGGATTGAAGAAGTGGTTCCCGTCGGTTGAACTTCGGTGAAGTGAAGCGAAGCGCATTGTAGATGCAGTCAATTGGTGGTCGACCACTGCACTGCGAAATTGGCCTGGATGGATTCTATCGCGCCTATATAGCATTGTTGGATAACGCATCACCCGAATCCATCTTGGCACAGGAAAGGAAAGGATCGGTCCTTTTCCATTGCATGACCTCCCGTAAGCCAAATGTGTGTCTGATCTACAGTAACTAGGCCTCCTCCCACTGCTACTTACTGTCTTGTCGGTTTTTGGGTAACAAAAAACCATCCGAGCTAGCCATACGGAGAGTTGGGTAAGAGGAAAAGGCGACAGACAATAAGTATCGGATATACAATACCAGTGCGTTTTCTGGTGGTCAACCCCGGAAATTCATCCATTCAGCCGAGGGGGGCGCGACTTTGCATGGCGCATGCTGCATTAGGTAGTGAGTGGTAGAATCACCTCCCTGGCTTTGGGTGCTTGCCTCGGAGCATACACCTAGGTGGTATGCATGCGTGCGCGCAAATACTACAGCCGCGGCGGAACCGCCATTGGAGACAGACCTGATAAATATGGTGACTTCCTTTGTACGCTAGGTATTGAAAGGGAGAAAGCAGACTACAAATGAACAAACGATTGAACGAAACATCAGGAATTTGCTTGGTATTTGCATAGCATGAGATTGAAGAAGACATTTTCATGGCGATCCATGGATTCTTGACTATTCTGAATATCCTTGTCGGCTCTATTAGACCCCACGCTCTCTACCTAGGTGTTGCAGGTAGATAGGATGCAGGTGTGATGATGCGGCTCGGCCACACCCGACACAGTGCGAGATGCATGTAGAGATCCAGCCCGTCTTCTGTATCCATGATACCCTTGATGCCCGTTTCTGCGTCATTTTATCCATCAGTGTCAAGTCCACTTCAACGTATTTTATTTTGATGTTTTTTCTTCTCTCATTCACATCAGGAATCGTGGCTCTAGGTTCATTCATCCCGTTGTTCCTCCCAGCCATTTCATGTCATCTACGCAAAGATACGCAGGGGCTTGTGGAGGTAGAAGCCGGGGTCGTTGAATCTCAGACCCTTGTCCAGAGCACTGATGGCCTTGATCTCCTCGTCGGTCAAATCGAAATCGGTGGCCTCCAAGTTCTGCTTCAAACGGTCGACGTTGTTGGACTTGGGGATGACGGCAATGCCTCTCTGGGTGGACCATCTCAGGAGAACCTGGGCAGGAGTCTTGCCGGTGCGCTCGGCGGCCTTCTTGACGACGTCAACGTCGAACAGTTTCGGCACCGAGTCGGGCCGCTTGCGGAACGCCGGGGGGAGCTCCAGGAAGCTCTGGGGTCCGAACGAAGAGTAGGCGGTAATGACAATCTTCTCCTCCTTGGCCAGGTCGACCAGATCTTGTTGCACGAGGTATGGGTGGTGCTCGATTTGGAGGGTGGAGATGGGGTGGCGGGCGTAGGTTTGGATGTCGTAGATGGTCTGGGCCTGGGCGTTGGAAATGCCGATCGACTTGGCAATGCCGGAATCGACGACTTGTTCCAATGCCTCCCAGGTCTCCTTGATCGGCACGTTGGCACGCTCAATGGTCTTTTGTTCGGCGTCCATCCACCAGCCCTGGAAACAGAACGCATTAGCTGTGGCCCAAACATACAGCAATGCTTAGCTCAACTTACCGGATACCGCAGCTTCTCGGGCTCAATGTACTTCAAGGCAATGGGAAAATGGATCAGATACAAATCAATGTAGCCCAGTCCCCAGGCCTCGTTCTGGGCCTTGGCCATGGCCAAAGCGTGCTCTTTGGCATGGTAGTTGTTCCACAGCTTGGTGGTGACAAAGATGTCCTCGCGCTTGACGAGACCCTCGTCGATGGCGCGCTTGATGCCCTGGCCGGCCTCACGCTCGTTCTGGTAGTCGTACGCTCCGTCGAATAGGCGATATCCGACTTTGATGGCCTAAACGCGGTGGTCAGTTGCAGTTGTTTCTTCTCTTGTTATTTCTGCTTCAAATCCAACGCAATTGATCCAGGAGTTTCCCAACCATCCCTCCGTTCGAAAGACTGACAGGCCCAAGCATCTCCGTAAACGCAGGCTAAAAGACAGCTTGACATCTACCCCGACTTAAGAATGCCCGAATCTTCATGCTGCGATTTTCCCCAAAACAAAAAGGTGGCCGGCGCAGAACTCACATTGTAAACAATGTCGGCGGCCTTGTCGGCAGGCACTTTCCACAGGCCAAATCCGACCAAGGGCATCTTCTGGCCCGAAGCCAAGGTGACGGTGTCGACGGAAGGCATCTTGTAGGTGGTGGTCTCGGCGATTGGGTTGTTGCTCGTGAAGTGATTGAGGACGGAAGTGATGCGACGTAGAGGCGAGGACGATGCAGAAGATGCAGATGCAGAAACAGAAGAGAAAGAAGAAGAGGACATCTGAAAGAAAGGAAAAAGAAAGCAGAGCCACTGCCACTGCCACCACCGGGACTTTTTTTGGGTTCTGTAAACTACGATGACGGCGGGCACCTGCAACGGCAACTGCACCCCAAAACGTATGACGATGGACTTGACGCTGGCAATTTGGGGGAATTTAGCCGCCTTGTTAAATACAACCACCAGCAATTTGCCAGGAGAGCCCGCAGAGCCCACCACGTGACCGTGTCCACCGGATAAAATCCTCATGCAGCAGGCGACGAGTAGGAGATCGAGAGAGAAAAGCTCACGGCAGCCGGGAAAGTGGTCTCTGGGTCTCTGGTGGACTCTGGCTGTGGCATCCGCTGCCCGTGTTTGCTCGGGCGGTCTCCGCTCCTCGCTCCGACATGACGCTTGATTGCACCACCTTTCATTCTCCATTCTTCCATCGGGTGGCACTTGTTACCGGGGGAGGTGTGAGTTGAGCCCGCTGCGGGTCACCGTGTTTTGCATTGCTGGGATGCGAGCTACAATGTTACTACTGCAACGCAAGGCAGGACGATACGAGCGGGTAATAGGGTACTAGTACCTGCAGTACAGTCCCAGAGAGATGAAGGTAAAGGTGCAGAATCCCCGGGATCTCCTGGTAGTAGTGATAAGGGTTAAATGGTGCTACCGGGCTTGACTGCCGCGCCGTACCAGAATTAAATATCTTACCATGACAGTGGTACAATCGCCTGGCAGTCTTGTGTTCAAAGTGGCAAGTCTACACCGTCCACAAAGATAGAGTATCTCGCAAAAGGAATACTATGTTAGATTCGGTATAACATGCCCATCCTCACCTCGCTGAGTTTACCTATTTTCCACCACTACGCTAAGGGTGGTCCATTGGCACCCGTCAGGACCCTTATTGCGCAAGGCTGTGGCCAGACACAGCACGTGGCATTGCAAGCCGTTCCACCACTATACAGGTCAGGTCCAGGCGAGGTAGATCGAACAGTAGTACTGACCGACCGAAAAGTTCAGAACATCAAGCACCGAAAAAACGCACCAATTGCATTGTCGCCCACGTTGATGAAGTTTGACATTCCTGGGCGGATATCCACCTCTCTTACTGGTGCCATCTCAACAGAAATCAGGCTTCCATACGACGACGAATCGCTGTCCTTACTGAGAACTATGCTTTACTCCCTCCAAACCCGAGCTGTTGGGACCGGGGCTCGTAGTAGGGTTCGGCAGCCAGGACCCGATAGCGAACGGCACCGCCAATAATGCTGCTTATCCCGATGCCGGGTGCCAAGTAGCTCGCGGTCAGGGTACAATAGAACGGAATACTCCAGGTTGAGGACATTCAACGGAAGATCGCCCGTGAAGAGCTGCATGACACCGAGCTCGTTCAAGTAGACCCCATCACGGGTAGAGGCAGGCAAGACTATTATACTCCAACATCCCCGTCAGTCTATCCCTCTCGGAAGGGATGCGCCTTGACCGCCTCATCAGCCTCACGGTGGGCGTCGTACCCGTACAGCCATGGCTGAACCTCTGGACAAGTCCTAGACAGGTCACGCAACATCAGTAAAAGGGGAGGGAAGGAAGATATGAAAGAACAGAAGGTAGGAACGCACCAGCGACTAGGAAATTTAACCTCGACCTCGTCCTTGCCCAGCTGCGATTCAAAAAGCGCATCTCTCTCCCTCTGGGCCTGGCCATCAGGCATATGAAACGCATCTCTCTGGTGAAAAGTCTCGCGAACAATCCGCTCACTCCTGGACTTTCTCAACTGCTCATACAACCCGACGGCCCAGCGAAGCTGCTCTTTCCTCTTCCTTTCTTCACCCGGACCGGAGGCATCCACATACGCCAGCAACCTGCCCAGCACGGCGCCGTCTTCGATGGACGAATTAGCCCCCTGAGCCAGGTACGGCAGCATGGGATGACAGGAATCGCCGATCAAGACGAAATCGCGTTCGGGATTTGTCCACGAGGGCAATTCTTCGCGGTGCATCAGTTTCCATTTATCCACGCTGTCGACCTGTTTCAAGAACCGCGTAAGGATCGGATCCCAACCGGCGAACAAAGCCTGCATTTCGCTCACGGAGCCTTTGGTCCTGGCCAGGTTTTCAGGCAAATCGTCCGGACACAACAGCACAATGTTGTACATTGTCCCCGCACGCAGCGAGTACGCGACCGCGTGGGCGTATGGCCCTATCCAGAAATGACACTGCGGATTCGCGATCCACGCCTTGAGTTCGGGATCCGTGATCTTGTCCAGTTCCAAAACAATCCGGTAGGCCAAGTCGCCCGTGGGTAAAGGTTTGTCGGACTTTCCAAGTAGACATTCGCGGCATTTGGACCACAGGCCATCGGCCCCGACGATCAGGTCGGCTTCGATCTTGCGGCCTGACTCTAGTAGAATCTCGGGTCTGCCAGTACTACCAGTGGTTGTTCCCTCGCCATCACTAGTCGTAGTGGTGGTGTTGGCGGACGTGGATATGGATCTCCCAATCGAAGAAACACGACAGTTCAGCGACACACTAACACCCAGCGCAGTTGCTCTGTTATACAGGATCCGCTGCAAATCGACGCGATGCACGTCGATAAAAGGCGCGCCGTACTTGCGGCGCATCTTTTCGTTGAACCGCCGCTCTTCCGCCAATACCTTGCCGTCGCTGTACCGATGCACCGCGAGCAGGGTCGGCTCTGCCGCGACGCGCTCAAGCTCGCTTTCTAGCCCCCAATCCCGTAGCAGTCGTGACGCGTTCGGTGTGATCTGGAGTCCGGCCCCGATCTCCGCCAGCTCTTTCGCGGATTCCAGCACATGGACGCGGTGCCCTGCCAGCGCGCATGATATGGACGCCGCGAGGCCCGCTAGGCCTGCGCCGACGATCACTATGTCCAGTTCTGATGAGGGAGCGCCCATGGTTGTGCGAGAGACAAGAGGTAGAAATCCAGTTAAGGTCTCTCCACATACTAAGCCTCATCCGGCCTCTTACCTTGGTACGGTAGTATTGGTCATTCCTGGATAGGGAGTCTGACTATACGTCCAAGCAGCGTTCGCTAGGGTCAATAAGACAAAAGAGTAGACTGCCAGTGTGGAATCGATATTCGCAAAGATATTTTGTTCGGATGGAGAGGGGAAACTGAAGTTCAATTAAGTTCGATTAAGAGCCGCCTTCGAATGCCGAGGAGGCAGGAGGTGTGTGGCTTTGACAACTGGAAGGCATGGCAAGGCAATTCTAGCCGTGTCCTACCCTGCCAAAATCTTCTTGGTCTTTGAATCACATTGGGAATGGGCAAGCGTTGAAAAAAGTACAGCAGAACTTCTTTGTATCACACGCTTTTACGGCCCTGGTGCTGTTGACTTTCGATTGATCAGATCAGTTCGGTTCAGTCCAGTCGGAATAAAAAGTGTTCCGATTCAGAAACCCAATCCGCGGTGGCTCGGCACAACGACACACTTCAGGTCAGGGTTAGAAGTCGCAGGCCCTCCCTCCCCTTTTGCAACGCAGCCTCGTCTGGCCACCGATTACTCCTGAGCCATTGCATTCAGATGAAAATGTTTCACACGCCCCCTGAAAATGCAGAGCAGTGCAAAGGTTGATTAGCTTATATGATTCTCTAGGACTGAAATCCTCGCCCTTGACAGGCAGGGATCCGATATCTTCTTTCATGAACTGCAGTGTTCCATATTACGTCTCGAAAGACGGTATATCGTTTACAAATCAGCGCGTCCGTTCTGATTATTCCCCCTTACACAACCCTGGCACCTTTGCCGCCTTGACCCCGACCAGGCCATCGACATAGTCCAGAAAGGTCTGGACGGGGATCAAGTCCATGAGCCCAAGGCTCGGGTTGGAGCTACGAAGGACCTGGCCGCCCCACAGGACACGCAAAAAATAACATCCGTCGCGGGAGTAAAGCTCAAAGACGACCTCGGAACCCATGCCGGGCCAGACCATGACGTCGACCTGGAGGATACTGAGCAAACGGGACATGCTGCCGTCATGGGCGACGTTGTGGCGATAACGCACAGGGCTTTTGTTGGTTGCGTTCGTGGCGGCACGCAGGTTGCTCGCGAGTTCGGCCATCCAGATGCCGTACGAGGCGGTGCTCGCCGCCAACGACTGCGGCGAGTCGCGGTAGATGAAGCTGTACTCGTATTGACCGCGACGGAAGACGGCATCGGCATCCGTTTGAGTGACACAGTTGCTCGAGTTGTCTGCCTGGCAAGGCAGCGGTTTGTCATGGCACAGACGCGCACTTAGACTGTCGAAATAGTGGTCGAACCAATTGTGCCAGTCTGGGTCGGACGTGTTAACCCCGGAGACAGAGTCGAGTTTCGAAAACAAAGCCGTTGACTCGTTCAGGTGCAGTGTCCAATTGGCCGCCTTGCTGCCCACGCCGTAGCTGGAGAACGTTTTGCTGGCGTTGGTGCATGTGTACCCGGGTTCCAGGGAGTCGACCGAGTCAGGCTGGATGGCCACGCTGACTGGCTTGTCGGTGAACTGGTCGGCGTACTGGCCCAGCACGATCTGGCCCGCGACTTGGGACGTGATGACGTTGTTGGTCACTCGGTAGCGGATCTTGTCGGCGTCGTACTTGGCTGGCAAGAATCCCAGAAGGTCGTGGTACACGCCGAATAGATCCTTGCCGTGCTGGCGCGAGTCGTTCAGGCCGCCGGCGGTGATTTGGGGAAATTGACATGTCCCGTTGAATCCCTCGGGTGCCAACGGGTTAGAGTCCGATGTGTAGACTTGCCAGTTGACCTGGGCAGCATGTCCGTCCGGGTTAGGCGTGCCGTAGTAGAAAAGTGCCTCGTCGTCGCAGTACCAGGCATACGTCTCGTGAGGAAACGTGTTGGATGCGTAAGGTGTGCGTTTGTGGTGCCGGTGGATCAATTCGACGTATTCGAGCTTGTATTCCTTGGGAGGAACGACATATTCCTGCCTCCGCACATGTGGCATGTTGCACCAGTTGTACGTGCGGTATCCGGATGTGGCTGGCGTGATGGACGTGTTGAAAATGAATCCATAGATACCAGTCCCGTTGACAACCTGGCTCAAGTCGTTGATGTTGGTCTTGTTCGGAGCATGCCAACTGAGGTCCACGACCCTGCTATCGCTGCCGGATGAACACTGTGCTTGAACCCTGAGCGACAGCAAAGCCACGATCCCGAGGGCGCTGATCTTAGGAGCCATGGTGACTCGTTCAGGATGTATGTGAGACGTTGGACAAACCTGAGGGCCTACCTAGGTAGCAAGAGGGAAAATGGAGGACTTTATGAACTGACCATGGCACCGGACCATTGTGGAGCAGCTCAATCCAGGTACCATGACGGTCAGCCAACTGAGGCACGTTCTTGCAATAATCATGCTAGTACTGTTATTAGTCCTGTATGTTCAAGAGGATGCATGAATTGGTGTAGCTTGTAAAGGCGCCAGTTCTTAACCCGGCATGGGTCATGATTGGTGCTGGGAAAAGCGTGCGCAAATCACCGCATTTCAGAGGCGCGGCTGGCAGAACTAGACGGAGATACACCGACAATGGGCGAACTCATTAAAAGTGATCAGGGTATGTACTCTGTAGATACATCTCGTTCATGGACCGTGGTCAGCAAATGGTGAAGGTGGTGGTACCCTCCGTTGCAGCTCTCCTCTGCACCGTCGTGCTCGACAAGCTGCTGCTGAGGATGTTTGACGTTGCCAGTCGCTGATGAGAGAGATGGTTCTCTCTACGGCGACGTATCTCCGAGTTTCACTTTCTCCGAATTCGGACAACCGAGCAAACCGAGGGGTGCGGGGTCAATTCCGTGCTAGAGGCGGGCTCGTCCTCGATCGTGTCAACAAAAAGATCATGTCGAGGGTTTTCAGCGGACCTGACAGAGCAGAGTAGAAAAGAGGAGATCCAGAGTGTGTCCTGTCCAAGCTGAGTTCCGGTCCAAACACACATCGCTGCCTTCGAGGTTTGAAACTCGTCAACATGGCTTATGAAACCAGGCTCTTCATCAACAACGAGGTCTGTCTCACCCATCTAAATGTTCCCCAGTAACTCGGTCATTTCACTTGCTGACTCGCCTGTGGTTTAGTATGTTAACTCCTCCTCTGGAGAGACGTTGACCATCTACAACCCCAGCGATGACACCCTGGTCACGGACAAAGTCCAGGTCGCCGGCGAGGCGGACGTCGACCGTGCCGTTGCTGCTGCCAAAGCTGCTTTCCCAGCTTGGTCGGCCATGCCAGGTCTGCAACGTGCAGCCATCATGCTGAAGTTCGCCGATCTCTTGGAAGCAAATGCCGAGAAGCTCGGGAAGCTAGAGACCATCTGTATGGGCCAGCCCATCACAGTAGCCACAGGGTTTGTAAAGGGTCCCGCTGCCATCTGGAGGTACTATGCCGGCTTTGCAGGTAAGATTGCCGGCGAAAGCTACCCTCCAGAGGGAGATGGAAGCTACAAAATCGTCGCATACGAGCCATTGGGTGTTTGTGCTGGAATCGCGGCCTGGAACGCTACCCACACATTGGCGGCCTGGAAGATGGCTCCAGCGCTCGCAGCGGGAAACACTTTCGTCTTCAAATCTTCTGAGAAATCTCCCTTGGGAGCTGCTGCATATGGCGACTTGATCAAGGAAGCTGGGTTCCCGCCGGGCGTCATCAATGTGGTCACTGGAGCCGGCCCAGTCGGTGCATTGCTGGCTTCTCACATGGAAATTGCAAAGATTGCCTTCACAGGGTCGGCAGCCGGTGGCCGTGCGGTGCAGATCGCTGCCGCAAAGTCCAATCTGAAGCATGTTTCGCTCGAGCTAGGCGGAAAGTCGCCTGCCTTGATCTTCGACGACGCCGATCTGGAGAACGCCCTTCTACACAACTCCGAAAACTTCTTGAGAAACTCCGGTCAGATTTGTTTTGCGTCGTCAAGAGTTCTGGTTCAAGAAGGCATCGCTCCCAAGTTCATCGAGGGCATTAAAACATATTTCGAGAATGCGGCCAAGAAAATGGGCGATCCATCTTTGCCCGAAACTGCATTTGGCCCCTTAGCCGATAAGAAGCAATTTGAGAGAGTTATGCAATTCTTGAAGGACGGCAAGGCTGAGGGAGTTGAAGTCCTAACCGGGGGTGACCGTCTGGGCGACAAGGGAGCGTTTGTTCAGCCCACGGTGCTGCTCAATCCAGACTTGAAGAGCCGAGTGTATACCGACGAGATCTTTGGTCCCGTGATTTCTGTCAAGACTTTCAAGACTGAAGAGGAAGGCATCCGGCTTGCAAATGACACAAGCTATGGCCTTGGAGGTGAGTGCTAGATCGTTGCGGATTGAATTTGAACTGACTGTGCCAGCTACAATATACACCTCGGATATCCCTAGAGCATTGCGGGTTGCCTCCAAGATCGAATCGGGTGCGGTGGGCGTCAACCAAGCGTTCAAGAACACTCCGCAAGTTCCATTTGGCGGTGTCAAGCAGAGTGGATATGGCCGTGAGAGCGGATATGAAGGACTGCGAGGTTACTTGCATACCAAGACGATTAGCATCAATATGGAAGTGAAGAGTCAGTGAGCCAGCCAGGCTTCTGATCATCGCTTGCCCACGGAATGTTCTCTCAAGAGTTCAACCGTCCACACGGCATCAACAACAAAATTGAAAAGCATATAATTCAATATACCACGTATAGTGACGGACGGTGTGTCTGTTCGCATCGAATAATGCCTTGATATTAGTAATGTCGAAGGACTTGTGAAGGAACGACCGAGTATGAGTCGATGTAGCCTCAGTGTATCGGCTCGGTCTGTTGATAGCGGTAGTTTTCCCCGGAGTTTAGTTTGGTCCCAGCCTGAGAGAGCGTGTTGACACTGCGTTAGCACAATACGAAGGAGTGTGAAGACAGGATGTCATATTTTGTGCAGACTCGTGGCCGATGAATCGATAGATAAGCGGATGAGCAAACCGAGAATACCAAGCATTACCATCCGAAGCTTGTCTTACTCAAGCACAACTTTGTTTACCACCTTAAACACAATATCATCATGACTTGGCCTGCACACGTCATGTTGATCACACCTCTCCGGCCACTGCCGTGCAACATTGTAGTAACATGTCATGGACTTCTGCCCGTGAAACAGAGATCTCTCACGGCACATGAGGCTCAAGTATCTTCATTGATGTGTTATATACCTATCTCCAGGCCTAAAAAAGAAAAAAAAGAAGAGAAACACCCGCTCTGATCATTTCATTCCACCCTTCCCACTTCGTGCCCATAGACCCCTGGCCCCTATCCCAACATGAGTGACCCAAGAATCCCCAAACTCTACCATCGTTCGACACCGCACTGGCAACAAGAACAGCGCAAATCCTTCTGGCAGCTGAACGAGAACAAAAGTAAGAATTCGAATCCTCGGAAAGACCATCCCAAGAAAATCAAGAACCAAAATTCCCCTTGAACATATTTCCACCCCAGCCAGAACGAATCCTGCCTCTAGACTAACTTTGTTGTCTCTACCAGCTTCCCCCTTCAACACCAGACCCGACAAGCTCGAGGCCCATGCCGAGGAATCACTGTCCATCAATGGCCGGCTCTATGCACAATCAAACGCCGGTCAAGGCTGGAGTATGCCATACCTATCTCTCTCCCCCCCTACCTTACCCACCACTGTAAATACTGACCGTTCTTCTCTCTATCCCACCTCGCCAACCGACAAGCATTCTACCGTCACCGACTGATCCCCCATCAACTCGTCGACGTGAACGAACGAGACACCACAACAACCCTATTCGGTCATAAAGTCTCAGCACCCATTGGCTTTGCTCCGATCGGGATTAACAAGATCTACCACCCGAAGGGCGAACTGCCCGTAGCCAAAGTCGCTGGCGAACTCCGACTTCCATATGGATTGAGCACGGCCGGTTCCAGCACGATCGAAGACGTGGCGGCCGCAAACGAGGAAGGCAGACAATCCGAGCACGCCGTGCAAGTTGAGGGGGCCGCCAACGACGAACCTGTCCGCTTTTTCCAGCTTTACTTACCACATGATGATGAATTGGCTATTTCTCTGCTGAAACGAGCTGTGGATTCGGGATTTACGGCTTGTATTTTGACAACAGTATGTCTGCGCTGATCCCGATCCAACAATCATCGCCATCACCTCGCCTCCGTCTTTAACATTATCTTTATCACAATCCTGATTGTTCTTAGGATACCTGGCAACTAGGCTGGCGCCACGACGACATCGCCACCTCCAACTACGCCTTCTACCGCGGCATCGGGGCCGACATGGGCCTCGCGGACCCTGTATTTCAGAAACGACTCCGCGAAGCAGGCATCAACCCCCAAAAAGAACCAGAAAGGGCAGCGGCAATGTGGATCGACAATGTCTGGCACGGCCGCGCATTCAGCTGGGACAAGATCCCCTGGCTGATCAAGACGTGGAAAGAGCTAAGTGGTGGAAAACCATTTTGCATCAAAGGGCACGTATCCCAACTACCCCAAGTGTCCACGCACGCCATGTACTGACGAGACCACTCTAGTATCCAATCCGTAACCGACGCCCAACACTGCGTCTCCCTCGGCGTCGACGGCATCGTCGTCTCCAACCACGCGGGCCGCCAAGTCGACGGCGCGGTCGCGAGCCTCGACGCTCTAGAAGACATCATTGATGCCGGGATCGGCGACAAAATCACCGTCATGTTCGACTCGGGCATCCGGGGCGCCAGTGATGTTATCAAGGCTTTGTGTCTGGGTGCAAAGTTCGTTTGGGTGGGTAGAATGTGGATTTATGGGCTGAGGTAAGAACCGGAACAGACCCCTTCTGATTAATATGATCACGGAACCCCCGTGTTCTAACCACCCTTTGTACCAACAGTATCATGGGTGAACTCGGTGTCCGACATGTCATGAAGTCGCTGCTTGCGGAATTCGACATTTCCATGCTCACGGCGGGATTTCGCAACGTCGGTGAAATGTCTCGCGACAGGTTGCAGAGTGGGCCGCGGAGTTACTCGCTGATCGCGGAGAAGTCGAGGCTGTAGATTGAATTTATTTCATTTGGAACACAAAGAACAGACGGTCGCGAGGGCCGAGAGAGGCCGAGAGTAAGGGCGGTGGACGGAGATGAATTTAGATAACCAAGTGTAGACAGCACCTATAAGTCCCGTCAATTATATCGCCTAGAGGCAATAGACCCCGTCATAAGCACCGATTATTGTTCGTATACTACTCTAGTCAGCACCTACTACAGTACAGGTTACCCACCAGGTCGTGCAAATGAATAGATTAGCACATTAGGCCGTTGTAGCTACCCACGTTTCTACCTAGGGAGAGGTTCACGTATATGTGTATATATACCTTACCTCAAGCCGTCTTTCCAAACTGTGCTAGTAGTTTTTCTATTCCCTCTTCGCCATCTGAGCCTGCTGCCTATCATATCCTGCTACCTGGCCGGACTGGCCTGTTTGGACTCAATCCATCAATGGTCACCAGTTCACCCGGGAGGTAGGTATCTAAGGCCCTGGCGGAAAGCGAAAGCGACCAGCCCCGGTGTGTGCCAGCAGCTCCGCGAGAATAAAGCCTCGGGCAGCTACACTGCGGGAGTCCCTAGACCAAGGGGAACAGCGAACAATGGGACTACCATGCAAGTGCACGACCAGTACCACCACGGCAGTTGGTGGCAAGGACACTCAAATTTGCCAATGAGTACTGAATCCTAGCTAGTGGTCCAGTCTCCAGGTTCATGGCATCTTTTTCCCTTTTGAGAGATATCTTGCTCTCCCCCGCGAAAGCACCACCACTAGCGGAGTCACTGTCGAGCCCGGTAAATAGGTAGTAGACAAGCTGTAATGCAGTCGACGAGGAGGCGGACGTCTCATCCAACCAGGACATCTCATATCATCCAGTCAAAGGCCAAGGGTGAATGTCACAGCCAGGCTGATGGCGAGTCAATCCAACCAGACCCCACTGTACGGTTTTGGAGCCTTTCCACTCTGTTGCTTCATCCGCCTAGGGATAAACCCAGGTTTGTTGGAAGTTCTTGGGGAAATAGGTGCAGTCGAGACGTCCCAAAGGATCAATATCGGTAGATATAGGTAGATATAAGTGGTGGGAGTGAGCAACGGGATATGGTATAGATTATGCCGTCCCAGTTTCAAGTTGCGTCGTCTTCGTCTGGAGAGTCGTTGCAATACTTTAGGCAAAAGCCCGTGCGCTTCATGTTGAGGTGGTTGGGTGTCGGATAGGCTGTTCGAGTAGTCAGCCCCGGGCAAGGGGCTGCAAATGAACATCTCTTCATAGATCCATCGATATCATTGATCGCGGCCAGTAAAGTCGTAGCAGCCAAGACCATGGAGGGATACCTTGCCCGCTGTATGTAATTTGTCGTTGTATTTGGTGCCGGTCAAGAAAACGGCGGACACTGCGCACAGCACAGAGCAGTCAGAGCTCAGTCTGGCAAGGACACCTTTGTGTTTGTTTTCAATGGCATTCTCCTGGTCATCCGCAGCATCACTGCTCAATCTTTCCAATCCCAAACCTGCTTCAGAAAAGTCGACATGCTGACCTTTTTCGTTTTCATCTCCACCATCCAGGGATGATCAAGCATCCTCCACGGAGAGGCGCGCCGGCTGGGCTCTTTCTCCAAACAGCTTTCGATGAAATACTTGAACGTGTCGCTCCATTTGATGCCGTTTTCCGGCTCATCCTTGAGTTTGGGAATGGGCTGCGCCACGATATACGTGAGAAGATCAATAAGTCCAGCTCGAGGCTGCATCTCCGTGCCGTCAGCTGGGAAGGGGAAGCGGTGTTGAGCGACTTCGAGTAGTGTCACTCCAAGAGACCAGACATCCGATGTTATGGTGTAGGTCTGGCCCTGGATCCGTTCCGGAGCCATGTAGTATGAGGTTCCTATGAACGTATTGGCATCGCCTTTGGTGCCAAACTCGCCACTGACGCCAAAATCGCAGAGTTTGACTTGGCCATTGCGGCAGAGTAAGATATTTGAAGGTTTGATGTCTGAGACACACCACTTTGGTCAGCACGTGCTCAAGATGCACCACTATTGATCTAGACCTAACTTACCTCGATGTATGATTTTGCGAGAATTGAGATAAGTCAGCCCATGTAAAACACCTTCGGCAATCTTGCCCAGGACCTTTTCTCCAGTTCGGCCTCCTAGTTTCTTGACCTCACGGTAGATACTGTCCAAACTGCCGCCTGCGCAAAACTCCATGGCTATGGAGATGGTGCTCGATGACTTGTCCATGAAGGCACCATAGTACTGGCAAATGTACTCAGATGTGCAATTCTTGTTGAACTTTAATTCTCGTAAGATTTGTTTCTTGACGTCCGGGTCCGGGCTGGTTGTGATGACCTGAGCCAGATGTAAGTATATCAAAGCCAAGAAGCAGTTGTTGCTGCTTGTCAGCAAGGGAAACAAACCTTAAGAGCAAAGATGGTCTTGCCGCCTTGCAACATACATCTTGTGACGGCACCACCAGCGCCTTCACCCAACGATCCAAGTTCAATGATCTTGCCCTGTTCACTGGCGGCTCCCCAACCTTCGTCATCCAGATCCTCCACATCAAGCGGCCTCCCCTTTTCGAGGCTGAGTTTGTCAAAGTCAATGGACAGCCCGCCGACACTGGATTCCCTTTCCATGGACGAGCCACCCATACTGGCTTCCGAGTAGATTGAGCTGATTGCCGAAGACGGATCGGGCGTGCCCCCTTGTCTTGCCTGCATGGCGAAAGAGAGTGCAGAGTATGTTGAGGAAGACGCAGACCCCGGGACGCTGCCATTGTGGAAGCTGTCTCCTCGCGGCCTGGTGGCATTATCATTGCCAGTGACTGCAGATATGTTTAATGGCTGTACTTGTGGTCTTAGACTTGTTCCTCCTTCTTGGATCGCACCCTGACTTCCCATGGGAGTGGCTAGGGATAGTTTGGGAGGACCCTTTGCGGCCAGACTGAAGCGCGGTATCTCGGCGGGCGGTTCTGCCTCCCCCGTTACGGGTCGAGCATTGGGCGAAGGAGGGATTCCGAGTGTGAGGCGAGGGGTTCGGTTGCCGCTTTGACTTCGACCACCAGGGACAGGCGGCCGCAGCAGCGGCACCGGCGACGACATGTTTGCGTTGTGAGTCGATGGAGTCGTTGACGAGAGTGATAGAGATATTATAAAGGAGAAGTTGACACGGTCGTGTGAGGCTGGCCAAGGGAAAGCAGAGAGCTCGTGTCCCTTTGACCAGGGCTAGGATCCCTTGCGGCGTGTTTGCGTAGCGGGGAAAGGCTAGAAAGGTCGTTGCACCAGGGTGCAGTTGTTATCGGTCAGCAGGCGTCGCCGTGCTGACAGCTCGTCTCAGTCTTGGAAAAATTCAGTCCTTTTGTGTTTGGACTTTACGCTCGCAGTTGTAGAAGAGTAGTGGTGGCAGTAGGAGTAGAAATGCAGTTCAAGTTTGGTGGTGAGAGATGTTGCGGGTTCGAGCGAGTAGTGTGTTCATCAGGGCCTGTAGGCGACGTAGACTCGGACGGCGTCCCACTCAGGATGGCACTGGCACTGCAGTTCAGAGTTCAGGGCTGATTGATCTACAACGGGCGGCTACTTGAAACGCCAGCGGACAAGACACCGACACTTACAGCCTGCCTTCCACGGCCAACACTGCAGCAGACAGGCAGCCATGTGCTCTTTGCTCCAAGCGATGAGACGGTCAGGAGATGTTTTGCAATCATTAAGGACCTTGGACAACCCAGCAATGGGCGAGTAAGACTCTGGGCCTGCAGACACAACATCCCTTGAAGTGGCCACGACCCTTTCCACTGCACTGGCAGTTCAGCTCTGCCATACTACGACCAGGATCCTACAGGGTGCAGCACAGTATTCCGGCTGGCGCCATCATCAGCATTCGGTCCTTCTAACCTGAACTTCAGGGTGTCTCGGGTTTTCTCCTATCTGACGTTGGATGGGTCCCCGGGGAACGCGGAAGCCCGCAAGGCAGTGTGCAGTGCAGTAGTGCAGTGTGGCATGTCAAGCACCACTGCACGCGAACTGCCATGCTACCCTCCCTGCTCCGGTGGTGGTACGTCTCCGCCAGTTGTTACGCTTGTACCACTACTGACTCGTAGGCGAACCACTGCCAGTGCACCATCTCCATCACAGCCCTATGAACGGACTGTCTTAAGGTCGTCGTGAACTGGGCATGGAGAATCTCCCATGCCTGCAGATGATGGACAACACCACTAGGGTGCCTTGGTTTTAAGGCAGACACACACGCAGCGGCGGGGGCGACGGTTCAAGTTTGGGCATCAGCAGTGACCCAGAACTCGGAAGACCAGAGGGGCCGCTCCCCCATCGAGCCTATTATGACAGCCAGCACGTGTGACTGAGCAGGCCTTGTTTGGAGATTTCCGTGCTTCACATACCGCTCATTCGAGGCTGCTCATGGCCTCCTCCACCTGTCACAGCCCGCCAACTGACGGTGACTGACCCATTCGGCCTGGACATCACCACCGGCACCTCATCCTTGCGTATGAGAGCACATTTTGCCCAGCACCATGGGCCCGGGGTGTCCACAAAGCGCGTGTACAAGGGCATCGGGTTTGGATGTGGTGGCTGACGCGTGCACTGCGAGTCTGGCTCTGTCCCCTATGAACGAAGAGTAGTGCGTTGCCTTCATAAAACCAGAATGTTACCCACTTCAAGTGCACAATATTATTTGTTTAGACGAGTGCGAATGAATTTTCATTTGACTAGGTAAGAGAGAGGTCCGCTTGCCCTCATGTCCAGTGGCCCTTTGTCCGCTTGCCAGCCGCTACGTTCTGTATTTCTGGGAAATGCTAATTCAAGCGGCGGAACAACTCAAAAGCCATGCATGCCATTTGCAGGGCGGTTGCCCGCCATGGTAACCGGCCCAGTTTCCTTGCGCGGGTCCAGCGTCGCAAGCCGGCGGAAAGGTGAAGATGGCCAGCGCTCAAGAGGGATGTGTAGGTATTCATTTTATGGCTGCCTCGTGGCGGCTTGCTCACGGGTTGAGAGATCCGATCCGGACGAGTGTGGTTTGTTTCGGAAGGTGCATTAGGAAAGGATCGAGGTCGTTTGCATACAAGCTCGTGTCATCATTCGTCAACTCGCGGTCTGGGCGAGAAGTAAAGAGGTATCATAGCTTCATCAAGTCGCTTTGCGCGCAAGGCACCGGTTCTATTGGACGCCAAAGAGAAAAACAATGCCATGTGCTTTTCGGGGCGGTTTGTGTCGGTCACTTCAGGTCGGGTAAGGAAGGAAACTTGATGGTTCGAAGGAGTGTAAAGATAGAGTAGTCAAGTCGTGTAAGGCTGAAAATCGGTGGATGGAAGGCTTGGAGGCGCGACGATGTGGGCCATGCTGGTGACCTTATTCGGAAGAAACCTGTTGTCGACGTCCCTTCTCCGCTTCCAGGTTTTCGTATAGGAGATATAGAGCCCTTTCATTCGCGCTGGCACTTCCCATGATGGTGAACATCCTTTCACCCGTGTCATCATGGGGTGCCTTTGCGATGGAGATTCGGGCCCCGGAGGTCTTTCGGATTTCGCTGATTTTGGAGCCTCCTCGTCCGATGATGCAGCCGACCATATCGGCAGGGATGCTGATATTCTGCGTTTGGACTTCTTCTCCGTCTTCTGTGACCATTGGAATGCCGCCGCGGGGCAGGTCGTTGCCTCGAGTATAACCGCGAGATTCGCTGAAGTCGGCTCCATTCCCGGTGCGATTATATGAACGGCCTCCGCCAATGTAATTGTTGCCGGCTGGCAAACCTCCGCCCACGGCAGGAGGGAGAGGACCAGAACCGACTTGAACGCGAACAGCTGGGTTGTACAAGACAGTACCCGTGCCACGTTGCCAGTCATCCACCAGGCACTTTCCGATTTCCCAAACGGCCTTGTCGATGCCTTCCGGGGTACCCTGCACCTCCACGATACGTTCTGTTGACTGCGGCAGCATCTCTTTCTGCGCGACCATGCGAACACCAGACACATCCTGGATATGCTTGATCTTCAGACCTTGTCGGCCGATGATAGTGCCCATCTGATTGTGAGAGATCAGAAGTCGAATTGCTGGATGGCGTTAGCAGCTTATCGGGTTGGACAGGGACAGGGATCATGCTTACGATGAGTGCCGTTGTTCTGGACCACTCCTCCCATGCCGACTTGGGGCGCTCCCTCCAGCAAACCCTTGGCTACAAGCGAGTAGGCCTTTGCAATTCCGGAAAGCGGGCCGGTGACTGTCAAGACTCGGTCATGGACGCCCTGAACGACCTTGCTAACACCAGCCTTGACACCGGTTTCTTCTCTGAGATCAGCCACATTCTTCCCGGCTTTGCCGATAATGACGCCAGCCTCTTTGGTGGAAACTATAGCCCTGAGCGTGAGTTGCGACTGCGCATAGTCTTCCTCCGTCTTGGGCTGTTCGTTTTCCCTTTCGCCAACATTGAGTTGGTTCAAGGACTCGGCCAGACCATTGTCGTCTACGTGGTTGGCATTGACTGGAGATTCGGCAGAAGCCATTGCGCGGGATTGTACCGTCGAAGGGTGGAGTGGGATAGTGGCGTTGGGTCGGGCGGGCTCCTCGAGGTAGCGAGGGTGTCAGAAGACCAGATGGTCTTGACAATGTGCAGGATGCAGGATGCAGAATGGAGTACAATCAAAGTCCTGTCTCCGGAAGTGGCGAGCCCGCGTAAAGCAGAAAGGGACGCGAGTAGAGTAGAAGGGTGAGGTAGGGCGAAGAGGGATGTAAAAAGAGTTGGGGGGTTTGAAGGCGCGCGGGATAAAGTGTGGTGGTGAAGGTGGTGGTCACGGTGTAGTTGAGGATGGAGGGATTTTGACGTCGTTTGAGAAACAAACGAAATGAAATACTGAGTTGAGCGCACTTGAAGGGGGGCACTGCGCGTTGTTAGTGAAGATTTTACCAGTGCAGTGATTAACAGTTAGGGCTAATTTGACAGGGTGACTAGGCCTACAAGTGAAAGGTTTCAGAGGCCGTCGAGGCTCGTCACTGGCGCCGACACTGGGCACTACGACTGATCAAGAATTGGCTGGGGCGAGGTTTTAGCTGGTGGCAGGTAAAAGTGGAATAGTCGTGCTCCAAGTAGGACTAGCAGCTGAGTACGCAGCATACTACCGGTACAATGGCAGTGAGTGGAGTCAAGTTGTGCTCCAGACTCGGACCTGCAGTACTACTGCTAAAATATCAGGCGTAGGTCAAAAGCACTCTACCTCAAACTTGTTCTTTGTGACGCTACAATAGACAGGTGCGATGGCTGTAGCAAGCCTGGGGCGTCTTTAGATCGGGAGCCTTCCCTGGCGGTCTAAAGGACTGCATGACAGCGAAAAAGAGCATCCAACACAAAGTGGTGTCTGACCGGCCGCTATTTGCTGTCAAGTGCGACTGTTAACAGGCATTGCCGCTACAAATACTGATAAAGTTTCTGTCAGGCAAAATATGTATTCTCGAGTTAAATGCAGCGCCAGGCCTCTAGCGTCCAGCCTTGTGCACTCTCTTACTGTAAGTTTTGTTGTTGTTTCGGCATCCAGCATGCAAAACATCAAAATGTACTTCAGTTGCATGAAGAGATGGCCCTTTGTCCCAGGAGACTGGTCTCTGACTGTCGCTTTTCTCTAGAGACATGATTTTCTCGCCTCAATCTGTCGTCTATGTTGCACAGTCTATTTGTCGGCTTCAAACACAATCTTCTGGACCTTCATATTATTGAATTCGTCATACCACTTAGGGGCTTCTGACAAAGGCTTGATATTCTCCGTCATGAAACTTCAGAGGAGCGTTAGTCTATGACTGGACAAGAGAAATTCAGCTCGTAGGGGGCTCAACTCACTCAAGCTTGTGTTGATTCTTGACGAGATTGTTCAAAGCCGGCTCGAAAAGACCTAAATAAAACACACATATCACGTCAGTCCTACATTTTCCCGAACAATGCCTCAGGAGAGAGAAAACAGATAGGAGGCATGCACTCAAGGTGGGGTTCACATACTCCGAACAGGACACCGGCCCATCTGAATCCTCAAATTTTTGTTATACGCATCGGCGCCGGACCAAGGAATCTCGCCGTTATGGACGCCGATGCTGGAAATATTACCCCATGGTCTGAGGAGATCGAATCCCATCCTCAGAGCGTCACTGTGCCCGACAAGTTCGATGACCGTATCCGCGCCACGGCCATCAGTAAGCTCCAATACCCGCTTCCTCAGCCCCTCCATGTCTTTCTGGTAATTCCATGGCTCGGCACCCAGAGCTTTAGCCTGTTGTAGACGAGACTCGACGCCATCAATGGCCAACACTATCTTTGGTTTGAATTCGAGGGCGTTGACCAGTGCACACAGTCCCACAGGCCCGCAACCGATCATCAGCACAACGCTCTCGGCGATGTCTTCCTCGGCGGTTCCACGGAACGCATTCGATGCAGCGAAGTAACCCGTGGGGAAGATATCGGCCATGAGGACAAGCTTGTTTTGGTCGATGTTGGTCGGCGCCTTGAAAACCGTCGAGTCGGCGTCAGGGATCCGACAGTACTCAGCCTGCCCGCCGTCGAGGATCGGGGATCCAAAGGGCTTGGATGTCGCGCAGCGAGAGGAGTTCCCCTTCTTGCAGTAGAAGCAGTCGCCACAGCTGGTCGTGAAAGGCGTGACGATCATGTCGCCCTTTTTCACCGTGTTGACTTGCGACCCTAGCTCAATCACTTCACCGGTGAATTCGTGGCCCATGATAAACCCTGGTTCGGCCGGTTCGTGGCCACGGAAGAGATGCAGTTCACTTTTCGTTTCCGCGGCAAGAGTTAGAATAGAACGATCGACCGAGAAAAGAAGCAAAGTCGAAGAGAACCCAGCAGGGAGAAACGCCGACGAAGAGCCAACCATATCGGTAAGGCGCTCAAGCAGGACAATTGGACCAAACCTACCTGCCACATAGCGCAGTATATCTTACTTTGACAATAATATCTTGCGGATCCTGGATCTTGGGGATCGGTCTCTGCTCGACCGCGACCTGAAGCTTGCCTTTGAAGACGACAGCCTGCATCGTGTCCTTGGTGGCCATGGTTGGCTTTTCGGTCTCCGCCTTGTAACTAACTCCCTTCGGTACTTTCGATTTCTATGCTCGTTCTTGATTGTGGGTGAGTCCTGGCCGGTTTTCAGGTTGGATGAGATGGGCGGTTATGGTTCAGCTTCGGACAACACAAATGAAAATTCGGAGAAAATGATATCAAGCCAATGGGTGTGTAGTACGCGATCTATAAGTGATTGGGGGAGACGATATTGATCTGTGATATACACAGTAGCAGAAGTAGTTTTTTAGTTCATTCGTTGTTAGCTAGAATCCCAATGGTAGACTCTTAACTTGAACAAACAACGGGCAGGCAGTGGTTCCACCGCCAGAACGGGTCTGTTGAACAGCGATGGAGCTCCATTTCCCGAACGTGGTGGAGAGGAGCAGGATACCGATTCATTGATTGATTCGGCGAGGCCCATGAGTTCCTGCGAAAAGGGTCCTGCGATTGTTGGATTATATTGATGACTTTTGGAAGATTCGGTTTCCCACAAAGGTCGGATTGTGGTCGTTTGTCTGTGTGGTGGTAGTTGCCAACTGACATGGACCAATGACGGGCGGAGATTGCAGCGGTCAATCCGACTTGAAAGTGGCTTCATGCCGCATGTGGTCGGTAAACTAAATAAGGTGGAATCTAGGACGTGGGGAGTGTTCCTCTTGTTCGCTACTAGCGCCCGTCGTCGTGGAGGAGTCGGTCCGACGTCCGGAGATAGGCATTGTAGATAGGTAGTTGTCCAGCAGATACTACTACTGATTAAAGAAACAAATCGTTTGTCTTCTACCAGACTCCTAGAGTTGGAAGACTTCGTACCAAGTGATGCATGGTTCCTCTGCCCTGTCTATCATATAGTAAGTGGTAAGTTGGGTTGAAATCCACAATGCCATGCCAGCCAAAGCTCACTTCCCCCAAAACCCACTCCAATAACCAATGCCAGCCAGCCGTCCTAATTGAGATCCCAGATTTCGTATGTATTCGCGCGCCCCAAGGTACCAAGATCGAACTTCCTCCGAACCAACAACTCCTCCCAATAGAAAAAGAACGCCTTGCGGAGAAACTTCAACTCCCTTTATAACCCTCTCCGCGCCCAGCGTGACGAGACGGGCTGGAAAGGAAAGATGGCGAGACACTTCCCGTCATGCTCAGCACCTAGCTTAGGTCACGGTGCAGAGCAGCTCCGACTCCAAGATATATTTGCCTTCTTTGTATTTCTCGCTGGCCTCGTACGCCTTATCGTACTTCCAGCCCACGGTTTCATCGCATTGCTTGCATTTGATATCCCTCACAACGTGTCTCCCCGTGGTCATGTTCCGCTCCATCGCTTCCGCTTGCTTGATATTGACGACCGAGGCGAACAGGAAGGCCTTGCCATGTTGGCCCCGGAAGTTCCGGGATATAATGTCGTCGAAATCGGCGAGATGCGTCTTACAATTCTAGAATCATCGTACCGGGCCACCGGTCAGCAAAAGATCAAACAGTTGGGATAGTGCCAATTGAACAGGCTTTGGACATGGTGCCCTCTTCAAGAGATAGTAGTAGTAGTTACCTTACACCCAAAGATTTTGGCAGAATTCAGGTAGACGTTGTATGAAAGACCCATTCTGCCTGCCTGCCACTGCACCACCGGAGGCCTAGCAGAGTTGCCCTCGCAATCGGACGCAACGCTGACCTGTTGAGACGCCGCTCTGAGTCAAAGATGTCTCTTGACGTCGGGTATAGGTATAGTAAATCTCTCGACGCACGCCGGATGTGCCGTTGCTTTCGGCTTCCTCCTCTCTGGATATCTGCCTCTTGGAGACTGGTTGTGTAGTGCAGTGGTGGACGGCTGATTTGTAAGAGGAGTACAAGTTCAGGCGGAGGTTGGTGCGTCGGCTAACGGGTCATCTGAGGCTGATGGTGAATACCAGTATGGAAGGAAACTCGTGACTATAAGAAGCCGGCAGGGCGGAACTTGAACCCAGAATCGGTGGGCTACTGGGACTGGTCGTTCGAGTTGAAGGCCAACGGGGTCAAGTGATGCGTGTGCAGTTGAGGACAGGTCTAGATGGGGTTGCAGCCTGACCAAGGACGGCGTCGGCGACGGATACAGGCGGGAGCAGCGAGACGGAGCGTCAATGCAGTGCCTGCTCAGGTACTGTATAAGCAGGAAACTATAGAAGTGCTGTTGTCTGTAATTGAGACCAATGCAATGCCAGTGGCTGTAGTCCTGAGAGTCATGGACTCGGATGCAGTGGGTTGAATCCGAGGACGTACTTGTAAGGCCGCGGTCATTGCACCGAAAGCGGTGGAGTCCGAGTTGGAGTGGGATGCCCGGCAGTGTTTGAGGCTGATCCACGTCGATCGCCGGCCACGACTACAACTCTTAGTAGTGAGTGTACAACTACAACATGACTACAGTACGACTCACGCTGTATCCTGTGCCATTTCGTCGTTCTTGTCATAGATGTACGCTCCGACAACAAGGCACAGTATCTTGGTCCAGACTTGGTACTCAAGATAATGTCTATTAGAACAACCATCCGGTCATAGAGATCGTGGTATTGTCACGCCCATATGCTTGTCTCGACGATAAGCAAGACTGGATATCGCCATGTCTGTCCGCATTACCGATGACCAAGTAGCTCCTTATACGTATACCAGAAGTCATAACACTCCTTATGACCCCAGTGTTCTGTCCAGAACTCGCCGAAGATATCGTCAGCGTCTACGTCAACTTCTGGCAGCCTTTCGGTCCGTCGTAACCCACAAACAGCACATTGCTTGGTCGAGTCTTTCCCGGATGTGTATTTCAGCGTCTGAATCGTGGAGGTGCTGGATATCCTCAGCCGGTGCGGTGGAAAGTGAGCTTGGGCTAGGATGCTCTTAAATTCATGCAGGTAGTTGGACCAGTCATGGATCATTTCTTCGGCGTCCCTCAGTTCTTTGGCGCTCTCATTCTTGTTGAGCGATGCCAGCTTCATGCCTCCGCTCTTCCCTGCCTGTCCTATCCGTACACTTTGAGCCAGAATGGTGTCTCGCTTCCATCGCAAGCTCCGCCCTGCCACAACCCGACAGGCCGTCCGGTAGACACCCATGACTTGCGATGCGAGTTCCGCTTTCGGCTTGACGTGGCCTGTGTTGTGATTGTGAATGGTTTGACAGGCTGAGGATAGTAACTGTAGAAGAGAGGAAGGTGGTGGGACGTTGGTTGGCCTTTCGAAAGCAGGTGCCGCACTAGGAGCAGGGGACGGCGCTGCCTGGACGGGCTGGGCGAGAGTAGACACGTTTTTCGTCGGAGCACGCGCAGTGTTTTGTTTTTTCTCTGGTTCACCATCTGAGAAGGGTTCCCAGTCGTCCTCCGCTGCATCGACAATCGAGTCTGACCCCGTAAATGGTTCCGCGTTGCCCTGGTTCGCTGACTGCTCCAGCCCCGGCTGCTCTCCCACTCCCGTCTGCTCGAAATCTCCCCAGTCATCTTCCCAACTTGGGCCCTTTGAGTCCTTCTTAGTTTGTTGATTCTGGACTGTTTGGTCCTGCGGATATGCAGTAGCATTCGCCACTCTCCTAGGTGCATAGGAGGCATCGTCACCACCCAGTAGGTCCGGAAGGAGAGGTGGAGGCTCGTCCTGACGAGCCACGTCCACTTGGGGTAGACCCGAATTCGAGTCGCCTACCGATTCAAACTCTCCGAAGTCGTCATCTGGCTCAGGCTGGTCGGCGTCGAAGAGGACATCGGCACCATTCCTGTCCCTTTGCCAAAGCGGCGGAGCATCCTGCTTGTAGAATTCGCGTCGGGGCGTGTTGTATGATGGCTGGACGGTAACGGCACCCTGATCGGTGCGATGTGACGTCTGAACGTTGCTTTGTCCGCTGCTTCCCTTAGATGTCTGGGGTACATCGTTTTTGCCTGCCATAAAGGCGGCGTAGAGATCTGCGGACATGGCTAGAGAGGGACATAGAGTCTTCTTAGGCGGAAGCCTTTGCCAGGAATTGGTCAAGACATGTAGTTCAAGTTGGCATCCGTGTTGTATACCTAGGTAGTGGCGTACGAAAGATCATGTGCACTCGCATTCACCGATATTGCTCAGAGGTTCGCCAGTGAAGTTGACAGTTCCCGTTGAAGTTGTTGATGCCGCCAAGCATCATAACATAAACACTTCTGATTTCCAGGCATCCAACCGTCTCAAGTTAGCATTGTGACCACCCAACGAACAATGACTCTAAGATACTGTTAGAGACGTGCACCTCACACGCTGGGTGAGGGTGCTTACGATGCGGGATTTGCAGGATATCCAGTAAGGCACCTGCAAGCTGTTAACAATGACACCGTGGGCTTACGTCAACATAGGCGACGTTGGACATCTCTCTTCAGTACTTCGATTGGGGTCGACCTACGACAAGCCTTGAGAGACGGTGAAGGGTTCGACCCGTGCGAGGATGGATTACGCTCAGTCTGCTGGAAGGTTTGAATCTGTGCTCCCCATTATTACCATGGTCATCGCCAATCGTGCCAGGCTTTCCTTCTTTATGGCCCCCTGAGTCAGGCATCATGGTCCAAACCGTTGGCCGAGTCACGTTCTGCATACGTCTCTCTCCGGGATCACTTTTTGCGCTTTATCGAGCATCCGAATGACCTCCACTCGTCGGCAGACCCGTTAGCAGACGACGAAAATGTACGTAGTTCCATCTTCTACCTTTACTTCGAGAGTCTGACATCTGATCTGACGAAGCAAAGTCCCCCTGGTCTACTCTGCGCCAGGACGAGATCAACAGGGAGGAAGTTTTCCAGGATGTGACGAGATGCATGCAAGACAACTACTTCTTCAAAGAACCGTCCACGCAGAAGAGACTATTGGATATTCTGTTCATCTACTCAAAGCTGAATCCTGACGTGGGATACCGGCAAGGAATGCATGAACTACTGGCGCCGATTCTGTGGGTGATCCATCACGATGCAATTGATACGACAGTCGTCGACAACTCGAGCAAGCAGGACGAGGGTGCAGCCTTCATGATGGAAGTTCTCGATGCCAAATTCGTGGAGCACGATGCTTTCAACCTTTTCTGTGCTCTGATGCAGACCATGAAGGCCTCCTACGAGATAGGTGACGGCAAAGACTCGTCGCCCATAGTGGCACGAAGCCAGAGTATCCATGACGAGATCCTTGCGTCTGTTGACCCAGAGCTGGCGCTTCATTTACATGTTATTGGAATTCTTCCGCAAATATACTCCATGTAAGTATACCTGAGCCTACTGTCCGTGGTTATCGTCACTGACACTTTGCAAGTCGTTGGATCCGACTTCTCTTCGGACGAGAGTTCGAATTCAAGGATGTCCTGAGGATGTGGGATCTTCTCTTTGCCGAAAACCTGAGGCCCGACATCGTCGATGTTACCTGCGTTGCGATGCTTCTAAGATCTCGCTGGTCGTTGGTCGAGGCAGACTACACCGCAGCCATCACAGCATTAACTCACTATTCTCTTCCCGCCCCGACTGGCGATCCTCGGTCGTTGGTTAGGGATGCCATATTTCTGGACAAGACTCGGAACACTGAGGCCGGGGCGATGTTGATACAATATTATTCCGGCAGACGTCCGAAGGAAAGCGAGGCATCCGGCAGTCGGAGCACGTCCGGACTTCGAACATCCAGAAAGCCGCAACATCGAAACTCCCCAAGCGCGTCGCCCGGCCGATTCTCCTCGTCCCACAAGCATCTGGAAGGACTGTTTCAAGAGGTCACCGGCGGTCTACAGAGGCGCACGGAGGGCTGGAATGTCTCCAAAGCAGTTCGAACTGCAGTGGGCGAGGTTCGCCGCAACATGAACCAATACCAGGTGTCCCATTCTAGGAATTCAAGTTCCGACACCATCAATGTCGAAAAGCCGGACCCTCAGCGTAGACTGCAAGAACTACAGGAAAGAAACCGGGTCCTGGCAAAGATGCTCGAAGGCGCCATTCAGTCTCTTCGTTCCATCAAGCTCACCGGCCCGGACAATGCGGAGGCGGAGCACGGGCTGAATGTCTCTCTGGCCAAAATCCAGTTCGTCTCGATGTATCTGTCCAATCCGGACACGCCCATACCCAAAGAAGAACCCAGTACGGAATCAAGGTCCGTCACCCCACCAAAGGACGAAGCTACGGAGGAGTCTAGACAACCATCATCAGACGAGGCACGTAAGGAAGGTAAAGGCAATTCATCCGCAGCAAGCAAAGGCACCCTGGCCACCACCCCTACGGTTAAGCCCCAAGCAGAAGATGGCAGTCAAACCAAAAAGCCTGCAACTCGGCCCTCGCTCATGGATTCATCCTTCTCCTTCATGCTCGGGGAGGGCCGGCATCGATCGAGCTTTGTCAGTTCGGCGGCAACGCTGCCGGAGCAGCGGAGAGATAGCGAGTCTAGAAGCAGACCAAAGCAGCCGGCAGCAGAAAAGAAAACACATCAACAACGCAAGGAGTCTGAAAGCGAGGATGATGGGTTCACCTTGGCTAACATCCAAGGGGCTGGACAAGGCTGACGGTAAGGAGAGGGTCGCGGGACTTTGGAAACCGAACAACGGTGGATGCCTGCCGGTGCGGTAGCCTTAACTTACCTTCGAAACATTTGAGGAAGAATAGTCACCAGCACTCCCCGAAGACCTTGTGATATACCAGAATAACTAGGCGATATACAGGGGGCACGAAGTTGGTTTGTCCCGCGGGGGATGATTGCAAGGAAGCCCCTGCGGAAATCGCTCGGTGCCTGGCGGTCGACCGAGAGAGATCGCCTTGTGCAGAACCACGGCAGCTGGCAAGAGCTGGATGGCTGCAGCGTGAGTGCGGCCTCCGAGTACTGCCTTTGGACGATCAGATCATAGAGTGTCGTTATACCGGGGTAACAATTGCACGCATCATCAGCAGCGTACAAATATCGACTGTAGGTACCATGGTAGATGTCGCGGGCGATTTGCCGAATCGGCTTGGCCCAAATCTTTTCCAGCTCCGTTCATCCACCGACGAGCATCCCACGCCACGAACTGTGGTTGACTTTTAGGCGAGCAGCTCTGATTAGCTCTACCAAGCACTGCCAGGCCCAGGGCTCCCTAGGCCCCTACATCTCCCTCCACTCGTCAAGCCACATGCGAGAAGCAGACTGGCTGAAGATTGAGAGTTTGCATATACGAAGGAATCTCTGCTGGGTGAACCACCTCCACCGCCGACCGAGTGACTGGACACAACTGCTGATCGACATTCTTTTTGACCAAAATCATCTTCGCCACGACCTGGCCAATCGTCTCTCGAGTCTCACACCGAACCGGATCGCTTTTGTCCCTTCCGCCGTCGATTTCGCTGCCCTGGACGAACCGCCTCGCCATCGACCCTGCCTTACGACATCGAGGTGTTCTACCAGCACGAAGTAAAGACCCCTGGTCCTTCTGCTGGCTCCTGTTGCCCGACGCCTTTCCTTTCGCAATATTCGTATCGGTCGGAGGATGCATAAACTAGATATAGCATCGTGAACTCAACATTGGAGGACCGGCCGGTCAGGCGGCATCAAGAAATACCGCCCAGTTACGCACACAGAATGACCCGTGATGAAGGCAAGAATAATGGTATGCGATATCCTCTTAGGCTTGAGCTTTCCCAAGCTGTTATCCGAGTCGTATCGTTGGCTTGATCATATGGAGATTCTCGCCAGATGTGCTGACCTAGTTGCGTAGAAGATACTACACCACCACTATCACCCCTCCTTTCCGTCCCGGGGTCAGCGAATTCAGATCAGCCAATTCGACTCCCGAAGATCAAGAGTACTTCGAGCCTGTGCCCGGTCCATCACGAATCCCTCACAGTCCCCCAGAGAACACGGTTCTCCTTTGACGCGGGGACGACATCAGAATTGACCAATTTAAAGAGGTGCGCTACATACTGTATGTCTATATTTAAGGTGCAATGTTTGACTGGAACCAGGGCTTCACGCGTCGATCACGACCATGGCTTGGGCCGATCAGGTCTCCGAAGAATCAGGCGGCAGGGTGCCATTCACCGCACGCCTACCCTGGTTCTGGAAGAGCCGGATTTTGTGCCTGGTAACCTCCAGCACTCCAGCACTGCGCCGGTCTCTGGCTTGTCATCCAGATCAGTGTCGACGAGCCACCTGATGAGTGGGCCTGCGTCGCCGCTGCTGGAAAATGTCCACCGGTTTCCGTCCGAGTCACTGCATTCCTTTTCGTTTGCTAAGCAATCGGAAGAGTTGTTGCACAGCAGGCAGAGCATTCTACAAAAGTCGGTTGATTTTGTGCGGGATCGTTCTGCCTGGGCTGCTAATCCGGCGCTGGCAGATGCACAGGCACGAGTTAGCGGCAACGCCGAGATACAAGGAATGATGGATCTCCTCAAGAAAGCGAACATAATCCCGATCGATACGGGAAACACTACTGCCAGGAGTATTGGCACGGGACCACTGACAGGGCCTGCCCACCATGACGGGCGTAATGTCTTTGAGAAGAGCTTCAGCCAGGAACTAGAACAGGCGCAAGAGGCCGAAGCGAGAACGCATACTGAAGATATGAATACAGGACGAAAGTTTTCACTCGAAGAGGATGACCCGTTCCAAGAACAAGGTCTGGAAATGCGGATACCGCCGACCCGGGCGGATTCCATGGACGGCCCACGCAAACCCGGTCTCAGGAGGACCTACACCGATGTGAACTCCGTGTCCTTGCAACAAAAGCTGATCGAAGCCCTAGCGCAACCGTATTCCACAGACGAAACTTCTCTTGCACATTCTGCTGTAGGTGGTGCTTTGCAGAACGTGGGCAACAACGCAGGCGTCCCGAAAGCATCTGCTGTCCACGGCCACGGCACTAAATGGGAGCCCGCGCACCAAGCTGTCTTCCGCACTGAGGCAGATGCTCCCTGGACCATCTTAGCAGCCAACGACTTGGCTTGTCTTATTTTTGGCGTCACGCGAGCCGAAGTGAGGTCTTTGAGTATACTCGCCCTCATCCAAGAAGAACGTCGGCACTGGCTGGAAAAAAGACTTGCACGCTCGGACGAAGCCGTGGAGGAGAAACCTCGTTCACCGCCATCGAGCGGTGCCGGTAGCGCTACGTCAACGACAAGCAGTAGCTTGTCATTTATTGGATCAAGAAGCGGTATTACAGCTAGACTGCTGAGCAAGGCTCCAAGTAGGGCTAACACATCTTCAGAAAAAGCGAAGACGAGTTACGGCTCGTCTCTTCAGAATCGGCCCAAAGCAAAGAACCACCCTTCAAACAAATCCAGGGGTGTCCTCCTCTGCGGTGACATTGTGCCTATTCAAAAGCGAGACGGCACGAGAGGAGCAGCCAGCTTCTGGGTCATGGAGAAGCGTGGTGGCCTAATTTGGGTCATCGAAGAGATCACCGAAGATGTCTCTTATCTCGAACTCGATGAGACTGGCACTGTGGAACGGGCCCACGGCGATTACGCTGCCATCTGGGGTCGAAACGAGCTTGTAGGGCTGCGGCTTTCGCAGCTGCTTCCAAAATTTCCCTTGGAGGCTCTGAACACCTTTGACAAGCATCACCTGGGATACTTCACAGCGCAGACCGCGGATTTTGTCAACGTCCCGACCACTGTGGAAAAAGCACCCACCAAGAACGAACTCCGAGTATCCAGCCTTCCCCACATCGCTGGAGTGATGATCCTGGACCCAAGTACTTTGAAGATCACCAATGCCAACAGCATCTTCGCCGCGTCCCTCTTCGGGTATAAGAAGCCTGATGGATTGCCGATATCAGACCTCATCCCTAGCTTTGGAGACATGCTCAAAATATTGTGTCGCGAAGATGGGGTTGAGTTAGTCGACGGAATAGTCGTGCCGGAACACAGCTTTCGCCGAGCGCGAGCTCTGTTGGCCCTGCGAGAAGGCAAAGAGAGTGCCTCCAACATATTTCTGAGACCATGCGGGCTTCCAGCGAGACATAGAGACGGCTCTGATATCATGGTGGATGTTCAAATGAGAGTCATTCGCAGCGAGACGGTGTATCCAATGTCGGACGAGGCCATCATTGAGGAGAAAGATGAGGTTCATTATGAGTCAAGCGTCGCCGTGGCCGAACTTGTCTATGCAGTTTGGGTTATTTACTCACGGAACCTTCACTCGGCCGGCTTCAGCACGACTGCGGAGCCAGAACCTGAAGAGCCGTCACGTCCTCCTTCTCCTCCGTCCCAGCCAGATCCGCCACCGGCACTGCCGTCTCCTCCAGCGTCCTTGGTATCGAGAAGATCCGCCGAAAGCTCGGATCTTTCGCTGCAGACCGATCTCGTCCCAGACGGGGCCTCGATCGCCATGGAGGAGCCGTTAGAGCACCCGCCTCCTCACACCCCATACGTGCCCCATGAGAAGAAATCGATCAGCGATTTCACCGTCCTCGAAGAAATGGGGTCCGGTGCGTACGGCCAGGTGAAGCTAGTTCGATATAAAAAAGCGCCGGCGCGCAAAATGGTTGTCAAGTATGTCACCAAGAAGCGTATTCTCGTGGACACCTGGACGCGAGATCGCCGACTGGGTACGGTGCCGTTGGAGATCCATGTTCTCGACTACCTTCGCCGAGATGGACTCCGGCATCCCAACATTGTGGAGATGATCGACTTCTTCGAGGACGACGTGAACTACTACATCGAGATGCTTCCGCACGGAATCCCAGGCATGGACTTGTTCGATTACATCGAACTGCGGACGAACATGACCGAAGCTGAAAGTCGCAACATCTTCCGTCAAGTCGTGGATGCGATCCACCATCTCCACACCAAGGCGCTCGTGGTTCATCGAGATATCAAGGACGAAAACGTCGTCCTGGACGGGGAAGGTCAAATCAAGCTGATCGATTTTGGCAGTGCTGCCTATATCAAGAATGGGCCGTTTGAGGTGTTTGTAGGCACTATAGGTGAGTCAGCAACAACCCTCCCCAATGTTCAGGTAGACTGACTGTTTCCCTCCAAAGACTATGCGGCCCCCGAGGTCTTGCAAGGTAAACCGTACGGCGGCAAGGAACAAGACGTATGGGCGTTGGGAATTCTGCTGTACACGATTGCGTACAAAGAAAGTGAGTTTTGAGCATCACCTGCTATATTTGGCTCGAACATTAGTGCTGACAACGGCGGTCATCATAGACCCGTTTTATAATCTAGGTATGAAGCAATCGAGCCGACTTTTGATGTCATACATGAAAAGTTACTGACCTGCGTCGCAGATGAGATTCTCGACCACCCGTTACGCGTTCCCTTTTTGCCGTATTCGGAAGAATGTCTAGAGCTTATCCGCAAGATGCTAGACCGAGACGTGGAGAGGCGGATTACGATCGAAGACGTGCGAAACCATCCCTGGCTCCAAGAAGACTTTTGAGCGGGCAGTGATGGCAGAGGAGTCGCTTCGAGGAACGCCAACTCGCACATTGATTGCGCTCTCGGTTCGAACGACTGACGGCCGAACTTCAGACGAAGACGAAGCAAACGCAAGACGCAGACGAAGAAGACGAAAACATATTTTACGACATTTGGAATTCCTGGGAGACGGACGACATGGAGTGGCTTTTCTTTCTACCTTATTTAGCCTTGGATTGCATGCATCTGGCTGGTGGGACCAATCATGTGCTGGATGGACATGCAGGGGAGGACCGTGATTGCTGGCAAATCGCTCCCAGCGGAGTGTAGGTCGGTACATACTAGTATCCTAATCAGGTCTGGTGGGACCGAGAGGGTGACTTGATCGGCTTCAAGTTGGGCGGACAGTGAAGGAGACTTGCAGTGAAGGTAGACAGACAGACCCTTGGAAAAGGACGAGAACGACTCGACGTGGGCTGGCTTGTGCGGACTACGGACAGCCACGGCAGGTTAGTACCTGGTAGTGAAGGAATGAACTTGATTGAGACTTGAATGCTTGATGGTGCTGAAAGCGCCTGGTAACCACCTGGCAGTTTATCAATCGGATAATAAGTACTGTACCTAACAGTAGCGATCCAGGACAAGACGGCCTCCTGCTTAAGAATGATATGCAACGTTCAACTTGAAGTTGGCGCTTTGGGTCATCATCAATGATGCAAAGGGTGAGTCTTCAGCCTTGAAGACGACTAGCCTTGAGCATTTAAGCATTGAGACCAACGACGGCAGCATCGAACGTGTAAATGACCCAGCGGCAGGCTTGAGAGGCTTTGCTAGCCCCCACGAGTTGCTTTTCAAGATGTAACAGTACCTACTATGCAGTTATGGTTATACTATGTATTATTATCCATTCAGTTTTCTCCGAGGCTGGCCTCGGACCCCAACAACTTTGAAATGGCCAAGGCAATCAATCACTCATTTACTGCTAGTATTACAGCATTGCAAACGGTGGGCAGGTTATCAGTTCAGTAGGTATCTGTGGTACGTATGGACCTGTACGATAGTAGTTACCTATAGGTATCCTGCCCAACCCTGCCCTGCCCCGCATCCAGGATGGACTTCAAGTTCAGGCTGTACTGTGGGATTTTGCCGAGCTGAGTGGCGGGCCACGAGGAGTGCAGGGCAGTGAGTGCTGGGTAAGTGTGCAGTGGGTTGGTGGATGTACAACTAGTATGGCCTTCGGTTAAATAAGGCAGGGTCCGGCATAGTACAGTCCGAATCGTCGAAGGATGGAGGGTGGATGGATTGGATGAATGGAGTGCATGTTTGGTTCAAACTGCCACTGCAGGGGTAGAGCCCCTGCCTCCTCCCTCGTCCACTTGGCTCAACTGCCAGTGTCAGCAGCAGCAGTAGTAGTAGAACCCACTGAAGACACTTTGAAAGGTAAAAGGTACCGAAGTACTGGCGAGGACGGGGAAGTTGGTAGTCTAGGATGCTACTACTATAGTAGTACAACGAGTAGTAGGATGTCAGTGGTGAGGAGCAGGAGGCATGACCCGAGCACGCGATGACACCTCGGAGCGAAAGATCCAGTGACCCAGATACGGCTATTCAGTCGTCGGACTTTCTTACTTTATTCGCCGTTCTCTGTTCAGCTGTTCAAGTTTTGTCACGGCTGCACACTGCAGCGTCGTTCGGGTCTGTTGATACTGCATTATTATCGTATATAATCTGCTGACTTGGTGTAGTCGAGTCTGATGAGTTCAGGTCTCGCTGCAGGGTGTGTGGCGAATGATCGGACTTGGCTGCGTGGACTTGTCCCGTGGTAGTAAAGAGGCTACAGCAGTAGTACTAGTAGTCGTAGGGCCAAGTAGTTGTATCGTCGTCGTAGGAGTAGTTGCTGCAGTTGGCTGGACAAGGGACACGCCTGCAGTGTGGCTGCCGCAGGGATCGATGGGTCCCATGGGTCTTCACGCAGCCAAAGATACAGTTATCGATTAGCCCCACGAGGTTGCTAAGCCGCTACTAGATTGTAGATTGGGCGGGCGACCACGCCAATCGATAAGGGAGGGGGAAGAGGGTCTTGTAAGTAGAGGGGTCCGCAGGCTGGCGTGTACATGTCGGGGGCCGAGGCCTCAGAAAGCCAGGTTCGCTACCAAGCAGTTGTGGTATCGTGCAGTGTATTAGTGGGCGGTGGAGGGACGCTTCAGGCCTGCAGTCGGCGTCCTCCATTCCTGCTAACAGCAGGACATCGTGCAGTACTTGCAGGACCCTTCGGCGCCTACGGTGGGAGTCCTTAGGCTTCGGAGGCTTGTAGCGGACAGCCTGAGAAGTAGGAGGACCACCCTTCACGCTCCAGCTCAACAACAAACTGCATGCGCCGCACATCCATCCACCGCTGCACTGCACTGCATCACTACTGGCATCTTCAAGTTCAGCTCTACCATCTACTAGTATTTCAAACCTGTTCCCTTCAATGAACGCCATACTCTGACTGTACCTACCACTGGCAGTCCACAGACGATAGCTGGATCGACAGGTAGAACGAGTCGTCTCCTGGTCATCTCCCCAGACCCGGTCCCAGTGCCAGTCCCAGTGGTCTCAACACCACCATACACTCGGACCCCTTGTCAAGAACCGCCCGCCCCGTTTTTGCCGACCACCGCGGCGTCCTCCACTCGCACGTTGCTTATCTCGGCCTCTTGCGTGCTGCGCAGTGCCAGTGCCAGTGCCAGTAGCGTCGCCCGACTCGGTTCAAGTTAGACCTCGTTCCCATCCTCGTGGTGCTCCTCTGCCACTCGACTTCTTCGTCGTCCGGCCATCATTGATTGTCGCTGGTCATGCCGCCGAGCTTCAGCTGACTGTCTTGTTGTCTCTGGCCTTGTTGCAACGGTCCTGCTGCTCGCCAACTTGAAGATAGAGCGGCCTGACCTCCAACATTATCCAAGCCCTGTTTCGGACGGGTGAGGGGCAGAGGCATTTCCTCCCGCTTGCCTGGACAACGTGATATACAGCCCTACTATAGTGGTCCGACAACTGAGGTGCACAACACCTCTTCTGAGATATAATGGAATCGACTTCCACCATGACGCCCTCGGCGAATACAGGTATCTCGTCCTGTCTTCCAACACGACAGGCCGACTCTCCTAGACCAATGACCCCTGCTAGTCCTGTGATCGAAGCCACGACGGCCTTCGACCAACCGGTCAAACGCAAGTCTCGACACAGACTCCTCCAGGGTCTCCAGCGCATGTCTTCCTCGCCTTCGCTGGCCAAGTTGGGCCGCACTCGATCGAGCGAGAAGGTCTACAAGTCTGGAGCAAAAGCCTCCATCTCCTGCGTCTCCCTCGGGTCCCCTCCTTCGGCCTACTCCCTTTCTCCTCCGAATTCCTATACATCCCAGCTTTCCAATGGCTTCTCCACGGCTCCCACCACCCCAGGCTCGCCCGGTAGCCAACAGTCCTACTTCGAAGCAAATGCTCGCCTGCGGCCCATCTCGCCCAACGAAGCCAACAGTGTTCCCGTGCCGATTGACGTGCGGACCGCGAAGCCCATCTCTACCCCTCTCCCCGAGATCTCAGAGAAGCCCTTCCCGCGACGGCCAGACTTCAACTTCTGGAGAGATTTACCACACGAGATTCGGGTGCATATCTTGAATTTCTTGTCTCCGAAAGAGATCATCAGGGTGTCTGCAGTTTCTAAAGAATGGCATGACATGTGCTTTGACGGGCAGCTATGGACCAGTTTGGACTGCCAGAGCTACTACCAACAGATCACATCGGAGGCGTTGGTCAAGATCATGCTCAAGGCTGGCGCATTCGTCAAGAACCTCAACTTGAGAGGATGCGTCCAACTACGAGATCAGTGGTTGAGTCTGGGGACGAGAATGACCAACCAGGAATGCAGGAATCTCGAGTCCTTCAGCATCGAGGGCTGCAAGATTGAAAGATCATCCATCCATTTCTTCCTCCTCAGAAACCCAAAGCTTATCCACATCGACATGCCCAGCATGGACAACATTAACAACGCCACGATGAAAATCATCGCCAGCCATTGCCCGCAACTGGAACTGCTCAACATTGACTGGTGCTCTCAGATTGACACCCGAGGCTTGATCAAGGTCATCCAGTCCTGTCCTAATTTGACCGATCTACGAGCATCTGAGGTTCGAGGCCTGGATGACCGCGACTTCATGGTCGAGTTGTTCCGGCGCAACACCTTAGAACGCTTGATCCTCCAGCACTGCGACAGTCTGACAGACGAAGCCCTCGAGGTCATGGTCCAAGGTCTGAACCCGGACCGAGACGTCTTGACCGACCGTCCTGCGGTCCCACCACGGCGCCTGAGACATTTAGACATTTCGAGGTGCCGAAATCTGACTGACCGAGGCGTGAGAGCGCTCGCTCACAACGTGCCATATCTGGAAGGTTTCCGCTTATGTCAAAATACCGCCTTGACCGACGATGCGTTGGAAGACTTGCTGCAGACCACAGACCGACTGACGCATTTGGAGGTGGAAGAAGTAGAGCAACTCACCAATGCCACCTTGATTACCCTGTCCCAGTCCAAAGCAGCCAAGACACTGGAGCACTTGAGCATCTCCTACTGTGAACTGATGGGTGACATTGGAGTGCTGCCCTTGCTCAAGGCATGTCCCGAGCTGAAGTCTTTGTGTCTGGACAACACCCGCATTTCGGATCTAGTCCTCATCGAAGCCTCGGAACAGGTTCGCAAGCGGGGCAGCACTACGAAGAAATCCCAACTGCCCAAAAAGGGGCTTGAGCTGGTGGCTTTTGACTGTGCCAACGTCACCTGGGCAGGAGTCCGAGAAATCCTGCAGGGCAACGGACGCGTGATGCAAGGTCGCAAGAAGTCGGTGGTGCAGAGACACAGTTTCGTCGGGGAAGACGGCGAGCAGGAAGAAATCCGGAAAGTCGTCGAGATCCAGACCCTTCTTTATCCCACACAGATCATTCATCTCAAAGCCTTCTACGGCTGGCAGCAGACGGTGGAAGAGCATTACAAGCGCTGTATCACCGGTCGCTGGGGAGCCGCGGCTCGGCTGGAGGCCAAATGGGCCGAGTGGATGGTGGCGAGTGAGGAGGTCGGCGTGGCCGCTCAGGGATGGAGTTCGAGGAGAAGAAGACGTCGGGCTCGTGAGGCCGAGAATAGAGTGCGTGATGATGAGGACGGCGCCGCCCCGGATGCTGCCACGGGCGATGAGGATGGCAGTGGCAGTGGTTCCGGCTTGGAGTTTTCCGCCGGTCGCACTCCTGCGGGAGGCCGTCGAAGAGCCAGGAGCGGTGGGTGTACGGTGATGTGAGGGGCATCACTGGTCTCGAACTGATGGGCAGATTGCACGAGCATTTACGAGTCTTTATGAATCAGTCTGGACTGTGTTGGCTAGCCCCTGACGTCTGGAGGGATTCGAGACCCGAGCGAGAGCCGCCAGCGAGCCGACCAGCTGCCAGTTGCCAGCTGTTGAAGAGGCAAATCTAAGAACGAGACCAAGGACGAGATCGGATGAAGCAATGTGATCATGAAGAGTACTTAAGGAGCCAAGATGTGACTGCCCAGAGAATGAAGTCAGATGAATTGAGACGAGTACTTGAAGTCACTGAGGGATGAACCGAACCCGGACGAGGAGACATGGCTTGCTGCTCATGTATGTTAACCCTCTCGTCTTTTAGCGAGCATCTCTCTGGGAGTTGGTCAGTCATTTCAGGTCGGACTTGTAAGGGGAGCAGGGACCTTGGCCTGGTTTTTTTTTTTCTTTGTTATCGCTTTGGTGGAAAAATTGGTGGATTTTCAGGTTTCTGCAATTTCTAAGATCGAAGGCGCCGAGGTGAGTGAGATCGGATCAGGCGAATTGGAATGGAAAGGAATGGATATGTAACGTCGTTGATGGGATGGCGCAACTGGAAGGCAAAGCAGAGCTGTCTTCATCTAGCTTAGCAATAACAAAGCAATGTTTCGACTTTCAAGTGATCAAGGGCAGCGAATCAACAATGGTTTCCTTTGCTCTTGTTGTTTTTCTGTTCTGGAATTCGAGCACAGAGGAAACTAAGGTACCTACTGTGGTACAGTACACTGATAACAGTACTACTGTACTGCCAACCTATTGTACCTTATCTGACGATGTATCTGATTATTGTCCAAAATGGCTATGGCCATGGCTTTTGACATGGCTGGGAAAACTACCTACAACTATTATTAGATCCATCTGGTTCTGGGGATTGAGATTCGGCCTGAGTGCGTGGTAGATACTACTACGGTAGGTACCTAGGTAGGGACGTGCTCAATTTGTCAGTTTCCCTTTGACTCCCTGGGACTACATTTTCAGTACTAGTTGTACGTACTGCATATCAGCCCGTAGGTAGTAAGGCATTGTATCAAGTCACCTTTGTTATTAGGCAAGACACCTGTATTCAGCAGATCATGAATGTTCAAATCTGAATCTCAATGTCGAAGCTCTGTGTTTTTCTTTCCTTCTTTAGACGCCGGCGAAGGCCGCCGCGGCACCTATAGTACCGGCTGTTGATAAGTAGCTGGTAGCTAGTAGCTACTAGGTAGGACAATATGGAAAATCGATAGTAGATATGGGTAGTCAGATGGGTAGACGGATGGATAGATAGATAGATAAATAGATAGTAGATGTGGGTAGTTCATCTTGTATCTCCCGAAGGAAGGAAAAAGGTCCCCCCATCGAGTGGTTTTGTTCACATTATACCCGTTGTTCCGCTGGACTCGGACATGGCCATCGTGGTTAGGTATAACCGCATGCACACAGAGCCGGTGGCCAGATATGGGTGGACTGTGACATTTGAGACCGCAATGTAGCCCCCCTGAGAAAGCCGCAAGACCCCTCCCTCTCGTCCGATTCGGGCTGAAGTTGTCGATAATGAGTGCTTGCCCAAATATAAGTGTGGGTCTCGAAAGAAAATGATGAGATAGAGACTGGGAAATGGAGTCTGGATTTGCGTCAGATTTCGGATCTGATCCTGGTATTGATTGGTTTTCGGTTCTGGTTCTGGGTCTGGTTCTGTTTGTGCCGGAAAATGAAACATGGAAACATGAAATCTGGGAACATCGTACGAGTGACTGTCCTTCGGCTTTCCGGAGAAAATCGGCCTGCTTCAAGTACAGTCAGAAATGTGCCGCATTGATTGGGACCCTGAGTGCCACATTTTCTGGTCAGTTGGACGTGTAGTATATCTCGAAGGGGTTTGACGCGTGTTGGGATAACGTGCTGTTGTTGTTGTAGTGTGTTGTGCTTGGGATAAGATAGTAAGGTTGTTGATGGTTTCGGTGGAAGGGTTGGTTGTTCGTACGTACCTCTCTCTCTGCTTGTATTCATTTCGCCCCTTTCTTGCGTTCTTGCCGTCTCTCTACCGCCCACCACCACCGCTTTCTCATGGATACCTGTGCCGTCCTCATCCTCCTTCTCAGCACACTCTCCCAGGTAGCGTGCTGCTTGCCTTCATCCCCACAGCTCCTCGTGCGAAGGAACCAGATCCGGCCCTCCGTAGAAGACCGCGGGCACCTTCTCCCTTTCCTTCTCGGCGCTCTTCTCCTTCTCCCTCTGTGCATCCATGGTCCTGTGTCGGTCCTTAGCTCTGTCCTTCTTGTTGACCACCATGCTGACAATACTGATCCCAGCCGACAACGGCGGCCGGTCGTATCCCACCAGGGGTTTGTCCGCTTCCACATCGCGTGCAATGGCACGATAGTCCTGCGCAACATCGCCGTAAAACCCTTTGCTTTCGGCCCCCTTCATCCCCGCCGCACCATGCCAGCCCTTGCGTGACTGAAAATAACTTTCATCGGCGCCAACATGGACTTCTGCTTCGGAGTCGATATCAGTTGAGATGTCGTCGTTGTCGGCCGGTCCAATTGGAGTATGATGATGGTCGACGTTAACATCAACAGCATCGTCAATGAAGCTTGACGAGCCGGAGCTGCTGTTTGGAGAGCTGGCAGAACTATTTCGGGCTGCCAATGGCCGCGTACTAGCCCAGTGAATGACGATGTCGTCTCTAGGACCAACAGTCGGTCGACGTACTGGGTCCACGGAAACAGCACGTCTGCCGGACCCCGAGGCGGAGTCGTCGGAGAGACGACGAGGAGTCAATGCACCTGGTGCCGTACGACCATGTGAGCGACTGCCTGGTGGGGAACTGGCGCGTTGAAGGCGGTGATGGTTGCTAGTGCTGTACGCCTCGCGGGAATGGGCCCGACGTGTGATTCGGATTTTCTCTGGCGATGGAGAACGTCGACGAGAGGTTGTGTCTCTGCCGGATGATGGTTTCGAAGACGTTGCTGCTGCTCGACGGCCTGATTTACCACCGCTACCGGAGGGCGACCCGGAACCTGGGGTCACAGCTGGGTCGTAACGGCCTGAGAGAGATGACGCTTCGGGCCCGTTGGCAACTGTTCCAGAGGCATCGCTTTCTAGAAAACTGCGCGATCGACCGTCCGGCTCACGAGAAGCATTGCGTGAACCGTGGTAGCTGGATTCCTTGCGTGGTATGGCTGGTCGCTCGAGGGACTCTTGCCAGTCCGCAGGCCTTGAGCGAGTGGCAGGGTCACGGGAAACTTCACGCGAAATAGTCGTACTATTACCGCCTCTGGGCCCCACCCGATCTCGAGAGATGGCCCGTCTGCCTGCAGACTCGACCGACTCCGCTCGACTGTCGGATCCTCGACCAGCTTGTTGTTCCCGCGACGCAGACCTGTACCGGCGTGTGGCAGCCGGGGCTCCTCCCCGAGATGCGCTCCTTCGTTCGTCTGCGCTTCGAGACGAATTGCGCTGGTATGCTAGTTCTCCGATGCCAGGGCCACGAGATTGAGGACGTGAGGAAGCTCGAGGATTCCTCTGGGCGCTTATCCTGTCAACATCTGATCCCGACGAGTCATTGGGGCTGGCCAGCAAGGAAGGCGGGAGATCTCTGGGCGTTTTAGGAAGGTGGTAGAAATCCAACCTTGAGGTGGCGGCAGCACCAGCAGAGGTAGCAGGGTTGAACTCTTCGTCGTCATGAACAACAGAAATCCCACTGGCGGCGATCTGCGCAATCGGAGTCGTCCAGATGGGTGTGGCATTGTTGCTCTCGGACCGACCGTCAAATGTTTCGTTGACGGGCGTCAATACAGAAACTCCGGAGGCAGGCTGGCTCTTCGCGGGTGGCACTCCCGTCTGCAGCTGAGGGAGGCGGGGTGGCACAACGTCCTTGTCCGGAAAGGCAACCCGTACGAAGGGTGTCCTTGGACCTTCGTAAAGCGACGACCCTGTCGGCAGATGATATCTCGAGGTGGAAGGAGTCGATCGCAACGGCCAAGAGGGTTCTTCCTCGTTGTCAATGTGTGCCGTATCTGGACGGCGCACCTCCTCCTTCACCACCCGGCGGACGGACTCGCCATTGTCGTCGTCCTTATCTCGAAGATGGTCGGCAGACAGCGACCGTCGGTGTGTCTTCCGTGACCATGGTAAGGGTATTGTGATGACCAGAGCACTCCGTTCTTTCTGACTAGTAGCCGGTTTGGGTAGTCCGGCTGTATGGGCCGTTGCCTTGTCTGATTCATACTCTCCCGGATCAGGAGAGCCGTTAACCAGAGTTTTCTGGGAATCAGGACTGCCGTGGACTGAATGACCAGCATCGTCCTCGTCCGCTTGACGTTGACTCCAGCCACCGTTGGGGGCGGTGATGGCAGCATCGCCCCATCGAGAATGCAGCTTTTTCTCCGATGCAGACCGTGCTCTTGACGCTCGACGGCGAGAGGACATGAACCCTTCAAACACTGATGCCATGCCTGAGGAGAACTCAAGAGAATGACAAGAACAACAGGAATCAATAGGTTTGGGGATGTGCGCGTGCTAACAAGCAAAGATTAGGTGGCTGTGTAGGTCCTGCAATGAAAGCCAAAGATGGGATGGCAGACGCGACGCATTGAAACAAAACGACGACGACAAAAACAGGAACAGCAACAGCAACAACAAAAAGCACTGGCTGTGGTCGACTCTGCTGAGGTACCTGCCCTCAGACAGATTATGTTGGCCGAAGGTCACACTGCGCGGCTATCTGAGTTTTCGAAACCCAGGTCAGAGGGGAGAATTGGGAGGATGCCAAAAGACACGGCTGCGGATATATCACTCGACGACACCTCAGGAATCTCTGGAGGTTTGATGTTGTCCTGTGTCGTTCTCCCGCGCCTGGCAGGGAAAGGCCGCAGGGAACCAGACAGAAATAACCCGTTAAGCAGTAACAGCAGGGTATGTACAGAAGCGAGGCCCAGGATGAATGGTCGGGGCCGGGAGTACCACCCATGCCTCCCTTCGCATAGGCGGGTTGCACAGAACGATCAACAGCCTGCTCGAAGCCCCCAGAGGCTGTACCACTGGCTCTGCGCTTGGAGCTGCTTCTCGCCTGTGCAGTTTGTTTAATTTAGTCACTGTAGTTGCCTGACAGCGCTGCATCCAGAGATAGTAGCGAGCTTGGGATGCCATCATTGCAGGGGAAGAGAGATGCAACCCGGCCGCAAAGTCGTCGTCAATTGGAACCCACCTCAGAGATGGCGTTTCGCGGCCATCCAACAGTGGACGTCAGTACGTTAGGCAAAAGATGAGACGAACCAGATGCAGGGGAACCGAGCGAACGGTGGGTGGGAGATGCGACGAATCCGATGGTCAAGTCGTTTTTGCTGTAAGCGCCCTCAGGGCAAACATGAGACAGACCGGTTTACTACCCCGGCCGTGGAGAGGGCAAGTACCGCCTAGCTGTACAACATGGACGGGGATCAAGGTTCGACCAGGCATGGCGTTTGCATGGTGGCCGCTTGGAGCGCTTTGATTGATTTGTCCGACACATCAGGGCTAAACTGCTATTTTTACTCCAGGCCAATCAATCATTTGTTCGATAATGGCGGAAAGCCACACTGGCGGCAAAGAGGCGGAGTTTGATCCCCGCCCGGCTTCAAAAGGACACGGACTGGGGGGAGGCACATTTAGTAACTGTCGCCAGTATTAGTGGGTGAGCTGATCAGTTGTCGATCATGGTCTAGAGCAGACCCTATCGGCGTGCGGAATCTCTCTCCTCCTAGATCCGGCTGTACAGGTAGTTGGGGAGGAGGGCGGCAGCAGGCCTTCCTAGTGGTTGGCGGGCACAAGACATCTTTCCGTCTCTGAGTATAGATGATGGTGGCATATGTATAAGTGGAGGAAACGCTTCTGCAGACTCATTGGTCGGTGTGTATCAAAGCACTCACACCCTCTTTTATCATGGCACGGAGCATCCGTGAGTTGAGTGGGCAGATGTATATATCATATGCAACAACATGACGAGAAAGTCGCCATGGAGCGATGCTGGTGGTCTCGGATTTGACATTGCTCAATCCTTCCTATCTTAACCGCACCGAATTCGAGGCAAAGTCAGATTGTGCTACCACTGCGTGCTGGTCTTCTGACTCTCCGCGCTCAGCTACCAGTAGTCCAGTCAGTCATGGTTTCCTGAAGTTGAGCTGGATGTCTAGCTTACGCTGGATCGATGGGTGCCCTTGCTGGCAGCTTCTTGCAATCTGTACAGCAGAGTACCTTCCTGATCGTCGTCACATAGATCCACATAGCCTCGAGGCGCGAGACTTCGAGGCAGGATGGCCAGTGAACGTCCTTTGTGGGATGTGTCAATACCAGACGGTCTTAAATCCCGTAGCTAAATAGATCCGGTGCTAGACATACCGTGGATACTTTTGTCCGCCACAATTCTCAACAGGGCAGATGCGGCGTCGTCTACCGTGGCAAACTGGGTGTTTGCGTTCTTCAGGTGGTCAAGTACGGCCTCGCTCATTATTTTGGTCTCGATGAACCTGCAACCCACGTCAATTGGAGTATAGTACCGCTTTTCTGTTGGTAACTTTGCGCTCACCATGGGGCGATGTAACCGACTCGAATGCTGTGCTGCCATTCGGTCAAACGCAACGACTTGAACACACCACGGAGCCCATATTTCGAGGCCTGGTACTGGGGGGCTCCCGGTAGACCCACGTAGCCTGCAAGGCTGCCCTGCAGGACGAGAACCTGGTCTAGAGGTTCACCTCGATTCATGGCATTCTGCCGTCGAAAGTAATGGAGTGCGAGCTTGATGGTGTACATAACCGCGGTCAGGTTTACCCCGAGCACGTTCAGCCGGGGCTCTTCGGGTTCTTCGGCTTCCACTAGAAGTCGGCACTCTCAGTGTTGATTCACGTCGATCGCAGACAGATCTGGGATATACCATCCGTGAAGTAGACGGAATCACCGCCGGCGATTCCAGCGTTGGCAATGACTATATCGATTCTTCCGGAAGGAGACAGTGACAGGCTTTTCTTGAATACAGCAAGTTGGTCACTCCAAACGGTCACATTGCATTTGACGAATTTGACCGAACTTCCAATGTCAGTGACATTCCTTGTGGTATCCATCTAAGTTCCTTACCCTCCCAGTTCCTGCTCGAGTTTGCGTCCCTCCTCCTCATCCAGATCTGCGATAACTACAGAGGCACTTGCTGTTGGTCAGAATGTGGACTTGCAGTCTTTGTGATGATCACTACCCGGCGTTCACCAAGGCACGAACATAGGCCTCGCCTATCCCATTCGCCCCTGTAGAAGCAGTAAGCAGGCGTGGTGGGCCCCATTTTCAATTAGATGTCATACCGCCTGTAACAACAGCGGTCTTGCCCTTGATATTGCTTGCGTCGAAGTCGATGTCACAATTGACCGGTCTTTGATTAGTGTAGGGCTGCATGTTTAATTCGATAAGGGACAACTGGAAAAGCGAACTGCACGCCCACAACGATAACTTTGTAATCTGCTGCCTTCTGTCGTTCTGGGAACGTCGTCTCAAGGGCTGAACGTGAATGTACGAATGCAGATCGGTCAAGGCAGCTCAACCATTGCTCTACCTTGTGTTATGTGTCCCTCTCCTCTCGACGTGTTCTGAGTCAGCTTGCGAGGAGACCCAAATGCCTCGGTCGATGTCACGTAATACCAGGCCATGCCACCTACCAGGAGCCGCATGCCAAGCCGATTGATTCACCAAAGACTTGCAAATGAACCAGAACTCGACATATTCCTGTCGCTCAGGCCAAAGCACACTGCCAAAGGTGGGGAAGTAGGATGAAGGGGAGGACAACAGACCCTCGGTAGAACCAAGTGTCGACGGAGTTACCTAGGTACATGTTCGTGCATACTGAATATCTTAGCTGGCTGCAGACGCTCAACCACTGTACCACATTGGGCACACGCCTCCGTGTTTTGATTGGCAAAGTTGTACAAGGGAGAGAGATAGCGGTTCACTGTGACTGAACAAGTCATGGCCCGATGATAGAGGAGGATGCCAGGTGCAAGACGAAGACAAAGACGGAGGTTGGAAACCTGGAACCTTTTAGTCGTCAACCAGTCACGTGCTGGGTTGTGAATGATTTAGACGCTCATGAAGGCAACTTTTCCGAGCCTGCGATTCCAACTTCATTCAATTGCATTTCATTCAAGTTCAGCATCTTCAAGTTTGTCTCCCTGCATCACCTCAAACTCCCTCATCTCTTGGTGGCCTGCTTCTTTTCAGCTCCTCTGGAGCCACAGCGCCCGGTCTGCTCCCCGGAGGTTTTCAAAGCGACATCAGTACGAGCCGTGGGATCCCGTCAAGACTTCATCACTCTTCCAGAGCGGGTCCACCAGATCCCACAACTCGTACTGATGCCCCTTCAAGAACGACTTGCTTCCCAGGGCACCGTGCACCTTGCGTAGTGCTACGAGCATAAAATGTCGCAAGACCATCCACTCCACGAAATATTTATCCCGGTGGAGGTGTCCGGCCCCGTTGCCCGTTGGATCCAACTGGGTTTCGGCAAACTGTCTTGCCACGTCAAGTTGGGCCATTGCCGCCTCACTTATTGCAACTTCCAGTTTGATGAAGTCACGTCGAAACTCTAGGGCGCACAGCTTCTCCTCACGCTGAGCCATGGCCTGCACACGCAAGAAGTTTTTCTCAGACAGTGTGTCACTGTCGGCGTCACTGTCAGCTTCAATGTCTGGGTCGCCGTTGGTGTCGATGTCGAGGTCACCGTTGACATCAATCTCTGGGCCATTGTTGGCGTCAACGTCGGGGTCACTGTTGAGGTCAATGTCGGCTCACTGTCGGTGTTTACGTCGAGGTCACTGTCGACATCAATGTTGTCACGGTCGGCGTCAATGTCGGGGCCAAGAAAAGTCATCTGCGGCTGGCCTGCTCTTTCTTCAGAGAAAAGATGCTCGGAGTTCCACTCGTCTGCGCACCAAGCCTCCAAGCTTCGAAGCACATCCAAATTGAGAGTTATCCGGTTCTTGAAACCAGCGTGCGAGGCGGGATTAGCTTGCGCCATGAAGAACCCTAAGCACAGATCGCGGAACATTGCAGCGTTCCTACGTAGGGGTCGACGTTGGGAGATGGAACCTGGAAGACACCAAATATCAGCAGTGCCCCATAAATAGTGGCAGAGGAGTACATCGGAAATCATCAAGTTCGACTTACTGGGATCGGGGTTGCCATTTATGATGCCATATAGGCCTCCGCAATACTGCAACGCCACTCGACGATATGTTTCCGCTTTCTCGTCAATCAATACTCCCAGGTTGTGCTATTCTCTGGCAGCCTGGTTACATGATACACCCCATTGGGCGCATCAACGCACGGAGTTTTACCTGACTGTCCTATTTCTCTCCGACTCCTGCTCTCTGTACCGGCCATAAGCACACTCTTGACTCCAAACTTGATTCAGCGGGGCCTTGATGAAGACGGCTGGCGAGGTGGCAGGTTCCACCCCAGGGGTTGTTTACTGGGTCAGACGCAGCTAAGTTGCAAATCTTTTGCTTTTGCAGTCGTGGATTTCTACAGGAGGTACTCCTCCTGACTTGGCTATCTATAGGCGAGAATACCTAGTACTACAAATTCAGGCTCTTTAATGCAAAAAGCCAAGACATTCCTTAGCCTTTCTCACGTCGAGCTTTTCCTCCCCTCCACACAGCACGTTCCAGGTATACACAATCTCTTGAGTCCCTTTCTCCAGGGCATAACCGGCGGATTATCATGGTTCCTGCAGGAACTCAGAAATGAGGGGCATTGAGTGCCATCAGACAGATCAAGCCGGAGATCAAGCCAGCACAAGGCAAAGTGAAGACCCAGCCCATGAAGATAAAGGCCAATTGGGCCCAGTTCACGGCTCCGAGATCATAGTTCATCAAGGCAACGCCCATTGTTGCACCCGTGAGACACTGGGTGGTGCTGACAGGGAGCGAAAGACGGGATGCCAACAGCACCGTGACGGCCGCACCGAGTTCGACACTGAAGCCCCGAGTAGGTGACATGCGCGTGATCTTGTTTCCGAGGGCACGCATAATGTGGTAGCCATAGAACCAGAAACCCGCGCCCAGCAGGAACCCGGCAATGATCAGGAACCAGACAGGAGTGTCTGACTTTGTGTCAACGACACCGGCCTTGAAAGTTTGATAAGAGGCAGCCCAGGGTCCGACGGCGTTGGCGACGTCGTTGCTACCATGAGCAATCGACATCAACATGGCCGACGCGACCTGGCAATAAGTCCACAGATGTTCGACTCGGACATCGTACTTGTTGGCTCTGGCGTGGATTTCGCGCAGTTTGGCCGAATCGTGAGTCACGCAGTCCATGGCCACTCCGCGAAGAAAGCCAAATTTGATGTAACTCCACCATCGTTGAGGGTTGCTCCAGGGCAGATCTTGCACCGGGTCGATCCATCGTTCTTTTGGCGTCAGAGGTCGTCGACGAGCAACCATTCCCGGGGCCACAGGGTTGCCCTTCTCCAAGACCGAAGTGCTGTCTCCAGCAACCAGTAGGGGACTGGGAGCGGTGGTACTGCTCGCAGCGGCCGACAGCTGCTTGCCTTCCTTGAGCGAATTCACGGACGAGGACGACTGCTCGGCGGTGGCGGCGTACGGATCCTCGTAATAGTCGATGACATATTTTCCATCATCCTTGGCCGGGAAGTACAACGGTGGGTTCTCGCGGCGAAGGAGAGGTCCCAATGGGATATGGTAGGCTTTGACACGGGAGTCCTGCTTGACGAGACGACGTTCGAAGTAAGGTATGAAAAACACATATGCAATAACCAACACGCCCACCCAGACGCCTAAGATGATGCCAACGGCCTTGCCTGCTCCAAACTCTTCGAGCGACGGGGCAGTCGGGGCCTCGACGACAATAAACAGAGCGAGGATGGCGGCGGTGGTGGCGAAATAGTACGGAATCAGCCTCATGGCCCATTTGAACGAGTCCTGCCGTTCAAGTACCGTGTACTTGACGATGCCGAAGATTAAGGCCGAAAACCCTGCTGCGATCAAAGGCGCGATGCCCCATGACGCCGCAACCTGCGAAACACTCCCGGATGCCCAGGCCCATTTGATATCGGCCTGGGACGCAAAGCCGACTCCGATCAAGGCCCCCACGACCGTTTGGGTCGTCGACACAGGCCACCCCCAGCTGGTTGCAAACATTAACCAGGTCGCACTGCCGACCTCGGCACATCCCATGGCCAACATCAAGGCCGCGGGGCGGTCTTCAAACCGGTCGATGCTGATGATGCCGTTCTTGATGGTGCTGGTCACTCGTGATCCCAGCGCCACTGCACCCACGAACTCGGTGATCATGGACAGAACCCCCACCTGTGGCATGGTGAGCGTCCGAGCCGCCACGGATGTCGCGTACGAATTGGCCACATCGTTGGCCCCGTTGCCAAATGCACTGAAGACAAAGGCGATCGATGTGATGGCTAGGATCCAGTCATATTTTGCTGTGATGGCGGACACCATGACTGGTCGGTCGGCTCTATATGGACAAGACAGGAGACAAGACACCACCTCTTTCTTCCAAGGTTGGACAGCCTGGGCTAACAAAAAAGAGTATTGTGATTGGCCTGTTTGTTATGTGGCTCTGCTCAGTTGGTCTGAAGATAGGTAGGAAGAGAGAGAAAAACGCTTCCCCAGCCGTCTTGAAATATATAAAAGGTGATGATGCAGGAATTTGCTTTTTTCGTTTCAGAGAAGAAGAAAAAGGCATGCCAAAGTGGGCTGGACCCGGTCTTTGAGTTTCTCCATGATGCAGTAGTAGTACCTCGCTACTCTCTCCGAGTGCATTCCCATCAGCTCATGAGCGACAAGATTGTTGTTGGCTCCACTTTTCCACAGCACAGCCCGCCGACTTCGAAACCCCTACCTTTCGTGCTTCAACACACATGTAAGCGACGGAGCTGCCGATAGGACACATGCAACTTGAGCTGCCAGCGTGATGTGCAAAGATCTGATGCAATGATCCAGCAACACTCCCAACCACAAATTGTACCTGTAGTACAGTAGTACCTACCTAAGGTAGTACGCGTGTAGAATACGAAGCCAAGACCGTTTCCGCCCGGGCCAAGACCTCCGCCAAGTGCTTGGAAGAGCGGATCTCCTCTGCGCGGAAGTCAAGGGGGTTGCTGTCTCCAGTCCGTCTCGCCCTCGGAGAACGAATCATTCTTGAGATCTGCGGCACGAGGGAGCTATGGCGAGCTTGATTTGCTTAAGGCCTTGTTCGAGGTTAGAGCTTGATTGATAGCATCACTTCACGACGTGCCCATACCTCAGTCTTGGCATTTGTTGCTAACATTTGAAGGGATAAAAATTGAATGGAAATTGGGGCAGTATCACGCGACACCTGTGTTCTTTTCCCTTTTGTGAAAGGTACCAGGTAGTCACTACTAGTTGGTTACTCGTTTGGAGCTCGATTTCTCATGTTGCCTTGGGTATGCTAGTAGTGGGTGGGTAAGGTGTCGGCTTCGCTTGTTGCGCGAATGAGGCTGGGAATATTTGGCCAACTGATTGCATTGCCCTTCGGTCTCTGGCCAGAGAAGAGCATAGAAGAACGAATCGAGGTGAGATATTGCACCACGTGGCCTTGGCGAGGGGACCTCTTGTGCGTTACCTACCGACCTTGGCAGCAGGTAGTACCAGACGTCAGATGCAGGGCTTCAGCTGAGAAGATAGCCTAGACTGACGCGGAGTCGGAAACAAGGGTTTGTGGGGATCTGACTGTACGTTGTAAGTAATGTGTTAGGCAAAGGGACCGTGGCATGCGACACCACACCCGATAATGTGGAGTCAGATGTGAGGATGGGCCGGGTGGCTTTCTTTCGTTATTTTTGACATGCTCAAGACCCCGTTTTCAATCCACATCACATCTGAGCCCGAGTGTAAACGGACCGATGTCTCTTCTCGACCATTACCTGGCACATCCTCCTACAACATTATCGAAAAGGGAGCCTTGATGATGTTCATTTCGTGAGTCAGTGCCAGGGGCTGGTGGGCTTTTGAGGTTGTGCAAAGCAAGCTTTGTGCGAACCAGCTCATGTAGTAGTATGGCCCAAGTATGAAGGCGGTTGATTGCAGGGAGGGGATGTCAAAGCTAAGGTAGACAAGGCAAAATGAGGTAGGGGTGTGCCGGCAAGTAAGGGAGACAGAATACAGCTTCGGATCCATCTATTTCTTTTGAATGAAAGAGCAACCCAGAGGTCAATCCATTCTTGGGAAGACTGGGACTGCGGCGATCATTATGCAGGACGTCGAGCACAACTTGCAGGACTGGCAGGAGATCCCGCCTTTTGCGCAACCTCATACACAGGCTTGTCAGCTGTAGTCACTTCCGAGGGAGAGATGGCAAGCATCTCTGCGTGCCAATGAGGATCGAATACCGCGACTTAGAGAATGTATTCCTGTTGTTGTTTCGTCGTTCATGTTCAAGTTGTTGAAGTACAACTTGAATGAGTCGCTGCCAAGAAGTTACACTTTGGGATTAGCGTCTTTCTCTGCGACTTCAAGTTCCAGTTTCTTGATGGTCACCTTGAACGTGGGTTCACGACTTTGACCAGCATCATAGCAGTTGGCGGCCTCTAGCTCGCTATTGCTTCTTGCGCGTCTCCGAAATATCTACCACATTTACATCATGTCAGACGCGCAGAATCTCAAGCGACCAAGGCCTGAGGATCCATCACACTCCGATGACGAATCCTCGGACGACGACTTCGGGCCTGCTTTGCCTTCCTCGGTGCCTCCCAAGAAGAAGCGCAGGCTGCCGTATGAGTCGCTGTATGTGGATGCCTTGCCGAAAGGTGTAAGGTACTCAAAATCATTGATGCACAAGGACCAGGTATCCACCGTGACCATTGCTCCTTCGCCTGCCGACTTTGTCATCACTACCTCTATTGATGGGGTCGTCAAATTCTGGAAGAAAATGGCCAGGGGGATTGAATTTGCCAAAGAGTACCTCGCGCACGAGAGCCGGATAGTGAGCTCCAGCGTCAGTGTCGACGGTGCTTTATTTGCCACGACAGGCGATGAGGGCGATAATACTATCAAAATCTTCGATGTCATTACCTTTGATTTATTGACCATTTTAAACCTCGCCAGTCCAGCCACCTGCTTGTGTTGGGTTCATCGAAAGGGCACAGCGCCCGTGCTCGCCGCGGGCATCGGAAAGGAGATTCATATCTACGATGGCAGGGGTGATTCCCCGACGCCTATGCATGTTCTGTCGTCTCTGCATCGTGCCCCCGTCGTGGCCATGGCCTACAACCCAGCGTTTGATTGCGTAGTGTCGGCGGACGAAGGCGGCATGGTCGAGTACTGGCAGCCCAGCGACAATTATGAAAAGCCAGACACGGTGTTCAAGATGAAGTCAACCACCAATCTGTTCGATTTCAAGAAGTCAAAGTCGGCGCCCTGCAGTATCACGATATCGCCTTCCGGGCATCAGTTTGCAACTATATCCTTTCCCGACCGAAAAATACGGGTCTTCGACTTCGCGTCAGGCAAACTTTACCGGTCATACGATGAATCAATCGAAACCATTACAGCTATGCAGCAAGCTGGGACTGCGCTCCAGAAACTAGATGAGGTTGAGTTCGGCCGGCGAATGGCGGTCGAACGTGAACTCGACAATCCGGCCGTGCGATCACGCATCAATGTCATCTTCGACGAGTCGGGTCATTTTATCGCATACGGCTCTCTTCTGGGGGTCAAGGTTGTCAACACGCTCACGAACCGCGTCATCAAGGCTTACGGCAAAGATGAACCGTTCCGAGCATTGAACATCGCTTTATATCAGGGTGCGCCACAAAAGAAAGAGGTGGTCACCGTCTCCATGGCCGCCAGCGCCAACCCGTTGTTGAACGAGGCCGAGGAGAGAGATCCTATGCTGTTCGCAACCGGCTATGGCAAGGTTCGGTTCTACATGTTCACCAATGAAGAAGATATCAGCAAGTCGACTCGGGACGTACAAAACGAAAAGCCGCGGATAATTGGAGGCAAGAAGAAGGAGGAAAAGCAGGCCCAAACCGGCACCTCGGCAGTCCTGCACACGACATATGGCGACATCCACATCAGGTTGTTCCCCGACAAAGCGCCCAAGACGGTGGAAAACTTTGTCACCCATGCCAGGAATGGCTACTACAACAACACCATCTTCCACCGAGTCATCCGAAAATTCATGATCCAGGGCGGAGATCCGCTCGGTGACGGCACTGGTGGCGAGAGTATCTGGGGGAAAGAGTTTGAAGATGAGTTTTCGGATCTCAAACATGACAAGCCATACACCGTCAGTATGGCCAATGCAGGCCCGAACACCAACGGGTCGCAGTTCTTCATTACCACCGAAAAGACGCCCTTCTTGGACGGCAAGCATACCATCTTCGGGCGGGCGTACCAGGGGTTGGATGTAATACATCAGATCGAGAACACAAAGGTGCATAAGGAGAAGCCGGTACAGGATATCAAAATCGTCAACATCTCTATAAACTAGGTCGCCGGACGAATGAGCTGGCCATGTGTGTACGGCTGGCAGGGATGGCATTGCTAGCTTGCCTTATTTGCCTTCATACTACCTCACGGACCAGTTACTGGTTTTTTCCCGTCGGCTGAGTGCTTGCTGTCGTGAACACGACTGCTGTAGTTGTATTGTCAATCGAGATTCAATAGACACGGGAAGCTACATCGCTGGTGGCTGGAAAGTGAAGTCACAATGAAAACCTTTTCCAGGTCTTAGCAAACGAACCATAACACACCCATGTAGCCATCTGCTTCATTGCTTGCCATGAAATAACATTCATCCACGGATACATGCCCATGTTCAACTATCCATCACTCGTGTCAATTCGTGGGGTTTCGCGTGGATGCAAGTGTCGGGTTTCCATCTCCGCACTTCGCACGCGATCGCGCTCGATCCTCGAAGTTGTCCGCGCGGAAACTAAACTTTTTTCTCTTGCAACTAGAAAACCTCAAACTTCTCACGCTCGAGCTCCCTCACATTCCAACGGCGCGTTTCCGCCCGTTCGGCCTCCCCTCCGTCATAATGGTCAAGCTACTCGTCGCCGTGAGGGTTATCCCAGAGGACGACTACCTCCGAAACCTGGAACGACCACCGAACCAAATCATCAAAGGCGAGCGACGATTACGAGTGATTGTGCGCGAGCCGCACCGATGGCAGATTGGCACCCTTGCACTTGAGATCCAAAGGGCATACAAGAGTTGCTATCAACAGTAAGTCAAGTCAAGTCCGCAGCTATTTGTTGGGTTGTTCTGGTGTTCTAGTAACTGACCATCTTTTTTCTATCAAGTGACTTGCCGACGATCAAATACATCAAGGACAATGAAGACGACTGCGATCTCGACCCGCAGCTGTACGTTTCTGATCTACTACTTGACGAGGGCAAGGCGGAAAGAGATGGAGCAGACCAGCGGGTGACGATAAAGGTGATTCTGGAGCAAGGTCGAGCGGTGCGCGAGGGCTCTGTCGCGGTGGGCAGCATGTTGGACAATCCTCAGTTTCAAATCCAGCACCGTAGCACGGCTCTTCCGCCCGTACCGAAGTTCCCGGGCGTTGCTTCGACTTTGGGAAAGCGGCGGCTGCCGGCCACCTCGGAGGAAGAAGAAGAAGAAGAGGAAGCGGACTACGCAGGTGGTGGTATGACCGGGGTCAAGAGGCCACGGCAGGTTGAAATACCCGAGACGCAGAAGCGGGCAGAGAGTATAGTTCCCTCGATTGAGAGGGTTGGCCATCATCTGCGAAGATCGCCTGAGCTGGTGCAAGCCAGCCAGGTAACCTACGCAGGACCAGACCAGGGTTGGCATCAGCGCCAGCAGCAACAATCGCAGCAACACCAAAAACAACAGCTATTGCTGCATGAACCAAAAGCAGAGTCACCAGAACTGTGGCGATCGTTCCAGACTATTCCCGCAGCCACTGCGGACGAATTGGAGGAGCTGCCTGGCCAACCTCAAGCATTTGCTTCGCGACGCAGAGATACGGCAGGGTCAAGAGGAATCCAGAGGACGACTGATTTCCATGGGCCCAATGGCCTGCCAGCCGATCCACAAACTGAATTATCCCATGGTCCTCTCACACCGCCTGCAGGTCGTTCGACCTCTACCAGGCTGCGCTCTCAGCGCAGAGAAAATGGTGCAAGCGGCGCTGGTTTAACGTCCTCCAATTCAGCCGGTAAATTCAGACGCCGTGACATCTACGATTTTCCAGAGTCGGATATCGATGATACTCAGATGTCGCCCCGTTCCAGAGAAGCTCGACTGGTGCCACGGAGATCGAATGACCGTTTATCTCGAATCGAACGGCTTCAATCTCCCTATGAAGATCGTACGAACGCTGCTGGTCATCGACTTGCCCTTGACGCAGCTCTGGATGCCCTGGAAAACGAATCGGTGTTTGACGGAAATGGAGCTGAGCCCCAAATGTTTGCAGGTACTCTATTCCCTCCTGGGATGGAGAATGCCGCACCTGCTGATGAGTCCGAAAATTCGATCTACGAGGATGCCCCGACCGAGAGTGTTCAGCCGAAGCCGCCGAGGCCGCTTGATGCCTTTGATAGATGGCTGATATCAATACAGGAATCTGCCAGGTCTGACAAAGTGGAACCAACGCCTGCTGTGTCAGGCCAAGATGATGCGAAAGCGTCAACTCCTGCCCAGCGATCAGACGATGGAGGAGAGGACAAGGAAAATCGGCATGAACCACCAACATCTGCTCAGCCTGCTAATCAAGCGTCCGAACTAACACACAGCCACCCGGTGGAAAAAGTACATTACCAAGAGCCTCCCCATCCTTCTGGCGCGAATGGGGAAAAGCAGCCAGAGAACCGACCTACAGCGAAGAGACAACGGAAGCGAGCGTCCTCGAAAATCCCTGTCAACGGAGAAGGACCTTCCAGCCAGGCAAGTGGTAGTGCCAAACAATCCGCTCCAGCGGAGGCCGTGGTCAACGCCACTCCCAAACCGGCCAAGAAGCCCCGTATTGCGCAGAGGACACCAAGTTTTGATCTTGGCGAGCAGTTGTCACAATCACTGCAGGAGTCCGCGCGGAAGCAATCGGCAGTCAAGGACAAGGGCAAAAAGGCCGCTGCAACTGCTGCGGAGCAAAAACATGCCGTGCTTTCTTCACCACTAGCCACCAAGGCACCAGAGCAAGAGCAAATATCAGCCGAAGCCCAGAAGGAAAAGAAGCCGGTAGCACAGCCCAAGGAGGCCAGCACCAAGAGTAGCGAGACCGCCACTGCTCCCAAGAAGACCCGAGCGAGGAAGAGCCGTGGATCGGCGGCGAACACAACCGCAGAAGTTGTCCAAACTCCCCAGTCCACCTCTGCTACCGTGGCGGAGCCTGCAAAGGGGACAGCGGCTGCACCGACGAAACCCCTTCCTGACTGGAGTTCCAGCTCAAATGCTACCGGTGCCGCAGCGAAACAAGAGCCGTCAGCACACAGTCATGAAGAACCTGCAAAGCAGTCACAGTCATTGACAGTTGAGCAACCTGCGGATGCTCACGTGAGGAAGAGTCCATCGTTCACCCCCGGTTTCGGCTTAACCGAGGAAGAGATCAAGATCATGAAAAGTCGCGAAGGCATGACCCAGGAGCAGTACGAAGCCGAGAAGAAGCGCAAGTCCGCCGAGACCAAAAGATTGTTGACAGGACTTGCAGCACGGAGAGAGAGCGGCGGCAAGCCAGGAGGGGTCGAAAAGACTCCAAAAGCGAAGAGCGAAACGCCCGCTGCCACTGCCACTGCCACCACGACAGCAACGCCTGGCACCAAAAAATCCACTACTGCTCGAGGGAAGAAGGCTGCTCGTGTGAGTTTCTCTGCAGAAGATGCAGCGAAAATGCGAGTCGCCGGTTCCTCGAACGAAGATGCAGCGGCGACAAGAAGTGTCGTGGAAAACGATCAAGACCACCAGTCTGCGATTACAAGCTCGGCCAAAAGCCCTCCTCCTGGTACAGCATCCTCGTCGAAAGTCGATGGGCCAGCGCCAACCAGCTCCGCAACTGCACCAAAGTCATCTTATAAACGGCGCAAGTCTGAACCTGGCCCGCAAGCATCCAAGACGAGTGACAAAGACAAGGCATCGTCCACAGCGAAAAGCCCTTCGGTTAAATCAGCGGCTGAGACTGCTGAAACCACTGCTACTCCTGGGGCTGCTGCAGCACCAGCAGCTAGCAGTAGTACCCCAGCCACGAATAAATCATCAGCAAAAGAGAAGCACAAGACACCCGGCCCAGCAGCGACACCTGCAACGAAGAAACCGATAACCACATCTATATCTACATCTACACCGTCCGTGCCCACCAAAGCTGCTGCCGCTTCGTCGGCTTCCAAACCGGCGGCGACGACCAAACCAACAGGTACCGGTGCTGCTAGTCGTTCTTCCGCCGCATCATCAGCCACCCCAAACACAACTACTATACCGCAGCAGAAGAAGGCTCCTACGCCTGCCAGTGTCCCTCCCCCAGCAGCAGCAGCAGTGCCAACCATCGCCACGGCGAAACGTCTGACTGATCTTCACGCAGCAATCCGCAACGCGACACAATCCGTCGCCTCAACGGCCGCTAGCTCGCTGTCTCGACAATCTTCGTCGGCGCCTCATCAACGGCGGTCTGTTTTGAATCCTTCAACGGATGATGAAGAGAGTGATGACGACAGTGATGATGATGATGGTGATAGCGATGATGACGAAGACGACAAGAAAAAGAAAAATAATCAAGCTGTCAACAACAAGTCGGACAAAAAGGCCCCTGCCAGCACGTCGGCATCGTCTCCATCTTCTTCCGCTTCGTCGTCGACAGATGATGATGATGATGAACCAGAGGATGACGATGACGACGACAAGAAAGATTCAACGTCGAAATCGAAATCGAAACCCGGCCAAGGCAAGGCGAAACAAAAACAACCGAGGACCAACAACACAACAACAAAAACAACCACAAGTGCAACCAAGGCGCCGTCCAATTCCCAGCCTGACGCGAGTATTCGCGATGCCAGCGTTGATCCGTCTTCTGACGATGACGACGATGACGAAGAGTTGTAGTTGAATTAGGAAGAGAACGAGAAACAAGCCAAGTTTGACTTCCCCCTGTCGAATTGTACTGGACTAGGTGTGGATTTGAACCGGGGTTTGGATTGAAACTGTGAATTGACCTGAACTGGAATGGACTGGAGCTGGCTTGAAGATTGTACTGGTTGGTTGGTACCTACTTGTCTACTAGTCTACCTACCTGTCTAGATATCTAGGTAGCTAGGTACTTGCTTCCGCTATCTACTGCGTTCCCCGGTCCATAGCGCCACCAAGCTACAGTAGTAGAAAAATCATCTCTCAGGAGAAAAGAAAAGAAAAGCAATAATCTCATGCAGTGCTGGACCTGGACCAGCATCGGTTCTGGGCTTCTTCTTCTCCCTCTCCTTAAGTAGCCACACGAGTCTGGCCACATTATTATTGCCTCTGTACGAATCCCTATATCTCGTCCTTCAGTGATGATCATACTCAGAATAGCCTTGAAACTTGAGCAAGAATGGAAAAAAGAAGACAGTGGCTGTACTACTATTCATAAGACACTGAGTTTATCTGCATGACTGCATATTGCAGATTGCAGTTTCATCCTTCTGCGTTTCTGCATTTCTGCAATTCGTCTCATTCTGCAAAATTTCTTGCACACCACCCACTTTTTCATTCGCTCAAGAATCCTCTCCCTAAGAAGCCTCGGGCTCAATGGTGTTTCCGGCAACAATGTTTGCCCAACCGATCAGACGCCAATGCTTTTCTATCCGACGACTGAGGGCGATCTTCTCACCGATGGCGGTACAGGCGGGAGTGGTGAGGGTAAGTTTTGCGGCGTCGGCCTTGACGCCCATGACTTTGGCGCCGGTGGCGGTACTGCCAATGTTGACCATGAGAACCTCGTTCTTTGCCAGCTTGGCGACCTTTGCCTGTTTGCCGTCGGCGGTCTTGACGCCCAGCAAGCGTCGGAGCAAAAAGTAGTTAACTTCGAGCTCAATGTAGATTTCGGGCAGCTGGCCTTTGAGGCCCAAGACATGACCCACGAGACGATCTGCTCGACACAAGGTCGGGTCGACACGGGTACCGACACCGATCAGACCACCGGGGACGGCAAACTTGAGGTCGTTGTGTTCGGCAAACAAGCTCACGACGCGAGACAAGATGGGCCGACAGATGGTTTGACCCTTTTCATCCTTTGTGATAATACCGGGACGGATCTCGACCTCGTCGCCCAGTTTCAGCACTCCCGTCAGAATAGATCCACCGGCAACACCACCTTTCAAATCTTCAATCTCGGCACCGGGTTTGTTGACGTCGAATGAACGAATGACAATCATGTGGGGAGGGGTGGTGAAGTTGCGGACCGGCACGGGGATTTTGGTCACCAGGTATTCGTTGATGGCGTCAATGTTGTATTTCAGTTGGGCCGAGATGGGGATGATGGGGGACCCGTCGGCGACGGTTCCCTTGATGAATTTGAGGATCGACTCGTAGTGCGACAATGCGCCTTCTTCCCGCATGAGGTCGACTTTGTTCTGCAAGATGATGATGTGGTTGAGCTTCATGATTTCAATCGCGGCCAAATGCTCCGAGGTCTGGGGTTGCGGGCACGTTTCGTTGCCGGCAATCAGCAGAAGCGCCGCGTCCATCACGGCCGCGCCGGACAACATGGTGCTCATGAGAATGTCGTGTCCAGGGCAGTCCACGAACGAAACGTGTCGCAGTAGCCGGTATGTCCCACCGCAGCCGGGTCGCTCACAGGGCGGGTCGACTTCCTTCTCACTCTTGTAACTCTTGTAGCATGTCGGCCGCGGACAAGCCTGGTTGTCACACTTGTAGATTTTGGCGTTGGCATACCCCAACTTGATCGTAATGTTTCGCTCCAACTCATTCTTGAATCGCACTGTCTGCACCCCAGAGATGGCTTTGACCACAGTCGACTTGCCGTGCGCCACATGTCCTATCGTTCCGATGTTGATCGTCGCTTGCCGCGCGATGATTTCGGGAGTTAGAGGTGTGAGGGTTGACAGATCTAGGTCTTTTGGGTCGGGTTGTTCGGGAAGCACTGGCCGAGAGACTTGTGGCTCAGGGATGGCGGCTGTGGTGTTTTTTTTCAAGGCGGATTTCGGCGGTTGGTTGGTTTCTTCAATGTCTTCCACTTCGTGCTCATCGCCAGGAGGCGTTCCAGGCTGGCTGAATTCGTCGTCCGAGAACGTGTCCCCGTTAGTAGCCATGATTGCGACGAGTTTTTGACTTTTGGAAAAGATAGTAGACGCCACTTGGAGAGGGAGGTAGTGTTTTCGTGGATGGCGATCAACCGGTGAGATGGAAACCCGTTTAGTTTTTCTTCTAGGGACGGAGTCGGCTCGTGCTCGTGAGCGGATATCCTAAGCAAACAAGTCTGCCTTGTATTATGATGGACTTGGTCGATCTTGCTGAGCCACCGTCAAGTAGAGGCGTCGCAGGAGTATTGAAGGGGTGGGCGTGGACAGTGAAGGCCGGTGGAGGGGCGGAAGGAGGTGAAATTTGTGGCATCCTGATGCCAAGGAATGGGACAGTACTAGTAATAAAACTGGGTCGTGACTCAACCCTCCCAAGTAAACAAAACACCGCTCTCATCATCGTCATCATCACCACCACCACCACCACCGCCAGCATCATGGCGGACCCGAATATCATCGGTCCACAGCCAGATGCTGGTCGTATAGTGCATCATATCCACGGTATCGCCGAGGAATTTACAAAGCTTTCAAATGTACCGGCGCTGGCAGAAGGCAATGCCGTAGCACAGCTCGCTGCTCAAATGAACGCTCAGTTCGCCCAAATGAACGCCCAAATGAACGCTCAGTTTGCTCGAATCAACGATCGATTCGCTCAAATCGACGCCCGGTTCGCTCAAATCGACGATCGGTTCGCTCAAATGAACACCCACTTCGCTCAGAGATTTGACCAGCTTGATAATAAAATTGATACGCTCACTACTCGAGTCATTGCGAAGTAAGTGTTACTTACATTCTTTCATGATAAATCCTGACTCTACAGTGATCATAACGCCTCAGCTCGAGTTCAAAACTCTTTTCTTACGAGGTCCTCTGATCGACTTACACCACTGATGAATCCATCGACTAATAACTTTATCGAATGGTTTCCTGCCAAATCTGGTGATATTCCGAATATGGAGGACCAGAGGATTGATTCTGTCCTACATGCGTTGGGTTTACCTACAAATGGGAGAAGAGAAGCCAAAGAGCAACGATTGAGACAGTACATCGGTCTTCGACCTAGACCCACTGCTGCATGAATGTGACAAGCGGGAGAGGTGTCGAGAGTGACCTGAAGGGCAGAGGTCATGATTGACCTGACAACTAGGGTGAGTTCAGAGTAGTTTTTGCATTGATTTTGCTGCCAGGATATCGAGTCACGGAGTTCAAGTTGCTGTCGAGTTATTGAGCATACAATATATATCTCTGCTATTACCGCACCAACACAGCACGTTGATGGCGGCGGCCACGTCGTGCGCAGCCTTGTCAATCAACCTCAGCCGATTCGTGGGGTCACTGCAGCCGTGACACCACTTCGGAGGAGGACTTCCAGCTCTCGTCATTAGAGTCAAAACAAGGGTTCAAGGTGTGCTGTATTGTCATGACATTCATGCATTATGTTTTCTCAGCCACCAAAACATCTAATTAGCGATCCCTCCAGTCAGCTGATCTGAGTGACCACCACTCCCTGTTCTTCATCATCCTTGGAGCTTGACTTTCTTCCACCATGACCTTGCAAAATCCTTGGTCCGTACACTATCTTGGGTGGCTGTCCTGTTCAAGCGAGCACTTTGCTTTACGACGATGCTACTCTTCAGGGCCTTTTCAAAGAGATACTTACTCCTTTCCCTTCTCTTTCTGTCGGCGTATTGTCTACAGATTATCCAGACCGCCCACATGAGTCCGAGGACGAAGGTGAGCACGCCGGAGACAATCCAGTAGACCTTGAAGGGCTCCCTGACAATGACCTGGTCGTCGATGATCTTCCAATTGAACATGGGCGTGGCAAAGAGATTGGCGATGAACGTCCAGGGCAGGAAGATGAAGCCTACCAGGGCCAAGGCCACCATGGCCGAGTTGGAGTTTCTTCCCTGCCAGGCGATGGTGAGGCCGATGCGCGCATCGCGTTGAGCCACCTGGTGAGACATGATGACCATTTGCTTGTCAAGGCGGTGGGACAAGGTCTCAGCATCATGGAGGTAGACATTGATCAGGTCCCACATCTGGAACAGTTTCTGGTTAAGTCGGATGCATTCGTCACGCTGCCCGTCGTCCTGCAGCGTGGCGACATATCTGTCATTGCAACGCTCGATCCATCGGATTTGATCCCTGAAGACTCTCAGTCGAAACAGGATGTTGGTGAGTTTCCCGCTCAAGACGTGGAACTGACTGACCGCGGCTTCCTGCGCCTCGGCGATCATCTCGGCGTCCTCTTCGATGTCGGCCTGATATGCAGGGTCAATTCTGCGATCCAACACCCAGTCCCAGGTGGCCAGACCGAGCGTCTGCTCGACTTCGTACGTGTCCCAATTCATCTCGTCGGTTTTGCGAAATGTCCAATGCAGGCTGATGTTCATCTTGATGTACGCGAGAAGCATCGGGTGGGCAAGGTGTTCTCTGAGCCGGAGGATCTCGGCCTCGAGCTCTTGTCGGCGTTCGTCTCCGTCGCCTTCTCGGTGGAACATGACCGCCGATGTATGTCGAGTGGCGTGAAAGTATGACCAGGCGATAGCCCACGACGTGCCGCTGGTGTAGAAGGACGTGACGGCTCCTCCATCGGCGCCTTGTTGACCAACGACCCGATACGGCGAGTCGTCCCAGAAAGTGATGTTGCATCGAATATAGGCACCCAGAGCAGCCAGAGGGAGCCGAGCATGGTTGAAAATGTCCTTGATCATGGCCCGTTGCTTCGCTCGCGTGGGCAGAGGAGTTACTTCTGTTCGACACGGGATCGTCCGATGTTTCGGGTTCTTTCCCGGATCCCGGCTGAAATCGTTGTGCGTTTGGATGAACAGGATCTTGAGAGCCGGCTGCCCGCTCCATCGTGCAATGTCTTCGTTGTTGACATTGCTCGGTCGGAGCCACTGCTTGATTTTTTCGACGTCCGGCTCGCCTCGTAGGGTTTCAATAGAAGGCTGCAACTGCCCTTGCGTGAGGTGATACTGGTCGATCTTATGGTGGCCATTGTAACTGCTCAACTCGCGGTCGAGCATGATTAGGCCCGCCTCACTCAGTGTCGTGGAAGTCATTGTGGAGATCAGTGGCGATAGCTTAATGAGGCCTGGGGGGGAGGGGGCCCCGTGGGCGTGCGGGCGGGAGCGATTGATCTTTTGCAAAGTAGGGGAGGAGGGGGCGGCAGGCGGGCGGGCAGGATGTAACAGGACACACAATCAAACGGCAGGAATAGAACAGACGCTGTATCAGAAGCCAGACTTTCAGGGGACGAGAATGTCAACAAGTGTTCTCTGCACGTGAGAGACCAACCTGTACGACTTCTTTTCCCCTGAGCTGGGCCAGATGTTGGTACAGTAAAGAAGATTCCTCGACAGACTCGGAGCTGGCGAACGTACCGTACCTATATACTCCATAGTACAGCCCATTGGGGCCATACAGGATGACAAACTTCTGCCTTTTTCTTTCTGCCTTGCAGTGTCAGGCAACACATAGTCTGTACCAGGACCCTCCATGACTGACGGAAATTGCTTGCATAGTGCCCATCGGAAAGTGAGAAGGGCTGACGGTAGGTATGCAAGCAGGAAACGAGAAGCGTGGGGGTTGTTGTGCCGAAAAAATGGTTCGCGAAACTGGACACAAAAGGCAACCAACCGAACCGCGCACATGCCAGACCAGAACTCCCTCTGGTCGCTTCGCTGCCTCTGCGAGATGAGATGACAACAAGTGGATTACTATTAGTAGGTGCTCCATCACTCATTTCAAGGACAACTAGCTTATTCGGATCCGAGGGTACCGGAGCAGAGACAAAGAAAACACCAAGGGGCGTACAGTGGTCAGGAGTCATTGATGAACGTCACTCGGCACCTCGACCGGTGATGATCGATCCGTCTTTTTTGCAGAGCAACCCACGAGTACCAGGTAGCAAGGCTGAAGAGGATCTTTGCGTCTTCTTCAGAAACTGTAGCTCGCGCTCTCGCAATCTACCTCACATACATACCTAATGCACATGCACATCTGCCGGTGGCGGCCAGTTCTCTACCTTAGTTCTCTAACCCTGCTTTGGGCTTGTTTTCCGCGCCTTGTCATGCAATCCGAAAGAGCTAACTTTGCTCGTCCATGTCGTCGTCATTGCCTTCGATCATCTCATAACCCTCGCTGCCTTCCAGGTCGTCCGAGTCATCGTGGTCGTCGCTGTGGCCGTTGTCATCTTCTTCCTCGTCCTCTTCATCATGGTCATCATTGTCGGCTGTCCCATCAAGAGGTTTCAGCCCATAATCATCCTGGAAGAAATTGAGATCACGGGTTTGAGGAGAGAACCCAGCCTTGGTAAGGCCTGCCGAGATAGCCTGTGTGATAAACATAGTTAGCAAATGCCATGCCACTCCCACTCATTTTTCTGCAAACCAAAAGACAATCTTACCTCCTTTAGCCCAGGGGCACACGTGACAATGATATCAGCCATTCCAGGAGTGAACATGTTGTACACCACGGTCTTGAGGGCGTCCTTGATATCGTCAATTTCAATCGCTCGAACCTTCTTCAGCAGCCGTTCCATATGATCCTCAGGCAGACCTTTCATGACCGACCGGATGAAACTCGCCCCGGCGGCACTGGCAAGAGTATGTTGCTCGTTGGCGAAGGCGACCACGATGCTGCTGATGGCCCCTTCGAGCATCAGAGCATCGAACTCAATCTCTCCCGTCATATGGCCCTCGACGACTTTCCGACTGGCCTCGTACGCCTTGTAGGCGTCCGGCGACCGATAGACATCCAAGTAGACATTGCCAGACTCCAAGTCGTAGCCCATGCTGGTGCCGTATGCAAGACCCGTGCCCCGGACGGCAGCCCACAATGGTCCTTCGACCGCGTTCATGTACGCCATTGCCACCATGACTGCCGGCATCTTAGGGTCGTCCCAGGACGTCGGTCCTCTGGCTGAAGCGTAGGCGAATGATGAATCAATCGTCGGCATGGGCACAACATACGCCAGCTGGCCGGGCTTCTTGCCCGCTTCACTAAGACGGTCAATCCGACGGCCGATGGGCGTGAGTTCGCTCTTCGGTTCCAGTTCCTTCAAAAACGATTGCCATGTGCTCACCGGATTCTTCACCTTGTCCAGGTCGGTGATTACCAGGATGCGGAAGTTCTCGAAGCGACAGAGATTTTGACGCAGCTGTTCGAATCGTTGCACCACAGACTCTGGATCTCGCCACAAAAGCTGCTTGATGCGCTTCAAATACAAGGCTCTGACCAAGGTGCTTCGCGCACGACCGATCGATTTGGGCGCGAGGTGGATCATGCGATCCACTGCCGATAGCATGTCATCTCCGTTACGTTTGGCATCGGGCACGTCTGCAAGGAGTCGTGCATTGATAGCTTTTAGTCTCTCAATGTCGAATATGGAGTGGAATAAGAGCTCGGACAACCACTTCACCGCCACATCGTAACGTTCAATTTCGACCTGGAAGCTGATTTTGATCCCTTCGGGGTTACCCAGATTGGACGCTGCGTCAATCGAGTAACCCACCGTATCCCGCTCCAGTTCAGTGACAACCCGTTCAAAATCAACGGTTTCCTCTCCTCGCTTGATGGGAAGATTGAAAAATGCTTCCATGTATATTGACAGCAGCGGGCGCAGCTCGTCCGGCAATATCTCCGTGGAGATGATGAGGTGGACTCTGGCAAAGTTTGAAGGGATGTGTTGAAAGTCAAGAAATAACGGCATGTCTCTGGAGTCATTATCGATCGTCTGTTGGAATCTGGTTTTTGGCTTTCCAATCTCGAGAGCAAGGCCAGCTCGAGCGCCTGAAGTGTTGACAAAGTGGATTGTATCGGGGGAAGGCACTTTAAACTGAGCGAGAAGTTCTCGCGGGATGGGCCGGTCATTCTCAGCTTTTGCCCTGTCAAGTTTTTCCTGCATCTTTTTCAAGCCTTCGGGTCCGAGTCTCTCCTTTTGCTGCTCGAGCCTTTGCGCCTCCTCCGTCTTCAGTTTCTCAGATAGCCGGGCTGATGGTACTCCCAGGATAGACACATGAGGTGCATCTGAAATGTACTTCTTGATAAAGTCTTTCCATTGCTGCTCACTCCAGGATGTCAAGGTTTCTGTATATTGAGCCAAGGACTTCAATTGGTCTAACGTCGACCCGTCCCTTTTACCATAGAGATAGTCGGCGATGATGTAGTCGGCAAAAGCGGTAGGAGAACTTTCAGCGTTGAATTTATATGTCCGCACCTGTCGATCAATGCAGTCTTTCATGAACTTCATGTCCAGTGGTTTCTCCATTGCACCTTTCAGAACTCCAAAGAAACGCCTTTCCACTTCCTCCAGCCGTCCAGTCTCTACACTGGACATTGAAAAGCTTATCTCTGTCCGGGGCCGGCTGTCTATCTGATAATAGACGCCACTGGCCAACTGTTCCTTCTCCACGATGGTGTTGTCAAGTAGTGCCGCGGGCGAACCAGCCAGATACAAAAGTACAACATTGAGAGCGGCTGTGGAGATCGAGTCCGCACAATCCGGCCCCAGAAATCGGATGTCAACTTCTCCGAATGACTCGTCCTCTTCAGGAAACTCGACTCGCTGCAAAGTTGAGGCAGGTAGCGGTGGGGCTTGCTTTGACTCGATCCAGGGTCGTCTGAAAGGCGCATCCGGACTAGGGATGTCGTTCATAATGGAGGTCTCGAATTCATCCAGAATGGCCAGCAACTCGTCATGATCGACCTCGCCAAAGAGGGCAAGGCAGAGATTTTTCGGCTGGTACATTTCACGATGAAATTCTCGTATCCTCTCGGCCGTCAGCACACGGAGTTGTTCCATCATTCCTCCCGTCTCATAGCGGAAGCCAACTCCTTCAGGGTAGAGGATTCTTTTCGCCTGCAACTCAATGAGTTCCGAAGCAGTATTCTGGACCCCTTGCATTTCAGAATACACCACGCCGGCGTCGTGACCATTCCCATCAATATGATAGACTTCGGTCGTGCACCCTGCGTCCGTGAGCGTCGGGAGAATGACATGCTCCAGATACACCGGTAATATCTGGGCAAACCCTGCCCACCCAGCTGTTTCCAGAGTATAGGCCGTGTGATCTGTCGCGGTCCAGGCATTTGTGCCGGAATAGGCACGGGTCGCCAGTTTGTCGAGGAAGCCCTTGTACTTGTGGTTCTTTGAGCCCATGAAGCAAAGATGTTCCAGCGTATGCGGTGCTCCCGAGTCATCATGGATTTCAGTGGCAAGCACGAAGAAGCCGTGTAGTTTTGGCCCTTGCTGATCCACCACGACCACACGCATCCCCGTCCGCTCTGATTCATACTGGGTGATCTTGCTGGGGCTGTAGTCTGGCAGAATCTGTTGTAGCCTGCGAAACCGCGGGCTAGGACTCTGTGACCCCATTTTGAGAAGCGCCTCCTGGGTCCTCCTCAAACCACCAACAAAGTCCAATCCTGAAAGCAGGCAATGGTTAGTGCAGGGTTCGTGGGCTGGTAACTTTTGAATATTTATATGTGCCTTCGACGCGAAAATGGCGACAAGGCAAACGACACCAGATGACAAAATCAGAAATAGCCTCGTAAACCTAAATTCTGCCTGGTGACGGTGCATTCATATGGGGTACGAAAGTCGCAGGGTTTCTTATTGGCAGTACGAACCCTGGTTTCTATTTCTTTTTCTCTGATGGTTCAGCTTCGCCAACTATTTCCACTCTGGGTCGCTTGCGTCCTCGTTTGGGGTGCTGGAGAATTGGGGCCAGATGGTTTTTGTCTGACGTCCCGCAGATCGAGGACACCACGAAGCAGACGTTAACCGTAGTCGGCGACAAACGAGGTGAATGGCTCAATGCCAGTCTCACGTGCTCCGAAATTTGCAAACTCGGTGGCGACCGGGGTCCAAACTTGAAGAATGCAAGGCACCTTTATTAATTAACGAGGGTCGAATCTAGGAGCTCCCAGCGTAACAGTAATAAAAATCGCTTGTCGTATGACAGCCTCGGCCACATTCCCTGGCGTCACTAATAATACCTAAAGTTATGATTTCCATCTACTATGTATTATATAGACTTCTCTTGGCAATTCACTGCCACTTTCACAGACCATATGTCACGAACTGAACACGTAACTAGTGGCTAGTAGGATATCAATTACAGGTCCAGAAAACCAAGCACAATTGCTTGGAATTCGAGTCTTTTTTGGAGTACACCTCTGCTCCAAGCGGCCGTGGACCTGTCCGTGACACCATAGTTCATGCTGTACTAGGTAGAAGTATGCCGTACACATAGGTACTGCGCTTGGAGTTACTGCGCGGAATAAATAAATATTATTTGTGCAAATATGCAAGGACTACTAGTAGTATGTATATATGATATATATGCCATTTGGCGGTCCGGCTCGTATCTATACAACCATGCATTGAAGCAAACCACCATCCCGATACCATTACCCAAGAAACTTTTGATAAGGCCGCAAATGCGAGTATGGTCTGCCTCCTTCAAGATCGTCCAGATAAATATGCCGCTCATTGTTCGCTTCAAATTTGAGAAGATCGGTAAGATGTCAACTGTCGTCACGAGGTATTAGGATATAGCTCTTGAAGAGGGTTCTGTCCCTTCCGGAGAGCCCAGTTCTTCTGTTTCTTCTCCTTTTTCTTCTTCATCTCCGCCCATCCTTCTTCGTCGTCTTCGTCTTCTTGATTGGCAAGCGGTGACCTGCGGCCGATTGCGTTGACAGATGGCTTAGCTCCGTGCATCGGAGTGCGGGGTGCGTTGTCCGCTTGCGACCATGGCCGGAAAGTTGACGAGGTGAATGTGGAAGCACGTCTTGTGGACGATCCTTCAGGGTCAGGGGCAACTGAAACCGGCCTGTATCTCGAGGCCAGTCCGATATTACTGCGCTCCGATGGCGCAATCGAGGGGGCGTAGTTTCCTCCGTTGATGTTGATGGATGGTATGAACGGCGAGTTGGGATTCCATGAGGCCATACCCGGGTTGAGAGCACTCATAGTCCTTTGAGCAGGCGGGGGAGCTCCCGGATTTTGCATATGCACTGATTGTGGCCTCTGCTGACCGAATGCCGGCGGCATGCCTGGCTGTGCAGGCATCGGCCCAACCATCATCTGCTGCATCTGTTGCATCCACTGCATTTGCATTTGCATCATCTGACTCATCTGCTGCGACATTTGAAGCTGGGCTTGTTCCCCAGGGCTCATGGGCGCCGGCATACCCGGCATTACTCCGGGGTAGCCCATGACGGACATGGTGCTGGCGGTTTGCGACCTCGGTAGCATGCCGGGATGGGGTGGCATGCCAGGGGGATCGTAGGTTCCCGACGCATTCGGGCTACCTCTCCTTGCGGCACGTGCTCGTTCCTCTCCAGCAATAACACCAACAAGGCCTGCGGGATGCATTGGATGGGCGGTCGAGGGACCAGCGCCCAGAGCAGGACTGCCAGGATGAATGGATAGAGACTCACGCACCGGTGCGTTTACCAGACTGGCTCCATAGTATGGATCCGGAGGTAGATGTCGTGCGAAAGCGGGCAGATTGGCGGCCTTTGAGGCCGGTTGGACCACCGAGGGTGCAGCTTGGCTTTGAATTACACTTCGAAGGTTGGGATTCGAAGGCAGTTTCGAAAGACGCGTGGGCGGGCGATTCTTGTTTGGAAACCCGTGTGCCGCTAGAATCCCGAGTGGCACATCTTCGTCCTCATCCTCATCCTCTCCGCTGCTCTTGCCGGATTGTTTGGACTCCACCATCAGATGCGCAAACTGGTTGTCGAGGTCCATCGAGCTTCCGTTGCCATGCCTCAAAGGCTCCAAACCACTGTCGGGTCTGCTCGGCGAAGGGGCCTTTTCCCCGGTCACCTTCATCATCTGCTGGCGGTATACAGCCAGGTGGGCTTCTTGCTTTCGGCGTTGCTTTGCAGCTCGACGATCGCGCTCTATCTCATCCTCGTCCTCGTCTTCATCGTTGTCCTCAGAGCTGCTGTCGTCAGACAAGGCCCCCAATCTGCGATCCATCTCCTTCTGCTGCTTGTACTGTTCCCATTGCGCCGGTGTCATGACCTTGGTCGAAGAAACTGGCTTCGGGGGAGCAGTCTTGGTGTCCTGATATAGGTTGGCCACTTGGGCGTCCGCCGCAATGGACGGATCGAATGTCGCGCTGTGAGTTGAGCTTGGTGACAATGACAGTCCAGTTTCCTTGGCCGGGCTTGTTGCCAATAGATTGGCCTCCTCGGGTTTCGCATGCGGCGGGGGCGGCGGTGGTATGTCCTCCTGTTGTGAAGTCGTCCTCTTCGCCACGGGCTTCCGCGAAGGGAGAGTCGACCGTGTCGAGACGGGGCTGTGACGAGGGCTTGCCGAGTTTACTTTGTGATCCATAGCAGGGCTGCCCTGAGTGATAGTTTTGGAGGGACTAGGTGATCGGATAAGGCCCTCACGGGAGTCGTGAGAAGTCCAGGAATAGGGAGAAGAGTCGACGACATGGGCTCGATCAATCCGAATAGGACTGGGCGCGGGTGCTCGATTCGAACGCATAGCGGCTGAACCTGGATAGCTGGTGGGAGGATAAGTTGTCGGGGAGGACGACATCGGTTCCTGGTGAGGGTCAGCCTGCGACACGAAAAGCATGTTTATGGTGAAATAGTACCTCCTGTTGTACAAGCCGGGGAGCCGCCGCGTCAGGGCTAGACCCAATATGGTCGAACATATTACCAAAGCCGTCTAATTCAGACTTGTCCAGTGCTAGGTCTGAGTCGAAGAGCCGGGGAGGTGTCGCAGTGCTGGCAGTGCTCGTAGTGACCGCTCGGCTTCTGTTGTTGTTCAATGCAGGCAGGCCTCCTCCGGGGGAAGAGGTGGGAGAGCCCCGACTGCCCTTCGTGATTCCAAAGGAGAACGTCCGACCTTGACTACGCAAGAAACCCGGTTTGGCCGAGGATGATGGCGGAATGGGAAGGTCGTTGTTCGTCTTTTGGCTAGTCCCCTGGACGTTCTGGTCAGATCTCGTGTCCACCGAAGACGGATTCGTGGATGAGATGCTGAGGCGCGTGCTCGAAGCACCACTATCGTAAGGAGCCGTGGAAAGCGATCGCTCTGTTCCACCACTTCCTCTGAGGCATGGTTAGCTTTGCTCCACGATATAGATAGACGATTCCTAGCCCACCTGTTGCCCACGTCCTGGCGCACTGCCGAAAACAAGTCTTCCTCTTCATGATCGCCGTGGCCTTTCGGCGGTGGCCGTGGTGCTCCGGCTGAGGCCATTCTCATGTGTATGCCGCCATCAAAAGCCGTCCCCTTATTCGCCGGCCTGTCCAAGACTCTGAATGAAGAATGTGAGTCGGGTGGATTGTGGACTTCGTCCAAGGCATTGCCTGAAGATTTCCGTCGCTGAAACCCCTTAGGCAGCTTGATTGGCATGAAGATGGTTTGGGTCGACTGCGACGTGCCCGGGCAGGGACCAATGGGTGCTGACGGTATATCTCACAGACTTCGGTCCGTGATCGCAGGGTAAGATGCTGAGGGATACAAGGCTAGGACGATGTCATAAGAGAGGGTTGGACGCGGCCGGCAACCTGCATGAAGCGATATGGTAAGGAACAGCATCGCTGGTGAGAAGGCAACGAGCTTACCGAGTACTCGACACAGCGTCTTGTGGCCACTTTTACCCACTTGTCGTCTGCGGAATGTCCAGGAACGATGGCCACACACTTTGATGTCAAAAAGGCCGGCTGGTGAAACTGAGTGCTTGACGTGGCTGGACCGAGCGTCGTGTCAGACTGCGGGTGAACTCTTTATTTTGGTACCGGCCAGGGATGACAGCGGCCAGGAGGATCGACCAGGATAAAAGCTGAGCTGGAAAAAATGACACTTCTAAACAGCCACACCTTGAAGAGAATGAGGTTCGTGCGGGAGTTGAAATATGTTGATATGTAGCGAATGTAGGGTGATGAAGAGGACAGCAACGGCAGCTGTGAAGGAGTGAAATCAAAGACTGGTGGTGGTCCAGTAGTGTTTGGTGGTTGCGGCCGGCGTGCAATGCTGCCTCTCCTCTTAGCGACCAGTGCCTGCACTCGGCTGGTTTTTTTAAGACACGTTCCTACACCATCCCAGTAATCATGATGTGAACAAGCCACCAGCTCGGTAGGTTCCCGCCCTATTCCACCTTATTTCACATAGCCCAACGCCATGTCAAGCCCGGCACCCACCCAGGGGGTATGGGAAGGGAATTCGGGGGGCAGGCGGCCGTGCGACTGGTAGCCGAGAAGCCTGGACTGGGATGATTTACCCCTAGCACATGGGCTAGTACTAGGCACTTGCTAGGGCATCAATATGTATGTAAATAAACACGACATTGGGGCAGCGCACAGAAGTGATCAGCCCTTCTCCTCGCTATGACCATCGATTGCAGAATACATGATACGTTTAACATCCGAGTATTTCATTGTTATTGAACATAGCTGAGCTGAGATGCCAGATTGGTAGGAGAATTGCATGTGCCTGGTTCTTGTTAGCACTAATAGTAGTAGTCGCTGGTACCTGGAACTAGTATGCAACAATCCCTAGGTAATGATGCTGCTGCTGCTTGACTTTTCCTGCCCCTGGCACTGCAGCCCGATCACATCGCGATGCAAGTCGCAACTTCCGCCCACTGCCGCTATAAACCTCTACAACATCCAATCCCCCAGGGTTCCAAGCGCAGCCGAGTCCACCACAATTGTTTATTGCTCGCATCACCGCTGGTGTCGGTCACTTCATCTCCGCCTGGCCCGAAATGGGTCCAAGATGCCAGACCTCAGCTCGCTGCAGGCCACTCTCCCAAATAATGCACGTGTAAGGTAGGTAGGTACTTCAAGCGCACCGTGCGACACCCAGCCAGCGCCTTTTATCTGGGCATTCCCAGCTCCCAGTCTCCTTCATTTTTATTTTTGCGACGAGCACAGCAGATCTGCTGAATAAATCTACCCAATCCTCGTTAACCCACTTGGGAAGCCCGCCACTGATCTTCAGACGCCCTGTATGGCATAACCTGGGAACCCGGAGGGAGCTTTGATCCGGGGAACAAACAGTCGTTCCTCCGGCTGCCGGACATGCTTGAACCATACACCTTCCAGCCCAGGGATGCAGCCCTGTCCGTGACTCTGAGCCACACTGCAATGGTCCTTTCCTGGGAACCCGAGGGCAACGTGGTTCAAGACGGTTGCAGCAGCGCTGCAGTCCCCGGAGTCCATCAGGGTAGCTGTTCAAAATGAATCCAATAAATGTTGAATCAATTTGTCGATACGCGTTCAAGTCTGGTCGTTGCCACGATTGACTTGCACCACTTTATCCTCGCCTGCGCTGAGAATGCCCACATCTTTATCCCAACACACTCCGAATACTTTAACGCCGTCACCAACCGACGGACTGGGTTTGCCTTCAAGGCTTGCCCTCGGCAAGATGTACAGGCTTTGGCCGACTGCGCCCTCTTTCTCTTGCTGCGTACTTCGTACATCCCACACTCTGCAGGTGCCATCGTGACTCCCACTGACGAGGGTGTAGTCGTTGCTGGGATCTCGTGCAAGGCTGACCACGGAGTTCTTGTGTCCTTTCAGCGTCATGGCAGCCACAGTGGCGGCCGAGGCCCTCGGGTCTATCAGTCTGATGACTCTGCTGACCGAGCCGGCCGCAATCAAGTTCAGGGAAGGCATGTGTTCAATGCAGAATAATGCACTTGATGTCGTTCTCGTATCCACTAGTGATGCCGTCACGAGATCCCACGTCCGCACAGTCTGGTCCCAAGAACTGGAGTACGCGACAGTAGAGTCGTTCGAGTCGAAGATCGCTCCCGAGACAGGTCCGGTGTGTTCCTGCATCAGCGCAAGCGGCCCCCGCTGCGGCACAGACGACTCATTTAATTTCCTCCTTTTGCCATCTTTCGTACGGGCGCGAGGCACAAGCGCTTCCGGTGCGGCAGGTGCATCGGCTTTGCGGCTGGACCAAAACCCAACAGAGTGGTCAGCGGATCCCGACAGTATACGGCCTGATCCAGCATGAGCGCAGACAGAGTCCACCGAGGATTTGTGGCCATAAAGTTCCAGTTGGGGCTTCAGGTTGGCTGTGAAGCCATCCTCCTCCTCCTTATATCCCCAAACTTTCACTGTCCGGTCGAACGAGCCTGAAACAACCTGAGTGGGCGATAAAAATTTCGCGGATCTAATGAACGAGCCATGCCCTCCGTTGGCCGCGCCTGGCGATGTAGCAAGAACCTGAGACGAGGTGTTCCATACTCTTATCAGTCCATCGTAGCTAGCAGAAAGAATCCTGGGCGACTGTCCCGACAGGACATCGACGTCGCTGACCCAGTCGTCGTGCTGGAAGGACGTGACGTATTGAGGAGGGATCCGCGCCCGCACGTACTCAACCGTAAGCGTAGTCTCGGTGGAAAGGCCGTTTTCGCTGAGGTATTCGTCGAGTGTAGTGCGAAGGTACTTTCCATTGATGATAAACTCTAACGGGATGGACTTTTCGGTTTTCAAGAGACTGTTCACGAGCGTCGACAAAGCATACCGCCGAAAAGACGTGGGGATGAGGATGGGCGCGTTGTCTTCGAGGGCAAGGTCGGCATCTCTGGTGGTCAACCGCACCCGTACTTGAGCATTCTGGGGGTCTGTCGAGTTTGAGGCCATCTTGAGATTTAAGCCCGGCTGTGAGGAAGTGTGGTTTGCAAGCTTGAGGCGGCCGTAAGAGCCAGTTGAGGCCTTGATGGAAAATGTTCTGCGCAACCCGCAAACCGACAGAAAAATAAAGTGGAGCACATCAACCGCTGCACTCGAGTTACGGTGCAGCCCAAAACCGCAGCGGGCCGCAGCCTGCCAATGCAAATGCCACTGGCACCGATTGGCCTTTGATGTCACGTCTACCAACGACAGACAGTTGCAGTGGTTGTTGGTGGTTACAGTACCCTGAATAACCCATCCACCTCGGGCACGACACGAGACAAGACGTCTATAATATCTTCTGAGGAACAGGGGGACGTCTAGCCTTCTACAACTGCTTGCATGAAGACATGACAGCCGGAAACAACGCCTCGGATGTCCTATGCGAATCGATCGTCAATGGCACGTTTCCGCAGTCCGAAGACCTCCTGACTTCTGACCTATCCTCCGAACTCATACCACAGCTACTTAGTCAGATTTCGGGAACGCGACGCCAGTTCAGTGATGAGATCAGAGCGGTTAGCAAAGACGACTCGGGAGATGTGGCTCAATGGATATCGCAAGCGCGGAAAGCCCAGGAGGACATTGCAAGATGCAAGTTGGAGTCACAACGCATTGTCGAAGAACATGAACAAGTCCAGGCTCTGAGAGAACAAGCTGTGGACTATCAGCGCAAAGTGGAACTCCTGGAATCGGAGATCGACTTCACAGAAACCTTGAAGCGAGAACTACAAAAGGTATCAGCTGCAACACAGTCTTTGAGAGAGGTGGAGGATTGTCTTGGGAGACAAGATCCATGCACAGCTGCCCAAAAGTTGGAAGAACTAGACGCCGACACTTCACATATCCTGAAATCGCGAACGTCGACTCTGGTTCGAGACCTGAAGGATGAGCTGTGTCTGAAGACGCTCGTTCAGCTGGAAAACCAACTACACAGCCAAATCACGGTCAAAAAGGAACAACAGAAAGTGACGGTGGAGGCATCGCCTACCGAGACTGACGCAGACTCGACCAATTCTGCCACTCTTCTGCAGGCATTGGACAGACTGGGGGATCCGCACGGCTCGGTCGAACCTTTGTTGGACAAACTCCGAACGTTTGTGCTACAGCCTCTACGACAGTCCTCACGCCTCAAACTAGCCACTTACGATGTGTCACAGCGTGGCATACATATCCAGCTCAACAAGGATGGTGCAGCTCTGGAGGCCGTATTCTCCTTCATACTTGATTTCATTCGGTTTCTGCATTCATCTTTATCCGGAGCCTTGCAATCTGTCATAGTGAAAGCGATTCTACCTGACATGATGACGATTCTGGTGCTTGATTGGCTTAACCCTAGTCTCCCTACAGACTTACCAATATTTGGCGAACTTGATACAATGCAAGAACAGGTAAACCGGATATTGGAAGAACTGAAAGCGCATGGGTGGCAGGGCCAAAAAGAACTTCAGGACTGGATTGACGACATACCCCGGGCTTGGTTGAACAAGCGCAAAGCAGCGACTTTAGACGCTGTTCGAAAAGCGTTTGCATCTTCAAAAGGGGCTCTACGACAGGTGGAACGAGTTGAACGTCAAGTCGTTGCCACTGCTGTCAAGCAAGGCGAGTCTCAAGACGACGCCAATGATGATTGGGACACCAATTGGGACGAGGACAATAAAGACAGCTCCATAGGGCAAACCCCAGGTAAAGCCGAAGATGAAGATGAAGTTAGTGCCTGGGGATTCGAGGATGACGAAGATCAGTCGAAAGACGACGACGGTCACGCAGTAAGCAGTGGCGCGGATACGAGCAAGGCCACAGACCGTACAGAGGAAGGAGACCCTGAAGATGCTTGGGGCTGGGGTGACGATAGTCCAGAGGAGACGAAAGAAGATTCAAAACCGCACTCTTCACAAAAGCCGGATGCGGGAGATAGAGCACAGCAGCCACCCAGCTCAAAGCAGGAAGTTACTTTGACCGAGGTATACAGCATCAGCGACATTCCCGACCAGATAGTCGACATCATCGAGCGGGACGTGAAAGACACACAAACCCTGCTCGAGGCAGGCACGCAGCAGCATCAAAGTCTCGACTCTTCCACCGCATCTCGAGGCTTGTTAGCCCTACCCACCCTAGCGCTGGCCATGTTCCGCGCAGTCGCACCGAGCTACTACGGCGCCTCGCCCACCCTGACCGATCTACACCGGTACAACGACTCATTATACATTGCCGAGCGGCTGCGCGATAGCATGGAAACCACAGCTGGCACGGCTAGACCACCCAGTCTAGACTCCGACATCAAAGCAATGGAGCGGTCTGCCCGACTAGCCTATTCCAAGGAAATGGAGACCCAGCGCCTCATCATTTGGGACCTGCTCGAAGGCGCCCAGGGTTTTGTCGCATGCACCCAGTTCCCATACTCGCAAGAAATCGAAAACGCCGTCTCCGCCGTCGTCGATCGCATCCGCACCCTCCACCGTCTCTGGAAACCGGTCTTGTCCACCTCGGCTCTCATGCAGAGTATCGGCTCGCTGCTCACCATGGTCATCGCCAAAGTCATCTCTTCCATTGAAGACATGGACGACATCTCGGAACCCGAGTCGCAGCGCCTCACTGCGCTATGTCAGCAGATTGCGTCCTTGGACGACTTGTTTCTTTCGAATGCTCCACGAGACGTGAAGGAAGAACGTGGGGAGAGCGGCGGCGCCGAGTCAGTACCGATGACCGCCGTCTATGTCTCGAATTGGCTTCGCTTCCAGTATCTCATCAATATCCTCGAGAGCTCGCTCGTCGACATCAAGTACCTCTGGACCGAGGGCGAGTTGAGCCTCGAGTTTAGCGAGGACGAAGTCGTGGATTTGATCAAGGCCTTGTTCGCTGAGAGCTCGCATCGGAGGAATGCCATTGCCGCCATTCGCGGTTCGAGGCGGTCAAGATAGCATATTGTAGTTTTTGAGCCCGGTATAGCATGCATTAAGTTGTTCGGGAATCACATACATCCACCCTCAATAATCTTAATTCATATGCCAGGCTACTTTAAGTCTGGTATCGTGTGACAAATAATAGAGCAATTCAGTCCAACGTCGACTTTGTACGTAGGATGGACAGTTACACATGGTTACACTACCTTCCTTGACCGTCGCTTGGAGACTACCTAACTAAGTACCTAGGTATGGTGTGTATACATGAGACCGGCGTGCGCGCAAATCATGCAGGAACTTCCATTGAAAACGCTTCTAACTGACATTTGGACCTCTGTATTTTCGCTATCCCTCAGGCTAGACTGTATTAATTCACAAGTCCTAGATGGCTGTACGTACAACTAACAAAAAAACTTATACAACTTCTTCCAAGTCGGCCAATTCCTCCGATCGGCGCGCTCCTCAGCCACCAGAACCTTAACATTGAACTCGCGCTTTCCCGTGAAAAGGTCCATATCACGGGTCTTGACGATCTTGGTCTTGAAAAGGATCTTGTAAGCAAGATACATGAGCACAACGACCGGAGCAGCAAGATACGCCTGAAAGAAGTTGATGACAAGCTCCGAAGTGGATTTGTCGCGCCATCCGACCGGGCTAAACCCCGTCCAGAATTGCGCAACCAGCACGAGAATGTTGAACGTGAATCCGATCCACGACCCGACTACGCCGACTGGACTCCGAAACGCCAGCTCGTCGGGCGTGTGGCCTTGAATGCGCCACGCGTGCCGGAATCGGATGTGTGCTAAGCAGATGCTCGCCCATGTGAAGATGGAGCTGAGGCCCGAGAGGGCGATCATCCAGTTGAATGCGTCCTCCTGCTTATGTGATGCCGCCAGAAAAGCCAGAATGCCTAGCGACGATGCGAGGATGATGGCATATAATGGGCGACCGGCGCGGTCGATGTACGCCAAAAAAGCGGGCGCTTGACGCTGTTCGGCTAATGCGGCTAGTGTGCGTGAGGAGCCGTAGATAGATGAGTTGCCGACTGATAGGACGGAAATCATGATGACTACGTTCATCACTGATGGAAGGACTTCCAGGCCGGCGTTTTGGATTGAGATGACGAAGGGGGACGCTCTAATCTTGTGTTAGTGGTGTCCAGATGTCAAAATGCAGTTGGACGAGGCAGGGGTGAGGATACGTACTTTGCATCGGCGCTACTCTTGCCGTTCAACAGGCGAGAATCGTCATACCGAACCAACGTGCCAACGAGAAGTAGACTGACAATGTAGAATAGAGTGATGCGCCAAAATACCTACAGGGAAGTACGTATCTCATGTTAGCGAACAGAAATCTCGCGAGAATGATCGAAGAAAGTCTGGCGTAGCAGAGCAGTGGCAGTATTGAAACTCACCTGCTTGATGGCGGTCGGCAATGCTTTCCTTGGATTTTCAGTCTCAGCGGCAGCGAGACCGACGAGTTCGGTTCCGGCAAAGGCAAAAGCTGCTGTGACAAACGTGCTGCACAGGCCCTTGAATCCGTTGTGGAAGGCTCCAGGATGATGCCACAGGCGAAACCCCATGTAGCTGCCATCGGGTTGTCCAAAACTATTAACACCGCCCATGATATTAATCAGAATGCCGAGCAGGCTGTGACAGTATCAGTAAATCAGACCGACTCTCCGATTTGGAATAGGTCTCATCATACATATATCCGATCACGGCGGTAACTTTCACAATGGAGAAGACGAATTCCGCCTCGCCATATCCCTTGACGCCAAAGAAATTGATCGTGACGATAAGAACCAAAAACACCGCCACCCAAGCGGCGTTGAGTCTGAGATTTTGGACCTGCACACATCGCTCGGGTCAGTTGCTTGCACGACAAAAACCGGCAACGGCATTCATACCCAGTAGTCGACCGTGATGGAAGCGGCGACGATTTCCAACGGCAAAACGACCAACCATTGCATTGCATAATTCCAGCCCATCGCGAACCCCCATGCCGGGTCGAGAAATCGAGTCGAATAAGCTGCGAATGATCCGGCGACCGGAAACAGCACTGCCAGTTCGCCCAGTGCCTGGACGGTGCAATACATCATCACGCCTGTCAGGCTGAACGCCAGTAGCAAGGAAGCAGGCCCCCCGTAGGCCAGCGCTTTACCACTCCCCACGAACAGGCCGGTTCCAATGCTGCCGCCGATGGCTATCATTTGCAAGTGTCGGCCTTTGAGCCGGCGTAACAGAGGCGACAGCGCAGTGGCTTGCACGGCAGCTTCGGCATCGTAGTGGTGAGCACTGAAGGATGCCGCGTCGGTCACACTCGCGTTGCGGTTTCGCTTGAAACTTTCCGTCATGCGCCGAGACCATTTCCTCTTGATGTCCAAGTTTGCCATGTCGCCCTCGTGCGCCGACGGTCCGGGAGAGTATTCGGGACTCCAGCTCTTCTTGTCGTCCATCTTCCGAATGAGGCCTGGGTCATGGCCAGGCAGAGGGTGGGAGTTGGTGGTCTGTCGACGGCTGCGGTACGGTACGAACTCGCATTACGGGCGACAACGGCACGATTGGCAATGACTTCAAGTTGAAGGCGAGAAGCGCAATCCGCGCAACTCAGTGCAGATGCACGAGGCGGCGCCTTTGTGCCGGTGTTGTTTCTGGTAAGGCGGGAGATAAGCTAGTTCGAGTCGTTCTCTGCCGTCGATAACGACGATAACGACGCGGAAGAGGCAGCCATGACATAATACACAGCCTTGCGTGCACACGACAAGAGCGCAAACAATGCCGGGGAATGTTTCAAGCCTTCGTAAGCCCTGATTGAAGCATGCTGGTATACAAGCACTGCTACAGTACTTAAAGCTACCGATACATTATACCAACCCTGCATACCCCCATGCACGGTTGGTGATTAATCGCCCTCTTCCGCAAGCTCTGTGCTTCCAGGGCAATCCACTACTGGTCATCAAGTCGTTATATACCAGAAAGGAAGTAAAAAAACAGTATAACATGCCATCCAACAAATGCTCCGCTCCGTCTTATGCGGCCCCTGATGTAGGTATGTCCGGTATGCCCTGTGGGACTGATTTTTCGATCGCCCAGGCAGGAGGCCTCTGCAACCGTGACAAAACGCCCGGAGGATTCTTGGACAGTGTCCTCGGCCATTGAATCACTAGTCTCTGTTATGAACATTCAAGGCGGTTGAGTCGCGTCTTCAGACGTGCGGTCGCTGGCAACTGTAGGCCCAAAAGGGTCCGCTAAAACATTCGTCTCTGCGGACCCATCCCCAGGCATCGATGAATCATCTTCCTGTACATTTGCATTGGTTGGAACATTTTCGTCCTGTTCTGCATTGGCAGGGTCAGGCGTGACTTCCACATCCCTCAGACTTTGAGCCTTTCGTGAGCTCAATCCTCGCTCCAGCGCAAGGTGGTAGGCGGCTTCTCTTTTCTGTTTAATTTCATCCTCCTCCTCCTGTCGAGCCTGCTCCTCTTCTTGTCGAAGGTCAAGCATTGTAGGTGGTTCGGATTGTGCTCGTAGCGGGCTCGGGGAGACGGGTGCCATACTTTTCTGGGACAAAGATCGCTGGCTCATCACACCGGGACTGGCCAGTGATTTGGTTGAAGGGGTGCGGGTCCCGCGGCGGGACGCTGATGGCCGCTTGCCTCCAGATGTTCTTGTCTTCCCACTGCTTTGGTCTTCCATCAAGCCTGAGTTGGTCATCCGGCGCGTCAACATGACCGCGAACTCGTCGTCAAGGGGGACGGCATCCTCCTCCTCATCACCCATAATTAGATCTCCTCTAGAGCTGAGAGAATTCATGGTCGACCTGGAGGTGGCGGTGTCGCTTCTCTGTCGATTATGGCCCTTAGTCCATTTTGTGTCATGCTCCTCATGCTCTTCTATCAGGGGCTCTGTCTCATGGTCACTGACTCGGAGACCTCCGGGGTTCTCCTGCAAGTCCGCAGCCGAAGGCTTGTAACGCAGTTTGCGCGTCCCAATCTTCCATGGAAAGCGTTCCAAGAAACCCAAATACGACGAGCTGGGTATAACGGTCGGGTCCTGACTGGGATCCGGCTGAGGGTTCCGTCGCCCACGGGTCCCGTAACTCATTGCCCGTTGCCTGCGCGGTTGACCAGGCCCCGGGCCTCGGCCCGCCAGGAGACCGTCCAACTCGTCATTGCTCCATCGAAGGGCACCTTCCGTGAGATCCTCCTCATCGTCCCAGGCTTCGTAGAAGTCAAAATTGAACTCGGCTCGGCCACGGGACCTCCCGCGCTTACGGCGCAGGTTATCCTCTCGACCAGGGAAACACGGACGGGTACAATCGTAAACGCAGGACTTGAGTCCGGAAAGACAGGGGTCGATATATTGTTGTGTAAAGGTGTAGATATTCTCCTGGGCTGTCTGGTTGGCAGATTCGAGGTTATGGGAGAGATTGTGGAGGGTCTGACGGAATTCAGGGTTGTTCATCGTTCTGTACGGGCTTGTGTCATCAAGTCGCAGGAACGTTTTCCAGCGCGGTTGAACAGAGGCGAGACTTGAATCGAGGCGCTAGAACCATGCGCTCGAAGCTCGCAATTGCCATGCTTGGGGAGACTGTCCTTTGAACAACTCTGTCAGCGCTGGGGCTGTCTGGGGGCGGGATGGAGGCTGGAGGGAAATGCGATACAACTTGAAGCGGGAAAATGGGTCGCTGTTGAAGTTGACGGCGGCATACTACATACCACTAGTAGTATGGACTGACCACTAGTCTACTATTGGTAGTCCGGTGAAATCACACCTGGTTCGACGAAAACGGTGTAATATCTCTGCACGTGATTGCCTCCGCTGCCGGAGAAACTCTCACGCCGAAGAGGCCGCCTTGTGCAAGAGTCTTGCAGAAGAAAGTCGCAGCCGACGGTACTACTTCTCCATCCCACTTCAACTCCCACTTCGCTATCCTCCATCTGACTTCCGCTCACGTCCTTGTCCACCTTTCCGGCCATCCTCGCGATGGTCCACTACATTCGCTTTCTTCGAACTCCGCAGACGCAGGCGGGCAAGAAGACTGTCGATATCGCTGCAGTCGTTGCAGTCACCACTGATTTGGGCGATGCTTACTACAGCCAAGATGTTGATCTTGCCGTGGAGGTCGTAGAAGCCAACCGCCCTCATGGTATTCTTCATTCCGAAGTCGTGCACTGGCAGGCTTCTTCGAGGGCTCTTAAGTTCACTGTCAATTGTCCTGGCAAGTATGCTTCTCGGCCTGCCCGCCTTCATGTCACCACCCATGAGACGACTGCTGCGTCCACTTCTTCGGCTGTGCCTCGCATTCTTGATGTATGGAGCGATGCTTTCGTCTTAGCTGACAAGCAACGTGCCGAGCCCATCGTGGAACGGCAATTACTGCTTCCTAACAAACGCCTCCTTCGAATGTGGGAGGAGACCGGTGACAGCATCGCCCGTCATGTCTGGTATGTGTTGCGATCTCAGACATGAACTGACTGACAATAACTGAAGGGATGCCGGCCTAGGCTTTTTGATGTATTTTTCACAAGCTCTCTTTTCTGTCCCTGTCGAGGGCATGTCCCAAACCGCCGCTCTGTTGAAGACCAGTAAGGTAAGGCGACTGAAGGTGCTGGAACTTGGGGCTGGATGTGGAACTGTTGGCATTGCTCTTGCGCAGCTTGTCAAATGTGACATGCTCCTTACCGACCTTGATGACTCTCAGGAGATTTTGGCCAGCAACATTCGCTGTGCATCGCCATTAGCAGGCTCGACTATCCAGTCCCAAGTGTTAGACTGGTCTACAGGCGTTGATGATAGTACCAATGCGAATTACGATCTTGTCTTGGTTTCGGACTGCATTTACAATCCAGACAGCAGTCTGCACCTGGTAGAGACTCTGAGACAGCTGGCCACTCGTACACCCGACGTACTGATCCTAGTGGGATTCAAACGACGACATGAGGCAGACACGATCTTTTTCGACCGGATGCAACAGACCAGCTTTGTGATAGTGGAACAAATGAACATACCACTGCCTCACACGGTCACCGAATCTGACGCCGATATTCACACAAGCGAGTTCTATACATATCGGCTACAGTCCGCTTGACGATAGACATCATGAGCCGTCCATACCGTCCTATACCTCCTATATGTCCTATACCTCCTATATGTCCTATACCGTCCTTGCTCCGTCCGCGACATTCGAGAACATGGTCCAGGCTATTCTATCAACGCTTCATTGAGAGTATCAGTCTAACAGAGGCAACTTCGCCATCGCTGGTATTGTCCACGCCGATATTGTGTGGACGGACAACCAAGGCAGGGCAATTCCGGTCACGTGACACGTCACCACCAGGGGGGTCAAATTCCCGCACACAACAAAAATTTCCTCGTTCCAAAGTCCCAGTCGATTCGATTCGATCTGTGTCCGTTTCCACGAATTAAAGTGCGGGAAAAGACGGCCGCTTGTTCAGTGCCCGAGGCCCCCAGGCTATTTTCTTGACGGCATTCCCGTTATTGCCCCCCACCAAACTGTCGTCAGGCCAGTAATAAAATTCCTCTATCAACTGAAACCTACACACTCAAGCTCATCATTTCTTACCACCTTCACCTTGACTTGTCACCGCTACTCAGCTCGAGCTTTTGTTTTCCGACTCTTATCAACCGAATCTCAGCGATTTCAATGAGGTACAACTCTACCTCGAAATCTGTCTAGCTCGCCTTTGGTTGTTCCCAAAGGCACCCCATAAGACGGCTTCGACGTCGTTCTGCCTTCGTTTTCAAACTGCATCCTCTGGCAAACATCGACACATTCTCAACACTCGTCCACCACCTGCTGCTGAAGTCTTCTACCGCTACACCACTGTTGTTGTTCCAGCTTAACCCTCCGGATCAGCAATCGTCCCAACCTAAGCTGCCGCATAGGTCGCCACTAGAGGTTCTTCCTCCTCGTGAGGGAGAGTCGGTGAGGCAAAGCCAACGTCCCATAGGAGCAGAGTCCCGGAAACCTCCCTAACACCCATTGGAGATTCTATTGACCAATCCTGATAAATCTTTGTATGGTTATGGCACCTTCTGCTATCGCCATTGACGACAAAGAAACCACCATCTTGAACGACAGTAAAGTCGACTTTATCGACCATAATCATGGCGTCGAATCCGATGTGACTGGCTTTGCCTCAAAGGCTCTCATCCAAAAGGTCCTCAAGGAGCAAATTGCACGTGTCAACGTCGACACCTGCGAACCAGGGGAGGAAGATGCCTTCTATGTGGCGGACCTAGGGGAAGTCTACCGCCAACACCTCCGCTGGAAACTCAACCTCGCTCGTGTCAAGCCATTTTACGGTGAGTTTGTCCGATATCTTTTTTATTACCGAAGCACGAACTGACCATTCATCAGCCGTCAAATGTAACCCGGATCCCGAGGTGCTCCGCCTTTTGGCCAAGATGGGCACCGGCTTCGACTGTGCCTCCCGGGCCGAGATCGACCTTGTGCTTGGCTTGGGCATCGCACCTAGCCGCATCATCTATGCTCAACCCTGCAAGACCAAGTCATATTTACGACATGCTCGCAAGCTCGGAGTCACCCAAATGACTTTTGACAATTCAGACGAGCTCCGAAAGATCAAGGAATGCTTCCCGGAAGCGGAGTTGGTGCTCCGGATCTTGACCGATGATTCGGCCAGTCTATGCCGCTTCAGTGCAAAGTATGGTGCCAGCCTGGAAGACGCAGCAGAACTTCTCCAGCTCGCCCGCGACCTCGACCTCAATATCGTTGGGGTGAGTTTCCATGTTGGTTCCGGCGCCAGCGACCCGGGCTCCTTTGGGAAAGCCGTTAAAGATGCCCGCCACGTTTTTAATCAGGCAGCTGAGCTTGGCTACGACCTCAAGATGCTCGATGTGGGTGGCGGCTTTGTGGATGAGACGTTTGAACTGTTTGCGGCCAATCTGAATGAAGCGCTGGAGGAGCATTTCCCACACAATGTTTCTATCATTGCCGAGCCTGGCCGCTACTATGTCGCGACGGCCTTCACGCTGGCAACACATGTGATAGCCAGGCGCGAGGTGTCTGTTGATGGCGAAGGTGGAAAAGGGTACATGCTTTATCTGAACGATGGTGTCTATGGCAACTTCTCCAACATCATCTTTGATCATCAGCATCCTGTCCCGCAAATCCTCTCCGCCGCGGCTGGCGGTGACAAGATGACGGAATATTCCATCTGGGGTCCGACTTGTGACGGTATTGATGTGATTGCCGACCGCTACTTTTTGCCTGGAGTGGTCGACATCGGCGACTGGTTGTTCTTTGAGAACATGGGAGCTTACACAAAGTGCTCGGCCACCAGATTCAATGGGTTCAAGGATGATCACGAGGTGATTTACATTTCTAGCGAACCTGGAGCGTCGGCACTTCTCGGATATTGAACAACACACAGGCCATGAGCGACGAACGGGCATTCCACGGCATGCGGACAAGTCGAAAGGGCCGATGAAACGAAAACCGGGATGTAGGAGGTCAACACACCAGGCTGACATCACCCACGATCCTCGGATTTTGAGATCGCAAGAGAATTTCCTTTTCTGTTATTACACAATCCTTTGGCCATTCCGACCGACATATCACACTCCTTTGACCACTTTAACCGATCCTTGTAATAGACCAGTTCTCCCAGCAATCCTGCAGGGATGATTCAATTCTTGTGACTGCTCTAGGTAGTCTTCCAAATCAAATATTGAAGCAAATGGTTCTTTCGGTCGATTGGGATTCTCGCAATGCACTGTAGACCTTGTAGCAATAGGTGGTGCAGAGATGCTAGAATGTGACAAGCATTGTACGGCCCGTTGTCCGATCGGGTACAATGATGTAGACTGCAAAAGCACACTTCTAGAAACGTTTCCCAATATCTACCTCAGCGTTCAATTAAATTTACAGTCACGTGTATCCCCAGTGGCTTTTTCTCGCCAACGTCGGACGTCCTTTTACTTTGACCGTCCACTTCAGCACGTCGTTCTTTTTGTCGCCATAGATCTTGTCCGCCTGAAGCGACTGTTGTTCTCACATAGAGTCGAACTGAACTCCATTTGTTTGGAATCACTTTTAGTAGGCTGGAAATTTACAAGGCATTGTTGCCATTCATTCCTTCAACCCCTCCCACTGCTTGATATTGCAAGCTACCAGCACCAGCCATGGCGCCCACACCAGTAACCATTATCACTGGGTTTCTAGGAAGTGGCAAGACGACACTGATTTTGAACCTGATTCCGCAATTACCAAAGACATACAAGGTAAGTCGACCTATGCAAGAGAAACCAGAACAATCCACTGTTGGACGCTGCACAAAACATATCACTCACTGTTCAACCTATCCTATCATCTCTCCATAGCGGAAGACAACACAAGATCTCTATCCCATAACCAATGGTCTCACTTCACTGTTTGGTTTCAATCCCATCTCCTTCCTCTTTCTAACACTACAAAATCCCTCCCCCACAGCTCGCATTGCTCAAAAACGAATTCGGCGACGTAGCAGTCGACTCGCAACTCGCCGGCTCGGCATCCGTGTCCGGAGTCCGAGAACTTCTCAACGGCTGCATCTGCTGCAACCTAGTCGGCCAGTTAGAAGACGCACTATTCCAACTACGAGACACAGTTTCACCCAGCCGGATCATAATCGAGACATCTGGGTCAGCGTTTCCCGCAACACTGGCCATGGAAGTCAACCGCATCGCCCGAGAGCATCCTGGGACTTTTGCCCTCGACGGAGTCATCAGCGTCATCGACGTAGAGAACTGGCAGGGGTACGACGACACGAGCTATACGGCCAAAATGCAGGCCAAATATACTGACCTCATTGTGTTTAATAAATGGGAATTGGTGGACGAACGGAAATTCGAAGATGCCTTGGACCGAGTGGGCGATTTGGACGTGCAGGTTGCGTGGGTCAAGAGTGATAAGGGGTGGGTTGATGTCGATGTCATTATGGGCATTGATGGGTCTATGGTGCGTGAACAGGGACTAAGGGAGGCGATTGAGGAACATGAACATGTTGGACATGGAGATGGAGGTGGAAACGGAAATGAGCATGATAAGCATCACCATCACCATCATCAAGAAGAAGTCGAAGTCCTCAGTGTCCTGGTTCATAATCAAGACGAGACTCAACCACCGCACGGCGTGGTGTTGGAGTCGTTTGAAGATCTGCTTCTCTCAGCGCCAAAGGACGAGGTATATCGCATCAAGGGACTGGTGTTGTCGTCGAAGCCGCCGCCTGATTCGACGGGCGAAGCTAAACAGCCTGTTGCTGCGGCGGTCGATGCGGTCGGTCAGAGTCTTTATGTTTTGAACTGGGCGTTCGGGCGGTGGACTTATACTCCGCTTCCGGGGACGGCTTTTCAGGCGATGGAGAATGCTAGTGCTAGACTTACTTTTATACTTGCCAGAGGTGAGGCGAATAAGTGGGCTAAACGGTTGCAAGGGGGCGACTACATTGCTTTGGAAGGGGAGGATGGGAATGTGGAGAAACCGGTCTTGCAGATTGGAAAGATTGGTTGAGTGGTCCAAGGGCGAAGAGAATAAAACCAAGCCGGCTGTGGACCACGGCTCTGGTGTCCGAAAGAAGCATGAAGATAAACGGAGCAGCTATGGTGGTGTACAATACGTCTGTACACACAAGACTGGGGGCCCAATGAACCATCTGTACAACTTACAGGAGACTGGGGGAGAGTGGTGGTCGGCGGTATCAGTACAGCACTACAAGCGTGGCACAAGAGAGACATCCCGAGCATGACACCCACAGCACAGCATGTTACAACATGGCACATCCACAGGGTTTTTCGGACGTTCCTGGCCTGGTGACATCGCACAGCTACCTGCAATCGAAGGATCATTACGCCAGCAGGGGAAAACTTATCCTCGGAGCTTATGCCGACAGTGTGTCCGTCCTCTCGACGACTTGACTCTTCGGCAGCTCTTCAGCTCACATTGAAAACCAAGTACCCTACACATGCGCCAACCAGCTCGATGAGACAGGTCCATCGACAACCTGAAAATTGACGAAGTCATCACTGTCAGAGAGAGTTTATCCATGCTTTTCCCAAAAACCGACGCAGACCCCAACGTGTCTCAGGGAGCGCATGAGAGGGACGAGGCCATACCATATATCAAATCAGACAGAACAAATCCTACTCCTGCCAACATTTCCACAACCTTATCCTTCGCCACCAGATAACACTGATATCCTACAACAACGCTCTAATCTTCTGCCCTTTGCCTTCTCCATCATTATTATCCTCATCATCATCAAGCCCCAGAAACCTAACCACCTGTCCCAAATGATCGAATCCCCAAAACCCCTCGACATCACCCCGCCCATTGCGGCATTTAAACCAAGGCAACCCAAAAGCCCCATCGGCAATCGCCTGGTCCGTATTCTCACTCAACTGTTTCTTGACTTCAGGCGAGGATATGTGCTTCTCAAGGATTTCAGCCACAACATCCTGACCCAAGACTTTGGCTAGGATAGGGCCGAAAAATGCAGGATCGATAAGTTGAGACATTGGTGGTTTTCCGCCCCGAGCCTCACTCGCAGTGTTCGTGTTCGTCTCCTTATGCATCGTAATACCAGACCGCTCATTAAACTGGCTCGTTGGGTTCCGTTTCGCGGTCGTCTGAGACTGGCCCTGGCCTTGTTGCTCTTGCTGATCAAACACCAAACCGGACCGTTCGTTGAATTTGTTACCGGTATCACCGCCAGCCGATTGGGGTTTCTGGCCCCCCTGTCGAAGCTTGTATCCATCATCCGTCCAGATGATAGCATACAACGTATCCAGCGCCAAAGGAACCAGATCCGGTCTAATGATTTGCAAAGCCGTCAGAAACCGCATTGCCTGGATGGTCGGTTTGGGAAACCCTTCTGGGGTGGCAGAGGAAATGGGGATGTCGAATTGATGGGCCCAGCGGAGTCGTTCGATGTTGATCCACTTGTCTTTGTTTTTGATTTCGAGGGGAGCCCGGTTGTTGCATGCTTTTAGGAGGCCGCCGAGGAAGATGGGAATGTAGGTGATTTCGACGGAGCGGAAAAGAGGGTGGTTCTGTGGATGGATGGGAGGGTCGATTAGTGATCATGGCAACACAAGAGTGGTGAGGTGCGCAGGGAGGAAAGGAAAGAGTCAAGGCGTTGTTGATGAGAATCATGAGGGAAAGTGTGTTTCTGGAATTCCATTTGACAGACAAGAGAAATGATGAAGACAAACGAAGCCATCGACTGAATAAGGCGGTGAGGTCGCAGCGCATCCAATAAGTCTCATGATGAGACTGTCAGGAGCAGAGGCCGAGCTGATCGACATCCTGTGTGTGTTGCTCGCCGTTGCTCGCCGGTCCAGGCCATTTTTGACAGTGTCCCCTCTCTGAAGGCATGAGTTGTGTTTCAATCGAGTCCCTTCCGGGTTTGTAGCCATGCAAACCGTCTTCCATCGAGGCTGATACCCCTCTGCGAGACAAGAGAGGATATTGAACCACACAGATGACCTCCTGTTCTGTTTGGGCCCGGGGAAAGAAAAACAGGTGGATGTAAATAGGGCCAGAAGGTAATACATCAGATTAGAACGAAACTCAAACTCGGACTCACCCTAAGCATATAATACGCCAAATAGGCGAATGGACTGACAACATCGACGTAGAGGGTGATTGACCCTGCAGTTTGCTTCTGATTTTGGCTGGTAGCCGCCATGACCTTGGGTCTTAGGTCTGGGTCTTGGGGTTTATTCAACTCAGTAGCACTTCTCGACTTTGAGTCGGCCGATCCTAGGAGCTTGCTAGCCTAGATAGATATGGTGCTTGCTTGCTTGCTGAGGACAACCCCCAAATGGATGGGATGAGGCAGGTACTGTAATCGCAATGAAAATGCCGCAGTCTGGGGCGCTGCTTGTCAGAGTGTTTGGTGGGAAGTATCTCTCTGTCCGTTTGAATGGATGACGGCACAGAGAAAAGGATGCTGGGGCGCCGAGATACTAGATCTGTGACAATATAATGCAAGCTAGGACGTGATAATATACCTTTGTCGGTTCCGAAGAGTGAAGAACACCCGCGAGCCGAGGTAATACTATGTAGATACCGGGGATACACCACCAAACCCAAGAGATGAGGATGTCATGCAGTGGCTTGCCTCCGTTCCCTTTTGCGGGGCCCCGTACCCGTACGATCGGTTGGATCCATTATTGAAGTCTGCTTCAAATTGGGCAAATTATAATACATCGGATATCGGCATCATCTTCATACAGTACTAGTATACAGCATATTATATTCGTTTTCAAACACAACCCGCCAGGACGCTTTCAATCTTTAGCCTCCGACTCCTCAACTTCGATATCAACCTCCAGATCCTTATCCTGGTCGACTGGAAGAGTGCCAAAGTCAAAGGTGCCCTGAAACCGAGTATTTCTAACACTGGACCTGCGCGCCCGGGCAGGCCTACTCGTACTCCTACTCACACTCCTACTAGTCGCGCTGCTTCTTCCTCTCCTTCTCCTCTCGTCCGTCCATCTGCCTCTGCGCTCTCCTCGTGTCCTTCGTAACCACTCCTTGACATCATCAACATTGACTTCGGGATGCATATTTCTGACATGTTCATAAAGCCGCCGGGGTTTGGAAAACGGTTTGACGGCCCTCGGACAATCGGGCACAGGGCACAAGATGAGATTGATTGATGCAGCTGCGGCAACAGCTGCGGCAGCTGAATCAGTGTCCATGTCGGCATCACTAACGTCGACACTGGCGTTCGCACTCGCACTGACTCCAAATCTCCTGGACGACGATCTTGACTGTATTTCTGTTGCCGGACTGGTCCCACTGCTATTATCGTATCGGTGCACAGTGTCCAAATGTCTTTGGAGATGGTAGAGTTTGCGAAACGGGACCGCATGTCTCGGACACGAGTGGTGTGGACAGCATCGACTGCGCCTTTTGTCTTCGTACCGCACGGCGATGCCTGAACAATCTGTCTTGGAGTCTTGACACTTTTTGCATGGCTGTAAACGTCCACTCTCACCTCCAGGTCCTTGTTGCAAATCTCCATGTTGCAAATGTAGATGTACTGGCTGGCAGCTAGATTTGGACAGTCGGCATGCGTCGCAGGGGCCCGAAGTGCGAAACACCACCGAGGTTGATGTTGTTGCAACTTGATTCCCGGCATCTGCTTCGGCAGAACTGTCGCCACTCGTCGTTTCCATAGCCAAAAATTCAGTAAAGTACGATTGCGATTGGTGACGGCCGTTGACAGTAGCACTGGTGTTGGATTTATCTTTCGCTTCACCACCTTCGTGAAACGTCCGAAACAGCATGTTTTCTCCAAACAGCCGGGCGCACCGTTCGCTTGCGCGTTCCACGATACCCGCGTCCCAGCCGGTCAAGGCGGCCATGCCGACGACATCGCTCCAATCTCGTGGATTTAATCGGTCCGTGCGGGTTCGTGGTCTCGTACGGGACCTCGAAGTGCTTGAAACCACGGAGCTGGCTGAGGAGGACCGACGTGATCGGCGACCTCGCCGTTCCTCATCTTCGTCTTCGTCTTCCTCTTCCTCTTCATCCGTAGTCGTCGGTTGATCCTGGAATATCCGCGACCGTGACCGTGACCGTGACGACGTAAGTCTCCTTCCTCGAGGTTTACCCTGCGGCTTCTGAGCGTAGGCGCGTCTGGCATTGTGTAAGCCGAACAGTAGCTTGTCAAGATTCGACAAGATATGCCGCGCACTCGGGAGGAAGTATTGTCGTGCTTTCTCATCATCCGCAAGCGGCACAGGACGCCTGTGGTCTTTGTCATCGTTTTCGTCGAGTGTTCTGATCTTATCTTTCCCAGCCTCTTCCTCCACCTCATCCTCGTCAGAACCAAGTGGAGACACGGCCTGCGACGAGAACAGCGGGATCCCAGGATCATGCTGTTCCTCGTCATCAATATCACTACCAGGCTCTGCTTCCTCCGACTCTTCGGCATCTGATGCAGGCTCAACTTCAGAATCAGTGCCCTGCTGGCCAGAAGTTCCGTCTCCGTCCCGGCGCACGACATCTTTCACTTCCTGTTGGTTTTCGTCCTGCCACTCTCTAGCATACCATCTCTCACGCGCCATCTTCTGCGCAATGGCAATCAACCACCCTTCCAAATCGGCACTTGGCCGCATATCCACTACTGTTGCTGTTGCGCGCCACGCCCCTGAGACATCAACATGAGGGAGTAGTTCGTCTCTGGGCACCTGGTCTGGAGGCAGCGGCCACGCCGTCCATGACTTGGGAAGCGTGAGCCGTTGCGTCGCCTGACCGGAGTTGACAACAGCGTTGTCGTCGATGGTCGAAGCGACCGATCCCGATCCCGCTCGCTCTTTACCTTTACTGCTCAATTCTCTTCTCTTTCCGTTTCTAGTAGTCGTGCCATCCACCTCCTCCGCCTCCGCCTTTCTCTTAAGCCAAAACGCATTGAAGAGATGAACACTCAAATCCTGGCTCCTCACGCGATCTAGACTTAGTGCGACTGTCCGCTCCTGCTCGGTCCACGAGCGCCATGTGGATGCTGGGCCGAAATAGCGGTTTGGGCGGGTGAAGTAACTTGTAGCATCTTCATCGTTGTTGTCGCCGCCGCCGCCGGTTGATTGATCTAACACGGCGATTGTTCCTGTGGTAGTATGCTCTGGTCGCTGCTGTCGTGGTGGCGAAGAGGGAGCCAGTTGAGGAGGAATGGTTCGCGCCAGGTCCAGGCCCAGGTCTCCGTCTGAGTCTTCCACATAGCTCGAATCTGAGTTCATGTTGAAGAAGACAGCAAGAAATAATGGATAAGCCTGAGTTGATGCTTGTCTATCATCTGTCTCGACTGTTATCCACCGGCTTGGGTAGTGGTGTCATGTCTGTTGCGTGCGAAGACTATGTCAAGTATGGTCGCATCAACAATTGTGGAGTCTGGTGATTTTTCTCTCTTTTTATCGCGCTGACTGAGAGGACACTTCGGGCTTTTCATAATGCATATTAACTCTCGTCTTCGGGCATAATTACAGCACTCGCATTGAGGGTGAATTAGGGGAAGTGGAGTTGTTGGGTGACTGGAATGAAATGTTAAAAGTAGCCGTGGGGTTGAGAAAAGTAGTAAATTGGCCCGATTTGGCATGTGAGCCAGATCCAAGTTATACAAATGCCATATGCATAGTACCTATCTCAACAACAAGACAGATCTCATGGCTAGAAAGAATACCTGTTACTGATCACTCCACGTTCGTTCCTTACGACGGCCTACGTTGAGGTGCCTGCTGATAAAATATAGTCTACTATACGGAGATCGCCCATACAAATGAATATATCATCTTTCATCATCTTCACACAACGCCACGCCGGGTATCTTTCTTCTATCAAACTTTTCCGTTTCTCTCTCTACTCGCGCAAAAACGTCTTATATATCGGACTGTCGGTGCACTCTCGGAAGGGATAACCTATGTCCTTGAGGAAATCCTCCAGCTGGTCCTTCTCCGACTCTGGACACTGAATGCCCGCTAGAATCTTGCCCACATCTCCACCATAGTTTCGATAATGGAACAAGGTAATACTCTGACCTGGACGAAGGGTCCGCAGGAATTTGAAAAGCGCACCCGGCCGCTCGGGGAACTCAAACATATACAGCCTTTCATCTGGGACGCCCGATCGTCCGCCGGCAAGGTGTCGAATGTGGGTTTTGGCGAGTTCATCGTCCGAGACATCTGTCGCCGTCATACCTTCGGCCGCTAAACGGGAAAAGAGCGATTCCAGTTCAGTAGCTCTTGCATTCGCAGAGAAAACAGAAATACCCATCAAGACATGTGCCTTTTCAGAGCTCGAGTACCTATATCCGAACTCGGTGACTGCTTGGGGCAGAACGGCTTCGATCAATTGTGCGAACGAGCCCGGCCGTTCCGGTATTTCCACGGTCAGAAGCGCTTCTTTCTGCTCGCCGAGCGAGGCCCGTTCGGCCACGAATCGTAATCGGTCGAAGTTCATGTTGGCGCCGCTGGCAACGGCGACTAGTTCTCGACTCGCGTCTTCCGAAGGGTTCTGGGCCACCCACTTCTTCAGCCCTGCCAGCGATAAAGCGCCGGCCGGTTCCAGAACGGACCGGGTGTCCTCGAAGACATCCTTAATAGCCGCACAGATCTCATCGGTGCTGACTTGGATGACCTCGTCCACGACCTCTTGACACAGTCGGAAGGTTTCCTCACCAACCGTCTTGACGGCCGCACCGTCGGCGAATAAACCCACTTCTCGCAGCAGCACCCTCTTTCCAGCCTTGAGCGACTGAACCAGGGCGTTGGCATCTGACGCTTCCACGCCAATGATCTTCACATGCGGCGCGATTCTTTTCACGTACACGCCGATGCCAGCAATCAAACCACCGCCGCCGACACAGCAGAATATAGCTTGGAGCTTCTGCAGAGAGGCCTGTCTCAAGAGTTCCATACCAATTGTCCCTTGTCCGGCAATGACATACGGGTCGTCGAACGGCGGAATGTTGGTCAAGCCGTACTGCTTCTCCAGCATATGACAGTGTTCCTTGGCCGAGTCGAAGTCCGCACCGTGCAAAACCACGCTTCCACCCATTCGGCTCACGTTCAAATGTTTGATGGCCGGCGTACCTTGCGGCATGACAATTGTGGCAGGGATTTTGAGGTGCCGTGCCGAATAGGCCACACCCTGGGCATGGTTGCCCGCAGAACAAGCTATCACTCCTTTCCATCTCGCTTCAGGTGGGAGGTGTGCCATCTTGTTGTATGCGCCGCGCAGTTTGAAAGAGAACACTGGTAGCAGATCCTCCCGCTTGAGCAGCACCTTGCACTCAAGACGGTTGGACAGGTTGACGGCGTGAGACAGCGGACTCTCGGAAACAACATCGTAGACACGGGATGTGAGGATGAGTCGGAGGTAATCTGGGTGGCCGTTAGGCAATAAAAAGTCTCGAGGGACATCGTAGGCGGGGATATCTGCTCGTTCAGAGGGGGGTGTAGGCATGGCGGTGTACTCGGTCAATGCCAGGCCAGATGGCTTGGGTGTGGACGGGGTGGTCGTCCCATTGACTTGGGGGTCGTCAAGATCCATGGTGGACCGTATATAGCAGTGAGAGATTTGTTTGACAGGAAAGACTGAAGGTCAATAACAATGAACGTAAACGTTCATGAGTCAATGGTAGATTGTTTTAAGATGATTGAGATACAAAAAATCTTGGGGTCCCAGCACCCCGTCAGATAATAGTCAAGCCTTGTGTGGAACCTGAAGTGAGCCCAGCATCAGTGGCACCATTGGTCGATGAAGCACTAGTACAAACATGGCATAGTTGTCACGTGACTCTATCGAGCTGACTCATCAGCTTCAACCACGTGCTCGGGCTTGTATCGGGGTTGCAGACCCCGACGTGGATCGTGATTGTCTTGCTTAAGCAGCGGATCTCCTTGTACGTGGCGGCGGTGATTTCTATTGCTCGCCTCTCAAGCAATCAGGTTGTCACAGGACAATACCAACTTTCCGAGGCCGGACGGGTAGACAAATCCGCGCAGGGCAGCCACGGACAGAGAGTTCAGAAACAAAACATATTTCTACGAGAGGCAAAAACGAATCCGGTCCGCACACGAGCAAGCGAGATACCCTATCCAACCACACCACCCACCGGGTTTCCCCTGTACACGACGTCACGATTTGCTGGGGAGAAAGTCACGGACATCTAAGATCCTTACCTATCTTCCTCCATCATATCAGCCTTGTCCTTCTTGCTCGAAAAGATAGCAGCAGGTCATTCATAGGAAGGCCGGTCGTCGAGTGCTCAAGACATTTACACCTCCATCTAAGTGCATCGACCACACACATCAATCATTAAAGAGCAAGAGAGCCCCAATCCGACCACCACAATGTCGAACTCCAACCCCTTCCCACCCAGCTCTTCATCCAACGAACCATCCCCCCTCTCCAGCAGCCCCGTCCCATCGAGTTTCGACACAGAACCCGAGTTCTTCGAAGAATCCCGCTCTCAAAAGCTATGGCGCAAGCTCCGACAAGAACCCTTGATCCCGCTCGGATGCGCCGCGACCTGCTACGCGCTCTACATGGCCAGCAAGTCGATGCGCGCGGGAGACCACCACCAGACGAACCGGATGTTCCGGGCCCGAATCTACGCACAGGGATTCACGCTGTTGGCCCTGGTGGCCGGCAGCATCTTCTACAAGGACGAGCGGATCAAGCGCAAGGCCTTCGAGGCCGCTCTGGAAGAGAAGAAGAATGCCGAGAAGCGCGATCGCTGGTTGAAGGAACTTGAGGCTCGTGACCGTGAGGATCAGGAATGGAGGGCAAAGATCCAAGCCTCTACAAAGCTCGGTGCTGATCATGCTAATCTGGAAGATACGGTGGATAAAGTCAAGGATACGGTGGATAAAGCGAAAAATGTTGACAGGGAGCTCTCACAGGTTGAGGCGGAGCAGTCTCCTCCGTCCACGAACAAGAATAAATCCAGCTGGCAGTTTTGGAACAAGAGTGTGAGGGAGGAAGTCAATGCTCAGGGTTGGGGTCCGGGGTCGTGGGCGAAGCGGACTGGTGATGCGTGGAGGAGGTTCTGAAGTGTGTAACTCTACTGAACCGTCCCCGAAGATGGTCGGATTGGCATCACTGCATGGGCTCCAAAGCATGAGCATGAACAAACGAATACCATCAGAAAAAAAAAGGGTTAAAACAGCGACGCAGAAATCAATGTTGACGTCGGGTTTCAGCATCACATTACGACAGTGTCTTATTGTCTCTTCTCTCGCGTCTCTAGTGACGCCTGTATACTTGTCGAAGGAAATGAGAAAAAAAGTCCTCACTCTGTGAAGTCTAACTGTCATGATTGGCTGGCTCAAATGTGTAACTCTCCCATCCCTTTCGTCCTTTTTCACGTCTTTGTATACATTGTTGCTTTAAGAACTCCAGACGATCCCCTTTATTCTTTCGACCCAACGACCACCATGGTGATTCGACTTGGCCACTTGGCTGTGTTTTGCCTCGTGGAAAACAGAATTCCCTATTTATTCCGCGTAATGTACCTGGGCACCACAAGTCGTTCGCTGCAGTGTGTTGCTGCTAGGCAGACTAGAGCCGCTTTCCCACCCTGGCACCCAAGCACAGGAACATGACCACGGAGTTCGTTGTCTCATCGTAGAAGTTGTGTCCGGGAAAGACGTCATAGCCTTCCGAGTGATCTCTCCTCTCTCAACTTCGTCATCTGACCTGTTCGCATATAAGTATGCTCAAACACCTTTGGAAGCATTGCAATACCGACGAAACCTCTGTGCCAGTGTGACCGGGCTGCAGGCTTCTCTGGGCTCCTGTCTGCATCTTTCCATAGGTATCAAATGCAGCGTGAAGGGATTTGCCCACAGTACTGAGTGAACACCCTGAGCACCGCGACAGGGGATAGGGAGGATCTCCACCTCTGCCATGGCTGTTGTCCTATTGTAAAACACACCTGCCTGCACCCAAGAGTACCATGGTCGTGGAGATATTGCCCGCTGCCACGCCCAGGTTGTCTGCATAAATTCAGCCATCCACAAACCATTCGGTGTTAGCAACTGGCGCAGACGACCATCATATCATTGTATGATCACTCGGTCAATCAGCCAGTTAGGACGAGTGAGTGAGAACAGAACTGAGCCGTCCGCATCAGCTGCTCCACTAGCTCAGACGACTCACGACGCCCAACTCGAAACCGGATTTCCCTCGACTCCGACCGAAGTGTGTTTATCGTCTCTCTCCTCTCGTCTGACGTCGTTCCGGCCCTCCTCAACTGAATCGGCCACAGCCACACCGTTCCTTCCATCCAGCAAGAAAAGACATCATTTTAACCAGCGACTCGGCTCGACTCGACTCGACTTGGAATTAATCATGTCTAGCGCCCATGTAGTATAGTATCGCATACCACAATGACCCCACAGTCCATCAGGCCCTGTCAGGTTGATCTAGGTCGGTTCGAGGAAGAACGGACACAGAATCCTCCTCCCTTTTTCACCCCCTAGCATTTGCCGCCAACTCGTCAATATACCTCTGCATCCCATCAAACTCCGCCTTCCCCGTACTTATCAAATACCGTATCTGCGACAGGTCCTCGACATGTTTGTTACGTTCGAACTCGCCGCGGGCGTAGGCGATGGTTTCGTCCCGCGTAGGGGAGGATTTGGGAATGCGGTATGCCGCGCGCAGGATGGAGCGCCAGAGAGAGAGGGCGCGTTGGCGTTGGATGAAGTGGTCGAGGGAGAGGGGAGGAGGAGGTCTTCGAGTTTGAGTGCGTGTTGCGGCCAGAAGGACAGTGGTGGATGGACGCATTGAGGAGGAACAGATAGATTCACGTTCGCGTGAAGTTGGATGCGACACGCCTGGCAAAACCTGAGGTCGACCAAGGTAGGTGAGTTTTTGAGGTCAATTGTTCCAGGTCTGTTTAAGCGCAGTACAACGATCCAGTTCCTGAGTGGCAATAGTTGTGTACATAGTACATGAAGATAAGTATCAGCTGTGTGAGGCTCTCATGTGCCTGCGGCGTGTTTGTCAAATCCGCCAATCACATCACTGCACGCATCAGTCTCCGGCTTCAACCAATGACATCATACTGCTGAACGTTTTCCCTCCCTATATTGGCTCAGCCTTGTCCAACAATACTAGTAGTGGCGCCGTGGTGGTGTCTCCTAGATACAGCAGAAACCAAAATGTACAGCACAAACACACCTTCTGCGGAGGCACCACACGAGTCGACCAGGTTTGAGTTGCTGCCCAGCTCCTGCTGATGAGAGATTTTCTAAATAGGCCGACAACTATCCTGCGTCTCATACGACTCGTCTCGATGAGCGTGGCTTTTCGATTGCTTTGGCTACACTTTAGATATTCAAGTTGCTACTCTTACAATCTCCTCATAGTCTGTTTCTCCTACACCGATTGCAGGCCTGAACGCGACATTGGCGACACTCAAAGATGTAACTGGGCAGGGTGTGGAAGCATTCTTCACAATTGTGTCGCCCAGGGATATACCTCCAGCTCGCGTGCGTGCAGTTGTGTCTGTCCCTCAGCATCTGGGTGGCATCTGCCACTCTGGCAATCCGCCCTGGATGGTTTGGCGCCATATGCGGGACGTCACGATCGACGAGGTGATTGGCTCGTGTCAAGAGTCGGTCTTCTTGCCATTGATCACATCCACATTCTTTCCAGGGAATGCCACAAATGTAGCAAAATTGGGCACCGCATCGACACCTGTCTTGAGTCAGCCGTGATACTGCAAACACTCAATAAGCGGCGAGAAGTAGGTCTTTTTCTTCCCCAATCGACAACGACACGGGATGGTGGAAGATGGAAACCAGTAAAACTCACGTCATATGATTGCATCCCACATCAAGCTCGATCAACCGGCCACAAGAGTAGCAGCGCTGCCATCCGCTCGCTGTTGCTAGGGCAAGGGTCTCGCGAAGGGCCGAATCGTTGGGGCAATCGCCGGTATGTGCGCCAGCTTTGCAAGTGATGCAGGTTCGTGTGCCACAATCGATACACGTAGCAACATCTCCTTGATACGCTGCAGCCGGTATGAATGCAGAGCAGCTCGGGTCCGAGCAGTAGGTTCGGTCAGCGGTACTGAACTCGACTTTTGCCCGCTCGAACCTGTCCTTGATTTCTTTGGTGAGGAAGATGTGGACGTCCTGTAGCTCGAGTGGCTGCCGGCAACAGCGCGGTGGAAACAGTGACTCGTCCTTCGTGGAAAGATCAAACAGCTCTTGCAAGCAGGGCTTGCAATACCCATGTCCACAAGATGCTTCGATCACGTCAAAGTACTTTTTGTTCTCGTGGCAAGCAACGCAGCGAAGTTCAAAATTGTCTCCTTTTCCTTTCTCTCTGGTTCCTAGCCTAGAACTCCCTGCTTCTGTGGTGCTGGATTCGGACTCACTGCGGTACGCTTCGTGAAAACCATCAAATAGTTCTCGTCCGACAGCTTCAGATACATAGAGCCCGGCAAGCTTTGAAAGTAGCTTCGTGTCGATGTTCGAGTGCAGGTTGACTTCCGACGTGACGTCGGTCCCATTCAAGCGGTGTGCCAGAGTATGGTCTTCACAAGCCGTCTCCTCTTCTCGTATGACCTGTGTAATCACCCCACCATCTTTCTGTACGGCATCGGCGATGCTCCGGGTCATGAGCATATCGGAGATGACAAAGCGTGTGCTCTCCAGGTTCTGCTCCAAGAGGGATAGCGCCAATTGGGTGTCATTAAGCTCATCGCCACTGTTCTTATCTTTTGAACGATCTCGCAGGTCTTGCACATCCTCAAGTTGCAATCGGAGAATGAGGTCGGCGGTCTCCAGGTCGCAGCTGTCAAACGGAGCCTGGACTTCAGCCATTTCGACCGTGGAATGGTACAACAAAAACTTCTTGCAAGTAGAACTTTGATTGTTGAGGTTTGCAATCTCACATCATGTTCCTGATTGATTTAAGAGAGCTCCATGTCGCGGGACCTGTGGTTGGCGTGAGGTGCTGCAAGTGTCGATGACGGTGGGTCGGTGCTGGAATGCTGTAATCCGATTTCTTTGTGCCCAAATACCCCTGCAGCAACATCAGTCCAAACAGATTCTGAGTTTCAAGAATTTTTCCACCGCAAGCTAGAACCTGCAGGTAGATATCTGTCTTGTCAACGGGCCGGTGATTTCGGCCGGAGCAGCGAGGTGTTAGGGCAACCGCATCATGGACACCCGTCCTAAAGGGATGTGTTTTAGAACCAGAATCCCTACTGGCCTCAAAACACTCCCTCCTGTATCGAGCGGCACGACACCAACATTCCACACAAGCTGGAGATGCATCGCTTCGGTCACTGACCCTTGAGTTGTGATTGATAACATAGAAAGAGCACATAATGTTCAACGTCGTCGGACGGGAAAGTAAGCGTAGCTGGGAGGCAGTTGCGGAGAGGACCGGACCCTGTAGATCCGGCACCTTGCCATTGATTGTTGGGGTATAGACCAGTAATTGCTGCAGCTTGCCTCAAGGTTCGGATGTGGGCTGCCCTTGCCAGGACATGTGATCTGATCTGCCAGTGGTGTCCAGTGGTGATATGTTTCGTCTGAGCCAAATGAAGTTCAAGAGAATCCCTGGCACAAATCATCAGTATTATCGACCAACCTACAGAACAAGGGCAAGGAATACGCCGTCATGCCAGCAGCCAACTTACGTCTAAAGTCATCCGAGTACTCCAGCGCCACACTGAGCCCGAACCTGACCAGTTCCGCCATGAAGTACTGCCTTTCAGGTCGGAACTGCGCTGCCGCTGCACCCGTAAGCAAACTGTCACAACTTCAGTCAGTGGCTTTGATTCGTAGAGCTTTGGGAACGTGCACATACACCCAAAGGTAGACATAGGGTATCCCACACCAAGCAGACATGGTTTTGCCACTCAGAACTCCCTTTAAGTGCGCTATGTCTTCTCGGTTTCTGGGGTCCTCGAACGGGATTCCCTGCCTCGTAGCACGGAAGTGCATGGTTGCTGCCAGATCTGCAGCTTGTTGCACCACGTGTGGGAGCAGCGGCCCTTGCCTTGCAGCAGATGGATGGTCCAACACAGCCGAGACTGAAGTGTTGGTAGAGGCGACCGTCAGGAACGCAGCGTGACGACGGTCAATTGCTGGATAATCTGCTTCCAATGCTGACAGGTGGCGTCGGGTCGCTTCAAACGTCTCCTCGAGAAGGTCAATAAATCTGGCTGGGACTTCCAGATACAGACCTCTCAAGGCTGAAAAGTCTTCATCTAGCAACAATAGAGAGCTCCGGTAGAATTGTACTCGAGGGCCCTGTCGGGGGAAGACAAGAGTAGGAGCCTCCATCTTCACAAGCGCAGGCGTGTGCCCGGAGGAAGTGGCGGCGAGAATGAGATCACATCTAAGTTAGGTTCAAAATTGGAGCGTGTCTGAAGCAGTCGAGAATCCACTTACGCTTTTATCGACGGAGTTAGAGCATCTGCGTGTCCATGCAATGCCGTGGTGCTGGGTTGCAAGGCTAGAAGTCTGGTAAGGCCCTCGTAGTGGATGGGTACTGCCATGCCCCCGTGAACCATCTGACGAGAACAAAAGTCAGCCAGCGAACCGAGCAGTAACATTGCTATGAAAACCTGATCATTCAGCTTGAAGCACAACGGACTCACTTCGTACGACAGAACCAACATGACACATCCAATCAACTCAGCAGGCGGCCTCTGCAATGTCGAACTGACTGAACGCTGCAAATGTTCGAGTGTTTTGGCTTTGGCGCGGATGAAGTCAGGAGAATCCGCATGTATCGGCCTCATCGCCGTTGTGTGACCAAGGTGGACAAAGTTCGTAGTGAAGAGGACGAGCTCACTTGATGTATTGGCTTGGAAGCAATACCTCAGCCTAGATTTGCGTATCGTGGAGTTATGGGGGAGGAGATGTGTCAGTTCCAATGGCTGAGACAGGAAGCTGACATCTGCAAAAGCTCAGTCGAAGGCCCTACTCAATGTCAAGGACTGACTCACAGGATTCCGTGATATATAGCATTTCATGTAGTTCCTTCGGGCTCAGGGTTTCGGTATTCGTACCTCCCACGTGCCAGCCGCGCAACGGGGTCGTGGAAGGGGACAATGTCGTCCTCCAACAGCTGAGGCGATTGTGTCTGAACTGATTGGACCTGGACTCATTCGGCATTGGCGTCGAAGCAGAAGTTGTATTTGAGCGACGGGAAACGGCTCCAAAGGGTGTATAGACCTCTGCATGGTGGCCATGTTCAACGTACTCGGGAAGATCGGTCCTCTGCGCCTGCGGCTTGTCCCTTGGAAAGTTCGATCCAAGCACTGAACTTTGGGACTCAGTCTCGGATGGCCGCTCAGCTTCTGCGTATTCTGCTTGGTATCAGAAGAGGGCACATAAAGACTTGGTACGAGTTTCACACTGACTTTTTACACCCTCAAGTCTTTGTTTCCTCCGCATATTCTTCATTACCTGCGACCTCACCTGTGATTTCGTAACTGCATCCTTACCTATGCTGTGCCCTTCCGAGCCGGACACATTTATGAATGCGAGTTGGATCGACATAGAGGAACTGAAGCCGGCGAAGATCTCGTTAGGCGTTAATTTCGGGTCGCTTTGCAGAAGAGGAGCATTGTGGCAGCGGCTTCCTGGCCTTCATATAGTGGCGATATCTGGCCTACCTTAGTTGTTGTCCGGATTACTTGAGCTGAACGTTGGCACGGCATCTGTGGTCTCTGATACGTCCGTTTATATCGGACCCCAAGGGGTGAGATGCATCGGGTTGCCCGAGGCGCCTGACCAAGCTGGACCGCCGGTACCGGGAAGAAGTGAGTCGAACTCCAACGTTTTCAGCATGAACATGAATCGAGTCGCAATCAAGTACGAATAATAGATCAAAACAGAGGAAAGTGAGGATTATCGACAGAGAGGCATGCCCAGGCTAGGAAGGGGCACGGAGGTGAGAATCCCAACCTCAGCCAGATGGAAGATTGAAAAAGGAGTTCGTCGGGATTTGACCAGCATCGAAGCATGTGGTGATGACCTATATCAGTGGGCATCTCTTTCGCACAACGAGAGAAATCAGAATCAAAACTATCCCGGACATCGTCTTCTCCATATGTGGAAGTTCCACAGAGCTTCAGCCACATACTCCAGCAGTTGCGCACAGGCCTCCAGCGGGAGAGCCGTCGCGCCCGAAATCTGGGGCCGACTTCAAGACGGAAGCCATCTCAAATGGGAATTGGCAACATCACAGACAGGGACGTAGTCGAACTGGATAGACGTCGGCGATCTGCACGCAGAGATGGGCTGGTGGTACTCCATGCCCAAAATTTGGACTCTTCGGGCGAGCCATGGCCCAAGTGATGAGGGGCGTGACTGCGCCGCCGCGGTCAAGTCCACGCAGGTATTTGGCAGAGTGTTGCACCACCCAGCATCCGAAACACCAGGCGATCCAGTTGACAAGTGCGACAGTCACAAGGATCGATGCCTGACCTTGACTTTGTAGGCATTAGCCACGCACCGGCAATTGACGATCATCCTGTGGCAGCACCGGGACTGGCATTCGGTCCGTGGCCCGCTGCACAAGACCCCTTCACACAGCGCCGTCATTCCCCGGGCCTTGCTCTGGAATCATCACTGGCACTGTCTGCTGATGGATATTGCAGTGGTGCGACAAGGGCACGTTGATTGATCGATCGATTGACTTCTATAACCCCCCGCTCCGACTTGTCTCTGTTGATCTCATTCCTCTCTGATTGCGCACACAGGATCATTTACTGCTCCCTTCATGATCCTACATCACTATCTACCGATATCAACAGACAATGCCTTCCAGCGACGATTATCCCCCGCGGTCCCGGCGTGATCGTCCCCGCTACGAGGACGACGACGGTCTAAAATACCCAGGTCAACCCTACGCAGCGGACTCTCGAAGATCGGCTCCTCCTGTCTCCCGCCACCATGCTCGCTACGACGATTCCCCTGTACGAGGGGCATATGGTTCGGACGAACCCCGCCGGTTCAAGAAAGATAGAGGAGACATCGACCCACGAGACGTTGAACCCAAGACAAAGACAGCAGCCTATAGGAAAGAGAAAGACAGCGATTCTCCTCGCCGCAGAGAGTATCCAACGACAGAAAGGAAATCAAACACTGGAATCCCAAGAAGAAGGAGAAGCTTTGAAGATGACGACGATGAAGACGTCGACCCTGCGCCTCGTCATCGCCGAGATGGCGGTGTGGCTGCTTATGGCCGCTCCAAGGGATACCGCGAGCCTTTGCCCGAACCTGAGGCGATCATGAGCGACCGCGATCGAGACGCAAGGGGCGGTGGCGGTGGTAGGCACAGATCCAAAGCTGCCGCTGACTATGACGACGATGACTTCGAGCCACAGCCACCACGACGGGCCAAAACATACCGCGACCCTGATTATCGCAGTCGGCGGCGGGGAGAGGATGATGATGATTATGACGACTATCCAAAGCCCCATCGGCGGTACCGCAGCCCAGAAGATAGAGACAGACATTACTCGGACCGCGACCGGGACCGAGGATACCGATCCGACGGGCGTGATGCCAGACATAGTCGGCGAAGGGACGACGACCGTTATTACGATGACCGCAAACACCGTGGAGGCGGGGACGGCTATGCCTCAGACAGAGGATACAGGCGGTCTGATCGCGATCGAGACCGTGACCGAGATCGAGATCGAGACTATCGCGACCGCGACCGCGACCGTCGGTACTACGATTCGAGAGACAGAGACCGACACCGCGATCGAAGTCACGAGCGCAAAAAGAAGAAAGGCTTCTCCATTGACGACCTTGGGAAGGTCTACGAGCAGGGCCAGAAGCATTACAAGACTGTGGCTCCGCTTGTTAGCAGCCTGGCAAAGATGTACCTGGACAACAAGAAGTAAATCCATCCGAGCGGGTCTCAGCTATTTCTCTCCTCTCGGTGTTGAGGGCGTGATTGGATATGATGGACATTGGCTTGAAAGGCCTGAAGTCGCCAAAGAAGGACGGGGTTGGAAACTCATTTTCCACCACTCAACCAGACTCTCAATACTCAATCAACCTTTGGAATAATAAACGCGAATCATAATCCGCCACTACTAATTCTGTTTTTGATCTTTTCTTGTGTTCAGGATCCCCAATGATCCCTTCCATGTCATCTCCTCTCCTTTCCGTACAATGTCACGTCACAGTCATTGTCAATCATGCGGCCACGGTCTCAAAGCCAGTAAAGTGAGGCAAAACGGCACGAATCTCCTTGACATATTCGGGAATCCCGCCAGCGTAGTTGACCTGCTCAAAGGCCTTTCCGGGGACACTGCCGCCCATATAAGTGGAGCGGGTAGTAGGCAACAAAGTAGCATCACTAAGCTCATTGATATGCTGTTTCCACTTCTCACTGGCCTCCTTGGTAGGGTTAATATAGCGCAGACCCTTACGGTCAACGAGCTTAATGGCGTCGCGGATCCAGCGGGCCTGGACCTCGACGCTAGAGGGACCATTGGATAACAAGGTAGGTCCATGGGGACCATAGAGATGGAACATATTGGGATATCCGGAGATAGTGGTGCCGAGATAAGTGTAGGCAGCGGACTTCCATTCGTCGTGCAAGGTAGTGCCATGGATGGACGTCAAACCCATTTGTGTCATGCCGCCGGTGGTGATGTCGAAGCCTGTAGCGAGGGCGACGATGTCGAGCTCGTAATGTTTGCCATCGGTGGTCTTGATGCCTGTTTCGGTAAACTCGGCGATCTCGTTGCCAGACTTCTTGCTGATGTCGACGATGGTCACATTGTCGCTGTCCAAAACTTCATAGTAGTTCTGCTCCAGACAGGGCCGTTTGACGCCGAACGGGTGCGGTGGTTCCGCGGGAGTCAAGACCTTTTGTTTTTCTGGGTTCTTGATCCTGGCCATCTGCTTCTTGCGCCAGAAGTCGTATACGCATCGGTTCGCTGCCAAGTCGAATAGGTAGTCCTTGTGGGAGCCGAGCCATAGTCCGAACCCGGCTTGCTTCCAAAGTCGCTCGTACACGGCTTCGCGCTCCTCTGGCGAATCCTCGAATGTCGTCCGTTCCTCAAACTCGTATGTGAATCCGGCGTAGTTCTTCTCGCGCAGTTTTAGCAGGCCCTCGTATGCTGGGTACAATGCCTGCTGTTCCTCTTTGGTTAAGTCGCGCTTCCCCATCGGTAAGGCCAGGTTGGGCGTCCGTTGGAATACAGTCAGGTGTTCGACTTGGGGGCCCCATTCCTGTATGATTTGCACGCCTGATGCCCCCGTGCCAATCACCGCGACCTTCTTGCCGCGTGCGTCTACTCCTTCGCTCGGCCAGAACGATGAGTGGTGCATGATCCCTTTGAATTTGTCGAGCCCTGGAATGTCAGGTATGTACCTTTTGGCGGCGAATCCGGCCGCCACGATGAGGAATCGACACTTGGCTGCTCGGCCATCTGCGGTCTTCAAGTTCCATTTGCCTGTGTCTGTGTCGAACTTGGCGCCCGTGACCACGGTACCAAATGCACAGTCCTTGCTCAGGTCGCACACCTTGTCCAAGTGGTCAAAATAGGCCTGAAGCTCATGGTAGTCCGGGTAGTTGGTCGTCCATGTCCATGTCTTGTAGACCTCGGGGATCGAAAGCTGGTAAATCGGCACTTCGGAATCCACCCTGGCCCCTGCGATCCACTGTATCAGCTGCAGGTCCCATTTCTTAATTTGGTGACTGGCAATTCTGCCTACCTGGATATACATTCCAGCGCCATGTCCCGCCAAAGCTGTTGCCGGCTTCATAAAGGACGGTTTTGAAGCCAGCCTTGCGCATTTCGTAGAGCAGGTATGAGCCACCAAACCCGGCTCCCACGATGATCACATCGACGTCAAGATTGTCCGCATACGGACCATCTGTCCTTGGTCGTTGAGCATATTCCCACAGCTCTCGGTGCAGGATACGCTCCGGTCTCTCCTGGCTTTCGGACGGGTCTCCCATAGTGGCGAGCTGGACTTTAGTATCTCAGTTATAATGGGGAATCTTGCTGGTAACCCCAGGGATTGAGTATAGCCAGCGTCCATGGTTCATGGCTGAGGCCGTATTTATATCCAGTACTCCTCCTCCCCTCTCTTACCGGGCCATTTAGCAGCCGCCGGTGCAATGGATGTAATGGCGACTCCTCGCTTCGCTTGTCGCACCTACCGTTCCGTGAAGGACCCGAAGCTCACGAAATCTCTACTCCTCAATCAATTCGAGCGGAACCGAGCATACGATCCGATGTGATTCGACGTTGGTGCAATCAAGCCGTCGCCCCGCCTCACCCCCTCAGATTGCCAACGCCAAAATCTGGGGTATACAAGTCGGGGGTTCCTCAATAGGCAGGGATCGTTCGCCTGAATGATTGGATCGAACTCATCAGAAGGGGTGTCGTTGTGCAAGATGAATGCAAGCCGTCGGCTCTGGCCTCGGTTATCTCTTCAACCCGACCGGCAGAGCTCTCTCCTCTTCAGCCGCTTTGGCCTTCGCCTGCGATACAATGCACAAGGGTGTTGCCACTGCAGTGTCGGGCGTATTGGAGTTGTACTCAGGTATGAGCATCTCCAGCCAAGAGCATGGGCCTTAGTGTTCGTGTGAGGAACTGTGATCTTGAAATTAGATGCGAAGCACGCAGTGGGATTCAGCACCTTAGGTCGTCCGGACTGTGGGCATGTCCATCAGTCTGGCGACAGGCCGGCAGCAGGACACCAGCTGCCGTTAACCCATCTGTGTCATTGTAGAGGAAGCTCGAGTATCAGTGTCTTGCCGTTCCATGCTTTAATAGGGACGCGTACCTAGACCCATCTTGAAAAAGGTTTCGCTGTATCCAGTGCCTGATCTTGTGCATCACTCATGGCGTCGGCAGAAGCTGCGACGCTGAGGTATCGCCGCGCAATGGATTGAAACGGCTATTTAATAGAAGCGAAAAGTCGATGGCGACCACTTTCGATGCGAAATATTCGACAAAAAAGGAGTCAACGATTGCTTTCTTTTGTCGGGCTGCATGAAGATTCGGGCTCCACATTCTGATACACAATCGGCCTTCTCGCTCGACCCTCCTCATCACTACCACCATCAACTGCCAACTCCCGAACAAGGCTACAATCCAAATCGAGAGCGGAACGAGAGGCTGCCCATCGCTTGTGGCTTTGTGGTCTGTTAAGCGGGCTTCAGCCCCGGGCGACCATGCCTTGACAACACCATCACCGTCACCGCTACTACTCCTCAGTTATCGTCGTCTTCTTTGCCATCATCATCTCAATCTCTCAAGACATCTACAAAAGCCACTTCCACGTCACCAAAAATGGCCGTTCCAGAGTCAGACCCAGGAACAATCCCCTTTCCTCCGTCCTCCATCATCCACTCTCCTCCTGTCCCCATCTCCCCCTCAACATCTACCAGCAGCACAGCCTTGCACGCAAACCTTGCGTCCAAAACGATCCTCATCACCGGCGGTGCATCAGGCTTCGGTGCAACTTGTTTCCGCTCCTGGGCATCTCGCGGCGCCAACGTGATCATCGGAGACATCAACTCGACTCTGGGCACCGAACTCGTCACAACCGTCCGCAAGGAGACAGGGAACCCAAATCTGCATTTCGTTCCACTCGACGTCACCAGCTGGCCCAGTCAGGTTCAGTTCTTCCGCAAGGCTGCCCAGTTGAGTCCGCACGGGGGCATCGACTGTGTTGTAGCGAACGCGGGCGTGGCGGATGCTAATGAAAACAGAGAGTTTGAGGCACCCAGCAGAGATTATGGTAACGTCGACGACAGTATAGAAGGTGACGGCGACGCGGCCGTACCAGCACCACCCGGCCTCAGGACCCTCGACGTCAATCTGTACGGCGTCACTTACACAACCCATCTGGCCATGTGGTATCTCCCTCGCAACCCAGGAAGTGCACCCTGCGATCCGAAGGCCAGCTCAGGTTCTCGTGATCGCCATCTCTTACTGGTCTCGTCGATCGCCGGCTTGTCCGGTCTGCCTGGTCAACCTCTCTACGCGGCGGCGAAACATGGTGTTGTCGGACTATTTCGCACGTTGAGGCTTACGACCCCCATCAAGCATGGGGTTAGGGTCAACATGATTAATCCTTGTAAGTTTTGTTCCTGCGTTCTTTGGCCCACGGTCGCAGCTCCCTTCCTCGTCCGGCGGTCCTGTCCTTCTTTCCAGATCGGATTTCACGCAAATCACAAGCACATAAGGCCCATTGCAGCTGGCAGCCAGGGGTGAGTAGCCGATGCCAATACTTATTGCATTTAAGCACCGGTTCTGTTCATGTCGGGGATTTGCCCTCTGTTCCAAGTTGAGCGACAGAAAGCTATGAGCCTGGTGGCACCAGAAGTGTCAAACAGTCCAGAACACAAACTCTCATGGCCATAAACCGGGCCAACAGACCTCAAAACGAGAGACTCGAATCACCAGTAAGCCTGGATTGATAATGACAAATTAGCACTACTGGTCAGACCGAGGACTGACTGTCTTTTGCTATTTTATATTATCTACGTTTACTGATGTTGACGCTGGATCTTTGTTCCTTTTCCAGATTTCGTAGACACCCCCATCCTTGGTCCTTTGGGAGCGCTCGTCCTGGCGGGCGGCGGTATGGCCACGATCGAATCGGTCCTCGAGGCCGCGACGCGCCTGGTTGCCGACCAGAGCATCATCGGGCGTGCATTGGCTATCGGGCCCAAAGCCTCGATTGAACAGGCTCGTGCTGCGGGACTTGTGTCAGACACAGCCGAGATGGATAGGGATGGTCAGGCCATCTGGGATGTTTATGCCCATGACTTCGAGCAGTCGGATCTATTTACCAGGCGAATCATCGCTGTGACGAACCTGATCACCCGGGCTCGAGGCTGGACTGGGGTTGTGGGTGATGTTGCGGGCAAAGCCTCGTATAGGTTTTGGAAGGTTCTGGGCTATTGAAATTGGCCTTGGACAGTCACAGGAGCAGGCTGTGGCTGATAACGGAGACATGGGAAGTATCCGTTCTCTGAAAGACGGGAGCCAACCGACAATGAAAGGGGAACAAGGCTGTACATTCCGGAGAATGGAAAAGAGACCCCAAGCAAATGCTGACGATTCTAACGGCCATGACATTGGACACTTTCAGGCATCAAAACTTCATCCTCACACTGCGGGACACCATGATTTGATGTGGCTTCAACACCGGTTGGTGATTGTCGTTCGTGATCTCACCAGACAATGGGTCTGGACATGCCTGATATTGCTCTTCCTGACACATGCCCTTCATTGTTCATTGATACTTCGGCCGGGTATCAGAGGGGTGGCAGCATGACCATTTTTCAACAATGTAGACTCTGCTTTAGACGAACAAGAGTTCGTGTTAAACAGCCAGGCTTAGAATGTGCCCGGAATTTGCCAGTCCTGTACATAGTGCTGTGAAGCTTCAACTTACGTACCTCAATCCCATCATACTGGCCTTCCTTAAGACATATTCATGCCATCTTTGGACGCCCCCGCCCCCGTGAGGTTGCTCGCCGACTTTATGTCTCCATTGCCGTCGTCGTCAGCAACTCCACTGGCCCAATTGTACGGCAAATTAGTATTGCACATCCGTGTTCATAGATCCACCGTATTCACCTCGGCAAACATTCCCCGTCGGAAAAGTGCACCAAATAGTTTGTACATAGTACAAGTCTGGAATGGACGTCGTCGAAGTTGCAACTGATCGATCTCGTCGTTCATAGTCGAGCTGGACGAGCCTCAAACCTGTGACTCTCGGCTAGCTCCTCTAATACCTAAGGGAACACGACCCGTCGCCGTTGAGAGTCCCATCACCAACCCCCATCACCACAAGTGTCGGCCCCTTTTGCGCCCGCTCTCGCCAGCAGCCTCCCCTAACAGCATGTGTCGACTGCTGCGGACACGCACACGATTCCATGCATGAATCGATCAATCCATAACAAGAGCCATGTCCACGGCATGATAAGGTCGCGAAAGTTTCTGGTCCTCATCTTTCTGGTCTCGGCCATTGCCTTCACGACATTACTTCTGCGACGATCCCCGAGGCTAGAGGAGTCGGCCGCCTCGCTTTTTCATGGACACCATGCGCACGAGGAGAACCAGCCACTCCTACCGGCGAGTTCTCTGTTACATCCGATCCACCAGCTAGTCAGTGAGGCCGAGAGCGAGTTCCAAACCGTACGGGCTCGACAGTCGCGGTCCCTTCGCGATGCGGTAGCCGAGTATCGTAGGCGGTATAAGATGCCGCCACCGCCACACTTTGACAAATGGTTCGCGTTTGCGCAGAAGCGAGGAGTCGAGCTCATCGACGAATACGACACCATATACCATCAACTGCAGCCATTTTGGGCGCTGGAGCCGGCGGTGATTCGGGAGCGAACAAGAGAAGCGATAGGGTACGACAATGCGTTGATCGCCGTAACGATTCGGGATGGCAAGGTTGTGACGATGGATGGCGGTGGTGACAGGTATCAGTGGCATAGGGAGGCGACGCCCGTCATGTTGGAGAATTTCATCAAATATCTTCCGGACATGGACCTGGCGTTCAACATCCACGACGAACCGAGAGTGGTGCTTCAGAACGACGATCTCCAACATCATGTTCAGGTTGCGACAGACGAGAATATCCCCCGAGCCTACGGCAATCAAAAACTGAAGAATCAGTGGTCTCCAAGGCCGGAGGATTTGGGCGAGGGCATCCGCATCAAAGAGTACAAGACGACCCGGTTCAATCGGTACGCGCACCAAGCTACATGGAGTGATTCGCGAATGTCATGTCCTCTCGAGAGTGCTGCGCGCTATTGCCTCAACGACTCCTGTCCCGACAACACTGCGGCATACTCGGGGCTTCCATTAGGTTTCGTCCGCAACACGACCGCCTTCTCCGACATCTGTAACTCGCCGAGCATGGAAAAGTCGTTTGGCTTTTTCGACCGACCTAACGCCTTTGATGTGACGCACGACCTGTTTCCTATTTTCTCGCAGTCTAAAATCTCCAGCTTCCAGGACATTCTGTATCCTTCCCCCTGGTACTACATGGGCCGAGTGAAATACGAACCGGAAAGAGACATGCCGTGGGACGAGAAAGCTCCCACCATGTACTGGCGCGGAAGCACGACGGGCGGGTTCTCCCGCGACGGCGGTTGGAGACGTCAACATCGACAACGGTTTCTGATGAAGATCCAGCCGACAAACACTGTCAAAATTCTAGAGCTCGACAACTCTTCCAGCACCGAGACCATGTGGCGTGAGAAGGAAATCTCCGCCGCCGAACTGTCTCATTACTTCGACGTCAAGTTCACCTATATCGGCCAATGTGACCCGGGTGACTGTGACGCGCAGCGCGAGTACTTCGGCACCGTGGAGCCGGTCAACATGTTCGACGCGTTCGGGTCCAAACATTTGTTAGATATTGACGGCAATGCCTTTTCCGGTCGATACTATGCTTGGCTTCTGAGTAATAGTCTGGTGTACAAGCTGGCCGTGTTCCGTGAGTGGCATGACGAGTGGTTGAAGCCCTGGGTGCATTATGTTCCGGTCGGCTTGATTGGCGACGAGTACGCTGAGACCATGCGATACTTTGACCAGGAGGAGAGCGGCAAGGTCGAGGCTAAACGTCTTGCTTCTCAGGGTCGCGCTTGGGCCCAGAAAGTGCTGAGGAACGAGGATTTGGAGGTCTGGTATTTCAGGTTGTTGCTTGAGTAAGTTTGTCGTGACCCCTTCTTTTCGCCCATGGTCTATATCAAAAAAGAGTACTGACTGATGTGCTTTTCCTCTGCAGATACGGCCGCTTGATCGATGATAACAGGTACAATATTGGCTTCAGCCTGTGAAATGCAGCTTTTCGATCCCACTTCCAGTTTATGGGCCAGGCGATGAGGCTGGCGACCAGTGGACGAAAGGCATTACTTCGTTTGCTTCACATTGTACAGTACAGAACAGAACAGAACAGAACAGATCTTGCCTGGAATGAAAAAAAGAGAGAGACAGCAGTCCTGCCCGGTGTTGCAAGGGTTGGAATCAAATGAGACAGATAAGTGATGTACAGGTCTCATGTTCATTTCAGAAGTCATGGCCAGAGTCAGTCGGACGAAGATCAAGATCAGCTTCCCCTGCCTCCTGTTCCTTTTCCACTTGCACAGCGGTACCGTCAAGTTGAAGAGCCAGTAGTAAGATTAATGACCCTGCCTGGACTCGATTAGACTGGGCCTGACTTTGTCCTGAAACCTCCTTTGTACATACCGTATTCTTTTCCTTTCTTGTAGACTCAGTTTCTACATGTATGATACGATTGCGCAAAGTTGGGCTGGTTCTGGTGCTGGTTCAAGTCTGTACATAATAAATGCAGGGTTGTACACATATCTTATATATACCAGTATTTCTACCTGTTGGTCTGCCTGCCTACCTTATGTATAAAGGTATGTTTATGTTTCCGTTTCCACGTTTTAGCAATAAGAATATACTAATAGCCCCGTACAGACTGATTATACCTATCTGACCGTCCCATGCCGTACGTACGTGGGTGTTAGGCTGCCTTACATACAACACTGTTTAGAAATGTACAGTACTACCCCATTCGAATCCTCCACCAGGGAAACTCAAAGACTTGAACCGGCAGAGTTAAACATGGAAATCTCTGTTTCTTTCTTGGTTTGTTTGTTTGTTTGGTGTCTGGTCTATCTAAGCTCTCAAGAAGTGCAATCCGCAACCATGACTGCGACTTGCAATCGTCAATCGCAGGCCCAGACCCCGTTACACCTCCAAGACTCGTACAAAATCTCCCTAGGTTCAACGAGTTGAAGTTGAACTCACCTCCATTCGTTCCTTGTTGGGCACCCTTTTGAACACGCAGCTGTACGGTTGACCTGCCGGTGACACCCTGGTTGGCTCCCTAGGGTATCTCTGCATGACACCAACTCCTTCCCAAAAACCAGCCTCCAACTTCCACACGTCACAATTGAACGATCAGCCTCGATAGCTTTTCGGTTAGACCCCCTTTGCTGGGCACTCGCACGCGGAAGCACTACTGTCCCGTGTCCATTCTCTCGCCCATGGCAGCGGCGGCATTACCTCCGGCCGCAACTGTTGCAAAGTATCGGACGTCGACATCTTCGTCTTGCTGTAGTTTCTCTAGGTTGGGCATGATCTGTTCGTTGATGAGCTCCTGCCCCCGTGGGCTGGGTTCGACGTCGGTTTTGCCGGATTCTTCGAGTTGCTGTAGTGTGCCTTCTTCGGGAAGACGACGAAGAGTGTCAATCAGGACAGCATATGATTTGGCCACGTTGAACCGGATGTTGGGGATGGGGTCGGATACGAGTCGGTTCATCATAGGAAGAATGCTTTGACTAATGATGTCGAGGGTAAGGACGGGGGCGAGGATCTATACACCAACGTTAGTTATGACCCTTCAAAAATGCGCACCATTGCGTGTAGACGTACCGAGACGGCAAAGCATGTCGTCATTCTGTAAAGGTAATTCTCTTGCTGGCTCATAGCAGTGACCTTTGGAATGATAGCTCGGTTCGCCCACTCGACGCCAAACACCTCGGTGAGTTTCTTCAAATTTTGAGTGGCTGCCTCTCTGATAGAAAAGACAGTATCACCCAACCAACCCATGCAAAGGGAGCTGAGTTGTTCATCGAAGAATTTCATACCCAGCTGTTTAGCCAACAAGGGGATGTACTCGATGATAGCGAGACGCACACGCCACTGCTTGTCCTCTGCGAGCTGAACAATGGCAGGGAGGAGGGACTGCGAGAGCAGATCAATGCCAATAACATTGTTGACAAGTTCGAGTTTGGAAATGATGTGTAGTCGGACGTCGGGGAACTCGTCTTTCAGCATCTGCAGGAACATGGGGAGGAGGTGAGAGATTGTCTCTTCTTTGCCGAGGATGGGGGCCAAGCCGCTGAGTTGAGTCCCAAGAGCTGCTCGGACATGTTGAGATGGATCCGACACGAGGTCTTCGATGCTGGTCATGAGTTCGTTGAGCAATGTTTCGCGATCAAGCAGACTGCAGAACCCTGGGATCTGGCTAGCGATAGCCGTCCTGACTTCTGCCTCGCTATCTTTGAGGAGTTTGACAAAGGCCGGCACCAAGTCTCTTGTCACAACCTCGTCATTGACCGCTCTGGCGATCTTCTCAAACTTCTCCGCTACCATGTATCTCACCCTCCAGCTCTTGTCCTCGAACAAATTTCGTAACGCTGTGAGGAGAACACCATGACTTGGTTGTTGTTCTTTCGGAATGACCTCGGCAATCGAAATGAGAACCTCTACAGTGAGCAGTCGAACACTGTCTTGATCATCGCTGGCCAGATGTTGAAATAGAGGGATCATCTCATCAATCACGACATTCACTGGCACCACCTTGATGAACTTCGCCAGGTTGTTGGCGGCTTGACGTCGAACCATGGGTGTTTCATCGTGAACCAGGTGTCCGAATTGAGTTCGAAGAGTTTGTTGTGCTGCAGGCGACGCCTTCTTGTAAGGGGTCACGTACAGTCCCGTGGCGGAGATTTTCGACGTGAACCAGTCGGCTTTGGAGAGGCGAATGGTGAGAGGAATAAAATATTCTTCGACTTGTCGTTCGGACAACTGCTCACAGATCTTGTTGAGTGATTCGACAGCCTGTCCTGAATTAGATTTGTACAGCCTTGTATCCATTGCTCCTTCATACCTTGTCCCGCACGAGTGGTTCTTCGATGGCCGCCAAATTCTCCAAAGGTGCAAGGAGCACATGGGCGTACTCTGGGCCACCGACATATTCCACAAAGTTTCCAAGCTCTTCCGCCAGTGCGGTCAGTACTTCGTCCTCATCCTCAACGGAATCTAGATCACGGGGTCAGTGCTGATTGTGGGAGGTATGCCACCGGGCATTGCGCACCGTCCAAGAAAGGTATCAGTTCGTCTCTGGTTCTTTCGGGGCCCAAGGCAAGGGCAATTGTAGAGAGTCTATGGATGGCGTTGAGTCGGAGAAGCACATCGTCATGCTGTTCACAATATCAGTATGGGAGAAGGATTCCGCCTGTCTGCGGGGCAGGGCGTAACCTAAGTTCGTCTATCAACACGGCGATGGGATAGAGCTCATCGCCATTGTCTTGACCTTCCATCTTCAATACTTGTAAAGGCAGCGGTATAAGTCTGGTTCGTAGGAATGTCCCCGATAATGGGGTTGTTGTCAGTTGGTGGCAGTGGTCGAAAGTGTCTTGAGGGCGGGAACAATGGGGCCGAAAAGTTGTGGTCTGTAGCAAAGGTAGCCTAGTTCAGGTTCCAGTGCATATCTGGCTGCAGTGGAAGAATAGTCAGTATCGTGTAGGTGGTCGAGTGTTAATAGCCCAAGACTGGAGTTTGCGTGGTCGCATGCGGCGCGGTTCAAATTGGCTGTTGAAAGTGGATGGTGGAAGGGCAGACACAACAACTTACAACAGCCAGAAATAGAAGCCTCGCTGCGACGGATGGGCGATTTGCAGTGATCAACAACAAGGTGCCCTGCTAGTTGTATGAGATACAAGTGCTGGATACGCAGGGACTTTGATCTGAAGTGGTTCGTGGGTTGAGAAGGGGAAAGGGAAAGGTGGATGGGCCTTCAGTCAGTTCACTTCATTTGAGCTTCCGTCATAATACTGAAGAACCAACAACTGCTAGTCCTGCTGTCGATTGCCAGCCTGAGCGCAGGGTGCAGGGTGCAGGTGTGGTTCGGGGCTGCAGAATGCGAATAGTAACACGATACGGCGCAGTGCAGCCGCAGTGTGGCTTGACAGCGTGTAGGATTACTAACTACCTTACTTAGTCATCCATACTTTGAGTGCCATCTGCCAAGACTACAAGAGATGACTCTTTGCAACTTTTTGATAGTGTCTCCAGAAGACGAAGCCAGGTCCTGGGAAGTGCTAGCCTAAGCTCTGTTCGGTAATCTTACAGAGAAGGCTTTCTGAGTAGGCTGACCTCTTAGAGAAGTGCAAGTTTCCGCTCCTCCGCAGGACAATCGTCGCCAAAATGCCTACCATAACGGTGGACAAGGCTGCCCTGTTCCAGGCATTGGGCCGCGAATACACCACGGAGGAGTTCGACGAACTATGTTTCGACTTCGGAATCGAACTGGACGAAGATACTTCGCTCAGCGAGAGGCCAGTTGTGAATGGAAAGCAAGAACCGCCGCAACTGAAGATTGAAATCCCAGCCAATCGGTATGACATGCTTTGCTTTGAAGGCATTCAGCTCATGCTCAACATCTTCAACCGCAAAGTCGCCGCTCCGCAATATGTCCTGAAAGCTCCGCCGAACGGAGAGCTCCAGACTATCACAGTTACCAAGGACACGGCAAGGATACGACCGTACGTGTCGGGCGCGGTTCTGCGAAACATCAAGTTCGACCAGGAGAGATATGAATCCTTCATCGACCTTCAAGACAAGCTGCACCAAAATTTGGCCAGACAACGAACGCTTGTCTCAATTGGAACGCACGACCTCGACACAATCAAAGGTCCATTTACCTACGAAGCACTCCCGCCTAAAGACATCAAATTCGTCCCGCTCAACCAGACCCAGGAAATGAACGGGGAGGAGCTGATGGCCTTCTACGACAAGGACAAGCACTTAGGTCGCTACCTTCACATAATCCGCGACTCGCCTGTCTATCCTGTCATTTACGACTCGAACCGGAACGTATGCTCGCTGCCACCAATCATCAACGGCGATCTGAGCAAGATCACTCTCAACACCAAGAACGTCTTTATCGAGGTCACGGCCACCGATAAGACGAAACTAGAAACAGTCGTCAACATCGTGGTCACCATGTTCTCTCAATATACGTCAGAAAAATTCACCGTGGAACCCATCCAGATTGTCTCCGAGCACAACGGCGAGTCGAGACAAGTGCCTGACCTGACGCCTCGGGCCACGCAAGCCGAGGTGGACTACATCAACGCGTGCTGCGGTTTGTCACTGAGTCCTCAAGAGATCTGCGATCTCCTCACCCGCATGTCATACACTGCGCGACCATCCAAATCCGACCCGAACCTGATTGACGTTGACGTACCGCCCACTCGGGCAGACGTGTTGCATCAGGCTGATATCATGGAGGATGTGTGTATTGCATATGGGTTCAACAGGCTTCCAAGAGCTTTCCCTAGAGTAAACGCCACCATCGCCGCCCCGCTAGCCATCAACAAGCTGTCAGATATCCTGCGGCTCGAGGCTGCCATGGCCGGCTGGGCCGAAGTGTTACCGTTGATCTTGTGCTCGCATGACGAGAACTTCGGCTGGCTCAACCGCAAGGACGACGGCAAGACAGCCGTGAGACTGGCCAATCCCAAAACCGCCGAGTATCAAGTCGTGCGCACGACACTCCTTCCGGGTCTGCTGAAGACGATCCGTGAGAACAAGCACCACTCGATACCGATTAAGATCTTCGAGGTCAGTGATGTTGCGTTCAAGGACGAGTCGCTGGAACGCAAGAGCCGAAACGAACGCCACTTTGGGGCCGCCTGGTACGGCAAGACGTCGGGCTTCGAGGTGGTGCATGGCCTCCTGGACAGACTGATGGCCATGTTGAAGGCCGCGTTCATCACGCATGAAGAAGGATTGGAAATCAAGAACGGGAAGCCACATGGAATGGAATATTGGATTCAGGAACTCGATGACCCTACTTACTTCCCGGGCCATGGCGCGAGCATTCACGCCAGAATTGCCGGCAAGGATGTCCAGATTGGCACTTTCGGCATCTTGCATCCTACTGTGCTCGAAAAATTCGAGCTCAAGTATCCTGTTAGTGCCTTGGAGTTCAATGTGGAGGTCTTCTTGTGAGTTGCCAAATTGGAACGGTTAGGCACAATCAAAAAGACTCCATTGAGAGGCTCGGCTGCATCAGGATACACAACAGACAGAAAAAAAGACCGAAAACGCGTAACTAAATGCATATAGAACGTCTGATCAGACGGTGGAGGTTCTAGCTATCCTCGATACATCGGAAAGGTACGAAAGTCCATCATGGCATTGTCTTCAGAAGCGTTTGATCATGTCTGTATGCACCTTGCACCAGGGCTTTTAAGATGCCCCTTAATGGAATTCCCATTGTTCTTTTCTGGGTAGAAAAAAGCCTATGCTATGTGAATTTCGACAAAACGCCCCACGCAAGCACAGCATGAGCCCACGCTCATTCATTCTATTCCTGAGCGTAGACCTCCTCGCCGCCAGCACCGGCCTGCTCCTCGGCCACTCTGGCGTCCTGGGCCGCCTGCTGAGCAGCCAGAGCCTTGGCGCCGTAATCCTGCGACATGGGTTGCAGAATCGGTTGCTCCTCCTTCGGATCAATGATAGTAACACTGTCCGGGAGAGACTTCTGGGGACCGGCCTTGCCTTCTGGGTCGCTGCCGCGCATGATCTTGACCTTGATACCCAGGACACCTTGTCGCAGAAGAACGTGGCGAGTGGCGTGGTCGATGAACTCGTTGGCGGGTTGACCGGAGTGGATCATGAAGCCGTCCTGTTTGTATCAAATTCGTTAACAATCCTCTTTTCCTTTCTCATAGGCGGAATTCAAGCTGGTGTAATCTTACAGTGAACTTCATGCTCTTGGCTCGGGCAGCTCTGAGCTTGCCGCTGACGACAACTTCGCAACCCTTGGCGCCGCTCTCCATAATGAATCTCAGCACACCGTAGCATGCTCTTCGCACGGCCAGACCGTTCAACAGCTTGTATCGGAGGGACTCGCACTGAGCGACGGCCGAGAGACCGCGGTTCTGGACTTTGGCGGCATACAGGGAAACGCTGTTCTCGGGGAACTTGAATCGCTTCTGGATGAGGGAGGTGAGTTCGCGGATTCGTCGTCCCTGCTCGCCCAGGACTTCCTGGGTGTGTGTGGCCCGGATGACTGCAGAAGAAAGTCAGATGTCTGTCTCGTATTTCCCGACTGGTGCTGCCATACTGATATCAGTGACGGTGGGAGTGACTCGGACTTCGACACCAGAGTAGCCCTCCTCGGCCAGCTCGCGCTGGAAGAACTCGTTCAACTCGGCATAGAAGACACCGTCCGCGACGAACTTGCGCTTCTTCGAGATCGCTCCTGGCTGGGTCGTCATGTTGGCGGCTGGCTTCGGGACGGGTGTATGTCGAGGTTGATTGACGACGGTGCGATGCGCAACTTGGGAATTTCGTCTTGAGATCCGGGTTGAGAGGGGAATTCGCACCGCACACAATTTCGATGTCGCCAAGAGTTATTTTACTGTGGGCTCAACCTCATGGCACGTGATCGTCGGCGATCGTGTTCCGCCCAGTGCATTGGTACTACGGAGCATCTGCCTCATGCCGCACAACCCCGGGCGGCAACAGAGAGCAAGGAGCCTTGTGCTCGTTTACAACACATTCGTCTGAAAGCATGGAACGAGTCACTCCTGGATCATATCAATCGGCCATCAGGACGCTATTTGCCGTTCTTCTAGTAGTACTGGGGAAAAACGAAGCAATAACACTGACACTTTCGTTTTGGAGAATTATGCTTCGACGTATGAGTGAAGTTACGATGTTCATATCGCGATCGTCCGCTTCAAGTTGCTGCTGCTGTGTGTAAAGTGTGACAAGCCCTGGAAGCTCAAGGCATCAGCTCTCCGTCTGTATGCTCTTGAGAATCCGGGCCATCTCGTTGAGCTTCTTATCTCTCCAGGGGTTGGCTGAGGAAGCCGTCAATCCCTTGTGGACGGGTTGGTCGGTCTTGGTGAGCCCTGCCGTACTTGCCTCGCTTCCTCTTCCTGCTTCTTCAGGTTGGGACCATGATCGTCTCTTGTCAGGACATTACCTTCCCTTGACAGGAGCAATGGCACTATGGAGACCGCCTCGGACAGTCTCGTCTCGCTTCCAGAGTTCAAGTGGTGAAGAATTCCCCAGCATCTGACAATGACCAGCACGATGAAGTTGCTGAATCGTTGTTCTCCACAACATACCATTGCTATATTAACAATACCTGCCTAGGTACCTAGGTAGTATTGGAAATGCTGTTTGGATGGAGAGGATGTCACCACAATTTAAGTGTGTTCAGTGCTGCGGTTTCTGAATTCCCGTGTCGCGGCATAGCTTTATGACCTTGGAAGGGGGCCCTGAATGACCGTTGTCGTGTGTCTGGTGTGAGTCCGAATGCTATCCCCTGCAAGTTGTTGATCTTCTTTCTTCCCGCCCTTTCGCAAACACATAGTTCTGTGCTTAAACTCTCTTCCTGCTCCTACCTTGCACTTGTATGACATTGAGGTTATTTCTTTGTCGACCTGCACTGTATGCTGAGCATATGGACCTGGGTCGGCTGGGAAAGATTGCTTTGGAGAAAGACCTGAAGAGCTCAGGATGGCCCTGGCCGCATTGGTGTGCCTGTTGAAGTGGCTGTTGGGTAAACAATGGATTTTGCTCGTACCGTGAAGGGATAAAAGCACTGGTTAGCACGCAGACCAGATTGCTGAGCATGAGCAAATGGGACCCCAGGAGCAAGGGGATTCTCGATCCAATGCTATACCACAGCCTCTGCAAGAGACTGGGTGTCCTAATGCTCAACCTCAACTCGCCTCAAACTGTATTTCTATGTCTTGCTGGTTATGGTTCTGTCTGTCCATGTTCTGTTCCGCACTCCTACTTCCGGAGACAAATTCGCGTCAATATGAACGCAAGGCCTGTTCTGTAACGCTGCTATCACTTGTAACTGGCGTTGAGTTCCTTGGCTTGTACTAATTTGGTTTGTTGTGCTGCCTGCACTTTCGAGCCTACCAGGTATCTGCACTTGAAATCTCTTCCCTCTCTTTCATCTCTCTCCTTTCCTCCCACCACCTTTACCAACACCGTTTCCCTCAACCTTCTCTCCTTTCAACCTTCCTATCTATCTGTACCACCTCGATCATCTCTCTCATCGAGTTCTCATCCGTCTGCTGAGATGTCTGGTTGGGACAACCCTCCTCCGGGTGGGGAGAACATTCCTCCAGCCCCGGCTACAGGTACGTGCTCTTCGGTCTGCGCCGATCTCATCTTCCCATCTGGTGTAATCCGCTTCCTGCCCTTTCTTCCAGTGTCCTATCGCCGCGGCATGCGCCTCGTGTCGTGCATGCTTCTGAGTTGCCTTGAGATCGGCCTGCGCCGTGGGACGAAAGGCTTGCTCAACCTCACCTCGCCTCAGTTCAACAAAACTTCCTTACCTGTCCTTCCCAACCATACTCCTCCTTCCATAGCACCGTGCTCTAGTCTCATGCTTTTTATATCTACTTACGATGCTGGCAGATTCCATTCACTCCTTCAATACCGCCGCTTTGGCTGAAGCCATCGCCGACATTGTCCCCGCTGCTCGTAACCAGGCCGACGAGGCGGTGAAGCGAGAACGTGCGGAAGCATCTCGTCAAGCTGGATGGTGTGAGCCTATGGCTTTCAACTACGATGCCACAGCCCCTACTGCAGCCCTGAATGCAAACCCTGACGGTGATAATGGCAATGACGCTTCCGTTCCAGCTGGCTGGGCCCACAATGCGCAGAAGTACGAATGGCAGGAGGATTATGGTGACGTAGGCCCGAGACACGAAGAGCTCGAGAAAGAGTTGTTTCGTGCCGAACATATCAATCGTGCTGGTGACAAGTTCAAGAAGTACGTCCACCCTCTGTTGTCGAGCTCACATTTCCACTGACCAAGAAAACAGTCTCAAGTCCGTCACTGTCATCATTGAATCAAAGACTCGCGTCGACCCCATCAAGAGCGTCAGTATCCTCTATCTACGTGCCTAGGATAATGCTGACAATGACTTTGCAGTTCGAGGACGCTGGTCTCCATCCAGTCGTACAGGACAATATCAAGCTTTGTGGCTACGTTGATCCGACCCCTATCCAAGCCTACACCATTCCTGCCGTTCTGCAAGGACATGATATGATTGGTGTCGCTCAAACTGGTTGGTGTTTCACCATATCAAACAAATGACGGTACTAACTCTACACTAGGATCTGGAAAGACCGCTGCTTTTCTTGTCCCATGCATCTCAAAGTTGATGGGCAAAGTCAAGAAACTCGCGGCTCCACGCCCCAACATTGGTGCAGGTTTCGATCCAGCTCGTGACGGAGTCCGCGCAGAGCCCTTGATCCTCATAGTCGCACCAACCCGTGAGCTCTGCTGTCAAATCTTTGACGAGGCCCGTCGTCTCTGCTATCGTTCCATGTTGCGCCCATGTGTTGCATACGGCGGTGCTCCGGCGAGAGATCAGATCAGTCAGCTTGCTCGCGGCTGTGACTTGCTGGTCGCTACCCCTGGTCGCTTGCTCGACTTCATGAATCGTCCCAATATCCTGTCATTGTCTCGCGTCAAGTAAGGAATTTTCCAAGGTATATCCGAACATGGCTGACTTGAGACAGGTACACCATCATTGACGAGGCTGACGAGATGTTGCATGATGATTGGGAACAGGAAATGACTAAGATCATGTCTGGAGGCGGTGAGTTAATTCTATTGCATCCCTGACTCTTGAGATTATGTGGTTGCTGACGATATAGATGCTAACCTCGACGGTGACCATCGCTACCTTCTCTTCTCGGCCACCTTCCCCAAGCGTCTTCAGAAGTTGGCTTCCAAGTTCCTTGAGACTGACTATGTCCATGTCAGCATCGGCCGTACTGGTTCGGTCCACATCAACGTGAAGCAAAACGTAAGCTCACGCTCACCAAAGGGTGCTCAGATCCCGCTAACAGTGAACAGATCTTGTGGATTGATCAGGACAAGAAGAAAGAAGCTCTGTACCACTTGCTTCTCTCGATGCCTCCATCCCGCACTCTGATCTTCGTTCGATCCAAGAAGACCGCCGACTTCGTGGACGATTACCTTTTCAATCTGGCTCTGCCCTCTACTTCCATCCACTCGGACCGTACTCAGTACGAACGCGAAGATGCACTGTAAGCCAGGATCACCACAATAGATTGATACGAAGCTGACCAAGACAGGCGAGCCTTCAAGTCTGGCAAAGCTCCCATCCTGGTTGCCACCGGCGTCTCTGCTCGTGGTCTCGACGTTCGTGAGTATATTCTTTCCCGCAATATCGTGAATACCTGCTAACACAAATTCTAGGCAATGTCATGCATGTCATCAACTTCGACCTCCCAGATGTTGATCATGATGGTCGCAACGAATACGTTCATCGTATTGGTAAGCAGCAACACATTGTTGGTTTTGACTCCATAGCTAACCGATTAACAGGTCGTACTGCACGCATTGGAAATGAAGGTCTTGCTACTTCCTTTTACAACGAGAAAGACGAAGGTCTCGGACCATTCCTTACCAAGATCCTCATCGAGTGCGGTCAGCCAGTTCCAGAGTTCTTGCAGCATCACAAGCCCGAGGATGGTGTTCTCAACTTCGAGGAAGAGGAAGAACCCGAGTTGGACGACGCAGCAGCAGGAAATGAAGCCGGCGGTGATGCTTGGGGTGCAGGTGGTGAAGCCAATGCTGACGATGCCTGGGGTTCTGCCGAGGTTGTTGTTCCCACAGCAGAAGCAAACGATGCCTGGGTTCCAGACAACGACGCTCCTGTCGCAAAAGGGGGTTGGTAGGCGTCTGAGATGGGGTCGAGGGTTTCTGCTCGGCAGAACAATTGCCTGCATTGACACTGCGACACTCTCACCCGCTACCTTCTCAGCGTCTGATATCCCATCGGCATACTGGCTTGTCAGCTTGCGATTGAGGTTGTCATGGACAGCGACGAGGTTTCTGCATACCTGCTCCAAGGACGAAAGCAACGCTCGCTGCTAGGAGAACTGTGGTGGAGGATCAAGCCTTGTCCTCAGGGCTATGGTCTGCTTCTGTGGTTTGGCTTACAGCATACGGCTTGCGTCGTCTGTTTTACCAGCTTTCCCTCGGTAGGCAGAAACCAAAAAATGTAGCTCAATGAAATCCATTCAGCTACTTCACTAGCCCGTGGCATAAGGTCAAGCCATCGGCATACCAATTGTTGACTGACCGCCCTAGCCCGTACTATTACTTACTACTAGGCTTCGTAGGCGAGCACACCCGGGATTCGTACTTGTAGACGTCGCAGGTGCAGCAAGCGGCCACGTACTCAAGCAACTACAACGAAGGTAGCAGTTTGAAGCGAGCAGACCGACCAACACCGTTCCCCACGCTCCTGGTACTAGTACTCCAAGCATTAGTACCTACAACGTTGTACAGTAGTAGATAATGTGGCTGAACAGCAACTTCATTTTACTCGTCGATAGGAAGAGCCAGCCATTCGTGCCCAGCTCGCTGATTGGAGGATGTCATTGACTACCTAGGTACATGCTGGTTGACCAGGGACAGGTCTGAGGCCTTGATCTCGTGTAACCAAGCACAGAAGGTAGGTTAGGAAAGTACAGTGGGCACCTAAGGGAGGGTGGTAAACAGCGTTGGAGGGTAATTCTGAGATTCTTCCATTCCTCTTCTTATGGACGGCACAACACGGGCCTGGCGTCGCTTGCTGATGAAGCACTGCATCACAAGGGTGCCATTTGGTGCCCATGCATGGCACTGTAGTACGTTGCAGTGGCAGGCCTTACAGTCCTATGATAGTTGAGGACTTCAAAGATAACGGCAGTCAGGTCTGGACCACCACCCAGTAAAAGGACAGGCTGAGGCACGCGAACTTTAACCGTAGCTGGCAGTAGGAGCACTACTAGTTGTACACTTGCTCTGCAGACTGCAAGCTACGGACGTCTACATACGATTTGGTGCCTGCGCTGAGCCGTGTACCAGGTTGTGTAGGGCCCAATTCCAGGTAGAGGCTTCAAGCCCCTGGCGACTCGGCATGTCACCACAACCTGCGACAGCGGGACCCATACCAACCTTTTTATGGGTAAGCTTACGAACAATCTCGCCGCTAATGCTTGTTTTTCCTTCTGCCCGCGTACGTCGAATCAAGCACCAAGCATTGTATATCCGTGGCTGTGGTGTCCACAGCCTCTCGGCCGCCATGGTGGATGGAGGAGTAATAAGTTGTACAGGATCAGCCGGGATCAGGGCAGCAATCTATCCATCAAACGCCGCGACTGGCAAGCGAACGGGTGTCCATCGCAGCTTTGCCAGGTTCAGCAAAGTGGTGGCTTGAGGCGCCGGCGCCGGCAGAGATAGACAGGTCTTGTACCACCAATATCAGAGCTTCAAAAAGTCTGCCGCAGCTACTAACACACACGATCAGGCAATCACTCCGATCTCGACTCCATCCGCGAAGCCTTTAGAGCCCTCGCTCGGCCCCTGACGGGCCACATGCCCACACCCTTTGACGGAGGAGGCTGACGCCAATGTCGGGCCCATCCCACGGCGCACCAGCCAGATTTTTATCTTTCCTTCTGCCAGTCTCAGCCAATCCTTGACCCGGCTGCCCATTTGATTCCCCTCTTCTGGAGTTCTCAATCCTGGCCTCTTGCCGTTGCAAGATGCTGTCATACCTCTGCACAAACCACTCCGCTGAGGGTCCCTTGAGGTCCATTCCGACTCCCGAAGGACCCCCAGGGCTGAAAAGAATTGATTCCTGATCACCGACCCTGCTGGTGTCCTCAGGCAACCTCTTATACCCATCGTTTCAGATCTTCCGCTTCTTCCTCTCCCATCTACGCGGCCTGCATACCAAATTGCGGCGAATTTGGCCTCGGCCACCAGTTGTAACCCCCAGGCTAACCCGCACCGTCACATGCCGCTCCACGAAGTCGACGAGAAACTGTCCTTTTACTGTACCTGCGTCAAGAGGGTCGTTCGCTATCGAAAGTGGCGTTGAAGCATTAGCCCGAGTGTGAAATCAATTCTACTATTCGCACAAGCTCGGCCATTGAAGTGCAGACTTGCGCGCTCCAGGCACCATGGCTGCACACACCGACGCCGCAACTGTGCCTATCAACAATGAGCACCTCCACCGGCACAGTACCGGAGCGGTGGAAATTCAAGATGCAAACGGAAGACGAAGAACGGTTCAGTTGGAGGAACTGAGTGCTGCCGATAGAGCTCTTGCCGAGCAATTTGGCTACAAGCCCGTATGTGCAATGTTTCTTTCTGTGAGTACTGACAACGATGCTGATAAAGTGCACTGTAGGTCTTTAAGCGTGAGTTTGGATATCTGTCGACCTTCTCCTTTGCCGTCAGTATCTCCGGTCTCTTTGCGACCACTACGACCACTTTCATCTACCCTCTCGAGGCGGGTGGTGCCGCCTCCGTGGTCTGGTGCTGGCTCATTTCCGGAGCCGGCTGTATGTGTATTGCATGCTCGGTCGCCGAACTTGTCTCTGCCTATCCCACCTGTGGAGGGTTGTACTATACTGTTTCCCGATTGGCTCCCAAACCGTGGGTTCCGTCTATCAGCTGGGTGACGGGCTGGATCAACCTTCTGGGACAAGTCGCCGGCATTGCATCGTCCGAGTATGGTTCGGCCCAGATTCTGCTCGCCGCCGTGTCGATCGGCCGAGATTTCCAATGGTTCCCAACCACCAACCAGACAGTCGGAGTCATGGCGGCATTGACCGTTCTGAACGGGTTTGTCAATTCTCTCTCGACATACTGGATGGAGAAAATGACCAAGACCTATGTCATTTTCCATTTTGCCGTGCTACTGTCTTGTGCTATTGCTCTGCTGGCTAAGACGGACAACAAACATGACGCAACTTACGTCTTCACTCATGTCGAGGCCAATGCAGGTTGGAGTCCGGTTGGGTGGTCTTTTCTGTTTGGCTTTTTGTCCGTTTCCTGGACCATGACCGACTACGATGCCACAGCACACATCACGGAAGAGTGAGTGGATACGAGTTCTCTTTCTTGGTAGACAACTGCTGACTATGACCAGAATCAACGAGCCGGAAATCAAAGCACCGTGGGCTATTTCGATGGCCATGCTTTTCACCTACGTGTTGGGATGGCTGTTCAACATCGTCCTCTGCTTCTGCATGGGTGACCCCCTCGAGATCCTCGATTCTCCCATCTATCAACCAGTGGCCCAGATCTTCTACAACTCGCTCGGCAAGGGAGGCGGCATATTCTTCACCGTTGCAGCCTTTATCATCTTGCAGTTCGTCTGCTTCACGGCCACACAAGCATTGGCACGAACCGTGTTCGCCTTCTCTCGCGATCGTCTGGTTCCGTTTTCGCATGTTTGGACCAAGATCAATCGGTTTACCGGCACACCACTGTATGCTGTATGGTTCAGCGTGTTCTGGTGTATCGCCATCAACCTGATTGCTCTCGGTTCTTACATTGCCATTGCCGGTGTGTTCAATGTCTGCGCCATCGCTCTCGACTGGTCCTACATCATCCCTATTGTCTGCAAGATGGCTTTTGGCAAATTTACGCCAGGCCCCTGGCATATGGGCAAATTTTCGATTTTTGTCAATGCCTGGGCCTGTATCTGGACCACCTTTGTCACCATCATCTTCGTCATGCCGACCATCAGACCCGTGACTGCAGACAACATGAACTACGCCATTGTGTTTTTGGTCTTCATTCTGTTTTGCGCCTTGGTCTACTGGTGGATTCGTGGCAAGAAATTCTACACGGGTCCCGTCATCGAAGCTGAGGTTCATGAGGATGAAATGGCCAGTTCATCTTCGGCGTCTCAGGAGAAGAGAGACAACAATGAGCTTCGTCAGAGAGGGGTGGATGCCGCTTAGGCTCGGCTCAACTCAACTGATGACCGAGAAAGGATAGGGACTGTGGAGAGGGTTCTGTGAACATGGAGGTGAGGACCCATGTTGACGTCGCCGGAAGTTGTGGAGGAAGTTGTGGGATGCATTTCGTTGAGTTTGGGAGGAGGATTTCTGACAGTTTATCTTTGCGCAATATATGTGACCGCTTTTTGCCCCAACGCGACCTTGCTTGGCATGTCTTGTAGACTCTGGATTCCTGACGGACACGTAGACTTGAACGCCCGTAGACATCGATAGGTGGGTAGAGCAACAATAGTAGGAAAATGTAGCAGAATGCGTGACGCCTTTCAGATTTGTCGACGCAACATCGCAAGAACCGTGTTCAGCTCAGCCTGAAACTGGAACAGAATGTAAGGAAATGAATCTTCTCGCAGTCCGATCCAGTCCAGATCGATATACGAGGATCGGTTCCTATCGAAATTCACCTTCTGAATTTTGCATCTGAATCTCAAGCTGGGCCTTTCCTGACAGGAAGGGAAGAATATGAGCATTTCTTCGCATGCCGGGCGTGTGCCACCGTCTTTCTAGCCAGTGTTGATCGTTTGGTTCTTGTTTTGGCAGAGCCGTCCAACAGCCTAGAGACACGAAATCGAATCATCGTTCTCTTGAATATCCGGATATCAATATAACCGAGAACATGTCGAAAACACGCATATATAGCATATCGGCCCCTACGCATATCATGCCAGTCGTGTCCCGATCGATGCTTTTTTTCTCTCAATCTTGTCCAGCGGCGACGACGACTGTATCGTCGCTGGTTGCTGCCACTGTCTGTCGTCGAAAAGTGATATCGATGTTGCCGTCTCGTCGCTCACGGAAGGAACCGAAGGTGTCATCTAATTTCATCTCCCTCCTTCCAATCTGGTCTGGTTACACTTGTCAAGCCATGAACCCAGATGGACAGAGAGCGCGAGACCACTGCAAGTGCAAATATTTCGTTGGTTGTTGCTGGTGCTGCCGCCGCTGTTACCGTTATTGTTGTATACCCCCGCCAGCAGCATGTTGTGTTATTCACCCGTTTCCTTCCTTTCTCTCTTCATATATCTCTCCCACCACCAGCAGAACCCAACTTCTTCATAAACACCTTCCTCTCAACCTCCCTCGTCTTTTCCTTTTCCTCCATTTCGCGTTCAATTTCCCTCGTTTTCGTCTCTCGCTCCTCGAGTTTCTGCTTGATCAGTGCGGCAGTTTCGTTTGTTAGTCGTTCGATTTCTTTTCTTTTCTCCTCTTTTCTTCCTCCTTCAGTGCCACTAGTAGTCCCAATTGTATTAATTTCTTCCCTCAATTTCTCAAATCCATATTTTTCCAATTCGTACGCAGAAAATGGTCGTAGTGTGATTGGATGCAGAATATCGGATCCGTTGCTGCCGCCGGCGCCAGCGACTGAAGTGTTGTCTAAAGTATTGTTCAAAGTGTTGTTGTCTGGTGCTGGGGCTGGCATCTTTATACTAGGTAGAGATGGATGGATTGGTGTAGTTCGAAGAGGTGAGTCGAGAGGGACTGGGGCTGGCACGACGACCGTATCTGTGTTCGTGTCGGTACCACCACTATCACCAACACCATCACCGGACGAAGCGGGAGCCGAAACCGAAGCCATAGTATTATTATTAGTTGTATCCGTCGTCGTCGTGGCCGGCGCCGTTGAATTGGACTGCCTCAGTCCGGTTGAACCGGTCACTGATTCGGGTTGTTGATCGACCTTTGGCACATCTGAGGCTGGTATTGGCCCTTCGGCAGTGGCCGCCTGTCCCAGCGACGCTGCTGCGTTGGGCTCGCCTTCTGCCATACAGAACAGATTGCCTCCGGGTGCCCGCCGCGGAAAGTCGGATCAATGTCGCGATATGTTTTGATGAGTGACGAAGTACTACATATTGGGAACTTATGGTTCACCGTATTATTGACAAGGTGGTCTAGATCTCCGAATTGCGCAATTTGACGAGCAGTTCAACAAGCCAAACTTAAGGGGAGCGGTGTCTCGATCAGAAGGCGTCCTGTTAAAGACGGGAAAAGGTGCGCAAGTTTTACAGGTACTGTCTAGCTATGTAAAGACGTAGAGTCTGCATCAAGACTGTGTGAGCGCCTTCTCGTGTTAGACTTTCAACAGCACGAACTGGCCGACGCCAGGGACTCCATTAGCGACGACATGCACGACGTATGGTCCGGGCGCAAGTTTGATCCCTCGAGGCATGTCTACTTCGACTCTCTTGCGGCCATTTCCAACATCAACCCAGCCTCTTGGGTCGAGATAGACCATCATCTGCCCCATGTGCAGGGAATGTGTGACGAATCCGCCCCCATAAAGGATGACTTCCAACGTCAACAGCTCCTTGTCTTGAAAGTCAAATTCGAGAATGAAACTTGTGTTCATGCGAAGTTCGGTAGTCGATAGCGTGATATTCCTCGGTCTTTTCGATGCGTTGTCTCCCCTCAGATATGGAGGCGTGTATATCTCCACTCGGTATTCGGTAGGAAATGCTTGGAACGGGTTGCGACGGTCGACCTGATCCTCCAAAAGCGGCTGCTCGTTTGGATTGCTCCCTGCGACTAATACGGTGCCATCCAGTAGCATCAACGCAACAGAGTGATATAGCCTGGCGATCGTTGTCTGGCCAGAAACGGTCCACGCATCCCTTCTGGGGTCATAAATCAGAGCCTCCAAGGCAGGGGTTGTGGCTAGTCCGAATCCTTGCGCTCCTGATTGACATCCATTGATCCATAGCACGGTTCCGTCGAGAAGAAGAACACCTTCAACCATACCCCGAGGTTGCGGCATTGAAGTCATTTGCCAATTAGGATTCCCGCTTGTTGGTCTGATTCTCCCGCAAGACGCATCGCATAGACTGTTGATTGCCTGCATCTGGCCACCACCACAGATCATGATTTCCGGCTCATACAGGTTCTCTTTTCGTAATGGAAGCATCACGCTTCCACCGGTGTTGGGGTAAGTTCTGTGCATTCCAGGCATGGGAGGCATTTTGCTGAGGGTGCGATTGGCAGCCACATCAAAAGTTTCCGATGCATTGTCCGCAAAGATGAAGAGGTCACCATTCGGTAAGAGGTGAAGGAAGGGGTACATCTAGTACGGCATGTGGTCGACCAGGATATCCATGCGGATGTTCCGCCCGTTACTGATTCCCTCGGCATCCAGTATCTCGTAGGTTGGGTTATTGTTGCTGTGGTTGAGCACGTCCAAAGCGTTCAAACTGCCGGCAGCAACAAACACTTTCCCATCGGCCAAAGTCTGCGCCGAGGCATACCATCTCTTTGAGGATAGTTTGTTCCCAGGTTCACTCCAAAGGTTGTCGCCCTGCCCTGCTCTAAGGTAACGGATGGCATCGAAGCCGTCGCCGACAGTCGGGTCGAGGTCTGGTAGCGGACCATTTCCTCCGACTGTAATCAGTCTCCCGTCGGCAAGAAATGTGCCGCCGCAGCAAAAGGCATTTGTCGATACAGACAGAGGGCTCAGTTGACCTGTCTCAGGGTCGTAGACTGACGAGTACGCCGAGCGCTGGTTTGGTAGATGTAGCTCGGAATAGTTCTCAACTTTGTCGAGAAAGACAACCTTTCCTGATGGTGGTAGTAATGCAGCGTGCATCGCCGCGACACCGGATCGAGTAGAGACCCGAAAGTGATCCAGATCCAAATCCACATCCACAGCAGCGCCGCTTGACACTCCTGTTACAGGAGTAAGAATTAGATACAGAGCATACAGCAGGAAGAATAGCTCCATAATGCATGTTTGACGGTTGATGCTTGTGCCCTGCAGCTCGTGTCTGGTTTGACGTCGTGATTGACCGATCTCAGGTGTTTTTGCGATGGAGTATGTTCTCGCATGTGTTGTTGGAAGGAGGCATCCATATGCGGTGAAAGCAGGAGCGGCAGGTTGGGTTGGCTTCAAACTTCGGGCCGCCGCGGCGCAATAACCCAACAGCCTCCAGCATCATGCCATCAGTCGCTGACGGTGTCTTGTTGTTTGATTACACTTGCCGGTGAATTGAAGTTCGGTGGTTCTCCAAGCGCCACGTACTCCAGAAGCCTGCCATATTTCCAACTCGGTCTTTGGTGACTTCGACAATGTTTCTCTGGGACCGTTTTGGGCCTCCCGATTCGTCACCTCCTCTGCCAAACCCATCATGGACCACGATCATCGTGTCGAACGCCATGTCCAATGTCCTTGATAGAGTCTCATTCCCACAGACCAGCCTCAAACATTCTCCAATTGGACTAGTGAAGGCAGTCTCGAGCTCTATGCCTGCTAGATATCTCTTCGACTTGGGCACATCCTGTCTTCTTTCTCCGAGACTTTGGAAAGTAGTGTCCACAGCGGCCTCAATCATAATGAGGACATCAGGGGCCATCCGGGAAAGTTGAGTAATATTGCGCAGCAGTGATGCAAGGAGTGCATTGGCCTGGACGAGCCCACTACGACGATGGACTGTCGAGATGGCAGAGCTAAGACCCTGCACCAACATTATATTTCTGACCTTCCCATTCGAACCTGCTTTCTCCTTGCTCTGGTTGGTTTGAAATATCCTTTCACTGACCTCGGCCACACTCTCAGTAAGCCCGGTAAAATCAAAGTACTGCAGCAACTGAACGTCCTTGAGGAGTTCAATCGCGCTGGCAGAGTCATGGAGTTGTTCAGCCAATACCGCATGGAGAAAAGGAATAGTCTGGTATGTATGAGGGACCACCACATAAATGGTGGACATTGTTGGAGCATTCGTAAGTGTCATATCTGCACGAGGTTCGCGAAGATCAAGTTGAAGCCAGGCGTGATTCTTAAGCAGCGCCGCCGCAACAACTTGCAGCGTCAGTAAAGCCTGCATACATCGGCAGGTCAGCGGTGCAAGTCCTGCGTGCCGCTGAGGCGAGACTATTTCTGGATCGAGGGAAGGGGATGCCTGCCGTCACCTTTTCTTGGCCTATATCCTCTTCATTCAGATCTGCTGTTCCAACACCTACCACTCTACCAGCACTCCAGATAGCGCAGAAATCATCATGGAGACCAGAGACACGGACCCCCTGAAGTCTTAGCCGTGGCGATGAGGAACTGGGCTGGATTGGCTCCAAGTATTGTCGCTCAAGTTTGAGCAGTGTTGACGCCTTGACAGGATCGACCCAGGACGAAGAATCGGACCCCATCATTGCAGCGCACAGCGGAACGCCCAGCCTGCGGATATAGCTCACTCAGAACGCGGGAAGCTGCTTATCCAGTGTACGTGGACCAAAGCAGGGTCCTGGAGACGTGACGGCAAATCTCGCCGCTCTAATCTAACCATCCTAAAGAGGTAAGGCTCCACCCTCGGACATTACGAATTCCCGGCGAGGCTGAACTCCTAATTTCTACAGCGCTCGGGGAATACGCGCACCCGAAGTGGATGGCCAGCCTGTGTCATGGTATCCCAGTAAGGTAGTATCACAATATAGACTGGGTTCATGGGAAGGTCATGGTGATTTCTGGACGGGGCTCAAATACAATCATAAGCCCTAAGTATGCTGACTTCCTGTCCGAGGTTGTCTTGTGCCCTGTCCTACCTTCATCTCGGTCTCAATCCATGATACAACGGACCCGACTATTTGAAGACCTACGAAGAGGCTCTCCTCCATAACATGTCAGTGGCGACGCCTATTCAAGAGCATACAGGCACCGCTAAGCCACAGCGGGTGCTTGCGTGCGTATTATGCCAGCAGCGCAAGGTCAAGTGCGACCGCAAATTCCCTTGCGTGAATTGTGTCCGGGCTGGAGTGCAGTGCGTGCCAGCGACACTTGTCCCTCGTCAGCGCCGGCGGAGGTTTGCTGAGCGAGAACTGTTGGAACGGCTGCGGCAATACGAGGACCTACTTCGTCACAACAACATCAAATTCGAGCCTTTACACCGCTCTGAGACAGCCGAGCTAGCCTCACCCAGTGAGGAAGGCGGACAGCCCAAGACTCCTGACGATACGCATCGTGAACGGAACGATCCAAAATCAGACCGCTTACCAAGGCAGAAGGCAGATGCTAAGCGTCTTAAGACAGTGTACGAAGGCGTCATCCCCATCATATTGAACGAAACGATGGGTTGGCTAATCCTCTTACAGAAACCTCTGGCGTGCGATGAGTCAAAATGTGAGCCCCGATCTCCCAGTCTATCCCCGGCTTCGCTAATCATTGAGCAAAGCAACTATCTCAGTCATCCGGTGAAGATGATCAAGATGACGAAGATGACGCTGGTTTCCTACAGCATATGGATGACCTACGTGAGGCCGTGATCAAGAAGGCTTGGGATCAGACGTGCATGAGCGACAACCACAACCAACTTCTGTTCGGGACAGCCAGGCTCGATGTTGATCTATCCACATTTCATCCCGAACAAGCGCAAATCTTCCGGCTTTGGCAAATTTACCTCGACAACATCAATCCGCTGCTCAAAGTCACGCACACCCCGACCTTACAAGCACGCATCATCGACGCCGCGACCAATATTACTGGGATCAGTTCTGTCACGAGTGCACTCCTCTTCAGTATCTATTGCACCGCCATCTTGAGTCTTGCTGAGGACGAATGTCAGACCTTGTTCAACTCGCCCAAGAAGGATATCATGCTACGGTATCAGTTCGCATGTCAACAAGCTCTACTACAATCTAAATTTCTGGGCACCAAGGATCGGGACTGTCTGACAGCTTTATATCTCTATCTTGTAAGCTGCCTTATCCCTCAGAACCATAACCCCGCCCTTCATACCTGCTGGATGGCCATATATCTGATTATCTCTCTTAGATATGCGTCAGACATGAAGCAGATCCACGGTCGCTGTCGTCCATGCTCGGCGTCGCCATCCGTATTGCACAACGGATGGGCATTCACGACGAGGCCTACAACAAGAAACACAAGGTCCTCGAAGCCGAGATGCGCCGAAGGCTATGGTGGTCGCTGGTAATTTTCGACAGCCGTGTCTGTGAGATAGTCGATCACAGGACTGCCACAACCTTAGGTCCCAGTTGGGACTGCAGACTTCCTCTGAACGTGAACGACTTTGAACTCCGTCCGGAGATGAAAAGTCCGCCAGCAGCTCAACCTGGTGGAAGACCGACCGAGGCGATCTTCGTCGTAGTACGCAGTGAGCTGGCCGACTTTGTCCGCCACAGTTCCTTCCACCTGGACCTCACCACTCCGTCTCTAAAGGGCATTGCCAAGGAGACCTCATACGGCACTGTGCCATTGGACGGTGACGATCTTCTTGCACTGGAAAAGACCCTTGAGGACCGTCACCTCGCATTTTGCAGCCCAGACGACCCCGTCCACTATTTGACAATCTGGATGACGAGAGGCTACCTTGCGAGAACCCGTCTCCTCGAGCACTATTCAAGGCACTACTTGGCCTGGACAGGACCGCAGGCCAATGTGCAGCGCAACATTGCCGTGTCATATGCGCTGACCATGCTGGAATGCGATACCAAGCTGGCGTCGTCGCCTCTCACACAGCGGTTTCTTTGGCTCATTCATTTCCACTTCCCGTTTCCAGCGTACATCCACGTTCTCCAGGATCTCAAGAAACGACCTGCCGAGGACCACGCCGAAAAAGCGTGGGAGATAATGAGCGACAACTACGAAACTCGCAGCACTCATGCTCCCAAACGCAACGACCGGCCATTTTTCATCATCTTCGCTCGCCTCGTTCTTCAGGCTTGGGAGGCTCGAGAAGCGCTGTACACGCACGACCAACAACAGCAGCAACAACTGTCATCACCCTTAAGAAATCCGCCCCGGATCGTCACGGCCATCCAGAAAAAGATGTCTGAGATAGCCGCCAACTTCTTGTCCCAGCAGAGCAGTAGTGACTTCAGCGATAATCCCGGGCTCCAGCTCAACCCCGACGGCACGGTTTCTTTTCTCGATAACGACCAACCTCTACCGTCAACCATGGACCCCTCAGACCTTGCAGTCCATGGTCTTGGTCCTGGCAGTCAGGCGCACCATGAGTTTTTGTATGGCAGTTGTGGCATCCTGGACCCGGGCTCTTCCTCAAATTCCTCGGGCTTTGGATCGTTTGACTACCTCGATATGTCGGGGCAGCCTGGACTGGCAGACTGTGAAATGTCCCACCAGTTCGAGTGGAATAGCCTGGATTATGCCCCGATTCCGTTTCGTCCGACTGATAAGTGAGTAATTACCCAGGTGCAGACTTGCGCATAAAATACAATCTTGTGTTATAGTACGCGGACCAAGCAAGGAATTGGAGTATTTTCATATACTTGAACTGTCTACACTTTTCAGACATCCCATCAACAGTTCGGTTCGGTTAGGTCTATCTTGCAGAACATTTGCAGGGCAGAACAGACCAGGACAAAGCAACCGACCTTCTCCTGCCAACCTTCAAGCGTACATGCAGTATTTTAGACAATAAAAAAAGACAGACACCCTGCAGCAATCTATAACCACTATGTACCTAGGTACAGTAGAATAGACGCTTGAGCTCAAAACTGAACGCCATGCTTCTGTAGAGAGTAAGGCAGCATCGAGAAATTAACAAAATCATCAATCAATCAATCAATCAATTTCACTCGGCCCAGAGACCCAGAAGTGGTGGAACACGAAGCGCAGGGCTTCTGCTCTGCTTGCTTCTTCCTTACACACACATACACAACATGTCAACATAATATACAAACGACAGAAGGTGACAACAACCAGAACCAGTTCAGAAAGTGGCAGAAGCATACATGCACCTGCGGACCAGGGCCTTTCGGAGTAAGTGAAAAGTGAAAGTTGTACAGTACTCACTCAACACCGCTAGGCTACCCTAACCGCATCAATAAGGCGGCCGGATCAAGCGACTTCCACGACTCGCTTTACCAATCTCGGTGTCCTTGGTGGCGGTCGCTCCCGGAGTGCGCGACGACGGGACAGCAATCCCAGCCAACAACGAGTCCAAGTCAAACTTTTCCCCTGCTCCTCCGGGCGCAGACGAAGCCAAGGATGCCATGCCAACACTTCTCCTACTGGTTGGCCGCGAGCTTCTGCGTGAACTGCGTTTTCCTCTTTCCCTTTCCCTGTCTTTGTCCCTGTCTTTCTCTTTTTCCCTTTCGTTGTTGTCTCGAGACTGGCCTCGACTCCTGCTCCTGCTTGTCTTTCGTGACCGATTGGGGCTGGTGGTATCGCGATGGTTCACAGCCGATGCCGCCGTGGTAGTGGTAGACTCAATCTTCTCCTGTTGTGATGACTGTTCGGCCTGTCGAGCCTCCCGCGGCCATGTGCCAGGAAGGTTGAGGGTCGAAGGAATCTTGGGCACGGGCGGAATGTCGCCATCGCCGCCGCCGCCTGCAGTGACTTGATGGTAGAACGTGGTACCCCCTGATGAATTAGGCGCAGGCGCACCATTTTCCGAATTTGCTGCTGCGGCTGCTGTTCTTCCCTCGGTGGTCCCGAAGTTGTTGTCTGAGTTTGAGGAGGTTTGCGGGCGATCAATGTCTCTTCCACGACCCGCTGCGTCTGTCGTATTAAATGTCCCCGTTGACCGCACATCGATGACAGAAGGGTTGCGGTCGTCGGCTTCATCCCAGCTCACCATACTACTTGTAGCGCTGCTTCTGGTACTTCTTCGTGAGCCGGCAATGGCTTTTCTGAGCGGGCTCTGCTGTCTCGTATTACCCGCGGCGTAACTTGAAAGAACCCTCTTCAGGTCGCTTACTCTCATGGTAGAGTCTCGACTCGAAGTAGTAGGCTCAGGCTCTCTGGCCGGTGACCCACTGGCGCTAGGTCGCTTTGCCCTCGTCAAGCTCCCCAGTCCACTAACTAGCCCGAAGACTGGTGTTGTGCTACCATTGGCATTGACGGGCGATTCTTGGCCACTGGCAGACCCCTGCCTGCGGGCACCGTTGATGTTGAGATGATTTCTGGGGAGCGACGAGGCCCCAGTCCTTGAACCTGTCATCGACGCCGCGCTTTCCTTCTCCGCGGCGGCTATACAGGCTTCCCTGCTCCAAGAGGATTTCATCTCATCTTTGATTTTCTGCGGTAGGCGGGCCTCCCTCGACGGCTTTTGTGCCGGCGCAGTCCCATAGCCGTAGCCAAAGCCCAATGTAGGCACGGAAAAGACGCGACCAGGTGAAGAAGGCGGAGAGGCGGGTGGAGTGAGGAGGGAATTGTCGTATGAAGTTGCAATCTCCTCGACCAGCGGCGACACTGACAAGAAAGGCTTGATTGTTTCGACTGCTTCCTCGACATAGTCGGCGCTCTTTTCGTTAGCCACTTGCGGCATTTGCCGGATTTCAGCGACAGGCAGAGCCGGAAACTTGACCTTGTCAAACCAAACACCATACCGTTTGCGCCGGGAGATCTCTGCATTGATCTCATGGCCAACACTGCTGGTCTCGATATCGAACTTTTCCGCAATGGTCCACAGGTATCCATGAACGAGAGTGGCGACATTGACCCTTCCTGCAGCAGACATGTCTTCCCCATTGAGAACGGTTTCTTGGAGGGTGAGTATCATTGGAAGGCCACTTCTGATGGCATTCACCCCAAGGCGCTCGACAAGCTTGGTCAACAGCAGATACAGGAGGAGGAGGTTGGCTTCATCCTCGACATCATCCAGGATACTGTCGTAAACGGCGAGATGTAGAAGGGCGAGAAAGCTTGACCGTGCTGGCTTGGGCTCCTTGCGGGATGCCCCAGAGATGGCTCTCTTCGCCAAGTTGACTTCTGCTGGAGGTTGTGTGGTGTCCTTCTTACCATGTGAAGGCTGCCTGGAACCGTCTCTAGGCAGGAGGGTGTCAGTCTTGTTTGTTTCCAGATGAAGCCAGGTCACAAGCGCGTCCACATAGGCCATCCTAACGTCCTTCTCTTCGTCCTTGAGAAGCCACTGAGTCCCCTCCCATACCTGTACTCCTACACGAGCGCGTGCTTCAATGGCGCCACTTGTGCTGTTGCGCCTGTTGTTGGCACGGACTAGTATTTGCTTGATGACTTGCATCGCGGTGAGTCTGGCGGTGTGGAACGAAAAGAACGCCGATGCATTGGGGTCTTCGTGGATACTGCCTGATTCTGCTATGGCCCTTGCTGCTGCAGCAGGATCGTTTATAGCTGCCGCAGACGTTGGAACATCCGACTGTGGAGATGGTTTCAAGCGCGCTAAGATTGCTGTGAGCATGTCTGAGATTTGGTCGGTATAGTAGATATGGTTGGAAAGCGAGGCAACACAGTCCTGAAGTTTGAGCAACAGCCTTTGTCTTGTCGGCGATGCAATCAGTTCGGCTTTGGAGGAAGTGCGGCTCGTTTCGGTGTCCGCGAGAACCGTAGATGGATCAAAGGCTTCTTTGGCCTCTCGAAACAATCCAATCGTGTCAGGGCGTTGTGGTGTGATAACGTGGGTGTTGGCGCTGCCGAGTTGAAGCAGGAGCAGCATATGGTGGATGAGACCTAGTAGGACATCCATAACACTCAACCCAATCAGGTTGACATTTGAACTCAGAAGCCAGTCGATCATGGTCGCAAGGACGAGTTGTTTTTCGAGCAAGCCTTCCGTGATAGGGCTCCGTACGAGAGTTTCCATCGCCGTCACCACGATGATAAACCGATCCTGCACAGGTGTCCACCGTGCGATGGCCTCGAATAGGGAGGTAGCCCATGTGCCCTCGCCGTCGTTTTCTGTAGTGAGGGATGCGGAGCTCTTCGAAGCAATGAACTTCAAGGTTAGGGCAGTGGCCAGCCGAGTCTGGCCTCGAGTGCTGCCGATCCCAGCGGAGAATATCTGCTTCAGGCATCTCAAAGCCAGTGCTCGAACCTCCTCCTCCGCAACCTTGTCGGCACCAGCCGTGGTCTCTACGGCCGTAGCTGGGTCTCCATCGGCCGTGTCTACCGTGGCAACGGTCGTGAGACTGGTACGCCTCCGCCTAGCCAGCTCGTCATCTAGCCTCTCGCTCGTGTTTGCCCGTTGTTGTAGCGTAGCTAGGATGTTTTCTTCCTCCAACGACATATTCTCCAGAATGACCGGTATCACTGTATTCAGCTGACGTGCGGACTCGGTCGCGAGGGCTTCCGAAGCCACCACCGCTCGGATCGCGCGCAGACCAATCGTCCGCCATCTTATCGAAAGCGGTATCGAGTTCCCAGCCTTACTGTCCGCCAGATTGGATTTTGCGGCGTAGCCAGCGTAGAGTTGCACGATCGATAGGTATTGTTGGGCGCGTTGTTGGTCGGCATTGAAAGATGCGGCGTCCACATGTCTGCAATAGGCTTCAAACGTAGGTATGGTGTCTTCCACCATGTTCACATCTTTAGATCGTAAAATGGAGTCCAGGACGGTCAGGACAGACCGCGAGTATAGGGAGAGATCGCGCGGCGCCTTCTCGATTATGGCACTGAGGATCTGGAGAGTGACCTGGACATTTCTGTACACGCAGGCATTAGTAGATGTTCAACCAGCAAAAAAGGCCAACATTCATACCCAAGCTTTCCTTTCCAGACATCACTGGCATTCTTCTTCTCCAGAAATGCTCCAACCTTCTGGAGCTTGTGTCGTCGCGTACTCGCGTAGTATAGGAGATAGCTGAGTTCGGACGAGTTGGGCTTGACTTCTTGGACGGTCTTTTGGTATTTTGGATAACATTTCAGAACCAGTACTTGGTGCTTAGGCCGACATTTTTGGCTCGCGCTATGAATGGGATGAAGAAGAGAACTCATGGTGGCTGAGGTACAGGCGGGTTGTCGACCGCGCCGTCATAAGGCAATGGCTATACTTGAGGCAGGCGTCGTCGCAACATGATCGTTCAAGGCACCATAACGCGTCTTTGGCAAAGACTCGAGGGGAAAAGCGCGGGGGACGAGCGGTGGGACAAATGGCCTGTACAAAGCGCCGTGGCACGTTCTTTGCTGGTAGGATTAATGGACGTGGGATCTTCTGGTCGCTGAATGACGAGTGACATGCGGTACTTGGAGTAGTCGTCGGGTGCCGTGGATTATGAGCTCCAGGTGATTCAGCTCAGTACTTGTTGAGAAATGTCTGGCGTGTTGAACTGGCAGTGCTGCTGTCAACTTGAATCTCGTGCAAAGTCCATATGGTGGCAGCGTAAAGCACAGCCAGGTACATACGTATGCCTTTGCGACAGCTGTTGATCAGGCCGGCGCGGTGGAGTCCTAAAGTATTGTATAATAAATGCACCGGGAACTTGCACTGGGTCCTCCAACAAGTCCGCAACCTCCGGCGACGCCGCCTGGAATCACGTGACTCGCATGATTATGTAATTGCCTATCAAGTCGTGCGCTGCATGAGAGAGCATCATGATATAGACCATGTTCTGCTCCTGTACTACGTACGAGGCCCCTACTCGGCCGCGATGAAAGGATAAACTAAGTTGAAGTCGGTCTCACCTTTTTTCCTGCGGCGAAACTAAACAATTCAGTCTTCAAGTCCCAGTCTCAAAACCTCGAGATGTCTCTCCCGAACCACTTGACAGCCAGCCACTGCATCGGTACAAGAAACTTGTTCCTCCAACTCAGAGTCATGGTGAGATAAGCGCCGCGCCAAAGCAAGAAAGCAATCCAGCCTTTCAGGCCCTTGGCCATGCCCTCGCGATCGGTGTTAGGTCCTTGCAGCACAGCATTGGCCCCTCCCACGTAGGTGAAAACGCCGAGATTCCTAAATGTGAAGCCAGGGGTGCAAGCGAACGATTCAGGGTCCGGATGCTTATTGAGTGCATTTCCCAGCCATAGGGCTTCTTGGTTAGCCACCTGCGCTGTGGCCGGAAGAGCACCGGTCATCAATTTTGTGGTGTCGCCGACCGCAAAGACGTCTTTCATGTATGCTTTGGGGACAAAATCTTCGGGCTCGCCGTCGGTAGCCTGAGCGGCAAGATTGACGCGAAAGTGGTCGTCTACGAGGATAGACCCGGAGCGACTATCCCGTTGGATCGTCCACTGACGCTGAGTGGGATCTGCCACTTTCCCTTGGTAGATGTGAGCCGAGTTGGAAGGAAACCGTTGCACATGGCTGAGGGCCTTTGCCACGAAAGGATTGGCCATCAGCCCTGTACTCCAGACGCACATTCCAATGCCGACATCGCCTTCTTCTTTCGTTCGTATGGTGTACACGCGACTGGGCATTTGTTTGTCCTGATTCTTGGCCGCCTCTGGATCATTCGGGAACCCTTTCCGTAGCTCCTCCACATGATGTGAGGTTTTGATCTCGACGTTCTGCCGTCGATACTGCTTGACTGCATAGTCTGCTAGTGCGGCGTCGAACATCGGCAAGACCTTTGGCGCAACATCGTAGAGGCTGATCCGGATGTATTTGAGGAGTTCGGGATGAATGCGTGATATGTCTTCCCTGATCAGATCGGATAGACAGGCCGCGAATTCCATGCCTGTCGGACCACCGCCGACAATGGCGAAGTGGAGCAGATATCTCTTTGCCTCTTCCGGTACAATGGGCAACCGTGCAAGTTCGAACAGCTCCAAGATCCTCCGCCGGATGGCCACCGCATCTCCGACATCCTTCAGGAAGTACGCATTCTCCCGCACACCTTTGGTGTTAAACGTCTGGCTGTACGTACCGACTGCAATGATCAACTTGTCGTAGCTGACGGGGAATGTCGGCGCCTGTTGTTTCCCCGTTCCGCCCAGTTTCACATCCTTCTCAATGAATCCCTCAGGGAGGGCATACCCGTATGGATTGGACTGTTGTTCACTTGGTTGACGCGGTCCGGTCAAGGCATGACCTACGTCTGGGTCCAACACGGAGGGCTCAACCGTGACAGTCTTGTCGGCGAAGTTGAGGTCGTCAGCCCATCCTTGGATGTACTCCACTCTTCTGTTTCTCTTCCTCACTGACTCGAGCACATTCCGAAACTCAAGAGTGCCGACACAGGTATCGTTGAGTAGAGGAGTGAATACAAAGTATGACCGCGGCGAGATGACCACTATGCGATACTTGTTTGGATCCAGTCTGCGTGACAGAACGAACCCTGTCCGTATATATTAGTAGGGTCCTGTTAAAGTAGTCTGGTGACAACAAACCTGCCCAACCACTTCCCAAGATAACCACCTTTTCTCGCCCATCGCCGTCCTTGGAGTCTTTGGCAGTTGTCACAGGCGTTGCGTACCAACGACGGGGAGGGAAGGCTCGTGCCCGGAGTTGTCGCTGGCGGCGGCAGGCTTTGCAGACCGTCCCAAGCTGAGGCTGCCACTTCAAGTTTGGCATCACGGCGGCACGCGTAGGCATCGCTTCAGTCAGTCCATATACCTCAGGCGCCAGCACCACAAAGCCAGCAATATTACAATGTTGTAGTAGCAGATGGAAGTTAGAGGTACCAGAGCGTCAAGTGGTCCAGTACCCGCCGGCTACCTGCGTATCTGATGGATCCTTAACATGTTGCTTGCTCATCCCGCTAGGAAAAACATCCTCAGGCTCAGGGCAGAATGCCGTCGTGGAATTGCGCACGATCCACTGGCACGGCCAGCGGCGTGAACGCAGGTTTGCGTCATTTCCGGTGATGCGTCCCGGCCTTGTGGCATTGAACTCAGGGAGTGGATTCCGGAAGGTCAGGAAGATGGATACCTCAGATGTGGCCGAGATACAACCAAGCAGCCACTCAGCGAACGCAAAGTTCCATATCGCCGCTACTCAAAAACTTCCTTCTCCTACCGTTCGTCCGGCAAATCAAACCATCCCAGAAAATATCGCAGGGGGACGGAGGACCCATATCTTCTTCACGTCTACTTTTGTACAGCAACGACCTTGTGATGAATGTCAAGATAGGAGAAAGGGGCGATTGGGATAATCATAGTACGAGATTATCGCCGTAGTCGTGCTTTGAACTGTGTAACAACAGGGTCAACTTGAAGGCTCCAAAGTCTTCTCGCATCATCATCATTTCCTGGACGGACCGTGGCCCGTTCCACGCCTAGTAGCAATCCTATCTTGGATGTACGTACAAACCACATTGGCCGCCTTTGCTTTGCCGTGGTCAACATGATTCCCTTTGCTTCTTGCGCTCCAGACTCAGAAAATCTCATCAGGCCGCAGCTGCGCCTCGCCAACCTTTCGCCCAAACTTGAAATGGAAACCCCAATTGCATGGTCCAGGATACCCGGCAATTTCTGCCAACCTGTTCGCCAAATCCAAATACCAACGCCGTGCTATCATGCAACGCTTGCAGTGAACGAGTGACAGCCGAGTCGAGGCGAAATGTACAATCGACCGGCCATGGGATGTTATATTCATGAAGAAAAGATCCAACGGAGGCGTTCTGGTCAGCTCTCCGACTTTTGCCATGAGTTGAGGTAGGCCATTAGGCCAACACCTATCAGGACCACCCCAAGCATTGAGACATATGGAGCCGACTGAGTGAGTGAATCTCCATTGCTACCCCTATCCTTCAACACAGTAGCAACCGCGCGCTCGATGTGATCAGGTAATCTGGGCGCCCTCACATGGCCGTTGCTATGTGCTGGCCACTTGATGGTCGAAGCCGAGTCGGATTGACGCTCGTCAACTTCATCCATCGCAGTATCTCTCTCGTTTTCAACTGGTGATCGTTGACGTCCGAACTTGCTGACAGAGTGATCTTCTTTCTGGTTTTCTTCTCGTAGCTTGTTAATCATCTCTGCCAGGCTCTTCCTTGCATCCGCGGCGTCTGCTTCAGCAGTCTCGGCCCGGCGTTTGAAACTGTCCATGTCTGTCCTTAACTTTTGCATCTCTCCCAGCACTTGGTCCAGATCTTGTTGAAGACTTCTTGCCCTTTCATCCGCCCCGTAGTCTTCCTCGCGGGTCCTGTTCTGGTCCAATGGTGTTATTACGAGGTCTGTGTCTTCGACGGGTTCAGATTGCTCCTGTACCACTGAAATCGGTCGCGAGGCTGCATGTTGCTCCAGTCGACGGGCTCTCTCTTCGGCGTCCTCTCTAGCTGAGCGTTCTTGTTTTAGCATATCCTCCAGCTGTTTAACCTTGGCTCCTTGAGAATCCAGTTCTTTCTTCGCGATGGATAACGCTTCAATCAAAGATAGCATCTGGCTGTTGTGAGGATTTGTCGGTGATTGAGACGTGGTATTGCTTGGCTTAGCAGTTTCGGTTCTTTTTAGTAGGTGCGTAAATGATGTCGTGACTGGACTTGCTTTGGCGCTGTCCGGCTTTTCAGGCAAGGGTTGCTGCGGCGGTGGCGCAGGCGGATCAGCGAAGCGGGCGACATGGTCTATCTTCGACCCTTTGGTTCGCCCATTTGATTGTTTCTGGGAACTGGTTTCTTTGGACAGTGACGGAGGCTGCGAATGCTCGCCTCCGCTGGTCAAGATTGAGTTCAAGAAAGAACCTGCTTGATCCAGTTCTTCTGCCTGTTGCTTTGCTGTGCGCATCTCAGTCTATAGATGGTCCGTCAGCTTGCACAGTTAAGGTAGGCTGTCCGCCACTTACCGATAGTGTCTTAACCAGCTGCTCAACATTCAACGGCGATCCCCAGAAATTCAGTTGCCGTTGTTGAGCAGCCGAGCTTATCTGACTTCCGGCCACACTTGAAGGGGTCGATGCCCGCCCATTCATAACGGGGCCGCCAGGGCGACTGCGCGAATGTATCATAGGTGAACTCACAGGCGACGGGAGCAACGACCCGCCGTGGGAAGGGTCGAGATCACCAAAACTGAGGTCCAGAACGTTGTTTGAACTCCCAGGAAGGCCGACATATTCCACCTTTGCGGACACTTTGTGATGCACAATGGTCTTCTGATCTTCACTCACGATATCAATCCCCAGCTCCAGAGTATCGTGCTGACGAAGCTCATGCGGCTCGGACTCCCGGTTTTCTGGAGAAAGTCGCTGCCCGTTCACAAATGTTCCGTTGGATGATTTCACGTCTCTGATCCAGACCTTCCCGTTCCGATCAGCCCACACTTCTGCATGTTGCCGTGACAGCACTTTTGAGTCGAAGTACCCATTCACAGGGGTTGGCATAGTCTTTGCATTGGTTTGCCGCCCAATTCGCAGCACTTCCGGGTAAAAAGGCAGACTTATTTGTTTTCTTTCAAAAGTGCCATTCATGGGTAATAATGCCAATATGGCGCCGGGTTCGCCAGCAGATTGCCCATTCACGACTCTGGATCCGTTGGCAGAGCCTGTGGGACTCTGACCCGGTAACGCAAGCGGAATTGAACTTTTTCCCCCGATGAGTGAGTTGCCAATAGCTGTCTGAAGTGATCCATTTGCACGGGCGTTTGACACGCTGGCCGTAGATTCGGACTTGGAAACGGGCCAGAAGCCTCCTCTTGCTTTCTTTTTTCCTGCCTGGCCTGCCTCGCTGGGGGCATCGTTCTGAGAGAGCGTAACCGTTGAGCTGGATGAACTGGTGGAGGAGAGGGAGGAAGAAGAATTGCTCCTGTGAACAGTTTTGCGCTGTGGCAGGAACATCCGAGACACTTCGTCAGTGCTCATTGCCGAAAACCCTCCGCCGGTACTACCGATACCATTCCAATTAAGTTTAGAAATATTTTGAAAGTTAGGAGGTGTTGCCACAGCAGTCGTCATCGAGGCGTCGTCAATGTAGAGCAGGGCTGCAAAGTCTCCTACGGAGGAGGGCTGGTAGTCGTCCTCAAAGACAAGGTCCGAACAATGTATGACTAGTGAGTGTTCTCCAGAAGAGTAAGGACAGCCCGCCGACGATTCGTAACTCCGTCATGTGTCGAACTTTGGATCCGAAGGGGCTTCCGGTCTATGGGGCCATGTGTCAGTGAACTTGAGTCCTCTTACAGGGAACAATTAAATTTGCAGGCTGCGGATGGCCTCCAGGTTGGTTCAAAAACATACAAGCACAGTTAGGGACTGACGGTGAGATGAAGACTCCGCGGACAAGAGGATTGCTCGCGTGCAATGATCAGGTCAGCGGGGGTATGGTGAGGAGGTCTTGGAGCTGGCCGCAGTGGTGCAGGCGTAACGGGACAGGTAGACACGAAAGGGACTCTTCATGGAGGAGTCTTGATCCAGAACAGTAGGCAAGTTGATAACGGTGTCTGAGTTCTGCCGGATCGTGTTGACAACTCCTTCGAGGGTGCGACTCGTGGATTCAGATCAAGTCGGTCCAAATTGACGCTGGGAGCACTGCGCGGGCCGTCGGGAATGGTTTAGCGTCTGCCAAGTGGCTGTAGCGAGCAGAATTGCATGTGTCTGACGCAATACTTGCAGCTGTTCTCATGCGTTTGTTGTTGTCAGACTGTCAAGCTTTTAACGTTGTATACCTAGGTAACTTTAGCAGTAAGTGGAGGTCATGCCTTTGTACTCCTGGGCAAGTCAGCCGACCGCAGGCAGCACGTGATTGTGATTTTGGGCACGGCACTGCCATACTGCACCTGGTCTCTGTACAGATACTCAGCACATTGGATCATAGTCAATAACAATACCAGGACGAACTGCGTCGACCTCTAGCAAACCTTACCGGATGCAATTTTGACATCCAGGGTCGAAGTGCATCATGAGGTGGTATGGGCTTCTGGTCGTGCTCTCATATGTCCTCCTTCCAGCGAGCGCCATCTTCGCAGACGATGCATTCCATGTAGACTATCACCATGCCCTCCTCGGAAGCCCTCAAGCGCACGCTACCTTCTTCCACAAGCCTCAGACCTCTACGAATGCTTCTCTTCTATACACCATCTCGGATAAAGGTGTGCTGGGGGCTGTGAACCCTAAAGACGGTTCTTTACTCTGGCGCCAATCACTCGCAGGCCGTCCAGTTGATAATGCGTCCACTTCATTCCTGGTAGCCGGGGAAAGAGATGGTCAAATTATCAGTGGTTATGATAGAACTGTTTCCTGTTGGGATGCACTGAATGGACGTCTCATCTGGGATTACAACGTTACTGAAGGGAGCACGATCCGAGGGTTGCAGGCGATTCCTGTCGCAGGGTCAGGCCCAAGCGGCCTTCCTCAGGACGTTCTTGTTCTGGCTTATCCTGAGCAACCCGCCGCTCACGCAACTCTGACCCGGCTCGCTGGTGACGGCAGCGGAGTCAAATGGCAGCATGAAGATTCCAGTCTCTCACCCGGTTCCTCTGCTTCAATCGCGACATCTTTGCAGCACGTCTACTACATCACCAAGTCTCATGGCTTGCTCGCAAGTAACAAGGCCAAGGTTGTCACGTTGAATGGCGCCACTGGCCATGAGGTGGGACAGCACAGTGTCGCTGTCGACTCAGAACCATTAGGGGATGGTGGTCACTACTCAATGGGGTCTTGGTCCGCGTCCCCCTGCTTGGTATCCGCCGACAGCTCCTCCAAGTCGCTTAGATTCAGCTTTCTGGAAAGTCCGAAGGTTGCGACCCTTGCACTCGACGACAAAGGTGAAGATGTGGAGAGTATAACAGTGCATCATGCCCTCGGTCGGGATGCTCTGACACACTTCCTCGTTCATGTCAGAGGAAAGACGCGCGAATGGGCGGAAGTCTACCACGTGGACCCCACGTCCGGAGAAGTCTCGAGAGCCTATGTTTTACCAGCCACTGAAGAGAAAAGTGCCTTCGCCGCAACCAGTAGCGGCTCAACTGTGTATTTCACGCGCAGCACAGAGTCCGAAGTTATTCTGTATTCGTCTGAATCCCATGGGCAACTAGGTCGATGGAGGAAGACGAAATCCAGCGGCATTTCAGGCAGCTATCCAGTCCATGCTGTCGCCGAAGTTGTGAGCAAGGGAGACGTTGCCTTTGCTCTCCGTCTTGCCGAGGTATCAACAAGTGGTGATTGGTCCTTGATCCGCAATGGGGAGCTACAGTGGACCAGGGCGGAAATGCTGGCATATGCAAAGATTGCAGCATGGGGGGAAGACGAAGGTCCGGACCATTTGGTCGAAGAGCTCGACCTTGAGTCCTCGGTTAATCCTTTGACGGCCTATACAAACAGGATCAAGCGCCATCTCACTGATCTCATGAACTTGCCCGCTTACCTGCAAAGTCTACCACAGACCATTTTGAACTCAACCCCTGATTCGGACAATGCTGCTCGCAGAAATCTTGTTGGGAGCAAAACAGTCATTGTGGGAACTGTGCGAAAAGAGTTGCTTGCCCTCGATGTTACCAACTCTGGCGTCCTCAAGTGGCAAACGGATCTCTCCAAGCATATGGAAAACAATGCCGAGATGAAATCCATCATTGTGGATGAGGGACGGGCTCGCATTTATCTCTCAGATGGCGCTCTAATCATCGTCAATGCTTCCGACGGAAGAGTTCTCGAACATCACGCCGGGAAGTTCCCTATTTCGAACCTGGTTAGAATACCTGGAACACCTGCACCAGCAGTAATCGAGGTCGAAGCAGACGGTGCACCCCGGCTTGCAGAGATCTCTAGTTCCATACAGCCCCTGGAAGGCAGCACTGTGGTAACAATCAGTGATGATGGCACGGCTTCAGGCTGGACCATCGGCCAGGGAGTCGAAAAGACTTGGATGCTCGCCCCGCGGAATGGGATGAAGTTCGTGAATGCTGTAGCTCGAGCAGAGCATGACCCGGTGGCATCAATCGGCAAGGTCCTAGGTGACCGATCCGTCCTATACAAGTATCTGTCCCCGAACCTGGCGTTGCTAATTGCCGAGTCTCATTCCGATCTAACGGTCTACTTGGTTGACGCTGTTACTGGAGCCATTCTCCACACCGCAACACATCAAGGCCTGGTGCCGGGGACTGACATTCCTGCCGTCATTTCCGAAAACTGGTACGCTTATGCCTTTACCAGTCAAGACCCGATCAACGGAGGAATTGCCACGCAGATTGTGATATCTGAGCTCTACGAGTCGTCAACTCCCAACGATCGAGGACCTTTAGGTTCACGAACGAATTTCTCCGAGTTTTCAATCGATGCAGGGGTTCGACCGCATGTCATCTCGCAAGCTTATACCGTCGCCGAGCCAATCTCCAATCTGGCTGTTTCGCAGACCGCACAAGGCATCACCACGCGACAAGTGCTAGCGACGCTACCAAACTCAAATGCAATTGTTGGTATCCCCCGTGAAGTACTGGATGCTCGTAGACCAGTGGATCGGGAGCCGAATGTCACGGAACGAGAAGAGGGCTTGCTGCGGTATTCCCCAAATATTGAGCTGGATCCTAGAGCCTTCCTAACACATTCGCGGGAAGTGCTCGGAATCCAGAGAGTCATGGCATCGCCGAGTTTGCTGGAAAGTACCAGCATTATTTTTGCCTTTGGGCACGATGTGTTTGGCACACAGATTGCGCCCAGTATGGCATTCGACGTGCTCGGAAAAGGATTCAACAAATTTCAGCTTGTTCTCACCGTGGTGGCTCTGTTTGCCGGGGTACTGGCTCTCCGACCTCTGGCACGGAAAAAGACAGTGGAGGCGAGGTGGAAGCAATAAAAGCTGGATGGAGTTCGGCCTGTGCATGGGATGGAAACAGCTCGACTGCATGCATGATTTGAATGATGACTTGGGCGGGGATGTGCATGGTTTTTTCACTGACCCCGAATACCCCCGTTGAGATGGCAAAATAGAACCCGTTGTGCTGCGTACCACGGCGAGATCTATTGTTGCTGTAGTGCCGCGTACAACATTGTACAATACTGGATAGTCCTGATGAGTTGATAAGGTACCTTGCTCTCAAGGGCCAATGCTGTACAATGTAACTGTTGCCCTTTTAGTAGCCGGCCGACTGCTCCTCTGCTCCTTTGGCTTCGGTGGCTTTCATCCGTCCGAGTCGTTGCCTAAATCACGTATGGGCTTATTGGATATCACCTTCAGCCACATTGCTCGGCACCAGGAACAGCCCTGTCGCTGAGTCTGGAGGTGACCTTTGTTCTGCTCCGCTGTGCGCCCAGCATTTTCGTTGATGCTTTCAAGTTCCGTCCATTCGCTCTCCTTCAGCCACTGCAGGGCAAGTGTCATCCTGCAGACGCGGCGGGAAGTCTCATCTCATTAGCACTCAATCCCTCAAGCAGCTGTTGCGACCGGCTACTAGAGAAAGCGGGTTAAAGTCGGTTCGCGTTGGAGACCGAACACACAGTACTGCTAAGTAGTATCCCTGCGGGGCCTGCTAGTAGCACGTCCCTGTCCTGTCCCTCTCCGCTCCCCGGATTCTGAAAATCGTATCGCAGATCTCGAACCCACGGCTCCATCTTCCTCGTCTTCCTCTCACCGCGCACTTCAGCCGGTTTCCATCCATCTCTTCTTCCTCTGCTTCCCATCCGTTTTCCAGCCATGTGAGCACTCCTACGGTCGGCGGCGCCATGATCCCCCAGACGCCTTCTCTGACTGTCCCGCCTGACAGTTCGGCTCAGCAACTTCTTCGCCTAGGCAAACCTTTCGTTGAATTCCCGAGGTTCAGCATCCTCGAGCTGCAGGACGAGAAAGACATCGACGGCCAGCCGCTGCCCTTTTCGGAATGGCTTACCAAACGTCTACAGCTCGGCCAGCCTTTCGTGATCGCAGATTTTGACAAGCTAGATACCTGGCCGAAGACCGATCCACACGACGGGAGTCGCCCCGGCTTTGGCATTGAGAGGTTGATCGAGCTGAGCACCAAGAAAAATATACCTATCCGCAATTGCAGCACAGGACGAGACCTATCCTTTACACTCAAAAAGTTTGCCGACAGCGCAAGGCAGTCTTACCCTGAATTCCAGAATTTGTATGCCCGGGATCTGCAGTGTCCGCAAGAATGGCTGGAACAATGTCGCAAAATTCTACCAACCGAGTTGCAATGGGGTGGTCGCTTGGACCTGTTCCAGTGGCTGCCTCAATGCGCGAGGAGCGAGGTCATGATGGCCTATGTTGGGAGTGAAGGCAGCAGCTCGGGATTTCATCGATGCTTCTCAAGTACGGTTGCCCTCAACCTTCTCGTGGAGTCGGACGACCGCCCGGTGGTCTGTATCGGGACCGACTTTGACTCACAGAAGAAGTATGATTCTTTCATGGCCGCTCGGGGTGTATCACCTCACTTGGATTGGCTCAATCTGGGGACGGAAGAGCTACTGAAAGCCGACTTTCCCCTCTATGCCTACGATCAGCGCGTCGGCGACCTTGTCGTCTTTCCCCCAGCGACGGCTCATCAAGTCTGGAACCCGTCCACACTATCGGCCAAACTGGTCTGGAACATTCTCCACCCGCTATCTCTCGAGGTGGGCTTCGAATATGTTCAAGCCCCCTTCAACCGTCTATGTCATCCCGACGTTGCTCGGACCAACCTTTCTTTAGCATGTGCCATGTTATCCCTACTACAAGACCACCAGAATGTCACAAACGCGTCTTTACCACTACCTCCTGACCTCCCTTTGCTCTCGCGGCTGTTCCGACAGATGGTCCACGATGAATCTATCGAAGCTCAGCCGGCAACCCCGATTAGTCTTGTGCCGATCCAGACCGGAACCATCGCAACGTGCAACTTCTGCAGCACCGCCATATGGAATCGACACGTGCGGTGTACGCAATGCGCTGATTTCGATCTCTGTCTGCTCTGTTACTTGAACGGCCGATCCTGCGAGCATTTGCAATCATATGCCTGGGCCGAGCTTATACCCGCTGAGCTGTGTACCAGAGTACTGAACCGCGCCCGAGAGATCCTCGGGTTTCAGCCAGAAGAGCCGCGTGCTTTGGACCGCCGGAAAACACTGGGGACGGCAGTGAATGAACTCATGCGGGCCAAAACCTCGCCCACGATGAGACTATGCCATCTGTGTCGAATCGAGCACCAGGAATTCAAAGGTCGTCGATGCGACAAGTGCACCGCCTTCTTTTGCTATCGGGGTCTGTTCCGTCACTTTGACAAGTATCCGCCAGATGTTCTACGGCACAAGGGCAGCTGGGTGTGCCCCAAGTGCGAGGAAACTTGCAACTGCCGCTGCTGCCACTTCGCTACAGCATACGTGAAGAGTGAGAAGCCGGCAAGCAAACGCAGAGTCAAAGCCTGTGATCCCAGGGGCAAACAGATGGGCTTTGCAGACAACGTTTTCGATCAGAAGCGGGGACGTCGCGAGAGTCATCCAAATGGGACCACAAGCACGACATGTTTACCAGGCTTGGCCACTATTACGGGTAAAAAACGAACCATATCTTCCTCCGCCGAACCTGGACCTGCCACCCCATTGAGGAGGATTGAGTTGCCTACTCCAGAACCGGATAAGTCATTGAACGGCAAGTTAGGCGTCTCCCGTGACAAGTCGGAGCTCTTGACTGAGACGCCATTTGCGGGAATCAATGGTACATTGCCCACGCTTTTGCCTAGCATGAAGAGCTTCACGGACGGTACAGATCTCCACGGGGTACACATTGATGAGAGACACACCAGGGTGAGTGCATCTCCAGGCATGGCGTCGCTTGCATCAACGGCTGTGACGAGAGGGCACTTGCAGTCAACGCCCAGTTACAGTGAGGACAACACGCTACCGCCGATGCTTGGGCACAGCACACCCAATAGTAGATTTCTGCCGCAGCACAGTTCCAGGGGCATCCTGGCCACTCCGGGACCTACTTCAATGGCATCCCCCTCCAAGTCCGCGGACCCCGGAGACTCCAAGGCTCCTGCTGCGGCTCTCGATGCTTCGATAACGGAACTCGAAGCTCGTGTGCGGAGCCTCCGGAAATATGAAGAAGAATTCATTGCGCTGAACTTGGACGACAGCAGGAAGATGCTGGCTTCACAAGTGGCCGAGTTGGAGAACCAGATCAGGGCGATGAAACGGGAAAAGAGCCTTTTGCTGATTGAAAGGCTTAAAAAAGAAGGCTTTGGTGGACTGGCCGCGGTAGTGGGTAAAGAGGTTGGGCTGGGAATTGACGCATTGGGTGCTGGAGGGTTGTAATTGATCCCCAGGGTGCTAGCGACATGGGCGGCCCAGATGCTATTCCGTGAGAGGAAGCCAACCGGCGTCGATTTGGGTATAGATGAATCGGCAGATGTCGTTGATATTCGACACTCGACGATGGATGGTTTGTTTGTGCTTTACTTATGGTGAAGGAATATGACGGCGTAATATGGGCGGGAAAGAAGGACAACAACCATAATGTACCAGCCATTGTGAAGAGGATACCCGGGGCTTGAATCGGAAATAGGGACAAACGACAGGAATGATATGGGATATTTATATTTTGACAGATTGCGGCCGCCTCTATAGACCATGCTTTTCCCCTGCGCACTTTGAACGACATGAGTAGCCGTTTATGACCATAGAGTTAATCTTCGAGGATACAATGGGACAGCCACGCAACTATAATGAGTTATCTAGAAGCTAGTAGGCGATATGGATTTGTTTTGGATCTTTTTCATTGCATATTGATGACTGTCGCGCAAGAGTTGGAGCCGATTCCGGACCTTGCCTTGTTCTGAGAGCCGGACGCGGACTCGTACAGTACCGTGCAAGATGGACTCGGAGATGATGGGATCATGACCCTCCAACTTGATGGGCCGGACATCCTGCAATTTCTCACTTTCGACTACTACTACAGTACAACCGGGTCCAGTGGCATCACCATCGCTGTTCCCCCCTTGATCGCAAACCCTTTTTACCTTGATGATTCTCTTGGTTTTGTTTTGTTTCCCGTCATTGAATTTCAAGTTGTCGTGTTGTTCAGCAGGCCTGTCTGTTTGTCACTATTGCCAATCTATCTACAGTATACCTCTCGTCGATTCTCACTGAATCCCTACCTACATACATTAATACAGAAATACCGTACCACTTCACTGACTGACTCCTCTACGCCGAATTTGTCTCTCTCTACCTCCAACTCAATGTCCGGAATTGAAACGCTCGCAACGACCCCCAAGTCCCCCGTCTTCCCCGATACCCTGTCGTCCGTAACGGCGCTGGCTCGGTTCGAATTCGAAGCCGGGCGCGGAAATGACGGGACAAAAGTGATGATGGTTGAATGGCAGGACGACGACCAGAACAGACACCAAGCGGGAGGTAAATGGCAGGTATCATGGTCAGGCAAGCGCACCGTCTTCTCGGCCGACGACGCTCCCTCAGACAACATCCGTCGAGTCTATTGTTTGTTGCCTCCTGGGGCCAAAGTCCCTCCTCACGTCACGCTGGAATATCATCCACCTCCTCGTGCTGCCTCCTCCGGGGGGTCAGAGTCTGAGTCCGGGTCCAAGTCCGCACCCTTAAGAATGACAGTCAATCCCCTACCGGCCATCTTCACGCCCGAACTGGGCGCAACCGCCAAAACCAGCGGCAAAAAGGGTGTTCTTCACACGATCTGGGCGAAGAAGAGACTGTCAGTCCTGGAAAAGGAAATTGCGCACGAACAGAAACATAACCCCGAAGGCGTGGCGCTGGAAATGGCGCTCTCGGAACGAGCATGGATCGAAACCAATTTCGGCGTACTAACCAAGCCGCCGGCTTTGGATCTGAGTAATATCTTGCCGAACTCCCAGGTGGCACAACCGACCAGTCCCGGGATCACAAGTCCCAAATCGCCTTCGGGAAGGAGACTGAGTGAAAAGTTAAAGGGTCTTAGTATTGGGACAAGTGAGAAGGATCTCGCTGCTGGCCTTAACACGCCTACGAGGGAAGCGCATCCTCTTTCGCCGGAGACTTCGGATATGGCGTACTCGTCATTCAGCGCTTTTCGCGGTAACTTGAATGGTCCGAAAAGAGTGGTGGCGAAGGAACCACCTGAGCATATTAAACGCCAACAACAAGAAACAAATGCATCAGAGGCAGCGTCGCTCGATTTCAGGGCACAGCAGCCACAACCACAACCACAACCCCAGCCGCAAAACGATACTGATCCGCCAGATGATAATGACGACCTCTTTGCCGTGGCTCTAAGTCCTCGCTCCCCGAACGTGCCAAAGAGCCCGTTTTCCGTCTCTAGTGCCGAAGTCGGCGCTTTTGCAAAGATCAAAGGCGAAAGGTGATGGAGACAGACAAGGATAGAGACACTTTGGTGGGCTTGGTGCTACATTGTGGTACAGTTGTGCATTTCAAGCTCAGCTCCACCTGGCTATCTGACCTGGGATTCTATGATATTGTATGACTTGGACATGATTTATGAAACGGTACTCGACAACTATGGAAAACTATCTGAGAACTTTGCATACATTGTTGGCCAACGCCGATCTAAGATACAAACCCCAATCACGGCCAGTCGATGTGTCCGACAAACAGCATCATCTCATCCTCCACCAAGTCCGATGATGGTATACGACTTCCACCACGGCAACCAAAATCACAATGCTGAACAAGCCGAAGAACAAAGACGATAAGACGTTACAAACCAATTTGACCTATGCAACCAGGGCCACGGCAGCCACCGCCAATCCCGCAACGGCAAAACCAGAATCCACCAGTCTGCTGGCCTGGCCAGTATACGGCTTGGCTGAGGTTGAGCCAGTCGCGGGCGCGTTGCTGCCCGCAGGAGACGGCGGGGGAGGTGCAGGAGGCATGTTTGTCCCTGTAGCTGGAGCGGTATAGTTTGAGCAGCCATGTCCAGTACCACCGCATCCCGGAGCCAGCGTGGGCGCCGGGGCCATGGCGGTCTTTGTGCAGCCGCAAGTTTCATCCCACCACGTATATTGGGTTCCGGAGGCATTGCCGGTCGCTGTTGCTGCTGCAGGCACCGCGGACGTCTTGGTGCATCCACATTCGTGGTCCCAGTACGTGACGGTGACGGTAGGGTCGGCACTTGCCGAGATGAGTGTTGCGTTGACAGTGGCCATTGGTGTTGTCATCATTGTGGTTGTCATGGACGTGGACGTGCTGTCTGCGGCCGAAGTCGATGTGGATGTGGTTGAGCTACCCGCAGAAGCTGCTGAAACACTGAACAGAGGCGAATAGTCCATGCCGGTACCCTGGACAAGGACCAAGCCATAGTTGCCCGGGACAAAGCCGTCGGGAAGCGTCACGGTCCAGTTGTATGTTGATGGACTCGCTGGCTGGGCGGCTGTAAGATGGGTTTGCATGTCAGCTTGTTATACCACAACAAGGGGGATGTGTGTGATTTTGGTTATGGCTGTCGACGTGGTGTGGTGAACTACTTACTGAAGACGGCACTGTTCGAGGTCGTGTTTCCAAACACCAGACTGACTGGGTCGCCGGTCCCAACTGTCCAATGAATCGGCCAGACTTGTCCTACCGTGACGGGACCCCAGGTCATGCCGGCGAAGGATGCGGTTTGAGCCATGGCCTTGTAGGCGAATGCTCCAATGGCAAGAGCAGAGAGTGAATGATGCATGGTGATGAATCTGTTTCTCTTTGTCGTTGCTGGTGAGAGAGGAGAGTATAGACAACGTTGTCGAGGGAAATCAGCCGCTGTGGCGAGATTGAAACACACACACAAACCAAAAGAGTGACTGTAACTTGGAAGCCAAGGAAGGGAAATGGAAAAAGGAAAAAAAGAACTTTGGCAGATCAACTGGGCACGGAGCGGCAATGCACTTGTAAATGAAGGTGGCAGGCCACATACACATACACATGCGAGGCAAAGATGTGGAATGGAGTTGTTTGTTATGCCCTGGCCGCTCTCTGCCAATGCCAGCCACTGTTGTGCGTGGTTGGAACGGCTGGCCTGGTATGGTATGCGAGGTACATTCCAAGCACTGGCTGGCTTGCTTGACCGACACTCGCTGGAGTGCAATGTGTGGGCCACAAGCATACGAGGCAACTTGCACGCATCGAGGATATTTGTCCGCACGCACGGGCACGCATTCCTGGAGTCAAGGTGGGTATGGTCATCCACATGCATGTTTTGGTGTCAGGTCAGTGTGTCTATGTGGAGTGGGCCAAGGGGCACCGTATCTTTTCTGCGACGAGAATCAGCATCGTGCTTTTGGACCTTCCACGGCCTGGCTCCAGCGACCGTTGCTGAACCATCTAGATCACCCTAGTGTGTCTATGTGGGCCAGCGGTACCATATCCCTTTTCTCTGAGATATGAGGGGGAGAGGACCAGCGACGGCAACAAGCACAGGAGGCTCAGCTTTGCCCTTTTGCAAGCCCATTGGCCTGCATCAGCCGGTCAGCGGCCTTGTCAACAATCCAGATCAACCGCAACCCTCCACTCATCCCTCCCTCCTCGGTGGTATTGGTATTGGTCTGGCCCAGGACGGAGCGATGGGGATGTGCCACGTGTTGGTCCTGATCTGACTTGATCCTTCGAGTGCTTCCCGAAGAATCATGTTTGTTTGTCGGCACAACAGTCTCGAGGGAACAAGGGAGGGACAGATACCGTAGAACCACAGCCTCTGCACTGGCAGAGCTGAATGTTGACTGACCCGGTACCTATGGTACCTAGTTTGAGGGTGGGCATGAGCATGGGCGTCGTGATTCAGTATGATGTGGACATGCAGTATGTACTGTAGGTACACAAGTACGTACCTTATGCACATATGTTTGCGTACAGCAACGGTTGACAGTTATTACACGGAGAGATATAGATACAAGAGCTGAAAGCGACTTGCCAGTCATCAAGTCTTTGGTTGGCTTGCTGGCTTGCTTGCCATCCCCTCCTTCCGTTCTGCCTCTTCTTCCTGCTTTCGCTTTCGCTTTCGCTTTCACTTCCACTTCCACTTCCACTTTCACCTCCCAACATTGTGATGCCCAGGCCATAAGATAGTAGTACTACTAGTAGTCGCAGTGTAGTTTTTGCCTCCCTACTTAATTTCGAGGTGGGAGCAGAGAATACCACGTCTCAATTGCCTGCTGTGCCATCACTGAGAGCAATCGACCAATGAATAAATATATGTTCTATATCGTCTTCTCACCAATTCAGTGCGGCAACAGCAGGGCCTGAAATGGCAGACCACACCTCTAGCTCTTTTTATGATCCTTGTGGTCAAGATCCCAAACAAATAACCCCTGTTGCTGATACAGTACATACATGGTACAGCTTTTGTGTTCGAACAAGCTACAATAGTATCATGTCCCCCATTTTACAAAACAGCAGCCAATCCCAGCATAGCAGCGCCCAAGACACCCATTGCCGGCAACGCAACACGGTCCACACCACTGTTTGAGCTGGAGCTGGAGGTACTGCCGCTGCTGCTAGTCGTGGTTCCCGCAGTACCAGTGCCGGAGGAAGTAGCAGATGCGACGGCCGGGTCGGTGCCTGTAGTAAACGGAGTGGCAGTATGAGCGCCCGTACCAGTAAGAAAAGGAGTGACGGTAAGACTGCCCGTACCAGAACCAGTATTAGCGGCGGCAGAGGCAATGTCGCTGGTCAGACTGCCCACGTCGCTGGTGGCGGCCGCGAGATCAGAACCCAATTCCGAAATATACGAAGAGTACGCTGCCAAGTCGGACCCCGTGAGGCTGGCGGTTTCGCTGCTCAGGGCAGAGGCGGCGCTGGATAATTGGGATTGGTAAGCTGGGTCGGTGGCGGCGGCGGAGGCTTCGGAGAGAAGGGATGAGAGAAAGTCTTGGGCTGAGACGAAGCTGATTGCCATCAAGGCTGGTAGGAGGCGAGAGAAGTGCATGGTTGATGTTGTGGTTGTGGTTTGGTTTGCTTTAGGATGGGAAAAGAAGATGGTAGAGAGAGAGGGAGAGAGACAAGAGTAGAGGAATAGAAGTACTCTTTTCACACAACAGGATAATTTGGCAGGATGATGGTGTCGATTGATCAAACTTTGGTAGCAAGATAAGGTGGGAGGGAAATAAAGTGACAAGAAACAGAACAGAACAAAGTAGTGAGATGGGAAAATCTGGGAGAAAATGGCTAGCCAATGTATACGTGATGCCTAGCAGGACACCAGTAGTGTCATCCCAACCGAGATAAAGCAAAACCCCAGCAGGCAGAAGCGCTCGCCATCTGTTTCTCATCATTTGAGAGCCATGTTTCTGATTGTCCTATTTGGGGAGCCAGCGTAGTGGTGGAAAACTCCTAAGGGGGCCCGTGCCAGATCTGGATGGTATGTTTCAGTCGTCCGTCTCTTTGGCCGATGAATATGCCCAACCGCTGTCTCGAACGCGGATTTCGGTTCAGCCTAGTATCGCAGGGCCAGCTGAATGAAGGGAGAAAGCAGATCTGTTTACCCTGTCGCGGAGACGGAGACGTGCCGGACCAGAGGTCCGTGTTTGATATGCGGCGATCGAGTTAGTAAGGGGTAAAGGGGATGCGTGACCGAGATTGGGTCCAATCAATCCCTGCGGATTACCGACGGGCTGAGACTGGGGATACTGGTCTTTTTGCTGCTGGAGCCGCAGATCAGGTGGAGGAGCACTGGCATAAGACAGTGCCCAGGGTAACATCACTCGATGCCAACAAAGGGCGATTGGTACATGGGTAAGCAAGTGGGAAAAGTCGATGGGAGGGATGTCTGGACGTTGAAAAAAGATACAGTTGGTACGGGCTGGTGGAAGCTTGGCTGCGTGGGCACACGACCGCCTGCTACAGTACAAATTGCAGTGGCAGAGTATGCGGGTAACAAATGCCATTAATTATTGCGCTTCTAGACTAGTGTCACAGGTATGGTCACATCGTAGCCATCACGCCCAGTACAACACTTATTAACACATAACACACTGGCAATTACACCGATCTCAATCTACAATGTTGTAGGCAAATAGGATGTTCGACAGTCTTTTAACAGCAGATTACTATCTCACCTAGTCTGCCCTCCTTTCAAATTAGTCCCTTTTGCGTTGACATAGTCCTGGTTGACTCGTCTTCCGACACGACTACAAAATATCCGCTCGACTCATCGACATCGTCGGTGAACTGGTACGGAGTTTCTCCATGATCGACGGACGTGTCTAGGCCCTGGGCTCTTCTCTTCCGCTTCCTTTCTCCATGCTGGTACCTCCGCATCGCGCTGCGCAGCGTTTTTCTGGTATTCCTGGCCCTGTCGATGGCAGCTGAGAGGTCCCACCCTCGAGGTCTGTTCCGTGCCCCAGCTTGCTGTTCAAGCCCCCGGTAGCAATTGACTGCTCCTTGACCATACCTCCCTTCTTGATCGAGGTCCATCAACTTTTGGATCAGGAAATCCTTGGTGTACCGGTTGGGAAGTTCGTTGACTGGAAACTGGCGGACCTGTAACAACTCTCGCTCAAGTTCGTTTTTGAACATCAACTCGTAGTCTTCGCGTCTCGGCGCTTGGCGGGGAGCGGGGCCGTTGTACTGAGCAACTCTTTGCTTTTCGTCGTCGGAGAGAAGCGACTCGCTGTCAGTGCTGTCAACTTGCTCTGCAATCCCTGCATTGTCAATGCGCAGTGCGTACTCTTCAAACAGCCGGGTAAGCCCCCGAATAGACCGGAGGAAACGGTTGATCGCATGTCGGAAACTGAGATTGGTGTACTCAAGCCCCGGTCTCCTCATGGTCAAGACGCGGTCAAAGCATCGGACCATCTCCAAGAAACTTCTTCGACACAGTTCCGGACTGGATGGTAGTGCGGGGTTGGAACGCAATCTCTCGAGATCGGGTATCTTTACCACATATACTGGCACGCTGGGGTCAAGAGTTTCAAGGTAGGTCCTTCTCAGAAGTCTTGCAGCTTCTCTCAGTCGGAGGATCTGACGATACACTTCGTCTCTCTTTGCCGGATCAGTCTCCCAGACCGATATGTCCTCCTCATCAACGAGACGCCGGAGAGCCGCCAATGCGTCTGTGGCATCATTTAGGTTGTAGTAGAGGTCACTGTAGTCAGCGAACATGTTGCTTGCAATTTCTTCGTCCTGGGGATGAATCTGTTCTCGTCCCCGCTGAGGGACATCGGGACTGTCGTCACGCAGGTACTGATCGGCGTCAAGGTCGGCATCTTCATCTTGTTCACCTGCAGCATCGCCTTGAGCATCACCTTGGGCGTCGTCCTGAGGGAGGGCATCACCCTGCGCGTCATCCTGAGCGTCATCTTGGGCGTCTTGGGCGTCATCATCTGCCAAGTCTGGATAGTTCTCAATCTCATCACGGTCTATGATCTCGAATTGACATTGACAATTGTGATGGTACTCGCCTGGATACACGGGACAGGGATGACAAGGGGCAAGGAATTGGTCATCCGAGGAGGCGTTTTCCGCGGGCGGCGTGTTGTTTTCTTGATTCGTGTCATTGCTGCGGCCACGACCCCGACCCCTATTGCCTTCTGAGCTTGGGCTGGGGGCTGCACCACGGGGAACTCTTTGGTGGCCCGCTGACAATGGTTGCAACGGTCCATGGCCTCGGCCACCTTCTCTTTGTCTATCCGGCCTTGCAGGTTTCGACGGACCTGGATCGCCGCCATCCTGGCCAGCTTGCCCTTTTTGATATTCTTGAACAGCGGTAAAGATGTCCCAGCAGGATTGCTCTAAGGATGACAAGATCGTTCTCTCGTCAAGATCATCCACGTTGTTGCCTGACTTTTGCCATGCCTCCTTGAAGCGCTCGATATGTTCTCTTCGGAACCGAGTCGGATCGAATGGTGTGCGGCCGGACGGCCTCGGCGGGAGAGGCTTCCGAAAGGGATCAACAGCCATTCCAGCTCCGCCACGTAGTCTCGACATCGGTGCTGTACTTTTATGGACCCTTGCATTTTGTCCGAGAACAGTAGTGGTGCTTGGCTGTGCGGAAGAGGTCGATGAGCCAGGTGTTCGGCGACGACGCTTGGAAAGGTGTTTTTGTAAAATGAGTCCCAACCAGCCGAGTGGCCCTAGTTTGCGGCTGGACGTGAACAATGATACAGTTGCCGGGTTGCGAGCATGCCGAGGGGGCTGATTGACGAGAAAAGCAACCCGTGGTCCATCAGAATGAATCTCTGGCTCTGCCATTTCTCTTGATATCTGCTCATTTTGCGCCACTTCGTGCGGCCTTGTCTCAGGAAATGGATACCAGACGTAATCGAAAGCGCTCCTTCTATTCAATCCTTCAGGATGTGGGAAAGTGCGTCGAGGTCTGGGCACGGCACGGTTCAGCCGCTCTGTTTGCCCTCCCATGCCGTCCTCCGAAGCCCTGACTGGCTTTTCTGGGCCATGAGACACGGTTGATGCATGTAAGATATTTCTGCCCTGAGCATCTTGCTTCTCCTCTCTGGTAGGAGCGGCCTCCTTCCACCTTCTGAGGGCTTTGGGACCGCCGGTTATCGCATTCAACCGAATCACGGCAAAATGCAACTTCTGAAGAGTGCTGGGCTCAATTGTTCCGGTCTGAATAAATTTCTTCAGTGAAGCCAGTACGTGGTCTTTCAAAGGTTGATCCCGTAGTCCGTGCAAGTGCGCAAACGCATCGTCATGGTTCTCTCGGCACTCGGCAACAAAGCGACAGTATTGCCCTACCATCTCCTCAATCTCCCTGGGATTGGCGGCATCGGGCGATTGGACTAGAGCTCGTAGTCGACGCTCGGTTCGAGTGTTACTGAAGAACGACATTTCGACAGTAGAGTTCGCCGGCAACCCCTTAAATCTCTTATTTTGATATACCATGAATGCTGCTTTCAGACTCCTCCATACGAGCAGCCATAGAAGAGTCGTTTCCGTGGTATAGATGGCATCTTGGAAGTGGTGGTGCAGTTGATCGCAGACCAGTCTGACATCTTCAGCGCCCCTTGGAGGCACTATCACCGGTAGGGCGTCCGTTGATGCTGCAGATGATCCGAAGGCAGGCGGTGTTGAGACAGCGCGAATATCTGCCAAAAGCGAAGTGAATCTTGACTCTGTGCTGAGCCCCGGAAGGCTAGACCTCAAAGCATGTAGTGACAACATCTCATCACTCAAGGCTTTGTGTGCAGCCCCGGTCCATAACGAAACAACACGCTTGTAGCGCTTCAAGCATACCATGAGCATGTCAGAGACTCGGGAAGATGACCTAATTGCTAGGGGCAAGCAGGCAAAGTCTTCCATCCGATCGATAATGGCATTCATATCTTGAAAGAAGCTAATAGGGCCATCCCGGACGACTTGAAGATGTTTGAAGTAATTGGTCACTGCGATGAGAAAGTCCGTGACCTCTGAAACAGTGCTGTGCTCCCCAATTGGCGGTAAGCTCAGGCCGAATGCCGGGCCGGTCAACGTGCGCTCATCGCGGGCACTGGCCTGAGAAGCATGCTGCAGTCCCCCAAAAGCACTCTGTCGGGCAGCTTGCGGAGCGGGATCAGTTTTCACGATCGAGGACGGGTTAACGGTCAGGGTGGTGCTGGCGCCATTTGGGTTGCAGCTAGCAGCCTTCGAAGTGCGTGAGCGGAAAACGGCGGTGGTGGTTCTCGCTCTCGGGCGCGAGGAGGCAGGGGGATGGTTCTTCTCTACCCTGCGTGGGACGGCGTTGGCAACCTTGGATGGTCGTCCTTTCGAAATCTTGGGCTCTTTTCTTGGTGCCATCTTGTGGAGTGATCAAGGAAGAAAGGGGCAGAGAAAACTGATAGACCAAACAAGTAGGAAATAAATAAAACTTACCGTGAGCACGGCCGGACAAAGACTGCGAAACATTTTGCCTTACTGTGACGATCGCATCAAGGACACTCGATAACCGCATTCAACTATTGATAAAGAGACATTGAAGCGTAGAGATGCATTCAGCACAAACGACTGTTTTGGGACTAGCGTAGAATTGCGCGCCGTCCTTGTGTTGTTGACATTCCAGTTGTTGGAAGCAGCAGAGCCCTCAGCCGTTGCGCAGCCCGGGGTTCAGAGGGCTAACCACTTCCAAGGTCCTCCTCGGGGACCTGGCAAAGTCTCATGTGCTCTACTACCAGGACACACTACTCCGGCGTCCCAGGACAGTTGATCGAGTGCAATGACAAACATATACGCGCACCGCGTTCCGTCAGGAGCCGGTGCTGAACCTTGACAAGATTACTCGGGGATATTGTAGCCGGGCTGTCTGAAGACATGATTCGAGGTTATGTCGTGCGAGGTGGCTGTCTCAGGGACACTTCTCCCTTACACGAAGCCGAACGAACTCCGCAAGGTCAGACTGTACCTAGGTAGGTTTGCACTGGCGTCAAGTTCGCTTGCCATAGCCATTTGGTCAACGGAGGATGCCGACGAGACCACAGGTAGAACAATACGAGCGAGTAGGCCGGAAGAAGGTTTTCGCATCTTGAGGGACGCAGATGGTCGTCTGCACGGGTGCCAACTGGCGATCAGAGGCAGATGAATTGTGGCCAGTACGTACAAATGTTGTACAAGATGGTCGAGGTTGCTTGCGGAATATGGAAACAATGCGGTGTACAGTTGTAGTCGTAGTACTAGTAGCTACAGTTGGCGTACTACAGTGATATAATTGTGGCGCCTGGAGACGCGGGGACAGGCGGGTTAGGCGTGTTGTAGGCAGTGCTAGCATCCTTCTTCCAGGGTCAAAGATGCAGCTCTAGGCGCATCTGGTTAGGCTCAACTTACCCCACACTGCGCCAAGTTCGGATCGTACGTTGGCATCAATTGGAACTTGGACTTGAACTGGTCTCATGCTTGCCGGTGATAGTCAATGCAATGCTCAAAGCATGTGATTTCACGGACAATGAGAATCGAGGAACATGACCGTTGAAGAAATACATTGTAGACAATCTTGATAGTAGTATGCTCATTGAAAACTCCACTCATGGTGAATGCCGGGGATTCTAAAGAACCCGCGAGACGAGTCAGCGTACTCTTCCACAGCCGTTGTATCTCACTCCCTTGATCGCCCTGACCCCTCCATCCATCTTTTTCCACATTGCGCGGGAGCAGACTGTTACAGGAGTGTCAGGGTCGGTGAGAGGGTCTGTGCAACGACAGCCTGGCGAAGCGATGCAGAGCAGTGGCCAACAGGCGGCCAGGAAACATGGATGATGGGCGATGCTGATGAAAGAGCGGGCCTGGAGGGACAAGGACACTGGGAGAGTTCACGGAGACTCGCACCTAATGCACGATTCCCTGCAGCCTGGAGGAATAATGCCTGCGCTGATTCGTGTTCAGCCTGCGCCCCTCGCTGCTACTGCCCAGCCTGAAGCCCGGGTGTGTACTACTGCTATCGGTGCTAGTGCTGCTAAAACACATACAGCAGAATATTCCCTTCCAGGTCCCTTTCCACCCACCACGACTACTAGTACTACTGCGTCCTCTGTTTCCACGTACAAACTACTTGATCTCTCTCCCATCCCATCTCCTGACACTGTTCGATCCCATACTCATAGTTCCCAAGCAGACTGGCATCTGACTTGACCGTCCGCACTCCCACAGTGAAGCAGCAGCCAATATCTAACGCGTCAACCCACCCTCCGTCCAATCAGCCCGCGAAGACCGATACCAATACCACTGGCAACCACATCCGCCAGCGCTCGCACCACCATGACGTGACCTTAACGCCCTCTCCCTTTGTCTGACCCTTGATCCTCAAACCACATTGGCAATAATCCAAAGACCCTTCAACTTTGGCTTCACGTCGACCTCTGCTCGATTTCTTTGTGCTGAGATAACACCCACTACACTTCGTACGCCCATTCAATCTTTCCAACCTCACGAAACCTCAGGAGCACACTCGACAGCAAAACAATCAAGAGGTGGCTTTTTGAACATGGCTGACCGCAACGCTCCTCCATCCCCTCCTCCTCAACATCGGCGAAGATCCTCCTTCATTGATATGTTCACTCCTCGAACCCATGCTGCCGGTCACCTCTCTTCCTCCCCTCCATCTACCGCAGTCCCCACCACTCCTGGCGCCACGCAACAACATCGACGAGGTACCTCAATCACTGCTCTCGGGTTGAGCACAAGTGCAGGCTCCCACACTTCTCCCATGGCCGCGTTCCACAACCAACGACGAGCAAGTGTAGCAACTTCTTCCGCCTCGAGTTCTCCAGAGTTCAAGAATAGCTTCGGTGATGAGCCGGCGGTGATTGAAGAGGATGACCCGGCCCGAGCTACACTCCATCCTCCAGCGTCACCCTCCTTTGCAAGACGCGTCAGTTTTGGCGCACAGGCGCTACGAGAGACCTCTAGGCTGCCCGGTAGCCCAGGTACTTCTGTTGGTGGTAGGCGGCCCTCTTCCCTGTTCACTCTCAATGAGTATCCTGTGAATGCCACTCCATTGCGTCAAGCTACGTCGGGGACGGCCAAGACTGGAGGTAAGAGTCGAGGCCTGTCCTGGTCATGTTTTCCTTTGTTAGCCAGTGTATGGTTTTGTATAATGTATAGTTGCATGTTGTTTAGGAATTTGGTCTTGCTTTTGTTCTCTTATTGGATACTGACTGTCGACAGGAGAAGGCTTCAACTGGTCCGAGGCCATCCGTGAAAGATCCAGACGGTCACCATCCTTCTCTTCCGGCAATCCCCTTGCACTGGGCCAGCAACGTCCTCGTGCTGCCAGCATCTCCAATCCCGAACCACCAAAGGAAATCGTCAGACCCGTCGAGCCGCCACCTGCTCCTCAGAGATTGAAGAAGCCAGATCATCTGGGCGAGAGAATGCTGCGAGGTGACTTCATGATGGATTGACAGCAGATCCCAGATTCTTGACATCGACTCTTGCCTTCGATCATATATTCTATTCGCACATTGTATAACTTGATGCTTTGTTCAATTGACTCTGAGGGCGAAGTCAGAGGAAGGACACCACAGCACTGGAGATTTCAGGAACAATTGTATCTTCGACTGCCTCTCAAAAACAACCGGAACTGGGATCCTAATGCAGGGTTGGTCGGCTGGTTTGCTGTCCCACAATCGTTCAGAATATATTACTAGTATGCTCCAAAAGAGCTGCAAACGAAGGAGGGCTAGCATGGCACGCTGGTTGATTTGACGATACTTATCAATCTTTGAGCAGAAGACTTGAGCTTGTTGCGAGGAGGTTATTCCGCTTTGCTGGGACATCACGATCGTTTGAAACATTGTGCTTTGGAGGGCTGAGGACTGGGGATGTTCAATGAATGAAATCTGGCGAGGAAACAATGCGCAGTACAACATTGTACGCAATGCGCATGTTTGACGTTACAGCAGTGGTATGGGTGTGATGTCTTGCTTTTTCTTGATGTAAATGGATGAAACGAAATGAAATGAAATGAAATTGAACGATGAATCGGACCCTTGTATTTCAATGTACTAACAGCGAATGCATGCTGGCTTCAATTGCTGGTGTTACAGTATCACCCCGATTATCTGCTAATAGATCAGAAAGAGAGCGAAGGTACTTGAAGTAAAAAAAAGTATCCGTTGGACTGTACAATGTACAATGTACAATAGTATTCGCTTTTTTCAAGTACTCATGCCTCATCCCAATCCATCATCCCAAGCCAGTCGCGTCGGAGGTTGTCGACACAACGTCCCCGTCTTGACCGCGCCAACCACCACAACGACATGAACCGCCATTGCCAGCGCGGCCTTCCATACCCTCAGATCCCGCAGGGAGAATTCGAGCACAGCAATTCCTATCATGGGGTATACGATTGCCGCATTAAACCCCCCGGACAAATCTGTAAACTGAGACTGGCACGGCTGAAGAATAGAAAACAATTTCAAGGCCAGGATGAGGAGTTTGAGTGAGGGGGATGTGAGTCGTTGATTTAGGATTGACGAGATTCTGAATTGGACACTGGATGGGGAATGTGTGTTGTCGATGACGTTGTTGTTAATGTTGTTGTCTTCGAGAAGAAGAAGTGGTGGTGGTGGTGGTGGGATCTTTTCATCTGCGGGATGCTCACGCTTTGATTTTGAGCGCAGAATGACTGGCATGATGGCACCGTTCATATTCCGGGAGTTTGCTGTTGTTGACATGTCATGCAGGTGGGGTCGAGACCGTGATCGTGAAAGAGATGCTGATGACTCTCCACCACTCGAGTAGCCTGACGGTGACTGATCAAGATCAAGATCACTCTGGATGACGGGTCCGGATCCGGATCCGGGTTCCGCTTTTATGTCGCCGGCGCGAGACCGCGATCTTGAGAGGGCAGAGGACGACGACGACTGCTGTTGTTGGTTTTGTTGTTGCTGCTGCTGTAGCCGTCTCGACCTCGACCTTGTGTTTGTGGCTGGCCCCGCGGCGGCAGCTCCACGTTGAGGAGAGACAGAGATGCCACTGCTACCCCTATGCTTGTGCGGGTGCGGGTGCGGACCAGGACTTTCTAACTTCTGCACTCTTCTCCCCGGAGTCAATTCTTCGGGATCAATAGAGCTGCGCCTTCTGGGACCTGTAGTTGAAATATCATCCAGTCTTCCCGAAGTCAAAACCTGCAGCACATCATCGGCACTAGGCCGCTCGGCCGGATCGAGCGACAACAACCTCTTGAGGAACGTATACAGCGGCGCCGGCAATTCAGGCCTTAGTTTTCTCTGATCATCGAACCCTTCCCAACCCATGATTTCGGCCCTGAGTTGATCAATATCTTCACGTTCCTCATGCAAAACGTTGGCCTGTCGATACGGCAGTGTGGCAAAACACAAGAAATGCAAAATCATCCCGAGGGAGAAAATGTCCGATTTGGACGTGAAATTTTGAAAGGGCCCGTCGGGCGCCACTCTCCTTAGCACCTCAGGGGCACAGTATGAGATCGTGCCCGTGGCACCCGTTGACTTGCGCGTCGCGTATTCGTACTGCACTTCTCCAAAATCAGACACCAACACTCTCGTCTCCCCGCCGCTCGTATGTAGTAGACAATTACTCGGTTTCAAGTCGCGATGGATGAAATTGTTGTGATGCAGAAACCTGAGGCCCGAAGTAATGTCTCGGAAAAAGCTGTAGATTTCGTCGAAATGCAGTCTTTTGGGCTCGTTGGGTCCTCCTCGGCGCCCTCCAGGAAGTTGTTCGGTTTCGCCCTTTGATCGGCGTCGAATGCGTTCTTTCAGTTCTTGGGTTGTCGTCGTGGTTTGTGCGGCTCCAAGCACGTAGTTGTGCATGTCGCCTCCGTTGCAGTATTGTTGTAGGATAAATGCACATGGCACGCTGGGGCCGAATGTGCTGATTTGGTAGTCTTCGAGCCAGACGTGGCGATAGGAAACCAAATTTTGATGCGAAAGGCCTTGGAGTAGTTGGACCTCGATCAATACCTTTTCCAGCCATGCGTGGTCGTCGCCGATGGGGACTCGTTTGCATGCAAAATGGCCTAGTGTTACTCCGTCAAGGACGTGCTTGACTAGTAGGACGACTCCCTTGCCGCCACGTCCGAGTTCGCGCTCCTCGACGAAGAATTTCTCAAAGTAGTGTGGTGAGAAGGCTGTTTCTGAGATTCCATGGGCTTGACTGGGTGGTGCGGGCGTGCTCGCTACAAACTCGGCGTCTGGTGGTGGACTTCTGGTGGTTGTGGTTGCTGTGGTGGTGGCTGCTGAAGAAGAAGATGGACGGAGACGTGAACGGACTGGCTGTACGATACGACGTCTGGGAGATGGCGGTGCCGAAGTGTCGTTGGAGTTGGGAAGACTTCTCGCCAACATGTCAAAGTAGCCGTGCGTGATGAAGCTGGGCTGATCTTCCATCGGACTGCCTCCGGAATCGTGCGTGTCGGAACCCGGGGGTTGGTGAAATGGTCGCCCACATGTCGGACAGTTGGATGCTCGTCTTTCAACCGCTGTGTTCTGGTTGCGGTGGAATGGTACCAGTTGGTTCGTTCGTGGGTCTCTGTACACAATCGTATCTGCATGGCGACTGTCTCGTAGGGTGAGAATCAACAATGAACGGGAGAGCTCAAGACCACATGGTGGACTTGTACTTACAGCACCACATCGCGATTCGTGTCGTAGGGTATGAGGGAATACGACGGAATGTCGTCTGCGCCGTCGGCAGCCTCCATGGTCTGATTGGATTCTCTTGAGGGAGGGAAAAGATCAAGGTGACAATAGCTTCAGGTTCCGCGGTACCGTAAGTGCTGCAATTAAGGAACCCTAGTGAGGCTGCTGGAAGCACGGGTTTCTTTCAAGGAATGTTCAAGTCGTTGAGATGCCGGTAGCTTCATCTGTATCCAGTCGAATCATTGTTATGAATGCAACGCAGCCTCATCGCATGACTGTTGTTAAGTTGGAATACTCAAGTGGTTCGAGGTTGGCTCATTGCGTTCAGGCTGGAGACTCGGAGGATGGACCCGGAAGTCGCCGTTATATTTCGGGATAGATAAATATCAGTGCCATCTGATATTTACCGTAGCACTTTGTATGTTAAACTGACCGCATGCGGCACGGCTCGCCGCCTCTTGTTCAAGCTGCTAGTATTATATCACTGCCACTTCGTAAGACTCGGGACTGGAAGTACAATCAACCTCCCCGCCAAGCTGGGGCGGTGGCGGTGGCGGTGGCACTCCCACCGTCCTGCTACATAACTTCAAGTTGGACTTTACTAATACAGTGTATCACTACTCCGTGAGTCCAGATTCATTATTACACTGCGGCAGTACCTCGATCTCTATCAGAAGTTTGAGAATCAGACCTCAAAAGCACTGGCAGAGAAAACCAAACCGCTGCGACAACAGCCAGATAAATTATTCAATGCTGCATCAGCCGCACCGACTCCGCATTATACTAGGTAATAACATACTGCATCTCATCCCTGTCCCGGCCTAGGAAAAACCGGCGTCGTGTCTACATTATTGATATTGAATCCCGAAAGTGTCCCCTGAGCACTGTGCTGCCAACCCTGGCCTGTTTGCTGGTTAACAAACGCACTCTGCCGGAACGGATTCGTGCTCCCAGTGACATTGGTCGTCACCGCACCGACAGCAGGGCTGGGGTTCGGGGTTGTCCGATTCTTCGCAAAGGGATTGGTTCCTGTGCGTTGCGGCTGAAGAGTTGTTGGGGTGGAACTGACGAATGGTGAACTCGGACTGAAGGTTTGCGGCGGTGAAATCTGGCTAGGAGAATACGTCTGATCGTAGCCCATGGTCGACGGTGGCCCGTTATTCGCAACAGCTCCCGTATTGTGCTTCGCAAACGGGTTTGTAGACTGTCGTGATGCGGTACCCGAACTGACTGGAGATAGCTGTGGTGCTGCTGCTCCAGTGGACGTGGGCGCCATTGATTGTCGAAACGGATTGGTGGACGTGTGCTGGGGCTGGATTGCCATTTGCTGAGTCGTCGGAGCAGCTTGTGATTGGAAGTCGACCATTCCGTTCTGTGGGATTGGCGGAAGCGCAGACTGGTACTGAAACCCTTGCACCTGTGGTTGCTGCTGCTGCGGTTGTGGTCCGTATCCTCCAAACCCTGCCCCAGTATAGTCAGTCTGTAGAGCCGGAGGTTGCTGTGCGGTCTGGGTCGGAAAATTTGTGAGCTGTTGCTGTTGTTGCAGGAAGGGATTGTACCCTGTCTGTTGAGGTAATTGCATCTGCTGGTACGGCTGGACTTGTGGCATTCCGGTTTGATATTGCTGCTGCTGGGTGTTGCTGTATTGCGCCATTGGCTGTTGATTCTGTTCGATTGACTCGAAAAAGTCAATGAGATCAGGAGCTGGGCCTTTCGAGGGAGCCTGTGTTGTCTGCGTATGGGCAGCTGTGGGGGCCTGCTGGGCAGCCGGCTTGTGCAAGGGAATTGAAGATGCCCCCGAAGTCAGGGGCTTTCCATTCTTCTTTGCTTCTTGTTGCGCAAGATATTGTCTTCGATTGATCTCGAAATCCGGGTCATTGAGGTACTCTTCCAAGGAAGCCGTCAATGTTGTTGGCGCGTGCTTCAGCTTCGGGACCTCCAGGCGCGTAGACATCTCGTATAGCCGTGCAACACCCAAGTACTTGACCACCTCGTCGGTCTGTCTCGAAAATGTTTTGTAGATTTCCAATGCACGCTCGGCATCAGGCCGGGACATTTCAAAATAGTGTTCTTCATGTTCATGAGCATGTGTTTTGAAATTCAAATCGAGGCTCGCCTACCTAGGACGTTGATAGTACCCTCGTTCATGGCCTTATACAACTCCAACAAGTCCAAAGTCAAAAGGCGGAAAGCGGTCAGTGAAATCTCATTGTCGGGATCTTGATTCCCCAGCAACTGTAGAGGTCAGACGAGAAAAAAAACAAAAACATTGTCAATGAGGCTCACATCACATCGCACCAATGCTTGGATTTGGTCCTGGACTATCTCAGTCTGTCTCAACAGCCCTTTGTCGACAGTCAACTGTCGCATTTTGCCCACCCCGTCTCGGACAAAGTCGGTTTTGGTGTCGCGATAGGCCCGCACTCTCTCCATGAGATATTCATAATAATGTCTGATGTTTTGGCCCTGGGTTTGAACTATACTCTGTTAAATTCCGAGGAGCAGACCTTAGGCCGGCGCCGAGGACTGCGCTGCAGCCGATAAGGCGCACACATACCTTCGGCAAAGTGGCTGATGGCTAGGCTCTTGGGCGACTGAGCAAGATACTTCAGCGTCACATCTGGCCGACCCTCTCGGATCATCAGATGGACCACTATCAACGCTTTGAACACAATGGTCCATGTCGAATCTCGGAGACGCAGTTGTAGAGTTCGAAACACCTCTCCAACACCAGCCTCGCCGCCACTGGTGGCTGACAGAATTGGCTCAATGTACTTGGACTTGGGAGCAGCCAACTGTGGACCATCGTTAGCCTGGACGGCAAAGGGACCAATCTTCTGGCTCTCACTTTTATCTTTGTAGCACCTTTTACAATCTTTTCCATGATGGGCTAGCTTTCGCACTTCTTCGACGGTATGGCTCTGGCGAACGGTGACCGGAGGGCGGAGTGTTCGAGGGACGAAAGCAGTGTGAGAGAGAGAAATCGACTTGGTTAGGCTACCATGTTATCACGAAGCCATGCTGGCAGCCATAGCATGCAACGAGAACAGAGCCACAGCCTGAGTTGCGCTGGTGACGCGGGACAAGGTGACTGTCGGTATATCTTGGAGCGTTGTACAGACTGCCAGTGGACTGGTCCGACACAAGCGACGCTGCTTGCTGGGGTCTCTTTGGGGCCGAAATACAAGTCGGGACGAGATGCGTGCACAGCTGCAGCTGTACAGGAGCTCAGCTGTTGGATAGTTCTAGTAGTAGTCAATCATGCGCCCGCGCCGCCAGACCTTGCAAACAACGGAGTGGTGTAAAAGAGAGTGGGCTGGCTTCAAGTTGTTGCAGTGCTGTCTGAACTGCAGTGTTGTCGGAGCCTCTCTCAGCCTGCGGGTTCGGAACACTTGCCAGTGCATCTGGTTGCCCCGGCCAAGGGACCAGTTCGGCGAGATACGACAAGTACCACTGACGCTATCTGCAATCAAAATAATATACTATGTACTACTACTCCACTTCCAACTCGGAGTCGGCATGCCAGCGCCGTCGTTCAAACCACGTCTCCAACTTGAATCATGCTTCTCAGGGACTGCAGCCTTGCTGAGGGTCGATTACACTAGGTAATAGTATGAGAGGAATATCACATCCTACTAGTACTGGTAGCACCCAAGTCGAACCAAACCATAATAATATTAATACACCATTAACATAACCTCTACTACAAAGTATAGATCTTGCCATCTAAGATGCCTGTTGATTCATATGACTCGGCAGATTCCAGTCGGCATAGTCGGCATGCACAAAGGCGCGATCCACAAAAGGCACACTTTCCAAGACGTACTGTAAGCTCTCTCCCAGGTCATGGCTGTCGCGCAGACTCATGTTTTCGTCGAGAACAATATCAACTTCGACATTGAGCTTATCGCCGGCATGGTAGGCCTGCAGGCCCTGAATGTAGCGAATGGTCTTTGCAAACCGCATGGTGAGATAGAGCAAAACATTGCGCTGATCGGCCGTGGCGGCAGCTCCACACAGATTCCGGACATGCTCACTGCTAGTCTTGGACCAGTTGAACATGACGTAGAGCGACAACAGCAACCCACCCAGAGCGTCAAGCCACCAGATCTGAGCGTAGTAGCCGACCAGGGGGAACACGATGGAAAATAAATTGAAAACCACGTCGGTCGCCGCGTCCTGGGCCAGAGCTTGAACCGAGCTATTCTTGACCAGTCGACACCAGAACCAGCAGAAGCCTTTGATGGCGATGGTGCTCAGCATGATGGCAATGGCGGGGACCCCCAACTGGACCACACTATGGTCGGGAGAAAGCAAGCGGTTCACACATTCCAGACTGACTTGGAAGAATGAGGTGATCATGATGACGCTAAACACCAAAACCCCAACTGGCTCGAGACGCCGTCTTCCGATAGGATATGCGTACTGATCTTGTTGAGAAATCAGCTTCGTGGTGGTCCACACAATGGCCGTGGACAGAAAGTCAAGCGCTGCGTCGACGAGGGAGGCAAGCACAGAGAGCGACGAAGTCATTAGCATCACGACGAGCTTCCCAACCAACAAGATAATGTTTGCAGCGAGATTGACGTAGATGGCCACCTTCACGATAGGGTCGTCCGAGTCCACATTCTCGTCCATATTGTCGAAATCGATGTTCGGGAAGGGTTCTGGGTGGGCTTCTTCGTCATCGGTCAATAAAGGCGTGGTCTCGTTGGGTAACTTGTACAGGTTCTTTGGCGTGCGCTTCAACCTCGCTTCTGCTGCCGTTGTGGCGGTACTGGACGGGGTGCCTGTTGTAGTCGAAGCAGTAGTCGCGACAGCCGATGGTTCCTCGCTGATCGTTTTCATATGAGACGCAGCCCCGTTTTGAGGTTGGTTGTACTCCTGAATGAGATTGTGGGGAAGCGACGAGTCTAGGAGTCTGTCGATGTACATATATTGCGCGATGAGGAAGTTGTTTCGCTCGTAGTATTTCCTTATAGGCTTCTTCATCTTCTTCAGCTCTTCCTCCGTCTTGTAGTACTGATGCCACCGGTACCGAGGATTGCTGTTCCCAATCAACCGCATACTGCGCATTTGAGGCGTCATGAGGATCTCGAGTCCAGCGCTCATCCGCCGGTTGTCGCCCTCCATGTTCAGGGTGCGACGCCGTTGTAATAGTTCGCTGTCGTCTTTAGGGCCTTGCTCCTCGTCCTCGGTCGAATCGTGGCTGTGGAAGGACCCTCGTCGAGCCTGCGACCGTTTAGGCAGAGTAAACAGCGATGCATTCGAACGACTTTGAAGGAGACCTGGAAGTCGCTGACCTCTTGTCGACACGGCCGAGGTGTCATCGTTGAGCGGAATGAAAGAAGACAGGCCACTGAGACGATAACCTGGCCGTTGAGGTGTTGTTGATGGCTCCATTCCGCCGATCTTCTAGGCCGGCAGTCTGGAGCTCAACAGATCTGAAAAAAGAGATGCCTCTGTAGCCGCTGCACTTGCGACGAACTTGAATGCTTCAAGTTGCTACTACTTTAGCTAGCTGCCAAGGTGCTCCTAGCCAAGCTTGCCACCGTAGCCGATCGGTTCAGAATGAGGGTGCGACATGATGTGCCTGGAGAAAATGCCAGTCAGCTAGTTACAGGAAATGTATGGTCTGGTAGACTGGAACTTGAAGGGACTATTTTGAAAATGCCATGACTTGCCGGACGAGAATGCGGCGCCGTGTTGGCAGTGGAGAAAATAAGAGCCACGCCGCGTATAAACTCTTGCGGTTGGCCAGCGGGAACTTGAACGCCGCCCCGAATTTATTTCATCATCGCGCGCAGCGCGTTGGAAGCTGTTGGAATGTCTCCAAGTTTGACCTACTAGTACCAGGTAAGGTACCTACATTTATTGTACAACATAGCAGGTATCCTACAACAAGAATGATATGTATAGCAGATAGTCCGATCATTATCCATTAAAATTAGCTAGCAGGAGTACTACACTCACTGCACGTCTAGATATTCTAGCTCTAGCTTGATATACGCCTCCAAAATGTCCCAATCAAGGAATCTTCTTCCACCAGTCTGCGTATATGCATGTGCCACCAAATATGCACTCCCAAGGCACGCCGGGGACATCATCATATTCACAGTCTGTTGGCAGTTGCTGTACACTTGGAAAGCGTCGTCGCAGAAAATGCTGGTCATAATTCTTGGGCCAGTGAATCCATCAACGCCGTCTATCGCGTATTTCCGCATAAATGCGTCTTGAGGATTATAGCAACAGCACACAGATCCCCGTAAACGCTGCGGACACCAAACTGCCCAGAAACATCGCAGGGAGGCTAGAAACGCCGTTGGTGTTGCTCGACTTCGCGCTGCTAACCGTCCTCGTGGCCGCGTTGGTGTGAGTCGAGGATGCGCTATTTGCAGTGCTGGTCCCGACGGGTGTCGATACGGGTTTGGCATCGGGCGTTTTCGAAGCCAGTGCCTGGCAAGCACTATGATTCGGATCCTGTTGTCCGACTGGAGTGCCGATATTGGCAATGACCGCCTGACTATCTCGTACTGTGACATTGACAAGCCCACCATGACCGATGGTGATTGCCTCCACCGTATCGTTGACTCGGGTAGGTGTCCCGTCACCGCTCTTTTCGTAGCTGATGCCATTCCAGGTCGTTCCATGTTTCGCGTCCGCCCCATCGTTGGTCAGGTAGGCCAAGTATAAGTCCTTTCCTGCAAACTCGGTTGGTAATGTCAACTCGAATGTTAGACTGGGCTTGTCGGACTCCGAGACATTAACTGGGTTTGCGTTGATCAAGACGATCGAGGATAGTTTACTGTCTTGGTACACGGAATATGCCGCAATTCGGCCGCCGTATGGGTCGCTCATGTTATGAAGGACGTACCCGCCGACTTGAGCCTGGCATGTAGGGCCTATGGTCTGGTCGAAGGCAGCAAAGGCATAGTAGTTGGGTCGAACAAATGGCTGGTTGCCATAGTACTCGATTGGTTGCCAGGCACTTGCATTGCTGTTATCCGTCATGTGCATTTGAACCGAGGAAATGTTGAGAGATGCCGCATAAAACAAAAAGTTGAGACTCCAGAGCGCCGCGCCAAAGACGTCCGTCATGTCCTCCATTCCGATGGGGCCCACGACACCCATCTCCCGCAGAGCGTAGGGATACCCGGTGTTCTCAGCCTGAGTGATCTGCTCCTCCCACGCGGCAAACTGGTCATTCGTTGTGGACAAGGTCATAAAGTGATATTGAGTGAGGGGGTAAGTCGACACCCCTACGTAGTAGTAATAATCATGTTGATTCCAGCTGGCGACATACGAGTTTGAAGAGTCATTAGCTTTCACGGTGATGCCGGAGGAGTCCAGATCCTGAATTTGAAATGTTGTACCGATGGTGGAGGCGGTGGCGCCTGGTTCGAAGAAGTTGCTTTGTAGGCCTTTGGGTTTCAGAACTTGCTGCCAGACGGCACTCGCACGATCCAACCACTGCTGGGTATACGCCTGGCCGCCCCAGGAACCCGTGCGAAAGCCATTCTCCAAGTACAAATCCGGCTCGTTGCCAATTTCAAAGGAGACGAGATTAACGTCGGTCAGCCGGTCCACGGCCTGAGAGGCCATGGTTGTGATTTGGTCGATGTAGTCGTCTTCTTCATAGGCCAGGTTCAGGCCGAACGTGATGGGAGTATTGCTGGGAAAGCGATTGATGACCTCGAAGAAGCGCGGGCCAATCACCATGGAGTCCGAGGCATAAACACCCTGTCCGACACTATGCTGATTTTTCTCGCAAGCATAGTCATTCTGAGAGGCATTATACACAAAGTAGTCCTGAGTATTCCCGCCGATACGTAGATGCGGCGGGGTGCCGGTATAGTTTGCCAAATTCGCCAACAAGTTCTGCGTCAACTCATTCTGCTTGCTGCCACCCGTGAAGGAGAAGAGGTTCGAGGATTCGATCCCAAAGCCGGCGAAAGAGGGACTGATAATGCCCGATGCGCCCGAGGTCGGCTGGGCGGTGATGGCTAGGGAAACCGTATTCTGGGCCGTCGCAACTTGAAAGGCAATGAAGCAAGCGCCAACGAGTGGCAGGGAACGAAAGGACATGACTGCTCCGGTCCGGGTATAGCGATCGAGTTGGTAACGATAATATATACTGTCTGTGGCAGCACACAGCCCACAAGGACCTCGACAACCTCGAACGACAGCTGAGTCAAAACAAACAGAGATGCGACGGTCCAATTCCAAGGAGCAGCACGCACAAACAACCAAAAAACTTCCAACAACAAAGGTGCTGAGCACAGGGTAGGGTCACGGCGTGGCGCACATTAATGATCTGAATGTCTATCTTCACCCGCTGTCAAAAGATCCAATGCAGTTCATGCCTACCTCACGCAGATGGGCCTTTTGGGGGGAGTGCGGCCCGCGAGCCACGCAATCGAGAAGGTGCCCCGGAGCCATTATTTTGCCTGTGTTGATGGGGTGTTTTCGTCATGGTGGGAGAAAAACTGGGCGGGAGGCTGCGACAGGCTGCTGCATTATTGGGCAGGCGCTGTTGGTGCCGGCGCTAGTTCCTTACTATCTTGTTAGTATTTCAATTTAGTGTCCAGATATTAATTTGAAGTCTTAACAGGATTTCAAGGCACTGCCAGTGTATCTCCGTTCATAAATATTCAAGCCACGGATTTGAACCTGTGGTGTCTACCTACCTAGACACCTATGCATGAGCAGGTATAGAACCTACCGGCTGCAACATACGACTTGAAATATTCCAACATGAAACAAAAGGCACCTGAAATTCCTTTCCTTAACATCTGCTTCGGAACTCGGACTCAAGGCACGAAGATGTTCACCGGGTGGTACTGTATCCATTCCAAGACTCCATCGTCCATTGACTCGACTCCACCCCAGCCACCCCGATCATGCAGTGTTGCGGGAGGCAGCAAGACATGGCAGCAAGACATCTGCGTCACTTTATATGGGACCAATGCTATCGTTCAAGCTTGTTTGTCTGCAAGATGGAGAATATATGACAAAATACTATGGGGGCATTCGCCTGGCCAAGATGCTAGCTACACTGTACAGTACCACCGCTGCAGTGCATTCCTTGATATGCAGCAGTGACTACCAAGGGAAAGCTGGTTGCTCTGTGGCTTGGCTTGGTTGACGCCTCCTGAGTACTGTAGTAAAGGAGCCATTGTTTCTTGATGATAGGAGCCACAAAGGTCCGTATTCCAGCCATGGCACTGACACCTCCTCCCATAGTGAGAGGTAGGCCCAGTACAGTATACCTATGTAGGTAGCATAATCTACCGAACCGTCAATGCCGCGTCGGTCTCCGAGTCCAAGTTTTCAGCAGTATAACATCTCCGCAGCCTAACAATAGAAACTTGAAGGCTCAGGGAGTATCCGTACTGGGTCGGGCTTGAAGATTGAGAAAGGTTAAAGTAGCTACCCCTCATCAGCCAACGAACTTGGATGCTTCAAGGCTATGAAGCGACAGTCACTACAATAAATAGACGGTCCGTCCAAATGTCTTGTCGCCGGGCGGGTGTACCTAGTAGCTACTCGCTATTCCCATCGCAGCCATCCCGACATGTAAACCTGGATGCCTTGCAGTGTCAAACAGATACCAAGTGTAACGCGGGCACTGGGGTGCCTTAAACCTACCCAACCTAGATACCTATGGGTCTGCAGGAGCAGTCCAGTAGTTCATGCATGGATCAAGGCTTGCCTATTCTACCCTGGGATCCTGCAGTGATACAATCCATGCAGCTTATTCATCGCTGGGACTTGCACTGCTGGTTGTTGGTGTCTTCGCAGCTGAGGCAGAATTTGGAGCTCATCTTCCGGCAAACACTACCTTAGGTACATGTTGAAGGAATAGATGTTGTAGGACCGATGCCATCGATGACCTTGATCAAGGAAGATATCACGATTTGGCTTATCGAGGTCAGCTCTGCTCGCTGACTTGGAACACTGGGCCCCAGAAAAAAGATTCCACTGCATATCCAATAGCCTTCAAGGCCTGGACGTTCCATTATTAACCTATAGTGTGGTGGTATGAACTAGTATACAACTGGATGGTGAAGGCTTTGATGAAGCCAATCATAGGCAGATCCGAGGTTGGTATCCAATCCCGTCTGCAAAATGAAATAACGCAAAGCAAACGTGCTGGGGTATTGAAAACTCAGTGTGATGGTACATGTTGTTGTTCGGGGCTCGTTATGTTGGTACATGGCGTAGTCGGCCAAAGGGAAGAAAATAAAGAGCAACGCCCTCTGAGATGGGCGGCCGTTTCCGTTGCTGAGAGAAAGAGGGCTCGCCGATTTGATCCGAAGGATTGCCAGTGCATGGCAAAAGGTTTGCTCAGGCGGCCGATGATTAGGTATGGTGTTGAAATGCCACAAGATAGTATTAGGGAAAGGGGGAGCGTCTCCGCATGCCCAGAGTAAAATGCTGACAAGGCTGCAGACAACGTGTTGAAAAGCTCGTGATTAGTCGGCGTGTTGTGCTTCTGGGATGCCAGTGTGGTATTGTGAGGTGCCAACGCATCCGCATCCACCTCAGCCTGGCACGGGCGCGGGCATGGGAAACCTGGGTGGCTTCATCCTCATGCAGGTGATGCCGTGCCAAGCGGTTTCCGCCCCCAGCAAGCGCTCGGTCGGTTGATTGCCAGTAGTATTGTTTTGGTGCGGGTGTTGCCAACTCAGAAGTCCCCAACGAGGCATGGAGGTCGCGCAGGTTGAAGTGCATTAGGCTTAGACAACGCATGTCATGTGGTATCCGATATGCAGGATCGTTTCAGCTGACGGGAGGGCCGGATGCGGCGGTAGCCAGCCGCTCTGGCATCGATGGTCTCCCTCCTGGTGGTTTGCTTTGTAGCTGATGCCTCGCTCAAGCGGCATGCTTTTTGGGAAGTGCAGGAAGAGGTCTGTTAGGCGGTGGCCCTGGGCAGGGAGGATATTTGGAGCCGGCGGGCATGGTGAGAATGTGATGCTGTACTGGTAGAGTCGACTATTAGGAAGGCAGCACGCCGTGATATGCGTCAACAGCCGGGTAAGATTGTTGGAGTGTTGAGGTTCCTTGGAGGTGGTTTGGGAAGATTAATCGAGTGTGAGATAGAGTCGTCCTCTGCCTTGGGATCTACCGTTGAGATGTACGGCAAGCCTGGTGTTGGAATGCTTCGAGGAGGAGCCCGGCCGTGGAAGGGAATCCAGGTGGTTATTTATTTTGTACATCCGAGACAGCCTCACCCTCCAAGCCCTCAGGCTCCCGGCAGAACCGAACAAGTTGTTCCAGAAAGTGGATGACGCAGGCAATCATCCTGACCGATATTTTTGGCCCTTGGCTCAGCTTCAGAGTTCACAGTTGCCTTGCATTGCCGGTGGAGCCTGCTTTAACGCTGGGGTGGTGTGGGTGTGTGTGACATGGCCATGAGGCCTGACACACAAGGTTTCCAGGAACCCGAGCCTTCAGGAGACCCGTCCTCCCTTGCTTCGCTCCATCCGAATCCTGGCTTCCACTCGCCTGATCCGGAAAAGTCGGCGTTGGTCTCCATAAGCTGCTCGTTCGGCTGCTGCGCTAAGGCTCTCCGGCGCGCAAAGAGGAGCCTGACGAGGTTCCAGCTCACCGGGACTGCCTGGGGTTGAATTGCCAACTAGTCTGTAGCAGGACTCGGACAGGAAAAGGAGGAGATTATTATCACCGCTATCGCCCGCGGGGCGTCTGTCAAACCTGTCGCCCTGGTGCCTGTCATCTCATCTCCTCTCCCCCTGGAGTCTTCTCGATCCGGAGTTTCTGGTTTCTACCGCGGAATCAAATTCAGCCATCTTCTTGCCATCGAAATCCCCTACTACTGTACTGCGCACAGAGACAGATAGGCGGTGTACCGTGCGGGACTGGCAATGGCTTCTGCACCGACCTAGATCCACCGTATACATTTCGAAATTCTCTGGGCGTAAGACGGACCCGCGTTATCATCGTTACTATCCTGCCGTCAGGTCCCGGTCGAGGCTGTGTATCTTGAGAGAACCGAGTGTTTGCGCTGAACGCACGAACTATTTGCCGCATGTGCCATAGCTACTGGTAAACTGGCTTCCCGGTTGCTCCCTGGGCTTGCGACTGTTGATGGTGTGCAGCTTTGGGCCTCATCAAGCCATAGGAAGCCACTTCGGAAGTGCTCAATACGGCACCGTTCGGATGGACCTGGCGTACTGATAGGGCAGTCGAATAGGCAGAAACTTGAAGGCCACCACAATCGAGAAAATAAACGCTCGTTCATGGTTGCCGGCCCAGCTCCATCTGGTGTGAACAGTGTTGTAGAATGCTACGCTGGTGATTCGTCCATTTTGGCTACAGTCCGGCACTTTCGCCCGCAACCATTTTCCTAGCTTTCGCAGAACTTGGTTTTTGACAGCTGTAGTGAGGGATGGCCTTTTGCTGCCTTGGCTTCGGCCGACGAGTGGTCACGAGCACTGTGTTTCACACCTTGGCTAAAGCGCACAGCCGGATTGGTCATCAGCGACCGGTCGGACGACGGCGGGTGTCGATCGAGCGAGGAGATGTCAGCTTGAGCCGATGCGATTGAAGCCACCGATACGTCAAGACGTGTCGGTTTCTGACCAGGTCGGGATCCTTACCTTGCTGGCTCATGGTTACGGAGGCTGCGGAGCGCTTGTTTTTCAAACCGGTCAAGGTGTTTTGCTGGGTCTTCTTGGAATGGTCTGCTGCGATGATACAAGATCTTCTGCAGATCCTTCCATGTTGTCGTTTCATCAGGCATATTCTGTCGCAATGAAAATGGGTAGGTAATGCGCTCACCGGTGGGCTCTTGGTGAGCCGGGAGCGCACTGATCACAGTAGAGAGAGTGCCCCGCCCAACGGCCGTGATGGTGGCGTGGTCACCGCCGGTTCCTGAAGATCCTCTTCGCCAGCCCCGTAATTGGTTTCTGTGCATCCATTTGTCGACTACCCAGGTACCGCGTGGACTTCTTGCCACCTCCTCGACGTATCGGCTCTCTTAGCCCTGGAACGCCTCGCTTCTGGCATGTTTCAGATTTACTGCCCCTGGCAATCGCTTCTCGGTAGCGCGAACATTTTCCTTTTTCCTTCTGCGATGATCCAGGCAGAGTGCGTGTACCAGCAAGAGCACTTTTCCTGCACACCCTCTCCAGTCTGTCTCGGGGCGATGATCTGTGAATCTCTGATGTCATGGCCTTTACAGGACTGCTTAAGGGGTATCATGAGGCCTGTTGTAGGCCGCGGTAGCCTTTGTCTGTGAGACTATCCACGCGGTCTTGAGCCAGAAGTGTCTGTAGCATTGATTGATCCCAAACGCTGGTGGTCAAAGTGGTGGCAGGGCGTCGGCCCTAGTCACATTTCTCGCTTGCCGCTTCGTATTCCACAAAATCATGCAGGGTTGCACGATATGATTGCAACGTGCTCGAAGCCTTGACGAGCTGGGCCATTTGTTAGCCGAACTCGAGGATGGTGGCTTGAGCCTACCTAAGGAGCGCACCAATGCAACTCAAACAAACTCTCCTCGAGGGGCCAGTGCGTCTATGCTTCTAGAAGGAATCTCGCTTCGCTTCTGGCCTGTTGCCATCTTTGTTTCTAACCTCCTGCACTCGAGGCCCCTGAAACAGAAACCACTTTCAATAATAATATGGCGAGCGCCGGCCATTTCAGCCCCAGACACTACCTAGGTAGAAGTAGGTATGCAGCCACTTTCAGCGCCCAGTAGCCCCAATCCTGCTCATTATTAATGGCGCATAAGCAACGGTCGCAATCGTCTCGTCTTAAGACCCGAACTCTCGGGTTGCTGTGGTAAGACCCTACTTGACTCAGCCAGCGCTCTCTAGTAGGCTGCTATCTGTCTCGTCTTTGCATCTCGCGTAATTGCACGCAGGGCGCAACCAGGTCGTGTTGTTACATTTGATTCTGCTCCCGTTTGGGCAAGCAACATGTAACAACATGTGCAGAAACGAACGCAAGAGGTCCGGGAACGTGTGACTTCTCGTCTCGGTTTCGTAGACGAACTTCTCTACGTGCTCTTGCGATACAGGAGGCACCATGAACGGGTCTGGTCGCACGTTCCGCGGTGGCTTCACACTCATGCCTGTCAGATGGAGGGATGTCGAGCCTCGACCACGTGGAGGCTTGCGTGAGCCGGCGCCACCAAATGCAGCGCGGCGGACCCGTGCCGTAGTCCAGGTTCGTCAGGTCTCATGAGATATCTCCCTTACGGGCGCACGACATTGATGGCGTTATTGCTGCTGCAACCAGGTGTGTCGGGCTGAGCCGGGTTGATTGATTTGCACGCTCTTGATTCTGATCGCAGGATCACACCGTCAGCACTGTCTTGGGTAGTTGCCTAACAGGCTTGACCCTCGCCCGGTCAGTGATTGGTTTAGGATGTACTGCATATGCATCGTAAAGGCGGTCGACGTCCTGGGTAGACTCGGCCTAATGGATAGGTCTGACCGGCGTGCTGAGTTGTTGCCAAAATCCCACAGGAGTTCTTCTACTGTTGCACCTGACTTCGCATTGCCGTAAAAGCGAAGGTGGATCCTGTAACCAAATCAGGGATCATCATCATTTTGAGCCTGCGTGGATGCAATCCAATCCTGCATCAAAGCCTGAGCATTTCCTTCCGTTCCAGACTTCTGCTTCCCTGGCCCGCCCTTGCGCTCGACAAAGAGGCAGAGCACCCATCCCCAGATGCTGAACCCTTCGTAGGTCGTCCGGAACCCCAGCTTTTTCTTGTCATCAGCTTCTTCCTCATGAGCTTCATCTCTGCCATGATGCTGCGCATCTTGTTCGAGATCGCCGGCTTCAGGTATCTGTCCGAGATCAACGCGTTCATCGTCACTTTCGTCCTGAATCATGACTGCGTCTCGGTCGGCACCTGTGAGTTTGCCGCCATTGTTGGTCCGTATCGTCTCCCGCTGCTGAAACGTTTTGTTCTTTACCAATAGCGAGTGTCGCGTGCGGATTTCCGTTAGGAATATCGAGACTTCGAAGTCATCTAGAGATAACTGTGAACGCGGATTCCTGCTGCGCGGGTGTTTTGCTCCTACCCTTTTTCACAATGTCCTTGACACTTTTCTTTTTCTTCCCTTTGCCCCTCGCTCTCTCATTCTCCTCTCTAAGCTTGGGCAGGACGTATGGTTTGATTGCCTCGAAAACACGTGGAAGAGCCGGGTCCTTCTCGCTGAGGAGCCATCGTGGTTCGTCGGCAGGATTCTCCAGAAAGATCCGGCATTCGAGGACAGAATGCTTACTGATGCGCAAATAGCGTCGTATTGGTGCCATCAATTTGGAAGCACGGCACAAACTCGACAACTTGAACTCGAACAGTCGCCGGCACAATCAGTTGGAAGGAGATCAACCAAAGTCCCACGCCGAAATACTTCGGAGGTGTGTCATCGCCAACGGTCACGTGGAGATTAGATAAGGCCTCCCCGGACCTCAGCCTTAAGGAGCTCGACGTCGTCTGAAGTCTTTGGTGCAACAATGCGCTGTATCAAGGATGGAAAGTATCATGGCGCCTCCTGCGATGGGGCGGTAATATGACGGGATTTTCGTGCTCGATGTGCAGGTGGGGATATGGGAACCCGGCGAGGTATTGACCACAGGTACGGGTCGCTCCTGCTCGTCGGCGGCCTCTGTCCAAATTTGAAGAGACTCGGGATGTCGAGGGGATTGTTTCGTGTCATCAAGGACATCTTTTGGAAAAGATGGTTGAGAGTACAACTGAACGTCCACAAGGACGCCTTCTTTGGTAGGGACATGAGAGTCGTCTGCATATCATGACCTTCATGCACAGCTGCCGTAACAGACCAACCGCTCCCCAGCGATGCGGTGACAATATTGAGGCTGCGCTCCTCAATAGATTGATTCAATAACATGCGCTTCCAAAGTCTCATTACCCCAGTGAAGAATGCGTGAGTTCTTCTCTTCCTCTGTATCTCCATTTGACCATCTCTTCACCCGTGTACTGCCCTGCCATCATGGCTCCTTCCTCGACTACCCCCAACTTCTCCAGACCGCTGCCCTCTCCTATGCTGCCAGGCGGGGTGGGCACTCCAGGAAGAGGTGCAAAGGATCGACATGCCTTGAGGGAACTGCCCAACTCAGTATTTCTAGCAAACACCAGTATGCCACAGGTGGTGCAGGCAGGAAGAGCAAAAGAGGCTGCTCCAGCAAGCCAGAGATTGTTTGACATAGCAACAGACGGTGTTGTGCCAGACAAACAGGCACACTCCAACAAGCTGAACACAACGAACGACGCTAGTACTGATGGAACCTACGAGATTGTGCAGCAGCACAACAACAACAACCGCAGCAGAAGACGGTTGTCTAAAGTTAGTGTGAAGAGTGCAGCTGAATCTAGTATCAGCGACCTCAGGTATGCCCGTCTTTCTTTCATCCAGGTTATCTTTGTTCCGAACCATGGGCTCACATCGGACGATCAGTATTGACCTCGGCGGTCCTGACAAGCCGATCTCCAACTTCCGACCCAATCTGTGGCGTCATCTCGACCGTGACCGTGAAGTTCTCAACATCGACCTCTTCTGGCCGGTCAAGCTTGACGATGAAGAGGACAGTGACGAAGACGAAGACGAAGGAAAGGCTACCAATGACGACGGCGACTCAAAGGACGTCTTCCCTTTCAAAGAACTCAAGCCTCTCACAGAGTTCTACAATCTCCATCATCTCAAGCTTAACGGCATGATGCGGTCCTACCAACCTTTGATCTGGGCAACCTGCTGGGTCAACAAACGCCTGACCAAGGTTCACCTTGAGATGGCTCTGGAACCTGTCATCAATGCAGACATCATGCACAAATACCGCAAGATTGACCTCAACTGGGTCTACGACCGCTTGTCCGACACCACGGTCGAGTGCGAATATCTCGGCTCCCACGGCGAGGGAATCCTGCATGAAGAGTTTGGCGAAGGTGAGTATCTCGATCAACAGGCAATGAAGGCAGGCCAAATCAACGTGGTCCACGTCCTGCCGGTCGAGAACTTTCGCTATCTCCCAATCACCCACCTCACTTTGATGAATTTTGCTGTGGACGCCGGCCCATTCTTCCGCTGGTTCGACCCTGCCAAGCTCAAAGAAGTCCAATTCCTCGGAGATTGCATCGATACTGGTTTCTCTCTGCCGCGTGAGATGAAATTCACCGTTCGCGTCAATGGCCCCAAGCCTTTGCCCCTTCCTCCTGCCGGTGCTAGATGGGTCCGCCCTGGCGAAGTCAAGCTCGTCGACATCAAACCACGAAAGACAGCTGCCAGCAATAACAAGGCCAAAACCAACAAGGCCACCGCAGACGATCGTGGAAGTGCAACTACAAACTCAGAATTTACAATTGAAGGATCCCACAGTGTTGCCTGCGGTGGCTCGACCGGTCTAAAGGGCAAGCTCAGTCAGATGATGCCGAAATGGGCGTCCAAGTCGAAGGACAAGAGTTCGTCCGAACAAGATCAACCCGTTTACACTATTGAGAGGAGCTTCTCGGGCATGAGCCTTTCGGACTGAGCAGCGGCTCGATGTGAGTCAGGGCGCAGGCAGCTCGCAGTTGAGACGAGAGATGTGTGACGTATTTGCTATGTGCAGTGATGACAGCCAACAAGGCTGATTGCGAGCGGTCTGTGTGAAGACCAGATGACTTTGAGACAGAGTGGGGTGGATGACATCGAGTCCGGTTTATGGACCCTTTGTTAAAGTGCTATAGCACAGTAATAGTCCCGATCCAAACTCGAAGTCAGAAAATGCTAATGAAAGAAACACCTGAAACACGAAAAACCGACTTCTTTGCTGACCAATCATTGCCGTTGTGAACTTCTCGTAAGCTTAGCCATGCTATACTAGTAGCTCTATGGTACTGTTGCTCTAAGACAAACCCATATGCTTTCATCTCTTCTTGCTCATTCCACAGGATGGCATTGACCGTCTGGCATGAATGCCTGGCGCCTGTCCAGCATGCATCGAGGAGATGACGAGGTATAACAGAAACGGTGTATCCGTGATGTCTACAAGGTTCGCATCCTTAGCGACGAATCAACTGTTCAATATCTCTGATATCCCCGACCGGGCCCAAAAGTGCTCGGGCTCTGGGCATAGTTGTTGTATCGTGGATTGGTGTTGGGACTCATGCCGCCCATCATGGGTTGAGTCTGGCCGGCATTTTGATACATGGCACCAGCATTGCCCATGACCGGAGACACATGAACTTGGGCATCGGACATTTTCTCGTTCCGCAGACGAGTCATATCGGCACGATAGGCGAGCACCTCGACGGCGTTCTTGTCATATTTGGCGTCCTCGATGAGTTTCTCGTGTTTGCCTGCGCGGCGTTGGCGAATACAGCAGAAGGCGAAGATGGCGATGCAGAGCAGGGCGACGCCGCAGACGACGCCGACAATGATGTATTTGGTCGTGGATGAAAGGCCGTTCCACTTCTGCTTGGCGGATTGGGTGGTTGAGTCGCTGTTTTCGCCGTCGAGTTTGATGGGTTTGGTTTCACTAGTACGGTCAGATCGTTAGTTTCGGAGTGGCAAGGGCTGATAGATATGTTGTACTTACTTCAAGACCTTGATGCTCTGCCAACTGCCAGTCTTATCGCCGTAAACATACTGAGAGCCGCCCCTGCTGGCGTCCGTGACACGCACGGATTGCACTGTCATGGTGTATGGGCCATTGTCGTAGTTGACCTCGCCGCCGGCCCATTCGACGGTACCGTTGGAATTGGACGTTGGATCACCGCCTGCCCAGGCTCCAAGAATGAGACGGGACGGCGTCTGAGGGAAGTTTGAGCCTCCATTGGCGTCTGCGTATTTCAACACGCGGACCGACTTGCCGTCAATGAACCACTCGAGCTGCTCGTTCGTCCAGTCGACAGTGTAGTTGTGCCAGTCATCCTGGGCATTGTCGACCGGGTGCCATACCGCGCGGTCGTAACTGGTGTGGTTGCCCTTGCCGAAGTAGTTGCTCTGCACGTGTGTATTGTTCCCTCCGATCCATTCCCAATCCACCTCGTCCAACAGATCCGACTCCAGCACAATCGATGACACGATGCCTTGGCCCTTGGCGGCTTTCATGATCACCTCGACCTGCCCGAAGAAGATGTAGAAGTTGGTCTGCACCGTCGGCACGTCGCCGCGCCGGTTGATGGTGAAGTCGGCCCCGTCGTCCTGGTAGTCGATCTTGCCTGCTGTCGTGTTCCATACCCGATCTGACATGATGCTGCTTCGGAAATCGATCGTGTAATTGGCCACGCCCAACGCCGTATCGGCGGGACAATCTGTCCGATTCATCGGGTTACATGAGGTGAAGGTTTGGGCGAGGGTGGTCGAGAGGAAGAGGGAGAGGGAGAGAAGGAGGAAAACGCTTGTCTTGAACGGATAATGCATGGTAGTGGTCTTTCTTTCTTTGTCCTTTGAGTCTCAATCGCAAACTTGAACTGCAAAGTGGTGGCTCGAGTAGGCTGCGCAGAATGGCTCTTTGTCTTAAGGTAGAGATGTATTGAGGTGGCTGACTCCAGGTCCTGCCTGCGATGACCGTGCGTGCTAGAGGGAGATTTGGTGACGCTTGGACTTATTTTCAAATTGTTTACGCAGAGGTACAATAATGAGTGTGGGCACGCGTCGCTGCACAGCGCGACGTGTAATATACTGAAATGAGACTCGAGTCGGCGCAGAAAAGAGCGGCTGCGATAGACACAAACGAGGTGCTCGACAGGAGTAGCTTTCAGAAGACGTTCATCGCACCACTGCAACAACCTACAGAGGAGAAGTTCTGACTTACCGTACTATTACCGGGCTAGCTACAAGTCATCCCCGTTGTCCTTTCCAGGGGCATTTGGCAATATGGGATGAAACGCGCAGGGACGCAGAGTTGGCGTTTGAGCTCGCGACTTCAATTTCAAAAAAGGGGTTGGGCCAAGGTCGGCTCCGGACCAATAGACTGCAGTCCTAGCACTAGTACGGCACTAAGCATAAGTTAGTACAACGTTAGTGGGGCAGGTACTACCCAGGTACTTTCGACTCGAGTATCCAGGATGGTCGTCGGTGCGCCCAAGCATGATCATCCCGAGTACCCATCAGTTCCCACTGCATTTGTGGGTACTGATTGCAGCACTGCCTAGAGGATCTCGGTCACGGGGTACTGCTTGTGAATTCGCACTGCTTGATATCACAAAGGTGCATATCGACTATGTACCACTGCACAGCAGCGAAACTGTGAAAGTGGTTGGAGACGAGAGATGCAGTGAGCCAGACGAGCTTTCAGCTGAGGCTGGAGCAACTGGGGGTGGAGCTGGTCTCTGTCTTCACTGACCAACCAGTAAACAGCAAGCACGAGGATTGCAAGCGATGGGCGACCCGTCATGACATGCTCTCATTGCTATCTTGCATTGCAAAGATGAAGCAGCAGATGAATGTACTGGGTCAGCTAGGGTGCTCACCCACAATCCGGAGATAAGTGAGCCCGATGGTGCACGTGGTGCAACATGAAGTCCATCAATATCGTCACTATCTCGGAAGGTAACTTCAGCTGAGGGAACATCAGTCTTGATTTCATGCATACACTGATCCTTACATATATCTCGCTTCAGAATCACCGTTAAGCCGCGGGACTTCTGAGATTGAAGCGAGTTCTGGTGGTAAGTGTATTTCTCTGGGATCTTTGACCTCTACGCTTGGGCGTTTTACCAGCATCCCAAGCTCCGCATCGCCGAAGCTTACGGTCATGGCCTTGACGAACGAAGCAGCGTGGCTTCACAAGCCCAACGAAAAACTTCAAGTCTTCTCAGCCGAGATCGGCAAGCCTGGACCAGGAGAGGCTTTGATCAAGAACCATGCCGTTGCTATCAACCCGGTCAATTGGAAGATACAGGATGGTGTTTTTCCATCCAGTGTCTTTCCTCGCATCATGGGCAATGATCTTGCCGGCGAGATCGTTGAGGTTGGCGAGGATGTATCTGGCTTCTCCAAGGGTCAGCGTGTCCTGGCCCATGCCGTGGGCATTGCGATCCCCAAGCCCCAATATGGCAGCTTTCAGAAATACACCGTCGTGCCAGTCGTCGGTGTTTGCCCTCTCCCCGACAAAATAAGCTACGAGGAAGCTGCCGTGCTCCCTCTGGCGCTCTCTACTGCGACAGATGGACTGTTTCACGAAGACAAACTCGGCTTGCCCAAACCTAGCCATGAGGTACAGAAATCGGACAAGGCCCTGCTTGTTTGGGGAGGCAGTTCCAGCGTTGGTAGCGCCGTCATCCAACTGGCGGTGGCGGCTGGCCTCACAGTCATTGCTACGGCATCGAAGAAGAATTTTGAGTTCTGCAAAGAGCTTGGGGCGACTGAGGTCTTTGACTACAATAGTCCCAGCATTGTAGGAGATTTGACCGCGGCCCTCCAAAACCATAATCTCGCGGGTGCCTATGATGGTAAGATCATTCCTTGTTGTTGCAGTGCTTTCATGCTAACCTTCTCAGCCATTGGCTGTCGAGACACACAGCTCAACACCGCTCAGGTTTTGGCTCAACTGGGGGGTGGAAACATGGCCGTTGTGCTCCCTCCAAGCGACGAAATCCCAGCAACGGTGAATGCAAAGGGTGGTACGATTCTTCATCCCTCCTCGCCACATCAGTCTAGCTAATCACTTCTAGTTTTCGCCACGGAAATATTGCTGCAATTCAAAGAGTTGGGCAATGCACTCTACCACGATTTCCTGCCGGAGGCGCTTCAAAGTGGTCAGATCAAGCCGGCACCCAAACCGACAATAGTTGGACATGGCCTGGAGTTTATCCAGGCCGGTCTGGACAGATCTCGGCAAGGGGTCTCTGCCGTGAAACTAGTTGTCGCTCTATGAGCATCTGGTTAATGCCATTTTGGCCTCCACGAAGCCATGAACCGATACGATTTGTGGTAGTATGCTTGCTGGCACTTCAGGTAATAGGCCAGCGAAATACGAGCAGAAGCCTTGCAGTAGTGTTCCTCGGTTAACCTCAGTTCTATCTAGGCATGTAGTAGAACTAACCACTTCCCACGAGGTAGGTTCTGGAGGAGCACTGCATTGCAACTTGAAGTTGGAGTTCAAGTTGGTAGCTCAAAATGGCAAAGCGTCTCCCACATCCTGGGCCGGAACAAACTCGCGATTAGCTCCGCGAGTGATGATAGTCGCCGTATGACACAATCCTCTACCAGGATGCGCCCGCCTTGAATCATTCACTTATCTTACCCTCCGCCGCACCCGTCCCTGTGTCCTGCCTGGGATCAGCCTGTTCATCTACAGTGTGATAATTGATATATTGCTTTCAAGCAGTTCAAGTCAATTCATCTCGCTGAACTCCAGCCAAAATGGCACGACCTCAGATCCAGGAGGGCGTCTCGTCGCTGCTTGACACTGACCTGTATAAGCTGACCATGCAGTGCGCGGTGTTCACATATTTCTCCTCAGTCGACGTCGAATACAAGTTCACGAACCGAACGCCGAGCATGCGCTTAAACAAGGAAGCATTCGCCTGGCTGCAAGAGCAAACGGCCAAACTGGGGACAATTACACTGGCACAACACGAATTGGAATACCTGAGGCGGCACTGTCCGTACCTCAACTCCAAGTTCTTAAACTACCTCGAATCTTTTCGCCTGCGGCCAGCTGAGCAGGTCCAGATGACATTTACTCCAGTCGACGACGAGTTCGGAGATCTGGATATCACCATAAAGGGCCTCTGGGTAGAAACCATTTCCTACGAGATCCCCCTCCTTGCCCTTACGAGTGAGGCATACTTCAAGTTTGTCGACACAGATTGGGATTACGAAGGACAAGAAGAGAATGCTTATAACAAGGCGCGACGATTGTTGGAGGCGGGCTGTGTGTTTTCGGAATTTGGCACGCGGAGAAGACGGTCCTTTCACACCCAAGATCTTGTTATCAGAGGCTTGCTGAGGGCGTCGAAGGAGCAAGGTCTGCCCGGGCAGCTGGCCGGAACAAGCAATGTGTACTTTGCCATGAAGCATAGCATTCCGCCAGTTGGCACCGTGGCCCATGAGTGGTACATGGGAATCGCCGCGCTCAGCAACGATTATGAGCATGCCAACGAGCAGGGACTTCGGTACTGGCTCGACTGTTTCGGCAAAGGTGTACTGAGCGTGGCTTTGACCGACACATTCGGCACTCCCGACTTCTTCAAGGCGTTCAGACGCACAATCCCAGCAAAGACTTCCGGTCCACAAGATGAGACGGCAGAAGAGTCAAGTCAGTCATCCCACCCGGTCACTTATGCGGAAGTGTTTGCTGGCATCAGACAAGATTCGGGGGATCCAAAGGAGTACCTCAAATTAGCCAGCGACTTCTACAAGTCAATGGGGCTGGAAGGAAAGACCGTAGTGTTTTCGGATGCGCTCGATGTCGACAAATGTTTGGAGTACAAGAAGCTGGCCGAGTCGTACGGGTTCAAGCCGTCCTTTGGGGTCGGGACACACTTCACAAATGACTTCAGACGACGCTCTGACCCACAGATCAAATCGAAGCCACTCAACATCGTCATTAAGTTGTCGAAAGCAGGAGGGAGACCGGCCATCAAGATATCCGACAACATCGGCAAGAACACAGGTGACTCGGACACTGTTCGAGACGTCAAACGCCGGCTCGGGTACACAGAACGTGAGTGGGCTGAAGGCGATGAGGCGAGACGATGGTGAATCGAGTTTGGAGGGTGGAGGCCATTTGCTGCGTCACACTCATGCCTTGCACTGTCCAATGTCGCAGCCTCGCAGCCCCGGAGGAATCAGTACTAGGGTCTCATGAGTCGAGGTTTTGTCACATGCGGGGCAAGCGGTTGAGCCACAATCAGTATCAAAACTCTTAAAGAGACGACACCCAGGCAGATACTCCAGAAACACTGGTGCCTGTACAGTAGTGGGAGTAATGGAGAACAGGCCGACCAGAGCCACGGTGCTGACGCGGTTGAGATCAGAGCCAAGCTCCTTTTTAGTGTTGCCTACGCATAACATCTCAAGGTGTATTGGTTACAATGATAAAAAGATGTCGGCACAGGCAACCAAGTCGGCAAGGTATCAAGCGGACGCCGGTAACGGAATATGCTGAAACTATGATATTGTAAGTGATCCACGTCTTGAATCATGGGGCCTGATAAAGCCGTCCTGTAAGGATAAGCGCCGTTGGGTATTTCGCCATGCTAATGAGCAGCAATCTGACCAAATCTTTAGCGAAGCACTATATCTACTGTGTGTTCCTAAGGTGGAGGTCGCCGTGGCTACCCAACGTTTTTGGAAAGTAGGAGATTATATAGAGTATCTCCTGGTGAAGTCGCCTCTACGAGAACTGGAGACGGGAAAAGTCAATGACAATTGGAAGAAGGCGGGTGTAAGCTTCACGTTTGAAAGGTGTTTCTGCGTTTCCACTGCGGTCGAGATGAGGCGCAGGAGGCTGCTAAAAGCTTATGAGGCCTGACATCTGAAGGGGCTTTTGAGGCCGATGGGAAAGGAGGCCCCCAAACTATTTCTGAGAAGTCTTTACTTGGGCCACTCAGGGATAAATGCCATACTACAATTTGTAGTACTAGAGTCGAGCGCAGCCTATGACTGAACAGAATAGTCGCAGCAGTGCACTGGCAGTGGTGCACAGCCTCCAGGGTCTGTCGGCGGGTACCCGGTTAAAGCGCAGAGAGGGTCCAGCTCCGAGCCTCCTTTTACACGGTGCCTGGTACGCTGCACCATCCACTACTGGCAACCCCCCCTGCACTGGATTGGCGCTGGCATAACTGTAGTAGCACTGCTCAGGCTGGAGACGATCCGTGCCAGTGCCAGTGGACTGTACCTCTAGCCTGCCCGGCCTTTACCACAGGCTTCCACCCAGCCAGACTTTCCCCCTTCAAACCACTGGCATCCATCAGCCTGCGACTTCTCGCCTCGAACCCTGAGTCCGAACCCGAGCTGATCAGAACGCTGCAGTGATCACTCAGCTTTGCATTACTCTTTTCGACTTCAATTCTTCAGCTGCTACACCTCCCGTGCGGTGCATTTTATCACCTCCCCTTTCTAAACAGTTGCATCACTTCGTGTCGCATATTCTCAACGGCTTCGCGTCTCTGCGCCTCAGCACCGGCGCCTCCGATTGTATTTCTCCTACATCCTGCAGTATTTCCGCGTACCACATCCATTGAACAATAATCTTCAACATCAAGCCGATCAATACCGTTGAACAGGACTCTTCATCATGAGCGTATGTTTCCCCATCGTGTTGCTTCACGTGTCAAGCTGCTTCGAATGCCCCCGGGTCCCGACCGCGGCTACCGAGATCAATTCTGTTGCCTTTCCACCTAGGACTTTGGACTGATTGCAATTCTAGTACAATCAGGGTTACGGTGGCCAACAGGGCGCTCAAGGATACGGTGGCTACAATCCTTACAACCAGTCCGGCAATCCCTACGCGCAACAGGGGGGCTACAACGAAAGCCAAGGATACAATGAGCAAGGCGGCTACGACAGCAGGCCGCAGCCACAGCAGCAAGGCAGCAGCTACTATGCTGAGCAGGAACAAAATGCCGGCGGATACGGTAGGGAAATCTTTGTTGCCATGACTGCACAACCCGGCTAATCCGCGACGCTAGAAATGCGGAATATGAATGGTTCCGACCCGAACAGAATCCTCAATGAATGCAGAGCCGTTGATCAAGCCATCGACGAGATCGAGGCCGATCTGCAACGTCTCCGAGGCCTTCAATCGCGGTATTTGGCCGACACAAATACCTCGGCGCAATCGCCGCTGCGCATCGAAGTCGACCGAACCGGGGAAAACATCATGACCAAGTACAGAGGTTTGGTTAGCCGGGTCAAGAACATCAAACAACAACCAGAGTCGGGAAACCCTCGCAATGCTCCACAAGTTGGCAAAGTGGACCGCAGACTCAAGACGGCCATCAACCAATACCAACAGGTTGAGCGAGAGTTCCGAAAAGCATCGCAAGAGCAGATGGCAAGACAATACCGCATCGTTCGGCCTGACGCCTCAGATGCCGAAGTTCGCGAAGCCGTTGAGGATCCGAACAATCAGCAAATCTTCAGCTCTGCCTTGATCCAGAGCGATCGCCGTGGAGAGGCACAAACTGTGGCCAGAAACGTTTCGCAGCGGCACGAGGATATCCAAAAGATTGAACGCCAGATGATTGAGCTTGCTCAACTATTCCAAGACCTTGAGGCACTGGTCGTGCAACAGGAACCCGCAGTCACTCAGATCGAACAGAGGGGTGAAGAGGTAACGGAGCATGTGGCCAAGGCCAACACCGAACTCGAAGGCGCGGTTGTCAAGGCCCGAGCTGCCCGAAGAAAGAAGTGGATATGCTTGGGAATTGTTTGTGAGTACTATCTGAACTATCTGAACTTGTCCAGGGCTGTTGATGAATTCCTTCTAACTTGTCTCCAGTGCTCATCATTATCATCATCATTGTGGTGGTTGTGGTGGTTGTCGAGATCACCAAGAATTAGGGGTCCAATGGCGGCAGCAGTCCCCAGGCTTCAGCTACATAATTCTTGGTTAGCACCCCCTGGCACGCTGCTGTAGTGCAGCCAGTACACCAGGCCATAAAGAACTTTCCCTTTCCACAATCAACCTTCCATCCCTCTGACTACCCGTGCGGTGTCCAATTGTGCGGAGCCGTGGTGCCTTCAAGTTTGTTGACGGATTGTGCCCGTCATAAATCACCTGCCGTTTCAATCGAATGGTCTTGAAGGCCTCTGAACTGCATGGGTGCGCGTAAAGTCATCTCATTGCGAGAAAAGAAAGCGGGTCAGATCAGAAACCAACTGGGCGCACAGCCGAAGTGAGTAGAAACAGGCGAAGAAGGAATGGTTGTGTTGTGATATCTCATATGTTCAGAAAAAAAGCCGGCGCAAAGCAAAGCAAAGCAGAGCAGAGCAGATTGTGTGCCAGTGATGTTTTGTGTGTTTTGTGTGTTTTGCTGCTGTTTTATAGTTTTTTTTTTCTTGGTTTGGTTAGTACAGGTTCAGGATTGGGTGACATGTGCAGCATGTCTTTTGTTAGACAAAGTACTACAACTATTCTAATACAACATTCCATGTTCGGTCCGAGCGTGTCCTTGGGGATCAAATTTGCTGAAAGAGGAAGACAGGTAAAGCAGGGCAAAGCAGGGGCATTAGATGCAGTGTAGTGGTCGGGAACTTGAAGCCTTGCATTGAGTGGCCTTGCAAGTCGTGAGCTTGAATGTGATGTCGATAAGACTGTCTGTTCAGTTTCGCGATTAAATACTAGGTAGTAATCCATCTGTCTGATGCCAGTTCGACCAGCCTCGGTATAGCGATATGGACATGCATGCATACAGGGTATGTGTAGGTAGGTACCTAGGTTGATAGATTCAAATGTTGGTCTAATCCGATTTCCTCGATTTTTCCCTCTCTTCCTCCTCGGGCGTCTTTGTCCGCAATTGCAACGCGTGGATCCCGCCCGGTCGCTCGAGTTCTTCTTTCAGGAGAGAATAGACCATTCGATGTCGTGCGGGTTGGGATTTGGATGCGAATGAGGGGGAGATGATGTCTAGACTGTTATTAATTAATTGGTCAGTGGATCGATTGATATTATGACCTTTTTGGGTTTTTGATTTTTGGGACCTTGGATTTAGAAGCTTCGCATGACAGGGGCGGGGGCTAGGAGAGTGTTATCTGTTGGCACGTACTAGAAATGCGTCTCTCTCGACGTCACACCCACCATGGCTTGGTGATGGGCATGTTTGTGTGAATCGTTTCGGATGCGGAGGTCGGTGGGGTTCAGGGCTTCTGTGACCTATGGGAACAAGGTGGTTTGATGTTAGTCTAGATGGTTCTGGTTCTGGTTCTGTGAGGGACTGAGTGATTTTGCTGGTGCTGGTCATGGATAAACATGGTACTCTGAGGTATGTTGTAGGATATATTTTGAGGGCATCATTGAGTTTGTCTTCCCTTTTCTCTTTCTTTTGGATCTCGGAAAGACTTGGGGGTAGGTGAAAGAAATTCAACAGGATTAGGGACACTGCAGGGCAAGGCAGGGCAAGGCAGGGCAGGGCAGGCAGGGATGGAGATTTTTGCAACGCGCCTAAATCAATGGTTGGGATATTGGTGCAGTGGTTCCTTGGTGGGAGGGAGGCCCACATGTAAGTACCCCTTTTGGGAGAAAAGGAGGACATTGTGCCGCCCACGCCGTGGGTTTATACATTGACTGAATAGGGAGGAGGGCATTGGGAAGGGCGTTTCATGGCATGGTAAGAGGGACAAGGTAAGGGAAAGGTAGATAGACGGATAGGACAGGATGAGGACAAGGCTGAAAGAATGCCGCTCCAATTCCATTGCATCCGCGGGAGTAATAATGGACACGCAAAAGACCAACAGGCTTGACTCACTTTGCGCCGAATCGTGTCCTCAACGGGGGTATTTGAGCTGCTCGCCATTCTTCTGAATGATACTGTTGATCGCCCAACGAAAGAGCTGCGCAGGGCTGAAAAAGGTGTCATTGGGACATGGTAGTTTGTGGTCCTCGAAGAAATGGTCTGGGGATGGAAATGGATGTCTTTTCTAGCTCTGCCAGTGGATTATACGACAGTGGGACTTAGCAGGTTGTTAATTTGAATTATGGCTAGTTTGTTGGTTAGCGTCCAAGATCTGACCCGAACTCTGACGCTTAACGCTTGGTTAAAACTTGCAGTCTCTTCACTCTGGCCTCGAGTCCGATCACTGATGCTTTGCGCCTCAATTGGAACTACGGTAGCTCTTCCCCAGGACAGTCAACAACCGAGGGACTTAAAAGGCAGCAAAACGCTCTATTCCGATAATCGCATCAATGGAGGTGAACTCTCCACCATTAACATCGCCGTGTCTGCTCTGTCAAGACAGCTCCGACACAGATTTCATTCCTCCTTCTGCTTCCTGGACATCTCCGGGTTCGCCAGCGCATCAGCGTTCCATCTCGGGTCTGAACTCTCCTTGACCGGCGCCCATCCCAGTTGGATCTGTTTATGGTTCAAATGAGCTTCAAGTTGTCGTGAAATGCAGGGTTCAACACCGCCCAAGACATATGTACATACCTGCATGGTCTTCTGATCCCAATCCTTGGTAAAACTCTTGATTTTGCCATCTTCGACCTCAAAGATGGCCGCTGCACTCCACTGCGCATGGCGACCAGATGCGGGGATTCCCTTGTACGGTTTCCCACAGTGGCTGCCTTCGGCGGTATAGCGGAGCAGGACCTGGCCGTTTTTTGCGAACACCTGGTCGAACCGGATGATGTGCAGGTCGGCCACACTTTCCATCACGACGGAATGTGACTGAGCATAGTCCATTGGCGTCTCGCAGCCAGGAAAAGTGGCCGGAGCCCAGAACCAGCTGTCGTCCCGGCACAGATGACGAACCGAGTCTCCTCCCTTGTTTTCACTAGGTGAGTACGCGATCGCCATGTATTCTTTGCATATTGCGATGTTGCGCTGTGACGGCATTTGTTGCTGTCAGTCGATCGCTCTGGGTGTGCTCCCAAGGCCTCCTCATCCTTCTCCGACAGCAGGTAGGTTAGGAGAAGCAGACTGACCTCTTCTTCCGGAGTCTGATCTGTGGTGATCACGGCTGGAGGGTATTTCTCGGGGGTCGTCATGTTGGCGCTTGAGATGCTGAATGGTGAACAACAGGATCAATAGGCCTCCTCCGATTTTACATTCATCCCATGGCACTGAAGTATTGGTAAAATTACTCCCATTGTTTAATTCAATCCATATCCTATCCGACTTAATACGTCATTGTACTCGTTGTGAGGGGTAGTCACTGGGGAAGGTGATGCAAGGCTATACTCACAAGGCTGTGCGTTAAAGCTGCGCATTATGGCTTCCACTGGCAGGGGAGACCTGAAGGATATGTGTTATCCTTGCTGACAGGGCTAGGACGGAGAATATTTACTGGAGCAGTATGCAGAACAACTGTTGCTATTGAAAGCTCAAGCCGCCGGTTGTTCACTTCTTCGCAAGTTGGATAAGTTCTTGGTCAGTCACCACTGTAACCAGGTTGAACCCTTTCATTAAGCTAATTATTCAACAATCGCACCACCTCAGGGTGATTATTTCTTGCCGCCCTTTCGATTGCTCGCTCGCCAAATGTGTCTCGAATGGTAGCATCTGCACCGTTGTTGAGGAGAAATTCCACCATCTCCGCGTCACCTCGTTCTGCGGCCCCATGAAGCGGAGTTCCCAGAGCCATGAAATCGCAATATTGGAACGAAGTTGGATGGGATTGATATTCGATTTCATTGATTCTGGCCCCTCTCAGCAGGAGCGATTGAGCAACATCCAGCCGATCGGCGGAGCTGCGCCGTGTAGCCCAGTGAAGGGGCTGGCCATAATCGCACGAGGCGCCGTGATCGAACAGAAGCTGGATGATTTCCAAGGAGGCTTCTAGGACTGCGACCGACAACGGGGTCATGTCGAATCTGCACTGGGCGTTCGGGTCTGCGTTCTTCGACAAGAACAACCTTGTGAGTTGGGGATCATGGAATGTCAGCCTGCCAGAGTCAGTTCTCGCGTAAACGGTCATGATATCTTGGGACATACGCCAACGGTGGAGGGTTCCAAGCGTTGATGGGTTGGTTGATATCGACGCCGCTGTCCAACAGGGCGGAAAGGATCTCAGCGGGACATTGCCTGATAGCCCATTTTACGTCTTGAATGGAAGCGGACTGGCCTTCGGCAATTTTGCGTAGTACCCTGGGATAGTCTCCAGCCATGAGTGCACACCCTAAACTGTTAGCATGGGCTCTGAGCATAGCGCCCCAGTCGATCTCTCTGTCCCGGGACTCCATGTTCTGTATCTGCAAGAGATTAGAATGTTGGATAGTGGTGGTCTGCCTGCAGATTGTAGTCGACTGGGTGATGCTTTTATGTCCAGCGACCTCACGTGCAAGATTTGCCTCCCATTATTGCTGCCTAATGCGGCTTGAACATTTCTAACCGTCTTCTTCGCCTGCGTTCCTCGAAGAGTGACAGGTCCCGAGTTGGCGATGCCGGTGCAGGTGAATCTGGATGGCGTCTCTCGTGAGTGATTTTGTAGACTTGATGAAAGATGCGGTGCTGCGTACTACCAATAAGCTGACTAACGTGGCTAATATGTATTGTACATACAAGTAAGCACGATCGATGTCCCCGCCTACTAGTAGACACCGTCTTCCTGCTTCTTACGCATCTCTACAACCTGCACAAATCATCCGTCAAACCCCAATTCAGGTCCAGGAAAGCTGTTCATCAAAGCGGTGTGTCAAGCGGCCTCGCAACGGTCGCGGCATTGAGTGGTCTGAAGCTGAACGCCCACGGTGTCAGGACGACTTGCCCTCACCATGCCGGAATCGACCTCATCCATGCTATCGTCACGTCTCGCCAACCTGAATCCTTTCTCTAGGTCCCAAAGCAAGACCGATGATGAAGACCTCGGGGAAAAGATTGATCCAAGTACGATTGCAGGCGGTGGCCATGGTGTGCGCTCCTCCGAGGTCAACAAGGATCAACTTCAAATCAGCCACGCCCTGAGATCATTCCTGGTCCATCACAACGTGATTTCCAAAAGTGATGCTAGCTTGCACAACGGGGGCCACTTGTCGGAGCCATTACAAGCCCTGCTCAACAAGCCCTACATCAATGTGCCGCCGTATATTACTGACAGGTCTCATCCGTTGCCGGAATACTTTATCAGTTCTAGCCATAACACGTATTTAAACGCTCACCAGCTATATGGAGATTCTTCAGCAATAGCGTACCAGACAGCTCTCAGTACTGGGTCTCGCTGCGTCGAAATTGACGCCTGGGATGACGATGAAGACAAAGACGAACCGAAGGTCACGCACGGCTACACCCTCGTGTCGCATATTTCCTTTCGATCCGTCTGCGAGACCATCCGCGATACTGTGGATAGCGAAGCAGCACAAGTCACAAGTGACGGCCAGTATCAACCTTCACCGATCCTGGTATCCCTGGAGAACCACTGTTCCGTCCATGGACAGCGACGCCTCGTACAGATAATGAAGGACGTCTGGGGAGATCGCCTACTAAGTGAGGCCGTCAGAGCTAAAGGGCACAAGGAACAAACTGGCTCCGGAAGCCATGTGCGACTGGAGGAGTTGGGTTCGAAAATCGTTGTCATTGTCGAATACCATTTCCCCGGCGAACCCGAGGACGATGAAAGCAGCTCCAGCGATGACACCGAAGAAGAGACACGACAAGCGCAAAGGACCAGCAAGGAGAAAAAGAAGGTCGCTCCTTCAGTCACCATAATACCTGAACTGGCCGAGTTAGGCATCTACGCTCAGTCGGTGAAGCCCAAAGACAACTCTTGGTACGCTGAAGTCGGCCTCAAGGACGGTCCGCACCACCACCTCATCAACATCTCAGAAACCGCACTGCGAGCGCATTTGCCGGCCGAAATCCACAGAATCGCCCGGCATAATGCACAACATCTGATGCGAGTGTACCCTAAGGGAACTCGAGTCTCGTCTAAAAACCTCAATCCTGTGCCTTTCTGGGGGCTCGGAGCGCAGATCTGCGCCCTGAATTGGCAGACCTTCGGGGCTGGTCTGCAGCTGAATCAGGCTTTGTTCAGTGGGTCCGAGGGTTATGTGCTGAAGCCTGTGGCTCTCCGCGCTGGCGGCAACGGGGTACTCAGCACCGGCCAAAAGAAGAGGCTTCGGCTTCACGTAGCAGGGGCTTCTGGCATTCCCCTACCTGAAGGTCGGAAGGCAGACGACATCTCACCGTACTTATCCTGTACTATGATCCATCCCGATGATCTGGAGAAGGACCCGGTCAAACGCAAGACGGCACCTTACAAACATCACAAGCTCGGTTTCCTCCATGAAGGCGAGAACCCGCCGGCCACGGACCCGGTTTGGGATGAGACCCTTGAGTGGGAGTATGAGGATAATGAATTGGCCTTTTTGCGCATGCTCATCAAGAGCGACGACAGCTACTCCAGGAACCCTGTGCTAGCAGTCGCTGCTGTCAGGCTGATGTATGTTGTGCCTGGATGGAGTTTCATCCGTATGCTAGACTTGAAGGGCAGGGAGACGACTTGCTCGTTACTGATCAGATTCGAGTTGGACAATGTTTAGATGGGGAGGGTAATGTCAACTACCCACAAGGGCCATGATATACAATGAGAGCCATCTTCCATCACTTTAATCTTTGTCTTAAGGCTCCGTGAGATGATACTACTGCCAGTGTGTAGTAGGACTCGACTCGGGAGTTTGAGCGGCGCCCGGCCGGAATAAATTGTATTGCCGAACACCAAAAATGCTGACATAAACATGTCAACTGTGGAGTACAAGAGCCCCTCGGCCCCATTTTCCTCATTGTTCGCACTTCAATTGACTGCCCATTGATTGTGGTGCGTTCCGTTCCTCTACAGCTTTCGGAAGCTGAGAGCTCGTCAATCTCGGGGGTCGAGTTCGGTTCTAATCCTTTCTTGTCCAAGTACTATAGCTGCGAGGCTAGGGCCCCTGAGACTAGTAGGACTCTGTTGGGCGTGCTCAACAATGTTGGCACGATGCGCCCCATTACTCTGTTTGCTCGATTGAACGCCCACGCCGCCGTCCCTCGCTCTGGAGCTGGCTTCAAGTTGACTGCAACAACAGCTCTACAGTCCTTCCCCCGGTTGCTCAGTAAGGGATCTCGAACTCGATTTCGAATGGCGTCTACTCTGCCCTCCACGCCCATTTTTGAGGCGATTGCCAAACATGACCCGCGGAGTCCGGCCATTGTTCACAGCGCCTCTGACCGGACCTTTTGCTACGGCAGCTTGCTGCACGATGTGGCCGCTGCCAAAGACAATTTGACGGCACTCGCCGACGGCAAGTCTTTGGCGGGCGAAAGGATTGCATTTCTGGCCGAGAACGGCTATGACTATGTAGGTGCGGCAGCACACGACCCACCCCAAGATAGATGACCAAGGCATCGAGGCATATTGACAAAGAATCCCCAGTGACTTTCCTCTCGATCCTGGCTCAAGATGCCATCGCCCTTCCCTTGGCACATACACATCCGAACTCGGAGCTGCGATACATCATCGAGAACAGCGAAGCCGCCCTGTTTCTCTCGACACAAAAATTCCAAGACAAAGCTCAAGAGGTGGTGAAAGAAGGACTCAACCATGTGCCGAGATTGGAAATCCTGTCCAAAATTGAGACTGGGGCCGTTTCGGCCGAAAATGTGAAATTCGGCCCCAACAGCGTTCAGCAGGGCGGCTTCATGCTGTATACGTCTGGCACGACCAACCGACCCAAGGGGGTGGTGTTATCGGTGTCCACGATCACGGCGCAAGCACGGTCATTGATCGAAGCATGGAACTATATGCCGTCCGATTTGCTTCTACATGTCCTGCCACTGCATCATATCCACGGGACGGTGAACGCGCTCTTCACGCCTCTGATGGCCGGCGCAGCCATTGAGTTTGCATACCCTTTCAACGCGGACACGGTATGGAAACGACTGGCGGCGCCGTTTCTTCCACATTCTCCGCCGACAAAACGACCCATCACCTTCCTGACGGTGGTGCCAACGATCTACAACCGACTTCTGGCCACGCATCCCACGTTGAGTCCAGACATGCAGGAAGCCACCCGCACGGCCATCACGCCGCAGTATATGCGGCTCAACATCTCCGGGTCCGCGGCGTTGCCCACTCCCACGAAACAGGCCTGGACCGAACTCAGCAGCGGCAATGTTCTGCTCGAGCGGTATGGCATGACAGAAGTCGGGATGGCGCTTTCATGCGGCCTGGCATATGAAGACCGGGTCGACGGAAGCGTCGGCTGGCCTCTGCCATCGGTTCAAGTCCGGCTGGTCGAGACTGAGACCGGCCAAGTCATCCAGCCCGGGGAGGAAACAGATTCCAAAACAGGCAAGCCGCGTGAAGGCGAGATCCAGCTGCGCGGCCCGACCGTCTTTAGCGGATACTTTCGCAACCCGAAGGCGACGGCGGAAGCGTTTGTGGAAGATCAAACCAACGAGAATGGAAGTGGCAACGGTAATGCCAACGGCAACAGCAGCAGCAACGGCAAATGGTTCAAAACAGGCGATATTGCCATTCGACAACACGTCCCAGGCACCGGACAGAGCGACCAGTCCTGGGCCAAGGGACCCATGTATTTCATCCGCGGCCGCCAGAGCGTCGACATCATCAAGACTGGCGGCGAAAAGGTGTCGGCGCTCGAAATCGAGCGCGAACTGCTTTCCCTCCCTCAAGTCGCAGAGGCCGCCGTCGTAGGTATCCCTTCTGAACAATGGGGCCAGAAAGTCGCTGCCGTCATCGTCCTCACTGAGCAAGGATTGACTGCCGGCAAGGGAGGCAAGCCATGGTCAGTCATGGACATGCGTCGCGCTCTAAAGGACCGGTTGGCGAATTATAAGATTCCCCAGGAACTGAAAGTCGTCGATTCCATCCCCCGCAATGCCATGGGCAAAATCAATAAGAAGTCTCTGGTCAAGGATGTGTTTCCGGAAACTCGGGAAAAGTGACCGGACCGGTCTTTTTTCCAAAAAGGGGGGTAAGAAGGGGATTTGTGCTTTTTCTTGTCTGTTTTTCACCCTCCGAACAAGTGCTTTTGAGGCGGCTAAAGGGGCCAAACAGCGAGGTTCGACTTTGTGCATTCATATTGTGGTGGTCGTTACCTGTGTTGATCTGACTTACGTATGCATGGATGGATAGAGAAAAATTTTGCAAAAATCAGGCATGGCACGGCATGGGGTGGGCGGCCATAACAAATCGTCGTTGAAAAAGAAGCTTGCAAAGCTAAGGTGGGGGGGGGGCGGCTATATGAATTGTTCACAGAACAGGAGCAGGAGCAAAAAGTCGACATCAGGATTCTTTTTGAATACTGTATCTTGGTTCTTCTCTGTATAGTTAGAACTGTACGAGTGCTACTCTCCAATTTTACGCAGAGAGCGCACGCAGTCCAGTCCTTCTGGATGCTTTTCCCCAGTAGTACAACTACCTAGGTATCTAGATACTGGTGGGTGCCAGTCCTGGTAATTCTGAATGCCGACGAATAGTCGGTTGAGTTGCAAACCACAACAAGGCTTGAACATGCTTCTACTATAACATGTAGCGATACTCCGGGTTCATGTCGCCCATCTCGGTCTTCTCGTACTCGGTCAAGCCGACATCGGGGGGTGTCTTTTCGCGACTTCTGTTTTGGGTGGCGCAGGCCACATAGTACAGCACGCAGCTGACGGCGCTCAGGCAGATGAAGCCCATGCAGATACTGTAACCTTTGTGGAAGAATGTTTTGGCATCGCCGGACTCGAAGCTGTAACTGGCAATGATACTAGCGAAGAACACAAATCAGCATCTGGATCATGTCATCACCAAAAACGTGGTATAAGCCATGAAAACTTACCCGCCAATATTTCCAAAGCCAATCTGCCACGCGGTGCCCACGGATCTTCTATGATGCCCACCTTTATGTTTCTGTCAGCAAACGGGGGTTCTGATTCTCAGAGTGATTCTCTTACCTAGATTCATACTGAACCAGCATACAATGATAGGCATGGCCGAGTAACATCCCGAAGTGACTAGGAACAAAGCACCGTATTCGGTATGGTGGTCATGGTGCACGGTCATGAGGATGGCAAACCCGGCAATGGCGATCAAAATGGGGACCATGGCAAACAGGAACCGGTGGCGTAGACGATCGGACAAGGCGGCGATTAACATGGAAAACCCGAATGCAGCCGCCCAGGGCGGAACGGAATGTAGTTGAGTCTGAATCGATCCGTATCCGTACGATTTGATGATGGTTGGTGCAAAGTAGGCATAGCCATAAGCTGTGGGGACATATCCATGTCAGCAAGCTGAACTGCTTTGCGAAAACAGAAAACAAAGGTCTCAACTCACCTGGTACGATCAGTCCAAAGTACATGAAGCCGCCAAGGATGATCTTATAGTCCTTGAAGCAATTCACCACGTCCTTGAAGGTGATGCGTCGCTCAATGGCTGATTTGCCCTGGTCATCGCGGAGTCGCTGCATGACAAATTGTCGCTCCGGCTCACTAAGCCATTTGGCCTCCTCGACAAAGTCGGGAATGACAAAGAACCAGATGAACGAGACCAAGCAAGTGACGCAGCCTTCGATGATGAACACCCATCTCCATCCAAGATAGCCACAGAGACCATCCATTTTGCCAATGGCTGAGGCGAGGAGACCGCCAAAGGCGCCGGCCAGGGTCGTACTGGCGAAGAAAAACGTGTATCGCTTCTGAGCCTCGGCACGTTTGTACCACATTCCTATCAGATAGAAACTTCCGGGAAACATGCCGGCTTCAAAGAGCCCGAGGAAAAATCGAGTGGTGATGATACCGCCATAGCCCTGAACAAGACCTTGGCAAACCGTTACAAGGCCAAAGCCAAACATACAAATCGAGAGCCAGACATGAGGTCTGAGACGCTTCAAGATGATGTTGGAAGGAATCTCAAAGATGACATACGGGACCTAGGAGCAGGGAATTAGCGACTGGAAGGAGCTTGCTACAGACTTCGAGTTTGCGTACGAAGAAAATGGTCAAGGCCGTTGAGTACTGCGTGGCAGTCAAGCCCAGATCTTTCTGAAGCCCAAAGATGGCGGCGTTGGCGACATTGGTTCGGTCGAGAAAGGCCAGAAGATAGAGCACGGAGAGCACGGGTATCACTCTCAAGTCGATTTTCGTGAGCAGTCTCCTTTCCGAGATGCCCGGCGGCAGGACATGGCGCTCGGCATCTGTGTAGGGAGCTGCTGGATGAGCGAGGTCCGGATCATAGTTCAACTGATGCTCGCCCAAGCCATTGGTGTCGTTGAAAGCCTCGCTTTTCTTCTCGCCTGCTCCGAGTTGAAAGTGAGTCACAATCCATAAGCATAAACCTCTTGAAGAAATGCTGACTTACTGGTACCATCGAGAGAAAACCGCATATTTGCGGAGGGGTCGGCAACACTACACCAGAGAAGAGGCGCTTAAACACTGGCTGCTGCGCGCAAGACCCAAGATACTGGAAGAAGGCCTATTTCTTCCACAGTATGGTGTCGCAAAAGTATTTTGTTTGTTGCGAGGGAAAGGGAAAGTGTGGACAGCGGAACACCGCTGGTGGGAAGCGGGTCCTCTTTGTAGTACAACAGTGGCACTGGCAGTTGAGGGTTGATGCGCACAAACATCAGCACAAGCATTACGGGCCAGAAGGCCGGGCGCCGTGCAAGAGCTTCGAGATGGGCCAAGAAGGCTTCCTCTCCACACATTATTGGCAGTTCCAGCTCCAGTGCCTGTTGGTGCCCTTGTAGCCGAGGCCAGTTGCCGCCAGTCACCAGTGGCAACTTGAACGCCAACAGCGGAATCGGGGCCGTTTGGTGTCGCTGGGCATTCTATCGCAGCTCTTCCAGGTGCGATGCAAGTGGTTCTCCAGATGGAGAAGAGATCGGTCCCGTCCTAGCAGGCTGGAGATGAAGCAGTAGGGATGCAACATAGGATCGGAGTGGAGGGACGATAGAGACAGTGATAGGCTGGCCCCGGGTCACGAGAGCCTATAACCAGGACAAGCCCTCAGGCTGGACAGCGCCACGACCGCCTGGTCTTCAGCCAGCGGCGGATGGCGGCAGACACCCCGCAAAGACAGTCCTTTAGGCGAGCCTTGACGCCCGCGAGGCCTTACAGCGCCTACAGCGCCCGTGGAGTAGGTAGGAGCTCCCCGAACTGCTGCCGGCAATTGAACCCAACTCTGCACTGGTGGACACGTTTCGGGGGTTCCGCGGGCCTAGTCCTCTGATTTGTTTCCACATCTTGGCCTGTGGCATGATGATCGGAGATATCAAGGCAAAAGGATTTTAAACAAACCTGTCCTGGTTGAATTGCTGAGATTGCACAATACATACTGTGCCTACCTACATGTAGGTAGTTATTCACATGCCATGGCCGTAGATATCCCTGGTAGGCGCAGATTGATGGTGTCGCGAGTCAATATCGCATACATAAGACCTGGCTTCAAGGGGACACTGGCTACACCGGAGCGCAGGCCGAAACCGCGGATGAGTGCCAGTACAGTATATTTCTGCATCGTCCCTGCCACCTAGTGAGGTACAGGATTATGTGGTTCAGGTTGTGTTCAGCCTACTCTATACTGGCAGCACCAATGCAGGCACTGTTGATACTTGCTGCCACCTTCATAGACCTGGTATTTGGGTTCTAGTAAGCACTATGACAACTACTACCCAGGTAGTATCGGCCAACGCACTAAAACCCCACGTCCACACTGCGACCGGCGGCAGGCTTGAGCCTAGAATGAAACTACTGGTAGGTACTAGTGCTCCTAAAGTCCTACTAGTATCTCCCGTGTCTATAGACGCACACCGTGATATGGTGACAACCACACTCTGCTGATCTCGAACTTTGATGCCACCCACGCCCAGCATCCCTCGCCGCCAATCATGGTCGAGCCGGCTTTTCACAATCCGCTGCTAGCCATGGATCAGCCTTTGTGGTAGACTCGGCGTGAAGGAACTCATGAAAGTATACTCTGGGGAGGCGAAACGCCTTTGAACTTTGATTCTGTTCAGCTCAACGCACCTCAATCGTAAGCCTCGTCGGAGCCACTGCTGCTCTCGATGCACCAAGATGCAGGATTAGACGCTGCGTGTTGACCCCTCTCCACCGCTGGCGGGCGCTCACTGTACACTGCCGACATCGAGAAGCTGTCATAACTGTCACGGCAGCCTTGTGTTGCTGTCTCTCAATTCATGTCCTCCTGCCTCTATTCTCCACGCCAATCTTCACCAGATCCTCAACGCCGGTGACGTGCAGTGCTTGACGTTTGGCTGAGGGGGCGGCGCACATGGATGCGTCTGCCTCGGCGGTGAGCCGAAACGGCAATGGCAAGCGTAAATACGAACATGGGCCCGTCATGAGAGTGAGCTCACCTTTCATCAACACCGCCAGTTCGTCATACCAGCAAGCATGCTCCAAACCCTTCAATGGCCGCAAACTCGTCTTTCAGCCATTAGCAACATCAAATCGACTGTCTGGAGATGACACTTCCCACCGTTGTGAGCCGCCGGCAGTACCACATGAGACTACAACAGGAGGGCCGGCCTCTGCCGGCCAATTTACCTTCGTCGTCAGCACGGCCGATAACTTCCTGCCCGGTCAGCGTTATCGCACAGCGCGCTATAGCCGTCAAACATCCGTTTCACTAGGCGATGACGGTGAACCAGCACACAAGAGATTGCGACTGACCTGCGAGACACAGCAAGCGCAGAAGCCCATCCTGAGGCCGAGTCGCCCAATTGCGATATCAGACCAGGTGAATAGTGATATCTGGCAGGGTATATTAAGTTACTGCGACCCCAAGCTTCTACTCAAGCTCAAAACCATAAATTCCGCCTTTTACCGCCTGCTATCTGATCGTTCCGCAATATGGAAACAAAGCAGGCAAAATTACTTCGGGGCGGACATGCCAGATTGCCCTCAGGGTCTAACAGAGCAACAGTACGTTGATCTTTTGGCGGGCAGGGGGTGCCAAAGCCGCACCTGTCCTAACGAGAATACTGCGAGGGTCTTCTGGACATTTCAGACTCGCCTGTGTCCAAAGTGTTTCAAGGAGAGAACAATACGCGTGAGTGATCTGCCGTGGTTGTTTCTAGGGATAGTCATGACTCTTGCAGGCCGACGATCTTCCTCTTCAGCGATGCCACAGCATATATTTATCTAATATCAAAGACTCTGCGGACACTAGAGTGCAGCTTTGGGAACTGCTTCCAATGGCACGGAGCGATGGGTAAGTGGTCCCTGCTGCATGTCTAGCTCGTCCTTCTGCCTTCTGACGGTGTCATTCTCCAGTCGTCGTTATATGCAACCTCGCCCTGTCGATGTCACCACCAACAGCTGGCGAGGTGGCTCCAACTCATGTCATTTTGCCTTCCTCAAATCATCCTACGCCCAGTTAGAAGATATGTATCTGGACTTCGTGGCTAGTTCGCCTCAAAGCAACGATGCCCTCAAAGGGTGGGTGGAGGGCGTTCGGAGGCAGACGATGGCATTCATGACCGAGGTACAACAAATAGAAGCCTGGTATAAAGTGCGAAACGGGGCGGACAGGGACTTGCAACAGGTGAGAATTGACTTCTTCGAGACGCGGGCGGCACAACTGTCCCCGCCCCTGCAAAGCCGCATCCTGTGGAACATGGCCGCTTTCCGGCGGGTGATAAGGGTCCCACAGGCACCATCAGAGAGATCGTGGAACACGCTCAAAGCGAAGATCTTGCCCTACCGGGAACAGGCGGAGCAAGTCGAACAGTTCAAGATTGCCATGGCTCACCGAGATCATTCGCGATTCTCTCCTAGCATCAGATTGTCTGAAAAATTGCATGACCATCGATCAGGTCGAAGCAAATGGGTCCGGACATTGCAACCCGAGCAGACATTCGTACTTGAGCTCGGCCAAGAAGTGTTTGCCCGTTGCTTGGATGACAAAGTGGCAGACGAAGACCTCTTATTGATGTGCTTGAATGGTGTCTACCATGTATATGAGCAGTTGAAGAAAACATCAAAGTGCCCGGTCGGGCTTAATTTCGATGGCACTACGGGTCCATATATACTTACTCTGGATGACGCTCGCATGATCGTGGAGGATGTCTTCATGAAAGAAATCTCGCCGCGATCTCAACGAGGCGAGACAGTCTTTCGGGGCCTGAGATGCAGAGGCTGCCATCGCAGTGACTTCATCAAGACATGGTCTTTCACGGCGGCTTTTGAACACATACTGGAAGCACACAGCCAACAGATTGGCGAAGGCTTGGAGTTCTGGCGGTTTGCAGTTCCGTTTGGGTCGTGTAAACTACGCGACGGGCGCGACGGGCCACTACGCTTCCCATGGTACAGCGTGCCTTGGCCCAAGTGCCTGCCCCTGGCTCCGAGTCACCAAGAAACTCGGGAAATGGGTCATTGGCATCCGGATTCCAATGAAGTTTATACGCCATTGAGGGTCCGCAACACAATCTCTGCATTTGAAGGAAGGCAACCGCGGCACAATGGGCTACCAGGCAGTGACTTCGTCGGCAATATCGTATCCGCTGCAACTGCTCTGAAGGGGTTGTGGCTAGACGGTACTTGTCAGATGAAAATCGCCCTGAAATATGCCGCGGATCGATACGTTTCCACATTAGGGACAGTAGCACCAATCTCTTTGCTCAAGGAAAGTGTCGAGCGCCTCCGACATGCCAATCCGGCCATTGAATTGCGTTTCCGCTGTGGTGTATGCGTCGGCGATGGAGGCGTTGTCCAAAGTGCGAAGCATGTGAAATACAAACTTCCCATCGAAACACTCCTGATTCATTGGGAAGAGAAGCACCACAACAGCGACCGCGTCTGGAGCCAGAACCTCATGTCCCTGCCATCGGACAGTGTGCTGATGGAGCGGATCGAAGAGGCCGACGGACGTCTGCAACACGAGAAGGATCGTGCGAAAAACAGAACGGCCGAGCTCCCCTCAAATCTCAGAAAACGTCCAAGACTGAAAGGCAACGTGGTGATGCAGACTCGACTGGCCAGCGAAGCATTGGACGAGCTGTTCGCCCGGCGGCATCCAAACCCTTCTGAGAGCAACGTAGGAAAGCCAGCATGCCGAACGACGGTGGCGGCAACGGAGCGGTAATGGATATGAAGCAGGACAGTGACAGGATTCATGCATGAACGCCGATACGGATGGGCAAAAACACAAAATAAGGTAAGCAGTATAATGAATGTCACAAGGCTATGAGGCGTCAGCAGGGCTGCCACGTGGTGTGACCCTTTGCATTTCAAGGGCGTGTACCCCCGTCATTGTTGTCGCCTCATTGTGAGTCAGCTGCCGGAGTCAGCGAACACCTGAGTGGAGCGCCAGGGCAACAATAATACCAGGTAATCACGAGCTGTCTGCATGGCGACAGCAGGAAAACATGTGATGTTGCGAGAATTCATTCATCGGGAGAAGACGCAAGAGGTATCTGGAAGCAGGAACCCTGCGCGAGGACAACTAATATGGCCTAGTGTGGGACGCAATCTCGCTGTGCACTTACTGTTTGCGGCATCTGGCAGCGAGATATGGAGCCCGCCCTTCGGGGAACAGTGGTTCTGCGCGCCGGCGACGAGGCTGACGTCCGGCAAAGTCGGCCAAGTGCGGAACCGGGCTTTTCGCTTCGTGTCGTTCGGCATTCAATTATTTTATCGCCAGCCTTGGAACCGGAAAGATGCGTCAGGCCTAATTGCGAGGCTCTCGGTTGGCTCGGCTGACGGAAGAGCTAGTGGATTTGTGGTTTAGCGTGGCTGTTCTTGCCTAGGCGTCCTTGATAGTTGCCGGATTGATAACAATGCAAGGCATCCCATTGGCTAGCGTATGTGTTAAGTGCAATATAGCGCCGACGCCAGTACCACGCATCTGATAACGTCAAGCTTCCCGCGCGTTGCGTGAGGCCGAGAAGGAAAAAAGATGGTAGAAACGAATCTGCGTTGTCTCTACAGCAGCCGCCCACTTCACTTGTTGCTGCTACTCCTCGCCATGGCACGATCCACCTCCAGAACCACTTCACCTTCGACGCCGTCTTCCCTTCACGTTTCTCCAGCTCTGGCGGGCCCGCCCAGGCTCCGCCGAGTGAGACTTTTCTTCAGCGTGGACCCATTCTCCCCTTTCGCAATGGCCACTCATTGTCCTCTCAATTGCAATCGCTCATTATTCAGCGCTCTTCTGCGCCTTTCGGTGCCGTACCAATTAGTACAGGCCTGTCCCGTCAGAGTCGCCTCGCCTCGCCGTCCGCCTTGAAGCCCGAGCGAGGATAGATATATTAGATTGGCCCCGGATCTGTCCTTTGTAGCCAATTCTCCCGTTTTCTTTTATTTCTCGTTGTCGACCGATCTCTCAAACCGCCCTACCCCGAAACCAGTACATTCTCTATCACCATGGCTACGGCTGCTGCTGCCCGTACCTTTACCAAGGCCTTCCCTCGAAGCGCCTCTTCCGCGACCTCCTCTCTCCGCCTGGCCGCTCGGCCCACCAGAAACAATGCCGCCAAGCGAGTCTTCCAGCAATCCTCCCGTCGGCAATACTCGTCTGCTCCAGAACCGGCCAAGAAGTCGAGCACTGGCGCAATCGTTGGAGGAGCCGCCGCCGCCGCCCTGCTGGCAGGTGGATTGTACTTCTACACCAAAGAGGGTGGTTTGCCCGAAGTTCATCTGAAGTCCGGCAGCGCAGGACAATCAGCTGGTCTCATCAATCCTACCAAGGAAGACTACCAGAAGGTGTACAACGCAGTTGCAAAGGCTCTCTGGGAGCATGACGAATACGAGGACGGATCGTATGGTCCTGTGGTTCTGCGATTGGCGTGGCACGCTTCTGGCACCTACGACGCTGCCACCGGCACTGGCGGTAGCAACGGTGCTACCATGCGGTTCTCTCCCGAGGCCGACCATGGTGCCAACGCAGGCTTGAAGGTGGCCCGGGATTTCTTGGAGCCCATCAAACGTAAGTTGATTGATTTTCCAATCAATCCAACGGTGTCCGGTCCAGACTAACTGTGTCAACAGAACAATTCCCCTGGATCTCCTACTCTGACCTGTGGACCTTGGCCGGTGTCTGTGCCATCCAGGAGATGCAAGGCCCCAAGGTTCCGTGGCGACCAGGCCGACAAGACAGGGACGTTGCCTTCTGCACTCCCGACGGTCGTCTGCCAGACGGCTCCAAGGACCAAAACCACATTCGGCAAATTTTCGGCCGAATGGGCTTCAATGACCAGGAAATGGTTGCTCTATCTGGCGCTCACGCCCTGGGTATGTTTTTACCACTTGTATCTCCGTTTTGGTTGACGTGTTACTAACGTTTTTGTCTTTCTCAGGACGATGCCATGTTGATCGCTCCGGCTTCGATGGTCCCTGGACCTTCTCGCCAACCGTCCTGACCAACGACTACTACCGCCTTCTGCTCGAGGAGAAGTGGGACTGGCGCAAGTGGAACGGCCCAAAGCAGTACCAGGACGTCAAGACCAAATCTCTGATGATGTTGCCCACCGATATGGCGCTCATCAAGGACCCTAGCTTCCGGAAATACGTCGAAATCTACGCAAAGGACAACGATCGCTTCTTCAAGGACTTCTCCGCCGCCGTCTGCAAGCTGTTCGAACTGGGTGTCCCGTTCAAGAGCAGTGAGAGTGACAGAATCGTCTTCAAGACTTACTCTGAGCAAGAGGAGTCGAAGGAGGAATAAAACGTTCGTGTTGGAATTGCAGAAGGGCAAAACTTGGCACAGGCGTTGGTCTCCCTTCTACTTCCTTTAGAGAAGGAGATGGATCGCGATGAGGAGGTTGTAATGTGGCCGTCGATTGTGATTTGTCCATCGTTCTCCTCAATCTCTTGAGTTGTGTTGATTTGCAACCCTTTGCATACTGCGGTGGCGCTTCCGGGGGATTTTGTCAGATTTGGATTTTTTAATGGAAGGATATCAACCAAAAAGAACTGTTGATCAGGAAGAAAAAGAAATGGCAAAAGTAGGTGTAGAGCAGTCGGGCGCAAGCTAGACCACTAGACAACCTAACCTACATAGACATAGACATACACTGTGAAGGATCATGACTTTTACCAAATGTGCTTTTTCCCGTAGTTGTCGGCGGTAGGGAAAGACTGTGTTGAACAGGCCGTATCGCGAGTGCGCGAACCCGTTTGCGAGCCTTTCTGGGTTTGGGTGGTTGGCCCGCCTCATCAGAACGAGGCTGAAGCCCCCTGACACAGAAACATTGCACATGGACCGCAACAGGTCACATGTGGTTTCGCTGCTTCGGCTGGCCTCCTGTGAGCTTCGGGTATTTTTAACGCTTCTACTTTGCCCCCTTCAGCTTCGCATTCCTCGCAATCGATATTATTTACTCAATGCTGCTCTGGTGTAGTACTGACGGAACAAATAAGTAAGTGGTACAGTACTTATAAGTCCAATCCCTCCGAGTATCCAGTAACGCCATCTGAACCAGGATAGCAATCAAAAGTAAGGATACTAGTACGCGAGAAGGTACGCGAGTATACTATGACTTTTATTATTCGACATAACGAGTAGCTCCTGCCTTCCCTTCATCTACATTAGCTGTCTTTCATTGCACCATGATCCGTCCACCGCAATCTTCTCTCAAGCAGTTAGCTCCTAATCGCGGCGGCTTAAGCTTAATCCCCAGGCTCAAGCCCTAGAACCCTCCAAGTCACCTCACGTCCTTACCCCGGAGGCGCAGACCCAGCTTCCGCAGCGCCCGAAAGCTCATAAATCCCTCTATACAAACCACACCTGAAATCAAGCTGCGCAGCCTCGAGAGGCGAATTCAAAACACCACTGGTCCACAGATTCGCCACATTCGGCACTTTGGCCCAGCCCGGACCACCAGCGGGATTTCTTGCAAACGTAGCCCACGAAGTCTGCATATATTGCGACAAAGCAGCCTCATCAGCCGTAGCATTGACGCGCGGATAAGTGCCAAAAACCAAGGTAATCTCGGAAGAATGATAGACGCCCGAACCGGGAAACAGCTGTGTATTCTCGAACGTGGCATTGAAATAGTATCGCCACGTAGGAAACCCGGCCGTCCGCGAATCGTTGGCCACAATGCCTGCGGGGCATTGGAATGTGAGGTCCGTCCGGATAGCACTTACTTGTTGGTTGCCGGTTTCAGGATATGCGGCGAGGATGGAGTCAACGAGGATCGTTTGGTTGGGGAATGTTGCCTCAAGGACGGCAGTCGCATTGGTCATTCCGTAACTAAATACCGTTCCTTCGTTGGCGTTGGTGCCTGATAGGATGGGCACGGGGGCAATGTTGCCGCTTAGTCTGGCGGCTTCGGGAAATCGGAGGTTTGTTACGTTGTCTGAGACGGGTCCGAATTTGAGTTCGAGGTGTTCGATTGTCGATTTTATGGTGCTTGCGGGTTGGTCGCGGAGACATGTTAGGTTGGAGCCTGGGTGGGTGCTGGTGCAGTTTAGGGCGGATGCTAGGGTGACCCATGATGTTGGGTCGTTGGTCGGGTTGATGTAGAATGAGGTTTGGCCTGATTCCATGATTGCCGCCTGGAAGGGTGGGTTTGAGGGGTGAGTGGTTACGAGCATGTCGACGCTGCGTGTTGAATATGGGTTAGCTGAGGAGGGAAGAAGTGGGAGAGGCTGAGATGTGTTTGGGGATGTTGGTATAGTATAAGGAGATATACCTGGCTGCTCCGGCACTTTCTCCGAAGATGGTTACTTTCTTCGGGTCGCCCCCAAAGGCTTGAATGTTTCTTTGGATCCAGTCCAGCGCCAGGCCTATGTTAGGTCAGATATGCCGTTCTTCTTACAGTAGTTGTGGACTGTGAAATAAAGGTCGGTTTCGCGCGCTTACGTTGATCCAGGAGCCCCAGGTTGCGCTGAGTCAATGGTAGTTCTGGGGATAGTGGAAATCCAAAGACTGATGCCAGAAGGGAAAAAGGTGAACGGTCAGCATTGGTTTAGCGAAAAGAGGATTGAGAGAGTGCTGCACTTCACACACCATTTGTGCGATAGTTCAACGACACAATAATCAGGTCTTGAGCCGCTGCAAATAAAGTACCGTCGTAGGCGTTCAATGAATTGGCTCCGAAGGTCATGTCGCCGCCCTGCACTCGTGCGTCAATATCGTATCCCTGACATGACAGATGCCTATGGAGCACGGTTACAGACATAAATCCACGCCATGACTGTCCTAGCCTCGCCTCCGGTGCCGGGGACATAGACGTTCACATTGAGACAATCTTCACTCTCTCCGGCTGGCGGAGGTGGCGTGTTGTACCAGGCGATAGTCGCGTTGCGAGTGGCCTCCGGATAATTGAACTGCTGAATACACGCGGGGCCATACTTGCTTGCATCGAATGGTGTCGTCCATTGTGTCGGCTTGACGGGCGGCGCGAACCGTATGGGAGATGCTGCGAAACGAATGCCCAGATACTTGTTGACCGTGGCGGAGGCTCCTGCTGGAGAGGTCGCTACACCCACCACAGGCCCGGAATCTATCGTGACAGTGGGAGCAGCAGCCGCAGAGACCGGGCTGGCATGGCCATGATGCAGTAAAAGAGAGAAGATGCTCACACAGACAAGCTGCATAAACACGGCCATGGCTGCTATATTGCTTGCAGCTCAGATTGGACAGGCCCCAAAGATCAGAAGAGATAGTCGCCGGGCTTGCTGCCTTTTGCATGGGTTTATGTACTCGTGCGGGCGGCATTTTACTCACAGCAGGCCGCCGCCATGCTGGGATTCCCTTGGATGCTTTCCTTACCAGTGTATCGGCCTCGGCAATATCTTACATTACCCATAGCCTGGTTCAACTACCGTACCCCAAACGCGGAGAACCCGGTTTGTGTGGGCTGCAGATGGGCCATTTCGTCTGCTAGGCGGTGGTAGACGAGTCGCAGCGGAGAAGCGATCGAAGGCGCCATATCCAATGACTGACCCGAAGAGGCAGGGAATGGACCGAAGCGACCGGGGAGAGAAGCACATCCATTCGGAGAGGGCCCGCCTTTCAGCGAAGAACAGGCTCGAACCTGGGGTAGGACATTGAGCTTGATCACCTCAAGTCCGCTCGGCATTCAGGTACTTCAGGACTGGAGTGATAAAGGCGGTCAGCGGCTGCTTACTCGATGACATTGGTATGCCACTAATGGATAGACGCTCGGAGGCTGAATCAATGTATCATCTCATCAGGATCATGACGTTGAAGTGTACAGTTGTACAAGTTGACTGTTGTAGTCCCTCGACGGCGGCTCGTTAATCCGAAAGAGGATTAGTCACCGGCTGAACTGGCCAACGACGGTCGCTTCAATTCTGAACCAACCTCGGTCCATGGCCTCAACATCTGGAGCTACGCTTTATGCATGACATGAAGAGCGTAGAAATACTGCACTCGGGGTCAGGGTATCCTTGCCCCTGTACGTGTCCACCAGCAAGTTTGATGCGGAGACGAAAAGCATATCAAGCGTTCTGGGATGGAGACGACATACAGACAGATACAGAGCACGACACCAAACTCAAGCGTCTGCAAGCCCGTCCTTCTTCTGTTCAGCGTTCAACAGCGTCCACAACGCCGCTCTCCTGGCCAAAAGGTTTTCGAAAGAACCTTGTTCGACGACAGTTCCTCGGTCGAGCACTACCACATGATCGGCGGCCGCCATCATCTCCTTCGCATGTGTCACCATAATGACAGTCATTCTCTGTCCTTTCCGAGCGACCAGCTTCCTGATGCTGGAGCGTATAATATCTGCACTCTCTTCGTCAAGGGCACTTGTTGCTTCGTCCAGAATCAATATCCTAGGATCTCGCACGAGCGCACGTGCGATAACGATGCGCTGTGCCTGACCTCCGGACACTCCTTGCCCACCATCTCCTACCACTGTTGCGTAACCTTGGGGCAACGACTGGATGAACTCGTGAATCCCAGCCGAACGCGCGGCTGATTCGATGCGCGCTGCAGACAGAAAAGGTGAGTTGGATGGTAAACCGTAGCTGATATTCTCACGGACGGTTGCAGGGAGAAGGACCGGGGTTTGTGGCACAATCGCTATGAGCGAACGTAGGCTTGCGAGATCGAGGGTCCGAATATCCCGGCCAGCCAGCGTTAAGGACGGCGGACCACCTGAGGTATCGGTGGGTGATGAAAGGACCATGTTGTCGGCGGATGGCGGATAGAGGCCAAGAATGAGAGCAGCAATTGTAGATTTGCCAGACCCTGACGCCCCCACAATGGCTGTGCATTTCCCGGGAGGTAGGGTGAGGTTTAACTGTCGAAGAACGGCCGTATCAGGGCGAGTGGGATAGAAGAATGTCAAATTGATAAAGTGGATGGGCCCATAGAGAGTGTTGGGATCCTTCACGTCCAGCTCGGTTCTCCCGGAATTTTCATGCGTTATAACTGGCGCCCTGACAAGGCGTAGGAGTCTGTTGGCAGTATCCTTTGCTGAACTGATGTCCGGAATGTAAGTCACCACTGCAGAGGCATTGGCAGTACAGAAGAGAAGGAGTGAGAAGACCTCCAAGATGGATTTCACAGGCCACTCTCTGTCTTTGGCTAGGCGGCCTCCATACCAGAAAATCAACGGCGTGAAAAATATGATTGCCGAGTCCGACAAACCATAGAAAAGGCCACTGGATATCGCTCGTTGCCTTCCAATGGAGAATGCCTCGGCCGTGGCGTGGCAATATTTCTTGTGAAAGTATGATTCAAGTGTAAGTGATCGAACAGTCTTTATATCTGTGAAAGCTTCAACAAAAATCTCGCCGATCTGCTCACATGCGTCATTCGTTCGCCTCTCCCAATGAGACGAGGTCGACTCGAAGCATCTGGTGAGCAGGTAGAGGAGAGGCGATGCTGCAAGGCTGACAAGTGTAATCTTCCAGCATGTGATGAACGACCATATAACTGCTGCCACAAGCATAATTGCCACAACGAGCCATTGAGCGGCAAACCGTCCCACAAGATCTTTCATGTCTTCAGCGCTCCGATCCAAGCAAGATATGAGGAGGCTTGTGGCATTCTTCTCTTCGTCAAACCAGCCTTTAGGCTGGCGGAGAATATTTTTCATTGCTGACGTTCGAAGACCATCTACCCAGGTCTGACTTACACTGCCGAGGAGATAATGCATGGAGAACGATGCAATTCCATCCATCATAGCTATTCCAAGCACTGCCAGAGAGTATTTCAGCGCTTTTTCTCGGTATCCAGTGGGCAGAGAATAGGTGGCGAAGACCTGGACGAGAGTGTATGAAAAAGCTGCTGGCGCTCCAGCATGACAAAGTGCAGCCCCCAATCCACAGATGAGCCTAAGTCTGTCTGCCGTCTGGAGGATTGGCCAGACGCTTGCCAGAATAGTAGAGATACGGTGTGTTTTGAGCTCTTGTTCCCCTACTGAGGCGCTTCTTTCACCACGGGTGTAGCTGAAACCGTCGATTCTGTTGGAGAGTTCAATGTCCAATGGAGGTATAGGAAGCATTTTGCTCTCAAACCCTGGTGTGCGAGGAACGGCTATGACGGCGGTTGCATATCTGCTGATGTCGCCTCTGGCTTCCGGGACACCACTTTGCCCTTGAAATCGCCCACTTTGAGGCATCCCTGGCCCAAGGACGTACATAGCTTTGGCGCGAGCCAAAGACTGTCGCTTGAGGTTCTTTATTGCGGCTTCAGTGCTGGTAGATAGCCCCTTCTTCAAGCGCTCCCGGAAGGTACGGGAGTCTCCGGGGAGTGAAGTGTATCGCGTGGATTCGTCTTTCACGATTGCATCTGCACCAACGCCGAACGAATCCTTCCTGTAAGGGCCTGTCGGCGAGGTCATGGCGCCAAATTCAGCGTCTCCGTCGTTCAAATGATGCTTGGCTGGCCATTTTCTGCTGAGCGGATAGTGGTTGGACTTGGAAGACTCGTTACTGCCGACAACTTCTTTACCGACATCACCTAGTTCGCTCCAATGACCTTGGCGTATGACCCGTCCACTCTCCAGAATGTATACCATGTCGTGCCCTTCGATCTGAGTCAAATCATGGGTGATTATGATGGTAGTCTTGCCTCGACGCCAGCGGCGGATTCCTTGCATTATAGCAACTCTGCTGATAGGATCGAGCGCGCTTGTTGCTTCATCCAGTATTAGTACAGGCGTATCTCTGAGCCGGGCCCGGGCAATAGCAATTCGCTGCTTCTGGCCGCCTGATAATGAGGAACCGCCACGACCAACTCGTGTATCCACTCCTGGGAGAGCGTCTATGGTAGCTTGCAAGTCTGCTAGCTGAACACAGTGGCTTACCTGCGAGGCAGTAACCCGTCCGGGCTCATTGTGCCCCAGAGCAATATTGGCAAAGACTGTCTCATTGAATAAGGTCGTTTGCTGCTGAACCAATGTGATGTTGTTTCGGACCCAACTCGTCGCAATATCCTGCAGGTCAATGCCATCAATCAATACTTTTCCACTTGATACCTGGTAGAACCCGAGGAGTAGTTGACCAATGGTGCTTTTTCCAGAGCCGCTTTTGCCGATGATGAAAGTTATGTGCCCGGGTTGGAAGGAAAAGGAACAATCCCGAAGTACAAGCTGGCTTTGACGAGCTGGATATGCAAAAGTAACCTTAAAAGAGTTAAAATTCGAGGTCGTACAAGCACGTAGACACATACAGCTTGAACCTCTATCTTCCCTCCACAGAACTGCGGTGACCGGCCAGGGCGAGACTTGTGCGTGCGTCCTTTAGAGACTCTATCCAACACATTCTTGAGAGAGGCAGCGGCGGCTTGGGCGCGCTGAAGCACGATAATGTGTGGGAGGATATCCTCGAAGGACTTTGTCGCTATCAGAAAAGCCCAAAATGCTGTCACCACCTCTCCAGGGGTTATATTGCCAGAATGGACCTGGGTCCCTCCGAACCAGAATCCTGCTCATGATCGTAAGAAAGTGTAGAATCCTGTTTCGTATGCGCACTTGCCCTGGACAAACATGGTGGTACCGGCAAATCGAACAAACCCTACCTGCGCAGCGCTGAATATACCTTGCTTTAGACAAGACGCAGCTGCTTCTCTCACTGCTGTGTGATACAGGCGCCATTCATGATCTTGGGCGTTGAAACACTTAACGGTCACAATATTGCTGATGCTGTTATTTGCCATCTTGGTTGCTTGTGTCAATTTCTGCTCGTGCTTCTCAACATGTGACTGCGCTTGCTGAGAGAGGATGCCGACGCCGAGAGCGATGACAGGAACGACAGAAAGAACGACGAGGGTCAACCTCCAGTTCGTGTAGAAGGCTATGCTAAGTGATGACAACCCCTGAACGAGACCTAGGATCGAGAGGCCAAACGGCTGCGACGTTCCCAGCTGGAGATCTCGAATCTGCCTGTTCTGATTAGCGTCCGCAAGAATCTCAGTTTGATAAATCCTACGTTTGAAGCCTTGTGAGGAGCGTACCAACACCGGTCGTCCGCTCCTCATACCATTCAACTTCCCGGTCCAAAAGAGCTTGAAAAAGCTGCTCACGAATACTTCGTGCTTGCAACTCCCCAAAGGTTTGCCAGGAAGCGAAGAGGCCGGCCTTAGAGAGGAAGGTACCCAGGCCAATGCCTAGGAGGGCATAGACACTGCTCATAGTCTTATCCATGAGAGTCCTCCCATCATCCTCTTCAGATGCAAAATCCGAGAAAGCTTGGAAGTATCTCCCAAAAACAATTGCCAGGGCTGGTTGCAACAGTCCCGCAGCGGCCGAAAGAAGTACACCCACCGCAAATATGGGTATGTGTGTCTTCCTTGAAAAACTGAACAACAGTTTCCATTGTCTGCGGCCGTCATTGGATGTGGGTCGGGCGGTCGGCCCTCCCTGGGGCTCATCTTGCGAGTGTCGGATCATGTCGTAACAGAGAAAACTAGACGTGTTGGGGGCACAAATCAATGCAAGGGCTGGAATAGAGATAGACATTCAGAGGAGAAGAGAAGACATTGGACTACCGCATCGACTGGACCGAGATTGCGTAACCACGGTTGGTATTTTTCCATAAGCCTGGCTTTCACTCTCTCAAGATCCGCTGGCCGCCAAGCGAGGGTCGCAGGATCGCTTAGTATTGTTCTCAGGAATGCTGTGGCAGACCTCCGGACGGGATAATATGCATCTCCAGCCATAACCTGTTCGTCCATTCGCGCCCTTCCAGAGTCCTAACACCCTTTTGCAACCCAAGCTAAATACCTCCACATCGCTGCCTGTTGTGCAGTATGGCTGGTCCTTCCTTGCGCCATATGCGCGAAGCAGTAGCTTTCTGAAACATTGTGCACTCTGCCATGTTATCTAGGGCACATTGTTCGCACCCAGGCCTGGCGAAAAGCGACTCGGCGTAGACTGGCTTCGGTGAGGTCTTTTTGACCCTCAAGATTTGTCAGCAGCCTCCTTCTGTGCGCGCTCATAGATCCAGTCATTGAGGCCGGCACGGTTCCTCGCAATCTCAATTGCGTAGAACTGCATGCGAATGACGAAGATGGTTTCTTTCTCTCCGTACTCGGTTTTGGGACTCTTTCTTAACATGGTGCCGAAGTTGTAATCCTCAATTTTCTTTTCGCCTTTTTCGTAGACCATGGCAAAGTTCCTCCACTTCTCTTTGCCTTCTTTGCTCTTCATCTGGTCCTCATCAATTTCTTCAGCCGGGTCAAAATCCGGGAATTCCTGTTTGAAGTGGTCAAGAATTTCATCATCCAGTCTGGTAAGTCGTAGTTTTGAACCAGGGAGCTTCTCGAGAATTGACCAATACACCGACATATGCTGAACCGCCCTCACGGCGAATTGCTTCTCCATATCCTCATAATTGGGAGCATTCTCCGGGTCTATGTAGTTGGTGAGAGACATGTTGCCAGGGTTCTGTCTGGTTACGTGGTGATAGAAAGGCTAAAGAAGCGGTCCCTTGCTGAGTATGTTGACGAGCCTCCGGAGTCGGCGAGCTCACAAATCTTATAGTACAAAAACACCCGGGCACACTTGATGGATGTGATAGTACAGTATTAGTAGTAGTAGTACACGACCTGGAGACGATGGTCTGCTCAAGAAAAGTGAAGATGCTTGGCGCGGGCGGGAGAATGCTTATCTAAGCATGATGGGGCTGATGGGGCTGGTGCTCTTACTAAGCAATGCATCCGAGTTCTGGCCTGTGGCAGCGAGTCCCGTGATGAGATCTGCTTTTAAACACTCCATCTCATTTGTGTGTACCGGGTAGGTAGCTCCCGCAGCCGTTCTATAGTACGACCAGTCCTGGCCCACCAAAAAGTCCCTGGGATTTTCAGTCATGTTCCCGTCTGCTGTCTTGCATAAAAAGCATGTGAAGACATAGTACACACTTCCGCCCGAGCCTACCATCTGCCAGATCTCAGTACAACACGGGCAGAGCGCCTACTACTGCATCCTCTGACGACCTGCAGATTGGACGTTCACGGCTCCACCTCGCACAGCAGGCCTAACCATCCCCCGATGACATTGTCCCAACAGGAATCGCAGCCCATGGATTGAAAGCACACATATCTGAAACTGGCTGCCTCACGATTCTCACTCGGCGTCACTCACTGACTGCTGATACGGCCTACAACGTTGTATACCTCCCCGCGAGCCTGAAGGCCTTTTGTCCACAGCCCAACTCCTCATCCTGCGTCTAGAGCTCGCCTGTTCCTTCAATTGCTCTGCGGTTCCGTACACTTCGCTGCCTAGCATGGAGATGCCTCAGATTGCTCGTCCTATCCCCCGCCGGCCATTCGAGTTGAACCCTGCTTCAACCGATTCATCGCTGCCTCCATCTCCGGCCACAGAGAGCTCCGACCCCGATCTTTTGCCAGGTCAAAAGTCGGATTCTACGCCTAGCAGAACCCGATCGATTCTCAACCTTACGTCCTCTACCTTACTCGGCATATATTCGCCTACAGGCTACGATGAGCGAGAAGACTCATCCACCCCATGGGGGACGGGGGCTCAGACGCCCGTGCAAAGACGAAGCATAGATGACTATAACTCTCGGCATCCTTCCTCACTGACTTGGAATCGGGATGCGGACAAACCACGGTTGAAGGGAAAGAGGAAGGACGGCCATCGCCATTTTGTGCCCTTCCTTCTGCAGACATTCCTTCTGTTCGCGTTTGGGATTGGTTATGGGTCAATCGTGACGCACCTCCACAGGCAGCAGCTCATAACACCAGTGCCTGTGCCTAATACCGAACGCCATTCTCTATATTATCAGTTGTCTTGGGGTGTGTTTGGTGTTTTGCTAGGTAATGCTTTGCCGCTGGTGGACTCGTTCTGGGAGAAGACCGTATCGCCTGCCATTGCATCTCGCGACCAAGTCGGTCAAGATGATAAATCACAGGATGAAAAATCTTCTGCTACGGCTGGGGAGGCATCGGGCCCTTCATACGACAGCGGATTAGGTCCTATTTGGTACTCGGCCGTGCGAAGTATAGGGGTGTTCGTTGGTATCGCTTTTGCGGTGGTGAGTTCTCCATCCCTTGACAGCTTCTTTGCCCTACTCATTCTTTAAACTAGCGACGACTTCCCTGGCAATCAACCCTTCAGGTCGCCGGGACTCTGGCCCTGGCTAATCCTGCGCTATGGTACATGATTGACCGTTCGCTTCCCGGCTTCGCTCTCTCAGCGGCTGTCGGCACCATAGGAACGGTAGTGCTCCTGCTGCTCGACCCGAACTTTGTGCCACTTCCAGCAATCCATCAGCCAACAGCGTCTGAACAATTTGGCGTTTACACTTGGTTGGCAAGCATTCTTTTTTGTACCAGCCTTTGCTTTGGAGCCGTCGGGAGACGGCTTCAGCTGTGAGCATAAAATTGAAGGGATTTCCCCGACCAGTTTTGCGGAAACGATTCAGTTTTTCTAGAGCCCTTAAGACCCCAAGTCGGTCTTGATTGTCGAGATATTACTTCAATGTGTTGAAATTCTCGGGAGCAGCAGGACTCTGATTGGCTTTAGGGGGACCTGCTGCACGACAGCACTCTCAAGGTCTTTCTGCATCATGTCTTGGGTTCGAGTTCCCGTGCCTAGGGTCCTATACCCGAGGCCTCTCGTGCAGCAGGCTCGAAGTCAATGAAGATGCCTGCTTTGACTGGTCGAGCCAACGGTGCAATGTGCCCTTCCGTGCCAGGTGTGATGTACCAAACTATTGCAGTCCATAGCTCGTGTACCTCCGAGTTGGGCTTTCGTAGTACTATCGGCGCAAGAACTCCGGCCGTCGCCTGGCATCGGCACCTTCAATCTTGGATCGCCGCGGGCCACGGTACTATTATAATTAGCACAGAAGGGAATCAGACACTACCACGAGCAATTCATTGCCTACCTATCCGCTTTCCTCTCCTGCGAACTCCATGGCAAAGATGTAGACCCGCACAGAGTAATGAATTATTCCCAGCGATTGGGCAGCTGTGCATGAGCTCAAGCGCCGCGATGCAATGGGGTAGGGCGATCGGGGGCCATAGGCTCGCAAAAGCGCCGTCAGTGACATGACTGGTGTCAGACACTTTCACGGAGGTGGTTTCAGGTCTCACACGGCACTGGCAAGGTGCGCTCCGGGGAATGTTGCGGAATGTTGAAACCGTAACCGACTGCAAGGGTCAGCTGTACCTACGCGATGAGGAAGAATGTGACTTGATGTCGCCAGTAGATGGTGTTGACGATTCTTGTTTGGGAGTGAGTTTAATCTTGCATGCCTTGCATACAGGCAAACCATTCCGAGCGGTAGCAGCGTAGCGAGGTGTGGTGGTCTGGGGGCTGTCTCATTAGGGCTATTTGGCAGCCCTTTTTTCAGGACGAAAAATGGACAGGGTGGATACTCGTACAATATTTGTATAACGCTAAAAGCGCCACCCGTCGTACCCCCCCTTATCCTTCCTAAAGTAGTTTAGCGCCGACCAAAAGGGGTATAGCGCCGTTCTAAAATCCTAAGTTTTAAACGATTTACTACTACGTCTAGGACGAAACCGTCCTAGATAGTATAGATATCGAGTTTACGAACGGAGCGAGGCGAACGAGCGCTTAAGCTAATTAGAGATCTTACTAACTTAGTAGTCTTTATAATTTATACGCGTTAGGAGTAAAAAGAGGTTTATAAATAGATATATAAATTTAACTATATAAGTATTAAACGAGATACTAAGGTATCTTCTTCCGTAAGCCGCCTACGACGTAACTATCGATTTTAGCCCTAAAAAATAGCTAAGAATAGCGAAGACGTTACTCTTTAAGATATCGAGCTATCTCTTTACGTATTCGAGTTAGCGTAAGTCGTATAGACGATTACTAATCGACCTCTTATAAGAGTACGCGGTATCGATTAGAAATATTAGAAGGATCGAGTCTCTATCGTTAAGTAGTATCTCGCGTACGCCTTACTTTATATTTTAGATACCTAATTCTTCTAGGTAATCGCTTTAAGAGTCTAGATAAATCTTAAGCTTCGAAAGGATTATTCTAAGCCGAGGCGTCTTCTAGGAAGGCGCGGTCGCTAGATAGAAGACTAGAAGCGTTACCGTTAAGGAGAGGAGTTAATAAGCGGCGAAGAGTAGGATAACGGATTCTACTCGTAAGTTATAGATAACTAGCTCTAAGTACTTAATAATAAGGAGGCGAAGTTATAATTAAAGAAGAAGCGAGACGTACTCGCTAGGCTCGTGCGTTAAAGGGCCGTCGAGACTTAGAAGACTATTAAGAATAAACTATATCGAGATCTCGTTACTCGCCCGATAACTAGAAAGTATAGCGTAAGCGTTAATAGTACTAGCGACTAGGCGTCCTCTTTTAATACCTTCGATAAGGATAATGAGATAGAGACGCTAGAGAATAAAGAGGTAGATCGACTAAGTCTAACTCCGACTCGAGAGAGATTAATAATAGCTTAATCGAGAGGTTCGAAGATAATAATATCGATATCGAAGAAGTCTCGTCGGGTAATAGTCCTAGTATAGTAGACTATAATAAATAATACCTTTAAGGATAGTTTCGTAGCGCTTAGCGAAGGTATAAAGATTATAGCTTAGGTACGAGCGACTCCGATATCGAGAGTAGCGACGAAACTTAACGAGAGACTTAAATAACTAGAGAAGGTCTAATAGAAGGCTCGAGAGGCGTATAATAGGCGTTAGAATAATAATAAGCGACTAATATAATATTAAGTACGCTTCTATTAACGTTATAGAGACGTTAAATAGTATTAATAATAGTAGTTAGATATATAGAAGTATAGCTAAATCTAGTAGACGAAAATATCGATATTTCGAGTAAAATATAGGTTTTAAGAGATAAATCGATTTTTTTTTTAATATTACGAATATACTAGTGCGTTATAGAATACGGAGAACTTTATAATCTTAGTAGCGCTAGTTCTAATTAAGCTAGAGTTTGGCGGGGTTCCCTAGGTTTTTAGCCGACGCTAAACCTAATTAGGTACGGAATTTAACGTTAGTCTCTACTTTTTAGGTTATATAATTACTATTTTAGTCGTTCGAGAGATACTTTTCTATAGTTAGAGGCTTTATATCGAACTTTAGAGATGTCTAGTTACCCCTTAAATATATAAAGATATTAGTAAATAGTACGGCGTACCTAACGAAGGTATCGACGGGCGACGAACGTATCCGTAGGCGCTTCTTTATCTCTAGGATTCTCTATAAATTCTTCGAGAGAGTAAATCTATATTCGACTTTAATTTAATAACTACTTATTAAAGTATTAAATACTTGTCGAGATAGGCTTAAGTTACCGTTTATTAGTTTTTTATAAGCTCCGATATATATCGAGAAGCTATAATAGGCGAGATCTCTATATAAATAAAGCTTATCGCTATCGTTTACTCTATTTACTTTCTAAAGATCTTTAATTCTATCTATAAGCTTACTCTAGAGAAGTACTCTAAAGTCTTCGTTCTTCCTACTAAATAGTCTCTCGTAGGACGTAATAAGGCCGTTAGAGGTTTTTACTACTTAGAACTTAATAGCGTATACCTTCTTAAACCTAGTATAGAGAAGTCTCTAGTTATACGTCGGACGAGCGATTTTAAAGAGAGTCCCGTCTATTTAACCTAAATACGGTTACTATCGCCCTAAGCGTCTATAGCGCTAGTAAACTTATTAAGGCGCTCGATAGTTAGTAATCTTACGTTCTACTAAAGCCTTTTCTTAAAGAGCCGAGATAGATAGATATAGATATCGTTAGAGATTATTAATATCTAGCCGTATAAATATCTAAACTACTTTGTAAGGTCGCTAAGGCGTAACTTAAGGGCTAGCCTCGCTAGAGCGATATAAATAGCCTTCTTCTCGCTCGGTCGATATCGATAAGACTAGGATATCTTCGATAGTCTTAAGAAGGGTAGGAAACGCCGGATCTTCGCGTAAGTAAAGCGATAGCGGTATTTTATAGTATATTTATACTAATTATCTATATTAAACTCGAATATCGAGTACGGTATAGAGATAGAAGACGGCTAAAGACGGCGGCGCGAGATAGGGTCGGTATCGAGTATAAAGAGTATTATACTTATACTTAACGTAACGGCTTTGATAATAGCTACGAGAGCGGCGTCGATAGTATTATCGAAGTCGTCGACTTCGTTAACGTTAACGAAAACGTCGCTAGTAGCGCTTACTATTTATAAAACTAGCTATCTATAAAAAGGCTTAAAGATAGGAAGAGTATAACTACTTTTTTATATAAGAATAACTTAGGGTAAAATTACAGTGTAAACTGTTCTCCCTAGAAAGATTACGCATAAGGTTCTATATAGAGAGCCGGCCGCGCACGTGTATGAATTGGCGTAAATAGCGCGCCAAGCGACTCCGCCTCGTCCTGGACGAAAAAAAGTTGCCAAATAGTTCTATTGCATTGTACGTGTATTTCAATTTCGCACTGCAGCAAATGGCCATCTGACCTGACCACTCAACGTGCGAATGATCAGGCGCGTCATGGCCCAAACACCCAAACACCCGCCGCGGACATGATTTGCAGGCCCCTGAGCATGGGACGGTTAAGGACTTGATTTTGCGCGGTGCGATAGGCGTCAGAGGGTGTGTTTGGGTGTGTTGCTAGGCGCAGTTGGGTAAGGGCTGATGTTAGCATGTGGTTAAAAAAAATCCTCGCAAAACTTTAGTGAATGTCTGAGCGAAGAGACGCCTTTTCTCGTTAAGGGGCGTGTCCGTTCAGTGTTCAGTGTTGATTGATTCTCAACTTGGACACAATCCTGTCCAACCCTGGCATGTCGACGTCCTCGATTGCCCTTCGGTGCCCCTCGGACATGCCTCGTGCTTCAGATCTCCTGACATTCATTTGACGCCCTTAACCTCTTGATTCCGCCCCGGAGCTGGCTCTTGTGCGACCCTCATACCTTTGCTGCCCAACTGGCGCACTCCATTCTTCGAACCCGCCAATATCCAACACGTCCACGGCAGAGAGCCACCTGAAGATTCACCACTCACGAACATCCACGCAATAATAATAATGGTTTCTTTTCAATGCGAGGTCAGCACCAATGCGCGACGTGCTTCCGCGGACCGCCACTGACTTACTATCGACCAGGGGTGCGGCGATGTGCTGACCAAAAAGAAACTCGACCCGCATCGCAACCAGTGTCGAGGCGCCGTTTATACCTGCATAGACTGCATGACGACTTTTCCGGGCACGCAATATAGAGCACATACAGTATGATCATCGGCGATGCGGTTACGACTGGATTGCGCTCCATGCAAAGAACTTTTGACTGACGTGGAAACAGTCATGCATTACCGAAGATCAGAAATATCAGGGCGCTTTATATCGCGAGAAGCCTTCAAAAGCCGCGAAGAGGAAGTCCGTCTCAATCGTCGAGCCGGACAACAGCACGGCCCTCGTTCCTCAAAAGGCCTATGTGGAAGACGCGCCAGACACCGATGCTCTCCCACACGCCCCGTCACCGCCTCCTGCCGTCCCAGACTCCAGCTCGAACTCCAATCGCGACAGCGTTTTCGATTACATGGTCGATGAGGGTACTCCCGGTACGCCCCAGATAAGTTTCACTACAGAGAAAGACAAGGAGATGTCCATCAAACAGAGTGCGCCGTCGATTTTCTCCGGCAGTAGGCCGTCCAGTCGTCATGAAGAGCTGCTCCACAGTAAGGAGTACGAGGAAAATGGTTACACTTGGGGCGCCGAGCCGGTGAAGCCTAGAGGCGCACTGGAAATGAGCAACAGTTCGTTGTCGCTCGAGTTCATGACTCCGGCGGCAAAGGAGACCAAGTCGAAGTTGGACAGAAAGGACAGACCACAGGTGCATAGCCGGACGAACAGCGGGAGTGAAAAGAAACGGAAACGCCCGACTGACGATCATTTACACGAAGGAGATACCCTTATGGTGGACACAATCAAGGCGGACACGCCTGGCATTGTCCACTCCGGGCTCACAGGCGGCCTCAGTAGGATGATGTCCAAGGACGAAGAGTTTCCCTTTGGTCGAACGCCAGTCACGGACGATAGACGCGACGTTCTCGAAAAGGAGCGCCCTACCCGCCGAAATCATAAACCCGAAGACCCCACATCGCCTCTAAAACGCACTCGTCATACGAAAGATGATCAGAATGGTCTAGGTATCTCTATCAAGGGTCACGCCGCCAAAGCGCTTTCGATGGTAGGCGGGGCACTTCTCGGTGGTGGGCCTCAGAATGACAGCCAAACGGGTCGGACACGGAGAAGAGCCAGCTCTTCTGACAATGGCCAGAGTGCCGTGCGAGTGCGCGAAGGCGAAAAGCGGGAGAGGAAGAAACACAAGGTACACAGACACAATGGGACCGCTTCGGCAAACATCCGCCATGAGCACCGGTCGCGACGGCGCTCGCACAGCGATGAATCCCCATCCCAGTCCCATGGCGACAGAGCGGCGCGAAAGCTGAAAGCGATCGAATACCGCAAACATGATGATACCGGCTCGGATTCGGATTCAGACCATGGTCACCACCACGGTAACGGCGTCACAACACGGCGCAAGAGTTCTAATGGGACGATGGTGGTCTTCGGAGCGGAGGAGAAAGCTAATCGTGCATGTCGAAGTTTCCTCGCAAACGCGCCAGGTCTTGAATCTGACAAGGGCTACTCTATCCACAAGATGCTAAAGCGCTGGCATAAGCAGAACGATGTCAGAAGCTCGTCTCATAAGGCAGAAGAGGAAGAAAATTTGTGGAGGAATTTGAGGCTGAAGAGGAATGAAAGGGGCGAGTATGTCGTCTTCTTCTGACATACTGGACCTTGATACGGCACTTAATCAACGGGATCCGGTACGACTGGTTCTCGTTACCACAGACTCGGGACGCCATGATTCTCATCCTCGTGGTCCAGCCTCCTTACGAGTTTCTTTCGTCCTCTATCCGGAGCATTTTGGCTGCATGCCACGACTGGCGGGCATTGCGTTTTTCGGGACTCGGTTTCGCGGGATATCTCAAATGCGCCACGTGTCTATTCACATACGATTCGCTGTATACGTACTGTTTCGGTGGTTATCATGGATTCCTGCAAATGATATGTGGGATTTCGCGCTTTATGAATGTACAGTTTGATGAGAGCCGAATGCGGCAGGAGCGTGTAGATTATACTGCCAGGCATGAATTGATATTGAGATATCACGTAATTTGATCATGCTCTCTGCTCTTGTTGCCATATCAGTGAATACAGTGGGCAATATATACTACTCCTGGTGGATGGATCAGACCAACAGCCAGCGACATGGGCCTAGCATGCATCCAGGGTAATATGCTCAACGATCTGAGCATGTTTGTCTTTTCCTTGTAGGGTCCGGATATATCTTCGGCGATGGCCTTCAACCTTCATATTCGCACATCCCGCGTTGACATGTTCGGATGGCCATTGCACTTGCCTTGACATCAAAGACCGGATTGTCGTGGTGACAGGCATTTGACGGCGTCAGGATGCAATGTTCAGGAGAGGTATTCGTCATGGGCACCACGGTACTGTGTGGGCACGGAGGACAGCCTGAGTGAAAAGAGAAGGTTCCAGGCTCAAAACAGGCCGGAAGACGGGGTGCGGCCGATCTTTAGCAGCCCCGGTTTATGCCATTTGCCTGCCAGTGAGGGCTCGACGGCAAAAGAAAGCTGGGTCTGACGAAAATAATGGTCGCCCTGTCTCTTGCTGTGAGTGGCGACATGAGTGAGGGCATCGTCAGACAAAAGTAGCATGAGAGGGACTCCCGGCCTGGCAGAGCAGTAACAGCGCCGGCGCTGATCCTAGTACGGAACTTGGCAGCCACAATGGTACTCCGGGCACTGACTGGCTCTCACAGGCTGCTGAAACGCCCCCTGGGGCTGAGTTATTCCTGGCCGGGTGCCTTTCCCAGTGCGAGACTCCTCCCAGGACAATAGCAGTAACGTAGCAGTAGTAGCAGCACTAGCTCAGGCTTCCGATGTGCCAGTCGGCTGTCCACTCGCACCACTGGCACGACTAGTACTGCAGCCCAGAGACGACTTCGGACCTTACTGTACCTGTTGTGCGTGCACCTGCAGGCCGGTGCCAGTGTCTCGCACGCAACCACACCACGCCCATCACCATTTCGCTCCCTTGATTCACCCTTGGCCGAATCTCACCTCCCACTACTTTCTCACTTCCTCTACCAGTCACTTCACTCCCACAACCACGTTCCTTTCTCTGCCAATATCTCTATATATCAGACACGTCGACCAGTCAAAGTTATGTGGCTCATCACCTAGATGCCGCCCTTCTAGCATCATTCGCACATTGGAGCCGCAGCTTGTGTACCATGGCCAGACCTCCGCTTCGGCCTCCAGGCCGACGTGGAGGATCCAAATCAATGCTGACATGGGCCCTTCTTCTCCTGCTCATTGCTGCCGCTCAACCTCAGTCCGTCCATCCCCCCGAATCCGTCCAGAGACTGGTCGCTTCCACTCAAAGCGTTCGCGCCGAGTCGAGCAGACAACCTCGTGCTGGCCGCAGCCCAGCAGAGATTCCTCTCCTTAAGGACGACATCACCACAGTCCGGTTCAGAAGTACTGATCAGGACCCCTCAAACCACAAACTCCATGCCTTGGCTCCGGCACATGATAGCATCAGTGCTGTTAGAGCACCTCTTGTCCAGTCAGCCGAGTCCTCTGGACTCTCAGCGCTCCCCTCAGCGCGGCTGCTGCAAGATTGGGAGGTAGAGAATATCATCCTACTAGCCACCATCGATGGCACCATACACGCCCGTGACAGAAAGACTGGCAATGAGAGGTGGTCATTGGGTATACCGAACAGTCCGATGATCGAGACGATTCACCATCGATTAAATCGGAGTGACGCGGACGACTCCCATTACGAAGATGACTTTATGTTCATTGTCGAACCCAGCAAGGACGGGAACCTATACATTCAACACCGTGATCCGAGAATCGGCTTACAGCGCTTGGGTGTAACGGTCAAATCTCTTGCCGCCGAAACTCCGCAGTTTGTGGATGACCCTCCCTTGGTGACGATCGCGTCTCAAGAAACGACGGCATACGTGGTGGATGCCGCCACAGGGAATGTTCTACAACAGTTCGACAAGAATAGAGGATTCTCCAATGAAGACGATGGCCGCAGCTGTCGTAGGCTTAGCGGCTTTGAACTTGAGGATCCTGCCTGCGAGTCTCGGGGAACGCTGAACCTCGGACGCGTCGAATATACCATCCAGATTTCGCACAAACTCACGAATCAACCCCTGTGTACAATCAAGTTTGCTGAATGGGTGCCGAATAAAGGAGATAGCGACTTGCAGAGCCAATATATTAGCCCTCTCGACAACCTCTACATCCAGAGCTACTACAATGGCCGAATCATTGGTCTTGATGGCAGCGGAGACTCGGGAAAGATTCACCGCTTCACGCATATGCTGGATACTCCTGTTGCCAGGGTTTTCGATGTTGTGCGTCCGCTTGACTCCAAAGACCCATCTCCCAAGCTGGTCTTGTTGGCCCGGCCAACCGATTCGCCCCTACTTTCATCGCACCAGGTGTGGCGGAACGAAATGCAAAGGTCCGAGCGTGTCTTCGTCAACAAAACCGCGAGCGGTGTCTGGTATGCCTTGTCCGAACTTTCGTACCCTGGTGTCACCAGTGGTGCGGCTCCTGCGAGCTCGCACTGGAATTATGACATTGAGCCATTGGATTTCCACGACGGTATGGAAGAAATTGTGGGCGTTCACGTTCTTTCCATGGAGACAAGCAACGCCCCTTTGCGTTTGACCATTTCCGGGCCGCCCCCAGCGACTGACTTGGGGGAGGAAGCCGAAAGAGAGATCGCAAACCTAGGATCCAGAGTCCCGCCGTCCTTGTCTCCAGTATTAAACCACCCTCTTCTATCGGTGTTCAACATGATCGTTGTGAGCGTGCTTCTTCTTTTCGTGGTGGGTGTTCAAATGCGATTACCAATCATGTTGCGGGTGCAAGGGTATCTTCGCAAGGCCGGCGTAGAGGTTGCTATTGAGAAGGTGCAGCCTCAGCCCCCTATGAATGCTGCTCCTCAAGCCAGTGATCAGGAAATACCGGTTGCCGATGTTGAAGACGAGGACAAAAAGCCCGAAGTTGTCTCCGAAGCATTGGAAACCGCGGTCAGCACCCCGGCTAGAAGCCGTGCTCAAAGTGCTGCGGTGCCAATGATCGGTCCTGTCAATACTGTGAAGTTGAACGATCTCAATGAGGACAATTCAGACAGTGAATCAGAGGATGACAAGGCCAAGCAGGAGCCGAACTCAGCCGAGAATGCTGAAAATGGTACGACACCTCGTCCCAGGCACGCCAAACGCGGCAAACGCGGTGGCAGAAAGAACAAGAAAGGGAAGAAGATGATGGATCCGAAGGCTATGGATGAAAAAGAAGAACTTGTTGTTGAAGTTCCTACCAAAGATGGCATGCTGCAAGTGGGTAAGCTCAAAATCGACACGCGGGAAGAAAAGTGCTTGGGACGTGGAAGCAACGGGACTGCGGTTTTCCCAGGCTCGCTGGACGGCAGAGAAGTGGCTGTCAAGCGACTTATCCGAACTTCCAACAGTCTCGCGGCCAAAGAAATCAAGCATCTGTTGTCAAGTGATGAGAATCCTCATGTCATCCGATATTTCGGTAAGGAGGAATCACAGCACTTCACGTACATCGCGCTTGAGCTCTTTACTACGTCCCTGGATCAATTCATCGAGCGACCCCTTCAATTTCCGAACCTGGTCAAGTTTCCCGAAGGATTCGACGTCAAGGATGCGTTGCGTCAGATTACGGACGGCGTTCAACACCTTCATTCACTAAAACTTGTTCATCGGGATATCAAGCCGCAGAACGTTCTTGTTAAGGCGGTGAAAAGCAATCGCCCGGCAAATGGTCTGCCCAAGCTACAATTTGTTATTTCCGATTTTGGCCTGTGCAAGCCCTTGGAGGAAGGACCAGAGTCGACCTTTGCCCCTACTGCGAATCATACAGCTGCGGGAACAACGGGTTGGAGGGCGCCAGAACTACTCGTCCATTCTCGCTCTGCGGTTGCTGCATCGAGCACCACCTCATCCGCATCGAGGTCCACGACACAATCCAGTGATGGAACAGTCATTGACCCACCTTCTGGACGCCGCGCCACAAAAGCAATTGACATATTTTCTCTCGGCTGCGTCTTCTACTATGTGATGACCCAAGGTCGGCATCCGTTCGATGTGGGCGGATCAAGCCTTGGTCGTGATCTGAATATCAAAGAGAACAAGTTCAGCACGGCGGATTTGCGATTGCACGACTACCAGTACGATGCGGATGACCTTGTCATGCAAATGCTTAAACACGATCCAAAAGAGCGTCCCGATACATCTCAAATTCTCCGGCACCCGTACTTTTGGGATGTGGCTGATAAACTGGAGTTCTTGTGCGACGTCTCTGATTGCTACGAGCGTGAAAAGAACTCGATCAAAAACATTTTTGACGAGAACGCCGTTCGCACACCGGCGGAAAAGGAATCACTAGCCGAGCTCGCTGCCCTAGAGTCTCTTGCGCCCAATGTCATTGGTCCGTCGAAAGACTTTTTGCGTGCCTTGCCAAAGAGCTTCGTCAATGAGATGGGCAAACAGCGCAAATACACGGGGTCCAAGATGATTGATCTCCTACGGGTGATCCGGAATAAGAAGAACCATTTCCATGACCTACCGGACGACGTGAAGGAACAGATGCTAGGCGGGAGTCCCAAGGGGTACTATGAGTTCTGGGCCAAGAGGTTCCCCAGTCTGTTAATCAATTGCCATTGTCACCTCTTGGAGAGGGACTTGGTGGGACGGTTTCGGATGGAGAGATACTATGAATAGTGTCCAAGTACTAGCAGAGCATGCATAAGTCATGTCTAGCTATCGCCAAGCGTGCTTCTGCTACTGTACATCTACCTGCCACGGCTCTGACTCAGTGTCACTGCCTTTCGATACCATTCACAATTTTGAATACTTGCAATGAGTTGTGAATTTCTCGACATATTCGTAGCCCTGGGGCTGATCCCTGTAAAACACAACCCAAGCTTCATGTCATGTCATCCCGTAGTACAGTACCGGCACTGAGCCCATGCCTCTTGGCTTGGTGATATTTCCGATGGCACGACGAGTCGAATGATGCTGATCCATGGCAATCAGCTCTAGCTCTTTTCTCTTTGCGTGATTTTGGATTCCCCTTCGTTCGTTTACATACGCTCACGTCTCCTGGGCGCGGCGCGGATGATATTGTCGACTCTCAACAACAGCTCAGCAGCCTCGGAGGCGGAGCTGACGACAGCTTTTTTGAGTTTATAACTCTCGACGACGCCAAGCTCGCGCATGTCGGCGATGCCGCCGCCGGGAGTCAACAGGTCAAGACCAGAGGTAGTCATGCCGCGATAAACCTCTGAGCGGAGTTCAGAGACGAGGGCGGACGAGTCCAAACCGGCATTGTCGGCCAAAATAGTAGGTAATTGACGCAGGGCAGTAGCGAAAGAATCAATAGCGATCCGTTTCTTGCCACCGACTTTCTGGGCGAGCGAATCGACGGCTTTGGCCATGACCATTTCGGCACAGCCGCCGCCCAAGGTGACGCGAGGTTCCTTGACAGTCTGCGAAAGGACAGCCAAAGCATCGTGTAGCGAGCGCTCGGCCTCGTCGAGCAATTGCTCAGTCGCACCACGGAGGACAATGGTACATGCCTCACCGGCGGCAACTCCAGAGAATTTAATCAGCGTGTCCTCGCCGATAATGACTTCCTCGATTAAATCGCAATGACCTAGTTTCACTTGATCCGGATGATCGAACGTGGACGCAATCTCACCGCCCGTGACCAACGCGAGTCTCTCGACGCCGTCAAAGTCTGCATGTTCAATACTCACGATTCCAGCCTCGGTGAAAAGTTGTTCGGGCCAATTGTAGATCAGCTGGCGGTTGATGAAACAATTGATCCCATGGGCCTTGATGCGTTCGACTTTCTGACGCATTTTCTCGCGTTCTGCTTTCTCCAGCTCCGCTAGTTCTTTCGGTGAACTGACTTTCATGCGACTCGCCCAGATCTTCACCTTGTCTGTGTCCATGGGTGTGTTTGCGACGAGGATCTTTGCATTTTCAAGGCGTTTCGGTTGGTTGACTCCGATTTTCTTGTCGAGAATGAACCCCTCGTCGAGGTAACTGTCGCTCAGTTTCCCGCCTGCCTTTTTGATGATTTGGATATGGTTCAGGTCGACGGACCCTTTAAGACGTAGGATCGCTTCGACTGCCAGATTGGCGAATTTCTCTCGATCTTGACTGAGGACCTTGGAGGACAAGGTTGTGCGTGCAATCGCTTGCAGATCGCGGCGGAACGCTTCGGGGTCCTTGCTGTTGTCGACTGCTGCTTTTTCCAGCGCGGACAGAGCCGCTTGCGATGCTAATCGGTATCCCTCGATGATCGTCTGTGGGTGGATGTGTTTGTTGACCAGCTGTTCGGCTTCGCGGAGTAATTCGGCTGCGAGGACTGTTACGGACGTCGTGCCGTCGCCGACTTCGTCGTCTTGCACTTTGGAAATGTTGACTAACACTTTGGCCGCGGCGTTGTCGAGCGCTATCGATTTCAGGATTGTGGCCCCATCGTTCGTCACCATGATTTCGCCCGTCGATGCGGATTGTAAGATCTTGTCCATTCCTTTCGGTCCCAAAGTCGATTTGACTAGGTCCCCGACTGCGATTGCGCCCACGAACGCTGAGAGGCGGGCATTTTCGCCTTTTTCTTCTTGTACGTCGTCGGCGAAAATCTGCGTCGGGTTGTTCGACATATTTGTATTGGTATTCCGGGTCCGTGCCGGTGAGGTCTGTTACTGTTTTGTTTCTCTGTGCCCGTGGTTCAGAGTTGGGTAACAGATGCAGTGGCAGCGGAAGTTTGTCTGTCTGTTCGCTAAGGGTGGACTGCGGAGGAATCTGGAACGATGTAGTATGGCATGGCATGCAGTGCAGTGTTGCAAGCAGTCCAAAAATAATGGCCCGCTGCTCTTCTGGCATGACTCCCGCCGCTTTTAACTGTACCACAGTGTACATACAACTGCGCAGCCTTCCACGGCCTTGTCCCTTTTACACAACCCAAATTAAATCATGGCTACTCAGGTGGTCTCCATCGGGCTAATGAACTCGACTTATACTAGTAGGAGAAGACTCGATGGCGGTGATCTAGATTTTCCGTCTTGCGCGAGCAAGCTGCTTGACATTCTGGCAATACGCGACGCTTGACTCTCTCCTTGGACTTCGCCGTCGAACCCGTCCAGCCCGTACATGTGTGATCCTAGCACACCAGATCTTTCAGCAGGAAAAAAGGGAGTAGCAACAAATGATAATCAAGATAGCAGCCATCCAGTGCCTCACCGCCCCTTCTTTTGGTTGAGAGTAGTTTAGCACCGCGACAAAACTTTCATACAGCCGTCCCTCATCATCATGATACCCGTGAGAGGCAGGCAAGTCATCATCGACCATTCCCAGCCGCGCCAAGATCGCTGCAAGAATCCGCTCCCGGTGGAAGATTTTAGACCCTTTGGAGATTGGTCCTCACGATGTTGTCAGTTTTCCCACAGTTGATTGGCGAAGAGACTTTTTCAAACGAAGCTACCTCCTGATAAACTCAAGAAATATCTTGTCATCTTCAGTTCTCGACTTGAATATGGACATTCTTCTCCTCGGGAGGGATAATCTCTTCTTCCTTCTTGCCTTTGAGATTGGGCAACTCGGAGACCGCCTCCCCGATGATTTGCAAAGCACGCTTGACCTCATCTTCGGTGATGACCAACGGTGGAGCCAGGCGGATGATATTTTGATGAGTAGGTTTAGCCTGTCGTCCGTCAGCATTCTTGTTCTCAGTGTCACTGCCCCTTACATGGGCAATCTTCAGAGCTCGACCCACCAGTAGACCTTTCTCCTTCATCAACATACACAAATCCCAAGCGCTGTGGCCGTTCGTCTTAGATTCATCAATGACAATCGCGTTGAGAAGACCCTTGCCACGGATCGTCGTGATGAGTGGGGAATCAAGAGCACGGAGCCCATCGCGGAAGAGATGGCCTAGTTTCTCAGCACGCTCGATCATATTCTCCTCCTGGACGACCTCGAGAGCACGGATGGCCACCGCACAACCCAATGGGTTTCCACCGTACGTCGACCCGTGCGTACCAGGTTCGACAGTGAGCATCACGTCCTTGCGTCCCAAGACACATGAGACAGGATACATGCCGCCCGAGATGGCTTTTCCTAGGAGCACCATATCCGGCTTGATGCCTGACCACTCATGGCAGAGCAGTCTACCAGTACGGGCAATGCCGGTTTGAATCTCGTCACAGATCAGGAGGACATTATGCTTGTCGCATAGCGCGCGGATCTGGGACAGGTAGTTGTCGCTGGGAACAACAATGCCGGCCTCGCCTTGGATAGGCTCAACGAGGAACCCGGCAATTTTGTCCCCATGGGACTCAAAAGCCTTGCGCACTGCCTCAACGTCATTGTAGGGAATGACTTCGCCGGTGGCAGGGGAAATGCTGCCAACTCCTGGCAGGTAAGGTCCGTAGTTTTCACGAGACTCGGGATCTGTGGACATGGAAATGGCGGAGAACTAGGTAATGTCAGAATTCGAATTCCTAAGGTTTGTGTTGTCAACTTACAGTTCGACCGTGGAAGTTCTCTGCAACACAGAGAACGAGTGCTTCTCCTTGAGGGATCTTCTTGGACTTGTAGCCCCATTTCCTGGCGATTTTGATGGCGGTCTCGACGGCTTCGGCCCCGGTATTCATGGGCATAACCATATCAAAGTTAAAGTACTTGGTGACGAATTCTGCAAAGCGCGGGAAGACATCATTGTAGAATGCCCTGGAGCTCAGAGTTAATGTGGAGGCTTGCTCTACTAAAGCCTTGACCAATTCCGGGTGGCAGTGGCCTTGGTTGACGGCAGAGTATGCCGAGAGGAAGTCGAGATATTGTCGACCCTCGGGATCCCACACCGTTGTTCCAGATGCCTTCGCAAACACGACCGGCAAGGGGTGGTAGTTGTGAGCGGCATACTCATGCTCGGCATGAATGGCTTCAGCAGAGGTCGCTGCGTGATATTTTGAACGATTTGAGGTCCCGGAAGGATGGAATACTGGAGCAGTGGCCTTCAGTTGCGTGCCAGAAGTGTTTCCGTCACCATTGACGGCTGATGGAGCCATGTTGAGCGGATGGGATATTTAGATGGGTAAAATAAAATCGTAAAGTCGAAGCGAGCGGGATCTGGGATCTGTCGAATCGAGGCGATGCTGATTGGCCACCAAATGGGATTTCGGCCAAAGAGACTAGGGATGGTCTATCGATGTTTTATATTCAGGTCGTACAACGTCGGGTGAGAGAGAGGATAGTGAATCTGGTCTCTTTTGAATTGATGCCGGCGAGTTGGAATATGTATTTCTCTCGTCGTGGTCCACACAAAGGTCATGTGCAGAGATTTCAATTACACTCGCACGATTGGGGCCTCGTTGCTATTCCCCTAAGTGCAGGTATATCCCTAATGGAAGGAGGTTGATCGCTAAAAGCAAGGTTAAGCGTACCGCGATCAGGGCCCGCAGGAGTTCGAGATTTGAATGGTTCGGTTGGTTCGGTTGACTGTCGGGGGGCGTAGTTGGACGTGGTCTGTCCTTGGAGGCAAAGGGCGGAAGATGGTATGGCTTATGTTATGGAATCGCAGGCATAGGGCAGGCGGACTACTGCTGGCACTGCTATGAATGATGTTGGGCGCAGCTCCTGCAAGGCACAGCTCGCTGAGTCCTGCCTGTGCTCTCCCACCTTTCTGCCCGCGCTATACCATACCAACTGTGCCTGTGCGGTACTACAGTGGCATAGTGGCCTTCTACACTACACCCACCATTCCGTCACAAGCCTGAGCGCTCTACTGTACCTTTCCGCTACCCCTCCGATTTCAGACGCCCTCATCTATATAGCCTTACCACCCGGTCATCCCCTCACTTCGCCATGTCTGCTCAGAAAGGCCCCGGGGCCCAGGAGAAGCACGATGGCTCCGACCTCCGAATTGCGATCGTCCATGCACGCTGGAACAGCACCATCATCGACGCCCTGGTCGCTGGGGCAAAGAAAACGATGCTGGCTTCGGGTGTGAAGGAGGAGAACATTGTGATCGAATCTGTCCCTGGGTCATACGAACTTCCTCTCGCGGTCCAGCGTATTTATGCTGCATCGCAAGTCCAAAGCGCTGCCAGCACTGTTGCCGGCGGTATGGGCAGTCTCGCCAGTGGCATTGGCGATTTACTGGGCGGGAGCAATTCCACAACCGATTTACAAGGAAGTTTGCAGCCTGGCCCTCCGGAGCCCGAAAAGCCCGAGACGAAAGGATCGAGACATGCCTTCGACGCCATCATCGCAATTGGTGTTCTTATTAAGGGAGAAACCATGCATTTTGAATACATTGCGGATGCTGTCAGTCATGGACTGATGAGGGTGCAGCTGGACACTGGAGTGCCCGTTATCTTCGGTCTCTTGACAGTCCTGAACCTGGGGCAGGGCCTTGCAAGAGCGGGTCTCGAAGGAGGCACTGGCGATGAAGCCAAAGGACATAACCATGGAGAGGACTGGGGAAATGCCGCTGTTGAGCTCGGGGTCAAGCGGAAGGCTTGGGGACAGGGCAAGATTGCAGGATCGTAATGCGACGATGCCGATGCATTCCTGCTCGTATCCTCTCCGAACACCAGAATCTCCATTTTGGGAGGAATACGGTTTTATGCCACGAATTTATTGGCGCAGGAACGGAGGCAGAACAGAGTCTGTTTTGGATACAATGCGCCTCTCTGCCACGGGACACTAGACCTTGAGACCGCCTGGTACGCCAGCAATGCTACAAAACTGCAAAGACAGTGACTTAGTGTTATCACTCCTGCATGGCATCCCCTTCTCCTTCTTCCTCGTCCTCGTCATCGTCTCCCTCCAAGCTCTTCTTTGCGGCCTTTTCGGCCTCCTCCAGTAGTTCTTGAGGGACATGCTGATGTCGACCTTTGGTTGGCCCATCTAGCGTCGAGATCCATGTCATCTCAAGTTCGAATTCCTTGTCCTTGGAATCTTCGTGTGCGACGTAAATAATGCGGGCAGCTTCCATCACAGCATCCTTGAGCGTCAGAGAGCAATTCGGTGAGTCAAGGTCCAGCTTCTCTAATTCGGCCTTTGCAGCTTGTCGTCCCTTGCCTGTTGCAGCACCGTAGTAACCCTGACACCGTCAGTACACCGTTCGCCAGGTTTCTTGGTGATATACGTACCCAGTATAATCCACTAGGCTCAATCATGTAGAGACCTGGCCCTCCTCTCTTGACAGCCTCGCCCTCGACCTTCCCACCGGCGCCAACTGAAGGTCCAAGCCCGACTTGCCCGTCCACACCAAGTTCGGCCTCGGAATCCCAACCTCCAAGGATTGCTGTCACGCCAAACGGTCGTACACTGGAGTAAAGGGTGTAGGCTTGGACATATCCGCCCATCCTCGAGGCCAGCGCCTGGACTGGGATGGGACCTTTGTATGTTTGTCTCCAGCTGCTGGCCTCGTCTCTTGCTCTGCTGATCAGATGACGACCATCTGGTAATAACCCGGAGCACACGACACCAGCATGGCGATCTACTGTAGATATTCTCATATTGGCACCGGGTTTCAGGAGCTTGGAAGTTATGATCTTCTCGCAGGCCAGAACCACGCCGTGCTTCGTCCGGATACCAATACAGGTTCCGCCATTTTCAACTGCCTTTACGGCATATTCGACCTGGAAATTCCGGCCATCGGGTGAGAAAACGGAGTTGGAGAGATCGTAACCCGTTCCTATCGACGTCTGTTCATTGCCTAGTTAGTGAAGAGCAGAGACAGGTGGCCGCAAGTCACATACCATCGCGACTTAGCCTGCTTGATGCGCTCTCAAAGACTCGAGAGGCAAAGGAAGGACTATCAAGCAATGACCAGGTGAAGAGATTCAGAGTTGGTAGAAAAGTGTAGACTGGCGATTTACCTCATCGCAGTTCATTGACTGCACTGCAGGCGTCCAAACCGCGTAACATGGTTGACTGCCCAAACGAGTTAGTCGCATACGCCGCTTGGCTCGGGATAGTTTCCAAAGTACTAGTAGTATAGCGGCCTGCAGTGAGTTGGGCCGCAGCTGCGACTTACCACAAGTACGGACTGCAGTCATTCCATCATCACAAGACACGTTGCTCGCTCCGAGTCTATCAGTGCATCCCTTTTCAACCTCATCCATCGACTCCTGTCTTCCATCTTCGTCGTGTCGATCGTCTACCTTTTCATGCTGTTTACATCCAGCCATTGCCTCAGCTTTGATGTTGAGCTGAAGACGGTGGCTGCTCCTCCAACACTGCCGCTTGCCGATCCACAATATACCTCCTTGTCCCGCTCATTCTCTCTTGTTCCTAACTCTTACCTCTCAAGCGTGCCAACAGCATCAACGCAGCAAGCGTCTCCTGACCGGATTGCTGCGTCCCTTGACTGGCCACCAAAAACCACATCCTTCTTTGTTCTGGATCCTGGAACCTGCTGCCCTCAGGACCCCCCGGATCCGGATATCCAACTGGACTCTCTGGAGCTTCTATAGCAGTTGAGCGTTTAGTTAGCATAATACGAATTTGAAGCCTGAATCTCGATTTTTGCTTCTCCATCCATCTGGTTCTTGTTGCTGCAATACGGAACTGTGTTTATCTGGTGCTGCATTTTGAAAGTCCGGTCATGGCGTCTGCAATCCACAGATGCCAGCATTGTGGCTGTGAGACCGACCTCTCTAACACGTTGGCTGTGTTTGAGGACAATCCACATTGCAAACAGGTTTGTTCGATTCCAATCCCTGTTCATGACCTGCTGATTCGTCTTTCCAGTGCGGGCTATCGGCCTACGAGAGCGACATGAAGATGCAGGACGAGCTCGTCAACATGATGGCTCACAACCTTCAGATTGGCCCTATTCAACATCAGCAGGACATGTCGACACCTCCGACTCCACAGGTGCTCCCCGAACCAACACCTATCACGTACATCTCGCAGCACTATCATCATTCGGCACACCAAGTCCACCCACACGATGTTCCCGTGTCCACCATTCTCGAGAATGTTGGGATCAATGCTGCGGCTCTGTTTCCGTCTCAGCTGCAGCTGTTCAAGAATGCCGACACTGAGCAAAGGATGAGGTTGATACAACTCTGGCAGATTGCACCCCCAACGTACGGCACTCAGATGCATCCGAACGATCTAGGCAATTGGCCAGAAGCGAGCATGGAGAGGGAAGAAGCGGCTGCAAAATACCGTCTGTTGAGGGTTGAGGAAGACAATCTCAAGACGCTGGCTACATTGTCAAGGCATGATAATCGAAACAATGCAGAACCGTACATGATGCACGGCTATGGGGCGCTCCCCGATAGCGGTATCATGGCGCCCACAGAGAGCGGGTCCATCACAGCCGGACAAGCAGGTTATAACCAGTCCCGTGACCCAGCGTACAAAAGCCGGGAGTGGTGGAATGTGACGGATGAGGCTGAACCAATGGAGCACCAATATGGCATGCTCCAACAGATGTATGGCTTCATGGACTACTCGGCAGCCAGGCGAGATGACGGCGATGCAGAAATGTCTTGATGAAGGCAGTTGATGAGGTATTCATAGCGGTCCTTGGATCAGTTGTTGCATGATGGAATATACCCGCATTGATTTGGTTGTACACGCTTTGTTGGCAGGATTTGATAGTGCGTACAGTACATACTATGTAGGTCTGTTGATCCTCACTTCACCATAGTCTTTAGCATAGAAGACATCAAGCATCATGATCTCCACAATCGTCGTTGTGTGGGAAGTGTCAAGTGTCAGTTGCGTGGTGCAAGTGGCAGTGGCTTGCGTCCACCACGGCAGATTGAAATTCCACACGTGGAGTAGGCGAACAAGAATCCGCCTTCAAAATCGACGCTACTAATTCGCCGGCCCGTTACCCGGGCCTTGGATGGAGTTGCAACTATTGTCGATAGTAATGAGTGAGCGACGCCAGCCAGGGACGCATGGCTGACATGTTCATTCATTCATTCATTCATCCATTCCTTCTTGCAGATTGACTTTCGGCATAGCTTTGTTGCTTCTTTAGGATAGAAAGGGAGACTGCGTACATCGAGCCATGATCTAGTGTTTTGACTTTTCTCAATCGCCGACTCCGCGAACCTCCTTGCCATCATCGCTCCAGCCAGTCTGATCTCTGTCGAACGGTTGCCTCCACGAACTCGGACGACCGTCCCTTTATCATGGCTTCCATGAGCAAGAGAACACAGGCGCGCAACGAGCGGGAGCTGCACGAGCTCCTCCGTCTGCCGGGAAATTCACAATGCGCCGACTGCGGTGCGAAGAACCCTGCGTGGGCCAGCTGGAATTTGGGCATCTTTCTCTGCATGCGATGTGCCTCGTTGCATCGCAAACTGGGTACACATATCTCCAAAGTCAAATCTCTGAGCATGGATACATGGACTGCAGAGCAGGTCGAGGTAGGCCACTGTGAAGTCCTTCACATACGAGCGCAGTCACTGACCGTGATAGAACATGAAACGCAATGGAAACAATGCAGTGAACAAGCTCTACAACCCTAAGAATAAGAAACCAGACATGCCGCTGGATGCTGATGAAGTGGACTCGGCCATGGAGCGATTCATACGCAAGAAATATCAAGAGAAGAGCCTTTCCGATGGCAAACCCGAACCTCCACGACGCGATGAATCTTCACCCGCAACTTATTCAAGAACTCAAGAACGAGAACGAGAACGCGAAGAAGAGCCGGCTCCGCCGCCGTTGCCCCCTAAGAAGGGCAGGTTTTTCGGATTCGGACTCCGTGCGTCAGCGTCTGCTTACTCTTTGTCAAAACACGACAAGAAAAGGGCAGCCAAAGAACCTCGGGTGGACGGCGCGTTTCGCATATCGGCCGATGACTACGACTCAATGTCAAGGATGGCAGATGCACGCTTTGAGATGAGCGATGCCGAGTTGCAGAAGAAGCTCAATGCTCTACGAGACATGGGTTTCACAGACACCGAACGCAACACAAACTTGCTGCGGCGTTCGGGAGGAAACGTTGAGAAGACAATTGAACGATTGATACGAGAGGGACCCAGTGAAACTAGAAGCACTGCGACCAGCCTGAGGCCGAATCGGGACGTCAGCTCTACCTCATATCGAGATCAACCTACCACCGCTTTCCCACCTGCACCAGAATCTAAACCCTCAGAGCCCTCCCACAATCCATTTACCCAGATGACCAATCAACAGATTGTTGGGCTATCCATGGCTAAACCTCAAGAGCCTGTCAACCCTCCTACACAACAATCATACCAGAGCAATAACCCTTTCGGTACAGCAACACGAAGTCAGACTGAACAAACCGGCCTTGAACAGTCCTTTCAATCGCTGCAACTTTCACACCCCTTGTTCCCTCACAGTACAGGAGGCTATCCAAGCCAGCCTCCTCCTCTACAGGATCCGCGGCTGCAATATTCCATGACACCTCCTGTGCCATCGATGCCTTTCCAACAGGGATATGTTGCCTCCCCAGCCGCAATATCCATGACTACCAATCCCTTTTTCGAGAATCCTGCTGCGTCTGCTCAACCCACTGGGAATAATCCCTTTCTGGGTCAAGCCGCTCATGCTCCTGCTTCTGTTCCTCCATCTTCCGCTTCAAATCCATTCTTTTCATATCAGCACATGCAGACAGGCCAATCGATCCCAACCCAACAGCGTCAGAGCTCACTACCAGCCACGCTTAACCCATTTGGATTACCACCGCCACCACAAGCCTCATCTCAACCGACACAACAATCAGCAGCCCAGCAGTACCAGTCACAGCAACCTCCTGGTAGTTCTCCAAATCCATTTTTCGAAAGTCAACAGACCAACAATCCTTTTCAATCACAACAAGTACAACCGCAACAGCAAGCGCAACAATTGCCCCAGACCGATCCCTTCCAATCCGGAATGTCGGCGTCAGGATTTCCCGGTTATCAGTATGCTCAATCGCAGCCGCAGCAGCAGCAGCAACCACAGCAACAACCTCAGATGCCACAATTCCAGCAGCAGCAGCAGCAGGCCCAGTATCAGCAGCAATATAACCAACAACCACAACCGCTCATGCCCCAACAGACAGGCCGCTATGACAAGAACACGATCCTGGCTCTTTACAACTACCCTCAACTAGCACCGAAACCGTTGGCTTCGATTCCAGAACCCGATTCTGAAAACTCGCACCAGCAACAACAACTGCAACCGCAACAACAATTTTCATCTGCACACGGTAATAACAATCAAGCAACCGCCCCAACCTCACCACCCCAGCGCAGCGCTACCATGCCAGCCGCCATTTCGAACATGCATTCGGCAGGAGGCAGCGGGAGTCGCAATCCGTTCTTGGCGAACTCAACCAGCATGCACAGCAACGGGGTTTTTAATGCTAGTGCAAACACCAATTTCAATAGCCCAGGCGGTGGTGCTGATGCAGGTGCTGGTGCTGGTGGATTCAATCCCACCTCACCGCAAGCCAGATCCCAACAGCAACAAAGTGGCGGAACGGTGCCCGGCTACCACGCGAGTCGAGAAAGCATGAACATCAGTAATTTGGACAGTGGCCGACACAGCCCTGATGCATTTGCAAGTCTAAGCGCTCGATCCATGAGATGAAATAGACGCTCCGCATTGGATGAAGGCAGCACTTTTGGAGTGTCCTTGTGTCCTTTTTGGTTGTGTTAGTCGGCCAGACAGACATTCAAGTACCATGGATCTGGAGCCGTATTTATGTGTCTTTTCTTTCTTGTCGCTTGGTTCTCGCTCTGCTGGTAACTCTTATGACCTGACTAAAGTACTTCGGCCTGGTCTTATCTTGATTGCGGGGCGAAAACAAAGTGATGGATGAGGCGCACCTTGAGCGTTTTCGTCTCAGAAATGGAGGGATGTTCTGGTGTCGTTACATAGCAAGAACCACGACCGGGTGTTTTTAAATCAATCGAGTTGGTTTCATAACACAAGTTCACATCTGATCCCTCCATCCTACAATCTTGTACTTGACTGCTATTTATTCCTACCAGACATCTAAGGTAGGCAGTATGTTACTTTGACACACTACGTCTAGCGACTCGACTGACTGTGCCAGTGTCGATCGTGGATAGTTACGAAGTCATAAACCAGAGAGATATTCAGCTCAGCTCAGCAAGTGGTTCAGTTCTACTTATAATAGTTATAGTTGCAAACACTCTCAATGGCACTCTCATTACACCGTCCACCTCTCAACATGCCTTTTCTCATCACCGCTGTCCAACCCCGGTCTCAGGCTCCGACTCCGGCTCCCTCACTTTCCAAAACGGCTTTTCCACCACCCTCCTAGTCACCGGCACGCGTGAGGATGACGACGATAATAATTTCATGGACTTTTCCTGTTCCTGTTCCTGTTCTTCTCCCCCGGCCGTTCCAGTTCCCTTTCCACCTACCAGTACTGCTGCACTAGTACTACTAGTAGGATCAACATTCGGATTCAAACACCAAACCACCACATCTCCTGTCCTCCGCCAATCATCATGCCAACGACTGTTAAAAAACCTCGCACATTCACCGTACCCACTGCCGCGCAGAGAGGCAGTAAGAGTCGGTTCCAATTGCGCGAAGAAAACGAGGTAATCTGGCCAAGGTCGACGTGTTCCTCTTCCAGTTTGCGGCGCATTGTTACCAATGTCGTTCCCTGAGATGTGGGATGACCACCATGACCACCATGACTGGGATTCTTCTTCATCTTCTTTATCGTGATCGATTTTGAATAATGATCGCTGAAGGCGGGGGTCTGGGGTGGTGACGATAGGAGCAGCAGGGGCAGCACCATCCTTGGGGTTCAACCGCACCGGCCGTCGTCTTGACATATTCTTCTTCAGCCAAACGCCCGGATTCTCATAAAACTGGTCCGCTTCATCGAGATAGTTTTCGCGTTCTTCCGGCGTCAAATCGAGTGGTGGGTCGCATGTCAGTGCCCAAGCTTGAATGCCGGGTTGGGTGGACGAGGGAGGGTATTGGAGGTGAGAGCGCCAGGAGGTTGAGTGGCAGGGCATGAGGAAGCCGATTGTCATGTTGTTGACACTGCCTCTGATACCTGGTCCTCCAGCTTCTGTGTCTGTATCTGCTCCGGCGGAATCTGATGATAAAGCTTGAGCTCGACCTTGAGATTGAACTTGAGCTTGACCTGCCCACGGATGTCGATGACGCAGATACCCCGTCTCGAATTCATGTCGTAAATGGTGCATGACTTGGATAACGCCTGAATTGTGGACCTGCGTGGTATAGTATGCAACACAGAAATTCAGAAACACAATTAGCAAAAGCAAAGGCTTGTTCTTGACAACTAACCCCCGAGCTGCTGCTGCTGCTGTTCTAGAGGTGTTGGAGGTGTTCTGGTCTGGTGACGATAGGAAAAAAGACGCCAGCGGAAGACCCGTGATTACATGCAGAGCCGGGAGCAGAGGGTAGATGAAGCGGACTTCTTTGTGCGCGATGTTCGAGAAGAAGGCCGGGACCAATAGCGAGACAACGGACAATGAGCGTAGTACATTCCAGGCAGTCCGATCGGAGGGCATTGTTGGCGATGACCCATCTTGGCTGGCTGCAAGAACAACGTCTGCTGGCCCACGTTTTGTAAAACTGCGATAGATTCCAACCACAGTAAACGGCAATGCAGTCGTCAGAAGAAGAGGATATCCCTGCGAGATATAGTAATGCCAATCATTACTCCCATAAAAAGTTGCCAGTGACTGGACGACATTGACATGGAGAAAGTTGGATGGTGGAAACACCCATGCACCATAGAAAAATCGATCGATTATCCCTGAGACGACGAGAACGAGACCGCCACAGAGGACCGCCTCTCTGATAAACACGAGGAATTTGGGCCCGATAAATGTCCTCCTTCCTTGTTGAAGAAAAGTCTGCGCTGTAATGATCATCCAGATCAAAATATTGGTGGGTCGGAGGACCGTCGCCAATGCAGCACAGAGCAGAGCACGTCTTAGGCTGGTTACTTCCTCGCCCGACTTGCTGCTGCCGTCGACAACGTGGCCATGGTCTCTTTTCTGCACGCCGTCCGTTTCGACTTCGCGCAGACGCTCATGCGCCGACCTTGACATCCGATGCCACGGCCAATGATACAACGCAACAACAGTCAAAGTCGTCTCCAACGAGTTCGAAAATGTTCGCGTCGAACAGAACCATTGCCACGGACTGACCACAGTCAACACAAGCGTCGCTATAGCCGCATGTGACTCGGCTCCTCCGTATACATAAGAAGCGAGTTTCCAGGTGTAGAAGTCTGTAAGGGCAGCGAATATAGCTTGCAGCGTCTTAGGGGCAGCGAGGAGCAGCTCTGCCCGAGCATGGTCTTCGAGCTTGAACAACCGGGCTACCTCATGAGCCACTCTGTAACATGATGCAAAGATGGTCGGGTGTATGGCCGAACGTAGATGACTTTTCCATTCCTGTTTTATGCCTGTGTGAGCCTTACTTGTGTACCTCAATCGGAAAGGAGTCTGGGTGTATATTCCCTTACCCAAGTAATCCACGCGCCAGCGTCGGCTCCAAATGCTAGTCTCCAAGCTGGTTCTAGGGCCTGAAAGTACTCATCTGGCTGGAAGAATGTCTGCACAGACAAAGCGTTCAGCAGCCGAAAGGCGATGAGCAGCAACAAGAGGTTTTGCGGGTCTGGTAAAAGTATGGATTTAACTGTTGAACTTGAGGGATTCGTCCGAGCGACTTCGGAACTTGAACCCTCAACATCACCGGCTTCAGGTTTAGCTTTCAAGGCGGTGCCAGGCTCTGACCGCTCGTTGCTAGCAATCTCGCCCATCGCAGTGGCACTGGTCGGCCTACATCGTCTGAATTGCCATGGCATGAGGTTGATCATATCGTGAGTTGTGTAAAGTGTGTCGTCGAGCGCGTTGCACGGCGTCTCGACCCCAACTTCAAGTTGGACAAGTCAAATTCTCCACACTCAGCCTCGTCGGGCACGAAGTAGTACTAGTACCGTACATACCACCTTATACAACCTTGGAGCTTGGAACTGTCTACATCGGCGTACTACAAGCACCTACAGGACCCCTAGTGAGAGTACCCGGTAGCATGTCCAATCGGAAGCATCGCTTCTTGAGGCTTGGACCACAACCAAGAGCGATACTGGGATACTGGCATCCCAGACTTTAAGCGGCATGTTTCATTTCTTACAGCACAAGAATTGCTACTCATCAATGCTTCCGAATCTCATACAATACAGCAAACTCTGTCTATCAACCAGTCGCTGTTATTCGCCACTTCTCCCATATTTCCCTGCTTAGTGCAAGCGATCAATGCATAATAAGGCGCTCAAACTGCCCCCAAACAGCATATCCTCCTTTGGCATTACCTACTCGACAGTCACAGACTTGGCCAAGTTACGGGGAAAGTCAACGTTCAATCCTTCGGCAACAGCAAGCCAGTAGGCAATGAGTTGCAGAGGGATGACGTTGAGCAGACCTTGAAGGCAGTCAACCGTCTTTGGCACCTCGATACGTTCCGTCTTGTCAGGAGGGAACTCTGGATCATCCTTATTGCAGATGACGATGGGTCGTCCACCACGAGCAATTACTGTAGCCACGTTAGTCAAGGGCATTTTTGAGATCCGGAACAGTACTAACCTTGTTGGTATGCGTTCAACGACTTGGGGAAGATGTCATCTCGGGTCAAGATCATGATGATCGGCAGGTTCTCGTCAACAAGAGCCAATACACCGTGCTTGAGCTCTCCAGACATGACTGCTTCGCAATGCAGGTAGGAAATTTCTTTGATCTTCAAGGCACCTTCCAGAGCAGTTGAATACTGGCTGCCTCGGCCAAGGAGCAACAGCGACTTCTGGTTCTGCAGGAACTTGGCACACATTTCCTTAATCGAGTCGTTGAGCTGCAGAATCTCTCGAAACTGGTCACTGATTCTCGACAGCCCATCGATGATCTCTGCACGGCGTTGGGCCTTGGAGGCGCGATCCTCGCTCAACGACAATGCGAACATTATCATGGCGACGAACTGGGAAGTGTATGCTTTGGTCGACGCGACACCAATCTCCGGTCCAGCATTGATATGCACACCGCAGTGGGTGAGCATGGAAATGGAGGAACCAACCACGTTGACGATACCCACAGTAAGGGCACCTCGCTCCAAGCAGTACCGAAGCGCCATCAGGGAGTCGGCCGTTTCACCGGACTGTGACACGAACACACAGGTGTCGTCACGGAAGACAGGTGCCTGTCTATCCAGGAAATCCGAGGCCAATTCGACGGCAATAGGAATCTCGGTGAGCTCTTCAAAGGCGCCGCGAACTGCCATGCAGGAATGGTAGCTAGTACCGCAGGCAATGAAGATGATTCTCCTACATCGTCGAATCGTGCTGATATATTGTCTCAGACCACCCAGCGTGACGGACTTGTTGGCAACATCCAAACGACCACGCATGGTGTTAACGACAGACTCGGGCTGCTCGAAGATTTCCTTCTGCATGAAGTGGTCAAATTTGCCCTTCATGATCTCCTGAAGTTCAAGTTCAATGGTCTGAATGGCACGGACGTTGGAAGTGCCGTCATCCTTGGTCAATCGGTGGATGTTCAGTTGTCCCTCGTGAATGTGGGCAATGTCGTCGTCCTCCAAATACAGTACTTTCTTGGTATGCTCAACGAGCGCCGAGGCGTCCGAGGAGAGGAAGAACTCTGCAGGCTGAGGCATGCCGTCGTCAGACAGGAACGCTCGTGACTGCGACCGATGAAGAAGCGACTTGTCAGGAGGGGCCAAGAAACCGCCAGGAGACAGCAGACCAGCCGCCGACTTCTTAACAGCAAGATTGTGGTTGGCCTTCTCCGCGGGCAGGGCACCACCATCTTCGGAGTATTCAACGTCCACGAAATCAACCTTCATCTTTTTGGATGTCTTCACACCGACCACTAAGGGCGAACCTTTCCGAGCCGCGATGATCTCATGGGGAAAGTGGACGGATTTCAGGAGCAAACCAAAGGCACCTTGCAGCTCCTTGATTACCGCCTTTGCAAGCGTGGTGAAGTCGATGTCTGGATGGGAGTCATAGAGGAATTTGGCAAGTTTGGCAATGCACTCCGTGTCGGTTTCGGTCTCAAATTTGAAACCCTTTCCCTCTAGCAAAGCTCTGAGTTCCTTGTAGTTTGTGATGATACCGTTGTGGACGACCGCGAACTCCCAGTTGGGGTCCGATCTATAACCTGTCAGAAATCGGTTCATCTGAACCCTGTGCCATGTGTACTAACCTGTGAGGATGGCAGTTCAGCCGGGAGGGCTGACCGTGGGTGGCCCAACGGGTGTGTGCAATGCCTGCATGGGAATCGAAGACCTTGGTCATGTCCACACCCGAATTCTCCACCAACTCGCGGAGTTTGGCCACCTTGCCCACCTCTTTGAATGCAAAGACCTCATTCTTCTTGTCACCGTCGATGGCAAGGCCGGCGGAATCGTAACCTCTGTACTCAAGGCGGGAGAGACCTACATCAGAGGTTAGATTGAGTCGCAATTAGGCAGTTGCACTTTTCCCACTTACCATTGAGCAAGGTGTCGAGAATGAACCTACGGTCCTTCTCGACCAGATAGTTGATGTAGCCGAAAATTCCACTGGTTTCAGGTTAGTCCATAGTCGAAGGGAGGCGTTTGCTAGCGGGATACACACCACATCCTGACTATGACCTAGTAACGGTCTGGAAGAGGCAGTCCAGCTGAAGGAAAAGAAAGGCACAAGACAGTGCGGCGATTTATCAAACGCTGATAATGCAAGTCTGCTTGCTTCGGCTGCCAAACAAAGAGTTGAGTAGGTGGTGACGCTTCAGGGAGATAAAGAAGGGAGGCACTGGCGGTGTTTGGAAGGAGGGAAGGGAGAGGGAAGACGAAACTCCGAAATAAGCAGAGCCGAAAGGACAAAATTAAAGGGAGTAGTAGTCAAGATGTGTTGGAGGAGGCGTTGGAACGGTGGTGAGCTGATCACCTGCAGTTTGCGAGAACGAGTTGGTCTATATGGGAAGTTGGTAAAGATGCAGCTTCTGACTGTGTGACGCTCTGGATCAACGTCTCCGAGACTGTGTACCGACTCTGACGGCCAGTTTGGGACGCGCTCGTCGGTGTGCAACACACAAAGGGCGTGTCTGAACGCAGAGTGCCCCAAGCGCAGGCAGGGTCCCACCAGATGCACCTAATAGTTAGCGGTCCAGGCCACTACTGCAGTTGCCAGAGAATCTTTAGCCCCCATACGCTCCCTACCAGGTACCTATGCCTGACCAGCACAGGCCTCCTTAGCGGTCGACCACGCCTCTCGGACTTGTGTAGTGCCTAACGCCTTCTACAACGTACACATCAGGGCGCAGGATGGGTCTCTACAAGCCACTGTTGACCACAGAAGGTCCCCACATGCCCGCTTCTGGCCTGCACAGCAACGGCGATTTGCAAATCTTGGCAGGTACAACGCTCAATCGAGCCGATAGTCTCGTGAATAGTTGTAAGAGGACGTTGAACCCGTTCGGAGATTTTCAATATAAGGAAAAGCATTGGGTTCTAGACTCAGTGACAGTCTCAACGGTCGGATATGGAGAGAGAGAACGGGTGTTCTTTTGCACAGATGCAACTGGCCACCTGAAGCCTGAGTGCCCTCAGCATTCCGGAGCCAGCTGGAACTACAGCGCAAAAATGGTGAAACAATCCTGTGCCACAATTGCGGTGGCCTCAAGATCCGGGCGAGTCAGCGCCAATTGGCAAGCATGACGTTCCTACCACTTCGTCTACGATCCACCCGCCGGCTTGACATCCATGTGTTTGCCTAGGTACCTTACTGATCGATCTAGGCACCCAGCTTAGGCAGATACCTACCTAGGTAGGTACTATCTGGCATCTAGATTGACTAGTGGTTCGGTCTTTCATGGCGGCTGACACCGGTGCGGATGTCTTGTCTGATGAGCAGCAAAAGATTTTGTGCATGCGGACAAGATGGAAATCGTCCGACAACTGCCTGGACTTGACATCTGCGCTCCCAAAGTTTGCAATAATAGATACCTATCAGGTACGAGTAGTAGGTACAGTGCAAATATTCATGTCTCAATCATACTAACACCGTAGTACGGGGCGGTGCGGTGAACGGAGGCTTGACTTGTGGCTGCGGTGTTCCCAAAAATATATTTATTCCCTGCTGGGCGACTACGTATGCTCGGCTCTTCAGCCTCCCCCTGCCGGGATGCGCTTGCGCCTTGATACCGCTACTCCTCCGCCCTGAGCCGGTTTCAGCTGCAGCGCAGTACTAAAAGTGGTGGCATTGGAGCCGTTCCAGTTCCGCTTTTTGAGACAAATCCACTCCATCAGATCGCCGCTTCTAAGTTTCAGGTTCAGGTTGACGGCCCGGTTTCCTTCTCTGAAACCGATCCTGCAATCCCGGGACCGAGACAAATGCAGGAATGAAATCAGATTCCGTGCTTATGAGCTACATATGAGGTGGTTGATGCTGCCGCATGCTTCATCCCTATCTTATGCCTACAACAGGTGACCACGCCTTCGAACGCGCTTACAAAACTGTTGATGAGACGTTGTCGCCAGTGATGATCTTCCTGCGCACATTCTGACAGGTTTAACGCTGCTTGTGCTGTCTCAAGTTGGTACTATTTACCTAGGTACACACGATGATCCGGCACCTCTCCAAAAGCCGAAGTGCACAAGCGTCGGTCTGGTGGCATCGGCAGCGTGTTTTCAACCGCTCCGCGCGAGTAACTCACCCACACGCCAGTCGTGATGTCATGTTTAGGCGCTGTATGGAGTCAGAGAAGCACTGATACAGGTAGGTACGGTGCTTCACTTAGCTGCCGACCCGGGGTGCTGAATTGGAGTTACCCCGTTCCAATAGGTAGTGTCACCACAGTATAAGCAACCCAACAGCCTTTATAGCAGGTGTTTCTCAACATTCAACTCTCACTCACCCATCCCACAGCGCGAGTCCTCCAAACGAAAGAATACAATCAATATGCCGTTTCCGTATAAAAAGGTGGTCGTAACCGGGGCGACAAGTGGTACGGATCCTCTCACTCATTTGTCCAACAGCAGAAGCGGATAACGTTCCAGGTATCGGCGAGGCGCTCGCTAGGAAATTGGTTGACGACGGGTCTGTTGTCATTGCGGTAGGCCGTCGCAAAGAGAATTTGGATAAGCTGGTGCAGGAATATGGGCATGACAAAGTCCAAGGGATCCAGTTTGATATCACACAACTAAAATCAATCCCTCACTTCGCAACCAACATTATCAATACTCACCCAGATCTTGACTGCATCATCCTGAATGCCGGAATTCAGAGACGATCCGATTTCAGTGACCCGGATACCGTCGACATCGACGTCCTTGAACTCGAGTTCAGGACCAACTATCTTTCCCAGCTTGCGTTGACCAAGGCATTCCTTCCGCACTTCCAGAAGAAAGATGGTCAGTCTGCCTTGATATATGTAACGTCTGGACTAGCACTTGTTCCCATCGTTCGGTGCCCCAATTACTGTGCGGCCAAGGCCGGGCTTCACCAATTCATCCTCTGTCTGCGAGAGCAATTGAAGGGTTCGCGTACCAAGGTGGTGGAATTGTTCCCTCCCGCGGTGCAGACAGAGCTTCACGATGGAAAACATCAGCCAGACATCAAAAACGGAAGGGCAATCGGGATGCCGCTTGACGAGTTCACGAATCAGGTATGTCTAAAATCCAACTGGCTGCGGCCATGCGAGGCTCACATTGTGTGCAGGCGTATGCTGGACTGGCCAGTGGATCTGAGCAGGTGCCCGTTGGGACGGCGAAGCAGGCATTTGACGCTTTCGAAGTCAAACGGCAGGAGATCTTTGCACAAATGGTGCAAGCGATGCGCGGGATGTGATCGACCTAGGCAGTTGGTCCTGACCAGCCTTATCCAGCTTGACACGAGCCTTGCAGACTGTGTGACTTTCAGCCACCACGCCAGCCTTGCAACTTCGAATTCAAACCTAGCAGGAGCCATTTGTCAGGCACTTGATGTAGGTACCAGATACCTCACCAATGATGGCATTCAAGGCCTTTGTCCGCCGACCGCATCAGGCCCCTGCTGACACAGCGGCTGACGCGCGGGATTATCTAAGTTATAGGATGCCGTATTCCTACCTGATGCTGGAGTCTGGCTGCGGTGGATGGCATATGTTGAAAGCAGTGCCAGGAACAGAAAGATCTGGGCGCGATTCCACAAAGCTGTCCAGACTGAAGGGCCAGGACTCAAGGTAATTACCCAAAAGATAGGCACCCTCCAAGGTTGGATGATGGGCATAGGGGTCTTATGTCTCCTTGTCACCAGGACATGTCAATATCTGGACAAACAATATAACTCGTTTCCCCTGTAATGGACAAATTCACCTTTCGCAGCCTTAGCCTGGACATAGTAGAGCCATACTGAAGATAGAGCCATACTGAAGTGATATTGCAATGGCTCATCGACAAGAAATAACTAAGGAACTCCGAGTCTGCCCTCGAGTGACGGTCACAACCACGTGACCTCCGAGTCACGAGTAGATACTGATCTGCCAAGGCTACTGCTAATCGCATCGTGGTTTGGCTTCGCTCTGCAAACGATGCTGTCAAGGCATTCAAGTTTAACAGGACAACTCAGTTGTGTCCATATCGCATTTCACTCCCTATTTTCTTCGAAAAGGCTGGCAGTCAGGCTCAATAGGTTCTGAGGAAAGCCTGGAGTCTTTGTGCTGGCGATTTTTGGCTGCACCAACCCCCGTCTCGCCAGCTGCGCCATCCCGCGAGAACCCCTTCGCACCCGCTACCCCAGACGCGTTGTCTATCGGACGGCAGCGAATTCCTCGATCAATCTTCTGGCACTCTACGGTCTGGAAACCACTATTCAAGTGAGGCCTCGCATAAGAGACGTATATCGAAGATGAACGCGTGGTTGGGGTTGTGATTCAAAAGGATATGTCGCGCCCGCCGGGCAGCAAGTTCGCTGATTTCTTCCCAAGCGCCCCAAGTGTCATTGGTACGAAATCTTCCAGATTAGACGCAGACAGACCTCGACTTCGACAGACCGAAGGACGCGTGGAAGATGCGCTTGACAAGGACGGTATTGCTCACGCTGCATTAAACTCAGCAACGAGTCTACCGCCACCGTCAGCGAAACAGGACAACGCGGCCAAGTTAACCAACTATTCTGTGGTCCAGGAGGATATCGAACAGTTCTCCGGGGATGTTCTCAATGGTGTCGGCTCAGCCAGTTCGTCAAGCACCGCTTCATCGGTCTTTAGTGCACCTCTCGCAAACGCGGCCATGTCTGGCACAAATCATCTTCAGTTTAGCACTCTCACTCCCCTAACAAACTCGGACTCTTCGCCAAATGCGAAATTAATCAGTCCTACTACGGACTCGACTTCAAATGTTCTCATGGACAACAATAATGCCGCGTCAGCTTTGCACCAGGGTTCTATGACACCGCTGCCCACTCCCCCGGCTCACCGAAGATTTGCGCGCGACTGCAATTCGCACATCAAGGGGACAAAATGCACCTACGATCCGGAATTAGACAAGAGCCTGAGCTCTAAGGATAAACGAAAATTGAAAGCGCAGTTTGAGGATTTTGGAGCCAAACCTGAAGACAATTTCCAACCACCAGATCCGCGGTTGGCCATACTCAACTACACAAAAGGTGGCGTAGGCAAAGGCAAGGCGAAGTTTCGACCCGCACCATACAATTTGAAATCTTGGGCCGGTGATGCTGCGACTGCGGTTGCGCCTCCGCCGGCCACCAGTGTGGTCGTGACTGGCTTCGACCCTATGACTCCTCTTTCTCAAATCAGCGCGCTGTTTTCCAGTTTCGGCGAGATCGCTGACATGGACAACAAGACTGACCCGGTGACGGGGCGATTTTTGGGAATATGCACGATTGGCTACCAGGATTGCCCTTCGTTTCAAGGTGGTGGCCCGATCTCTGCCGCGCTTGCGGCAAAGACTGCATTCCTGGAGGGTAAAAGAGGTCAACGGATCGGATTGAAAACCGTGCAAATAGTGATGGATCGGGATGGCTCTGTTGCGGAAAAACTGGTCGAGAAAGCCATTGCTCTACACCGCAGGGAAAGTGGTTTCACAAGTCAATCGCGCCCACAACCATCCCCAGCTCCTTCAACGCCTGTTGGAACGCAGTCACCTGGGTTTGCCAAGTCGACCGGGCCACCCCCGACGGCGCCGAAAGGTCCATCAGGGAAGCCTTCCATTCGACCACAACCTATCTACCACGCCCCGTTCCCAGGACCTGTGGCGCCTGTAGGACCAGTGAAACAGGAGAGGCCTGTAAAGCCTTCAGGGCCGTCAATTGTCGAGACCACTCCGATCGCGCCAACATTAACGGTTCCCTACGTCTTCATCGCTCACTGTTATGTTCCTGTTATGAGCACGACCATACCACATCTGAAAAAGCGGATGAGAATGTACGATTGGCGAGAGATCCGTTGCGACGAAACGGGTTACTTCATCACATTTGAGCAGTCGCGCAATGGGCAGGTGGAAGCGAAGAAATGCTACTATGGCTGTCACATGCAGCCGTTGTTCACGTACATCATGAACCTGGAACTTCATCTCAACGGCAATGGCAAGGCCAAGATAGCCGAGACACCAGAGCTCCCACCGTCCGGGCCTACTGGGCCTACTGATTTCGTCTACTCCAAGCAAGCCTATCGGTTAAGGAAGGAGCACGATCTTGATCTTGAAGAAGAGAAAAGACAACGAGCGAAGGACCTTGACCCGTCAAGAGCCGTAGTTCAGCTGGTTATCCAGGAACTCAGGGATAAGCTGCTTGAGGACGTCAAATCGCGGATCGCAGCCCCAGTTCTCTACGATTTCTTGGATCCAAGCAACCATGTAGAAAGGCGAAGGCGATTGGGACTTGATGATCCGGAAAGCATGCGCAAAGGTGTTGCCACTGATGAGGGTTCACGTACTCCAGATTCTCGGTTCGGAGCAGGATGGATGAACCGACGGCCACTGGGAAGCAAAAACCTCAACATCCTCTCATTACCCAAAATCGGTAAGAGATCCGGCACAGACAAAGGCATGGTGGGTTTCCGGGATGAAAGGAGAAAGGCTCCTGCTGCAAGACCGTATGTTCGACCATTATTCCACCAATTGGCACAGTTCCACGATGAGGAGGACTCCGACGATGAACAGCGGACTGTCATTACTCGGGACACGGAAGACCTGGAGAGCCGTCCAGCAAGCCGGATGAGCATGACCTCGCTATCTGATGACGATGATGAGCTTCTGCGTAAAGCAACGAAACGGCGATTCCAGGCTCGCGAGGAATCAGAAATGGGAGATGGCACTGTCAAAGATGAATTCGATACTACCAAGTCGACTGCTGAAGATCTCATCATCGCCAAGCTGGAGAGGAACATTTACGAAATGTCTCCTTCGTCACGCAAACGCAAGAGGTTGGTGAAGGAATTGGAGGCTAGGAAACGCCAGAAGGCGGACGATGAGCTTTTCGGCATGGGCCACACCCCATTGGATCGTGAAGAATCTGTCGATGTCAAATTGCAAGAGACCGAAACCCCTACGGAGGCTACGCCTGATGTCGACTCCGACGTTCCTAAGCCAGAGATCAAGAAACCTAAAGCAAAGAGAAAGACAAAGAAGCAGATTCTGGCGGAACAGGAAGCGCTGCGTCGGGCTCAAGCGGAGGCTGAAGCTTCTGAGGTGGTGGATAATGTCCTCGAATTCGCTGAAGAAGAAGAAGCCCTTGCCGAAGCTGCTGAATGGCGACCAGAAGTTGAGTGGGGCGTCTCAGCCGAAGAACCTTTACCGACTGTAGATGATGACCCAGACATCATTCCTGATCTCCGGGGATGGCAAGCTAGCCTCTTCGACGATGAAGACCTGGAGTTTTTGTCGTCAGCCATGAGATCCAAGTTGGCTATGGGTATTGGTGATCCCATGGCGTGGGCTTGGAAGCAAGAACAAATCCGCAATCTCAAACCTGGATCTCAACCCGGAGGTTTGCGGACTGAACCACCCATTGAAGGGTATTATGTTCCAAACCCAACAGGATCAGCCAGGACGGAGCCTATACGCAAGATATTGGAATCCGAAAAGTCGAAATATCTGCCGCATCGCATCAAAGTGCAGAAAGCCCGAGAGAAGCGTGAAGCTGAAGCCAAGAAGGATCCGTCCGGCGCCAAGCAGCAAGCTGTGGAACTTCCCAAAGCCTCTTCTCGAGGTAAGCGGGCCGATGACAGGCGTACGGTCAAGGATTTGGACCGACAAAGAGAGATGTTGCGGGATTTGGGTGACGATGCCGATGTCTTACGCTTTAACCAGCTTCAGAAGCGGAAGAAGCCTGTGAAATTTGCCAGATCTGCCATTCACAACTGGGGTCTATACTCGTTGGAGAGGATCCAAACGAGCGAAATGATCATCGAGTATGTGGGCGAGAAGATCAGGCAGGAGATTGCAGATCTCCGCGAAATCAAATACACGGAGAGCGGCATTGGCAGCAGTTATCTCTTCCGAATCGACGAAGGCACCGTGGTGGATGCTACCAAGAAGGGCGGCATCGCCCGATTCATCAACCATAGCTGTTCACCCAACTGCACAGCCAAGATCATCCGGGTCGGCGGTACCAAACGTATTGTCATTTATGCGCTGAGAGACATTGAAAAGGGTAAGTTTGTTTATAGTCCTATGATTTTCTTTAAGACTATACATACTAATACGGGAAACAGACGAAGAGTTGACTTACGACTACAAGTTCGAGCGGGAGATCGATAGTGACGATCGCATCCCGTGTCTCTGCGGCTCGGCGGTTTGCAAAGGGTTCCTCAACTAGAACAGCGGTGCTGGGGTTTCTTCTGCTGGTAGTACCAGCAGCCGGCAATCTATGGAGAAGGCGTATTCAAGGTGTCTACGTGCGTACCGGGGCGCGTGGCAGAGTCAATTTTTCCGTTTGTGTATGTGCATGTGTGACACTAGGGAGGAAGGAGCATTATTGGGACTACGGCGTTTTTGCTCTCTCTGCTCGAATATCAGAGGCCAGCGCCATCAGATTTGACGGTGGTAAAAAGCATGGCATGGCACAGCATGGCGTGGCATGGTCAGGGTGTGTGATTCTTGTGTCTTGCCATTGGTAGAAGGCGGACCGAATCCTGGAGGAGGGTACAACAGGGCAAGGAACCGCACACTTCGGAGAAGGCAACAAGATCGTCTCCTCAACAGCGGCGACGATCGCGGGCAAATGCATTCTTCGAACCCACGTCGTCACATCAAGACGACTGAAGTTTGTGCGAAGGAAGGACTTGCAAAGGAACAGTCCATTCAAAGGAAGCTAAACGACAAACCGATCAAGGGCACCACCATGATTCTGGCGTAATGGCTTGAAAAAGAGAAAGGCATTTTTCATAAGGCCAATCACTTTTTCTAACTTGTATAGTGGGGAGCCTTTTTGCGCGCGGCAGTGTGGGCTGGATTGCCTTGCCTGCCGATGGCTCCAGGTTTGCGTACATAGTTGCTAAACAACCAGCTTTCAATAAGCAGGATATGAACGAACTTCAAGTGGTTCTAAGGTCTCTAGCGGAAGGGATAGAATTGGATCCCCAATGGCTGGACTCAGGATCGTACCATCCACAACCGTCGTATGCCGGTCATCTCGGCCGTGTGAGAGAGAGGGGCGGTCCATTTCTTGATCAAGCTCACCATTGCCGACGCACATTCCAACAAAGGATGACACCCATTTTCTGTCCTTGCTTTTTAAAACATGAACATCATCCCCGGTCCAACTCGGCCGTCCCAGCTTATCGACTGGGCGTCGTCGGCCCGGTAAGTGGTCGGCCAGGACTTGATAAACCTCCCGTTCCCAAGTCTCGAACAAGATTGAGCGCACACACATTCCATTCGTAGAAACGCACTTCTCAGCTCGGAGAGGGGG